GAACCTAGGACAACCCAGGTCTACCGCCTCAGGGGTACACCCAGGACCCATGGATACCAGTGCAGCCCAACGAGAAGTACCCCACGATCGAAAAAACGATACGTGCAATCGCTGTGGTACAAAGGGACACTAGGCGAAGGACTGCCGCCTTCCGAAGGAAGGCCAGGATTGGAAACCGGTCCCTGAGCAAAAACGTGTTAGTTTTGCCGATGTCGATCGACGCGTTCGAATTGTCAACGAAGAAAACCTCTGGGAGGACCCAGGACCAGGGTACGACGCCGACTACCCCAAGATCTAGAAGGATCCGTAGTAGACCTAGAAGAGGTTTTTGAGTACTCCAGGATCGAAATCTAGGAGGAATTCGAGGAACAAAACAGAGTCCATGTGGTAGGGCTTCGACTCGAGCAGGTAGACCTATATCGATGGATCCGACTACAACACCAGCCCCACTGCTAGAATACCGATAAGATGGACTCCGGCAACCCCCAACATTACACTATAATGTAGTTCTCCTATTACGATAATGGATGCTACTTTCACCTACCCGATAAGCTTACGCACGATTGCTTTCCCCAAAGACCACTGGGACCAAGTAGAAACGCCCAGCCTGTGGCTAGGGTATTCCTAAAAATGGACGAAGCAGCGTTTGAAAGGGTTGAGGAAGAAGAGACTGGCGGAAGCGCCCGAGTTATCCGAGTCTTCCGAGTTAAAAGGACCGAACCGAGAGGACGCCTGCGAGAGGGCGCTGAAGGCACTCTATACAGCTATCCGTCGCTCAACTATGCTATCCACAGAAACCTAAAAATCCAGGAGTTCCACCGCCTGCAAGCCGAGCAAGTGGAATTTCAACAACAGGCCGCCAGAAAGTGGAAACAAGCTTTTGAGGGGTTCCAGGAGGACCCCGACAACGTAGAAGCACGAATGAGACTGGCCGCCGCCTTGGAACAAGCTGTTGTGGATGTAGTAGAAAAATATCTACCGTCTCGGCCACGAGAACCCCGAGGACACAAAAGCAAGGCCCAAGAAGACTACCCAAAGAGAGAAAACGGGTCATTGTGACGAGCGTGGCAATACCTGAGGCATAAAGGGCGCAAGCGGTGCTGGCCAAAATAGTATATTTGTAGTATGAAGAAGGAAAGGTTTCTTTACAGCATGTGGCGCGGGGCTCGAAGGTGGTCTTCGAGCCTTATCGATAAGCGTGCCAATGTAGACTACATTAGGCTTAGCCGCGATCTATCACAAGCTTTGAGACGTACGGATAAGGAAAAGAACCTCGACCCACACTCCCCGTGCGCACCCACCACCTGTCACCAGCTAGCCCAGTCACCAGAGCCACACTGTGGTACCACGCTTCCACAGCACACACTGGACTGAGTCTCCCAACCATGTATATAAGCAGCGGCCCTCGCCCACCTTCCTTTGCGAGGGCCAGGTTGAAGTTTTACATCATTGCCAGTCATTGCTCTCCCTTCTTGTTGCCTTCATTGTGACCACCTTGATCAGGCGTACCTGCCTTCTCTTACATGAGACTTCTCTTTGCGCACACCATTCAGATATCTATTTAGGCAAACTTTATACGCGTCATTAGATCTGCAGCCGATTCTTATGCCCCGGGTAGGCAGCTGACTTGGCACCTGCTCTGTTCTCCAAGGAAGGACTCATCCTTATATTCACGAGTAGCAGCGGGCGAGCGATAATAGGCATATAGTTAGAGCAGGCAACTGTGACTGCGTCATCCTTTCCCTATCCCTTTCTCCATTGCACACTTCCAAGTCACGACCGCTAGAGCTATGTTAGCCCGTGTCGCTAGGCCGTGCCGTCGTCACACCGAATGGTTTGTCACAGGCACGACCTGTGCCATGCTCTGTGGCACGTGCGTTAGCACGTGCCGCAGCTGACCACCAGGCACTAGCGCCTTGGCACCAGTCGCCTACATCTGGGCTCCTGGTGCCCCACCATAATTGAGTTCCTCGTACAACCACATCATACCAACCAAGGACCTAAGGTCGCACCGTGATATGGCTCATCCATTAGTAGGTAGGCCGGGTAATTGTTTGCTCTGGTAGTAAGGAAAGAGACGGGGTGGCCAGGTGGCGGGGCACCAGTGCCCCGGAATTGGGCTCAGAAGAGCATCCCCACAACTCCACTGCCATTTTCAGACCACGGCAAGTATAACCGGGGTAACCCAAAAATGACCTCTTGCTTAGACTAGCTCAGCTTAAGGCGGCAATCGCTCAGCTCTGAAGGAGGAAATGGAAATTCTCTTTGTCGGTTTTGGGGTCATGCAATGGCTGTTTCTCAGGTCCAATACGCGGCCGCAGTCCTGAAGCAATGGTGCTTGGCCATCAACATCCGGTCTGCCAATACCTGCAGCGAAGCCCATGTGTCAATATGACAGTGCTCAAACTGTAAGTTCGGAAACATGGCAGGGACTCACCGAACCAAGTCGTGTGACTTCATCAGCACGGTGAAGAGTCTCTCGCTGGTCTCTCTCCAACGGTGGCTCCAACGCTCTGCACACCATCTCAAGGTTCTTATTGACCCGCACCAACGGTGATTTCTTGGATGGAAAAGAGAAAACGGTAGTTACGTGGCGAAGCAAAGCAACCGTTACGTTCAGGGGGGCAAAACTGGGGCCAGGTTCGCCCTTGCAACCACAACCACACCGGCCCAATTTTGGTCCCCGCAAGTATAGCCGTGGCAAATTCCTTAGACTCACCTCGGCTCAGGCAGCCCTCAGTGCGGCTCACCCCTTGCTCAGGATCTACGACCAATACGGACTTGGCTAGAAAGAAGTATCGGGTGCGACTATCAAGGTACCTACCTACACACAACAATAAACTTGTAGGAATCACCAGGGTACCGGTACTGGAAACAGCATGGCGCGCTGCGCGCCGTAAGGTGGTGGTTCAAGTGATGGATTCGTTTTTGTCTTTCTGTCTTTTTATCTATCTGAACAGGTGGGCGTAGGCCAATATATATGCATCTGTCAGGCCCGCTCCTCCACAGACGTTGCTGTGGCCAGGAATGCGGAGCCGCATTCCTTGGATCAGCGCGTCATTCCAGTAAGAGTCAGGTGGGGGACTTTTGGAACACCCCTGCCTATGGAACAGCCCCTGAATCGGACCCCGCACAACACCACAAACTTCAATTGCCAACAACTTTGTCAATTAATTAGCTACAATGATGAAGTCTTCAGTATCGGATTCTCCTGATTCTTCTCTTTCAGAATAACTAAGGTCCTCTCTGCCAGCCTCTCTCTGTGAGGCACGAACCTCCTCAATTCCAGCGAACTGCGTATTAGGGTCGACTTGGACCTTCCTTCTCTTTCGGCCTCTTGTGCGTTCTAGGCTTTTTTCTGCAGCCTCCAATTGATGCGCCGTATTGGCTAGTTGGAAAACCACGTAATCGAAGGCTTTTGCGGCCTTGCGTATGAAAAGTCGGTCGTTGGCAGTCCGTTTCTGGCCGGCTAGAAAAACCTGCCCCTGAATACGGAAATCCTTCGGCTTTTTAGGGGTAAACCATATAGGCCGGCCCTCCGAATTCTTATTTAGAATGGGGTTATGGACCTCTTGAAGGTCTATAGAAACCGTAGAGGTCAGTTGACCAACGTCGCCGTTAGAATTCTTAATAACAAGGCCGTTGCTTAGGGGCTTCCTGAGGCTGACCGGCCAGAGGCCTGTAGCTTTCCAGCCGGCTTTGATATTAGATTCAGTCATTCCATAGACCCTGGCTTGCCGGTAGCATTCTAGGAAGGCCCTCTTTTCAGCAACAGTGCCTTCGTCGAAGCCGGAAACAACCTCGTTATGCTTGGCTCTGTACCGGGCTTTTAGAGGGCCGAAAACCGATAAATCCAGGGGCTGGAGAACGTGGGAGGTGTGGGCTGGTAGAAATAACAATTGTACGTTATTAGAAAAGGCTAGCCACATGAATTCTTCGGTGGTATGACTACCGTGGCCATCTAAAATAAGGAGGCGCTTCTCCGAGGGGGTAGCTGGCCGAGTCTCTGGAAGAAAGATATTGCGGAGCCATGCGACGGCAGTATCATCGTCAGACCAGCCGTTTTCAGTGGGTTTCCACTTCCAGTCCTTAAATGGCTGTAAATCGCGTGGATACCATTGTTGTTGAAGGCTTCCACCTTTGAAAATGACGACTGGGTTCAAATACCGGCCGTCAGCGGAAATACATTCGATAATCGAGGTCCAAATTCGGTCTCCTTTCTTCTTTTTCTGGAATTTCTTTCTTTCCTTAGATCCAACAACCAGGCCGTTATCTCCAATGCCAGAAGCAATGCCAGTTTCATCCATATTATACCTATGCTTGGCTGGAATAGCCTCCACGCCTGGAGGCTTCAAATAGTCAAACCAAGGCCGGATAACGGCCTCACAGGCTCGATCAGCACGGTTTGCATGGATTCTCCGAGGCCTAATTGTAGAAATAGATGGATTTCTAGCCAAAAACCGGCTAGTCCAGCGTTTTCAGAGGGTCTCGTTATCTTCGAGCATTCTTCTAGCTAGTTTCCGAATTTGGGCGTGGGTTGGAGGGTGACCGAGCGACCCTTGGAATAGAATCCATTCGGTTAAGCGTTCTTCCATAGCCGGAGAAAGCTTTTGATTAAGAATTTGGGCCTTGGAGGCTGGCTCGGAACCACGAACCCGATTAAAGAGAGTAGTAGGGGGGATGCCGTGATTTTCAGCAGAGCTACGGAGTAAGCCGGTTTCTGCATACTCTGCCAGCGCATTCTGCAAATCCAACTAAGTATATCGCTTCATCTTTCATTTCTCAATTGAATGGAGAAAAGAAGATAAGTATTGAAGCAGAATTGGTCGAGTTGCAAGCGATTGAAATAGGTGAGTTGGGTGGCGAGCGGCAAGTCCTTGATGACAAACCTTGTTCCAAATCCAGGGGTGTTCCATAAGCAGACCACCTGACTTATGTTATTCCAACAAAACTACATAATTGTTAGAAAGTGACTAAAGCTAACAACACGGCCGCATTTGCATGGCCAAACCCATGTTGTCTGTACCGTTGCTTCCCAACCATAAACAGACAGGGAAAAAGAAATAGCAGCCCCAATCCCTCCCCTTTGAGCAACCTCTCAAACATCCACCATCAAAAATCCAATACACACCAATCAATTACTCCCCCCCAGGCTACAATCATCCACATCCATCCCACCAGAAGAGACCAACGCCTCCTCAGCCTCCGCCTCAACAACCTCAACCACCGACCCCCCTCCACCGCCAGCACCCCCAACCTGCTGCCCCTGCCCCTGCTTCCCCTTCCCCTTCCCCTTCCTCAAAACCTCCGCCCTCTCCCTTCTCGCACGCTCAAGACTCCGCTTAGCCGCCGACTTCTCCTTGGAGCGGTTGCGGCACGCCGTGCAGTGCACGAACCGGCGGTTGTCGTTGGGCTTGCCGCAGTTGACGCACCGGCCTTGGGCCTTCTTCTGGTTCTTGCGTCGCCGGTACCGGTCCGTGCACGCCTGGCAGTGCAGGATCCCGCCGGGGCGGGCCGGGTTGGAGCATTTCTTGCATTTCCTAACCGGCGGCGGCGGTGGTGGTGGTGGTTCCGCTGCTGCGGGTGCGGCTGGGACCGGGGGGTTGTTTTGGGGGGGGAAGGGAGAAGGGATGGGTCTGGCGGGTGCAAGTTGTGGTCTGTATCCCCCGTATGTAAGCGGCAGTGGCCATGGTGGTGCTGGCACTGGTGCTGTTGGCTGCGGCGGCCTTCCGGTGGTGATGTTCTGGTTGTAGTTGTCGTGGTTGTGTGGTCCAAGAAGAGGCCGGTGGTGGGCTGCCGACGCTTCCCACTGAAACGGCGCCGGGCCGCCCGCCACCAGCAGCTCGCTCTGGTAGATGGGCGCCATCGTGCTTGTTGCAAGCTGGGCGGTGGTAGCAGCTCTCTGCCGTTGTTGCGTCGCCCCGCCTCTCCGGCTATCTTCTTCAGCCCTGTTATTGATGCTTGTCAGTACAGGTTGCTGTCGATGCAGTACGGTGTTGAGGTTTTGCTGTTGCCCCTGGCCGGCATTGTTGTTGCTGCTCTCGTTTGAACCTAGACCCGGCGCGTCCACGCCGTACATGGCCTCCTCGAAATGGCTCGGATAGAACCCGCCGTCGGTTCCCCCCGGCGTCTCGTCGAGCCGCCGCTGGAAACACGGCCCGCACAGCTGTCTTCCGTCGCGGTATTCCGTGAGCAGGACCACGTCGATGGCCACGCCGCAGCTGTCGCAGTCCTGCTTGGGCCTCTGGTATGGGTTCTCACGCGTCAGCGTGGTGTTCATTTGTGCGGTAAGTCACCTTCAGTGCGGCTTGGGTGCCTGCCTTGCTTATTATGTCGTCCATTGAGCTCTTGTCTTCAGAAGTTTCGGAAATAGAGTAGCTAGAGCGGTCGGCTGTCTGGGGTGCTCCGATGCCACAGCTGGCTTGATACCCAAGTTGTTGCATGCTTTGGACAGAGGTATTTTGGAAGACAGGTGGGAAAAGTAGTCATGGATCAGGTATTTGAGATTATTTTCCGGATTGAGATGTTTGAAGACCCAAGCTGTCGAGGTGTAACCCATGATAGGGATAAGTTCGGTACCAGTAGTGTTAGCCGCGCTAAAAGCCGAAGTGCTCGGCGAGAATTTCGATCTGGTTATTTGCCTCATCAGTCTCAGTTTGATAACTTCCGCTGTTAGTTGATAGTCTGCTGTCGCTTATGTCTGGCGGTTTCCGAGAGTTTGGTCTACTCGTCGACTGTGTGACAAGGTCAGATGAGGCGGAGAAGCGGAGATATCCCGTAGAACTACCAACGCGGAATAATTAATAGAAGCGGCTAGTTCCTCGCCTGGTCCTCACGGTGTGTAGCGTACCCAGGCTAAAAAGGCAAAGAGGCTCAAGCGCAAATGCCACAGAATTCCTGGCGTTCCTACACGGGCACCTGGTCACACTGTTTGTGCCAGCGGGGACGCTGCGTGGCGAATGATTCGCCCGGAGCCGGCCCCCCGGGCCGCAGCCGCATCTATTGATCATATCACCTGCTCGGATCTTATGGGTACCTAGTACGAGATTATGTTGGTTAGGTGTTTATATAGCCTCTGCCACTCACTGGGTCATGCAGTGACTGGATTCGCCCTCCCCCAAGTTGCACCGGCGGTAGTACCAGAAAGACACACAGATACTGTTCTAACAAACACGGCAAGTTTGTAGAATGCCTTGCAAGTTGGGGGAGTCGCTCACGTTTCAATATCTCAATATTGCCGCGGAACTCTCTGTTTATCACGAGTGGGGCAACCGCGGGAACGGAAAAATTGGCTTCTTCAAAGTCTATCCTCGTTCTCGTTCTATTTTAGACAATCATAGAGAGCGCCTTTCCAAGTTTTTGTATTTAAACCACATAGCGTGGCTCAAATATGCCCGCTGTCACATGTCACGAATAAGAACAAAAACGCGACCTGAGAACTGTACAACACAAATAATTATGTAAACAATCGTCAGAGTCTGTCCACGTTGTGTTGCTCTTTGCCTGCATCTCAAAAACTTGATACTCACAGCCGACAACCCAAAATAGTGATATAAACCACTTCCAGGCTCGCATACGTGTGTTTCTCCCATCCGACTTCAGCTTCCACGTTCCGTCCCAACGAACCGCATCCATTAAATCTGACAGCTGCTGACAGCTGTGTGCCGCGCGGGTTAGCGTTCTTGCCACTCAAGGCGGGGTCGGGGGCGCCCAACTGACTCATCAGCTGGCCCTAGTCAAACAAAAGCCTCAGTCCGACGTCACCTGGAATTATTTTATCCCTGCAGGTCTCACTCACCATCTCTAAAAACATAGTCACGTTCGGAAATTATCTTAGCGGCCGACGGCACGCCGCACGACTGCGACAAAAATGGCGCCGACCGCGATGACGACGCCGCTGTCGCTGCCGACTCAAGCGCCCTTGTCCGATGGCTCCGACGCCAAGTTTTCGCTGGCGAGGCCCGCTGCGCGGCTCGAGTCGATGCCCACCGAAATCATCGACATGATCCTCGATTGCCTCGTGCCTCAGCCGCCCGAACTGGGCGAGACACGCCCGGTATCCTACGCAAAGCTGGTTCCCGGAGAGGCGTGGTAAGCTCGTCAACTTCCCCTCCGACAAAAAATGGAGCAAAATCAACTTGAAAGACCTTGATGTGACTTCTCATCCATTCTATAACTATCTCTGATGAAATTCAGGTATTCCCTGACGCGCAACCGCCGTGGCTTGTGCAGCCTGTGTCTCGTCTCACGTCGCTGGGCAGCCGCTGCCCGACCGCTGCTCTACCGCGTCTTGACCATCCTGGACGAAGACGCCGTGGTCCTGCTCTTCCGCACCCTCGTCGAAACCCCCTCCTACGGCACCTGGGCTCGCTTCCTGTCCTGCCACCTCACCCTGACGAGCGAGCCCGTCATCCGCGAGGCGCGCCGCGCCATCAGCAGGCTACTGCGCAGTTGCAAGCCCGCGACCGAGCTCGCCGCCATCGTGGACCGCATAGGAAATTTGCTGAGCCTCATCGACATGATACTCCCGAACCTCAACGCGAGCGCCAGCGTTTGTCACGATGACCTGCAGCGCATGCTTTTTTTAATCTTGATGCTCCTGCCCAGGCTCGAGACTCTCTTCTTGCAGCTGCCCATATCGGACAAGGAGCCCTGCTATGCGACGCTGTTAAATGACCTGAAGAGGTTTTCCAAATCGTGCGTCCACACCTGTAAGGACCCAGATCTTGTTCCTCTTCACAAGGTTGGGACCCTGCTTCTCCAGGGCGATCCCGAGGTGCAAGCCCACTTTGAAAGAAATGATTGCCATTGCGATCTCGACCACGTCTACGGTGCCCGGTTCAGCCACTACTGGCCACTGTATGACGCCTTGCCCAATCTTAAGACACTCGAGGTCAGCGTCGACGACGGCTGCTGGATCAACGCGGCACCTGGCCGCGATGGCGGCGATGACCTCTACTTGGCCAAGATTCGCCACATTTACTTGCACAATAGCGTGACCAGCCCCATCGACCTCCACCACCTGCTGCACAACGCGCCGAACCTGGAGACGCTCTACATGACGCCGCGCCGCGAGTGGGACACGGACTACGGGGTGGACCCGGGGGACCTGTCGTTAGGAGACCCGGAGTCGCTGGACGCGGCGCTGGTGCAGCACAAGAACCTGCGGCACCTGGACGTGGGGTGGCACACCCTGGCCGGCTACGAGAGCCTACTCGGGCCCGAGGGCCGGCTCAAGTCGCTGCCCGAGCTGCGGCGGCTTGAAAAGCTGTGCGTGCAACTCGCTGCGTTGTACAGGCCCTTGCCCGGCACGCACGCGACGCCGCTGGCCGACTTGCTCCCCCCGAACCTCGTCGAGCTGACCCTCGAGGACTACTGGTGGTTCAACATCCACCACTTCGACGCTATGGACGACTGGCAGCCCCAGGACATGATCTTGTACTACCAGAACTGCCACAACTACCGCGTCAAGTTCCTCGACATGTTCACGCAGTTCGCCCGCGACGCTGGCGAGCGCTTCCCCCGCCTCAAGAAGGTCCGCCTGCTCTGCAAGATCCCCCAGACGTGGATGATGAACAGCACCGAGGTCAACCTCGATTTTCACTTTGAAGATGTCCGTACCCTGTTCCGCGCGCAGGACGTCAAGTTTTTTGTCCTTTCGTAGCGCCTCGGCAGGCGGTTCTAGACAGTCATTTCTTACTCTTAATTATCGTACTAGTATAACTAAATGTTGATTTTAGGGTCGCGCGGTGAAGGTTTTACGGAGGCAGGTCTTGTCATTGGCTCATTCAAGCTTTGCCAGTGTTAAATGGCCTCGATGTTGCTTGCTCCTTATTTCCAAGCGAAACTGCAAATCCAGACACCGGTAGTTTGGTCAGTCCACGCAATTAGCTGTACGTAATTGTCCAGCGTATCGCTATCACCTTCTCTTTGTTCCCCCGAGAAATAACAGTCGGTCCTGGATCTGTCATTATTTTGTTGGTTCGATATCTCCTATGACCTCCAATACATCTGGTCTTACTACACTTAATTAAATGAACAAAATCCGTATATACGCCTCGGTTGAAGGGCAGAGAGGGAAAAACGGAGAAGACAAATTGATGGATAATAAAAAGAACAAAGAAATAAAAAAAACCAGATCAAGGATTGAACCTTGACCCTGTTGAATTGAAGCGAAGGTGGGAAGGGACTCCGTTTAACCAAGTGGCTGTTGCTACTTCGCTGAAAACCTAATGGGAAGTCGGGGTATATATGGTCCCGGACCTGTAATGTTACCATCTGTAATGTTACCCCTCTGAAGGACGCTGCGTGCCCCAGATATCAGGCACACATGATGAAATGACGGTTGCCTTGACCCTTAGTATTGGCCCATTGGGGTGCCCGCCTTGTTTTTCTTCCTTGCAGCAGACTCGCAGGTGGTCAATGACTACCAGGCCAGCTGTCGGCCAAAGTATGGAATAGCTCATATCGCTTTGCCTGGACACGTAGACGCCGTGATTTGGGTGATTGAAGAGTCGGGTTGAAGAAACACCGATCAGGCATGGACTTGCATCCTCTTGACTCGAACATTCGGCCCTCTACCCTTTTGATAGACTGCGATCCCGTTCTGGCTCCATGAATGCCAAAGGACATATCTCTCCTCTCACCGGAATCCATGACAACAAGGTCGGAGGATGCCAGTCTCGTGTGAGCGCCAACCCCTTAGACTCCCAGCTCCGATCGACAATCTCTCCCTATGGAAACGGGCCTTTCCGCCAGCGAGGCTTCTGTGGAGTGTCTCGATGACGCGGGCACAAGTTTCAAGTTTTAGTCTTTCTCTCACTCTTGCATCATTTGTTTCAATGCTGGCTTGCCAGTAGGGGGTGATCATGGAAACAATCTCCAAGGCCCAGGAGATAACTAGGTAGACAATTATATTCACGATCACCGGTACCTTGCAGCTCCTTGGCCCACGGCATCATTGTGGGTCAGATGCGTTTCGTCAGGGTTCACGGTTAGTGATTCAAGTTGCTGGGGGAGGGTCACGAGGCTCGAACACGCAACCCGTCATTTCAACCCTCAGGGATTGATGGGAATAGCAGTAGATGTTGCCTCCGATCTTATGGAGTAGCAGTGTTCTAGACCGAGAGAGATCCCAGGAACGGAATCTTGTTCCGACGAGAAGGCGTACAAACATCGCAACCAACAGCACGACGCGTCATTAGAATATGAGCGTCCCAGGAGAAGAGGCATAGACAGTACTTTTGTCCGAACAACCCCTGTCACGAATCTCACGATTCTGGCCATATTGCTAATGAATTTAAATCCGGGGAGCCTTACAAGGCCGCGGGAATAGCGTCTGACTGGTGTAACCGTTGAGAGAGACTCAGTGGATCAGTCAGAGTGGCAGCCATCATCGGGAGGTGGGGGGTTGTGCCACACGCGCGCGTTAGTGGCCCCTTTTTCTGTTCTATTTTCTTCCAGCGGGACGTGCATTGCCAGGCCCGGAAAACCGCGAATGATTCGCGCAAAAACATGCTATGGTCCGATGGAAAATCCTTCGCACATTGCGACGTAGAAACGCAAATCTTTGGTGTTTTGTGTAACCAACGAAAGGCCTCGTTGGTTTCAACTGTTTTGCTTCAATTTCCTCGACAATCCGACCGCTCAAAAGATGGAGAGGTTGGTGTCATGACGACACCCAAAGGAGAAAGCTTGTTGAACCCCCAGGGGACGCCGCAACCGTGGAGCCGAATGAAACGTGGCGCTTGCCAAGACACGCAATCAATCCTCCCCCCCACCCTTGAGAAAGCGCAGAAAACAACGAAAAGGGAAAAGAATGCACTGAAGGGCAAGAGAAAGAAAGGAGGATTGTGATCGGGCCCCGCTTCCAATTAAAGATGTTAGCGTCGGGCGAAAAAGAAGGCGGCTCGCCGTTTTTCGTTCCTCCGAGAGTGGGACAGCTGGAGGAGACATGACGCGCGTCCTTTTTAGGTCCCGTCAGTCTTGGCCGGCCGGCAGACAACTCAAAAAAATTTCATTTCCATGGTGTCGCCGGTTGTTGGGGATTGGAATTAGGACGACAGCAAAAAGAGACAGAAAAGGAGCCAGCAATTGCCGTTGCCAAAATAACCGAGCAAGCTAGATGGGTATTGGCATTTGCACTACCAAGTCTTGGATCCCTCGAGAAGGCTCGTTTGTACGGCCAAGAACCCGCACTTCTTGATATTTCTAGGATTCGCGCAAGGAAATGCACCCCCTTTCAATCACGCGACATGGAAACTTGGGTCCGGAGCAGGCGGGGGAGGGTCCTTTTGTCTCCAGGGGTCCACAGGCCATCTTGGCGGGAAGTGGATTTTGGAGAGGAAATTTTGGAGATGAAGATGGACAGGGAACGAGATTGCACACGTCATGGTTTTACGATGGGTCAGCTATCTTACCTGGGCGAACTCTTGACCCTACTTCCCGTTCCACACTGGTACAGGAGAGGCCCGGAAAAGGGGGATGGGATAATACCTCCTGCAGGGCATAAGGGGAAGGGAGCTGCCTGATTTCAGCTGGGTTCCAGGCGGCGATTCGAATTCCATGTTGCCCCAATTTCTTCGTTGTCCCGAATCACGAGCGTGCGAAGGCGACCGACATTGAGAGTGAAAATCGGAACGACGGACGGATCGTGGGGTTGTCGAAGCGGGTTGGTGGGTTGCTTCGGCGGCCTTTCTCTTTGTTGGACGCCAGGGACCCCCATCGATGTGACGGGGTAAAGATGGAGGCGGGAAAGGCGTCGACGTCTGGGGACATCTCAGTGTGAGTGCGCTGTGCAGTGGAGGTGGCACAGAGCCCGGTAGATCCTCAGATGAGCCTTGATTGCGACTACAAGATCCTGCTCGTACCTGAATGAAGATACTAGAGTCCTCTTTTGATGAGTATCCATGCTCGAAGAGCAATGAGGAATATATTTGTCTTACACCCACCGATAAGGAGAAATTAGTCGGCAGGTGGCTCTAGAAGCTGCACAAGACGATTGGAAGGATTTATCCTCGTGGCGCACGCCCGGGTGGGATAATCTTGTTCAGCGGGAACGGACAGCGACAACCAACTGAGAAAGCCAAAGCCAAGTCGGCCAAGCTTAACCTGGAACATGGGATTTGGCTGCAGTCTCGGAAAATGCGAGGCCCAACAGAGTCTGATACCAGCGTTGTGTTTGCTGAGAACTTTATTGCGGAAACCCGAATCTTGAAACGGCTGCCGTCGTGAATGGCTGACTCGTCAGCACCTGTTCAATAACTGGTAAATGAGGAGGGGACCTGGAACCTAAGCTCTTCACCTGGTCAGCCACTGTCGGGAGCTAACCCGAAAATGTACACCTCAAAAATGGGGGAGGGCCATAATGGAAGTGACGTCTCTCCTTCGGCAAAGCGGCACACCGCCAAGGCCCAGTTCCTTGGCTGCACAACTTTCCGGCCAAAGAGAGATACGGTGCAATTAGGCGGAAGTTAGGACTAACGAGCAAGGCCCGAAAGGTCGGTGGACTCTTCAGCTACACGTACGTGTAAGCTTACTTTTGGTATCTGCTGGATATAACTTTACGGTCCTTTCTTGGATGGGTGGCTGTGACGGACACGTTTCCAACGGAGAACGGCTGCGGCTCCGAGTTACACGAATTCCAGTTGGCATATCGCTGGCCCGCTGCAGAAGAAGATCAGTGCTGATAGGAGGGCTAACGAGGCTAAGCAAGGTTCCCGCGCACGAATGGCGATGAACGGCGGCATGGCAAGGCCGTCTCCGTCCCGATACGTAAGAACTCCGCAGCCGTGACCCAAGCCCCAAGCCCCGAATACCAAGCCCCATGCCAGCAAGGCGCTGTCAACTTGGCGCCGAAACCCAGTCCAGCTGCGAAAAGGGTGGACCTCGTGACGCGGCAAGTAGTTGCATGACTGAATGCAGCGTTGAGAGCGCGATAATTGAGACGAGATGGGACGATGGGCCAACGAGAATTTACCTAGAACCATACCGCGGACTTGATGCTGCGAACTCACTAAATGGACAGTGTGCTCAGATAAATGGACTGTTTACATTGTTCCAAGAAGTGGGGAAGACAACGAGCAGGCTTAACAGAGATTGCCTTGGACCAAAGCATAGAACGTTAGTGTCTCTTTGTATTCCATACTGTGTACATACCTCAAATCTTTCCAGACGTTGGGGCCATATGGCCAAGGGGAGGAGAATAAAAATTCCGAAAACTACAAAGTCCAGACCAAAAATCCAGAAATAGATATAAAGCAGTTAAAATAGACATTTAACGTGTTAACCGAAGCTCTCTGCCGAGTACAATTGTACGGAAGGAACCTCATGGCTGGGCGGGAATATCTCAGTTGCAATTGCAAACCCCGCGGACTTTAATGGATACAGCGGATCGGTCTGAGCACTGTCAATTTATCTAGAGCGACAAATTATGGGAAAGAACTTGCATTGAAGACCCGCTCTGCGTATAAACTGTGGCTGGTGAGGCGGAATAGCGGACAGACTGACAAGCTGCCCGAAAGGAGCAGCATTTACTGCCCTGTTCATCCCGCCAGGGAGTGGCCGCTGCAGTGCACACACTCGCGGCTCTCGGCATTCTTGGCGGGGTGGCCAAGCAAGGGTATCAGTGGCCAACGGGGCCCTTTTTGGTGGCCCTGGTGGGGGCTTCGCGCCTGGGTCGGCGTGCCCTCCAAATTTACGGCCTGCTTGCCATTCCTTGGCCAAGCCACTGGCCTGCCTGGCTGCATAATAACCTGAGCGGCTTCCCTGGCAGGTTCTCCCCAGGGCCCCAACCGCCACACATCCGGAGGTGTTTGAAGAAGTCTCTTATCTCGCCCGCATCTGCACCTGATTTACACCCGGAGCGATGCATTCTCGAAACGAAGGGGGGAAAAAGGCAAGCAAGACCAGCACCAACGCCATCACGAATTGCTCAAAAACAGGGCCTAGCAACCCACGAACACGGATCCAGTCGGATCGATTGACTTGAGCAACAGGGATATCCTTCGCTTACCGACAAGCAGACGAGGCCTACCTTGCTCACAGTGACACGCGTCGACGCAATCGGCTTCGCTGTCAAATTACCATCCGGTTTGCTTCGCCTTCGCAATTCGAGACCGACGACAACGCCCGTCCTCCTCCTGAGTTCCCGACATTTTCTCGGCCGACCAGCTTTGGATGACCGCCTCTACCGCCGGTAGTGCTCTATTTTCTTTTCTCTCGATCGATTCGTCCTCGGCGCGGCTCGGCACCAGGCACGATTAAACTTTCGGCGTTTCGCACCCACCACAGTCGCTCGCTCGACACGCTGAAGTCTGGGGAGGCACCATCTTCCGCCTAATATTTTCCTAGGTCTCTGGAAGGCATCAACCGGGCCGGCCTTGCTTTGTGCTATTGTTTCGTCCTCTTTTTCGATTGTCTTTGTGTGTACGGAGTAGAGGCCACGACATCAACACCCGCGACAATGAGTGCCAAGTCTGGCAACCAGCGGAACATCAAATGGGTTGAGGTGCGTTCAGCTTTGCCCCCCTGCACCCCCCCCTTCTCTCGTGCAACTCAGTCACGCGTGCAGTTTTCTAACACGGTTCTCTCCTCCGGCAGGGCCTTCGAGGCGTGACCTCGGTTCTAGTCATCACCACACACATCGCTCGAGCGTTAGATTACGCCCTGTTCTGGCCCGCAGATGCCGCCGACAAAGGGCCCAGGGTTCTGCAGCTCCCCTACCTGCGAATACCGTTCCAAGGCCGCATCGGGGTGCCGATATTTGCGTTCCTGACGGGATTCGTATGCGCATACAAGCCGCTTAAGCTTGCCTACCAGCAGGGCAATGCTCCCGCCGCTCTGAAGTCGGTCGCGCGAAGCGCCTTTCGACGGCCCCCCCGCCTCGTGCTTCCTGCTCTCATAGCGACCTTATTTAGCTTCATAATGTCGTGCTTTGGGGCCTACAAGGCGTCGACGCGATGCGACAGCTTCTGGGTCCGCTTTGACACTCCGGACTTGATGCCATTCTTTGCCAACGTGCAAAGGCTTTTCAAGTCCATGCTCACGACCTGGACGAATGGGGAGAACCTCTACGACCGGCACCAGTGGGCTATGCGCCCCTTGCTGGTCGGCGCGTTCCAGGTCTACGTTGTGCTGGCGGCCACAATTGGAATGCGTTTCAAGTACCGGATGCTTGTACATGTACTCCTATTTTTGTACTGGCTGATGAACGTGGAGCCTTTGACAGGTGAGTCTACCAACCCTTCAACTTTTAGATCCCGCCGCTTGCGCTCAACTGAACCTTGACTGACGCGTCGCAAATAGAAACCTTCGGCGCAAACCTTGCACTCGGCACCCTCCTCGCCGAGCTAGCCCAGCATCGGCCCACCCAGAACTTTATTTCGTCACATCATCGACTGCTCACGTACATCATCGCTCCCCTACTCTTGGCGATCGGAGGCTTTGTCGGGTCATACCCGCAGGAACATGAGGATTGGTCCCCCTGGGCTGAGAAACTACACAAGTTCTTGGTCGACCCGGCCGGGGACGAGTCGCGCGGCAGTTTCATTGTTCCCCTACTGTCCAATGTCCAGCGACGCAGCTCGTCGTTTTTTATCCAGTGCCTAGCTGTCGCACTGTTTGTGTCCCCCGGCATCCAGAAGCTTCTGTCTCACCGCTATCTTCTCTGGTTGGGACACCACTCCTTCGCCGTGTATCTGGTTCACGGCACCATTTTGAGGACTGTGGGTATGTGGATTGTGTTCGGCATCACGGGCGAGCCGTGGCAACCGGCCGGCAAAAACGAGGACGGTACCCAGCAGGAACAAGAGTGGTTGCAGCCGAGATCGGAAGGCCACAAGTTGACGGCCATCATCGTGTTCATCATACTGACCTACACGGCGGCATGGGCGTGGATGAGATGGGTTGACACGGCATGCGCGAGGGCCACTCAGTGGCTGGAGAAGAAGGTCTTCGACGACGATGACGGCGAGGGCAAGGCGGGATTTGCAGAAAAGGGATACTCCGGCCACGTGAACGGAAACGGGATACCACCACGGCTAGCGGAGGCCAACAGGGCTCACCCTCCACCATAACCTTTGGCCACAGCTAAGGAAAGCAACAGAGTGTGATGTTTGGATATAAGGGACGGGCGCCTCTTTGAGCACACGAACCTAGATGGTCATTTTTATACATACACTTCGTCGACACGCCACCACGATGAGAGTCTCAGAGGGGGGATACCCCTCATATGCGACGGATTTTGAAGGCCTCACGACGAACAAACATGAAAGACTCCGGCTACTGCAACCGACCAAGGGCGGCGTCGATTATCATTCTAGCCAACCTCTGGTATGCCTTGAAACGAGGCAGAGGGCAGAGATCAAAGTTGAGGTCCACGTCACCCTACCAGAGACTCAGGCGGGCGGTTGTTGTCGAGATTTTATTCTCTACATATATGATATGCTTGTATATAAGTTACTGTAATGCATTATTGGGGTGGAATTCGATACCAGCTGGTTTTATCTTGGCCAGTTCTGCTCTCGTGATATTGCTACACTGCGATCAGGGGTATTTGGGTTTTCGGTGTTCATCATTATTCAGGGTTAGGGTTAGAAGCAGGCTGGTTGGCCGCGCCGCCTCCTTTTTTCGTTCAAAACGACTTGGCAAAAATTGCAGCGATTTATTTCATCTTCCAAACCGGGGCCTCTTCTTGTGGCACATTTTTCCTCCCCCTGGTTTGAAGTCGCAGCACTAGAAACGCCAAGACGACCTTGGAAGCGGGCAGACGTTGATAAACAGTTTGTAGTCCAACACTAACAAACTCTGGCCCTGGAAATATTTAGCTGTTGCAATGGCCATTTGATTCACCAAGGAGGCGGTCTTGGCGGACATGCGCCGTACAGAGCGGCCGTAATACCCACGGGTAGGCTTCTGGTGCCTTCGGCGATTGAAGACACGACCGAGACGACCGTAGCAAGATGGACCCGGCCGCCGAGAAACCCCCCCTCTCCAAAACTCCAGCTCAACGAAGTTCTCATCGACGGTCATGTTTCTGGCTGAGTCTTGAATTTAATCGTCAAGTTTCACTGAAGCTAGCACGAAGTGCGTTACAGCTGCTTTCAAACTCACGAATTGCGCTTTCATAACTAGGTACGTTGTCTATCTAGGTGGCAACATTCCGCTGTGTCTCTGATACAAGCTCATTACAGTAGACCTACCAAGAACGTGCATGCGTATCCGGTTTTCCTCGAGTGCAAGACTAGATCCGCGCGAAAGACAACTAATGGCGGTACGCCCATGAGCAGGCACTAGGGAGAATATGCACCATCTCGGCTTCCAAATTTCAAGTTCCAGCTCACTATCTTGTATGACAAGTCTCGCATGAACCACAGATAATACTTGGTACTTCTTCCGCTTTGCTTTCTCCAACCTTTCAAAGAACAGTAACAACAAGAAGCAGTACCATTGAATCCAATAAGCGCTTGAGTTTGTAAGTTCTTTGACTCTAAACACCGATCTATAAAATTTGACCCAGTTATCCAATCTCAAACTCTTTGCGATATTACCAACCTCAAATAGTCTATACCTTCTATATATCTCATTAATTATTGGCGCAGTTCGAAATAGGTAAATTAACAGCTGCCCTGCTTTGTGTAGCCCATCTCCCATCTAAAATCTAAGACACGTAAGATTTGGAACAAACGTTTGAGATCTAATCCCAGCAACAATACGCCAACACTCTAACACGCAGTGACATTCCATGCACAAAACACAGAGAGTATGGACCAAATATGAAAAGCTAGAACATGGAGAGAACAATAATGAAAGTGGTAATGTCTAGAAAATGTACTGATATCAAAAATACTCTTTGTCTCCGTGTCTCTCCGCCAACCCCTGTCTCATGGGCCCCTCGAGGTCCATCATCCATGATCTCGCCGTATCCAACAAGCAAGTAATTACGCGTATCCAGCCGCCCAAGCTTTTGCACTAGTGCGAATAGGCGTGGGCTATGTATGGTGTATCCAAGAAAGAAAAACAAAAGTTGAGCCTATGCCTTAGCCTCAAGGCTCGAAAACTGACGATCGCGAGGACTAAATTCAGGAAAGAAAAACCAAGGTGGCGGTTTCTAAATCAGTTTATGAAAAATCGAATGGCAAAGTTTAAACGGGGAAATGGGAAAACAACTCCAAAGACTAGATGCAGTAGAACATGAAGAACAATATTGTAGGAAAAGGGCTCCAAGTATGCATATATATACTGGCGGGGTTGGGAAGAAAGCGCATGCATTGGGCTTAATCAGGGAAGGAGGGGGGCTAAAGGGCTCATGCCAGTCACTCCTCGTACCTCTCCCCTGTCAAGATAGCCGGTTTGCTCTTTTCGAGCTTGTCCTTGAGAAACTCGTAGACGGTGAAGGTGACGGCCTGGCCAGGGGCGACGCGCATGATGCGAGGTGTGATGCCCTTGTAGAAGGCATGGAACCCCTCTTGTCTGTGTTGCCCGCAGTCAGCATATTGTCACTCTTTCTGCAGCAGACATAAGCACAAACCTGAACATCTCCTTCGAAATCCCCACGATGCGCTGCAGGGCAGTTGTCCCGGCGAGGGCTGGTGTCTTTTGCAGGCGCGTCTTGATGGTGTCGATCGGGGCGTTGCTGAGGGGCCCCATGGCACCACTCACCAGCCCGATCAAGGTGGTCTGGTAAGAGGGCAAGGACTTGGCATCGAGCTCCGGTTGCCAGCGTTGCAACCACTCCTTGAAGTACGAATAGGCTGTGAAGTTGACAGCCTGGTTGCTGCCCTGGCGCAGGGCTGTTAGCGAAACGCCGCGGTACAGGGCACCGAACCCCTCCTCCTTGACGACCGTGTACAGGGCGTGCGCAGCGTTGCGGTACTTGGGCACGTCGAGAGGGTCCGCCATGCTGTGGTACTGCGCCTGCAGCCGGATCTTGATCACTTCCATGGGTGTAACCACCGCAACCGCCTCGGTCACGCCCGCAAACAGGCCTGCCAAGAATGTTGACTGTCCCGAGACGTTGCCCGTTTGCTTGTTCGCCAGCAGCTGCTTATACCACTCAAACGACGTGAAGCGTATGGCCATCTTGGGCACGATACCCGTCATGACAGCTCCCAACCCTTTGTATAAGCCGAGAGGCGTCTCCTTCCGCGCGATCTCGATACCCGTGCGCAGAAAGCCGCGCTTTGCCAGGCCCGGCTGTCGCCCGCGCCGAGAGAGTTGCATGCGCACTTTGATGGTATCTACTCACACGATAAGAGAAGATAGATCAGCCAACCAGCCAGCGTCGTCAAGAAACACTTGGTACCCAGAGGAAGAAGAGAAGCCACATACCGAGGGGATGACACACCATTGCCTCCATCATGCCTGCTCCTCCGCCAGCTAATACAGTGCGCCAGCGCACGTCAGCGTATTAACTCGTGCGGCGCAAAGCTCAGAGCTGGGAGGGAAATATGCTCCCCCTTCTAACGAGGAAGCTCACCAATGAGGTTGGTCGCTGCAGATGGCGGCTTCTTGCGATCGCCATTGGTCCTACTCGCCATGGCTGGCTGCTGTGTATGGATCTAGGTAGAGGGGAGAGGTGGTGGCGTGTTTCCTCTGAACGGCGTCTAGAGATATCTTTTGCGCACCGTCACGTCTGGTGTCTGGGTAATCGTCTATCCAAAAAAAAAAGAAAAGCAGGCTTGGTGCTCCCAGAAACACTCGAACTCCAACGACTTGTCGCTGTCGTGATTTGGCCCTATTAACGCTTCGCGAGTTGTCTTCGTGTGAACTGACTCGGCGGGTGATAGTCGGGTTGCCCGTACTCTGACCAATTGAGTAAGAATGCTGAGGTGCAGTGTCGTGAATGTGTGCAGTAAAGAGAGAGAAAAGGAGACGATAAAACGACGAAGATGTAACCGGCACTTGAGCTAGAGACGGGACATGAGTCAAGTTAACAAAGAAAAGAACAGAACAATGGAGGACCCGAGGAAAGCGACCCCACAGCCCCTTGCTTTCCCGCACTGGAATGGGACTGGAGGAATGGGGTTAAAAACGGGGAAGGGGAGAAGCGCGATACCGGGGTATCAACACGGAAAGAGACGGGAGAGGAGAAAAAGAGTCTAGACGGGGAGAGTGGTAGCTTGGATCAAATACCTTCTTAACTTCGATGACACGGGACTCACGTAGCTGTGATGTAGAGAGACTTAAAACGAAGACGGCAGGGCAAAAGCTAGACACAATAAAGCACCAACAACAAGAGAACAAAACCCATTGCCAAAATAAAGCTGAGAAAGACAGACCCTTCAATAAATCCTAGCCGTTACTAAATTCCATCCATGCTAGGGGCAGCGGGAAGACTCCATGACTGGGTCCTTGGAGCCGAGTCAGAAGGAGGGGGAGGGGCGAGAGGAGAGACGATCATGCCTAGGCAAAAAAAAAAGTAGGCACGGATCCATGCCGAACAGCTCCCCTACCTACCCTACCTACCTTGCCCGGGGTAACTGGAGCAAGAGAAGCTGGTGGGCATTCCATTTTGTTTTGGCGCTTGGCCCGCGGCAGCCCGTCTGGGGGAACGACACGGTCAGACGGCGGGGAGGGGGGAGGGGCAAAAGGGTAGCCGGGGAGACGAAAAGAAATCGGCCCCAATCTGCAATCGCCATGACGGGGCGTGCGACGGGCGGCGTGATGCGGTAACCCGAGCAGTGCAGTGCAGGGCAGCGCTGTCAATGTCAATCCAGAGCAGCCAGCACCAAGCGAGAGATGGTCCGGCCAGGAGCAAATGGAAGGCAGCTGGAGCATGCGCAAAGAGACTGAAACTAGAAAGAGCAAAAAGGAGGCCCCAAAAAAAAACATTGCCGGGATCAATTGCCCCGCTGTCGGCGCAGCGGAGGCTCTTTCTGAGCTGCAGCGCGGCTTTCCCTGTCCAACCAAAACCGCCAGCCGGCTCCCATTTTGGTCAGACGGCAGCAACATCTGACAGCCGCAGACCGAGAGACCGACAGCGAGCGAGCAAGCAAGCAGCTACCTTAACGCCACGTCAACTTGTCATCTACTTTATTATCCCCCTTTTCAACTCAAACGCAGACACAATTTCCTCCGACCTTCAGACCAACCAACCAACCAATCAACCAATTAGCCACAACCTAAAGCCAAATCCCAGAAGGAAATAAACCCCCGGCGGATAGACCAGACCGGCCTAGTTCCCGTTTAATAATAATAAATAACAAGAAGAACGAAACACAGACTGGCCTCGTGACCAGGTCTGCTGGTTCTTGGTGAATGGAAACGGAATGGAGACCTCTTGTTTTGCCGAGCTTGTGATCTCGCAGTGACGTACCCGTCCGTACCTGGGCGAACCCCTCCCCCCCTGTCTGTTCCTTCCCCAGGCCCGAACACACGCTCCAGTCTCCACTGCCCCAGAGCGTTGTTAACCGACCGCAAGCCGAGCTTGTGATTTTGCGGGGAGCGCCCAGCGTCTCTGCCCCACCACAGCCCCGCATTCGCCTGAGGACCGACGAGTTCCCATCCTGCCGTTGACGAGCCGAGGTTCTCCTGCTCTGCCCTGTGCCGAAGAACGCCTCGAGGCTCCGGAACAAACTGACATAATACACGTGGTGCTGGCAACTGCTCGACCATGATTGTAATTTTTGACACTGCGCTACCAATGTAGTAACTCTCCCATCAAAGCGCAACTTTTCCAAGCCTCCTTGGCAAGCCAAACAAGCAAGGATAGAAAGATGAATTAACAGCGAACTGGAAATTTTTTTTCCTTAACCCGTAAAAATCATCCTTTCCATCCGTCCTGCCATTGTCCGATCCCGTCTTTATCCTAAATGCCGATATATCTATATTACTTTTTCGTGATACCCATCCCAACATGCAAATTCGTGTACTCTTCATGTCAGTAGTACGCCACCACAAAACCCCCAAGGAAGCCCCAGGATGCAGCCTTCGGTGAGAACAATAAAAACGAAACAGAGAATGGGAATACCAGAACGCCTCCAAAGCTACCCTTTGAACTCCGAACCAGCGAAAAAGAGAGAGCAAGAAAAGAGAAGCGAAGAAAAACCCGAACACCAACAATATGTTAAAACATCGTTCAGCTTGGAGTGCCGACTTCTGATCCATTCCCGACAACATCCTTGAAGGAATAGATTCTGACCTCACCGTCCTCGCTGCCGCTAGCCATGCGGCTGTCGCTGAGCCCGACGCATGTCACGGGGCCACGGTGGCCCACAAACGTCGCGTCGCACTTGCCGCTGCGCGGCTCCCAGCACTTCACCATTCCATCGTTGGCACCGCTGATGACACGTATCGTGTCGCCCGCAAGTGACCACACACCTTCTAGATGGCCAAACATGGTCTTCAGGCAACGACCAGTTGCACTATCCCAGAGGCGGATCGTGCTGTCCAGCCCGCCTGTTAAGAAGTAGCGTGGCGGCAAGGGTCGTGACGGGTCATCCACAAAGGCCTCGCCGTAGAGCGCCCGAATTTCATCGTCGCGAGGCGTCGAATTGCTGGAGCGTTCAGGTTGTGTAAAAGAAATGGACGGAGTACTTCCTCGCCCGGTCCCACTCGCAACCGAGAGCGTGTCTGTGTTATCCGCGGACCCAGTAATGCCCGCCGTCAACTCTTCGTCGGGCTCATATTCCGCAGGGAGAGGGAGGACTTGTTGAACATGTCCGACATGACCCTCGAATGTCCGGATCACCCGCCTCGTGTCCAGGTCCCATAACTTGGTCGTTGTATCGTCCGAGGCCGACATCACGGTTCTGCTGTTAATGTCTAGACGGGTACTGTTCACCCAGTCGCTATGGCCTTTCAGGCAAAAGGTCTCTTGCGATTTAAAGTCGAAGATTTTGACACTCTTGTCGATCGAGCCACTTGCGAGTAGCTGCGCGTCAAAGTGCACACTGACAATACCGTCCGTGTGGTTAATCGTCGAGATGCACTCGCCCGTGTGCCAGTTCCAAATCTTGATCGTGTCTATATCCCAAGTCAGTAACAAGTATATGCCGAGAAGGAAGGGCCATGACCATACTGTCTAGACTGCCGCTGATCAATTTGGAGTCGTCGAATTGGAGGGTGCGGATTCCCTTTTCATGCCCCCGCAAAGTCCGGATCTCTTCGCCAGTCTCCGTGTTCCCTGGCAAAAGGTTAGCAGCCGTGTCGCAGTGGCCTCAGACGGCACGGAAGGAGGATGAGGTGGTCAACATACAAATCTTGATGGTGGCATCGTAGGATCCTGAGGCAAGAATATTATCGTCGAGCTGCAGGCACGTCACTCCATTGGTGTGGCCTTTCAGTGTCATGACTGAGCACCGTCCGAACTTCCAGTTGTACCCGACCTTTAAACTTGTTAGCTGCCTGCGCTGCCTTCGTGCGGGCATTGGGCTTTCATATTTACCTGCCACCGGTCCTTGTATACCGCTTTCCAACTGCGCATCTTCGGCTCTTGGTCCTGCCGCTTCTCGGCCCCCTCGCCATTAACGCGGCGTCGCTTGCCGTTAGGCGTCTCCTCAGAAGTCGATGCTTGCCTTTTCCCAGCGGGGACAAGTTGTTGGCTTCCCGACTCGCGCGAAGAGTCCATCAACTCTTGCACTCTTCCCTGCGGGTTACTCTTTGCCATTTGTTTCTGTCTGGTGTAGTTCCGAAGTTTTCTCCTTTCTAGGAGGGGTAGACCCCAGCCACACTTTGTGCACTTTCTGTTGACGTGCTGCTCACACATGCGAACCCAGACCGCATCATCATCCGCCAACAGCCGCCATCTCTGACTGACTTGGGCGGCTTTTGTCAAGCTCACTGTGTCAAGGAAGCATAATATCTTCTGGGAAATTTCGACGGGGAGCGCAGTGATGAAGTCGATCTTGAGAGCCTCGTTGACCTCTCTGGAGACGAGCGACAGCTGGGGGAAGCAGAGCTGAGCGAGTACACCTTGCAGCATCAGCTCCCGGTGGCGAGCAGGAGCGGCGGAAAACAAAGACCACACGTGCGTGATAGCTTGTTGATCCTGAGTATCAAGTTAGATTGAGAAGAGAAGAGTCGAGGACGGCAGCGGGGAGAGGGTAGGTAGCAGGGTAAAAGAAATATAAGCACACCGGCGAGGAGAGTTTGTCCAGTTCATTCTGGATCATGACCATCTTGGCCTCGTCGGCAGCCCTCCGGCATTTCGAATCAGGTCGGTGCCGATAGCAGTAACGGCTGTTGGGTTCCTTCTCCCTTGCGGTCTCTTCGTTCTGTGGTTTCCCGATCGGAGCATAGAGGCTAGGGATGTGCTCCTTCAAGAACGGCGTAACCGTCTTCCCTATCAACGACGTTGACATGTTTGATATGTTGTTATGCGAGCGAGATCGTTCCCCCTCGACTGGCCGAAGTCGATCATAACTCTTGTCCCGGTCTAAACCTCTCCGACACTCTTGCTCCTCTCCCCTCGCGGAAACGGGCGCGGATTTGTGTGGCAAGGCGGTGTGGTCGGCTATGTGGTAAGCCAGCTCGGCGTCATTCGGGGGCAGATCGATGTCATATTGACTGGCAGGCGATGGATGGCCGTTGGTAATGGAAAATGAGCCGGAGCGTTCCATGGCAGGAACGGGCGAAGGCGTAAGCAGGGCGCGGTACTTGCGTCGTCAGGGAGTTAAATGGTGGCAGCAGGCATTGGGCTCGGGTGCCAGGGCGTGCCAGGCTCAGATCGATGGCGTGCTGACAGGGAGCAGGCCCTGTTGGAGGGCAAGAGCGAGGGTGTGTTAGAGATGGACGGGAGTCGGGGCGGTGAACCGTTTTCCTGCACTCAATGCGAGCCCGAGCAGCAGCACCAGGACGGCAGAGGGGCACGCAATGCGCAGCTCCCAACTCGCAATAGGGGAGGCCACGACGTCCAAGTGCCGATCCTGGGCGCTGGGCTGGGTATCGAGATATTGGACGGGCGTTCGGAGTATCTTGAATTTCGCCTCGGGTGAATCGCTCGAGAAGCAGCACGGCGAGATTTAACGAGATTATGATATAATCGCACAGGTCCAGATTGAATTTGACAGCCTCTTGGCGCCAGATGGGATGTAGCCTGGTGGGGTTTTGCTCGCGATCTGGGGGGGGGGGGGTTTTGCCTCGACAGGCACGGTGGGCAGGGCAGGCGTTGGTGCAAGAGACTGGCAGAATGGCGAGATCAGAGCGGGTGGAGCTCGAGAGGACCTTTTTTGTTGCTTTGCTCCCAGAATTGCGTTATCGCTCGTCAGCTGGTCCGGGCGCGCGCCTTGCCCGCAACTTCGGGTGCGGGGAAGTTGCGACTGTTAGCACCTACAGCCGCATGCAAATCGGAGGCTCAAAGAAAAAGAGTGCCGCTTGTACAGCATCGAACCACTTGACACACGGCGCTGAGCTGGTTCCGGCATAGACTGAATCTTTATTCTTACGACAGCGTCACCTAATTGCACTTCTACTTTTTCCAGAATCACAATAGTGTCTCTGGCTCCCAGAGCAACGGGTCGAATGCACACTCGTCTGTGGTCTTGCACTTCTTTACCGTCATGTGTTGTTGACGCTAAGCAGCCCTAACAGGAGCGACCCGCTGAGTATAATTGTGGACCGCAATCGGCTGCATCTGTCACGTGGTCACTTCGATGTCCTGCCCAGGTCCCTGTTCAAGGTTGCGGGCATCTGTTCTGACCCGCCGCCTTCGGAGAGAACTGGTGAACCGCGCGGTACCGCCCATGAATCACATCTCCCACCCACGTCCTTCGCAATTGATGGCGTTTTTCATTTATGAGGCTTTTTTATTTCATTGACAGAGGACGTTGACTTCATCCTGGTGAGGTTTCTAAGTGACAGATAGGTCGTCCTACGATTTCGGCGTGGGGGTGCCTTTGGGGCTCTTCAAGCCTCGTCTTCGCCCGGACGAACTAACCCACACGCTTCTCATCAACCCCACTCTGTCTATGGTGCATTTCTTGCGGAGACCATGGTGGAGACTCAACACTATCCCAATTTCCACGCTTTCCAAGTCAATTGCACATTGCTGCACCTTTTCAAGTGGGGTCCAAACCAAAGCACGCCTTATGAAGTTCCATCTCATCTTTCCAGCAAGGCTACTCGGTTCAACGGTTTGAAAGACAGGGGGGAGGCTTGTTCGCCATTAAGGGGCAGCAGCACCCCCGCGGGAAGGCTTCCCATCAATTGTGCATGTCTAGCTGCATGCGCAGGTTTTTCAACATGAAGAAATCGGTCCCAAAAAGTGCACAGTTCCGTCTGGAGCTCTAATGTTGGCATCGGAGGCAGGTCTAGGCTCGGTGTTGTTTGTGCCCGGCCGTAATTCAAATCCAATCCGCGGTAGTGCATTCGCCGCTTTCGTTCATTTCCTGGAGGCTGCTTGAAGTTGAGTGACATTCGAGAGACCTGAAACCTTTCCTCCGGTATCACGCCATCCTCTTGGCAAAGCTGAACCCCCACCACAATGGGCTCAAGGGCAACGGATCTCGCGGATCTCGCGGATCTCGGGCAAAATGACCCACTCCCCGGCCGGCTCGGGGAATTGGTTCACCGTTGCCTCAAGGCTCTCGGAGTCCTGATGCCAGATTCGGCCGCCTTGGAATTGGGGCTGCGTCTAATGAGCAGCTGAGCTCGTTATCACCAGCCAAGATCGCCTAATTCAGCCAAACGATCACAAAAAGAAGGCAAGGGCAAATATTGACCATTGACCACTGAGCCAAGCTCTCGCGTGATCTCGTTACCACCCCACTCGGCTGGAGAGAAGCAGCGAGAAATTAGTCATAACTCGAACGAGGTGACGGCAGATGCATTCACAATCTGTATCACGTTGTTCTAATCCCAGTTTCATTGGTTTGTTTCTACACGTGTATCTCCTTCGGTGCCGCTGACTACAACACCCAATGGACATCAGTTGCCAAGAATCGCCGTCGCGTTGGCCATCATGACGGGGTCATTCAGCAGCTCCACCGCGATTTGAGCAAGTGCTCGGGCAACAATCTCGGTCTGCGTGTAGCTGAAATCGGTACCGGCGAGGTCACGGAAGGGCGGTTCGTGGTTGAACGCGCAGTGGGCTGTGCCAGGCGGGCAGATGCCGAAATTTGGGTGGAAGACGACACGGTCCGCGCCGATGAGTGCCTTTGTTGTCGGATCCACCACCGCGCCTTGCAGCCACGAGGCGTCTGTGGACGCCGGCGCAAACGTCGAAATCCCCCAGTTCGTCTGCGAGCCGTAGTCGGGAGTCTTGAGCAGGTTGATGAAAACGTCGGGGATGAAGGGCGTCACCTCGAGGGCCGGGTACACCGTGTCGGTGCTGATGGACGCGGCCAGGTTCCCAACGGTCGCCGTGACAACGTCGAGGACCGAGTCCAGGTCGAGCGTGAAGCGCGAGCGGATGTCGAAGGTGATGTCGAGTGCCGTCGCCGTCGTGTTACCGGGCAGGTAAAAGGTGACGCCTTGCTGCGAGGACAGCGCCTGGAACGTCTTGACGGTCAGCACCAGCGGGCCCTTGGTGCTGTCCGATGCGTGGCCGCCGGGCCCGAAGCTAGTGAGATTGACGCCGCCGTCGCTGTCGAGGGTGGCGGTGAAGGTGACCCCCGGAAACGTGCTGTCGAGGATGGAGGACACGGTCTGTTGCACTGTCTCTAGCGACGAGCCGTTGATGCCGAGCGAGATCTGCGACTGCACAATGTTGCATTCAAACATGCCCACGTCCTCGACCGCCACGGCCGTGGACGACGTGCCGGGTAGCCCGGCCGCGGCCCGGTCGCTCACGGCCACGAGCGCCTCGTACGCGCTGCGCACTACGTCGTTGTGCGAGCCCCCGCGGAAATTAGCAATCGCGTTGATACGCGCGTTCATGGGCTGCACGGCGCTGGTGCTGGTCGGGTGGGCCATAAACCAAACGTCGACACCGTCAAACGCGCCGGCCTCCAGCAGCGTGTGCTTGCCGGCCTCGCTCTCTTCGTCCGGCGTCCCCATGAGGACGATGCGTGCGGGAATCCCGAGGTCGATCACAGCCTGCCTTGCCATGCTTGCCGCCGCCAGGCCGTTCAGCGCGATGTGGTTGTGTCCGCATGCGTGCCCGATGCCGACGAGCGCGTCGTATTCCGACATGAAGCCGATGACGGGCAGCGGCGTGTTAGGCGACCGGGCCGGCACGGTGAACTCGAACTCCAGCCTCCACGCCGTGGGCATGCCGAACGCGTGGGGCGTGACGATCCATTCTCCCGGGCGCTGGGTGGTGAAATAGTCCACGACGAGGTCGTGGGCGTGGTGCTCGTCGAGACCGATCTCGGGGTTGTTCCAGATGTCGACTGCGATGTCCTTGAGATCGGGGAAGACGTCGGCCGAGATGGCCTTGAGCCGCGTGGCTAGCGTCGACACGTTGGCCGCCAGTACATGGCTGGCCAGCCCTGAGGCCAGCAGAATGGACGAACGTCGATTGAAATGCATCGTGGATTGAAAAGTTGGCTCAGTCCAACTCGCTGCTTTCTTCTCCTCGAGACCTTCAAATCAAGATGCAGGAGACATCTCTTATACCTGCTCGGCCGGAACTTTCCCGTGGTGCCCCGTCGTTGAATATTCGCCGTTCAACCCATAACCTTTCCTTCATTCGCAGGTAGATATCCGGTAAATCCGGATCCCCTTGTCCTTATCCTTGCACTTGCACAAGACTTGTTGCGGTGTGTCTAGTGCTTATGTCACGGAGGGGTTTTGCTGAGTTTAGTTGTTGAGTAAACAGTTTTGATTACAGTGAGGACTTTCTTGGGCTCACATTTGGAATCGAACTCCTGCTTCCTGGGGTGCGGCTGTTGTTGAGCAGATTATACTAGGCTATATCCATGTTTCCTGGGAACTAAATGGGTTAAAGACGTGTCTCTGACTGTGTCCTCCCTTGACTGTCATTCCCGGGTTCTTCGCTTGCAACTCGGAACTTGATATTCCCGACATGGCTCTGCGATGACCGAAGAGCCGACTCCTCCGTCATTTCTTGCCCAAGATGGCACGTTCTGCTTATTGTTGCACGGGTCCTTAGTAACAGCAGTAATTCGGCCGACTTGCTGACTGTACCCTGACGACAATAATAATCGGCCATGCTAAGATCGATGCCACGGTAGCATCACATGCAGCCATTTTGGGAGAGGGCAATACCACGGGGTCCAGGACACGTAAGATACGAGATAATCAGCAGTTCAGCACATCACTTATTAGTTTCGGAGTCAAACAGGTATCAGTATGGGGGAAAACGCAAAAGAGAAAAAAAAAGAATTCAATTTAGGTATAGCTCACAGTCTATTACTTCGCTCAACAGTGGATTACACTAACGTGTGGCTATAGCTCCCGTTATCAGAGCCATCATCAAACCAGTCATGTGCATCTACCACTTGGAGTCATCATCATCAAGAGCGATCTCAACGGCTTCATCGTCAAAGCAATCCTCTTCAGTCATGATGGGGTGCGTGTAAAACGAGCCAGAGCTCTCCGCCGCCAGACCAGTGTCGATCCAGGCGGTGCCCCAACTAAGGCGCATGGCCTCCTGCACCTGCTGGAGCTGCAGCGCGTTGTTAAAAGCGACGCGGAGCACATTGAAGGCGCGGTCGCGCGAGTTTCTGACGGCCAACTCGCCCAGTGGCGTCTGCGTCGGCGCCAGCATCGCGTGCTGATTAACCAGCCTGTACGGGGCGGGCGAGAAGGTGGGCGAGACCAGAAAGTCCTGGGCGAGGTTGAAGGCGGCGCGCGTGCGGTGCTCGCGGCACGAGTTGCAGGCCATGGGCACCTGGCCGCCCTCCTCGAGCGTCGGCGGGACGTGCTCGAGCGCATGCCGCACCGTGTGCGAGACGTCGACCACGACGGGCGCGACGGCGTGGGGGCAGAGGTCGCGGCACCGGAAGGCCAGGGACGTGTTGCACACGGGGCACTGCGCGGCCTTGCCATCTTGGGTGGCGGGGTACTGCTGGTAGAGCTTGTCGAGGCAGCCCTGTCCCATCATGTGGCCGCACGGCAGCACCGCGGCGGTCTCCTCCCAGCTGCGCACGCACCGCCCGCCGTTGTGCACGTTGAGCATGTTGGGCAGCGCGAGGGGCTTCTTGCACAGCAGGCAACCGGGCACGTCGGGCAGCGCGGCGCCGGGCTCCCGGGACAGGTGCCGCTTGAGCAGCGGCCAGAAGGCCACGTCGGTGCTTCTCCTCTCGTGCGGCACTGCGAAGTCGGTCGCGAGGGTTGAGAGGTCCAGGAAGGTTTGCTGCACGGACTCTGGGGTGATGTTAGTAGTCAGATCCGGGGAGGGTTCAGGGGGGGAATCGTCTGCCCAATCGATTGTATTATGATGGCTTGTAGGGGATGCCTGATGCCAACCCTGGGAGGCCTCGTCGTTAGCAAAATCTCCATTACCAGAATAGTTGGGTGCCATGGTGTTATACTTTGAATCAATGGCCGCGACTAAACGGTGTCACCTTTCTTCGTGTGAACTATGTCTCTTTTTTTTTTTTTTTTTTTTTTAGAAAGGAGCAGATGCAGAGTGTGTGAAGAAGGATACAATGCGACTTCAAACGGTGCGCACTCTGCTGCTTGAGTTATCTCTCTTAAACCCGTTTACATTCGTGTACTTATACAACTAATTATTCCCAATCCTGTATACAAAATACTAGCACCCTTGTCTGAGCACGCAATTGTTGACACCTGCTGCAATGTTCACAATACTATTGTCTAGAATAGAGCTGGAGAAAGACCGTTTGTGGTAAACCTGGGCTTTGTGGTATGATGAGCCAGACAAAGCACGATGGGCTTCGAGTGCCTTTGATCTCTTCGATCAAATGGGCAGCATCATTAACAAAGGCTTCAGCTCGTCTTCATCTTAGAGACCAAGCCCAAAGTACCAATTAGACGAAAGAAAGAAGAGGAAAGTTGGAAGGGCTTGTTATCATTTATGTACCTTATCGAGGAAAATATCTCTTTGTTCCACGTCCTCGGAGGTAAAACAGCATCGAAAGAGGGCGATTCCACACCACTAACACGATTTCCCAAGTTCAAAACGAAACTTGCCTAATTAGGTCGACTGGCGACGGTTACATTCATTCACTCAACTCCCACGCAAACTAATACTGGAATCACTTTGAATCGTTGTACACTCTCAATATCTGGTCCACATTATCAAGGGCTCTGTTGCCACTGACTCTCAATGCGACTTTGGCCAACCACTTCTTGAAACACCTGGTTCCATGTCTTAAGTCCAATTTCAGTTATCTTCCCAGAGGGTTCAACATAACCACGCTTCCAGCCAGATCCCCGGCCCCTTAAGTGTTATCCAAACTAACAAGGCCAGACTGCTCACGATGGTATAGTAAGTTCGCAAAAGTCCCATCGCTGTTGGCCCTCATTCTGTGGCCAATCTCTGTGGCTCGCGATAATACCCGGCCAACCCTTAAGAGCTATAGTGTTCTCCCATCAGTTGCCAAATGGGTGTATCCATCCCGGTTGCCTGCTCCGGTCGTCGTGCCGGGCGATCTGAGTTTGTGTCAAGGAAGTCTTCCAGGAATGCCACTCATCTGCAATCTTCAAAGTCCCTCGCATGCTCTAATCAAGGCTTACTGCTTGGCGCCTGATCCAGTGCTGGACCCCTGGCTTCCGCGCCGCTGTGCGACGCTGGCTTGTTCGTGTCGGAACGGTGAGATGAAACACCGCCCGTCATGCTCGGATGGTGCTCGCGCGTGGGCCATGTGGTCGGGAGCGCATCTGTTCGCTTGTCGGAGACGGCTGCGGGTGGAGGAACGATGCCGAAATCAGCGCCCGCGGCACACAAGACTGTGCTGAACCCAAAGAGAGAAATAAACGTAATGCGAGAGAAGCTCACGCTCAGCATCAATGTTCGTTGCCCGTTCAAACCCTTTCTTCATAGTCTCCTTGATCTTCTCCATCGTAGATAAATCTTCTCGAGAGTCTCGAGTTGCTTCGGCAGTGTAGGCAACGGTAAATTGCAAAGGTAAACTTGTCGAAGGTGTGCATGACAGGATTAGAAGAAATACAGAAGAAAAATTAAGAAGCCTAAACTGTTCTGATGTAATCGCTATATAGGTATGGGATACACATCTTTGAAGGGTGCGCCATTTTTCCCCATTCCATGTTCAGTCGCCGCCTCTCGTCGGTGTGATCTCATCATGATACCTTGTCCCAAAAGGCCCACATAACTACCTGCTTCTTTTTAACTCGACCTGGGTTTGCTGAACATTAGATTGGTTGAAGGTTTCTTGACATCGTCATACTTACGCAAGCCCAATAACCTGGGCCGACAAGTCAAATCTTAAGAGGAGGAAGGAGCTTCCCAGGGATGGCCCCAAGTTCGGCGACAACCAAAGCAGATTGCTCTTCCCAACTCACACTAGTCTCCTGGTTCTTTCCGCTTTCAACAACCTCGACCACACTAGCAATGCCTTCCACACATTATGGAGCTGCGTCCACAAACCACGGCCAAGGCATTCGACTCTCCATGCCCCGTCTTCAAATTACCCGGGGGACGCGACCAACACGAAAACACATAGATACACGAACGCAGCCAATCCTCGCCTACAACCGACTGTCCCTCTATACCGACATCGAGGCAGTGCTATTCACGTTGTCATTTAATCTCTAATGGATTTTACGCTACCCGAGCCTGTGGCTATTCCTGATGATTCAACAATCTCCGATGATTCAACAATCTCCGATGATTCAACAGTCTCCGATGATTCAACAGTCTCCGATGATTCACCCATATCCGGCAACAACCCAAGCTCTCTGTCATCCGAAGCTGTGGGCGTATCAGCCAGCAGCAGTTCTGAGCCCAACGCGGCCGTGCCACCCATCAACTCGCGAGACGACGACGTCGACGAAGAAGGGGAGGGAGAGAGTGCTGCAGCAAGAACCTCAAGAAAGAGATCCCTCTCGAAAAAGGGGCTCGACCGAGAGGACACGCACTGCTACAACATCATCCGCCAATATCTACAGACGCGTTCCGGCACCGCACCTCAGCCAATATGCCCAATATGCTACGACGAGTTGTACGTGCATGGCTTGCCGGAGCTGGAAGTGCCAATGGGAGAGCCGAAACACGCCTATGTGTTACCATGCTCGCACATGTTCTGCCTGGCGTGCCTGACTAGCTGTCTGCGAAGTCAAGGTATAGGAGCAGACGAGCCGGCTATTTCCCTTGAAATACCCCAGACACCACCGAGGGTGGTGGTTTCACATATCGAAAGGCCGACCCCAGACCCAAACCTAGAACGACAGCAAGACTCGTATCGCTGCCCATTTTGCCGGTCCTCCTTGAAGTTTCCCCGTTGTTAGCACTATGTATCGCCGACAGCTGCGCCCACGAAACCAGGCCAGAGTCCCTCTCGCGTGCCGCTGACGACCAGAATCGAGGGCGGCCAGATTCCCGGACGGTGCGATAACTGCAAATGGGATAAGGCGCTTCTCAAGTACCTTCCTTCCCTTTGGGCGTTAATCGTACATTTTCTGGATCCGCATAGCGAGTCACCAAAAACTAGCAATGACGGTACCACCAGTAGCCAGGGGCCTGTTCCCGGTGTGTATTTAGCTGTTTGGAACACGATGATTCATTCTTGGAAAGGGTCTTTGATCGAACGGTCGTCTTGGGGGAAATGCGTGAATCCTACCTTACGGATCTACCTGAGTGAGGTCTGACGAAACATGCACGAGGGTGTTAATATTGGTGATGCCAATTCGACATCTAGGAAAGTCGTGCCCGGGATGCTGGAGGACAAGACATACAGTCGACATACAGGTAGATGCACAGCGGTATGGTTAACTAATATAGATATCAGAGAAGCGAACCACGCACGAGTTGTGTATTTTGCGGATTGCCTGGAGGGCAAGGCAGAGATCAGGTCTGGAGCGGACAAAAGCAAGTAATAGATATCTTAACTGGAGACGCGTCGAGACAAGAAGCTCGTTGATTGGCAAATGCAAAACCGCGTGAACCAGGTCGCAAGGTGGCATGCTTGACAATGAACTATGACTGGGGCTGGAACATAACCTGCCGCGTTTGTGACAGCAAAATATTGCGGGGGTCTACACATATGGTATTGTATTGACAAGATGAGTGTCGGGGCATGGTTAACAGAGCAAACTACCCACGGCGACGGAAGGTTCAATTACGGCTTCTAGAACGGCAAACTCTTGAGCAGGGGGTTTAACACGTTCGCGTATGGCGGAGCGTGGTCTCTGGGCGGCCGTTGGGGTTCTCTATGTTCCCCAGCGCTTGATGAGGTCGTCCTTCTTCGCGCTCTTCCCGCGCACCTTGACAAGGTTCGCGCCAATGTCCTCTAGCCTCACGCGGGCATTTTCCAGCTCCTGAGAGAGCACGGCAATGGATCCGTCGATCTCGGGGTCGACTAACCGGACCTGGCCGAACGGGCTCTCGGCGAGGACCGATTCACGCGCCATCTGGATTGCTCGCTTCGCGTCGGCTATTTGCTTGATCGCGGCGCTCTCAAACGATTCTTGGACATTTTGTGCAACGTCTTTCGCTTTGGCCTGGCGCTCAGCCAGGGTCGACGCTAGGACCTTGACCTGGGCTTCGGCTCCAATTGCGCATGATGACGCATCCTCCTGTGAGAGGTTGATAGCAAGGGCTCTGAGAATGTCCTCGAGTGGCGGGCCGTCGCCTCCTAGGCCTGAGGAGCGTCTCGGACGAGATCTTGGCCCGGGACGGACCGGGGATGCCGGGTTGCCCTGGTCAATCGACTTGCGCCGCGTTGGAGATGCCCCAAGAGTCGGACGCCGTTCTCTCTTCGCTGGGATTGGAACCTGCGCGGCCAACTCGGAACGTGCAATGTTGATAAGGGCGCTGGCTGCGACCTGGTATGCCTGGAATGCCTCGACTCGGGTCGACAAGTCTTGCACGTGATCGAGGAGATAGTCCAGACAATCGCAAATCTAGCATGGCGTTAACAGAAGCGCGGATTTTGGGCGTTTGCGAACGACATACATATCTGACCGCCTGTTTCGATCTCGCAAAGCTTTGACCATTTTCCGTCGCGAGCTTTTTAAGGGCGGGTGCAAGGAACTGCTGCTCGGCAGACATCTGGGCCACAGGGAGGATTTCGGCGTACAGCGATTCGAGCTCGTCCTGGAGGGCAGAGACGTCGTCGGCTGAAACGTGTTTGGTGGTGCCCGATCGTATCGATGCCTCGAGAGACTCGAGGTAGGTGCGATCGAGTTTTGTTCGGATGCCCTCCACGGTGAACTTGATCAACCTACTACAGCATTAGCCTCTCGTTTTTCAGGGTCCTTGCAAGGCCTGCCAACCTTGCGCATGTCTCACGTAGCATGACGACATCGTTTTTCACCTCTGTATCTTCCGTGTCCAGCTCCCATCCAAGTTTCTGTAGACTCGAGAGGAGCTTGTCGTCGGACTGGAACAGGCCGGCCACGGTCTGCTGGAGGCTCGCCCCGTCGCCCTTGCCCTGCTGCTCCAGCTCGACGACGCTTAAGTGCAGCGACTGAGAAAGGTCTTCGACCTGGCCAAAGGTGTCAGCAGACCGCAACCTGGACTAATCGGCCGCCCAAGTAAACACTCACCGCAAGTGCGACAGATCTGTGTTGTGTTTCCCATTTCTGGGTCTGGCGCGACTCGATTTGGAAGCGCGCCTCGGCAGCCTTTCTGGTCCCGCTAACGAGGCGATCGAGGGCCTCTTGCTGCTGCTTGAGGGCCTCGGTCTGTTTGGAAATAGCATCCGTGCATCTGTTCAGCTCTTCAATGGCATCCTTGATCTCCTGGTCGCTGAAGGACTGAACAGCGCCAAGGTCGGTGGTTGCCGCTAGCTCAGCCGCCAAACCCGCCTTCTCAAGCGCTGCGAACCTGACGGCGGTGGCGTATCAGCGATTGTTTTGGCAGCACGGGCAGACAAGAGGTGGTCCCCTACTGGTTGAGTTCGTCGACCGAGAGCAGCGTGTCTGAGGTGAGATGCAGTGCGACCCAGTCCACGAGGCCACCCGGACTGGAACTGGAACTGGAACTGGAACTGGAAGTGGCGCTGGCTTTGGCTCTGGCTCTGGCCTTCTCGTCTTCCAACGCGACCCTGACCGACGCCGCGTCCAGAGACGTGTCGTACGCCCGCAAAATCTTAACTAAGGACTCGGAATCCATCTTGGACCCTTAGGCAAGGATTGCACAAGCTGGCAGTCATATCACGCAACAGGGACCGTGTATGATATGGCGGTGCACGCAGGGTGAGAGCAAGGGGTGTGGTGTGTCGTGAACCGCGTGGTTCTCCAAATGCGGATGTTTTGACTGAGGTTGATCCTTGGCTTCGGGACCTGGGACGACAGACCAGACAGAACCCCTCGCTCTGCCCCACCTTCCCCAGCAAATAAACGCCAAGGCCCTTTCCTGAAGCCTGGGTCGCTTGAATGAAGAGCGCCAGGCTGCAAGGAGCACGAACCACATGGCCCTAGCTCCCGACGCCTAGACCCGCCGCCGGAGCAAAAGCAAACAGTTGTGCTGCTGAGCACGGCGTCTTCTGGAAATCCTTGTTACGTCCGTAGCAGCGCTTCTCCTAGAGGCCGGACTGCGATTTCCCGGATTGACCAGCGCGCGCTCCACGGGCACGCGCCTTTGCTACCCAGCATCAAATAACTCCGCATGCGGAATATTTATTACTTGTAAGGATATGGGCATGCCTCCGCGAAGCGAAGCAGCCACTGTGCGGCAAAACGATCGAAGGGAAACATTTCGGACGAGACAGGAGAGCGAGTGACGGATGGCTTGCCAAGGGCAATCAAGGCTCCCGAACTTATCAGCTGGAAATGCATCCGGACGAGCAGCGGTGTCCTGGTCAAGTAGCAGCACTCTCTCTCCGATTCAGGGTCTGAATTGTTTCTCGACCAGTCGTGGGCGACTGCGAGTGACGCGAGGAACCAGGACCAGGACCAGGACCAGGACCGGGCTAGGCATCGGCCGTTAGACCCCCCATGCTTGCTCTCAACTACTAAGTCGGTGGACGACATCCGTCCCTTTCTGCGAGCCGCCGTCCAGCGCAAGTGAGAGCACCGGGCGTGTAATGGCAGGAGTCATTTAATCGCCAACGGACCCCGAAAATGGTGGAGCGAATGGCATTGGCCGGCCCAGCTCGGACCGTGCCGCCGGAGAAGGTTGTTGGTAAGAGCTGCCGGAGGGAGCACGGCAGCTTTCGGGCGGGGACGGGGGACGGACTCGCCGATGGCCATCTGCCCTGGGTATGGAGATCGGACTGGATTGCCCCAGATCCCCTCGGCTGATCATGCCTCAGACGCCAGAGGGGGAATCATTAACCATCCGAGTGAACTCTGGCAACCCCCAAGCAGCACAAACCAAGAGCCATGTGGGCAGGGGTCTGTGAGTTTCCGACCCTGAATCGCCTACCTTACTTCCATGGCCTTGACAAAGAACCCTCCCTACTTTGCCTACTTATTCGCCTGCCTCTCTTGCTTAGGGGGAGGTAGGCTCGCGATGTGAAACGTTTCCTCGATATATGTTCTTTATTCCAGCCCGCCGCCAACGCACAGCGACCCTCATTTTGTGTTAGACGAAAACGTGGTGGCTTTGGCAAGCATGGACCAGGAAGCGGCTTGATGCCAGCCAACCGTTGCTTCAGGGGCGGGAAGGTGCATCTTCTAAATGCCACAAACCGGAGCCACGCTCCTTCTTACTGGACTGCCCGCGGCTGCAGGCCTGCATTTTCCGCCTGGCCGCCCTTTCTATTCTGTTTGCGGCCACCCGCCCTGGGCAAAGAGGCTGCCCGGTACATGCTGGCCTGGGGCTACCTAGCTTGGGTAAGGTAGATTGCCCGGATCGGGTATGAGGGTCGATGGCTGCTGGCACGCCCAGGAACGCCCAGCGCGGGAAGGCGCGGCTCCTGCTTCCTGCTCGATTGTCATATCACATTTGACATATGCTAACGTAGCTCTGCTGGCCAAGGTGCAGGTGCGATATGCTCCCCATGCTATGGGTACCTCGCCCCCCCAAAACAGAACGCGGACGGCACAAGTACTTCCTTCGGCAAGGCAAACACCAAACGCAGCTCGCATCTCCCAATTGCAACCTGTGCCGCCGTTTGGATGCGCCAAACGGTGGCAAGGCCAGACGACGGGAGGTGTGGGCAAGCTGGGGGCTGTCTGTTTGCGGGAGGCGCTATGGTGGCGTCGATGTCGTTTGTGCTCGGCTCGCTCCCGAGCCCTGCGGATGGATCTTGGGGCAGGGGAGACGGGGGCGGTCTGCCCGTCATCGTTTTGACAGTCAAGACATGGAAGTCAGGTCGTCTCGCTTGGATGCGTGGGGCGGACCGAGCCTCCACATACCACACACTACCTACACACTACCTATACACGACACGACACACCGCACCGCACCGCACCGCACCGCACAACCACATATCCTCGCCCTCCACTGCTTCTCGGCGCAGGGTCCTCGCACTGCGCGCGCACTGCGGCAAAACGACGGGAGACGTCACAACTCGAGCCAACAGTTCCCTGCCTCGCCTTGGGCCCTGCTCTCTTCTCAGCTGCACCACATCGATAGGACTGTCGGGGTCCGCCCTGGCGATCAGAGGACTTCCAAGGTTGGAGTACCTGCACTGTGCACTGAGGTGAGTGCATGAGGGTGCAAACACGGACACCTGAGCTCGCTTCGTGTTTGGCGCGAGGTTCCTGGTCCTTGTGTCCTCGCCTGTTTGACCACAGCCATGCAGGCCATCGCGGGCCCTGGCCAGGCGGATATGTGGTCAGGAACCGCTGGCTACGGTACGGGCCTGGCACATGTTCCCCCAGAGCCAAGCTCCCAGAATAGGCCTTCCTCACCGACATGTTGACGTGTCGTCCGGTTACATCATCCGCCGCCATGCTGTGGCCCTGCCCGGAAAACGCAGAAACGCACCAAGCCTGTCCGGCCCGCCCTTCCCATCCCGCCCATTCGCTCGATTCGCCGATGAGCTCTTAGCTGCGACGGTGTGACTGGGTGACAGCTTCGTCACTGTCCAAGGATAATAGCACCGAATGACCCCTGATCAGCAAGAGCACAGCGTCCGCGTCAGGATAGCTCCGCCGCCGTCGGCTGGAGATTGGGAGGCGGGCGGGCGGCTCTTCCCATGCCGGCAGCTCCATGGTGCCGGGCAGCAGGGAAACGAGAATATCAGACGAAGCACCTACTAATGCTAAGGTCGGGCAGCAACCACATGGTACAGGGCGTACAAACGCGACACTCTGTGCCGCGAGGGCTCCCTGCAGTGTGTGTCCCAGACACCACGAGGTGGCCGTCAATGCAGTCCCCTTAAGTGCGACCTCTTGCCTTCACTTGACTACTTCTTCCAGCTCTGCTTCTGGTCATGTCTCACTGCTTGGCAGGTTCACAACTGTGTGGAAAGCAAACACATGCTCCCGTCAAGCTGTGGCCTTTTCCTTATCATAGCACGAACATTTCCTCGATTCTCGCACCGCTGCCGTGGTGCTGGGTTGCGAGATGACCATGCCGACCCCCCTTCCTGCGGCCTTCCCGCCTATCATTGACATGAATACCACGACGCAACAGCCGCGGTCGGTGCGCCGGCGACTCGTCCATCTACTATCGAGACAATGGGATGGGCTACTGGCACTGGTCATTGTGGTGGTAGCCCAGCTGCTTATGGCGGGTATTCAGTACTTGCTAGACGGGAACCGCGTTGATCTCCCCCCTTCTATCCTCGCCATGGCCGTCGTCTTTATGGGATTCGCCGTTAGTGGCTACTTCCTTCCGGGCGTTGACAAGTTTTATCAACGACGGCTACGTTGTTCGGTAGGACCCGCCCCCCCACCTTGACGGGAGTCGGTCGTTCTGGTGCCTTGGTTGTGGTGCTAACCCGGCACAGGCCGATCTCCTGAACCGCCACATGTCCATTGGCTTCACCATACCATTTGTCATGATCTGCCGGAGCCCGCTCGCTGACGGCCGGACTATTGGGTTGATCGTTTTGTGCTTTGGTAGGTCAATATAACAACATGCCCTGGAGTCCTAGAACGGCTACTGACTCGCACCCTAGTTCTCACCGGCGTCTTAAATACGGTATTTTCATACTTCCTTGCTCTGCCGTTGCAGTGTATCATGGTACGCTGGGACAAACGCTCTAGTGACCACGCAGACCCTGGTGTAGGGGTTATAGACGGGCGACGAGGCCAAAAGCTTCGAGGGCCGATCAGGTCTATATGTGACGTTGCATCATTGGATAGCTGTTTAAAACCCAGCGCAGACGAGGCCAGCGAAGAGGCACAGCCTGAGGAGAAACATTCTGTGTCGCAACACGAAGAGAGTTCGCCCAGACACAATCGAGAGAACACCAAACGACCGCCCAGATGGAGCCAGAGCCGCCAATGGGCCCTGCGGAATCCGATGTTGATCATCTGCTGGCTTCTCACGACATTTGTTGGCATCCCTCTCCGATATGCTATCCATAATGATGCGGTTCTATCAACGTGCCTCCTATTCTCGATATGGCTGTCTTTCCTTGCCATTCAGGTCGGGATCAAATCGAGTCAGCGACTCCGCCCTTGGCTCCGCGCGCTTCTGTGCGGCATGTTCAATGCGGTTCTATGGACGTCCCTGGCGATGATCACCTATGTCTTTGTGGACGGCGCCATCAGCCATCGGTCGCTCCCCTCTATGCTGGACACTTTGCAGAGAAACATCACGTTCTCGACATTCTTCCTTCAAGCCGTCAGGGGTGACTCTCTCGGCCAGTCTATGGCTGCTGGAGACATTGCCCTGTCTATCCTCAATGCAGGCCTGGTGTCGTGGGGACTCAAGCTCTACGAATACCGGCAGCAGCTCCTCTCGCGTGCGGGACTCACAGTATTCACGGTTTCATCAGTTGTTGCGTTGGGCAACGTCGTATGCGGCCCGCTGCTGGCATACGTCGTGGGCTTGGGACCTGCAAGCCGGGATCTCGCTTTCGCTGCACGCAGCGTCACCCTTGCCCTCGGCAGCCCCGTCATGACTAGGCTCGGTGGTGACATCAGCCTCAATGCGACTATGGTGGTTATTAGTGGCATCGTGTACCAGATGGGTTTGGGCTTTGGTGTGGGTGTTTGGCTAGAGCAAAAGGTCATTTCAGTCTCACGTCGCCTTACCGCGACCAGAACTGGGGAGTCTCTCCAGCAACAGCAACAACATCAACAACATCAACAAGAGGTCTGTGCCGCCGCCGCCTCTCCCGCCGCTGGGCTGCAAGCTACCCCAGGCGCAACCACTACTACTTCTACCTCGTCGACCACGCCGCGCGTCGATTACGACACAGAGGCACAGCAAAAGTGTGCTGCCGCCGCAACAGTCGGGTCGGCCCGTGCCGGCAGTTGCAGCGCGGCCTTTCGCCGAGACACGGGCGACCCCTACCAAGTCGCCGCAGGGATTACCATCGGCATCAACGCCGCCGCAATGGGCACCGCCTACCTTTACGAAACGAAAAGCGACGACGCGCCGTTCGCTGCGCTGTCGATGATAGCGCTTGGGGTAATGACGGTGGTATTTTCCACCATCCAGCCAATTGCGCACTGGATCGTAGCAAAGGTCGCCACTGGAGACCTTGCCTGATCCGAATAATTACGAGTGAACAAAATCAGTTTTGTAATTTTTTGAGGCGTACATAGTTCGAAGCATGCAGAAGAAACGGGGGCAGGGAAAATAGTTTTCTTTTTTTCTTTTTTTTAATCTTTCTTTTACGATTTGAGACGGAATATATAGCCCAAGCTCCTAGGCTCCTGGAGAGTCGGGTGGGATCGGGCGGAATGGGAAATATGTCGGATAATGAGATGATGAGTTCGACGAGAAACGAGTGTTGGCGATGACGGAGGTTTCAGCTTGGCATTTATATACCCCTTCCAATTTTCTAGACGGACGGTCGAGCACCGGCTCCCGTGGTTGGTAAAAAAAAACAAACGGAGTTTTTTGCTATGCATCATTTCACACTACAGCGCTGAAAAAGGAGTTGTCGGGGAGTTCTAATTCTGTGAGACCCGAGTATTTTTTTTTTCCACAACACGGAGTACATGCCGAACAGCAATTCCTTGGCTGGAGTACGTACAGCGAAAAAATAAAACAGGAATGTAAGAAGAATAGCAGGAAGTCCGCCATTCTCTCTCGACTAGTATCGCTCCCATACACTGCTACGCTAAAGTTTGTCTCTCCCCGCACATAAACCCCCCTAGGCTAGCAACAGAGAGAGCTTCTCCAAAGGGATTCACGCCAGCCGCGGTTTGCCCCTTGTTGCCCTACCAACCCATCCGAAACTCGAGAAGTTACTGAGCTTCCTCGATAAAATTCCCGCTGTCCTTTCCTGTTTTGTTTCGGGCTATTTTGGTTTATTTTGTATTGTCCATTCACGAAATATTGAATCAAATGAGGTGGCTTCGCTGAAGGTGGTGGCGGTATTACTCGAGTCTGTGACGAGCAAGCAGAAGAGAAAGTTAGAGATATGAAGTCGAGGGGAGCAAGTTGGGGGAATGGATGTGGACCTCTCGATCAAGTGCAGCCCGCTGGCCGTGTCCACGACGCCTGAGATTTGCTCGGGCTTTAGCGCAAAAGCAGCCTCCTCAAACTCCTTTTGCATGTCTCCGGGCCCGAAATAGCCCAGGTCCCCCCGCTTGCGGGCACTGCTGCAGTCGGACTCGGTCAGCGCCAGCTCGCCTAGCGTGATCTCGCCGCTCTGGATGCGCTGCTCGTAGCCCTTGATGATGTCGAACGCCTCGTCTTTGGTGCGCGTGATCTCAGACTGGGGTTGCGGGGGTTTGTCAGCCATTGCCCACTGCTTACTCTCTCTGAGGGACATGCGCGCGCCCCTCACACCCGCCCAAGGCCGCGACGCGCGACTACTGCCGCTCGCTGCCGGTGCATGTTTACCTGTCTCCAGCTCGACGGCCGCCGGCTGTCCCTGTGCTTTACGAGCAGATGCGCCGCCCGGATCTTACCGGGCTGCGCCCCCTCCGTCACCAGGCTGCCGCTGTGGTACTTGGCCATGTACGCCTTGAGCTTGTCCACGTCCGTCTCCGGGGGCGGCTCCCATCGCGACACCTTCTCGCGGAAGTTGAAGTAGTACGGCAGGTTCTTGCTCTGGCTGTGGCGCACCTCCCAGTCCTCGGGCAGACCCGTCTCGAGTTGCTGATGGGGTTATTGTTAGTGTTTTTGTTGTCGCGCCTCTAGCGGGAAACAAGGCGGCGGCACGAGGTGGCTAGAGGCAGGAAGAGCCAGGCACAGGTAGAGGAACGCGGGGTGTGCATGTTAGACTCACGTCGCTCATGATTGATTGGTCGCAAGGGGAAGTTTAGTTTTGTTTCTGTGGAGTGGTTGATGATACCTCTCGGGAGCAGAGCGTCTGGAGGCAGGGCTGCAGGATGGCGTCGTGACACAAGATAGCAACCTGAATGCTGCTCAACTTCTCTCTGGGAACGTCTTGGGAAATGCGCGCCAGCCGGTAATGGATGGATCTGCAGCTATGGAACGATAGAAGACCGAAACGCACACAGACCGGAAATGTGCTAAGACCTCTCGGGCTATATGTAATCGCAGGCAGGGTGACGAAAGAGCAGGTGTGTTGGGTGTGATGGGACACCAGGTGGTGAAAGTGTAAGCTTTTTGACGGTAGCGGAGTGCGGGAAGACGGGGTTGAAGGGGGGGATGGTGGAGGGGGGGCACTCGGTTGCCAGGGCACGGATCTCCATTGCAGGCCATTCCCTGATGTTCACTGGCCAGCCCGCCCTCTGGCGCACAACGGCTTGCTCAAGGTGTGGCAGGCACTTTATGTACTGTGAATCACGCGGCCCCAAAGACAAGTCGCGCGTAACTCTTTGATACGGCAACTAGAATAGGGGCGTCGGTTTGTTGGGCCTTTTCGCTCCTAAACCCAACAGCTGCTACTACAGTACAACTGCGTTTCCCACGATGCGACAGCAGCACCAAGAGTGTGGAGTGCAGAGTGCATTATGGGGTATGCACACTAGGTCCATACCTACCTTGGTGTCTAAGGTATCCAATAAACTAAGCTAGATATACTTGCTTTCTAAGGGAACCCGGTAGAATGGTACTTAGGTATTTCGGGATCGGAAACTCGATCACTCTCGTCGCCTGACCTGGCCTTCCCACGTCATACGTGCAGAACAATACCCCTCAACTTGAAACCATCTGTTGGTGATAGCCTCTCGGCAGTCAGTTATTAGGATGAAGTGAATAAAATACTCGCTCACTATCCAATTAAGGAGGCCTAGGGAGAACCTCGCTCTTTGTCCAAGTCATCAAATAAGAGTGCACTCAGTCTTGACAATGTCCTTCTAGATCTTGGTAGGTTCAAGGCCCCAAGCATGCCTCCATCAAGTTCAACATTTTGTGGTCTTTCTCCGTAGGCCGCCTCAGCATTTATTACTCACCACTAATTCCCGGAAAATGTCAATATTTCCATGTTGATTCAGACAAACCTCAAATTCTGAAGTATTGTTTACTTAATTTTCACAATATTATCAGAACTTTCGGAGGTGCTGCCGTCTAGCCCTGTAGGCCAACTGGTGAGGGGTAGTTGAGGCGGATTGATAACCTTGGATACGGAGGCTACTAGCCGTAAATAGTTAGCCCCACACATTTGTGGGTCTGGGTTTTCGGCCCGCAGTAATTCACAGTCGGCTTCTTTCTCTTTCATCTTCCACACCACAATCGAGCCAGCTTACTTCTCGCGACCACATCTCACCACCAACGTCGCTGTCACCTCACGAGGTAAAACAAGGAATAACGAGATGCTGACGTCTACCAAACTAACTCGCATGTTTTCTCAGACTATTTCGACTCACTGCGAATTCGCCTGTCCCCCCTGGTTACCCCAAGCACCTCTTTCGCGATACCCTTTGCGCCGACCCCCAAACCCGCACTTCTCCAGCCCAAAACTCACGAAGTCCTCTAAAAATGTCCTCCCCGGCCAACTCCGCTTCGGGCGCCGATGGCGCAAAGAAACCCCTTGAGCAGATCACTTTCCGATTCTGCGCGGAGTGCAGCAATATGCTGTACCCGAAGGAGGACGAGGAGAGTCGCAAACTCCTTTTCACCTGTCGCACTTGCAACTACAACGAGGAAGCCACCTCAACGTGCATTTTTCGCAACATTTTGAACAACGCGGCTGGAGAGACCGCTGGTGTCACGCAGGATGTCGGATCTGACCCCACGGTTGGTCCCCCTTCCCTCCCCACTGACCAAAACGTGGCCGATGCCGGCCCTTTTTCTTGCGAGCGTTGCGGCTCGTTTGAAGATGGGGAAGAGGAGTAGTCTTGGGGATCTGTGGATTACGAGCTCCTCGAGAGCGACGCAAAGGCTCGGGAGAAAGTTGCTCTTGAGGAGGAGCACGCCGCTTCTGAGGAGCAGGGCTCCCCAAAGGAAGCGACCAAGAGCGAGCCTTAAATTCGTCATTACGCCCACGCGTCCGTTATCACCTGGAGTTGAACTTAAATGAGCGCTTACGGGAGAAGACTGGCTTCTCCCGATTTTGGATTTCGTGTTTGCTGACTTTGATCGACTCTCTAGCTACCAAGATCCAAGAACCAAACTTGCCCCTCGTGTGGCAATGACGAGGCCGTGTTTTTCCAGTCTCAGCAGCGGACATCGGAAACGGGAATGGTCAGTACCCCCATCTTCACTGCTCTATTCTGTGATTCTAACAGGTCATAGAAACTTTTTTACGTGTGCTGCGATTGCGGAAACATCTTTCAGTAAATTTTTGCATTAAAAACGGGGTTTGCTTCCTTGGGTGGCGTTGGGATTGGCGGCGTGATTTGGCCTGTTTTATATGAAGCGCATCACGGATCATAGCGCTCGGGAAAACGGCAGATTCTCACGATTCCTCAACTTTCAGGGGATCGGTATGGGGTTTTACTTCTTTCAACTTGTTTCGTACTCTAGCTTACACGACGATGGCTAACTCCGTCGCTGTACAATTCGTCACCAAATATGACATGCACATACCCTATTTCCAGACTCTCATGGTGTCTGCTCCATGTCATTAAAGTCTTTCGATTAGGGTTGCCAAAGGTGGAAATTGTCCCTTGGGCCATTCCGTACCCACAGCCATATCGACCGTTCAACCCGAGGCCTTGACGCATCTTCTTCTTGCAGTCTCGCTCATGGCATGCTCAGGCTTGCATGGGCGCCATGCTGAGGATCTTGCTCCATTTCTTGAGACGCAACTCTTGCCCGACTATCCCGTTGACGCGTGTTCCGACGGGGTCTCCAGCCTTGTTGATCAGGACGCAAGCATTGTCGTCGAACCGCACCACGCTCCCGTCCCTTCGCTGCACCTTCTGCTTCGTTCGCACGACAACGGCGTGCCGGATATCGCCGCGCTTGACTTTGGTAGCGGCGGAGAGGCCAGACATACCCGCGGCCTGGGCATTTCGTTGTTTCTGGACGACTGCGACTATCCGATCACCTGGCGCAAGAGAGAGGGGTAAGCTAGTGAACATTGCAGAGAGGCAAGCGACAAGACAGGCCACGCACCTATAGAAGCGTGTTTCTTCTGGCCGACAACCATAACACATTCCACCAGGGATGCGCCCGAGTTGTCGATGCAGGTCAGCATCGTCTGCGCGTCGGGGGAGTGTTGTGTCAGCTGGGGAGAGATCCAATGTCGCGAACCACGCAGGGCCTGTGGCGCACCTTTAATTGGATCATCTTGATAATCTCCTTCAGCTCAGGCACTTTGCCGGAGCTGATTTGTTCTTGGAATGGCGGTGGTTGCGTGAATTCGCAGCTACTCAAAGCTCCCAGTGCATCATTATCCAGCGCGTCTTTGCAGTGCTGTTGAGTCTCGAAAATTGCTGGCCCGCCTGAACGCCTCGTATTATGTCAGCAGCTCTTCTTCAGCTGCACCTGGTCCAATCGGGATTGTTCATGCGTGCGCTTTAGCTTGTATCAAAGTACCCCGCCCTCCAGCCAATTACAATGTCGGCGCAAGACCCACTCGAGCGTGGATGGAATCCTTTCCCCCGTGAACCTTGCGTCTCGCCTAGCCCCCCGATTTTCTCAAATAAGTGCAGCCTCGAATTTCAAGAGGATTCCCACGTTGGCAATAATCCAGCGCTGTCATTCCTTTGCTTTGTGGTGTGAATTCTGGCAGAGGCGCGTGGAGGCATGCCGCGTCACGTCTCTCCCCTCATTTCCTCCCTTTCTTCATCTAATCGTCCACTGAAGAAGCTTTTCTTCTTATAGGGACACTAAGGTACCCCTTTCTTGTCATCAGCTCAAAATCCAATCCCGACAGCCCTTCTTCCTTCTTGTTGTATCCCTGCAACCCTTCATCACCCCGCCAGCCAGAAATTGGAGCCCTCTGGACATGACGACAGCAAATACCTGACGGGTCGCTCTTTTCAATTGGGCTGCTGCATTGAAAGCTGAACGCAGGAAGAATCCACGACACCCTCTCTTTCTTGCAGCCCCCATTGACCATTCCGACTGCAGCCAGAGGCTGAGTTCTCACCACCACACCACCACCCCAACCGTCAGCCTGTCGCATTGTGTTGGCCCCAATTCCTTTCCAAAGTTGAATTGCTTGGACCCTCTCGGTCGCATGAAGCACGTCGCGCATCAGCGGCTAACCTTCGTCCATTCCTTCAATCTGCAACGTCGATTTAGCGCATCGCTCCTTTTTAGAGCTGCCTGCTAAGAATAGGCGGCTTTCATCCCTCCCAATTTCCCGTGGCTCCATTTCTCCCGTCCGTCGCCGTGGCTGTTCGACAATCTACCATCCGGCCAACTAGTCTTTCCTTAATAACTAAATAATACTCTGCCGACCGACCGCTATTAATCATGCCGCGAACGCCTGCGTCGGCTGCTAAAAAACAGCAGTTGACTCTTGGTCAACTGGCTGCCTACGATGACATCCTAACCGATGCGCTCGTTGACCACGTAAGTTTCCAATTCGGCTTGTGCCGCTGTGGCAGTCACAAACGGCGCCTCTCTCGTTGCGCTTGGGTAACTGACTGGGCTGCAGACTTTCTACTGGACGGTCATTCCGAAAAACCGAAACTCATACCACCCGTCGCGAGGGGTCAAAGAGGAAGAGATCACCAAGACGATCCAGGGGCACCTCATTCTCGATCCGGACCTCGCAACGGCCGAGGAGAAGCTGCTCGCGACTGCCGGCCTCAAAAAGTTCTTCAATGGCCTTAAATCGCCCAAGGAGAGAGAGGATTTTCGGGGGCATCTGCGACGGTACATGTCAATCTACCTGCCCGACTGCCCCTTCGAGGTCAACGCAACGAACCGGTACACGATTGTGACCAACGAGGCAAGCATCACGGCTCGCCGCTACATCAAGCGCAATGAGACGGTTAAATACCTCTCGGGGATCCAGGTGGTCATTAGCCCGGAGGAGGAGGCCGAGATGACGTCGCGGAAGAAGGACTTCAGCATAATTGTGAGCAGCAGGAGCAAATCCACCAGCTTGTTCATGGGCCCCGCCCGTTTTGCCAATCACGACTGCAACGCGAATGCCAGGCTTGTTACGAGAGGCCAGGGAGGGATTGAGATTATCGCATGCCGAGATATCGAAGTCGGAGAAGAAATAGCCGTTACGTACGGCGAGAGCTACTTCGGCGAGGATAATTGCGAGTGTCTATGCCAGACGTGCGAGAACAATTTGGCAAACGGCTGGACACAGGCCGACGGCAGTTTGTCCATCAAAACAAGCATCGAGGAGGACGGGTCGCAGGGTTACTCGCTCCGTCGACGGAGACGGGACGACAGTGTTGCGGGCGCCGGATCACGGACCCCGTCGGTCACACCCGACATCCGACCGCGTGTTCTAAAGCGGTACAAGAGCCAGGTGATGCTAGGCGACAGGGCATCGACAACAGACTCGGCTGGTCCCGGGCGATCCGAGCCCTCTAGTAACCTCCGAAAGCGAAATAGGGATATCACAGCACTTGGCACGCCGCCTATCACTCCATCAAAACGACAGAAAACTACTCTCTACGACATTGTCCCCATTCCCCTCGGGTCTGCCAATTCCAGGGGGAGCTCTGTGGCAGAGCTTAGTTGCAGTCCCTTCCCGTCCGAAGGCGGCCATGGCAACGTTACTGACGTCACGTCCCCTGGAGCGGAAAGTCCTGAACCTCTCGTTCTCTCACCCGACCCAACACCAATTAAGCGGGTGGCTGAGGTTCTCAAGCGAGAAGAGGGCGCATTCGAGATAGATGTTCAACGAATTCCTGAGGCTGCCTCGACTACTGCCGAATCTCAGGCCAGGCGCCTGGCAATTCTCCCGACAATAGAGGCGACAGCGCCGACAGATCAAAGCAACATGACAATCACCATAGCTTCATCCTCGTCCATTGTGTTTCAAGCAGCAAATTCGACATCTACAGTTCCCGCGGTGGGAGCTTCTCTTCAGGCTTCTGTGGCAGCTAGATCTAAAGCCTCCAGGAAATCCGTGATGAGTGTCACAGAGATGATTGACGCAAGCGATGTTACCATGATGGAGGTGACGCCCACAAAGCCTTCTCAGCAACATGGCCATATCGCCCCGGAAACACCGACATCAGCTGTGAAGTCGAGACAGGAGTCAGCCGGCCGAGAGTCATCACCAGCTCCCTCTCGCCGGTACCGCGTCCCCGGCGATTACACGCTCACGCCGCTGCTCCTCGCGGATCGGGAGACGGCTTGGATTCACTGCACAAACTGCAACACGGCATTCGTCCAGAAAGACGCCTATTACACCAGAGCAAATTGTCCTCGCTGTGAGCGGCATTCTAAACTGTACGGCTATATCTGGCCCAAGACACAGCCGGCAGGACGGGGTGACGAGGAGCGTATCCTTGACCACCGAGTCGTTAACCGCTTCTTGGGTCCGGAAGACGAGGCCAAGATCCGAGGAAGGCAATACTGGAAGGATAGATTGCTTACAGAGAAGGCATCCTCTCAGTCCCTAGCACAATACGCGGAGGAGAGATTCGAGGTGCGGGGCAGGAGCATGGCGAGGGAGGGTACGAGCGACCAGCACCGGAGCGTGGATGACGCTGCTGCCCTCGGGCTCCGACGCAGTGGTCGGGCTCGAAGAGCGAGCGCGAAAATCACGGCCGATTAATATGGGGTGGGGGAACTCGAATAATATGACGACCATCGCATGACCCATATCCAAGTGCGCCGCTTATTGGGTCATGACCAAACCTTCGCTTGGTGAGACATTCACCGGCGTTCCCTTCACATGGCATGTCAGCGAGGTGTTGAGGCTTATTTTTCTCGTTGGGCTGCCAATCACGGCATGCAGTACATTGTTTCCTCTTTTTATTTTTGGCGTTCAGCACAGCATGGCTGCGTCGCATTATCCAGCATGAGCATATCACTTTTTAGAGTTATCGCAAGGGTTTTGACCCTCGAGGGATGTCTCGTTAGTTGCATTGTACATTACTATAGCTTGCTTGTCCCTTGCGTCAGCGTCAACCGCGGCGTTCTTACGGGTCTGTATTATTTTAAATCCGAACTGTGACCGGAAATCTAATACCTTGCACATCGAGCTCAAAGTCTCCTTCGTAAGATTGGTCAAAGTGATCCAATTAGTGGTGTTACGGTCTTGAATATCCATGCATCTTCTATTCGATTTGTAGTGTTGAAGCGGCTCTTCACAAGGACGTAAAATTTGCCACCCCTGATTGTATTCCGTACGAAAGTCACCGAGTGGTCAAAGCTCCTGTGTCTGACAAGGCGGACGAAAGCCGCGCTGATTATTAGCTGCCGAGCTCAGCCTAGTTGCTAGCTTCCTCTAGCGGCTGCTGCTACCCCACAACAAGCATGCCTTTCGTCGTTCGCGGTCAATTGGTCAATTAGCATTCCATTAGATCTCCAGCAACGGCGCTCATCTTCAACTCCCACCAGCAACAAATTTAATATCCACGCAACAGCTCGAAGCCCCCAGCCCTTCATCCTTAACCTCTACCAACCTATCCGTACTACTTCAGCATCCTCATCGCCAAAATGGCCGACAGCTTTCGCGAAGAGATACTCGACGCGCAGGTCGGCACGGGCGCTGATGTGGAGATGGCCGAGGGCGCTGGCGGCAATGAAGACAAACTCAACAACTTCGAGCTCTCCTTCGCTGAAGGTAGTGGCGAGGATCCTCTGGCGCCGCGCGTAACCTTCCTACAGTACCTGACGAGTCCCATCATTACCCTTCTGGTTGGATCAAGCGACAACGAGACAATTCTCACGGCCCATCAAGGCCTGCTGACCCAAAGCCCATTCTTCTCCGTAGCCTGCGCCGAGTTTCTCGATGACGGAAGCGTAGGCCCCTTTCCTACTGGCTCTCGCTTGGATAGGTTGCTCTTGATGGTCGCGCGCATATTGACTTGACTCTCGGCGCGCATTCAGCCCCACCAGATTGAGCTTCCCAGCGAGGACTTTGACGCTATCGGCTGCTTCCTCGAGTTCCTCTACACGGGCGACTACTTCCCCCGCAAGATCCCCGGTCAGCGCACGCTCGAGAAGGATTCGTCGACTCCCGACGTCGATGCTACTGGCGACCAGCTTCTCAAGCACGCCAAGGTCTACACTCTGGCCGAGAAGTTTGGCCTCTCACAGCTCAAGAACCTGGCCTCGAGCAAGATCCACCTCGTCAACTCGACCGCCAAGGGCGAGATTGCATACGCGCGCTACGTCTACGAGTTCACCTCCAAAGACGACACATCAATCCGCACCTCCGTTGTCAACTTCTGGGCCACGCGTAGCCACACACTCCGCGCCGAGGCTGAGGAAGAGTTCCGCGGCCTGTGCTTGGAGTTCCCGCAATTCAGCTACGACATCCTCAGTAGGTGGATCGCTCAACGTCACTCTTGTCTTGACCGTTGCAAAGCTAAACGCTCGCCTAAACAGCTCGGGTCCTCAACGAAAAGCTCAAGCGCGAGCGCAACGAGAAAATGCACCTAGATATGCCCAGCAGCGCCCGCAAGCGCCCCCGCCACAGCAGCAGCGCCGCCGCCACTTAGGAGGAAGAAGAATATCAGCAGAAGAAGATCAAGACATAATGCGGCGCGGGCGATGCCAGGCTATCTTAGTGCCTTGTGTCAGACGGCATGTGGCTTTATAAGATGGACTGGCGTGGCGCATCCAGTCCGTCTTCGTCCAAGTCCAGCACCTCATCAACACGGGGAAAAGACGCCAGCTAGGGAGCGGAAAAGCAGTCGGAACAGGATTCTCGGACTTCCGAAATACACACGAAAGAAACGTTATGAATCAAATCTTTGGGTCCAGGTAGCTCTTCTTTCCTTTTTGCTTTAGGTTAGCTAGTCTTGCTTGTTTTTCATTCAGGTTTCCGGCTACTAAGCTTGCTAGCCGTGCACACTAAGTGCTGCAGACATGCAGCGCAGGTAGTCGCGGGCGCAAAGACTCGACCAAGCCCTCCCAAGAAACTAACGGATGGACGGACGGCTGATAGCGATAATGGGTTGGGATGATGATTAGGGCTAGGGAGTTTCGGGCGAACGAGCGGAGATAAACCGTCCAAAAAAATGGGGTGAACAGAGGACTGCACCCGATCTCGTCTCTTTTTTTTTTGTCCCCTTTTTTTCATTCCTTTCATCCTTAACTCTCTACCAGCCTATATTTCATACCCCCTGCTGCTTGCTAGTATACAGCTTAGCGTGGTCTCGACCGGAAAAGTTGCTTTTATGGACTTTGTTGTTTAGTTGTGCGTGTTGATTGTATTTGGGGCAGCGCGGTTGGGGCCACGCGTCTCGTGACGTCATGTCTTGTGGCGGACTCGTGATAAGGTGGCTGCTGCTGTGTGGTGGTGGGCTGTGGCCGGTGAGTTCGTCCGAGCGAGGCTTGTTAGATCACAAGTGTGTTCGTTAAAGAGAATGGGGGGAGGTTCGGGATGAATAGACGGGAACGTGAACGCGTCAGTTGCGAGTTCCGGGGTCTCTTACCAGCCGGTAGTTACGTTGTCTGTCTGGACTCTTGAGTGCTTGTCCGTTGCCGTACGCAAACAGTCTTGTGGATGAGTGCTAGGACAGGAGAGCAAAACGTGACACGGGCTGGGGTCATTCCCGCGACTTAGCAAGCAACGGGGAGGCGGGCAAGGCTCACAACTGGACGAGTTTGTGATTGCTCTCTTGATTGCAGCTCGCGAAAACAGACGGGCGTGGACACATGACAGGAATGGTTTGCGTTGGCGGGCATATTGACAGGTAGGCAGTCATGTTGACAACACAAGGCTCCGTGACAGATGATTAATTAGGCCCTGAATTTTTGTTTCTTCCTTCCTGTCTACCCCTTCCCCTTTGACAGGAACGCCAGTTTATCGAGGTTTTTGCTGTCCAAATGAACAACAGAGCCTCACGGCGATGACGTGGATGTTCCCCCGCGGCACTGTTGAATATCCTGACACTGTTTCTCTGTTCTGTGCGGCAAGATGTTTCGGTGACACTGTCGGGATCCTCTTCCATCCCTTCGGTGTGCTTCTTCTTGTGTGATCACAGACCACTCAAGTCTCGGATCAGCTTGCCGCCCTTATTGTCTTTTCTTGTTCTTCCAAACTGGGGCTGAGAGGATGTGTAGCCGTTACGGCGTTGCGGTAGGTCAATGGTTTGGTGAGGGAGGGTATCTACTGGGTTATCCTGTTTCGTGTGCTTTCGTGGCAATGCCAGTTCCGAGATGGCTGAGACTCGCGTCTTCCTGATTGATTTCATTCGAAGCCGGTTAGTATAAGATGGAGACGCAAGCCACCACAGACTCACATTGTGTCGGATCACGCACAGCGCCTCTTGAGTGAATGACTGAGGGGAGAAAGAGCCTTTTGTTTCTAGCCAGGCTGGGTGGGATGTGTCCCCACACCCTTCCATGTGGCTTTTTCGGTCGAAGCTGCTCAGGAGGAAACTGGGGTCCGAAGACATGCATAATGGTGTGGTCATCTTGCAGATATCGAGACTCTAGCTAGAAGCCGCCTGTTGCCCTTGTGTAACGAGGTGTGGCTCCTAATTAGAAACGGACCGATGTTGAACAGTCCGTCACGCTGCTTAACGAAAACAAACGGGGAAGATATCCGGTTACGGGTGAAAAGAGGAAAACCAGCCCGAAAACCACGTCGGATATGGAGACAGACACGTCGAGAGAGGCCATAGCCGGTATTGATTGGCCTGTACTAGGCGCTACTGAGGCAAGTTGGGAAGTACAGGACGAGGAGGTGCCTATGACCATTCACGATTATCGTTTCACCATGACCAAGCAGCTTTTGATGACTCCCATTGGCCCCAAAGCTCGGCATCCGAAGAAACTTGAAGGATATTTGTCAATAGCTTGTAGTCACGAAACGCGAGCCCATCCAGTGATCCAATCAGTAGCAAAATATCAGGGGCGCTGTGAGGTAAGCCTCCATTTCATGTCACAGCTCAGAATCACGTCACAGCTCGGAACTACTGTTTTCAGCGTACAAAACTAAGCTAGGCTTGACGATGTGTTCAAGCCATCGTCTATCACGCCAACATGTCCTGTAACTGCCCGTCTCACTCACGGGTGGTGCTGGCCCTGTGAAACCCCTTCGACGGCGGCTAGTTACCAAGGACAGCAATGCCACCGCTGAGAACCTAAGCCTCTGTTTGCATTTTACACGTGCAGGGTGGGTTATCTTAATCCGGCGGCCAGCGATGATGTCCTGCGAGTCACCCGAGCAACTCCAACCACGCTCGAAAGCTCTTCTTGCCCAAGTTGCTGTTTTCAGTGTAACTCAGAGTCAACGTTCACTTTCATGGACAGTTCTCGTCACCTCAAGGAAGCCAAGGAACGAAATCAGATATGGATCTCCGCCTATGCGAACCGCCGTGCGAACCGCCGTGCGAACCACAACATGGCCTGGTGGAGCACCAGACTGACCAGAGCCCCTGGCCGCTGCAGAGGAGAGGTGCAGCTAAGCTCGGAAACAAGCTGTGCCGACGGCTTGCTCCGTTCCGGTCGTTTGGCTGGTTCCAAAGGGGAAAATATTTGTGACTATCGTCTCGTGATTTCTCACTCGGACGGTCAGCTGAAAGCCACTCGGAGATAGGCCCTTGGCCTCTTCCTCGGCCTGAATTGTTCCGATGCGGGCAATGCTCGCCGAGCACTGCAGAGCCGCAAAAGTGTCCGAGGAGATGCGAGTTGCAGTTACTGATTGACGCCGCAAATCTCCTCAGCATAGTTTCTTTTCTCTATTCTTTCTTCTTGCGTGTGGCACCGTGGCTGTTCGGCTGGCCTCTGTGTGGGTGGTGGCCTGGTACCAGGGGCGGGGAGGGAAATAGGGCGGCTATCGCCATCTACGTCAGGACTGTCGCACCGTCTGCACACACCTTCACCTCTCTTGCAGACGCCAGCTTGGTTCCGCACCCACACAGCTGGCAGCTTATTCGATGTGTCGTGCATAAGTGACATCAGCTAGGCCCCCTTGGGCTGCAACTAGGGGCTGCAGCTGGGGGCTGCAACTGGCCGCCGTCTCAGTCTCAGCCTCGGACATGTTGTCGTGGCATATTGTGTGGCGTTCAAGAGGACAGGGAATGCTGTGCGTACAGTGCCTGTTCTAGTATATCCCATCTTCACCCCACAGAAGCTATGCAAAAGGCACAAGACATGATTGTTTCGATCTAGACGTACCAATGAAGGCTAGGCATCGAAGAAACAAATCTCCGCTTCCCTTGGGGGTTTTTTTGTTATTTTTGCAATTCGGTTTTTTGGCTGCAGTTGGCACTTGTGTCACCCTATTCCTATCCGATGAGCACAACCGCAGCAGCAAATGAGCATGCGCCTTTGACACCCGATGAGGAGCCCTGCCGGCGCCTCGTCGACTTACCCCGATGACTCTAGCTCCGCTCTTCCATTGATTTTTCCTTTTTCTTCTCTGACAGGCGCCGAAGCAGTACAAGATAACGACGGAACAATGATGGAATAATGACGGTATCCACTTGCCCGTCGAAGACGCCAACACCTATGGGCCGAAAAAAGGAGGTCTCCCAAGGAGCTGCAATCTCACCACCTGGTTACCTTGGCTAGCCTCGTGACTCGCATAGTGGAAGTGGAAGGTGAACTCTGATTGCTAGAGACGAGATAGAGCATTTCGACTGACGGGGTATCTAGTGACGTAGCAAGCACAAGCTAGTTGATTTGCTTACATGCTGTTTAATAGAGATTGGCGAGTTTTTGGTGAATATATAAAGACAAAGCCCCAGATAGCATCTTAATGAAAAACATATGCTGTAACCGCAAGCACACAGAGCAATAACTGAGGTCAGACTGCGCCGTCAAAAATGAGTGTAGATATTAAGTGATAGACGGTTATACATAGTTCGGGGGGCTCCTGTCTAAATATATTGGATACTCCCCGGCGTCAAGCGCCCCAAAAAAAGAAAAGTCCACCCGAGCTGGTCCGTTCCAGGCGCCACATATATGGTTTCTGCAAGTCGGATGTGTTTCCCAAAACCTCGGCCCTTTCGGAATTACCAATGAAGAAAAAATCTGCATCAACCTGACCGGCGACCAACGCGTGTGGAAGTGCCAAGAAGAGAATTCTGCAGGGGAGCAAGTGCTTGTCGGCCTTGGTCTCTCACTAGACCTGCACCTCTACAGCTAGTTGTCGCTATGAAGCGCCTGCTGCCCCAGAAATACCAAAAAAGAAACCCGCCCCCCCGCGGCATCCGAGAAGATCTAACACGCCAGCCTTGTTTTATCCTCTATAGCCGACTCTGCGAAGATCCCGAATCTTGGCCATCTCATCGTCCGCTAGTTGATTTTCAAAGGTTTAATGGTTAGCTCTGTATTCTCAAGCTGGCTCTCGAAAAGGGAGAACCGGCCAGTGCAAGTAGACCTAAACGAGGGAACGGGAAAACATGGATGGCCGAGGTGTTGGGGAGCTTACTCGGGGTCAATGGGTTAATACGGTATGCAACGACCTGGACCACGGACTCGCTGTTTTGGCCGACAACTCTGTAACCCTGACTGTCCATTCCAATCATGAGGACACACACCCTGTAAGTCCCCGGCGTCGAGATATTCAGACCACTAATGCCATGATACACCGGGATAGAGAGGGCGTTTGGTATCTGGAAAGCCGATCCCTGATTGTATGTCACACTGGCAAAATTGGGTGGGACATCCTGTCTATCAAGCGTCAGGAGGCATAGTTGAGCGACCAGGTTCGCATTGTAACTCGCATCCCCGCTATCTGGTTGAACCACGATTGGGAAATTCCAAGCTACGCCGGCCTGAATAGTAACAGGCGGCCTGACCGACATGTGAACCTCGACGGGAAATTCATAGTCGTCCATTTTTTGCTGAAGCAAGGCTGTAGTAGCCGTTAGGGACTCTTGAAGACTGGGGCGGGATGTTGTATTGAGCGATGCCTTGGGTTTTTGGGTACCAGGTCCAGAGGCGCCTTTGTCGTGGGCTGCTTGGCTGTGGAGGTTAAGTAGGAAGGAGGGTCGAGTCCAGAATATATATACACGAGAGAGTGGAGGCCGAGGATGGAGAACAAGGGAGAATGGCTCTTTGTTCATGTCCGGTTTCACTTGGAGGGTGTGATGGATGGACGTGGTGGGCGGACGTCCCGACCTCAATGTCATTCATTCTCAAGAGCGACTGGCCTGCCCAGTCAGGGGCTGTTGGTTCAATTGATTTGGAATTGGTTTTTTTTTGGAGCTGTTACCAGCCAGACAAATGTTGAGATGACAGAGTTAGTTGGTTCTGACTGCCACCGACAAACTATCCTCATCAGATGCGATATGCCCTTGAACCTTGGTGACAATTGCGTGTCAGATCTGTAATCTGCTGCGTTCCTGGCGGGTGACCTGCGGCTCTTGATCTGAGGACGTGGTGGTCTGTCTGTGAGCCCCTGACTGCTGGCCTCCCTTTGCTGGCAGAATGACCAGAAAGGATGCGGCTCTGCTCTACTGATTAGGAAGGGAACTTCATTCAAAGTAACTGCAACAAGATACAGGCACGTCCCTAGCATGGTTCTGGGAAGTTCAAGTAACAGCCATTGGGATGGAGGTCTCCTGTTGGTCGGGTCAGAACACCTACCATAGCTCTGATGGACAAATGAGTAATGGCTGTTATGGGATTGGCTACGGGTGGGTAGCAAGACCTCCTCGTAGCTTTTACTAATTATCATTGGATTAGAAGGCTGAATAGGTATCAAGGGAGCATCTAAAAAGGGGGAGGGTGTGCTTAATCGGTATCGAGGTGTATACAGCTGTGGCCGAACTAAGTAGTGAAGAGACACAAGCACCGAAAAAGAAAGTTTAACGCCACGGGAACACCACCCGTGTATTTTCATGCTACACGACACCTCACTGTCTTTGTAGAGTGTAGAATGCAAGAGCTATCGACTACGTGACCTGTCACGGACCTTGTCTCAACTTGGTGGCTGACTTGCACTGAGCTGCCAATAAGAGAAGGGCTGTGGGGTGCAAAATTGGGACGAAAAAGGATGAAAAGAATCACAGCAACTACAAACAAGTGTTCACACGAAGAGAGACCACCCCACGTAACCGGCGCCACGGTTCGGAAATTTTGGTGGCTTTTTCAGGGTCTTTTTGGTCTCGGCCCCGGATTTTTTCCCCGATGGGCAAACGACCCATGGGAGGTACAGATCAACGGTGACAAGGGGGTAAGAGACGGCAGCTAGGAGCCGCGATAGCGACCTAATGAGACGGGGCCCTGGAACAGTTCCCGCGGGTTGAGAAAAGTCATAAGACAGTGTGTAAGACAGATAGGTTCGGATCAAGGCTGCAGCAAAATATCTTCGCCCCTGCGGCCAAGCCAAGCCAAGCCAAAAAAAAAGGGGGGGAGGCCAGCCATACCCGCCAGATGTGATTCGCAATTGCTGCACGGCATGCGCCAACAAGCCCCCATCCTGCACGATAGATGGCATCGACCCAGATTCATAGCGTTACCGGTACAAATCATCGGACGCCAGGGTCCCCCCTGGTAGACACTGGTACGTCACTGGACGCGCTCGAGAGGGCGGCCTCCTGATCCCTGTCAGGCTGGCCGTTCTGCCATCTGAAGTCCTTCGACGGAGAGCTTCTCGACCACCGCCTGGGGTAGAAACAGCTCGCAGGGCGTTTAAGTCCTCTAGGCGACCTAGGTAGTCGATTTGACAGCTCAAATTGGCGTTCAGATAGCCTCAGTATGCATTTCGAAAATGTCTCGGGCGATCAAATATCTGCTTTTCGTTGTGCTGAAGTCACCTTCGTGACCTGTGCATGGGAGGAAGCGCCCCCCCCCCGTGTGCCATCCTATACAGTGTCGCACATGTCTTGCGCTCGTAAAACCGAGGAGCCATGACCGGCTGAGGATTGGTCAATGAGATGAAATTTGTCCGCAAGGCCTGCCGAAACTGATCGGACTCTCGAGCTAGCTTCTGCCAAGCCTGGACAGCAACACAGACCCGTCGCTCAATCGGGACAAATTTGCCGATGCTGCGGTTCAAACTGAGCCAGGGCGTGACGGACGGAGATTGAGCAGCCCGCCCACCCAGAACAAAACACCCAAGTGCCCATGGCTGGCTGTGGAAGGGGAGCTGTTACCTCGGGTCTCCTGGGGAAGAAACGGATGGGGGCCGGGGCAGGGCGGAACGCCGTCAGCGCTAGATTAGTGGGTAGCACGCTAAGCACCCAGGCACCGAGCCCTACAGCAGGACTGGCCTCTAATCCAACAACACCTCATCGTTCCTGCCTGCTGACAGGCCCTTCGGCAAACCGATGACGGGACCAAAACATGGGGAGCAGCCTATGGATTCTCGGAAGCTCGAACCTCCGTCCGCGCTGACTGCAGTGTGAAAGAGGCAGGCACGCAGTCGTTCCTTGCAAGCTCTCAAAGACGTCACCGTTCGGGACCCTGCAGCACGATCTTCCAGGCGGGCAACCAGCCCAAAATGGCACCCCCCCGCCTTCTCCACCCCTAAAACGGCAGTGGATGCGCTCGCTCGCTCACTGAGCCATCTACGGCGGTGACTGCCGGTATAAGGCAATAAGCAATGGCATCGGATATCTGTCCCACGTCTCTCTCTGGAGTGGCACACAATGCTTCCATTTACGGAAGCACACACGTAGTTGCACAGACTCGCCTGCTTCCGCAGTCCCGGAAACCACGAACATGCACCTGCGCAGCTGGATGAGGGAGCTGTGCACACTGAAAGAATATCACTGCCTGCCCCACCCCATCCGGGCTCTCTCTCGTCTTTCAAAATCCCCTTTTGCGAAATAAAGTTCCATTAACCCCATGTAAATACCGAAATAAGCACCAAACAACTGCGTCTGTTTCTGAAGATAGTACATACCAAGGCAACTCACTCATCTTGTTTGGTTCGCACATAGACTGCCAGTGGTGTTAGACGCCTATCCCCGACGCTCTTCTGGAGGGACAAGATGCTGTGGAGAACTTCACAAGCCCACTTCCCGAACGGCAATGGGGGTTCTGGAACACCTCTGTGCTGGCTGTCATTAAGATCGAGAAAAAGGTATCCGTGAAAAGAGAAACATTTACCAGGCCTATAACTCTCATTATGAGGTACACGAAACGTCTTGACCTCTCACCACCTGCGTGCCTGGCCAGAGCCTGTGCACACATTCGCCTTCACCTGTCTTTGCCGCCGTGGCGACGGTGATGTCTACAAGAGAAGCTTGGTCTGGAAAGTTCGTCACATCTTGATGGGGTTAGATTAAGGGGCTGTTTAACAATTAAATACCGTATGTAATCCTAATCTTCTGTAAACTGGAATAATAGCGAGAGAACAAGATGAATCGCTGAGTACTCGCACACACAGACAGAGTCTCTAACAACCCCCAACATCGTAATGAAAAGAAGAAACATGTAAATAAATGCTCAAAGTCCGCGTTGCACCAAGAAGCAAACATCCATAATAAGTAAATGGAAAAACGCCCAAATCCTCCCAACCATCGGGTCAACCTGCGTGTATGTTGACATGTAATAAAAAATGGCCCGCCTTTTTCTCACCTCTCTCAGCCAAGCCGCGTTATACAGTACTGCTCGGCAGTCATCGCTAAGCATAGCCTTGCCCAAAAACATACCCTTACACGTGCTTCAGGTACTTGAGCACCTTGTCCCTCTCTTCCACCGGCATCACACTCAGAATCTCCCGGACACCCTTCCACGCGGAACCCTCGGCGGGATCCTTGCTTGCAGTGGAGCCAAGGCGAATCAGGTCTCGCATCTCAGCCGCGATGGCATCAGCCTTGAGGCCCTCAACCTTGTCGTGGACCAGCTTGCGATTCTCCTCGTACCAGATCGCCACCTCGCGATCGCTCTTGTCAAAGTTTGCAACGCCACACCACGCCTCAAGGAGGTGGAGGTGACGAGTGCGAACCTGCGGTGTAGTTGGGGCTGCGGCCCCGGTCGTCTTGCTGTGAAGCCCAACCGCGGTTGTCGAAGCAGCGATGCGCCGGAGAATGTACTCTTCGTTGAGCCTTCTGCGAACACGCCAATAGAAGAAGCGGCGTGCATTTTGCCACTCCAAAACCTCGCGGATGACTCCCTTGGCCTTCATGCGGCCAGCGCGGTCGTGGAGGTCAGCGAATTGCACGCTGATCTGAGCATAGACGGGCAGAAGTTGCTGTTCACGGATGTTCATCTTCTTCTTAATCGCGTCAGAGTCCTCCTTAGACAGATTGGTGGCGCCCATCTGCTTCTTGAGAGCAGCATAGACGGGATCCAAGCGAACCATGGTCTCGAGTTGCTTGTCCTTGCGATACTTGATCCCGATGATGCCCTCCGGTTCGAGAACACCACCACGAGCCTCAACATCCGCGTACATCTCCATGGCCGTCGGGTTGATGGTGGGGTCGACAACGACCCATGAGCCACCACGAAGCTCGCCAAAGGGCGGGATGTAGATGAAGACGGGCTGCTCAAACTTGACGAGGGCATCGACGATGTAGGAGCCGTACTTGAGAACCTCGTTGTACATGTCGCGCTGGCCACCGGAGAACCCACGCCAGTTGGCAAGGATCATCAGCGGAAGCTGCTCACCGTAGTTGAAGTCATTGATAGCCTGAGCAGTCTTGAAGGCCGAGTTGGGATACCAGACACCGCCGGCTTCGTTCGACACCTGCTCAATAGAATCGGGGTTGGCAGGATCGGCAGGCGTGATGTTCTCGACGGACCGTGTCTCGACAGCGATGACACCCATGGGGATGCCTCCAAGTCGAGCACGGCCTACAACAACAGTGCGCGCCCATCCACCTAGCGTCTCGACGAACGAGTCCTTGTCGAAGAGACCGGGCTGGAAGCCGTCCTCATCATCCCTACCGCTAATCATCCATCTGACGTCATAGGGCTGTTTCTGAGGCGGCATATACATGACATCGCGGTCCCAGCTGTCAACGCTCGGGCTGATGGGAACCGGGTTGTTACGCTTGTCTGGCACAAATGACATCCACTCAACAATCTTCGACACGCCAGCAAAGTCATCGTTCGCAGTTAGATGGGATACACCGTTGCGGTACATGATCTGGGTGCCGCCGAGTTGAAGGTTCGAGGTATAAACCTCGCGACCCAGCAAATTGTTGAGCGCAGGCGCACCGGTGAGAATGATGGGCTGGCCCTCAATCTGGACAGCACGCTGGCCAAGACGAACAAGGTAGGCACCGATTCCTGATAGCAGTTAGCATACGTCCTCGGCTGACCAATATGTCTTTTGTTTCTCAAACTTACCGACGGAGCGGCAGGTGACGAGAGTACATGTGAAAATGTCGTTGTAGGCTCTGCTCGTCGCACCCGCGATGAGACCTGAGCCCCGCAAGCACTCAACGCCAAGGCCATCTTCGGCGCCGACGATCGTGACGATCTTATGGCGTCTCTCGCCGCCCTCGGTGATTTCTTCGGTGATGACACTTGTCTCAAAGCGTTTCTTGGCCGCATCGTCGAGGTAGAGATACTTGAAGCCGGCCTCAGGTTTGCTGGTATCATTCCAAGCGACGCTGAAGTGAGGCATCAATTCGTTGGCGAGACCCAGACGAGCACCGGAATTTGCCGAAAGATAGATGCGCGGGATACCAAGCTTGCGAGCCAGCTCAGTGCACTTGAAGAAGTAGTCATCTTCCTTAGGGCCGAATGAGCCGATGTTGTAAGTGATGTCGTTGGCAACGACAATGAACTTGCGGCCTTTCGGATACTCGGGGGTCTTAGCATTGATGAGCCAGCCAACCATTCCGCAGCTGTTGGTGCCAGGAAGACGTGACACCTCGGCCAGATTGTCCTGGTCGTCGAGAACGAGTTCATTGAACTCGATGCATTCGCCAACAGGCGGCTGCTTGTCTTGCAGAGTGGGATGCTTCTTGACGGCCTTGGCCCAGCTGTTTTGGATGGCCTGGCGGAAAAGTTCAGGGAAGTCGTAGACGAACTGAGTACCCATCAAGTGTGCCTTGTATCGCTTCGGCTGAAGCCAGTTCTTGGTTGCGTAAGGCGTCGACACAGGGAGCAGATGCATTGAGCCAATCTTTGTGGTGCCGCCAATCGACTGGAAGACCCACTCTCCCTTCTCAGACTTGCGTTCGACATACATCTCAACCTGGATAACAAACCCAGAGGTGTTGGTGATGATTACCCTAAGAGGATACGGCATGCCGGTGGCGGGGTCGGTGCAGATGATACGAATCTCGACCTGCGCGACGCGGAGGCGCCACGCACGAGAACCGAAACGATCAAGGAAGCCCTGGAGGGAGTGCTCAACCTCTTCTGGCTCCAACGGGAAGACTGGTGCGAAGTTGATGAACATGTGGTTGAGATCCGAGTTGTTGTTGCCGATGATCTCGAGAGCATCAAAGATATCATTAATGACTCGGTCAGCCTCCGAGATCAAGTATTCAGCCGTAGGAATATCATCACGAAGTCGGCCAGGACGGATGACTGCTCGCGTAAAATATCGCTTGTCCGTGTCCATGAGCTTGCCCACAGCCTCGTACACGTGAATGTTTTTATTTTCAGTGAAGACGGGCTTGACCTTGAACTTGGAGAGACGTCCCAGTTCGAGCTGAAAGGCAAGCGCTGGCTCAATGTGACGAATGCTGTCATCCTCAATGTACTCCGGCCCACGGAAAGTGTAGTAGAGAGGGTACGACCCGTCATTGCGGCCGCAGATGAAGGTCAGTCGACGGACGCGGCGAGCGAAGAGCTCGTCCTTGAACTGGTGCACGACGGGAAGAATATCCTTGAGGATTTCATCGTCACTTCGACCCTCAGCGTCGCGAATGGCAACGTTGACAACAGCCGAGAGCTCATCTAGGCTTTCTAGACGTGGTGTTGGCACCGCGGGGCGGCGCTTGCCATTGAGATCGGGGATGAGCCCACTAGCGCTCTTCTTGCGCAATCCTCCTGCCACAGGCAGCGTGTCGAGAGCCTTGGACAACAGCTCTTCAGCATCCTCAATGTACCTGCAAGGAACGATGACTCCCTTGCGGATAGGCTCTTCTTGTGTCTTTTGAGTCAGGTAGGACATATCGCTGATGGAGTGGATGCGCTTGAAGCTGTGGTCGACAGGGGTAGCCGGAGATGACGGGGCGGCAGACATGAGAGGCAGTCCATACTCTGACTGGCCAATCTTCCGCAGAGCAAAATCCCAAGACACGAAGGTCGGCGTGTCTGTCTCGTCGCAGTGGTACTCAATTTTTTTCAGGATGTAGGCTCGGTAGGCCCGGCGCACGTAGACCTCAGTGGCGGCCAAAGAAACCCAAGAGTCCTCATGGGCAAAGAAGGCGGTCAGGACATCAAATACCGTGTACTTCGAGTCGACAACCTCCTTGATAATCTCCAAGCTGGGCTCTCTGTGGTCCCAGCCCGTCTCGCCGTAGCGTGACTCGACAACAGAAGAGCGGAGGATGTGCTCCATTTGGGCCGTTCTCTCTTCGAGGGATGGGAGAGCGCATTGGATGAGGATCTCGCGAGCCTTCAGCGACACTTTTGCCGTCTGGCGAGACTCCAACTCGGCCATTTTGCGGAGCACGGGTCGAAGGGCTTTGGCAACGTTGCCCACATTTGGCTTGTTGGGGCGGTATTCCTCAAGAATAGCCAAAACAAGCGAGTTCTTTGCCGCGAGTCTGCTGTGGGACAGAACTGTGAGAACGACATTCTGGATGTCGTCCTTGTTCTCGTCACGGAGCTTGAGAATGACCTCCTCATCCTGCAATCTCCGGCCTGAGAAGAGATGCTCCACATCTGTGTAGGTCTTCAAGAGATCTGAGATCACCTGCAGCTCCCTGACCTTCTGGCCATCGGCGTAGAGGTCAAGCACCGTGGTGAGTGGTTCTAGGGTGGCCTTCAACAAGTCGGCGTCCGCTTTAGAGGCAATGTTGTCATCCAAAAATTTCTGGAACACCTTGGCCAAGTTTCGTGCAGGAAACTCAGCTTGCCTCTGCAGCGCACGATCGAGCACCTGGGTGAACTGCGCATCGAGCTTTTGAGGCATACGGGCGTGCAAGGCAGAGAACTGTGCAGAAAACTCGCTGTAGGGAAGCTTGGGGTCGCGGAGCACCTCGATGAGCTCCTTGAGCGTTGAAAGCATAATCACCTGGTTGTCAAAGCCCATGAAGATGTTCTTGAGTGTGTTGTACAGAACAGTGAACCTCTGGGATGGCTTGCTGCCCATGATAACTGGCGAACCAAACTCTGGGAGTTGTCCGATAAAGGACTGAGCCTGCTTGACACGACTGGGGTCGTCCAGTGCCAATATGCCGAGGATGTCTCCAGCCTCGAGTGTGGCGCCCGGCTGCTTGATAAGCTGTACAATACCATCCTCTTGAGCAATCAGAGGCATGTACATCTTCATAACCTCGACCTCGGCGAAGGTCTGGCCAGCCCTGACATGCGAGCCATTCTCTACCGAGTACTTGACAAGTTTGCCGGGAGAAGGTGTCCGTAACTGAGTCGGGTCGTTCTCCTGCTCAAGGAGACATGTCTTGCTGTCAACGGAGATTCGGGTTGCGGCAACTTCCTCTTTCCAGTAGACATTGTGGCTGCGGCCGTCAAGAAGGATCAAGAGGCCACCGTCACTGAGAGCACGGACGCCGACCGAGCACTTAGAGCCATTGATGAAGAGGTGATAGCTGTCGGGGCTCGAACGAGTCACAGTGAACTTATATCTGAAGCCTTCATAGATGAAGTCCACTGGGAAGACGGACTTGAGGATATCCTTGGAGGGGACTTGGCCCTTCTCAAGGCCAGCTCGGTACTCCGCCATGCATGCCTCGCTGGCAATGTGTCCCTTGGTCACAGCGCCGCAAACAACAGCAAGCATGGGGTCTGGCCGTTCTGCAGTGAGCTTGTTGGAGATCAACTCGTCGAGCCAGCCGGTAGTAATGGTATTGTCCTCGAAAGCCTCCGTCTCAAGAAGCTTGATCAGATACTCAACAGTCGTACGGAAGTCACCGCGGATGCTCAGTTCCTTGAGTGCAACGACCATGTGCTTCCGTGACGCAGCGCGATTCTCGCCGTAGGCAAAAATATGGCCAAACTGGGAGTCCGAAAAGCTGTGGATGCCACCTGCAGATCCGACAGAGAAGTAGCCCCAAACGTTTGAGCTGGAGCGGAAATTTAGGTCGTGGAGTACACCGTTAGACGGCTTGAACCCCTCACCAGGATCTTCGGAGGTAATGCGGCACGCAGTTGTGTGGCCTTTCGGCGTCGGCCGCCTCTGGGTCTTCTCGCTCGCTGGGTCCTTGAACTCAAAGTCGATTTCTGTTGCTGTTTTGGGATCAACGCCATACAGGAGCCTGATGTCCTTGATCCTGTGCAGGGGGAGACCCATCGCAACCTGGAGCTGGGCGGCGGGAAGGTTAACCCCGCTGACCATTTCAGTGGTTGGGTGCTCGACCTGCAGACGCGGGTTGAGTTCCAGGAAGTAGAACTTGTCGTCGGCGTGCGAATAAAGGTATTCCACAGTTCCGGCGGAGACGTAACCGACAAGCCTTCCAAGGCGGACAGCGGCGTTCTCCATGGCCTTGAAGGTGTTCGGTTTCGCAATTGTCACTGGTGCTTCTTCGATAATCTTCTGATGTCTCCGTTGCACCGAGCAATCTCTGCCGAAAAGAGAGATATTGTTCCCATATTGATCCGCAAGAAGCTGAACCTCCAAATGTCTCGCACTATCTGCCAGCTTCATAATGAAGATGGGAGACCCCGGGATCTCGCTAGCCGCGGCCTTATAAAGCTCCTCGAAGCCGTCTTCGCTGAGAACCTTGCGGATACCCTTGCCACCGCCGCCTTCAGAGGCCTTGACCATAACAGGGAAGCCAATTTCCTTGGCTTTCTGGAGGCCTTCTTCCCAAGACGTAACGCAGCCCTTGAGGTAGACATCGTCTGGAACCGTCACAATCCCATCTTCATCGACGGTAACCTTGTCGACGCCTGTCCCCGACCACGGGATGCAAGGAACGTCGGCGTGTTGAGCGACGATTGTAGAGGAGATCTTGTCGCCAAGGGACCGCATAGCCGAGCCTGGTGGGCCGATAAAGACAATCTTTTTTGGCGATGCAGCTAGCGACTCCGGGAGTTTCGGGTTTTCCGACGCATGACCCCTATTTGCAACCGATCAGTATGACCACTTCGAATTCGTGTTCCGCATCTCAAAATGCAAACTCACCATCCTGCCCAGACAGCATGTACGTCCATACGCTCAGCAACGTCGACAATAAGCTCGACGTTCGCGTAGTTGTGGTTATTGGTGCCGCCTGGTACTTCGACGTAGTGGTCTGCCATTCGAATGTAGTCGGCGTTCGCTTGCAGATCCTCTGGCGTGGCCATCACGGTGAATTTGATAGCCCGTTCGTCGCCGAATGTTTCGTAGGCCCATTTTCGCACAGATCGGATCTCTTTTACGGCGGCAATACCGTTGTTTGCAATTAAAACCTGCGGTTCGGAGAAGCTGTTAGCGGTTGTCCCGTTTTACCCAGAACACTGGGCGAAACTGGAGAGCATTCTTCTGGACGAGCAAATAATGAACTCACATTTGTGATCACGGTATGCCCATCGTTGTTGGCGACGAATTCCTTCACCTTGGAGGCAGGCGCGTTTTCCAGCTTGTTGCCACCGATGAAGTGCGCGGCCACCTTTCGCTTTTCGGCATATGACGCCTTGCCATTGATGCGGGGGACTGTGACACCATTTCGACTGCTACCGGAGCCATTGGCGGCACCGTGGCTGTCTGCGTCTCCCATGATTGCGGTTCTGAGAGTTTCGCAGGGGCGTGGTCGACAGAAAGTAGTTGCAGAGCGGGCTCTAGCAGCTTGTCATGTAATAGGGACCGCAACCGATCGACGCCCGGGCGGCAGCTGCACTGAGAGACGGCGACGGGGATTTACCGAATTCGGAACCCGATAAATCCTTTGGTGCAAAGCAGGCGTGCATGCAACGCACGGCTTACGGGAGCGCGTTTGGCTGGGCTATCGGCGAAGCTGCAGGTGATCCCCAACTGGCCGTCGATATCGCGTTGCTGAAGCTGGCAGCTTTTTGATGTCCTGTAAAGCTTCAGGGTAGGAAACAGGCAAGGTGTCCTGGCGAGCAAACTTGCCAAACCGAAGAGGCAGCAACCCGGGGTATCTCGGCAAGGGATGGATACCCGTCACGACTTCGTTTAATCGACTAGAATGCAAACCCCGTAGCGCGAAAGCAAATCTACAAGAAGGGAAAGCGTTGATCGGGGGCGTATGCTACGCAAGGAGTCATGTGGGGAGAGGGGGAGAAAAGAGGAAAAGAAGTATCCCAGAACACCGGAGGAGGGATGAGTAGAAGTCGTCGGGTAGATGAAGGGTAATGTTGAGTTCGGGCAAGGCGCTTGTAAAAACCATGAAGCTGGTGAGCTGGTGGGGACTGGGGTCCTGGGCCAAATTGTCTCCGAATGCATGCCAAAAAAAGTTCGACCGCCGCTGCTCCGCGCTGCACCCTACCGTTGCTCCAGGGCCCTTTGCTGTGTAAACTGGGAAGTCCCATGCGCTTTCCCGCGACTCCCCCAAACCCGACTGCCAAGGGGGTGTGTGTTAATATTCCCGAGCACCGTCCCCGAACTAAACGGATAGGAAAACAGTATTTCTAGATAAACGAACACGCGCTATATCTAATAGAGACCGTAATAGCCCTCTTGAATCATCACTCTACTGTGTAGCACATATCACTTTGACATGGCCTAGGTCTAGACCAATTTGCAACTGGAGCACCGAGGCCTGCAACAGTATCTTGGCTATATCAAGAATATCGGTTGATAAACCAGTCGATAATCAATGTTATTGAAATAATTGTCCACGGTTTTGGTCACGGCATGGCGATTTGCGCTTCTTGGCTGGCATTTCGGGGAATACTGATTTAGATCTCGGTGAGGTCACAAAAGTCAGATCCACAGTCTCTTTACTCGGATCTTACTTTGTCGGTCTTGCGCCCCACAACGCGCCGCCATTTTCAAGATTGCGACCATTTGCATCGAAGGCAGGCGCGAATTGAGCCGGCCGAAGCGAATTAAGCCAATTGAGCCAACCAGGATGCCCGGTGGCGGGTGTTGGGGAAGCCCCCAAATCCTCAAGTGCGCCTGCCGACCACCAAATCATCCACCCAGACCCAAGCGAAAAACGTCAGCTTGCAGATTGCCTTTGAGGCCCCACTGATATCAGCCCGGCCGTCGGGCAGGTACCCCCGTCAGTACACCACCTCGAGATGCTTCACGGTCCGACAAACACCGACATCGAGCAAGCGACAGCGGGATCGACGTGGCCTCTGTCTGCCCTGCGTACGAGTCTTGTTTTGAGGCATTATTTGCAGCCGTCTGGAACGGACCTGAAAGCCAATATTCTACGAGATATGCATGGAACTCTTCCATGCTATTCCAGGCACCATAGTCTAGCCAGTGATAGGTCCCCAATCGGATATTACCCATCTTGGGTAGGCCGGCCTAGCTCTCAGAGGCTCAGAGGGTCACACAGTGGGGAAATTCTACTTCCCGCCTTCTCGGACTCCGATTGTGTGAACTGCGGTTGTGGCATCTGATACTTTTTACTGAAGCCTTGTCGCTGTCGAGGATGCATGTGTACCAAGCTGTCGAGGAGATGACTGTAAGTACATACATACTAAGTACTGTGCCACTGCACTAGCTCAGGCGGTCGTGTACCTTAATGCATTGCCCATCCTCACGTTCTAAACACAAAATCTGTGTTTCAAGGCGGTGTTGACGCCGGCGAACTTCTTGCACGAGTCATCGTCGGCTGGGCGGACGGTACCCTGAGCTGAACAGGACACTAACATGTGTGTAAGGGCCCTCAACAACATGCTGCGCCAGTTCAACCTTTTTTTCCCCGTCGCGTCAGTCGCGGGCCACCAGTCCATGGTTGGTCTAGCGGCCCGGGAAACAGTGCACATTCCATTTTAATGGATACTCGCACATCCATGCCGTGCTTTCTACACGTTGTCTCGCAGATAACGAAGCGAACCTAAAGACGGGCATGGCAGTTGGAGAATGGAATGCGGCAAAGTAAGAAATAAATCTTCTCAGTTCCCTTTGAGGAGATTGTTGGCTTTAACATGCCCAACAGTCGAAGGCTTCGAGCGGAAACCCGAGTGGTGTCAAGCCAAGTGCCGAATCGAGATTTCAGTACTGTACTAGACTGACCCCAATTTGTTGGGTTTCTGCAGTGGGGAGGCGCCCCAGCTTCGATGGCAATTCCCCCGACGATCGACATGGGAAAGAAAAAAAGACAAGCCGTTAGCGCAAGGGGAACCGGACCCGCAGATCCCCAACAGCTTGTCCGCGGACGCCCGAGCACTCTCCAGGTTTGGGACGCTTTGGAACTGGCTTTTCCTGTTTCGGAGGCGCATTTTCCCCCTTCTCGCCAACATGAATCCCGGCCCAGCTTGAGGCTCGAGATTGAACTGACTCGCCTTCTCAGAACTCAGGAGTCAAGAAACACAATGCATCCGGAATCTTGTCCGTACCGCATCGCGCCGCGCTGCACTGCACTACACTGCACTGCGCCGAACTATACTCTGCAAAGATGCAAAGTACAAAGGAGAAAAGGGCCTAGTTCCCGGAACAGTGAGCATACACCTGGTTTTGTTCCGGACGGATCCGTAAGCGGTAACACCCGCATGCCGGAGACGTGAAGTCCAAAAAGTCCACCTGCACAATCCCCATGTAACCACACTTGCCGGGACTGGGAAGCTCACCGCAAGCAAGCGCGCCGTCCCGCCGCCGGCGTCATCGCCAGGGATCAGTGTCAGCTCTACACCGAGCAATACTCCGTAGAACACTTTCTGCTCTGTGGCCGGCGATGTCCCTTGCCACATTCCGCGCTTTCTGACGGAGGGATCCATCCGTACATCATGTTTCTTTTTTGTAGCCTCGGACCAAAGCAATAGCGATAGGCCGGAGTCCAAACATCCAGAGACAAGATGAGACGACGACGACGACAATTCCACCAGCTCATTGTGCTAGGCACCGGAGACCTGAAAACCTGCGCAAATTCTTATGCGGACAGAACAGAACCTTCATCCCACCGATCCTCTGCGAGACTCATCTTGGGCACCAGTGTACTGTATCTCTCCCGCCCCATGTCACCAGACGCCCATGCAGTCATTGCATGCTTCCTGTACGCAACCGTACCTACATACCCGGCTCCCGGATCCAGAGCGTTGTGGTGAGGTGTGAAGAACAGAGTATATCATCCACGTGTAATCACTTTCTTGCCCTGCCCATTCAAGAAAGCAGCCAGGCACGCAGGCAAGCAAGCAACAGCCCCCTTTCGGCTGGGAGGTTCCGATCGAGCTTCCCCGGATTTGCTGCCCCACTTACCGAACCTTTTTTCTCGTCCCGCCGCGATTTGACGTGAGAATCGTACGATTTTCTCTTGACCTGGCCTCGACCAGGCTAGAAGGTCGGAAAAGAAGGGGGAGGAGGGGCTGAGCACGTTGCAGAATGAATGACAGCAAAGCAGCTCGATCCAATGCAGAAAGGCACGCTCCCCATTCATGTACAATAAATACATAGCGTATTTCCGAGAGCGCGTATTGTACGTCCGCCACCTCCCGCCGCCATCCGGCGCATGGGATGTGCTGCCGGCTACCGAGAGACGCACACAGAGCACACATGCACGCCGGACACTGCTTAGGAATACCGATATAAACAAGGTACGTGTTGGGTATCAAGTCATGTATCATTCTCCTCTCCCTCCCGATCACCGGCTCCCTCTCAGTCACCAATCCATCCACAGCAGCCAGAAAATTAAGCTCGAGCTTCCAATGTTCCCCGCCCCCGTGCCATGCCCTCCCCATCCAAGAAGGCACCAAGTTAAGATAGCAAGTGGCGATCCGGAGTGGAGGAGGTAGGTAGTAGTAAACAGATATGTAATAATAGCCGGCCCTTGCACAAGGACACGGTATGTGTGAGCCCGCACGCAAGGGACGACATGAACAAAAAAGGAGAATAAAAGAAAAGAAAATAGTAGAAGGAATGGGTAGGTAGTGTAGTCCGCCTCACAGCCCCTGATCTTCTTCTCTACCAAGCTTGTACACACAGCACAACGCAACACACACACACGAACGTCCGTCTCCCTGAACAAAGTCATCATAACAAAACACCCTAGCTCCAATTCCCGGAAAAAAACAATAAAAAAAACTAAAGAATGCATCAAGAGGTATTTCGTTTCACAGGACAACAAAAAAACCCCAGCCAGGTTAAGCCCCCCACCCCCTCCCTGCCTTGCCTTCCGTCTCCATTGTACGTATCCCACAGGCGGTGCGCCAAAACCCCCTCCCAATAAAAAGTGAACCAAGGGCAGACCAGAAAAACGACAAAGCATGTTGGGGAAAAAAAACACCTTCACCGTCGCTGGCTTCAAGACTAAGAAGGAAGGAAAGTTTAAAGTAAGAAAGGCCTTTCAACGCGGGATTAAAAAATATAGAAAAAAAAGAAAGAAAGTCTAATAAGTGCTTTTCTTTTTTTTAGTACGTCTCCCCGACGTCCGCGAGCCTTTTCGCCGGGCCGGCGCTTGAGCTTGTCCTCCTGGATGCCCCACCGCCTCCTCCACCGCCGCCGCCACCTCCTCCACCACTTTGCCTCCTCGCGCCGCTGCTGCTGGGCATGGGGATTCCGCTGGGGACCGGGATGCCGCTAGCACCCAGGGCTGCCGCGGCGGCGGCGTCTAGCTCGAGGCGGCTGTAGGTGCTGCGCCTGCTAGGGGTGCGGAGGTCGCCGCCGTCCTCGGTTAGCTGCTCGTCGACCTCGGCGGTGCTGTAGCTGACGCTCTGGCTGTGTCCGTGCCCGTGCAGGCTGCCGCCGAGGCTGCTCCTGGGCCGCCCGAGGGGTGTCCGCGCGCCGCCAAGACTGGTGCGGCTCATGGGCCGCGGCGGTGGCATGATGTTGCTGCCGCCCGTAGTGTGCGAGTCGGTCCTGCTGGCTGGCCGCGCGTAGCTCGAGACGCTAGCTCGGCTGCTGGGCCGCGACATGTCCGAATCGGCTGTGGTGCTCCCGCCGCCTCCGGGGTTGCGGTTGGGCAGCGGCCCAAACGACAGCCGCGACACCCCCGACGTACTAAGCCGGGGAACGTGCTTGCTGGTGGAGCTGCTCGACGAAATACTGCTGCGGAAGTCGGAGTGGTTGGTGCTGTAGTGGCTTGTAGGTGTCGCGTCATCCGTCGCCACACCAGATGTTGTAGACCCCACGGTGCGCTTGCGGCCGCGGATAGTAACCGTAGACGGAATGTTTACCGACGATCGGGGTGACGCGCGCGGCGGTGTGTTGACCGGCGCGGGGAGCTTTGACCGAGCAGATTGCACGCGGGCCTCGAGGCGCTGCATCTGGGCCGTGAGCGTGCGGATGTGCGTGAGCGACGTCGAGGGAGGGATCTTGTGTGATGTCGCGCGCGCTGACGGCTTGGCCGCCACGGACCGCGGCGCCGGTGTCCGGAACGCGTTTGCCGTCGTGGCAATGCGGTTGCCCGGAGCGCGCGCAGAGTTAAACTGTTTCGGCTTAGGAGTGACGCTGTTATCTGCTGAGGGGAGGCGGGGTTTCCGTTGTGCTGTTGATGCGGGTGTCTTTACAGCAACAGGTGGTTTTGGCATAGGCACCGAGGACGCGTCGGACATGGGCGGCGAAGGGGGGTCCTGGAGTTCGGAAATCGTTCCTGGGGTAGATATTGACTTGGTGTCTGGCGGGGTCGTAATCATGGGCGAGCTTGCTGTTGAGTTCGGAGAGTGGTCGAACGAGGGCGATTCGAGGATAGAGAGGTCCGTTGATATGGCGGAGAGATGGCGGGACTCCTGTTTCCTGATCTTGTCTTGGAGGATCTCGGCCTCAATCTTGAGATCTCCCAGCTCCTCGCGCAGCCGTTGTGTCTCGACTCGCAGGTGCTCTCTCTCTTGCTCGCCGATCTTGATCTCTTCCTCCATCATGACAGCCCGCTCGATCGCGACATTGTATTTGGATTCGAGGTCCTCGAGCGACGACGTCGTGGTCCGCGCCTGGCGCTCAAAGTCATCGTTGGCAACCTCGATATCGCGAAGTTTGAGTTGAAGAGTCCGGTTCGAGTCGCGCAGCGTTGTCACCTCCTTCTCAAGGAGACTCTGCGCCGCGTTTGCCTCGGATTTTGCTTCCCTGTATTTCCTCTGTAGCGGGTCCGTGGGTTAGCTTGACCGCCTCGCGAGCAGAGGGCGGGGGCGGGGAGTGCGATATGGCGATATGGCGATACAGGAGAATGAGAGAACGGGACATACCTTCCACTCTTCAACCTCGTAGCCGAGTCCTTCGGCCTTTTCTTGCAGTGACCGCTCCCGCTTGTCGGCCGCGTCGAGGTCCCTTTCGAGCTCGGCTTCTAGCTCCTTGCTGGAGGCCTGAAATTCCGAGAGCTCGTGCTCGAGATATTCGTATTGCGACTTGTACCATGCCAGAGAATCCTCGGCGCTGGCTTCGGCGCTGGGTGGCGACGATGGTGGTTCGGCCATTTGGCTTATTTACTTTTGGGCTCGCTGGTCGGCGCGATGTCGCATGTGACTGTTGTGGCAGGGAAGAAAACGGGTCGGAAGGAATGTCGAAGGTCGGCGGCGCAACAAAAGAAAATGCAAGTCGTGCGTCGTTATCGTAAGGCGGACAAGAGGTTTAATGCGAAATTATTAGGTATTATGGGGTTCGTGTCGTGGGCCGTTCGTAGCTTCTCGCGATGCGATGATCTGCTTCGAGTCAGGTCAACAGCCCGCGAAATTGGGGCGTGGTGAGGGGAGCCGCATACTCGACATGCGTCGCCGGATTGCGCGTCAAAAATGCAAGTCCGGGAATGGTGTCGCGCGTCGTTCGGTTGTCGGCGGAGTCGTGTGTGTCGGTGTCGGCGGCCGTCTTGCCTACCTTGGGCGGCCGTTGTCGTCGTCGTTGCCGATCGGGTGTCGTCGATGTTGGGGGAAGGAAGGCCCTCCTCGCCAGGTGGTTGAGGGTGTTTTCCTTGGCGCTCGTTTGTGTCTCCCCTTGCCGTCGCATGGCGCTAAAAATCAACCTGGCAACCGTGCGCTGGTGGGGCAGCCAGCCTAACTTGCGGACAACTCTGGACGTATCCACCAATTCTGCAGAAACAAACCGTGACGGAACATGGAGCAATCCTTTTCATTGTTCTCGTGCATCAAAAAGTAATTTATTGGCAAGCCGTAGGGCTATAAATGAGTTCTGGTGCCACGCGACCGACTGAACTCCCGCAAGTCAGCCCCACTGTTCCTCAGCGCATCACACGTCCTGATGCCAAGGCCAGGCCAAAGCAGAGAGAAACAAATGCTGAGGTTGGTCTTTGGATGAGATGAGCATTCATGTGGCATTTCGGGTATTTGTCTCTCTACCCCTTGCAGCTCAGTTTGCCAGCCTCTCAAGCACATATTCTTTATTACGGCCAGTGAAAGGAACTGCCAGCACCCCTCTCCCTCAGCGTCACCTTTCCGACGGCTTCTGGAGGCTGCGAGTTCTCGTTTGGGCCGCGGAGGCACGGGATGGCCAACCACGAGATGGCCAACCACGAGATGGCCAACCACACGATGCAGCTGTTGGTCCCCGCACTGCGTTTGATCTGAAACGGACGTCGAATTTGCCAAAACTTGTCGTTTTTCCACTTCAATGCTTACCACGCGTGCCATCAATCTGGGGCCCCCTTCTGGATTTTGGCCTTGCGCTGCATCTGCCCATCGCCAATCGCGTGTGGCGGGCGGTCCGCGTATCGTGCATCAATATTGCCAAGACATGACGTATCCCCGTTATTCTATTTTGAGATAGTTCCCACCCGGCTTGTTCGGTTCGCCCACTATGCAATAATTGCTTATCTTGGGTGATTATTGTAAGATACCTACTCAGGCACCACAAGAAACCTAAAGCCGACTTCATAATGGTGGTATGTTTTGTGCTATCGACAATGAATATCTCAAAATCATATCGTTAAAATCGACCAGCCTCGATTGCCATTCTACCTGGGCAACCTGGGTTGCTTAACTCAGAGAGTTCTTAAAACCGCAATGTGCCAAAGACGTGACGGTTGCTGTGCTCGTATGAATCTGGAGTGAAGAGACCCAAACCACTGGCTGAGTTGATCCTCAACCTTCAACTTTGCATACAAAAATTGTTAGGTGAAAACCAATACGCGGAACCAGTCCCCATTTTAAGGGCTAAATAATGGAAGAACCACGGCATGACGTCTCGGATGCTTCAAGTGACACTATTGATCTAAATCAACTGCAGCATATTGAATCTGTCACGTTTGTTGCCATGTCATCATCCATAATCCATGTTTAACTTCAACAAAGACAACATCAAAGTCTATCTAAAAGACTTGGTACTTTATCACCTTGATAGAGAGGTAAATCAACAATGGCCCTTACATATTAACCAAAATCTTTCGAAACGTCAAGTCTAGGTCATAACCCCGAGTAAAAAATACACCCATTTCTACAAGTAACTCCTACCCACTCAAAGCTTCCCCCACCGTAACCTCAGAACCAGCAAGATATAAGCGCCGATAATCTTAAAGAACTGCCACCAGGTCCCCTGGCCATAGATGCCGAGCACCCTGCTGCCCATCCAGATCTTCCTCCCCCACGTCAGCACCTCGCGCTCCCACTCTTGAAGTGTCTTGTCGCCGTCCCACACCTTTTCGAGACCTAGACAGTGGCGCGCGGCCTGCTCGGTCGCGAGCGCCAGGTGCGGGCGGAACGTGGCGAGCGCGTCGCCGACCAGCACGACGCGGCCACCACAATAAGTGGCCCGCTCGGTGAAGACGTCGTTGACTTTTGTCACGAAGGGCGTCTTGGCTCTCGAGATGAGCTCCGCGAACGGCGCTGCCACCGCCGGCAGCGCCGAAGCCAGGTGCCTCTTCCATACTGCCGGCTGCACGAGCCCCACGGGCACCGTGTTCGCGTGCCGGTGCCCGTGGATGTCCGTCAGTGCCTCCTCCAGCTCTGTCGACCCTTCCTCGTAGTTAAAGTACCACACGAAGTTGATGAGGCGGTCCTCCCCGCCCGCGTCGCCCGGGATGGTGTATCTGATCAGGGTGTCAATACGTATGCAGGAGGGTTTCCGGCCGCCCGTGACTTACCCGACAATGTAGTTGCGCTTGAGAAAGTCGAGCGTGGCATTATTCTTGAAATACGCGGCCGTGCGCGGCGGCAGGTCCTTCTCCGGCACCGTGCCGCGCCACGACACGTAGCCTGAATATTCCTTGGCGGTAGGAGTGTTGACGAGGCCGCGCACGGTCGAGTGCACGCCGTCGGCGGCGAGCACGAGGTCCGCTGTGACCGACTCCTCACCCCCATCGCCGTCGCGGCTCACATAGCGCACCGTCACGAAGCCGGCGCGCTCGTCGTACGCGAGCCCCGTCACGCGCTTGCCGGCGCGGTACTCGGCGGTGCCGTCGCCGGCGCGCGGCGGCGGCGGGCTCGGCACGGCCTTGGACGCGGTGCCGTCGAAGTTGGCCCGCAGGATGCGGTACAGCAGCACCCACGACGACAGGTGGCGCACCAAGTTGACCGTCTTGAGGTCCTCGCGCTTGCGGAAGGCGATGCGCGTCGCCGCCGCCGACGCGTGGCTGGCGACGCCCGTGTCGTCGTACTTGTCGAGCAGCTCCCCCACCCCCGGCCCGTACGCGATGCCGGCCTCGTGCCCGCTGCGCATCGTGCTCTGGTCCTGCTCTAGTACTACGACGTTGCTCCCGCGCCGCTTGAGGCTCAGCCCGTGCAGCAGCCCCGCGAGCGAGCCGCCGATCTGTGTTCATTTAGGTGAGCTTGGGGAGCTTGGTTGGGGTTTCTTTCTGTCTGGGCGAACTTACGATGACGACTGACTTTGGCTGGCTTGCCATTCTCAGGGCTTTGTCGGTTTCGCTTGTGGCCTCGATGGGATTGATCTGGCGTGGCGGTGATTGAGAGAGGCAGATGATGATTTTCAGGAGCCAAGGAATCAGGAACGCCAAGGTGAGGGAACGATCCCAACCCCGGGGGGGCCTGCTGGTCCCATCTCATAAGGATGGATTGATTAGTGAGTACCGACGAGCCCGAGCAAGACCCGCTCAAGTCCACATCCTTCCTAATGCGCTCCTGCCAACCTCTGTAGGGCTTATTGTTCTTCATTTGAGCATGTACGCCACCGCGTCTCACGTCCCTTCGTCAGGGGTACGAAAGAAGTGGGACCACCACCAGGGTGCGTCGGGGACTTTTTCTCCATGACCTCGCAGGATCCCACGTCATCTTCATCAGCCGCCAACTGCTACGTCGAATTTTGCGCATTGCTCGTTTCTCTCCCTTGATGATTAGACCTAGGTCCAAGGAACGCGTCCGCGTTGAATAGGAGATAGGTGGAGTGGAATCTTCAAGGTACGATTAGCTGGCTATTGTATATGTATGTGCTATACGAGCACTTAAATGATGACAATAGTGACCACCCTCCATTCGGAATTTGAAACTCGAGCCTCTTTCTGTCTTCTGTTCTAGCTAATGGCGCATATTAAGACCGCCTTCGCGCAAGGACAGACCTCCGGTGCCGTTTCGGCAAGTAACAAGGCATAAGTTATTGTCGAGGAAGGTAATCCCCCACTTATATCAGTGCGAATGGGAATGCGAGCTTCACAGGTGACTGAGCGATGTTTGTAAGTTTGGGCTGTTGGGAATAATAGCAATCATTGTGGGTGAAGCAGAGCATTTGTGTCTCTGTTCATTGGCCATGTGCTTATCGCGGCCCGAATCCGGGGATTACTGAGCACGTGCCGTTGACGAAGTGTCGGCATTGCGTCCTTGGATCTCGCAAGTTACCTGGGACGCAGGCGAGCAAGGTAAGGAGGTAGTCAGTCGGCGTTCTCACCCCCTTGGTAAGAAACTGCCATTGGAAATTCACGCCAAATTCGTCAAATTCGACAGATCCTCCACTTGCGATTTGACTCTAATGGTTGATCTGGTCATTAAATACCAGGAGACAGAGGCTATCCGTAGTACGAGTCTGAATGCTACCAATTGCAAGGATCAAGATGGTAGCATTGAAAGCGGGCACGCCGGATGTCGGACTGAGGTCGACTGTAACTCGGTCTCGTCATCTTCATGGCGGCTGCTTTCGCTCACTGTTTTGCCAACACAGTGTCCTCTCCAGGAATCATTGATCCTATCAAGCCAATTGCTTGACTCTTAACCTCCGAGTCATTGTGCTCGAGAGCTGTTTTATGTCAGCCTCAGACAAGCTTTGTCACTTCGGTGCTCACTGGTTTGAATTGCGGTTTCTCACTGGCGAGCTTGCTATTACGTGAGACGTGAGAATGACATAACCATCGTAAAGCAGATAGCTTAACCTAACATCTCAATACTGCCGCAAACTCGCAGTCGTTACACTCTATTGCACTACGTCCTGATCCCGGCTGGAGAATGAAACCTAACACCCCGCCTATATCCCGTACTTGTTCGTCTGGGCAAAGTTCATGCCGTGGGCGAAGTGGAACAGCTTGGCGGCGACGATGGTGCGGGGGCGCTTGGCGTACTCAACGAGGCGGTCATAAAACTCGGCGAGGGGCACGATGACAGTCTCGATGTGCTCGCCGTCCTCGAGCCGCTGCTGGGGCCGCTCGCCGTCCTCCTCGGGCAGCTGGACCTCGACCATGACGAGCTGCATGTTGGCGTTGGACATGCCGGGATCGGCGGCCTGGACGGGGCTGACGCTAACGACGGAGCAGTCGTAGCCCGTCTCCTCCTTGAACTCGCGCACGGCGGCCTCCTCGGCCGTCTCGCCCTCGTCGACCAGGCCCGCCGGCCACTCGACCGTGTATGCGTCGAGCGGCGGTCGATACTGGATCACGATGAGTGTGGCCGGGGGCCGCGACGGGTGCACCAGCACGTTGCCCATGGCCACGGCGTCGACGCCCGCCTTGGCCGCGCGTGTCTTGCGCATTGCGACTTCCCAGGTGCGCGCCTTGCCGACCTGGTCGACGTACTCAATCTTCTTGAGCGTCACCCATCTGGCCTCCGACGTCGGGAGGTCCGACACCCGCGCGATGACGGGCTCCTGCGTCTTGGTCGACATGCTGAATGCGCGAGACGAGAGAGCAGTGCGCGGGACGGCGAGACCTAGGGTTGCAGCGGCTGGCTGGAACGAGCGAGTTCCTGTCTGGGCGAATTTCAGGCTGGCAGCTGCGGCGTTTGCAAGAGCAGAGCGAATTGAGAGAATGCCGTGCATCGGCTTCTTCTGCAGATTTCTAGAGGGGTGGCCGAGTTTGCCAGCAGATCAGTCCGGAGCAATTGGGGTGCGCAGTGGGATGGCGGCGTGGTTGCTGACTCCTGAGGAAGCGACGAGTGTCGACTGTCGAGCGCTGATGGGGTTAGCTCGGTCGTGAAGGCCTACTCGGCGGATTTGGGGAAGCGGACGCGGGGTCATTTTTGCGTGGCTTGGGGTTAGGGTTGTTGTGGCGCTCTCTTGGCCCCTCTGTTGTGACCAAAATAGTCCCAATACTGAGTGCTTCATCTCTGCACGTGCAACCATGGCCTCGTCGTCCATAAATACCCATTTGACTGACATTGGCGGTCCTATCCGATTTATGTGTTCCGATTCCGCTTTATGTTTTGCAGGCTCCGTAGGTAGTTACGCGCACGAGCTACGTAGCCAGCTGCTGTTTGAGGCCTGTCGCGACCTTGGTTCCTAGTCTAGAAGGACTTTTAGGCCGTTCTGGGCTGTTTTGGGCCGTTTTGGGCTGCCTGTTCCGAGAAGACTTTTTGCCGAAAAATGGGCCGCCCATGTCGGGGGGATGTTTCCTGGCCATGTTATTACACTGTCGCGCAACTTATAAGCGTATTAATTTAAAACAGAGAACCAGGGTCTGAGGCATTTCGCTGACAAACAGCATTGGTTTAAAACGGAAGTTTATCATTCTTTTATTTTATAAAGGTAGATTTCCCGCGCTCCTTGCTCCCTCACCCAGATATTTCAGTATTTCGTTCAGACCTCAGGCCGCATCGATTTCTGTTGGGTTAGAGTCCAAACGGTTTCAAAAAACTTTGTTAAGGATGGCGTCGACACCTGTTACGATAAACACACAGCCTGTGGCAGCGAGTTCTAGAACTGGTCTTCTAGAAAAAAAATCGATAAACGACACTGAAGTGATACCTAAAACTCTACTAAAATCCTCTATTCTTCCTGCTAGGACACCGGTAAACCAAGATCACGAGTGCAATGCAGCTTATAAACACGTCCCCAGCGTCTCGGTGCCGTCAACCACAATCATTCCTCAACGACACCGACCCATCCCCTCAGGGATGTCTGAAATGCCAGTGCAGCTGAAGCCGGCAGAACAGGTGGTTCGTAGCAAACCCGAGTATACCGGACCAGAGATAGATAATTTTGTATCTATAGAGGAGGATGAGGAGGATTTTGAAGCTGTCACCAAGCTTCAAATCGCATTGGGAAGACAACTGAGAACACGGACGCCTGCGGGAAAACCTCAGCCGCCTGCTCATTCTCCAGATACGGTAAAGAAGTAACGGTTGAGTTTGGGGGAGAAGAAGGCGAAGAATGTACAGGCCACTGGATGGTCTGTCCGCAGGGGGAGTGGCGGAATAGGTTGTTTCGTGTCAGCACGACATTAACTACGACTTGGGTATGTGGGTTCGAATTTTAAGGGGTTGAACAAAGTCACAGCTGTAGCTTATGTACTCTAGAAGTAACTTGATCGTCGGCTGTGTAGACAGATTCTGAGAGGCTACTTGCTATATCTCTTAAACAATACAGTGCCCTAGTCAGGGTTGTGCTAGGACTGGTACTTTCTCCAACTTTGAGCGCTGCTAGGGAATGTGATGGCGCGATTCCCTTTTTTCCAGCCTAATTAGACCCAGCTTATTTACGATTTGAGAGTCTCACTTGCCAAGCAATGGGAGAAGCTATATGAGTCCTTGGGTAAGGCAGAAACACAGTCAAGAACCTATCCGAGCGAGATATGAGAGCATAGCAAGTTCTGGCACCACAAATCCTACCATCATGACTGACTGCAACACAAAGAGTCGATATACGTGTTATTAAATCGATTGTTATCCTATCACTCTTTAATTTAGATGAGTCGTTACAATTCAACCACATGCCTTAAGAAGGATGGTGAACTATAATTAAAACGAGTCGAGTCGAGCGTTCTAACTATTGCACTGGTAGAGTGAAAAGGACTCGAGGGTGAACGAGAAGTGGTATGCAGTGAGAAGAGAAAGGAATGCGCCCCGCATCAAGCCTCTCCGGTCGGCGCCCCTAATTCGGCATTCATAACAAAAGCGGCCTCAACTGACAGCCTGGCGCTACTATCAATCTTGGCTAGGTCAGCAGGACTCCACGAGCTGTGGTCCGGCTCTTGGCCAAACAAACGTCGCAGCCATGCCTCCCGTCTGGGGTGCGGCGTGATGATGTCGTCCATCCACGACGTCGTCTGGCTGCCGCTGTAGAGTTGTATTGCCCCCAACATGTACGAGCGGCCGCTGAACTCGAACTTCTTGATCTCGACGCCGACGCACTCGCGCGTCAGCCAGCTGTGGGCGAGGTTCGCGTTGCTGTTGGCGCAGCGCTCGAGCAGCCAGTTGACGGCCAGCAGCGCGACGAGGCACACGCCGTCCCAGCCCTTCTGGCCGGCCGCGAACGTCATGGCGGCGAGCTGGATGAAGTGGGCGAGCCGCAGCCAGCCGCCGACCAGGCGCGCCGTGCGCGTGTCGGGGATCCAGAACATGGTCTTGTTGAGCAGCGTGTCGACGATGCCCCGGTCGCCGACGAAGAGGTACCACTCGGTGGCGTTCTGGTGCGCCGCTGCCAGCATGCACCCGCTCGGCAGCCCGGCCTCGTTGTTCTCGAGGTACCCCGGCGGCCGCTTGACGGCGACGAGCAGGCTGGCTGCGAAGCCCGAGATGGCCGTGCAGAACAACATGGCCGCCGTGCCGAAGCTGCCGCACAGGAGGAGTGCGACTGCGACGACGGCTGCACAGAGCGGCCGCAGAATATGCGGCGCAAAAGACCACGAATTTGAGGGCTGCGACTTTAGGGGCCGTCCTGGCTTGCGAAAGCACCGAAAGACGTGTAGGGTCTGGCTGCGGCGGAAGCGGAAGATTGAGTCCTTGTCGGGGTCGGGTCGCGGAGCTCGCGTCCCATTTTTAGAGGAGGAGATCCGTGTTCCGTGGCTGGATATGCTGCTTCTGCTGCTGAGGTTCGTCGACGAGTAGCTGCTGAGCCTTGGCGGGACAGGACGTAGCTCGGGCAAGATATCCGGCATGCGTATGGTGCTGACTCGCCCGTGCCTCTGCTGGCAGTAGTCGATGATGAATTCGACGGCAATGCCGTTGCTGCAGGGAAACATGCCGCCCCTTTCACGCAGAAGTCAGTAACTGGCCCCCGCAGGTACCAACCTCGGTAGAATTCTCACCAATAGACGTCCCAAACATGGAGGCTGGTGCCACCACGCGAGCTGGCGTGGTCGAGGAATTTGCGCGTGTTCCCGATCAACCGCGAAAGGCCGGACAGCGAGCCCAGCCGGGGAAAGAGACTCACAGAAACTCTGCCCGCCAAGGCCACCTTGCCAGTCGTAGCGTGGTCGTCACGGTGTGTGGCTAGATGGCAGACAAGAGGAACAATGGCTGCCCACTCCGATAGAATGTTGGGTAGCTGTGGCATGGAGATGATGGGCGCAACGTTGAGGGCGCCGAGGCGTGCCTCGTTGGCCTGCTCGAAAATCGACATGGCGTGAGCAGATTTACTAGGAAATGACCGCTACCACAGGCAAAGTGAATCGAGAACTGCGTCTGAACCAGGTAAGTTGAACTTGAATCCTAGGATTGAACTGCAGATGGATGGCCATAATGATATGGAAACGAACCGCTCTGACCATTCGAACCACATATCTCCTATAGCCGATTTAACCCATTTTAGCTCGATAGATGCAACACTCCTCGAGTTCCTTGCGTTCCATCGCTGCTCAGCATCGCCAAGTAGGTCACGTAATGTAGCTCGGTCGGTACGTTCACGGTCCCTCACCTCAACCTGCCTCTGAGGTGACAGGTCAGTCAGGGCCAAGGCCGTTGACGGGCTGTGTGTGCCCCGCATGCAATCGCTAGGCAGCATGCAATGTGCACAACCCGGTTTTGCGGGGGTTGACAGCTGCGGCTTAACCTCCAGGTAAGGCGGCTTTGCAGTCTGCGCCCCGCCCCCAACGGCAAGGAGGCTCGAAACGGCCAACCGAGATAGGTCACATCGTAATGGCCGGTGTCCGCCCCAGGTGCTCGGTCTGCACTGCAAGGCGGCAGTTGCGGCCCAGTTCTACACGGGCTTTCACTAATTTACTCCCGACAGGCATCGGGTTTCGGATGGAAGGCGCGGCCCGCGGTTTGGTTCTTCTCCGAGAGTGGCCATGCCTGAGCTACAGCAGTCGTTTTTGCCTGGGCTGACGACAGTTACTGGCAGGTGTTATGGATGAAACATGCAGGCAGGCAGTTGCCTAAAAATGTGCTCGTGCATGCGGTACCTGAGGCAGCACAAAGCCTTGTCCCAAATCTCACCAGCTTCCGACTCCGGCTTTAGAAACACCAGTCCGTCTGCTTTTCTTTGCTTCCGCAGACGATGCACGTCCGCTGTGACGCGACATGGTCGGATACCTGGAGGAGGACCCCTTCACCTTCACCGCTGCCAGGCTCCTGGAACTGCTCCAAGGAGAGATCACTCAGCGAGAAGTCGGCCGACGACCGTGGGTCTTTACCTACAAAAAGTTCAATGTTCACCTCAGCAACTTGAGTGTTGAAATCGACGTCCAAGGTACTTCCACCACAATTGGCCTGGTTCCGGCCAAAGACGCGACCCAACTGTGCTCCTTGTATCTGCCCAACCTCGCAACACAGGATGCATCCCTCGACATTACACGACTGGATGAAGCGCACCGCAGGGCTCTGACATGTCAGTATACGACAGAAGAGATCTCTCACACAACCGTCGCTCGCCACGCTTCGTCCATCCTCACCCGACTTCCAGCAACCCCGCCGCCCTTCACTGGCGCCTGCGAGGCTTTGGTGGATTTGGACCTTGGTGCCGATAACTTCCTTCCGGGCAGGCCTGCCGACTGGCCAAATCTCAGGGCTGTCAGATTTGTCGACTCTAATGTGCTGCGCTTAGCTCTGCACATAGGCTCGACAGCAGAATATGTCGGCGAAAACCATGGATACCAATGGCTTAGCGCTCATCCAAAAAAACTAGCAAACTATATATCCATCGTCTTCGAGGCTGCCTTTGGGATTTATACCCGACTGAAAAAGCGCCAGCTGCCAACCCGCCGCAATCTTTTTGTCCTTTTGGCTTTTCTCTGGACTTCGTGGCATCGGCTCGTCATGCTGTTCTATCACCACACACTTGGCATGCACCTCCGAGCCGGCTACGACTTTGAGAGGAACAGGGTGTCGTCTATTGACCTGACGTCGTTGATGAGGAAGCTGTCTACCACACACACCATGCAGGCGACGCCACAGTATATGTGCAACTGGGCTCTCCTGCACGTCTTCAGAGACCGAGCCGCCATGCCGCCAGACTTTCGAGCATTCAAGCACCGGTTCAGCCAGGTTTTTGCGTCTCATGAAGCAAGGTGCCTTGGCAACTCTTCTCAGTGTCAAGGACTAGGACCGGCGAACTGCATGCGGTTCAAGGGCGCCACAATTCTGGACCAGTCTGCGCATGGCGACCCGTGCCAAGGAGGGACAGGCTGCCACAAGCTCTTCTGGGACGAGGCGTCCTTTCGGAACCAAGCAGGCGGAGGCGGGCGAGCCGTCTCGTTGGAGGCGACCGACGAGACTCACATCCACTATCAGCCAGCGGGGTTAAAGACTCTGGCCATATCGCATGTGTGGAGCCACGGACAAGGAGGCCGGCCAGAAGAAAACACCCAGGCTCTCAGCGGTGGCCAGAAATATTCCGGGGGATTCAACATCTGTCTGCATGCTCGGTATAAGCGGGTAGCCGAGAGTCTGGGATGCGACTCGTACTGGATGGACACGCCGTGCATCCCATGCGACCACGAGCTTCGGCGGGAAGCAATCGCCAACATCAACACTGTATTCTCCCAGGCCATGGTCACCCTGGTGTGCGACCGCGACATGATGAGCATCAATGCCAGCAACCTGACAATGGAGCTCCAGGAGTCGATTCTTTCAGCCCTGCTGGTATGCGACTGGAACGTTCGCGCGTGGACGCTTCTCGAGGCGATTCGTGGAAGGAAAAACATCCACCTGCTCTTCAAGGGCGACAAGACGATACGCCTAATGGACATTCTGTGCGCCGTCCATTCGGCGGGCGACATCTCCGTTGTCAATCTCTACCTGACCGCGCAGCACCTCATCCCTGCCGTCCAGACCGCCACAGACAACCCGTCGTCAACATCGACCACCACGGCCGACACCAGGGCAGTCCGGACTGTTCCCGGGAGCATAGAGTCGAATGAATCTAACGAACTGGCCTCTGGCCTACTGAGCGTGCAAGAGGCTGCCTGTCTCCTGAGCCACCGCCATGCGTCGCGAAAGGGCGACGAGGTCGTCATTTGGAGTCTGCTATGCAGTGAAACGCTCTGCTACACGGCTAAAGACTTTTGGGACGCGTGCGTGCAGCGAGCAAAGAACCGGTCTCAACTCCTCCTGGTGCCTACCGGGCTGCTCATGTCGAGCGTCCCAAGACTTCAGGCCAAGGGCCTGTCCTGGGCGCCCTCTAGGCCTAACCTGCCCGAGGAATGCTACACCACGCCACGGCCCGGAAACGCCATCATCGCAGGCGACGGCGCGGGCACTGTGATTGGAATCTACCAAGAGGCCAAGCTGGTCGCCGGGTGGAACGTGGTGCGATTCGACGGCGGTCGTCGCCGTGCGTTATCATTATTCACAAAAAACTCGTCCGTCTTACTGCCGCGCGTGCCGGGCTACTGGTTTGGCGTCACGAGCGGCCAGCGCCTATCGACGGCAAGACGCCTCGACCGCATCGCGCGCGAGTACCTGCCAGGGTACAAGTTTGGAGCCCTCGCGCGGTCCGCCCCGCTGGCCACGGATGTGCTGGACGGGGCGAACATGCGCGAATACGGAGAGGGCGGCGCCGTCGTTGCCGTGCTGGGGACCAACGATGACCGCGAGCACCCGGACCGGGTTGCACATGGGGATGCCCGAGGGGCCTGGACGTGGGTGGGCGTCTTCAAGTGGGATGAGGATTTGGCGCCGCTCCCGACGTTCAAGGGGGAGTGGCTTCGGATTGAGTGACAGTTTCGTATATTTGCAAGAAAAAGGAAATTAATTGCAATTTGTGGGCAAATAAATAAATCCCTTGGAATTGGCCGGATTTTGAATGGTAGATCATGAAAGTTTGAGTTTCGAAAGTGTGGCAGATTAAATTCAGGAGACTTGGATTTCGTCCCAAGTGATAAGAAAAATTAAAAAAGGAAGTCGACATCTCCCTCGGTTGGGGTCGAACCAACAGCCTCCAGATTAACAGTCTGACGCGCTAGCCAATTGCGCCACGAGGGATTTCAATGTTCTGTTTTGAATGGTTGGATCGCCCTTATTTGGATTCTTAGATGACAAGGGGCCGTTCGGGACCCACCAGTTGGCTTAACTCAACCACGCAATCCATCCACTTTATTTCGCAAAAGGAGTCTCTCGAAGTATTATGTGTATTGTTAATCTTTTACACTTGATCTCACTCTCCTATAGGGAGGCCTTGTATGCATGCACTGCATGTCGATGGAGGGCCAGCATTTGGTTTTATAGGAGACTGGCGACGCCTTTGCTGGTAGTGTAATTTCAAGCCACCAAGACTGTATTTGACGGCAGGGGCTGGAGTTTGAATCTCGACGACAAGAGACAGCCAAAGTTGAGTCTGTGAGCCTTGAAAAGAATATGTGCACTCTTTTTGCTCGGCCAAATAAGAAACACGCTCTATTGCCCCTTGTTTCAAGAATGGCTGAAACCCGAACAATCGGACTTTCCGGGCCCAGCCTCGGCCAAGTTTGTCTTCGTGCTGGCTACGGCCTCGGCCTCAGGGGGGTTCTTAGCAAGTCTAGTTAAAACATTTGCCTGCTATAGGGCACAACAGCTGCCATGAAACTGGCCCATTTGATCACGAAATGCATCACCTAACCAGCTAAGATCGAGTCCTAGAACTAGGTAATAATCGAAATCGGCCGCGGCCATGCCCCAAGTTAAAGAAGCCACGGCTGGCCTATAGTGGGTCATATCATTAAACACACGTTTGGGAAATATTTAGTATACGAAAGAGATATTGAACCCAACTGGATCTAACTACATGCTAACCTAGATTCGATCGCTTTCTCGCTTAACAAACTAACCAGGTTGATTAGCTCGCACCTGCTTGCCTGTCTTTCACAGCACGAGAAGACGATGTCGACCATTCCCGAGAGAACGCCATCGGATCACCCCAGGCCTAAAGAGGTTAAATCGTCGGCCTAGCCCTCTGCACCGACCTTGACGCGTGGCAAAAGTGATGTTCTGGCGATATTAGACCAGAATGCCTTGAATATTGTCGCGGGAAATACTTCCGGAAAGGCGGCTAATGTAATACCATCCAGCTCCGGAAAACCACAAAATGCCACTAACACTCTCGGAAATCACACTGAGCCGCGTCCTCTCGTCGAAGAAACACAGGGCAGCGCGTCAGCAACGCACGACTACGTCTTATATTATCGCGATTTCCATCCCCCAGGATCAATAAGCATGACGAATTAGCAGACCCCCTTGTTGAAGGTGATGTGGAGCTCAAGGAAAGAGCGAGAGCGGGGGCCGAGGAAGAGCAACAAAAGAATCGACTTAAGCCGGGGCATAGTGTTGAGCAGAAGTAGCTACAAGGAGACAAGCGCTATAATTGAAATTCATTAGACACGGTTCGAGTAGGATATAGGTGGCTCTTGGACTAATAAGGTAGTGAAGCGGCTGAGGATGAAGGCGTAGGATTAAACAACGAAATTATAAACAATTTGTTGGAATAGCGATACTGGTGACCGCACACTAGCAGGGAGGAAGCAGAGATCGCGCGAGTACGCACGTGCAAGTAGGCACGTGCGGCGCGCGGACCTCTCACACACACACACACACACACACACACACACAAAAACCCCGGTCGCACGCAGAACCTACCTTAGTTCCGCAGAGAGAGAGGAGGGAGAAATAGACACAACATTACCCCCGGTAGATCTACCAACCCTTCGACCTGTAGGATCCCTACGTAGTTTGAGTACCACGAACACAATTAGCTTAGAAGCAAGTTCGTAGCATAATACACCTACCTCATGAATTGCGCAAGCTGTTAATTAGCCCTTAACTAGCATTTAATTATACGAGACTTCTTTTTCTAATCGGGATATAACTTTTATTTCTTTTCTGACTTCCAATTTTCCAAAAGAAAACCCCCTTAACGAATACTCTACATAATACCTCCCTTGCGTTTCACACTCTACCTAGCTACTACTAAGTACAAACAAACTAACTTTAGATAGATTAAGATGGTAAGACACAAAATCTTCACTGTGGCTGCCTCAGCATAGCGCTCTTCCGCGTGTTGAAACTGCGGCCGCTAGCTTCCTCCCCTCCTTTATGACCGGCATTGACAGCACCAACTGTCACATACGACCATAGGTGCTAGAAAACTCGGGATCCCGTCCGCTCTCCCCTAGATAAACTAGCGACCGCCAGACTAGTAGTTGGGTCGGTGACGACCAGCGAATCCCTGGTGTTGTATGTTCTTTTTGTCTTCCCTTCTTTTGAAGCCATTGCCGTGGCGACTCTGGTCTGTTTTTTGTTGTATTGCGTTACTGGACGACTGTGTAGAGATTCAGCATCGCCGGTATAGAATCTTTCTGCAGTCAAGGAGAGATCCGAGTTTCGAGTCTGGCTAAACTGCTTGTCCTTGAGGAGGCAACTCATCACCTAGGTTCTCACTTCCACTGCAGCTCTCCACATTCTCTGACCCGTCTTCCTTGTCGAACCACAGCCGGCGGTCCGACCACTTTTGCTGGATTAGCAATCTTGCTTGTTCGGCTGACATTCTGTCTTCGGGCTTGTATTGCATGAGATCTTGCATGACCGGGAGCAGGCAAGCCAGACTCTCCAGTTCATCCTCAGTATAGTCGTCTTTCTCGTAGTACTCGCTCTCGTTGCAGTAGGCGATGATAGCGCGGCGGCGGGACTCAAAGGTCTGAGTGATGGGCGCGTGCTGTTCAAGTCTGGCGGCTGTTGTTTGGGCCAAAGAATTAGCAAGCACGTTTCGTCGTTTATGAGTGCGAACTGGGTGTTGGGAACAGGGGGACTGCACCCTCTTTCCGCACGTCTGCGTCATCCTTTGTCATTGCGTCCCATTTGATCTGCCAATCTGGTGGCAGAGGACTCAGCTTCCACATAAGCCTCAGAAAAAACATGGCCTGGTGCCTGTCGTAAAATATGTTTAGCTGTTCCTGGTAGAACAATCCGTGTGTCTGGGGTAAAATATCAGCCAGCCAGTTGGTACAGACTGCAGTGGATGCGTCAAGGAAGCAACCCACCACGCATCCGGCCCTCCATAGGTCATGTCTGTAGTCGAAAGAGTCTAGGAAAAATGACTCTGGGGCTTTTTGATCCAAAGGCTGGGCGAGGGGTCTCCTTGCTCGAGCTTGTCGAGTATACCTCTCCCTAGTCGATCAGCCGAACTCCTCGTCGGCGTTGCCGAACTAGCTAGACCACCACGGGAGCTCGACCAACTGCCTTGGCAACCGGGCGGCCTCGGCATCTCTTCGCATTCATACTCTCCAACACTAAATTCCTCCCCCAGGACGTGTGCGAGAGTTTCTTCGCTTGCCGTTACATCGGAGCTGGTGAAGGCGACGTTGGGGTACGAGACGTCCCCATGAGCGAAGACGGCTTTGTGTGTAGCGGCCAAGGCCTGAACCAGGTGATGTGATGCGCGAAGCACGGTGTGCGGCCGGAGTGTCTCGTCGCCTTTTTTACGTAAATACATGATCCCGGAAACGGTAGGGCCGCACAGTTCCGTGGCGATGCAGCAGTGGGCTCCGTTTGGGCCTGAGTGATTGAAGTAGTCCAAGGGCAAGACGGAGAATCGCATCATGTCTGGACCCAAGCGCTTCTGCAACTCGAGGAGCGTTTTGAACTCGGCGTCTTATCCAATCCCTGAGTGTTTGTTAGCTAGCGTCGTACTTATGTAGATACCTACAAAGAGTAAAGGCACAGCAAAGACATCGGCTGCAGGAAGCCTTTGATGGGTATTTCTAGGATAGAGAAAGGTCTCCAGGATTCTAAAATAGGGATCCTAATAGCGACTGCCTCCCTCAGTGAAAAGTCTCTAGGGTAAGCCGTAAGTTATGAATGTCTTTTAATTCTTGGCAAGTCCCCTGCTAACAAATATTCAAGGGTTAAATTGTACTACACACACGAGTCTTGGCGATGGAGCCATTTTTCAGGTCAAGCAAGGGCACGTGAGCAATTCAAGGCAGCTAATCCCAAACCAGCATAGCCCAGCCGCCTCTTTCTCCGAGCATGACCATCACCGGCTTGAGTCTCGAGCATTCGTGATGGAACCGACAGTCGAGCAATACCAGACACTATGGGTCTCTTTTCTAGCACATCAGTTCATTTCATTGTCTTTGAGCGGCCATATGTTTATGGATGCTTCCCCAAATGGAACTCTTCTCTACTCGTATCTTCTCCTGCACCTGGGAATCGGGGCGACAGGCGCAGTCCTCGTCGGCATCTTCTGCAACGAGGAATATGTCGGCACCCCTCTTGCACTGGTAATGCATGAGTTGCCGCTGTACGTGTCTTCGGTTTTGATGCCATGGTGGGACCTTCACACGAGCGACGGCCCTGATGTCGGCTGGCACGTTCATCTCGTCTTGCAGCACGGCCTGCCTCTGGTCGGCTACGTCTATACGGCCGTTTTTCTCCGCTCTTCTTGGGTCATCCGTATACTCACCCTCGGCATCTGCTGGACTTGGTGGGTCTCGTTTCCCTTTCAGCACACGGTGAAGGGCATCGTCACATGGCTGCGGTGGAAAGTGGCGGCGTCCACGACGAGCCCAGCCATCTCTGAGCCCGACCCAACCGCAAAGCAACAAGCCACAGTCCCCGACCCAGAAACTCTTACACTGGAAGAATACCGATATGGACCCCTCCAGAGCGACCAGATCCGCCTCCTCCGGCTTCACGTGCACGATCCCGGCTCTTCCTTGATCCAGTGCGAGCTCCAGCCCTCGCATCTCGACTCGCTCCCCTCCTTCGAAGCAATCTCGTACACCTGGGGCAGCGCCGCCCAGCCCAGCTTCATCGTCGTGCACGGAAACGACAACAAGCGCTACCGCATCCCCGTCACGCAAAACGCCTTCAGCGTCCTCCAGAACCGGAGCAGCACGCGCGCTCGCCTGGTCTGGATCGACTCCATCTGCATCAACCAGCACGACGCCGCGGAAAAGACGCACCAGGTCAGCCTCATGCGGCACATCTACCAGCGGGCGACGCGCGTCGTCGTCTGGCTGGGCGGCAGCACCATCGAAGGCGCCGGCGAGGAGGCCCGCAACGCTAAGAGCATGCTCTACGAGGTCGCCTTCCTGGCGTGGTTCTACCAGCCGCGCGTCCTGGCAGACCGGCTGCACGCGCGGTACGCGCACCACTGGGTCGCCGAGCCGCTGCGGTCGCGGTGGCGGGCGCTGATCGCCCTGTTCGCGAACCCCTACTGGAACAGGCTGTGGGTCGTGCAGGAGATTGCGCTCGCGCGCGCCGTCGACGTGGTCTACGGCGGCGAGTACCTGTCGTGGTCCCTGCTGACGTTCGTCATGCTCGTCTTCCACGAGTCCGAGGGCATGTATCTCGGCCAGCTGCTGACGCCGGGCGTCGCGGCGGGCGCCTACGACGCCGGCATCCCCGTGTCCATCCACATGATGCCGCTGGTGCGGCGCGCCGACAACCGCACGTCGGACCTGCCGACGAACTTTGTCGACCTCGTCGGCCTCAGCCAGGTGCAGCGCGCGACGGACCCGCGCGACAAGGTGTTTGGGTTCCTGGGGCTGCTGCCCGACGACGACGCCCGCAAACACGCCGTCTCCGTCGACTACGCGCGGCCGGTCCCGCAGGTGTATGCCGAGGCCGCGCGGTGTGTGTTGGCCGAGAATGCGGTCGGGCGCGTCATTTCGAACAGCGGCGTCGGGTTCTCGCGGTCGCGCAACGTCCAGGGCTTGCCCTCGTGGCTGCCCGACTGGAGCGTGCCGTCCGTCAATGCCTTGCTAGGCGGCGTGCTGAGCCGGCCGTACAAGTGCGGAGGCATGGGGCCTGCGTTCTTCCGGCCAAAAGAGAGCCAGCAAGATTTGTCGTCGACGCCAATCGGAGATGGACGGCGACTGCTCCCGCCGGTCTCGTTCGCCGGCTTCGTGGCCGATACGGTCAAGCACCTGGGCGGCGTGCGGGACTTGACGACGGGCAACTCGACGCCGGAAGAAATAATGGCCGGGCAGGCGGGCGTGCTAGAGTGGTTCCGCGAGGCGCGGGAGCTGGCCCGCCAGCACGCGCGGTCGCCGTATCCGGTGCGGGAGGACGGGGCCACCGTCTCCGTCAACGAAGCGCTGTGGCGCACCGTGATCGCCGACCGCGTGGGCAGCACGCGGCCGGCGCCCGTGGCGTACGGGACCAACTTCCGGCTGCTGGTGGACTTCCTGTTCCCGGCCACGCGGGACCTCTACGAGCGCGGCGACCAGGGCGAGGACGGGCCGGAGACGGTCGCCGAGATCCACGCGCTGTGGGCGGACCCCGAGACGGGCACCTGGCTGAACCGCGCGCGCAAGTACAGCGTCGCGAGCATGACCTGGACCAGCCAGCGGAGAATCTGTGTTGGCAGTCGGGGATACTTGGCCCTGGTGCCCGAGCTCGCCGAGGAAGGCGACCTGCTGTGTGTCGTGGCCGGGTATCCGATGCCCGTGGTGCTGCGTAGGCTGGAAAATGGAGGCTGCTATGTTTATGTGGGCGAGACGTATGTCCATGGTTGGATGGACGGAGAGGCGCTGGGCTGGGGACGGGAAATGTGCGAGTTTGAGGTTGTGTGATCAAAGTTCGCGGCACGACTCCTCCCTTGTCCTCATCTTCGTCGGATGCCCGGGCCGATAACCCCAACATCTCAATTCAAGAAGCTCGAAGAAGTTAACACAGGTTTTTAAGATACGAAGCTCTGTGCGGAGCTTCCGTCTCGGTTTCGAGAGACCATGGTTGCGGGGATGCGTTTCCCCATATTAGCCTCATGTCGATAAGCGAACGGGGGATGCCATCGGCTCTCGATCTCGGTAGTCGGTACCGCCCAGTTCCTGGAAGCGAGACCCGGACGCTGCACGGGCGCGGCTCATGTCAATGAACGCATATTAGCATGCTTGCCCAGACTGATATATCCTAGGCGACTGCATAACATTCTTTACTTGGCATTTGTCTGCACTCGTCTCCTGGATTTTAGTCTCTTAGATTTTAGTTTCTTGGATTTTAGTCTCTTGGATTTTAGTCTCTTGCGTCTTGGACTACAACTCCAAAGCGTCAGACTGACATACCTGAGTTTTATTTGAGATGAGAATCGCTAGCATGGTAGTAGAGAGTTTGCTATTCCAAGAGCATGGTAAAGTCCTGCTCTAGGTGGTTCCAGATCATCTCGCTCCTCACAGTAATTAATCTCAGGTGCCGGGGCTATAGTGCAGCGCCTAGACCTGGAGTATATTCAGCCGAGTCCAAGTTGACAGGACCCAGCCGAGATCTCAGATCCTCCGCAGTCTGTCTGTCCCCACATCCCGACATCCCGACATCCCAATGTCTCGGACCTCACTTCGTACTAGCTCGAGGTCTCGCAAGTTAAGAAGAGATATAATTTGGGCCAGCAGCCCATTTCGATCGTCGCTGAAATAGTTCCGGTACATCCATGACACACCCATTTCCTCGAGCAGGCCCTGATTCATTGACACGCCATGTTCGTCCTCTCTCTTCTTGCTGCCTGGGCGGCGTTGAGGTTGGTTTGCCACTCTGCTGCAACCCACTCCAGTCATCATAATTACCATGCACGATATAATTAGCTAACAAGTCCTCCCCAGCGTCGTGGCACTCCCATCCGAGCTCGACCCGAGGCAAAACCCCACCTTCGTGCCCAAGCCAGGCTACTTCCCCGCGACGGGCGACGACACCATCGCCGGCGGCATCTACTGCATCGCGCTGACTGACCTGGCCACGTACCTGTCCAAGACGGGAAACAACCCCGGCGCCACGGGCACCGAGTCGCCCCGGGGCGGCGGCGCATCAGCCTCTCCAGGAACCGGCCCCTACCCAGCCCAAGCCTTCACCGACCCGTCGCTCCCCAACCACACTGTCTTCGCGCCCAAGACCCCTCCCCCGGCCGACGTCTCCCTGCCCGCCGTCGCGTGGGGCAACGGCGGGTGCGGCACCGACCCGTCGACGCACGCCAGCTTCCTCGTCGAGATCGCCAGCCACGGGTACGTGATCGCCGCCGACGGTGTCGCGGGCGGCAAGACGGGCGCCTCGCAGTCCATGGTCAAGGACATGAAGGCGTCGCTGGACTGGTTCGCCCAGGGCAGCGGTGCGGCAAAGTACGGAAACGTCAACGCCTCGGCGCTCACAGCCATGGGCCACAGCTGCGGCGGGCTCGAGTCCATGTCAAGCGCGTACCACGACGACCGCGTCAAGCGCGTCGTGCTGTTCAACATCGCCATCTTCCAGGACCAGAAGCGGTACCTGCTGCAGGAGATCAAGATCCCTGTGGCGTGGTTTATGGGTGGGCCAAAGGATATGGGGTACCCGAATGTGAGTCGGTTGTGTCGTTTCCATGGCAACCTTGTTTGTGATGTGTGGTTTCGGAGTGGGCTAATTAATGCGGAATCCAGGCCGAGAAGGACTACAAACTCCTCCCTGCAGGCCTGCCGGCATACAAGGCCAGCTTGGACACCGGCCACGGAAGCACCTTTGCTGCCGCCAACGGCGGCAAGGCGGCCAAGGCGGCTGTGGCGTATCTGGACTGGCAGTATCGAAGCGACGACAAGGCAAAGGCGAGGCTCTTGGATCCAAAGTCGCCGGGGAGCCTGGTGTCGGAGAACTGGACTGTTGAGTACAAGAACTGGCCGTGAACGGATTGCGGGAGGCAGGATCCTATGAGGGCGCAAAAGCATGTAATTATCGACCAGACAGCTGTACCATATCATCACCAGTGACGGCTGAATCGAGCTAAGGGTCGGTGGGTCAGTGCGGTCGTATGATGAAATTCAGATAGCACAGCCCAATCCCTAAATGTTTATTGGCAGGGGACTTTCCAAGACTCGAACAGCCTCATACCTTTCTCCTCATCCTAAAGAACCTTTTTGCCAAGGGAGTTAATAGTTATCAGAACCCCCATTGTTAAATTCTAGAGGCCTATATCTCCACTATGGCTTGGCACATGTTGTCAGGCCAACCGGTGGATCTATTGGTTCTACTTATCCAGACTATCACCTTCCAATACATATTCCGCGGTAGCCCAGATAGCGAGTCTTCCTCCAGTCATCCGTTTCCCACCAAAATCCACTTTCTTGCTTTCTCACCTTTTTTTTAAGGTTGTTGGCGAACATCTCTAATGTTAAACACTGCCCACTACATAGTAAGAACTTGAACTCGGTCTAACGTATTTTATAAGCGAACGGATAATATAAGCGAACGGATAATTTTACACCACCCCACCCTCTCGACCTCTCGCAACGTTTTCCTCCACCACACAATATGGCACTACCTTCAAAGGAAGCACAATTAAACTTAGCCCTTGAAGCTCTTGGAAAAGACCCAAAACTCCGTCTTTCAGCTGCAGCAAAGATCTATTCTGTTCCTTACACTACTCTCTACAACCGACGCGTCGGTCGGCCTTCACGACGCGATATTCCAGCCAATTCACGAAAACTCACAGATCTAGAGGAGCATACAATTATTCAGTATATATCTGAGCTATGTGCACGCGCATTTCCTCCTCGGCTTCGTTTTGTGGAAGATATGGCCAACCGACTGTTACGCGAACGCGACGCGCCCCCTGTCGGCAAGCTCTGGGCTCACAACTTCGTCAAACGCCAACCAGACCTCCGGACGCGTTTTTCGCGTAAATATGACTACCAGAGGGCTAAATGCGAAGATCCAAAGATTATTCGCGAGTGGTTTGCCCTTGTGTATAATACTAAAGCCAAGTACGGTATCCTTGACGAAGATACGTACAACTTTGATGAGACTGGGTTTGCGATGGGTATGATTACTACTGGGATGGTTGTTACTACTTCTGATGGCTATGGGAAAGCTAAAAAGGTCCAACCTGGTAATCGTGAATGGGCTACAGTTATCCAGGGGGTAAATGCTCAAGGCTGGGCTATCCCACCATTCATCCTCTTAAAAGGAAAATACCACCAGGAGGGTTGGTACCGAGATTGCGGTCTTCCAGCTACCTGGTGTATCGGGACGACCGATAACGGCTGGACTACCAATGAGAAAGGCCTCGATTTCATCAAGCACTTTGATCTTCATTCAGCATCTCGTACGAAGGGAAAATACCGGCTCGTAGTCCTTGACGGCCACGAAAGCCACCATTCCGACGATTTCGAGAACTATTGCAAGAAGCATAACATTATTACACTCTGTATGCCTCCTCATTCCTCGCATCTAGTCCAGCCATTAGATGTTGGTTGTTTTGGGCCGTTGAAGAAGGCTTATGGTGATCAAATCGAGGAGTTGATGCGCATGTACATTATACATATCACTAAGTTGGATTTCCTTTGTGCGTTTAAAGAGGCATTTTTTACGGCTTTTATCGACAAGAACATCCAAGGAGCCTTCGCCGAAGCTGGCCTTGTGCCGTACGACCCAGAAAGGGTGATTGTTGGATTCACCAGGGTACCGGTACTGGACTCAACAGGGCGTGGCTGCACGCCGAAAACTGGTGGTTCAAGTGATGGATTGTAGATGTCTGTTCTTCTCTCTAGCTTTCTGGCAGTGCCAGAAAGCCCGTTCTTATACTACTATTGTGGTGGCGAAGTGGGTGGCGAAGTCTCTATCTAGAACCTTCGAGGCCCTTCTGCTTGACAAATTCCAACAGTGATATCTAAGCTGGATGTGCGCATTCGAACCCCAACACCCCCAGCCTCAAGCCTAACCACTACACTACCTTGGGTCTCCCAAACGCCACACAACCCTCGAGAAACCACCTCACAGTCAGCGTTTATTAAAACTCGAATTCCAACCATCAGGGCAGCTCTCCAACCCCAATGCTAACTGCTGTGGATCGATTAGCCAAAGGTACAATGGCTGTGATGCACGAGGTAGCTCTTCTACGTACTGGGTCTCGGCACTACGTAAGGCCAATGAGGGGCTTAGTAAGAGACGGAGAGCTAAAAAAAACACGTATACGGCTTGGAGGGTCACTTACGGTACAAGAGGCACAGGATCTACTAGATCAGAAGGCTGTGGGTGAGCAGTTAACCCAGGAAATACGACAAAGTAGTGGTGATGTAGGGGGGTCTCGAACGAAGATTCGGTGCTGTGGCGTGTGCGGCAAGCCTGGCCATAATGCACGCACGTGCAAGGAGGCTGCAGAATCATCTGATTCATCTATTTCTACTTCAGATATTGTTATTTCCTAGTGTTGTGGTTGTGTGATTGAGGGTAGTTGTAGTGGGGTGGTGCAAAATTATCCGTTCGCTTATATTATCCGTTCGCTTATATTATCCGTTCGCTTATAAAATACGTTATCTTTGTTGGACGCATTTAGTTATACCACCTGCTGCGTTTCGTCTTCTAAAATCTCATACGATACTAACGGAGTAAGCCACCTTGAACAAAAATAAAAATAGCCAAAACCCCTAACCTTAAGAGGCTTACACAACCACTTCACTTACTTGGGTGAAAGAAACCCATCAGCTCCCCGATAAATACTAACTAAGAGTACCTATCTATGGGTCCCGCCCACCGGGAGTCTAATGGGTACCGACGGCACAACCGGGGCAGTCGGCCGAGCGCCTGCCTGCTTCGCCTCTCGTTGTTCTTTATCCAGCTTAATGTATTCCTCCATGTGTACATCCTCTATGGAGCCCCGTTCCGAGGGGTTGCTAAAAAGAAAGCGGGTGATCCACGTCGGCTGGATCGAAGGTCTCCACGGTTCCTCCAGTTTCGCCTCTTTGCCCGAACCGAGGTCCTTCCTCTCCGCCGCTCCCGGCGCCTTCTTTGGTGCCTCCGAGTGTGCCCCGGCCTTTTTGGCTGCCTGGGCGAAGCCATCCATGCGGTCCCACCAGCGCTGTCTTAGTTGTTCGTTCCAAGCAGCCTCCCCCTCACGCCGTGGCCCCGCCGGCGGATGCGACGGAGGCATGTTTGCGATGTCGAAGACGCCCGTTACTTTGGGAACAGCCTGCGGCGGCTTCAAAACGTTGGCTCCTGGAATGCCCATCCATCCGAGCTTGATGGACCACAACCGATCATCCATTGTGGACTCTGATTCGCAAACTAGGCTAGTGGCCTCGAGCATCAGCACACCGAACTGCCATAGGTCGAATTTTTCCGACTCTCTACCTGCCGACGACATTCGTGACTCCGGGGGCTCGTAGGAAAACGCCGCGGGCAGATACGTGGCTGATGTTACCTGGGGCGCCTTCTCGGTGCGGTCGACGGCCGACCCAAAGTCCTTCAGCAAGAAGGAGAACTTTCGCTCGTGCCCCCCGCCGGCGGTTTTGGGCGGCGAGCCCCCGTGCGGGAGGAGCAGCCTCACCGCCACGGTGGCCGGCGAAATGTTCCGGTGCGTGATTTTCCTGGCGTGCGTGTACTTGAGGACGCTTACCAAGTCCTCGACCAGGTCCGGCACCCACTCGGGCCGTTCATCTAGGCTGGGTCTTGCGCAACAGCCCCCCTCGCCTTTGTCTTCATAGTGAGTATAGTGATTACGTGCCGCGTCAACGATCAGAACCTCCAAAGTCATGTCGAAGCCGTCGGTAATGAGGGAACCGGCCCTCCGGATCTGGGTGGTTGGGTCTTGCTCGAGCTGGAATACCTCAAGAATATTATCCTTTTTTTTCGGCGGCCGAAGCCCGCTTGTTAGCAATAGGTACGAAGTCATGGGTTGAAAGACGGAAATATATGTAGACGGATGAAGAAAAGTTCCATCAGGGAGATGTGTGCGGTGGGTGTATTGAAATTGAGGGACTCACATGTTTGAGCTTTTTATCGCCCTCAAAGAATGCAATTTCACGTCGCATATCGAGCTCTTCTCTGTCAAGGTATTGTTTTGGATATTTGATGCAGTATAACCCTCCGGTTTGCAGATCCAGCGCCCTGCCCAACTTCCAGGAAATGAGTCCCCCGTAACTGATCTGCTCATGGCTGTATTTCAGGTCATAATCATACCAGTGCAAATGGGGGATCGGGTTGCTCAGAGGCTTCGCAAGCGGCAAGATGGGATGGTTTTTGGCGCTGTAGTGCAGGGCTTGCGCCCGAAGTAGAAGGCGGCTGGGCTGCCCCTGAACCGTATTAGAGAATGCCTTCGTAAAGCTCAGGTGTAAGTCGGGAGGTGTGGAGAATGCCTTGTCCCAAGTGAAGCAGAAGTCGGCAGTCTTGCTGTTATTACCCCGGGACGATCCTAGCCGCACAGTGATGGTCATGCGAGAATCCTTTAACGATGGAATCGCCATTTGTCTGGAACTGCCGGCGTCTCGAATTACGAAGTGGCTAGGAGGGGCTGTCGTTTCATGTTCGGCGTGGATTGACACTTCTACATTGGTGTTTCCCCCAGATAGGTCCCGAACGATCAGCTCCTCCGACTTGGGGTGGAGGATGAACTGGCAATGCTCCTCTTTATAGTCATTTTGCGTGGGCAGAACAAAGTGGTTTCCGGGTCCCGTCCCTAGGGTCAGAACGGCTCCTGGCTTGACGATCTTGTCTGACGCGCGCGCGAGAATCCGATATTTTTTCGGTTCGGTGGGCTGGGGATTGGACTGTCTCAGCCTTTCTGGATTCGGATCATGGGCCATGACTGCATGCGCTGCATCATTCTGGGGACTAAGGAGAAAGAGGACCGGGTGCTCAGTCTCCCATTGCGCCCGGGTTTTCCCGGAAGAAGCCTCCCGAGCAGTATCGACTCCGAGTGTGGTCATGGTTGTCACGTTTGGTACGAAATATAAGGATTGAGTAATTTGATCTTAGAGGTCGGCAGTGAAGCGAAGGCTGTAGACTAAGGGGTATATATACCTTGTGCGAATTAGTAATAATAACAAGAACCAGTTCACCAATTCGGGGGCCGCAGACAGGCCCCGGTCCGGGTCGGGTTTGGGACAAAACTGACACATTGCATAATTAGATTGGCCGCTCCAGGTCAGCTGCTTTACCGCTTTACCCTGTGAGCTCTGGCAGATAAATGTCTCAACTGGAATTGCTGAAAAACGCCCTAAGGCGGAAGTCGTGGCCGGCGCCGAGACAAACGTGGTCGGGGCGGGGTCTAATTAGGGAAGTCTGAGGTCATGGCCGGCACTAAGACAAACCTGGCCGGAGCTTGGTCTAGAAAGTCCGAGGTCGGGGGCGGCACTAAGACGACTTGGCCGAGGCTGGAACCGAAAAGTCCGAGGCCAGAGGATTTAAAAGCCCGATTGTTCGGGTTTCAACCATTCTTGAAACAAGGGCTAATGAGATGTGTTTCTTTGGGCCGGTAACCGATGACTGTATTGCTTGTAGAAAGTCTAGCTATCTAGGCTACGGCGAAATCTATGTGAGGGTGATGGTCTTGAATAGTGGATCCCATGGATTCACTTATGCCTCGGCCGCATTTGCGGCCTGGGCCACAGTTTCTTAGTCAGCCGCGAATAAGCCTCGAATAAAACCGATGTCAGGCTGCGTCTATCTTGATGTAACAAGATATTTGGCCGAGGGAATTATCATCTATCATCATTTTCTTCAAAAGGAGCGCTACCAGTTGTTTCGCCGCTCACGCCCTTGATTCTAGTGAGTAGTCTGTTATTTTAGGCTCGGAAGATTGAGTCCACGTCCAAACTGTGCTATGCCCGATCTTAAATTAATTTTATGCTTGTTAGATTCCTGTTGAATTCACCATATGGAATCTTCTAGTGGATGACAAATACTAGATTATTCAGCTGATATGAGCCAAAATTGCCACACAGCTCGCCACCACTCATATGTATAAAACCTGCACCTCTGGCTATGCCAGAGGGGAGGAAAGGAGAAATTGAATAGAATACAACACTCCATTTTTTTTTTGGTCTGAATGTAAAATCCAACAATTCCTGAGGGCTCTTGCTGCACGCCACCCAGGACAGGTCTCTTCACGTAAGCGCTCCAGCCCATCTTGGTACTCTTGCTCGACTTTCCTCCTCAGCTCCGCGAACTTGCCTGCCAGGTCTTTCTCCAGATCAAGGACCGAATCTAGAAAATGGTTGCCCAAGTCCCAGCCTCCCGCAATCTCGCCGCTATACAGCTCATCACCACCGACGAATAAGTTGCGGATATGTCTCTAAAACCTCGATAATAGGCGACTTCTGCTGTGCGGCGACTTATCTCTCATCACGAGGATCTTGCTTGTGCTGCTGACCTGAAGGTGCCGCGAAACGCGGGCAGACATGGTTTTTAGCTCTGCCTCTGTCCGTCGGTCGAATGATAGCTTTTTCTCCCGTTCCATCTCCAACCTCATCAATCCCTCAACATTAAGAGAAACCTTCCATGTTAACCCATTAGTGCTTGCTAGCTTGGTTGAGTTGAAGGCACCGAGCGAGGGCTTCCGGCTAATTGGGTGGGTAATCTTCATCTGTTGCCTGCCCGGGAGGAAGGTGCCACTAGAGTCCAGTGTTTGGGTGTTTGTTTGTACCACGCTACCAGCATTCAGGATGGTGCAGAGACATGAGTGGATGTCACGTGCTTCTCCTGCATTTTCTCCGCACCATTGCCAGCAAGCCATTTCTGCCTGGACGGGGCCCGCACAAGACAGGCAGCCACCAGGCAGAAGCTAGGCAGGAGCCAGACACGTTGGCATGTGATTTGGTGACGGCAATTGACCCCCGTGCTGTTCACATCGCGACGCGTCGCTACGCTAATTAAAAGGGGAAGGAGTCCTTTGAAATTTCCACATGTTGCATCTCGACTAGCGGGAATTTTAGCGACCTCGTCCGTTGCACTTCAATTCTACAACACTAACTAACAGCAAAAGCAAAAGTAAAAGCAACGGCAACAGCGATTTGCAAACATGTCGCAGCCCGAGTATCCCGGCTGGAATCGGGACCTTCGCTGGAGCGACCAGGAGGAGGAGCCAGGACGCTTTTCCGAGGCCGTCTATCCCATGGGCATCCACAACACTTGCCGAGGTGGCCAATCGGCTATGCTTCTAGTCCGCGAAGTGGCCATGATGGCAGTCATGGACCGCTTGACGGACAAACCCGACTGGCAAGTCAAAGTCTTTGACGAAGCCATCGCCGAGAAGTGGCGCCAGGAAGCCCTCGCTTCGGCCGAGCCCGACAATGTCTTGAGCCGGGAGTGTGTTGAATATGTCTGTCTTCCGACCCAGCTCCTTGGTTTCTACGACTGACATTGATAATCGGCAGTGCATCCTTGAATTGCGCCACAAAGCCCACCACTTCAAGCGCACCGGCATCACCCCCACCCTAGACGCGACCTTCAGCATTGCCAAGTCAGATGTCCTCGTGCCTCTCGAGCTGCACTCTGCTCTGCGTGGTGCCTTTTTCCAACTCCAGACCGACCAGTCGTCCAACCCGGATTGGCATCCCAACACGAATAACAAAGTCCAGGATCTTGTGCATCCATCCATGTACCCACTTGTCTATGGCCGCTCGCGCTTCTTCGCCGACGAGGTGGTTGGAGTTGACAATGCAATTTACAAGTTTGCCGGCAAGGGTGAGGTAATCCCTCGGCGCCCCGAGTGGGGTGGCGAGCCAACACACCAGGACAGGTATGGATGGTTTTCGAGGGGAAATCCGTACAAGATTCCAAAGCACTTCTGGTCGACTTTCTACCAGTGGCTGCCGGCAAACGTCAAATTCACTACCGAGGGTGGCGTGCAGTTCACGAGCTACATTAATAACCTCCACCCGACCAAGTACCGCGACACGTACAAGGTCATTGAGAAGCTCGTCGAAAAAGCGCTTCCAATGTGGGACCAGTGTCTTTCCCAGGACCTTTACCGCGGCAATAGACGTTCGGGCGCGGGGCGACATGAGCCTCGAATCGTCCCTGAAGACGCCGAGTACGTATCTCTCTTCCCAGTGCATGAAATGTCGAGTCTTTTCAGCACGCAACTAACTCATTCTCGCAGTGACGAAAATCCGAATAACTGGTAAATAACCCTCCTAACCCCGACATGAGATTCTTACTTAGATCTGCAGGGACCCGAAATCGCCAAGGGAAATGCTCAACAGAGAGGCAGCCGAGGATGGGACGGGGCCTGGGACGGGCGAGAGAAGGACTCGGTCCAGTCTGCCCAGCCGCAGTCACATCCCAGCGACGCATGCTGCACAGGTTCGCTGGGAGAACACGCGCAAGCCCGCCCCACCGCAGCCACCTCCCTTCGCCAAGAGCTGTGTCAGTTATGCCGTCAACCGAGCCCAGTCGCTGCGCAAGCAGTTCCAGGACACGGGACTCCAAATCATCGTCAAGATGGCATCCATTGAGCTGACTCCCGAAAACCCCGAGTTTCCCCAAGGGGGGTGGCACGTCGAGGGCCAGATGAACGAGCACATCGTCGGCACTGTCCTCTACTATCTCGACTCGGACAATGTCACGGACAGCCACCTCGACTTTCGTGCCGCCGTACAGATGAGCGACGGGACGTCGATGAATGTCGGCCAAGATCGGTACCACTGGATGGAGCACGTCTACGGGGTGCGACATCTAAACGGCAGCCCGCGCCTCCAGAACTACGGCAGCGTCCTCACGCGCGAGGGCCGTCTTCTCGCCTTCCCCAACGTCTTCCAACACCGTGTGTCGGGCTTCAGGCTTGCGGACCCGAGCAAGCCCGGGCACCGCCGCTTCATCGCGCTGTGGCTGGTCGACCCTCTCACCCGCATCATCAGCACGGCAAACGTGCCGCCCCAGCAAGCCGACTGGTGGTCCGGCAGCGTGTTTGGCGGAAAGCTTGACAACAAAATGGACGACAGGTCGATGCCGCTGTCCCCCGACATCGCGCAGCTACTGCTCGAGCGCGGCCTCGGGCCCTCGGGCACCAAGACGGCGACTAGAACGCCGGTGGGCGCAAAGCTGCCGCCCGAGGTGCTCAACATGGTCCGCCACGAGCTCGACCAGGACGCGCTGCCCATGACCCGCAGCGAGGCCGAGCACCACCGCCTTAAGCTCATGGCGGCGCGGTCAGCATTCCAGGACGAGGCCAGGGACCAGTGGAACAATGACACGTACAGCTTCTGCGAGCACTGAGGCCTGGATTGTGGATTGCGGATTGTGCGTGTGATAAGATCTGGATCGCGCGGGAAATCCGAGACAATCACGGCAAATCCTTCAGTCAGATAATTAAGACGAATTGCAGTCTGTCTGAAATGTCGGATGGGTTCCCCGGCCAGCACAGTAAAGCGCAGGGGTGGGTACCCGGAAGGGCCTGGGCGGCCTCAGGCCTGGGACTTGGCCGGAACTTGCGGGACTGAGATCTGCTTGTGCTTGCCCTGGTGTTCGGTCGCCAGAGGCGGCTGGACCGGGCGACCCGTCTCACATATAGCCTAAGAAACCGGCCCATGGGCGGTTTTCCTGTGCTACAGAACCATTTGAAACACGTGGACGGCGACATTTCCAGGCCCCGAGGCGGCTGCCAAGACGGCCCCCGATATCTCCGCTGCGGCACAGCCGCCAAACCATCCCCGGCTTCCTGCCTCGAGTCTGGGCCCAAGGGATTTATTTCTCCTTCTCATCAGACGCGCCAGCCCTGGTTGGATAGAAGATCGGCCATGTAGATACCTCGCGCGCCGGAAACGGCTGCTGCTGGCGGGCAGCTTCAAGGTTGTAGATCTCACGGCGCGAGCCGGGGTGCTGGGGAACTGGGGCTTGACACCTTCACCGCTATATAACGCCAAGTTCCGGTGTCACTTCTCTAATCTTTATTCAACACAAATCAGCTCGCAATCTCCCACCGGGTCATCAATTTCGGCTTCTTGTGCGGTATTTTACCCGCAACCACTGTTCCAGCTTCCACATCGAAACTTTAAACCGCAATGGCAACAAACTCGCAGGGACATAAAATTAACCACAACCAAGTCCACCACAGCCAAGCCCCCCACCACGCACAAAATCACCAGCAAACAGTTTCCCGCCAAACCAGTCTTGGCAGCACCATTGCGAATGGTGGCATGAATGCTGCCATTAATGTAGGCCGAAGTGTTCCTGCCAATACGGTGACGAAGACAACAAAGACGACGACTGTCACTAGGGATGGAACTACTAGTTCTACTACTACCACTACCACAACTCAGCGCCAACAGTAAGTCGCCGTTGCGTCGTTGACCAGCGGGCGGGAACGAAATTTGCTGACCGTGCCTCCATTTCCAGAAAGCCAGCCAAGAAACATAAGCTGCCGGCGGGTTATGTTATGGCCAGGCTCTGAATCGACAGGACGATGTCGGTCGGTCCAGTCATAGAACACACATTAGGCGCGGGTCGTCGAGGGGGTTGTTTTGGTGACTGAGAGATGTCAGGGCCGTGTGCAGGCAGCAGGGAGGATCGAAAGCATGTTGGTGAGTGCTTTGCTAGAAAATAGGAGTTGACAGATTACAACATCATTGGCCAATACTGCTGAGCTTTTCGAGACCCATTAGAGTGATGTGGCTCAGAAGAAACTAGACAAGAGAGTTGATGCACGTGCACTAATGTTGCTTGCGATTTCCGTGCAGTGAATTATTCACGCATCTGGATTAAGTGACGGTTCAACGTGAACTGTTCGTGACAACTTTGAACGAGTTGGAAAACAAGACCTGATGCACGTCAGAACAATGCTGATTGCGATTCTCGTGCATCAACCGATTTAGTTAATACATGGATTAAGTGATAATTGGTCGTGAACTGTTGGTGTCGATACTGAGTAGTAAGTGAAAGGAGTGATCCCCCCTCCTGCACAAGCAAAAAAAAAAAAAAAACTGTACCGTCATCTCAATGCAGGCTGCTCGTTTGCATCGTTTTGCTGGCGTGATTATCACATGGATCTCCTGTTCTCAGCACACCGCCACCTGCCAATTGACTGCCGAATGCTCTGAGTCGCCGTGCACCGAGTTGCACGACGAGGGAGCGGGCGAGGAAGCTAGGGAAGAAGGGTGGAAGAGTCGGAGACAAACAGATTCGGTTAACAAACAAGTAGAGATGTGAAGTAGAGATAGTAGAGATAGTAGAGATAGTAGAGTTAGTAGAGATAGTAGAGATAGTAGAGTTAGTAGAGATAGTAGAGTTAGTAGAGATAGTAGAGATAATAGAGTTAGTAGAGTTAGATGAGATACGGCGCAGTTGAAGGTTGGTTGCTTCAAAGCGCTGTTTGTGACCTTGTGTGGCACGCTGCTGTTTGCGTGTCACGGGGCGGAGGCCAAGTAAGGCCTTGGCGCCAAGAAAAGGTCCGACCGACGGCGACGGCCCAAAATGATTTATGTTCTAACATCTTACTCTGTTTCGCGGGTTGGTGACGGGGCGGTGGCCGGGTCATCTGTTTGGGCCCCGGCCACGGCCACGGCCAGGGGCTTAGCTACCGAGAAAACTCCCGGGCTGTTTAGGTAATAAAGGCACTATGCATAAAAGCTGCCAAGGTCGCGTGAATTAGCTGCTATGGTGGCCGTGATATTGGCTTCGTCCGACATCAGACGACGACAGCTCGCATTTAACCCCCTAGACCAAGTTCTGGGACTCGCTAAGAATTGAAATCGGTTACAGCCATGTTCCACAGCAAATTCGTCACTGCTTGTTGGCCTGGACCCGTCGGACCACACCCGGTTACAAGGACAAGAGACTCGGTGGTGGCGGTTGCCTAGGTATATGTAGCAGGCAAGACGGTGTTCTAGTGCATGACCCAAGTACTCGTCCGTTCCAACCTCAGATTTTGCCAAGCGGGTCTCTCGATTAGTTCACCATTCGTCTTTTCTCCAAGGGCCTAGGCACCTTACTCCTCACAAGTATTAAACACCATGTCGACACCTGTACAGGCCAATCCTATTCCTGTGAAAATCAGTCACCTGCCCCAACAATCTGGCATGAATACGGCGAATGCTTCCGCAGTTACAACAAAACCGACGCCGATACCGCAAGTAAAGACCAAACTTAACGCCCTACCAGCCCTGACAACTCCTGACCAGAGAGACAAGGACGCTATCCCGAAAGTCGCTACTCCTATTCGAACAGCGAGCATTTCTTCGAGCACTAGTGAACGTGCAATATCAGAACCTGCACCAGCACCGACCTCGCCACATTCAAGAGTGAAAAAGCCCGCACTAATGGTATTACCTAAAGAAGTAAAAGAGTCCACCGGTATCTTTAAGGAAATTGAAGGGAGAGATATTGCGATTGCGGGCGACCATACCGCAGACAAAGACGCTCAGGAACAGAAGACAATTCAACTCAGAAAGAACATGTCGTCGGCAGCGAAGCTTCGATACTTCAGAAGCATACGGCTTGAAGTTGAGAGTGACGAACAACAAGCGGCAGAGAGGGGAAAGACCGAAGCAGTTCAACAATAAATACCGTAGCTTCTAGATAGAGCGAGAAGAATCGAGATAGGCGCATTCATCTAGTTCCGGCTCATGATCTAATTATACCGCCACTCGGCTAAGAAAAGTGAACCCTGAAAATAACAGTCAGCGCGAATCTCGTGCCATGTAATAACAGCAGAACCACTATTTAATAAATCTTCACGTAGTCAGCGCTCTCAGTTCAAAAACACCTACCCAGGTATTCTTCTTAGTTTAAAACGTGGAACCTTACTTAAGATGGCTAGGGCTTGCGCCATATTTCTCCAGCTAGATTTCAGCAACCACTAGTACCGTGCCGCACCTCCGACACGCTGCTGTCAACGGCACGCTACCGTAAGCAGAGCAGCTACTTCCTCTAAGTGACCTGCCCCGTTTCTTTCTTTTGAGTTCGTTTTATTTATTTAACTACAAGGTTTTCTCTTATTTCCTTGGGGCTATGCCACTTCCTTAGGGCTATGCCACTCATACAAAGATGCAAGTCAGGTTCTTGGTGCGGCACTGTAAGGGGGCTTGGCAGGTCAGAGAGACAGGACGGTGTTGAGGTTGTTGCAGCACTGATCTCTGGCCCGTTACAAAGACTCTGCGGGCTAGCTGCCCGAACTTACTTATGTGCGTTCCCAGACACCGCCCGACTCCTAAGGGGGCTTTTGGCTAACAAGTTACTCGGCTTAGTAGGTAGGATCTACCTAACAAGCACAGTGATAGCCTAGCTTGGTCGAACTCCTGTTTGAGAAAACGCCTCTTTTAAGCCACTAGGCTAGAGGAGGTTTGGTTGACAAAAGTCGACCAAATGGGCTTAGCCCAGGAACCTTAGCCTAGGAACCCCCAGCTAGCAAGTCCCTAAGATCTCGGTCTTTCGAGACACAACAATAGGTACAACCCTAAAAATCAGATCCGAATTTAGCCTACGTTGGTGCCTGCTTCCAACAACTCCACACTCCAGCCTGAGACTATGAAATGACCAAGTAGAACAAAGTTGTTGGTGGGTCGCCGTTAACTTGAGTATAGATGTCACAACATGGCGTTGGTCCTTGCAGTTGGTATTTTCTATATAAACGAGGACGCTGTCCGTATTTTTCTCAACTTTCTCCTCAGATCTAATTACTAATCTTTCATTACACATGCCTAAATTCCTTCTAGCTGAACTAATTACACTCTGAACGGCTTTTAGCTTAAAAATACCGCATCAACAATGTCTTCGACACCTACTCACTCCAACCCCAGTGGTATTCCGACACAATCAACGGTTAAGCTACCAGTAGCACTTGCAACTACAGCAGCAAAGCTCTCTCTTCCTCTCCCGGCTCCGACTAAACCCCAGAGTGGAGATGAAAATTAGTGCCACGATGGCGCCCATGAACATGTTCCCGACACCTTGGCGACGCCGACTAGAAACGTTGCACCACGGGCTCAGTTGCCCGCTGCGTCGTCTCAGCTGCCCATCACGTCGTTCAGTTGCCCGCCGCGTCGTCAGGGTTGCATAAGCCGACTGCGAATTCGGACAGTCCCGACAATTCTTCGAGCGTCGCGGGAGAAAAGAAAATAAAAAAGAGCGAACCAGCAAAGGCCGAACCAGTACAAGTATAGGGGGTTTCGGGGAATCAAGTAGTGGACGATGCCTTCCTGGACCTTTTGGGTAAGGTGCAAGCCAAGAGTGTGGTCAAATAGCTTGGAAAGTGGAGTGTTGGGTGGCTGGAAAATACCAAAAGGCGACACGGATCTGGGACCTGTTGTTCTCATGCGACAGTAGGTCTGAGAAGGCCTAGCTCTGTCATCTGACCGGTGTTACGGGGTGAGAGAATTCGTATGTGGGCTTGGACGAACAGAGCTCGAGGGCCTCAGCTGGATTCAGAGCTCGAGGGTCTCAGCTGGATTGAGGACGAAGGCAGCTGAATGTGTAATGTGTATTGGGTAGAGGCTCAAGCAGGAGTTTGATAGTTAATTAGTTAGGTAGGTTCCGTAGGGTCATTTTCCCTTGCCTGCAAGATTTTGAGTGACTCCTGCAGGCGCTTTAATTAGTTCAGGTTGAGGGTCGTGAATTGCTTTGTTGTAGTAATTAATTACATGGCACGGTGACGGTGACACCAGCTATTTGGGCGCGGCGGAGCCCCATTCTAAACAAAAGCGAAGATCCAGAGAACTGTAGCCGTCTCTCAAGGATCTCTCCGCCGGGCCTGACGCAAGCGGTGGCAATGTCACCAATGCTCGGAGGGTTTCTGGGTCTTTCTTCCCTATCTCCCTGTACAAGTACGCACCTAGATAAGTGGCTGTGTGCTTGGTGAAGGAGAGTTCAATATGCCATGCCGGCTCTTTTCTTTTCCTTTCTTCTTCACAAGGAAACGTGTACGCGTCACGGGCAAGCCAGCCATCATTATTTTGCGTTTAACCGCCATCCCAGCCCAGTTCTCGGATGCCATCCGGCCGAGTCCCGAAATTGTGGTACTTTTGGGTCCATCAACTCCCGGGAATCGCGGAATGCGCATCGCTTACCACTAGTTCTCTATTTGGTTCTACAGCAAAACGACAACCTCGCCTCCTCCCTCCACTCAGAGAGAGCTAGAACACTGGGGCCCTCATCAAAATGGAGTTTTTCCGATTGGGTGGACGCACGACTATATTGGAAGCCTGTTCCAGCGGCTTGGCACACCAACCGGGCGCTCGCAGCATCTCGGTAATTGGAGGCGACACTCGCTCGAGCGGCCAGTCACTTAATTACCCCCGATAAGCCACCCACCAAGAATCAATGCCAACTTCGCTATAGGGTCAAAATAGCCGCGCGATATTAGCAATACGCCAAGACGCTGTGATATGACCGCCTCTCGGATGGTGTGGCATGGCAGTTCTCTCAGGCGACACACTGACCGTGGGCCGGCTGTCAGTCGTATCTCAGGAGACGATATGAACGGCTCTGGCCTGTTGTTCGAACCCTTGTCTCGAGTCCTGCTTCAACCATCATCACACTGCTCGACCGCCCTCCGGAAACCACCACTGCCCGATAATTATGCGTTGGTCTCCGCTCGTCTTCGCGGTTGCCGCCGAGGCCCAGTTCAGCCAGGGCCTGAACCACCTGCGGTTCGGATGCTCGCAGATCACCATCGAGCGTCTCGACCCTCTGGTCAACCCGGGCAGGATCGCAACGCCGCACATGCACCAGGTCGTGGGCGGCAACGCCTTCAACGCGTCCATGCCATCGGCGGACATCTCCAAGGTCGCGACCTGCACCACCTGCGGCCCGGCCGACGACTTCTCAAACTACTGGACCGCCAACATCTACTTCCAGGCCCGCAACGGCAGCTACAAGCGTGTGCCCCAGGTTCCCAACAGGTGGGTGCGGCGTGTTTCTTTCCGTCACGACTTGTTTACACTGTGAGGGGCTCCTGTGCTAACGTCGAGGCCCTGTCATCCAGGCTCCTGTTCAATGACAAATTCACCACCCAGACCGCCGGCGGCATTACCGTATACTACATTGCGCCGTCCAAGAACACTGTGACTGCGTTCAAGCCGGTAAGTCTCTTACTCCGCCCACAAAGCCCAATACGCGGGTTCCATTCTAATCACAACCCACGGCTGTCATGTTCAGGGCTTCCGCATGTTCGTCGGCGACCCGGCGCGCCGCACCAAGAAGTACAAGTCGCAGAGCTGCTTTCGCTGCTACTCGGGGCCCAACTTTGGCGGCGACGACGCGGCGCCCTGCTCCGACGCCCGGCTCGACTTTGAGGGCTTCCCGCCCAACCCGTGCCTGGGCGGCATCCGCTCCAACGTGCTCTACCCGACGTGAGTCACATGTCAGGCCTGTCAGCTCTTCGCTGTCCACTTTACTCGACGATCTCGTGGAGAAAAAACAAAAAGGACTCTGCTAACAGGCCCACCTACCTGCCGCTCAGCTGCTGGGACGGCAAGAACCTCGACTCGCCCAACCACATGGACCACGTGGCGTACCCGACGGCGGGGCCGTCTAACTTCCTCTCGACAGGCGCATGCCCGTCGACGCACCCCGTCAAGATCCCGCAGCTGATGCTCGAGGTAGGCCCCCAACACCCAACCAGCCATCCACGCGCCAACATTGCTGACAACGACAACAGGTGGTCTGGGACACGACCAAGTTCAACGCCAAGAGCGACTGGCCGGCGGACGGGTCGCAGCCGCTGGTGCTCAGCACAGGCGACAAGACGGGGTACGGGCAGCACGGCGACTACGTGTTCGGGTGGAAGGGCGACGCGCTGCAGCGGGCCATGGACGCCAACGGCTGCTTCAGCGCCACGTGCGGCAACCAGAAGACGCAGGACAATGCGGCTGCGAACAAGTGCGTTATCAAGAAGACGGTCAAGGAGGACGTTGATGGCTGTGAGTTCTCTCATTTCTTTTTCTTTTTCTTATTGATGCTAGCTGCCCTTTCAAACACACTCTGTTCCTTGGGTTTTGTTGGTGGTGTCGTGACTAACTGTTCGGTTCTAGGGTTCGATATGCTTCCGGGCGAGCCCATGGCGTAGAGTTACGGCTCTGGGTCCCACAAGTAGCCCTGACGATGGGCGATTGTGTACAAGGGAGGCTGTTTGGCGGTACACTGCTTCTTGAAGGCAGAAGATGAAGCCGAGTAGTAGCATTTTGACTGTGTGCGTGATCCGTTAAAGAAGTAATCACGTCTTTCGTCGTCCATAATCATCCAATGAACCTTGGATTCCTGAATGCACGTGTTGAGAACCCCTTCGAGCCTTGCTTCGAGCCTTGAGAGACTGATTGATCAATGGTAATCTTCACCTGCCAAACCACATCACGTCTCCATTTCTACATCTCAGTTCGATTCTCTGCAAGACACTTGCACCATTCAGCGCCTCCGACATCTCTCTCAACTAGTCCCTAATTCCCCAAAAGCTTCAGCACCGCCAGGCCGCCCCACCCGACGGCCAGCGCGTCGCACAGGTTGATGACGTTGGCCGAGTGCGAGATGGCGTCGTTGTAGTCGTCCATCAGCGGCACCGTCTTCTTGTCGGCCCAGAACGACTTCATGTAGGCCGAGGCTCGGAGCTCGGCGCCAGCAAGAAAAGCCGGCCACAGCGCCGCGCGCACAGCGAAGAATCCCCCGGCGCTCCCGAACAGGATGTAGTACAGGCTGCTGAGAAGAGAGATCGCAGTCTGCCGGCGAGCGAACGGGAGGTTAGGTGGTCAGCGTTGCCTTCTTGGCCTGGGTAGTACTAGTAAAGAGGAAATGATGGTTAATTACCACGGCGAACCCCACGGCCACAGTGCGACGCGTTGACAGCAGGTGGTTGGCGGCCGCAGTGCTCCATTCGGCGGCCTTTTTGGCGCCCGCCTCGTATTGGTGCAGCTTGGGGATCGACTGGGCCGACTGGGAGAGGCAGTAGCCGCTGACGCCGGCGAGGGCCAGCGAGAGGACAATGGTGAAGAAGCCCATGGCTGCTGCTGCGAACGCGATTCGCCTCAGATATTCTGTTCTGCTGGTCGATTCTCGAAAATGTATCGTTGGGAAATTATTTTTCGGCAATGTGATGAATCTCGAAAGAGCTGCGGGTGAAGGGTTCGAGTTTTGCATGGGACACGATGACGAGTGGAAGCAACCGTGACGTCATGGCCGTCGAGTACGCGTCAGGGGCAAGAACGCTTCGTAGCCTATTTATCTCCTGGGGCACGGGGAAGAGTGCGCCAATGGTGGATACAAACAAACTAATTCGGATGCCGCACGCTTAGCTGCGACAATCGTCTGTTGTGAGACATCTCCTTGGAAAGCCGACCGCGCCGAAAACACGGCCGTAAAACTACTGCCCTGGAGCAAGACAATCGCAGTCTAACCCGGCAAACTCATGGTGGGTTGAGTATCAGTAAAGTCCAGAAGGGGATTGGCAAGCAAGGGTCGTATGTTTTTTTTGTTGGCATGGGCGTTCTCAGTCCTGCACGCTTAGGGTTGTTTGTTAAGTGCAGTAGGCCAACAGGCTAACGTTTGTGCGTCTGGCCTACAGTGCGGCTGTGTTGCTCGGTCGGGATTTTGGGGCAAGCAGCTTTTGCTAGCAAAGAGCAAAGATAGCTAGCAACGGATGACTTGTGCTCTTTGGCGCGCCTAGCCACATTCTTCCACCGAAGGCTTGAGGCTGACAGGCGGTTGTTTCCGGCTCCCAAAGGCTCGGCGCGCGGAATTATGCTCCTCGGGTATTCTGCCCCCGAGAAACGGTTTGCTCGACCACTTCGGAATATTTCCCGTCACCAGACCGGCCGATTTGCTGGCGTCGACGGGTGGATGGCAGGCTGGCTTATCGGCTGGCCCGTGCCAATACTTCCCCGCATTTCACCTAATTGGAATCGGGGAGCACTGCACTCACTGTAGTGGGTGGTAGCGATGTGGTAAGCCGCCTGGGGCGGTAAGTGCACTTCGATTAGCGGGCTTCCTTTGGGGGGGCTCCAGTGCACCTTCCTGATTTGCCTTGCCCGCCACCGTCACGGCGGCTTGGCAGCCACACGGCGGCGTCTTATCTCTTGGATTGGGAAGCAGCCGCCGAGATCTGGTGCCTGCCACCACGACTTGGCGGACGTTTTCTCTTGGCACAGTGCTTGTCGTGTGCAAATTCCGCACTAGATGCGCGCGGTGAACCAAGGAAGACTGGAGGCGGCCTTGGCCACCGTCACTACCGTCACTACCTACATCCAGGTGCGCCGTGGCTGCGAACGCGCCCTGACTGCGAACAGTGCGCTCCATCATCTGCCGACTTGCTGCGCCGCCCAGAGCCTCAGCTTACAGCCAGAGCAGCACAGTTCGAGACACCGAGGATGCGTCCCCAATCTATCGCAAGGTTGAACGTCAAAGTGCTACCGGTAACCGTACCGATGGCGGTGCCTCGTGGTGTCCCTGCCGCCCGGGGGCCTGTAAAAATCCATGCAGGCCTGCAGGACCCTAGCTGCCCGTCAGGCATGGACCCGGCTCGGCGACTGACGCCATTCGCGCCATAGGCCCTTTTGCCATAACGGGCAGGCACGGTGACCTTCACAGCTTGGCACGCCCAATCTCACAATCTCGCTCGCTGTGAATGGCCGCAGCAGCGTGGCGGGTGGATCAACAGCTTCGGCGAAGGAGCCTGCACTGCTGCAGACCATCGATAGGCTCGAATCATGTGTTGGCCCTGTGTTGGCCCTGTGTTCGGTGGGATGCAGAGCTGTCGATTTCCTCGGGCAGACGGACCCAACACGACTCTATCGGAGCTAATTATTGGGGACTTGGGTTGCATTGTGTGTGCTCTGGAATCTGGATGACAGTCAGCTTTACATCAACAAACGGACGGGGTCCATGTCTGTCTAGCCTGGCCGGGGCCGCCTGCCTGCCTCTGCCTGCCATCCAAAGACGTTGTGGATCACCCGTCGTGCTGCGTGGGCGTGGGCGTGGGCGTGGGGAACAGGCCAGGTCGCATAGCCATCTGGCCGTGATTGGCATGCGCGTCCAGCCGTCCACTTTCGTAGACCGAGCCTGGTTAAAGCTGGCTTACACGGACAGGGGGGTGCTATATTAACCTTCGCCGCGCCCGGTCTTTTATCTTTTAGCTCCCGGCGCGCAACCGTTCCTCGAGTCCAAGATCCCTCTCGTTCTCCTCCTCGACATCTTGTCCTCTCGAGTCTTGGCGGCGTCTGGTATTGGCCGCACGCGCTGCTGCCAGCGACACACGAACACATACCACAAAGCGGGAAGGAAACGAGAACAGCAAAAATGGCCGTCTTTCCGTTTGCAAGGCGGAGAGGGGTTGTCAGCGATGAGAAGCACCCCGATTCTCCGCCGCCGCAGGAAGCCGTCGCCGGCGAGTATGTCAGCGGCGAGGAGAGCGGCCTTGTCGAGGAAGTCAAGGATGACCTCCACCGTGGCATGAAGCCGCGCCAACTAAGTGAGTCCAGTCGCCTCCCGCCCCGGACCTCGCCATCCGCCCCCGGCCTCGTGTTCCCCCGGCCTCGTGTTCCCCCGCGTGCTGACAGGATTTTGTGTATCGCAGACATGATGGCCATTGCCGGCGCAATTGGAACAGGTAATGACCACTTCCAGTCACCCCGTCGCTAATATCAGATTCGCGTTAATAGCGCCCTTTGCTGACGCGTGCCTCCCCCCCCTCCGTCAGGCCTGATTATCGGAACTGGAACTGCTCTCAAGTTTGGGCCTGGCTCACTCCTGATCGGCTACGCCCTCATGGGATTCGTCGTCTACATCGTCATGGTCGCTCTGGGCGAGATGGGTGCCTGGCTCCCGCACAAGAAGTCCTTCTCCGGATACGCGACACGCTTCGTCGACCCGGCCATGGGGTTCGCAACCGGCTGGAACTACTTCTTCAAATACGTCATCGTGCTCCCCAACAACTTGACCGCGTCGGGCATCATCCTGCAGTACTGGAGACCCGAAATAAACGTCTCCGTGTGGATTGTTGTCTTTGGTATCGCTATTATTCTGCTCAACGTACGTGCCTTGCCACAGCCGCTTATCATCTAGCCCCGACTTCCTACCCTATGTCTAGGCTTGTTTGCTGATATTGTTTTCACAGCTGATTCATGTCTCGTTCTTTGGCGAGGCCGAGTTCTGGATGTCTCTTGTCAAGGCCCTAGTCATCATCATGCTGATCCTGCTTTGCTTCATCATCTCCCTCGGCGGCAGCCCATCTGGCCACCGGTCAGGATTCTGGTACTGGACTGACCCGGGCGCCTTTGCCCAGTACTCGGCCTCTGCCAAAGGCGTCAGCTTGACCGTCCCCGGAGCGACTGGCCGCTTCCTGGGCGTCTGGGCCTGCATCGTGCAGGCTACCTTTGCCTACCTCGGTACCGAGCTCGTCGGTGTGGCTTTCGGCGAGACCCCCGACCCGCGCAAGAACGTCCCGCGTGCTGTGAGGCAGACCTTGCTGCGTATCGTCTTCTTCTACATCGCCGGTGTGATTGTTCTCGGCATGGCCGTCCCTTACAACAGCAAGACCCTGGCGAACGCCACCAGTGCCAAGACGAGCGGAAGTATGTTGCTCTAGCTATTCTTTGACTGGAGAATTCGTACTGACCAGAGTCCCAGTTGCGTCGCCCTTTGTGGTTGCCGCCAAAGATGCCGGAATTGACAAGCTGGCTGACGCCGTCAACGCCCTCCTTCTCGTCTTCACCGTCAGCGCAGCGAACTCGGACATCTACCTCGCCTCCCGCACGGCATGGGCGCTGGCCAAGGACGGACAAGCACCCGAGTTGATGAACCGCACCAACAAGCGCGGCGTGCCCATCCCGGCCGTCGCGCTGTCGTCCATCTTCATCGCGCTCGGCTTCCTGAACGCGACCAAGGACTCGGCGACAGTGTTTGGCTACTTTGTCTCGCTCGTGACCGTCTTTGGTGCGCTCAACTGGATTGCCGTGCTGGTCAGCTACCTCGCCATGATCAACGCCATGAAGGTGCAGAACGTCCCGCGCTCCATCATGCCGTACCGCAACCCGCTGCTGCCATACGGCGCGTATTTTGCTCTTTTCATCACCACGCTGGTCATCATCTTCAGCGGCTACAGCGCCTGGTTCCCCTTCTTCCAGGTCGACAAGTTCATAACGAGCTACATTGGCATCCCCGTCTACGTCCTCAACATTATCTGGTGGAAGCTATTCAAGAAGACGAAGCGCGTGAAGCCGTCCGAGGTCGACCTGATTACGGGCAGGAGGGCCTGATTTGTGCCAAGCTGCGGGGGGCCTGTTCGTTTCAGCGATGCTTTAGTTTTGGAGTCACAGGTGCTGGGCGGATATCTTGCCGAGGATTTGGCTACGAGCGGTATTCAGCAATGCTACTCTGCTGGTATTGACCAGTTGGCAGATCAAATATAAATCTGCTTATTCTGAAGGACAATTTTGACTCAGTTCGAGGAAACCTCATCTTACCTAGACAAGGTGAAAAGGGATAAAGGATCGCCCCATATTCACAATGGGCGTCTGCAATGCGCCAATCCCGCGGTGTCTATCCATGCCGCTCAACCCTTTTGCGGCCAGACGATCGGCAGACTGCATCAGGCTGATCGCCAGATCTGCTCTTCACCTTGGAGCCATTAGGGGACCCGCTGGCTAGGACCCCCGTCCCGCTCAATGCGAACCCCTAATCCGGTAAAAAAAAAATGCTTCTCCGAGCACAGCACGCATATGACTAAAATTAATTTCCAGCGGGCTTCTCAAGTCCCGTGTCGGCTCCCGCCCGATGGAATCGCGAACGTCGATTGGCTCGCTTCCCATGTAATAGCATTGCCTGCTATGGATTCAAGTAAACGACCACGGTCCACCCGGGCCCCGTTCATCCTGTGCTGAGCCCGTATTCTGGTTCCCGCCGCCTTTTGGATATTTATCATGCATCTTCTGGCGGGAGTCTTCTGAAAAGGCTGGGGCGAGTCGCCTCCTTGGAGACGTCTTGCGGGCCGGTACTCATATGCAGTTCTATGCTCGCCTCTGGGGCCCAGGAATTCAGTGGGATCGAGCAATCAATAGCGGACGGGAACATAGATTGGTTGGGTGGTTGGTAGGGAGCCATGGCAGGTTCAACTGCGTGATGCGGCTGCGTTGTTCATGCCTGCGCCGGGTTTGTGTTGTGACAAAGTCGCGGAGCTCGGTGGCTTTGCTTGGGACTGCTACGCGTCGAGGATTCGGCGGCGAGAAAGTCAACGTATATATATCAAGGCGGCTCCTGAGCTTTATTTGGTTTTCCTAGACTAGACATTCACATCTCTTGCCAGCCAAATCGTAGCCATAGTCGCGCCACAGCTCACAGACCATTTGCCATCGACGAATATCCCATCGCATCCCACCATTTAACAGGATTGAACAGCACAACATGAAGGCCTCCTTTGTTGCCGCGAGCGTGCTCGCTCAGTACACATCTCTTGCAGCCGCCCACTCAATGTTCCAGGACGCAGCCGCGGGGACTGTCGACTACAACTCCACGTGTGTCAGGATGCCTGTGAGTCTTTCACTATCTAACCGTGACATGAAACGAGGATGACTACGGACTAACAGCCGCGGGATGTCTCTACTCTAGCCCAACAACTCGCCCGTCACCAACGTGGCCGCGCCGGAGATGGCGTGCAACGCCGCCGGCACCAAGGCTACCACCAGCACATGCCAGGCAACAGGTGATTACCAACCCTGCCACACACATGTAAGACACGAGAACTCCAAATCACTAACACCCCACAAACAGCCGGCTCGCCCTTTACCGTCGAGATGCACGCGCAGCCAGGCGACCGGTCATGCGCCTCCCCAGCCATCGGCGGCAACCACTTCGGGCCGGTCATGGTATACATGAGCGCGGTAGCCGACGCAACAGCGGCAGGCGCAGCGAGCGGGGCGTCGTGGTTCAAGGTCGACGAGATCGGCTACGACGCTGCCACGAAAACCTGGGGCACCGACGTGCTCAACGCCAACTGCGGCAAGCGCCAGTTCGTTATCCCCGCCAAGATCCCCGCCGGCGACTACCTCGTCCGCGCCGAGGCCATAGCATTGCATGCGGCATCGCAGGTCGGCGGGGCGCAGTTCTACATGAGTTGCTATGTGAGTTTATTTTCTTTGTGTGTGTGTCTGTGTGAGTGTGTGAGGGAAAGAGCTGACACCGCAGGCAGCAAGTCAAGGTCGCTTCCAGCGCCGCCGGGCAGCTCCCGGCCGGCGTCAAGTTCCCCGGCGCCTACAGCGCGCAGGACCCCGGCATCCTGATCGACATCTACAGCAACCTCAAGAGCTACACCATCCCCGGGCCGGCCGTCATTGACAAGAGCTTTTTCTGAAATTCGGGCGGCCGTTGGCTGAGCAGTGAGAGCGTGGAGTGTTAAGGGGAACAAGGCGTATTTAGAAACATGCAACGTGAATATATTTATCATGTCATTATTCTAAAAGGCTTCGAAAATTGAACGGTCTCTTGGTACGGTCCGTATTTTTGGTAACAACCCATGACTGTGCCAAGGAACTTGAAGTCGGCTCTGGGTGAAGGAGACCCGAATAGCCCCTTATAGTTTAGTAACATTGAGACACACTGACGCCAGCGGGGAGGCCTTTGAATCCACCCTGTTTGTGCACACACCTAGATACAACTGTCCCTCCCGAAACCGACGTAATAGGTAATGCTAGTCAGATGATATAGCTAGTCCTTCCCTGGCCTAATACTTCGCACTGTCACGTTATACAATAACTAATTAGTGCCTAGCCTAGAAGTGTATGGGGTTTTTGGTGGTTTCAGCTAATTACCTAGTATTGCATCTTGTTAACTATTTCTTTACTCCACCGAATCCCTGGCGAAGGGTCGCGAGGTCGCCATGCCATGTTTGTTGCAGCGCATCCTTCTCCGCCTCGCTGATTCTGTTCTTATTTCTTTCCACGTCATGCGAAGAACCATTGTTGGGATCGTCAATCTCATCTGGCTCGCCGTAAATAACATTTGATGAGTGCTCGAGACGATTTCCTGAACTATCCAAGTTCACAGTCGGTTTATGCGACCCCGTTGACGTGTTGGACAACTGAGACTGTGGATCAACGCGTGTAGTCGTCGGCGCTTCATGTCCAGGGCCGTCACCGTGGCCGTGATTATCAGTTCCACTTATGTTTGATGATGCCTTGACAGGTAGAGAAGGCCTTTTTGCTAGAGTTGCAGGTGCCGCTTGTGGCCCAACTTTTAGTTGCGTTGGAACACTGGGATGGGCTTCATAGATGTGAGTGACTGGCACAGATACCGAAGACATTGTTAATAGGGCCTTTTCAGGCTGTAGCCGTTAATGGTTGAATGGGGAGGAATACAGGGGCAAGGAAATCCTGATCTGATGAAGGGGCCCAGAAAGGAACAGGCAGCGTCCTCGTTTATATAGTGGCTACAAGCATCAACACTACATTGTGACTTCAATTTGACCGTAGCAGCCCACAAAACCTGTTTTCGTTTCAAGGCATGGTCACGACCTGTTAGACATCTACCTTGCTGTATCAAAATGGTAGCAGATCAACAAGCCGGTTTTTTTTTTAATTCATGGTATGGTTGCGGCCGGTTAGACATGTGTTTCGACCCTACCCCAAGGCGGCCTCGGACTATAACTCGGACTATAACTCGGACTATTCAGAGTTTATTTTGCCTGGTCACGTCATAATAACCTCAGGCCAGAGTGTGGCGTCAGCCCGAGCCTGGCCGTCCCTGTACCGCACCAGGTTCCCGACTTAGCCCGCGATGAGTGGCACAACAAGAGATGGCCTGCCCCTGACGCATACATAATTACTTCATTGCGAAGAACAAAAGATGGGAAATCGAATGAAAAGAGAGAACAGAGCCGGCCTGGCAACTCTCCTTCGCTATAGCAAAGCACACACAGCTATATGATTACGTAACTACTCAGGTAGTTGGGTAGGAAGACCGGGAAACCTGACTCTCGGACGCTGCCATCGCTTGGGTCAGGCCCGGGGAAGTAACGGTGTAACCCACGGTCCCACGTAAGAAGATTCGGCTACATAGGAAGACTAGGCTACATGGGAAGATTCGGCTACATACGAGGATGACAGGTGTCTGGTTTCTTGCTTTTGTTTGCTTCGTGGAGTGTGGCCCCGCCTCGTCTCACCAACTAGTGTCACTGTCGCCTCGTGATGTAATTACAAAATCCTCGACATATAGCTCATAGTCATGAATTTCGCAATCTTTTGCATCACTGAGGGCTGTGACGCAGCTCTAGCTTGTATGCAAAGCCTGATATGTTCATATTGTGACGATCTGATACGCGGAGAGGGCTTTCCGCCGGTATGGGGTTTAGTGGGTGTGTTTGTTGTTGTCGGATTTGCTGACGATGGATAACCTTTGTGCATTTCATTTGTGTCATGTTGGGCCGATCGATTGCTTTGTGCTGTCAGCACCAACAAGCATAAAAGTGAGGTTGTGTCGTGTTTTGTGCACAGTCATTCATCAGACTGGCAGATTGGCCCGCAGATTGGACCAGATTGACGAGCCAGCCATTTGCTTGGCGCACCCGCATCGGCGCCGTAGCATCGCGATAGTGGCGTCTTGGCAGTCCGAATCCGTCGTCGCCGACCCGCTCTGCCGCCAACCATCTCTATAGCCTTTCCAAGTCGGGCCAGAATGCTGGGGCCAGTGGGAAATTGGACCGGGTCTCGGCCGCCGCATCCCTGGCCCATGCGAGCCAGGGGGGCCGGTAAACGAAAGATTAAAACCTTCAACGCCGCCTGATTTTTTCTTCTTCTTTCCCTCTTGACATTTTGACACCACGCTCCCTGATCTGATCTTCAATCCTGCAATTTTTCTTCCTCCACTTCGCCATCATTCCCAACAATCCCCACGTCCAACACCACAACCTTCACCATGTCTGAGCAACAGCAACAGCAGCAGGTCGCCGAGCCGACCCTCGAGGCCAAGCCCGAGCAGCAGCAGGCCGAGATCCCGGCCGTCGTCGTCGAGGAGCCCAAGACGGCCGAGACGGAGAAGAAGGACGAGGAGCTGCCCAAGGCCGCCGACGCGGACGCCCAGGAGAAGAAGCCCAAGCCCGCAAGCGGCGGTCTCAAGGCCCTCGTCAAGTCGCTCACATCCCTGCTCGGGTGCCTCAACCTCGGCAAGCGCGAGAAGGCCGCCGAGCAGTCCGCCGCTGTCGAGACCAAGGACGCCAGCAAGGACGCCGCCGACTCCGAGGAGGAGGCCCCCGCCGCGGCGACCGCCCCGGCTGCCGAGGACAAGGTTGAGGTCGCTCCCACTGCTGCCCCCGCTGTGGCTGCCGCTGGCGTGCCGACTGCGCTTTGAGGTATGCATGTCTGCCTGTCTCGTGCCTGCGCTGTACAGTTATCCTAGTAAAGTGCAGTTGGCTAACTTCCAGTGTAGGGGTCTACACCTTGAGACATGAGTTATGTCTGGTGCGGCGGCTTCGACAAGTCCTGTCGCGGCAGCTCATTTCACCGGCGCGGTGATGAGAGTCGACGGTCACAGAACTGTTGAATTTTGACGAGGATGAGTGGGATTTTGGCGGCGGCGGAGTGATTCATTTGTCATGTAATTCTTTGTAATATCCGCCTTTCGGTCTTTTTCTTTCCTTTCTCGCAGATACCATATACCCGTCCCTCCTGAGGACCTTTCTTGTACGGAAATAATATACCAACCTTTCTCGTACTCTTTTCATGCCCATCTTTTGCTTAAAAGCAAAATGTGTCAGTCAAGGTGTGACGCGCTCAATTATCTTCTGAGCTTGAGTGCCTCGTTAATTTTCTCATAAACCTACTCAGCTACCGCTCCACCTTCAATTATCGCCTCGGTCTCTCGCGCCGCCTGCAACACCTCCCTCATATGGAGATGCAGTCCCGCGTCTTCTATCTGATGCCTGTAGCCGTTTGGAAAGACGACCCTGCGCAGCCGGTTGACCCAAGGGGTCAGCGGCCGGTAGAATGGCGTGAAGTTCTCCTGCGCCAGCCGGGTGAAGTCGCGTTCGTCGCTTACTTGGCCCTGCTTGATGTATGCCAGCGTAGCCATGTCGATGTAGTTCCACTTGTCGAACTCGGGAATAACCCTGCCTCTCCCCGGGCCCTTGTAATGGATACAGATCCAGAACAAGACCAAAAGAACGACTCCAGGTCGTGCATAAATGTGTGTTTCTCACCGCGAAGAACATCGATGGCCATGAACGCCCTCGTACCCGTGTTGCCCTTTACGCCTGACGCCTTCAGACGAGCCTCCTTGGTCCCAAGGTCCAGGCCGATCAAAAAAGCTGGCCAGGATACGTTATCTTCATCCTCGTTTACTATCAGGTTGTTGACCGAGATATCGCGGTGCGGAAACCGGCATCGTGCAAGGACTCGTGCCCCGTTATGCAAGCCTCCAGAGCACCAAGTAGAGATTCCCGAGAGCTTGCGGTGAAAATTGGCCTCCCGTAGTCGCGGAGAATAACCCGCCGGTGGATACGGTTGGCAGAGACGCCCTCCTCGGCTGTTGCTGAAGATTCCGAACGGGATCGTTTGCTGGGTGGCAAACGTGCTGCTTCGAGACTAGACGACCGGTTCCGGACCCCCTTCAGACGTGTCTCTGAGACACCGGCCGCACTTGTTAAAGGGGACATAGCAGAACGCCTGGGTAGGCGGATCATTTCCGCTGTGGTGACATCCAGCCCCCCTCGGACGTTATGTCGAACGTCGTCCTCTTTTCTGCGAACGTGAACAGTCTCGTGACGGTAGTACCTCGCTACATTCACCACGCCTCTTCTTGTCGCTTCATCCAGGAGCTGTCCTTCTTGCCGTTCGCTGTACTGCCACGAGTCCTTGGTGACGAGTAGCGTCTGCGGGTCTCCGGCGCGGTGAGCTTTCCAACAATTCGTCGCCCGGCCAGCCACACACGCTGCACGCTGCACGCTGCATCAATTCATCGATAATCAGACGCTCTGTCTGGCCGTCTCGCGTGATTTCAGTGTACCGCTCGCCTGCTGTCGTTATTATCGTGGGATCGAATCCCAACTGCTCTTCATCCATGTAGAGGAACCCGAGGATCGTGTAAACGAACCTAAGTCCGTCTTTGTTGACATCGAAGTGCTGGAACGCGGTGCCCCTAGCCGGTCGAATTCCCAGACTCGCATGAGATGCCCACAGATAGATAGTGAAGCCCAGAACGAAGCGCCGAGTATCCTGGGCAGTAAGCACTTCCCTTGCATATCTTTCGAGATCAAGCCCTGTTCTTGAATCCGAGTCCATCGTCTTGGACGTCGGAGGAAAGGGCTGCGCCAAGAAGCGGTCTCAGGCGGTCGACGTCCGACTCGCCGAGAACGGTTGACGACGCGAGTCTAAATATTTCGGCCAAAAGGGGGTTGCCATTGGCAGCGCGGAGCAAGCGAGCGGCTCTCAGCACTTGCAGTGTCGACAGAAGGGTAAATACCAGGTCGCGCACATCTTTCGGGCCGAGCTGGTCCAACGCCTTCTCCAAACCATCGCCGACATCCTCAACTGCGCATAATGCCTTGAATAACGCGCGGAATGCGTCGAGACCTTTCCCGATGGGGTTTTCCCGGATAATGATTTGCGGTTGCGGTTGCGGTTGCGGTTGCGCCATGACGGGCAGCTGTGGTGGGTGCCAAGGTTGGCGGTTCAGGTGTCGAATCTGACACGGGCCCCGCGCCTGAACGGCCAATTTACACAGTAGGACCCTAGTCTCGGTTTAATTACGTCCACTTCAAAAGCGGTGCGAACCCTAACCCCGCAGCTCAACCATAGTGACATAGCTGTGCTGTGCTTGTGAAGTCGTCATAAAGTTCAACGAATTAATTATAATTACGCACACGAGGTTCTATCTACCCATATTTTCTCAATCCCTCCAGCAATCTATATTTACCACGAATCGAGCACGGATTTGAAGACAACTCAAGCACGAAATATCTATGGGATGACGTGAAAAGAAAAGACCGCTGATCAGGGCAGTGTCAGGCGCAACTTTGTCAAGCTAGGTGATTATCGTCATCCATCAACGAGAATGGGTTGAGTGATGAAAGCCACTCAATATCACTGCCAGATAGGTTCCGAGAACCCATAAGCATGCCCAGTTGTTCGGAGGATTGGGGCCAAACAGCCGAGTCGAAAAAAGACGAGTTGTTCGGCTGAAAGTCGGAACCGTAGCCGACATCGGGGGGGAAGCCGTGAGATGCCGTGTATTCAGCTTCGGGATCGTTTACGTTACCGGGTCGAGGAGCCGGGCTCTGAGGAGTGTACGATTGGGGGCTGAAGCTCTGGCCGGCATTCATAGAAAAGCTGAGAGATGCTGCACAATGGTCGGTCTCGGGTTGAGCCCGGAGATTATGCGGGTCAGTGGATGGATAAGTCAGGCCATGAAGATTGATGCTTTGAGAAAGATCGAAAGGATCGAGAGTGCCGTTCCCCTGAACTACGCTGGCCTCCGAATTAGCAGACACCGCTCTCAGCGTCGACGCCTGTTGGTTACCTCCGAAGGCAACGGGAACCCATTGTTCCCAGAGGGAGCAAAACTGGTTGGGTGTGAGAGCTTGGTCGCCCGGCCATTTCGTCTTCCAGAACTCGAGCAAAAGCTCAAGGCCACCTCCCCGGAGATAGATTTTGAGATAAATGAACACCTCTTCCTCATGCTTTTGTACGTATGGGGTTTCGCACAATAGCTCACCTGGGAAAAGTGTTCTGTAGATGGAGTACCACTGATCCTCACGCGATGTGGTCTTGTCAACACGCTTGCTGATCGCATCGAGTTTCTCTTTCGCCATGGGGTGCACTGTTCGAATATGACACTTGACGTGGGATATCTCCTTCAGTTTCACCCGGCATTGCTTCTGTAGGAAGCCAAGGGGCAACTTGGCAAAGGGGCACGCAAACCGGCGGGAGTCTTGCACAGGCGCAGAAATTGCCACAGTATCTCCATCGTCACCAGAATTTCCATCGTCATCCCCCTCGTCGCTGCCATTTGAGCTATTCGCCTGTCGTTTTCGGCCATTGGTCTCTTTCTTGAGGCAGTTGGTGCCGCGGACTGTACGGCTTTGTTCGTGCCTGCTCTTCTTTCTGGCTGGCTGGCTCATTTCTTGTTGGGACTGTGCTCCCCCCGATTCCGACTGCCCGGCTTCGACTGGATTGGAGTCGGGGCCATCAATGCTGTCGTTTACCTTGTATCTAGAGCAACTCACAGTCGTGCTAGATCTGTCTCTTGTTTGGCTGGTTTTTTGGGGTCGAGAATAGAGAGGTTCTCCGTTTAACAACATTTGGCCAGTTTCAGACCAACCAAACTCCATGAGCCAAGGGAGACCACGGGAACGGCGGGCAGGTACGGAGCTTTGCGGCGCTTCATCGATGGCTGCCGTCGGCTCGGATTTTGCATCTGGCGATGTAGCTGCGATGGAGTGTATCGAGGCGGTTGTAACAGTCTCAGCTGAAAACGTGAGGGATGGGAGCGATGCGTTTAAAGATTGCATGTCGAACACAGCCGATTGCTGGCTTCGAGCTTCGTACATGGATATGAGATCATCAGACTCGAATCCGACGGGCCAGATCCTGGGCGGGACACTGGGGAAATTTGGGGTGAAGGCTAGGGGGTCGTCCGAATCCTCGAGGCCATCTGAATATGGCGAGGGAGCTTCACCGCCTCCGCCGGCCCCTATAAGGGCTTCGTTTATCGAGAACAGCTCATCCGTCAAGAGTGGTGGCCTGAGAGGCGGAGGCTGTTCCAAGTGTGATCAGTACATCTTGGTCTTTTCCTTTGCTCAATTGGTGGCGATGAAAGCCGGGCCATAGTTCGCCTGAACGAACTCACGTCTTGAAAGTTTTTAACAAGACAGGCATAGCCAGGCGCGAGGCTGGAAGGCGCTTCGGCTTGCGTGGACGTGTTTGGCGACATATTTCGTGGCGACCACTGGTCACAAGACTGTTGGTGTTGATACAGTGGCAGGCACTGTCAGCAAGCTGGACGGTGGTTGGTGGGTGGGAGGGGTAACTGTTGGTGCCTGGGAGAACAGGACAGCCAACAGACGATATTAGGAAATGGCTGTGGTTGACGAGTGAAGGAAGATGGACGCGGGCAGGAAGCTTGTCGGGGGAGAAAAATTCGAGGAACTGGAAAGGGAAGATGACAATTATATACTAGGCTTCCTCAGTCGCAGATTTCCGTGAATGTGAAATCCTTTCGCAGAATTCCTGCGATTACAGCTTCCAGCCCCACCGCCCGCGGCCGGCTGCATTTGGTGGCGGCGACATGGGCGAACGATTGGTCAAGATCACCATTTGTGGGCCGTGATTGGATGAGGGAGGCTTGGGCCAAAACAACTGCCATGTATTCATAATTCAGAGCGCCGTCCTCAACAAGAGATTGGCGCAAGCGGTTTCAGACACAAGCCTAAAGCCACGACTACTCTTCCTCGCCCCCGCGGTCTTCTTTCGCGTTTACTCGGCGCCCGTAGCCCTGTTTATCGTCGTGGCCGACACCGTCCCACGTCTTCGTGTCGGGCAGCCCGTAGGTGCTGATACCGCGGCCCCAAGTCGTCCAGGGGCTTGTCCAACGGACCACCTCGGCGGGGACCTGGCCCTCTGCAGACCCGTCCGCCGAGGGGGGCAGCATGGCGCGCCAGTCCTTGGGCTTGTCGCGGTGGATCAGGTAGCCGCCGAGGTGCCGGTGCCAGATATCGGGCGGGCGCTCGTTCTTCTCCACCGAGCTCGGCGTCCAGTGTCTTGCCAGCGAGAGGCGGACCTGCCGCTCGATGCCGCGGTGGCCCGTAACGGTAGTGAGGCAGTTCGCCCACCCGCACAGGTAGACGGAACGGTTCAGACGAGACAGGTCGCGCGCCAGGCCGGCCGCCATAGGTGGGAGCTTGCCGGCAGCAATGAGCGGCTCGACGTCGGTCATGTTTAGGTCGTCGACAATCTCGACGGGGAGATGGAGGTCTTCAGGCACGGGGAGGTTGGACCACTTTTGGAATTCTCGTCGGAGCTCTTCCTCGTCGACGGGGGTAGGGCTGTCGGGCGAGGAGGATGGAGGCGGAAGGATTAAAGATGCGCGCTGTTCTTCTGAATGCGTCGAGATGGCGCCAATCAGTTGCCGCAAATACTGGGCGGCGAAGCGGGTGCACACCAGCTTGCGCCCGCGCAGGACTGGATACAAGACAGAGGCTAGAATGTCCTGACGCGGCACTAGCTCGTGGCTGCTGTCCGTCTCGTGGTCGAGAATGGACTTTACTATGATCTGACGCTGAGCTTCGGGTTGGAGATCTACGGGCCCGTGGTGTAGGTCTGTTACCAGGGCGACAAGCACGCTCGGGTCGAGATTCACAGTGGGTGTGACGAGACTGCAGTCGTCGCCTATAAGAGGGCCGCGGCCACCAACCAGAGCGGCAATGGCTGCATCCAGCGGAGGAGGGGGGGCGACGACAAAGGGGCTATTAGCGCAGCTGACCGTGACGGAAACGTCGCCGCCGCCCATCTGGCCACGCACATAGGCAATCATCCTGTCGATGACGTCAGACTGGCCCTCGCGGAGCGCGGATAGTATGAGGTGAATGCGGGGGATATGGTTCCAGCGCGCTGCCAGGACCAGTTTCTCGATTGAGTCGGCGAACTCGGTGTTTGCCAATCCGCCGTCTCCATGTCCCTTGGAGGCCGATGACTTCCCGTCTTTGTCGTTCCCGCCTTCGTCGATGTCAGAGTCCGAGGACTCGCTCTCCCAACCCTCGGCCACAACTTGGTACTCTAGCGTCCTGGATGAAATCGACACAAACTTTATCCAGGTAGCGCCGCTGTCGACGACGGCGTCGATGGAGACGGGCTTCTCCTGAAACGGCTGGTCCTTGAAGGCAAGCCAGCCAGCCTCGGCGGACACGGCCATGCGGGGACTCCTGGGGAAGTCCTTATTGATGTGAACGAGGCCGCGCAACTTGCTGACAACAGCCCATCTGTCGTCCCAACAGCAGCTCTTCATGCCGGCGTATTGAGCAGGGGCGATGGGAGTCGACGAGGGCGAGGATGAGCCGCCACGCTGCTTCTGGACGAGCTTGTCGAGGGCACGTTGCTGTACCCTGAGCAAGTTGTTAAGGCCACCAATGGGCCGAGATGCCTCGGTTGCCGCATGTTGAAGGTGTTGGAGGCCTGCGGTGCACGCTTGCCAGCGGGTGATGAGGGCCTCGATGCTGTCGCCGAGGGCGGCGCTTTCCGTGTCGTGCAGCTCATTGCTAACCTGGTGGCCGGCCACTAGACCACCTCCTTCGTGGTCGACCGTCATGATAACCGCAATAAATATAATAAGTTTAATGAAATGAGCGCTGTTGAAACGTCAAATGCTGCGCGAAACAAAAGCAGTGACTGGTTGACGAAAAGCAGTGACTGGTTGATGAAAAGTAGTGACTGGTTGACGAAAAGCAGTGACTGGTTGACGAAAAGCAGTGGCTGGTTGACGAAAAGCAGTGACTGGTTGACGAAAAGCAGTGACTGGTTGACGAAAATGAAGACGTGACGTGGAGTTGAGAGCCTCTAAAACCAAAATTTCCCGCTAGGTGGAACCAGCCACAGGTGGTGCCAGCTGGCAGGTGCAACACTAGCGCGAGGGTTAGAGTGGCTCGAGAGTGGGTTAGGGTACTTACCATCGCATCGGACAGGACCAAAGAAGACATGTCCAGAATCCGAGGGTCCCCGCCTCCCGAATAGTATATCCATCAATAATTTCCCCATCAAGTGGCATGGCAATTCGGTTCAAAGTCTTTTTGATTGGAAAGTTGAACAAGGATCATCTCAGCATAAATTTGAGGCATTTCTGAAGCTTAGAGACGACCAAGATAAGGCTTGGCACTAGCAGTCAGGTGATAGCAAGAGTTCGCTCAGACGATAATATGGATCAAGAGTGGTTCAGTTCTGAGGCATGTAGAGGACGACGTTACATCAACTGATGGCTCAGACTGGGAGACATTTATGACACTGGAAATAGACAAATGCTCGGAGTTGGCGGCTGGTCGTACAGATTTATTTGTTTCGGGGTGAATTTGCGTGCTGACAGCAGCAACACGCAATCGCAGATAAGGCAACGGAGCCATTGACGAACTAGCTTTGGGTGGCGCGCCACTTCTGGCCGTAGCGCTGATGGCCAAGTCGGTAAGCACGACTTTATTAAACGGACGGATTTGTGGGGAGGTGATTTCCGACAAGATGGGACGGGTCCGGGCTCAGGGTTCGGATCTGCGTGGCCGGATCGCCTGAACCCGGGCAGGCCCTCGAAACGACCTTTGTACTCGAGTAGAGTGGCGCAGCGGCCTCAATACGTGGAAGGCGGCCGCTCAGCCCTGGGCGGTCGGCAAAACCAACTGATCCTATTGGACCGTTCCAGACGTTCAGAGGGCGCTGCATTGGGGTAGGCCCGTCTTAGCACCAACGTGCAGAAGGGCCCAAACGGGGCATTATTACAGGCTAGACAAGCCCAGCGCGCCCACGCCAGACCGCCAGCTCCGCCCGCCTGAGTTGTGCCCCCCAAACGCCGCGGATTTGGCTGCATGTGGCGCGCTGCCAATCCTTCGTAAAGGGCATCCAGCCCGGCACTACTCCGTGCAGCCAGCCCATTCATTTCCAATTTCCGGTCCGCACGCGGCTTTCCCTCCCCTCCCCTCTCACAACGTCAACGACGACCTTGGATATCCACAGATCCACGGATCCGACGGCCAAAATGTCGTACAACAATCAGTACGGCAACCAGTACAGCAGCCAGTACGCCGCCCCGGACGGCCCTGATTCAACGGTCCACTACCATGGCTCACCCCACGCACAGGTGCGTTCCCCCGCGACGACGGACGGGGCCGGAACCCCCGGATTCGGCCAGCATCACCATCAATTCGCCCCCCGATTGATTTTTCTTTCGCTCTGAACACACAAAAACTAACCATGTCCTCTGCGCGCAGGACCAGCACGAGATGCAGCCGTTCGTGCACGCGCAAGAAGACCCCAGCGTGCTGCCGACCAACGAGTTCCTGAACCGGGTGCAGCAGACGCGGACCGAGATCCGGCGGCTGGGCGACGAGGTGCAGCAGTTGGCGGGGCTGCACCAGCGCGCGCTGGCCAACGCCGACAGCAGCGCGAGCAGCCCGGAGCGGCAGCAGCTCGACTACCTAGCCGCCGCGACGCAGCAGCGCAGCGGCGAGGTGCGCGAGCTGATCCGCGTGCTGCGCGCCGACGCCGAGCACACGCAGGACGCCGGCGCCTTCAAGATCAAGCGCGGCCAGGTCGAGAGCCTCGGCGCCGACTTCCGCACCGAGCTGCGCCGCCAGCTCGACGAAGAGAACCGCTACCGCGACGCCTGCCGCGGCCAGATCACCCGCCAGTTCCGCATCGTCAACCCCGACGCCACCGACGACGAGGTGCGCGCCGCTGCTGACAGGGACTGGGACAACGAGGGCGTCTTTCAGGCTGCGGTATGATTTCCCCACCTCCAAAGGAGAACGAGAGACGCTGACAGACCACAAAAGCTCCGCACCAACCGCTCCGCCGAGGCCACGGCCGTGCTGGGCGCCGTGCGGGCGCGCCACACGGAGCTGGTCAACATCGAGCGCACCATCCGCGAGCTGATGCAGCTGTTCCAGGACCTCGACACGCTCGTCGTCCAGCAGAGCGCCACCATCGTGCAGGTGGCCGAGCAGGCGCACCGCGCCAACGACGACCTCGAGAAGGGCGCCGAGCACGTCCGCGGCGCCACGGGAATCGTCCGCCACACCCGCAAGCTCAAGTGGTGGTGTCTGCTGGTCGTTGTGCTCATCATCCTCGTCATCGCGCTGGCGGTGGGCTTGGCGGTCGGGTTGAGGAAGGCGACTTCGTGAGTGGGGGGGCCGGCATACTCGGTTTGGAATGGTGGGTGTGGGTTCGGAACTTTGAAAAATCGGACATTGGGGGCATTTTGCTTGGACAGGTAAGGGACTCAGCACAGAACGGTAACTGGGTGTATATATAGTGTAATCTCGTCGTAATTTCATAGACTCTCCCGAGACAACCATTCCCGCTCCTGCTCAGTCTCTAGGTCGTCGGTGTCCATATAATTACCATGGGTAATTCTATCGTTCTGTATTAATCGGGCCGGTTGTACTTTGAAGTCCGCCATGTGGCTGTGGGTCGTCATAAACTCATAGGAGTATTCCGAGAGCTCACTGTCACAGCCTAGTGCTGCCTCAATTCACCCCACCAACCTCTCTTTCTCCGTTCTGCTGTCCGAGAACCTTTCGTATTGGGCTTGTGCTTCGTGCTTCGGGTATTGGCTTTTTTTCCGCGACCAACTTTAATCTATATATCGCGCCCGGACTACATCGTCGTCAACACAGGGCCAAGCATAGGCACAGAGGCAAAGAGAAAGAGAAAAACAACACAACAGAAGACAACACAACAGAAAGACAACACAACAGAAAGACAACGAAGAAAGCGAGCCGGGCTATCAGAGCGAGTCAGCCTGTCAGGGCGAGTCAGCCTATCAGGGCAGCCACCCAGACCAGGCCTTATCCCCAGAGACCAAATTCAAGACCCCGGTTCCTAATCCTTACCTAAAATATGGAGGCGGCGATGTGGTATAGCCGAGGGCTGAACGCCGTCGTATTTGGGAAGATTCGGTTGATATTGAAGAGGAGATTTTCTTTGACACTGATGATGAAAATGACCCTCATCCTAGTAGGGTACGTGACAATAGAGAGTGCGGCTGCGATAACCCGGTTGTCATAGACTAAGGAGCTAGATTCATAGACTCAACACCAAGTAAATACATCACCTTGTCAACAAATCAGGATTCAACGGATTACTCAGACAACTAGGCGTCCGCCTGCCATAACCCCTCAACAACGCGCTGCAGCAGGCCTTATGGAGAAAAGCACGATCTGGCCGCTAAAGGGTAACATGCTTTCGTAGACGAAGTAATCGATTCCCGGACTCTATTGGCCATGGGTTGGTGGGCTGGGTTGATATTATGAGCCAGATAATTTGCAGCCAAAATAATGACTTTTACAAAGATAATAACTATCTTCATACGGCATAATTACAGACTGGATTAGATGTGTAATTAAAGAGGTTTAGCAGGCCCGCTTTGTGTGCTAGGCCTAGGCCTAGCCCGGGGCACTGGTTGGCCCCTGCAGATCCAGCCTATCCCCCGCACATAGATTCTCCGCCCACGCGTAGATAGCTTAGCTTCCATAGAAAGCAATACACACACATGCATTCCCTACGTGCCCTCGCATAGTTGTCAAACGAAAAGGACGAGGAGGGCGAGTATTACGTCCTGGTTGTCTCGCTAGTTTAGACCGAGAGGGCATATAGCGAGTATGAGAGGGTTGGAATCGCGACTGTTTAGAAAGCCCACATATCGATAGAATGCAGAGGCGTCCAGGCTCGCCTTGTCTAATGCAAAGGGCAGCCGGGGTGAGACACTTGGGATCGTATCTTACTAGCAGAGCTGAGGGGAGAAAGGAGCCAAAGGGGGGAAGGAGCCGAGGGGAGAAAGGAGCCGAGGGGGTTGGGCGTTCTGCCTTGTTTGACGGCTGGGGTGGAGGGGCGGCAGAGCGTGGAAGATGCGACTTGCGGTGGCATGCTGGGCCAATGGTCGAGCTTCCAGCACTTGCTTCACCAAGGGCAATCGTCGGCCCCGATGGGCTTCCCCATGCATATGCTTTGGCTCTGTCACATGTGGCGTTTTGTCAAGAAGTCGATTCGCGCAAGCCCGGTGCCCCCAACCAGACATCACACCACCTGGTCAGCCGCTGGGATTTAAGGCGTCCAGCTCTTTCATCCTGCGCCAAACTCCCATCGCCATCATGCAGCGAACTCTCCAAACCCACTTAGCCGAGGATCCAGTTCTCATCATGTCCCCGGCAAAAGTCAACTGCGACATTTGTCGACGACTTCAAAAGAGGAGAAGATGGAGGTTGCCAGCTGTGCGCCATTTTACGAAGTGAAATCAGCTGGCACGCCCCCGGCCGCCCCTCGAACGAAGCCATGTCGGTTTGTCACGCAGTCGGCATCTACAAGCTGATCGTCGCCGAGAACAAGGATGACTCGGTCGCTATCTCCGTCTACGGACACGAAAACGCAGATCCGGCAATAACATCCGCTTACGAGGCCATGGGCATGAAAAAGCCTGGTCCGGCTGCCAGCTTGCCGACATCATCGGCGACATGTCCTCGCCCGCTGCTAAAGAGAGGCTTTGTGCCTGGATCGACAACTGCAACCGAGGTCCACCATCGACGAGCACAAACAGTGCATCCCCTGGGACGCACTGCCACGGACATTCCAGGACGCAGTTACCATGACAAGAACTTTGGGCATCCGTTACCTCTAGATTGATAGCCTATGCATTGTGCAAGACGACCAGGCCGACTGGCGAAGCCAAGATGCACACCATCTACCAAAGCGGCTATCTCGCCTTCGCCGCCTCGTGGAGCTCTGGGCCCGCTAGCGGCCTCTTCCACGACACAGGGCCCGAGTACCGGTTTCGTGATTGGAACCTAGAGGGCTAGTATCTACGAACACGCCGCCAGATTTCGCATATAGATGATGGTCGTCACAACTCACTCACTCGCCGAGGCTGGGCCTTCCGGGAGCGGTTGCTTTCCCGCCGGGTCCTGCATTTCACCGAAGCCGAGCTCACTTGGGAATGCCTGACGGACAATAACTGCGAATGCGGTGAGTTTCTGCAGCATCTTGGCGTGGACGACGAAATAGTACATGCGAAGAACTGACAAGTTTTTTTGGTCGGCAAACTTTAAAACCTGCTTAACTAAGTAGCCACTGTCCAAGTCGAGTTTGCCAGCTATTCTCAGCCGCCGGTAACGCGTAAGGGTCTTACCGTTAGTTTTAACAAGAATCTCCCGACGTACGTAATATAAGCCTACAGTGTCAGTAAATTTTACACGAATTACCAGATATTTAATGGCCCTAGCTAGCCTAGCTTCGATTCTTCTCTTTAGGCCTGTAAGGGGTCCACTCTAAGAATACTGCTTGGTCCAGTGTACTCTCCTCCCATTATAAACCCCAGTGATTTTGGCCGGTTAGAGGAGGTATAATCGCGAGTACTTCCTCCAGGGTAGGATTTCCCTTGATCGCTTTAGATGAAATGATATTTGCCAGCCAGAATAGTGTAAAGAAAAGGACACCCACCTCGCCAAGCACCTGTCAACGCGCACTCCCTTACACGCGTTGACCGTCTGGCACCAACGGGCCAGATCACTGTCGGCTGGCATGAGCCACTAAGCCCATACCGGGCGCCTTGTGTCACAAGCACATTCGGGACCGAGCCCCTGAGCATGTATATAAACAATGGCCCTCGACCTCTCCTTTCAGCCCGCTTGATAACGGCATCTGCCGAATTAGACGTCTTTAATTCTAATTCTATTCTACACTTTGGAGTTTTATTAAGGATGATAATGAGTTCAGGATATTGAACAGCGAAAGTAGAAGTGCTTTGAAAAGGTAAAGGTACGAGACTTGAAGGGCGGAGAGTAAGTCCCCAGCAGTTAGGTAGGTAATACGAAAAAATACAAAAGGTTGAGGCTGTTTAATTTCACGGCGATCTTTTTTACTTATCTGGTCGCAGATCTTGCACGGCATTGCTGAGACAACGTGGTGTAGACCACTTCAAACCGCAAGTCCCACCAATTCGGTGCTCCTTGGTGCACTGCTGGCGGAAGTTCCCCCACTTCACCCGCAGGACCATCGTGTCTGCTCGAAGTAGCACATGGTTGGAGCTGGGGTGCGAAGAGTGGAGATGTCGATGTTGGGGTTCCGTCGAATGGTGTTGGCGGCTTGGTGGCTTGGCCGGGAACCGGGGGGGCGGGTTTCTCCTTCGGCTTCGTCTTCTGCACTGGCTTCCTGCGGCTGATTTGACCTAATAACTCACAGTTAGCAAGGTTAACTTCCCGCCCATCCCCTTTCACTGCTTCTCGACCACCAGGTGGCAACACAAATGACCCGGGTGTCACAGCAATGACTCACACTGCGGCAGATGCGCAGAAGAAAAGAGTCTCACGGGAGACGCTAAAACAAGATGCACAGGGTGGTATGGTAGGTACTGTCTTGTTTTTTTTTCGTTTCGTTGCTGTTATGTTAAACGTAGCATGCCTTAGTTGCGTGCTTGGTGAGTGAGAAGCGCCAGGAATGGAGTGCTTCCTGCTGCTACAGGCTGTTGGCTTGCCGTCAGACACGACCTACCACGGGTCGGATTGGTGAGAGTAGGCAAGCTTTTCGAGAGCCTAGGCCGCTCTCCAGCTTTATTTGGCAGCGATGGCCGAGCAATGGTCCTGGGTATACTATGAAATTGGCCAGGTCCAGGCGACATGGTTCCGAAATGGGAGGGCATTTCGTTCTGCTTGAAAAAAAAGCAAAGTAGATCGTTTCTAACTACCCCACGCCCATATGTCACACATCTTTTCTCGAGTCCGAAGCAGCGCCCTAGAGCACATCACTGCGGCCCAGACTCTCCATCCTCTTGTCCAGCCACGCACCAAACCCCACAAACATGGCCGCGCGAGGGAAGCGGCTGCAGAACTCCCTCAGCAAGGCGTACCTCTCCAGCACCAACTGGTCCTCGCCCAGCTCGGGGTGCACATCACGGATGGCCGTCGTAACCTTCTTCAAACACACCGGACACAAGTACGGCGGCTGCCTGCCGTCCTCGGCGATGTGCCCCGTGCCCTGCATGACGCAGGCATAGTACACGCAGTGGCCGAGACAGAAGCAGTGCGCCAGCTCGTGCGCGACCGTTCTGACGACGCGCGACAGCCACAGGCCGTAGAGATCTTTCTTCCTCCCGCCGCCCCGCGCCGCGCAGACCGCCTTGACGGCCGCAACAAGCGGCGTCGCCTCTACCACCACCACTGGCTCACTGCCGGTCAAGTCCACCACCTCCGCCGGCTGCACCTTTCGCCTCTTGGCCCCCCGCCGCCCTCCATCTGACACGTCCCCGCCGAGACCAAGACCACCACCACCATCGACCACCGCCCCCTCCCCGCGCAGCACGCCCTGCACAAAGTCGCGACAATGCGACGCCGGCCAGACGTGCTCGCGCTCAATGCTAAACGGATCGCGGTACGCCGCCACGCTGCCGTCGTCGTCGTCGTCCAGCGCCGGGTGGTAGCGCGCGGCGGACACGACGCAGACGCGCGACCCGCCGTACGCGCGCCCGCAGCAGAAGGCGTCGGCCGCGTCCTCAAACAGGTCCTGCTCGGTGGCGAACACGACGGCGTACGCGTCCGCCGGGAGGGTCTTGAGGGCTGCGTCGAGTACGTCTTTGAGCTGTAGCTGGTGCGAGAAGGCGCCGTCGGGGCATGCACGCAGGCGGATCCGGGTGGGGGACTTGGTGGTGCCGATTTGCAGGCCGACGTATGAGGGGGTGGGCTCTTTCTGGGTAGGGTTAGTGGTGGTGGTGGTGTTCTTGGTGGTGGTGTTCTTGGTGGTGGTGTTCTTGGTGGTGGTGTTCTTGGTGGTGGTGGTGGTGGTGTTCTTGGTGGTGGTGTTCTTGGTGGTGTTCTTGGTGGTGTTCTTGGTGGTGTTCTTGGTGGTGTTTTTGTTGTTGTCGTAAGCGACGAACGAGACGGCATCGGGCAGCAGCTTGACGGGCAGCGGGTGGTAGAAGGCCTGCAGGTAGGCGAGCACGTCGGCGAGTTTAGCGGGCGGCGTCTTTTTGGACGCGGCGGTGCAGGACGGCTTGGAGGGCGTGGCCCACGTCTTCATAAAAGACGCGCTTGGCGCGATGGTCGGCACGGGGGCCAGGTAGAGGGTCTTGCGCTGCGGCGTGACGGGGTTGCGCCACGGCTCGCGGAGCCACGACCGCAGGCTCTGCGGCGCCTTGTCGTCGCCGCTGGCGAGCCCGTCGTCGGGGAGGAGGAGCGGGCCGGGGAAGGTGTAGTCTAACTCGCTGATAAAATTCTGTGTCGGGTCGTCGCGAGTCGCGATGGACCCGGACGGTGTGGCCGCTGCTAGCCTCTTGGCGAGCGATGGCCGCACGAAACGCGCTTTGGCGGCATGGGCCGATACGTCGACTTGGAGTTGGGAATGGGCGCACAGGGCTTGTTGGGCGGGCATTTTGATGATGTTGTATCTCTGGTAGAGGAAAGAGACTGTTTTGAATATGAAGTGTGGTTAAGAGGTCATCGACATTTTCTCTCTTCGGATCTTGGATCTTGTAAAAAAGGCAGCGCTAGCATCGCGTCGCACAGGCGCGCCCAGGCAGCAGCGCTGGCTGAATAAAACCGAAAAATCGAACCCTAACCCTCCTCACATAAACATTTGAAAGTGCTGTTCTGCGTCGCAACAAACGGAATTGATGACAGTGATCAATTTATCATGGAAATATGAGTTCTGAAAGTAACTAAGCGCATATCAGCCTGCTATCAGTGTGAGGACGGATAATGACACCCTCGTCCGCAATCTTGTCCATATCCTTCTTCCACTCCCAGATGCTCAGCAGTGAATGGCTTCCAAACGTCCAGCCAGCATCCCGTTCGTTCCTTTTCAAAGTGCCTTCTCAATGCTTGGTGATCTCCGGCTTCTCCACGCCCCTGGAGACGTCGGCGACTTCCTTCCCCGTTGCCAGTTTCTAAAGTCGATCCCGGACGGCCTCCAAGGCCTCCCAGAGTTTCGTCAAGGCCCGGATATTCTTCTCGAGAGCCTCGGCAGCTTTCACGAGGCGCTGGATTGTAACATCGAGGCGATGCGTGCGGGCTAGCAACAGTCGCGCCTTCTGCACATATATCATGGTCTTCTGCCGCTTGGGGACTTGCATGTTGCTTTCCGTCTGGCTCGTCGGATCCGAGTCATGCGGCGCTGACTCGACGTCCATCTCTGAGGCGGGTAGCTTCTTCACTCCGGGGGGCAGGGACACGCTCAGCGACGGGATCGAGACTGCCGGGCCCTTGATATCCTCGGCCTCTGCCATGACCTGGTCCTCGTCCTACTCCATCTCCTCTTGGTGGCCGGCACCAGACTCGCTAGTCTGGCGAGGAATGAGCTCGTCGACGCTTTTATTAATGCCTTCCATTGTGGAGTCGGGTGATTGAAGATGACAGTGAATGAGGATCTTATTTCGGTGGCTCGGAAGCCGTGGTATTTTGGGAGGTGTAGCTTCTTCTCCGCGGTCTGGCGCTTTGGTGCCTGCGGCGCTCGACCTAGTGTGTAATTGGTATGCGGGTTGAATATTGGTCGTGCGATCGCTCTCGCACGCACTCGGAAAACTTGAAGGATGCAAGTAAATGACGTTTGTTGTAGAAAGGAAGGTTTGCAGGTACGGTGTGTCGAAGTTTAAATAGAGGTACGGTTGTCGGGGTAGGCAGAGGGCGTGGCACGGAGAGCGCGTCTGTATGGTGTGGGTATTCGAAAAAAATTGTGATTAGAGCATATTTTGTCAGAACGTGAAAAAAAGTGAAAGAAATGTGAAGAGATAGGAGCACAAGGGTGCAGACCTTCATGCCGTCCTCAAGGAGCTGGTGGACCCAATATAAGGTGCCTAGTACTACCTACCTGAAGCATATTATCAGATACAAAACCCGAATTTAGGGAAGACACATCAACAAGATCCTGATTACCACGGAACGCGGCAGCCGCTCCCGCTGTTATTTTGCTCCTGAAGCCGAAAAAGACGGCCTAACGTACGTCCTGTCCTGTTAATACCCACCCACCTTATCTGAACGCGATGTTAGGCGAGCTGACACGGCCTGAAAGGGTGAAATATTTAGCCAGCGAAAGTTTTTTGGTCGCTTGCAATGGAACGCATACAAACATCCTCCGCCTCGTGAATTTTGTCTACGGCACGGCGTACGACTTCCTCAGACACCGGTACCATGATCGGTAGAACTAGCTGCAACTGCCCCAAGTCTATCAAAGTTTATAAAATATATAACATCCATCAAGGCATTATCCAGTTTCGAATTGTAGTATCATCGCTTTGCCGCCGTTCCCGCTCTGGCGCTCAGCCGCCGATGATGCGGGATCTTAAATAAGGGGTTTTAGTGGTGACTTGTTAGAAATTGACTTTGCTGTTTGTGGAAGTCGGCCATGTCGTGTCTTGGTTTTGGCCGCGGGTCACGCTCGGGTTATGGCTGGGCTCTTCGAATCTGCAGAGAGGGATGCACACTGAATGGTTCGACAACACAAGCAGGCCGAGTTCCACGCATGAGGTTCCGACAGAGGCTGCGCGCTGGTGGTAATCAGCGGGGTAGGGCCGCGACAGGTGGCATATCCACATCTGTAAGGGAGCTCGGCCGCTTTCGTAGGTAGCGGAACAAAATTGTAGGGAGGAAAGCTTATATATGGAAATGACCTCGGTTTCAGAAACTACCCTAAATAAGGCGCGAATACGTCTGAGCAACCTCATAACTGCAGTTATGACAAGGTCCTTATCTCTTCGCGCCACACTGACTGTTATGCCGGTTAGTAACGACTAGAAGTCCCTCGCCAAGACGGAGAGAGCGGCGCTAACGTGGGCTCGTAACTTATCGCGACTCTGTAATAGCGGCGCTAACGTGGGCTCGTAACTTATCGCGACCCTGTAATAGCGGAAGCAATAGGCCGTGATCGAGCTCAGCCCCCGAGGCTTCCGTCTAGCCACTTTCTGTCCGTTTGATTTGTAGGTCCAGTACTATTGATACCGGTTTGCTCTTAAAGTTCCACCACGTGTTTATCTCCAAGCACTCGCAATCGCAGACCTGGTAATACGAGGCCTGCTAGACTTCAACAGGGTCTTTGAGGACTAGAAGTCGATAACCGATACACGACCTCACCTCGAGTGTGTAGTTATGGCAGGCGCAAAAGAAAGCTGTACGCTTGCCTCTGAAATGCGGTTCGTTTTCGCCAAAGACTCGAACGCGACCAGGGGCGTGGCAAGTAACGCGCTGGATGGGGGGCTCGTGGACAACCAGGGATAGGAGATCGAGCAACGTCAAAGGCAACGCTTCGGCTGCATCGGGAGTTTTCCTGATTGCAGTACCGTCGGTCCAATCAATCAAGTCCCCGAGCTCTGGCTGAGGTATTGTTGGAGTTCGGGGCTGGGCGTTGGCAGCCGCCTTTCGGTAGACATGGCTGTTGATGACCAGGTCGTCAAAGTCGAAATTGAGATCAGATGGGGCAATCGCGGATATGGTGTCATCGCCAGGATCAGAGTCAGAGATAAGAGGGGAATAGTCTGCATTGCCGTCGTAGATGGACTTGCTCACTCTGATGCTGGGATTCGCCGAGCGAAGCGACTTGGTGGTGCTGATAGAGGCCCGAACCACGTCCTGCTTTTGGATCAATATTTGTTTAATCTCGGCGAGGGTATTTCTTTTCGACGTCAGCTACTGACCAGAAGGGTTATTTTCACCGAATCACGCACATTTGGAGAAGCTATATCAAAACATTAATGGCAGTTTGTTGACCGCGAAGAGTACCCAATAGCTCGTTGAGCTTTATCTCGTTCCAGATCACGCGAACCTTGGATAGCCACGGCATGTTATTGGGATTCGATACGCCCACCATTATGCGTTGGATTTCGATCTCAAGAGAGCTGAATACGGCGAGGCAGCCCGTCAGGACACAATCGAGAACCGCAGGCAGCTCAGTTCGGGACTGCCACACATTTGTAAAGTCCTCTCTTTGCAAGAGGAGACTTTGGGTTTGGGTAAGTGAGGCCGCGATGACGTCTGATTCGGAGCAGATTAACACAACGGCCATGGGCGCATCCTTAAATCTTTCTCGCAGGTTGTACAGCTTCTTCGTTATGGACAGACACGAGGCTGTGGCATGGACCTGGATGTCTTATCAGCAATCCAGCTCCGCTAACGCTGAATTGCAGGGGCGCAAAGGGAGAACAGGGCAACCGTACGACCGTGGTGACAATAGTTATTGGATCCATGGCTGCCGACATACCATTCTTGTCAGGCGTGATGTAAATACTATAGTGCCCAAAACCCGTATTCATCTCGACCTTGTCGATATCCTGCGGGTCTGTCTGGTGGCAGTTGGTGCCTTCGCAAGTCCAGCGGGACTCGTAGAGGTGGCCCTCGCACGCGACGCCCTGCGCGGCGCCGCTAATGGATTTCGCCAGCGGGTAGGACGAGTTGGGCAGAACGACGGCGTCGCAGCTGGGCCGCCCGCGGGAGAACCAGAACCTGTTCTCTTTGCCGATTCCGATGTTGTTGCCGATGTAGATGTAAAAGCTTGCCGCGGTAGGGGCTGCTAGTTGCAGCGCGGCTGCTGCAATGATGTACTGATGCTTTATTGTCAATTATTAGGGGCGGGGGGCAAAGGTACTGGCGGTGATAGGACAGATTGAAGGAACAAATTCAAGTCGTAGAGCAGGAATAGCAATTATCTGAAATATTCTTATAGGAAAATGTGTATTTAGTACTAGAGGATGGGCACTTCTCGACGCCTGGGTAGATGATTATCTGTCGGGAGTGGCCCTGCAAAATAAAATGGCGGTAATTGTCTTAAGACGTGAACTAATTAATTACTGCCATTTGACTAACTTGTTATAAGCCAGCTGAACACCACAACATCGAGATAATGGAAAGGTGGGCCAAGTATCTCTCGTTATCGTTTACCAGGTAAGTATGAAAAGCCCAAAAATAGTTCAAGCTAAGGACGTATTAACAAGAGAACTGTGCACGAATGATGCATATTCCATGCATGTTGGGGTAGTGGTAGCTTATAATATTTCAGGTTGAATGATCAAATGGGTGGAAACTGTATCGACCGTGAGGATTGGGCTCAAAAGTTGTGGTGGGGGTTAGTTAGACTTGCCGTCGCCTAGATTGCCAGGCAACAGGATCTGTTTTGCGCCTGCTGTTGTAACGGGAAATTGATGAATATAGCGAATGCATGGCGTACCCACAACTACCATCAAGTCTGTAGTTATGAATAAACGTTTGTCACTGTCAGCTTGACCACGCCGCTTGGTTGTAAGCCACTGGTCATATATCGCAACTATTGCATTATGTCCCTCAAAGTCGACGGTGGCGGCACAGAAGTCTTGATCGTTACTATTATTGATCCGCAATTTGACCGTTTGACTCGCCTTCCCAGCCTAAATGAAGAGTAAGATAGTGTTCTTCAATACTGAGAATGCTGCTTACCGAGTCTTTATCGAGTTGCTTCTGGACTTCGTTCACAATCTCTTCGTCACTCTAACCGGTTACCTCTGTCCCGCCCGAGGATCCTGGTTGGAATTGATTCCGATACTCTTCAGGGAACTCTGAAAAACAGTCTTCAGAGCACTCTGAATGATACTCTTCAGAGCATCCTGAATAGACTAATTTTGGGTGCCGACGCTTAAGTGGTTGCGTATGAAGCTGCTCATGGGGTCGTTTCGGTGGTAGGGGACTTGGGTGTTCGGCTGGTTGGAATACACGCTGGTAGTACGCTAACGTCCCCAAAGTCAGCGCTAACTAGCGTACGGCTACATCGGGTCTCACTGGTCCTAAAAAAACTAACCCTTCTGGAAGGCCGACATGTTTTCGACTTCGGCTCGGCTCGCTAGAGCAAGTTGTGTCCCCTCTGCAAATATCCAGCGTTGCGGGAGCTCCTGCAGCCTTAAAATCTCCGGGACTATCTGGTGAGATGCCCAAACCCCGCTCCATCCATCTTGAGGAGGTCCTGTGGGGTGTAGGAGAGAGCAATGAAGAAAAGTTCCTCAGGGCCGAGTTATCGAACTTTCTCCAGCCTAGGGTCGCCCTCGCCGAATGCGGCATCTAGAAACTTGGTAATCTTGGGTCGGAGGTCCTGGCCAAAGACGGCCTCGTCATGCTTCCTGATTTCCCACGCCGTATTTCCCGCGCCGTATTTCCCGCGCCGTATTTCCCGCGCCGTACCCTGGAGAACTTGTTGGATGGAAACCAGAGCGGACAGCCGTGAAAACCTTTCTCTGAGGGCCGTGAAGGGAGTATCGTGTTTCAAGTTCTTGCCAAAGTGTGCCGAACAGAGTGCTCGCTCAATCTCATTTAGATCGCTAAATATCCGATCCGTTGTATCGAGCGTCGCGTCTGTGGACATTGCAAAGTCATGGAGGTGAGACTGGAGTTGCCAGACGAAACGGCGTCAAGCTGAAGTGCGGGGAAGATATTTTGTCAGGGCCCTACAGTTATGTGATCGGCCAGGGCAACTAAGGAGTGTCGGAAGAAGCCGTTGGCATGCATACGGTGGCGCACATCCTAGCAACCTGTTGCCTAATTGGTCATACAAAGTAGAGCATCTAGGCTATGTCCGCTTCCTTTCTTCTTCCCACCAAGTCATTGGCCCCCGCGGGCCGCCAGAGCGAAGCTCTCAGGAGAAACCCGATCGGGCCCAAGTCTCGGCCCGTGCGGGCAAAAAATCGAGAGTGAGGAGCTAGTCTTGATTTCTCACGCAAGTAAAAAACCTCATTTCCTACCAGTCTGTCGAAAATGGTTAGTAGGGTGAGCAGAGGTGAGCCAGCCTAAGCAGGGACTGAACCGAGCCTGAGCCAGGATGAGTGAGTAATGTCACGTACGCGAGGTCCGAAAATGAAAATTCCGTCAGCCGGATCCGCCTCACAGAACAGTAATCATCAATCCTTGTTAAATGTACATAAATGCAACAACCCTCACTGGTAGTACCCCTGCCCGAATTCGACTCAATGTGGGAGCGCCGACGCTTGCCAAAAAGGAGTCTGCGTGTGCATGTCTGTAGGGATTACCGATCAACCAGGAGCTGTGATTGGCCCAGCAGGTGGAATAGTGGGGCGACTACGTCAGCACACGGGCCACACCCGCCCAACACGTGACTTTCTACGTGTTGGCGGGCACTGGAAATCAGCCCCTCCATGTCCCCGTAGTTCGCGATCCCTGACAGTAGAGAAAGGGAGTAGAATCAATACACAACACCCTACTGACCTTGTCATTCCAACATGTCATTTTCAGGATAAAGACCACGTTCCAATCTGACAACGTGTCTCTTGTCCGTTTTCTTCACTTTGTTACTCCATTTTGCTCGGCGGTGGATTTGTAAGAATAGCGCTGGCCAAGCTCGGCCACTTCTCTGCTTCATGAGTGGTCCCTCCTTTCCGGTGGGACGAGATAAGGTTTGAGCTAACGCAGATTTTCTCCACACGGCGCGATCTTCCCGCCGCAGAGCATGCTGTCGGGCGAATATCTGCCCGCCCCACCCCTTTGCATAAGCGATCAACAGCCTGCGCTACCCGTAACAGCACCTAAATTCACACGAGATGGGGACGACTCTGTCCGTAGCCGTCCCTGTTGTCTTACCAATACAACTTCAATCCTGTAACTCTCCGATAGCCCTTTATAATGCGGAAACCGTTGGTAGGAAAGGGGAGGTCTGCCCTGCTAAAGAATTTAGTTTATTGTCATCGCTAAGCCGTAAGCAAAATCGACAAAGGCCAAAATGTTTGGGATGCTCAGCCGCATTTACACGGCTATCGCGCCGCCAACTGTCGAAAAAAGCAAAGACGGTGCCATCAGATTCGGAATTTTGGGAGCTGCCAAAATTGCGTGAGTGCCCCTTTTCCCAACTTCTCTCTGCCCCACCTCCAGTCACTCACCAACGCCCAACAGGCCCATGGCAATAGTAGTCCCAGCCAAATCACACCCCGAAGTCGTCGTTCATGCCATCTCCGCCCGAGACCGTGGCCGGGCCGAGGAGTTTGCCAAGAAGCACGGAATCCCCGTTGTCAGGGACACATACCAAGGTAACCCAAACTCAACTCCTGACTCCCCTTTTGTCAGAATCTAACCAGGTATCCATACTCCAGAAATTCTCGACGACCCCGACATCGACGCCGTCTTCATCCCACTCCCAAACAGCCTGCACTACGAGTGGGCCGTTCGATCCGTCCGCGCAGGGAAGCACGTGCTGCTGGAGAAGCCATCGGTCGACACGGCGGCTGAGGCTGAGATCCTTTTCGGTCTCTCACAGCTGGCTAGCTCTCAGCCTAGCCCGCCCATCATCCTCGAAGCGTTCCACAACCGCTTCCACCCGGCGGTGCAAAAGTTCCTCTCGCTCGTCAGCCCGGCCGACGTCGCGCACGTGCACACGGACTCGATGGTACCGTGGTGGCTGACGGCGCGCGATAATATCGAGTTCAACTACGCGCTGGGCGGCGGCAGCATGATGATGCTGGGCACGTACAACTTTGCGCTGCTGCGCATGATCTTCGCCGCCGAGCCCGCCGAGTGCGTGTCCTGCGAGACGCGCGGATTCGGCGACGGCGTGCACGACAAGTGCGATACCAGCTTCCGCGCCCAGTTCCGCTTCCCCAACGGCGGCACCGCCGACGCCATGTCCACCATGCGCGGATCCGTCTGGTGGAAGCCGTCCGAGGCGCGCGTCACGCACCGCGAGGTTGTTGTCCCCAACGACGGCGACGGCAAGGCGGACCCGCTGCACGAGACGGTGCGCACCCGCGTCGTCACCTTGCACGGCTTCGTGCAAGCCATCGCGTGGCACCGCATCGACGTCAAGGACACCTTCGTGCTCCGCGCCAAGGCTGACGGCCGCACGCTGCGCACCTGGACCGAGGCTTCGTCCCACAAGGCCTACACGTACGCCGAGGCGGGGCCCGAGTTTGCCGATGCCGCCCCCGGTGAGCCCTGGTGGATGTCGTACCGCTGGCAGCTCGAGGAGTTTGTCAATCGCGTCAAGGGCCGGCCCACGCAGTTCTGGATCTCGGGCGAGGACTCGATCAACCAGATGCGCATGCTTGACATGGCGTACGAGAAGAGTGGGCTGGGCTTGCGCCCGATGAGCGAGTTTCGGTGAGGATTGATTTGAACGAGCAGCGGGTGCCTTAGCGTACCGATCTGTCCTTTCTCTTCTTCAGGTACACGCCATGTGCTTCCAGCTTGAGGTTCTAGTCTGTGATCAAAGACTACTGTACATTATTTTATAAACAATCGATCGCACCTCAGTAGACCATGAACCAAAACCGTTGACCGTCGGGTCGTAGTGGGGCGTCAGGGTCGACTGGTTCTTGGAGAGTAGGTCTCGCGAAGGAATTTCCTAGCAGGCTCAGGCCTGGAACTAAGGAAACAATACTGTCAAGCGTTAGCATGAAAAGCGTTGAGCGGGGACAGGAGTAGACACACATTGCCGTCGCAACACTCCACACTCCTACGGCGATACCTATCAAGAGCGCTCTCCTGCTGAGACGACTCAATGAGCCGTCACGGTCTGCATCCTCAAATGCTTGGTCTGGTATGCTGATCATGCGTCGCTTGGCGTCGCTTGAATACATCCATGACGACGACGGCCGAACCAAGGCGCGCAGCGCACAGCAGGAACTGGAATAAGGGCCTCCAGGGGAAGGCGGGCGACCAGTCCATGTGGATCGAACATAACAGGGGACTTACCAAGACGCTAGCCAGGAGCAGTCTACCCCGCGTGTCAGGCTGTGTCAATGGAAAGCTAGATCGTCTTCGTCCAGTTTACTGTACAGGGCCAGGCACGGGACCAAAAGACACCACGCCATGGCCAGGCTGGGCAGGGCGAAGCTGTGGGGGGGCCCGATTGACTGGGCGCAAAACTTGAAAAAAAGAGCGGGCGGTAGCCAAGGATGCGGTTCTCCGTCTGTCACCGCACCGCGTCCATCTCCTCGTTGCCGTTGAGGAACACGCCGTGGATCTCGGCGCCGTGGTCGAGCAGCAACTTGAAGGCCACCTTTCAGTGCCGGACAATGGCGTCTTTCAGCGGCGAGAGGCTTACGCTATTAGTGTTGTTGCTGACGTGGAGCAGCGGGCTGAGCCGGCGTCCGACAAGACCAAACGCAGCAGCTCGGGCTCCGCATACGAGGCCATGAGGTGTATCACGGTAAACGACCCGTTCTCCGTCATATCCTTAGTGAAACCGCGCGTCATGCGATCATTCATCGCTTCCATCTGCCGCTTATGGACGGGCGCATCCCAGGGGTTGCTTTTGAGCAGGTGATTAAAAAAAGGGGAACTCAGGTGTGGTAAAAGGTGGAAACGCCCGTCTCGTCAAAGGAATTGAGCATCTCCATGGTCTCTCTCTCGTCCCCAACAACCCCAAGTAAAAACTTGCTACACCGTGACCCCTGCCGAGGAACAATTCTGCCATGCTAAGAGACTCTTGGGCCGGGAGGAGAGTAGTGTAGTGCAATGCCGTCTCTCCGTGCCGGCTTCGAAGGCCGCCTTGAGCGCTGCGGTCAAGGAAGCCAACGGAGTCCCGATCGCCCCGCCGAACGGCAAGAAAGAGATCCGAGTTCTCATTGAAACTCAGGTTCCTGATTGACTGCTGCCACCGGTCTGGATCCATGTCGAACGGGGCCCTTGAAGCAGCTTGGGATCCCATCCAGACGCCTTCGGCCAGCCAGTCGGACATGGTCTCTCGGTTGATTTCATGTCGTGCTCCAAGCCCCGGTGCCATGGCTGGTAGTATGACATGCGCTTTTGCGAGGTCCATTCGGGCTGCCTTTGTCACAAACACCACCGCCTGATTCACGTTGGGATCGGTCCCAAATCCAACCGCGTAACACAGTCCGAGCTGAAGCTGCACTTCGGCCGCCGCCACCACATGATCCTGCGCTGACGGTGTCCGCCTTTGACTATGAGAGCGTCCAACTCGTTATCCCAAAAAGAAAATTAAACTTTTCATCTGTCATGAAATCTGAAATGAATCTCCCCTATCCTCCTCAAATTTCAATAGTAGTTCCTCCTGCTACTGGGCATCCTTTCCTCCCTTTGTTTGAAAATCAGTGCGCCTAACGATAGGCGACCCAGGAATGAGTCCGTTCCCAACCACTCATCCGCCATGCGTCGCCCACCTTCGCAGTCGCCCGCTAGGTAGCGGGGCAACAGCCACCGCGCGATGCCCCAAGATATCCATCGGAAAGCGTTTCCCAGCTCGCCGGCCCAGAGGCCAAGGAGAACAACGGTGACGGTGACGGGGATGGCCGTAGCCCAGTATAGCACTGGCCCTGCTCCATGTCTCGAAAGTCGCTAATGTTCACGCCAAAAATGCTCGAGACCGCGCTAAGTGGGAGGAAGATGATGGTGACGATGGTGAAGGCATACAAGGCGTTTTCCTGTCGAAAATTGGTTGTGTCTGCCATATCTTGACCCTGGAAGAGGCTGGTGTTTGACCTTGGTGTCGGACACAACTGACAGCTCTGCAGAATGTTGCCCGCCAAACGTGCCGTCTCCAACATATCTGAACTCGAAGACATGATAGGCAGCAGGTGGCGCCCGACTCGTGGTGGTTTCTAGCTCGGGTGGCCGGGCGATGTCGGAGTCACCTTCATCACCTGAAGCAGCTGATACTGAGCCCCGGTTAGACAGATTCTTGGAGATGCCACGGGATGGGGCGTAGGAGTAAAGGGTTGACGGCCCATGGTCATCGCTGTCAGAAGTAAAATCTTCAACTGTCGGGGCCGGCATGGTTAGTCGATCACGATTGGATTCGACATCTGGTCTTGTGTTTGGCTACGAAAGTTGACCAGTCCGTCTCTGGATGACCAGCCTTCAAGCTCTGCCGGGTTGTCAACAACGACCAGATCACTATTCGTCGTACCTGAAGAATTCAGTCCAGCTATCCAGTTCAGCTCCCCTGAGCGTTGTTCTCACATGACTACACCCGACCTTCTTTCTGATACCATTCATATTCTACTTCTTATGTACCTTTCTCACCACTTCCATCTCCTCAATAAACCGCTGCCTCCTCTCCCTAAACGGCCCAAAAACCTCATCCACCTCATCCCTCTCAGATGCTTTGACGAGGTATCTTGCCCCCTCCGGCACATAAGCCCCTTCCTCCGCTGCTAGATTCCCCGTCGTCCGGGCATAGAACTCCCCAGGCCCACACGTAAGAACCTCCCCACGCTCAGAATCTCGCTTGACAAAGATATACCGCACTGCGGTGCAGTCCCGGGTATACCACCTCGAGCCTCAACCATCTTCATTGACAACAAGAAGCGTCTACCCCGCAGATCCAACTGGGTCCATCCTGGTTGATAAGTCCCTTAAGCCTCTGAACATCATCTGCAGCATCGGCGCAGTCCCAGGTACGGGCCCGACAGACCACTCATCGTCAACATCCATCGCCAGCGCGCATGCGGTGCCTAGCATCGTATGCCCCGGACGCATGCTGCGGCGGTCGTTTGTCGCGCCATTAGTTGCAAAGAACTAGAGGAGACGTGGCAGCCATGAAGAAAGTCTCCCCGGGTCGAGAAACGCGTCGTCCAGCGGGATATCAGCGAAGAAGAATGACCGATCGTAGTCTTGGCGGTAGGAGATGCAATCGGGGGGGAGAAGTGAACTCCACTGGAGGCCGCCGGAGGTGAGGCGGGGGACAGTAACAGGGAGAGTTTCGGATTCTCGTTCCCGTTCCGGTTTCCGGTTGTTTTTCGAGATATCATTCTCCATGATGTTGGACAGGAAGACGATATGGTCAAGGCTCCAGTTTAGAGCGTGGTAATTGGGGAGAGAGACAAGGGGGCCTTGGGCTTTATCTGGGTATGGGGAGCTGGTAAAAGCGGCGGAGAAGAGGTCGTTGTGGTACAGCTTGAGGGTGCGCGCGCCTTTTTCGTGGAGGAGCTGGAAGAGAGATGGGAGGGAGAGGGAGCTATGCATTAGAGAGAGGAACGTCAGCTTGGGGAGTTTGTCCAGAAGCTTCGAGAGGACTTCGAGGTTGACGTTTTGGTGCCCCGAGAGGCCAACCCGGGTGATGTCGTCGCCGTGGTCGGCAACCTCTAGAAGCTGTGATACCGCCGCCTCGGGGAGCTGGGGGAACGCTGAGAAGTCGAGGGCGTTGTCACTCCGTACCCTGCGTAGCCATTCCTCGCTAGAAAGAGATTTCTCATCCTCATCCAGCGTCAACCCTTTCGGTTGAATTTTTGCCCCTGGCTCTGCCTCAGGGCATCCTCCGGCCACGGGATCTCCGGCCATAGATCACGCAGCGTCCCCTCGTCGATCATATCCCACTCGCTCAGGTTTTCATACTCCCCAATCTTTGCCCACTGGAACCCCGGCCAGGTGAGGTATTTCTCCGCATCAAACAGGCGACAGCGGAACGTATCTTTTGTCGCCTCAAACTGCCTATCCTTTTCCTCCCGTTCCGCGACTTCTTTTTTCTCCTCTTTGGTACAATAGCGGTATGGGTCGGAGTCGTATTCCTCGCTCTCTTTAGTGATCTTTTTCATGATGGGATCGTGGATGATGGAGGGGTAGAACATGAAGCAGTATCGCAGGTGTCGTAGATCGGTAATGTCGACAATGGTGCAGCCGTTTTTATTCATTACGAGCAGTTGCATCGGCGTGACCTGGAAGTGACGTAGGATGGCGGGATACATGTAGGGGTAAGGGTCGAGGCAGGAGTCGAAGGTCGCGCCGAGGTAGAGGCATGTGCTGACGAATGCGAGGAGGGGCTATTTTGTTTGTCGTGGGTGTTCCACCATGTTGAATCTTGGGGGGCGGCATGGTCAAGGTCGTGGGAGAGGAGGGTTCGGTTTCTGGAGGAGCCGAAGATCTGGAGGAGGCGGTAGCAGCCATAGATTGCGTCTGTGTCGCTGCAGTTGCCCGATTCCGCGAAGGCGAGGGTGCGGTAGCGTCCGTTGACCTTGGCGATGATCCAGTAGTGGTGGCTATTGCCCATGGCGAAGTTGTGCAAAAGTTTTTGGGGAAAAGAAGTTCTTGTTTGGGGGTAAAGATGAAGACTGAGCTAGTGTGAAAGGGGAGGAGGCTAAGGTGAGCAGTGTGACATGTGTGATGCGCTAGTTGGAACTTTAATCTTTAAGACTAAAATGGCAGCGGCATCATTCAGCTGAACGGAGCTACCGTAGGCGAGCTTGCGAGCTGGAGGTGGCGTAGAGAGGCTGTCTCTTCTACTTTACCGTGAAGGTGCCGAAAGTCTCTCGCACAGGGATTGGCCAGTTTTCGTCCGTGTCGAAATGGACTCGAGGGACTGGTCGATCAGATAATCCTCGGATTCCTCAAGCCGTGGAATACCGAGCGCAGCGAGCAGCCGGGGGGACCCCCTCTTTGGATCATCCCCGCCACTAGTCACTTTCACTTCGGCCTACACAGTCATTCGACCCGACGCCATTTTCTCCTGCATCATACGTCCCGTAATATCTGGAGCGCGGCGGCGGCGAGACGGGACCAGTGGGTTTGAATGGAAGCGGCCCCAATAAGCAGCGGAAACGACGCCGAAACGACGCCGAAACTTGCCCAAGGAAGCCGTCTTCTCCTTCTCAATCTTTCTCTTCCTTTTTATCTCTTAAAACCTCACACCGACAATATACTCGGCCAAACACCCCAGTCCCCCCCCAACGCTCGCCACCCCGATCTTTCTCTTCCCTTTTATCTCTTGAAGCCTCACCAACCAACAGTCCAACAACCTCCCCTAAGGCTCGCCACCCCCATCTTTCTCCTCCTTTTTATCTCTTGAAGCCTCACACTGGCAGCATATACAAGCAAGCTCGGGGCTTGGTGCTTGGCCACCTGCACCACCCGTACCCAAGCGAAGAGGGAAAACGGGAACTGGCACGTCAGACGACGGCGCAGGCGCCCCCGGAGGGCCGCCCGAGGCACCGTTCAGCGACCCCTTCCTAACTTGCCAGGTAGCTTATTTTTCAGATCTATGTCATCTAATGTTGAAGATTCCGGAACGGCATGCTCAACTCCTGTTATCACCATGTCGAACCTACAGGCTTCTTGCGACCATCAAGCCGCCATCATTGGATGAAATAAGCTGCCGACTCAAGTTCTGCGCCTCAGCGCGCTTCTCTGTAACCAAAAATCGGTCCAACAACTACATCAAAGGCTTTAGCCCGTCTGGAATTAACCTGGTTTGCGCCAGGGGCAAGGTCCGCAAACTAAGCCCCGCTCTCGTCAAACAAGCACCTCGAAGGTTAGCTATACTTAGCAGGGCACCGCCAAGGCTTTGCATGTTGATGGGGTTCGCCGCTGGACCTTTGAGGTTCGATCTGGCTATGAGGACCACCATGGGCATGATCCGGAGAGAAGCCAAAGGGGCTGTTCTGGGCTACAGCTTGGTCACTGGCCAATGGCGACGACAGTTCCACTGTGGCCAACTGTATGATGTGGCCAACTGTATGATAACACGTATAAAACCAACAATAAGAACCTCGCCTTCTTCCAGATCGTCGCTGTCAGCCACGTTGGCCAGGCCTTTAGTTGTGGATTTGGCCTAATTGATAGTGAACGGCGATAATCGGCTGACGGAGCAAGTTAATGCTGTATGGATGAGAGCCGAGGCTCTACCCCTAGGGGTAACTATCACAGATTTTGACACTGTAATAAGGGAAGCTGTTACGGCTACGTGCCCTGGAGCGAAGCCGTAGATCTGTGTGTTCCATCTCCACAAAAATGTGGCTACGGTGCACCGTGAGGGCCTCATCTTAAAACGGAGAGTGAAAACGTTAGCCACCGAGCCTAATTCTTGGCCTCCATCTTGAGGGCGGGTTTGTTTTGTTGGAGTAGGGGGATGGGTCCGATTTCTGGGACCCCCCTATCCAGGCACCTTTTTTCGGAGGCAGGGCCCAAAATCGGACCCACGTCGCGTAAACTTGCCAACTTTCATTGCATGATGAGCATTGGGTGAGCCGTGGTGAGCCGAAGCTGAGCCGAAGGTGAAGCGAGCCAGATTTTAGCCCAACTATTTTCGGATGCGACCTACTTATTTTTAATCTGAGACTACCTAGGGAGGTGAATATGTCTTCTTTCATTCACTAGTTACCTATTTAGCTGTACATGTACACCACAGCACAAGAAAAGAGTTAAAATTTCTAGGTAAATATGTTGTTACTGCCGAGTCAGCTCCGGGAACCTTGGGCGCCCCGATGTTATAGCTAGTTCTGGGGGACCCTAGGTGGGGTCACATTTGTATGTGGTAAAGACGTGAGGGACATGTTAGCTGCAGTAGCTAACGATGACTGGAGGAGAAGAAGTTCAGGGGCATGCATACCTTGAGGCACCAGCGAGCCGGGGTTTCTGAACCCCCCTTCTGAACCGGGTTCGGTGCTCGGTGATGGTCAGCCGGCCGCGGGTGAGGAAGGCTCTGCCTTCGGTGTCAAGGCCAGCGTGAGACACATCAATGGGGCGCTCCCATCCCTGGGGGTCGACATATATGACATATTCGTGGTCCAAGAAACCGCTCCGCTCCGGCGCCATCGGGTGGACTTTTAGCTGTCCGCCATCGTACTACCACTATGGGTGGTTGCATCAGTGTGCCATGGTGTTCTCCGATCCAAACAGCGGGCCGCGCGGAACGTAGCCCTATAGCGTGTCTATTGTCATTTTCAAGCCTCGGATAACCTAATATCAGTATTGCGGCACGGTCAGCGCGCGTCTTCTGTGGCATTGCTCAGTTGCACGAAACACGGCTTACACTCTCCTCCGACTGCTTCAAGCCAAGCGAGCCGAGTGTGACGTATAGGATGGCCGAAAAATCTAAGCAGTTAACCAGGTTGAACGACTTGGTGAAAAAGGCCTCGAGGTCGAGCCAATTGTGGTTGATGCGCATCCGTGCAGCCCAAAGCATCGCCGCCGTCGAGCCTCGACCTAAAGCCCATCCCCAACGTCCTCCCAAAGTCCAGCGACGGCAAGTAGGAGCTGACTGCGAAGGGCGGCGGCAGCTTCACCATCATGCTGGCGGAGCCTAAGGGGCTGCATGGTCGTGGCGCTCATGAAGGCGCCGACCCCGCCGGCGTGTTCCGGTACAAGGTCCGCGGCGGGGGCGAGTGCACGCTGACGCTACCCGAGGCGAACGCGGAGACGCTGGCTATGACGTCTGTCGATGCGCATGTGCGCGTCAACTGAGTGTTGGTGTTGGTTAGAAGCAGTATGGTTTTTAAAGGTAGGGTATAGTAGAGCTGTGGTTGGTGTGAAAGCGGGACTCCCTTTTCACTTCATCGCGATCGACGGCATCGCGGCGCTAGGCGCGATTTATCCCATCTCGCACTGGATGGGGGTTAGTTTGTATTAAACCCACTTAGCGTTCCTTCTTGGTAACTCTTGGTGCTCAATTACCGTGCTGGACATAGTTTTGAGGCTAATTCGGGGGTGCAAGAGAACTTGAGGCCTGAAATGTTGAGGTAGACTTCCGACATCCCAAAAGGGGCTAAAAGACCAAGGTCGCTGTTCTATCGCTTAAGTCCATACAGTTCACATCAAGCAAGCTTTGACATATTGAGCAATCTGCGCAAGCACATTAAGGTAGTAATTAATGCGATTTGAGCTTTGAAGAAAGCTTTTGAGGCGGCCTCATCACTGCTGGCTTTGACTTAAGTTCGGCCATGTTGACGTGCGTGCCCCCCTGACAAAGCAGATATGCCAAGGCCCCGCAGGAAACGTGGATGCGTTACCAAACGGGAAGGGACGAAAAAGACAAGTCTCGACTGGTGAATGTCTCGATATTGTCGTTTACACACTATCGTGCTAGTCAATATTCTGGGTTCAGTGTCACGGCTGCAGAGTCAAGCAGACACGTGTGATGCTTTCTGTGAATAAAAGTTACTGTGAATGACAAACCCTCCTACATTTCAGTTTGACAGGGAACTGGACGGTGCTAGATTTGGGACCAAAGCCTAGGTTCTACCCAATTTTGCTTGCTTGGACAAGAAGGAGCGAGACGGTGGAGCTCGGAAACGTTAAAGAAGGAAGCCTCTTTTCCTCCAGAATTGAGAGAACCCTCATACGATGTCGGTTGGAGATTATCCTGCAGCAGAATCAACACCGAAAGTAACATTGCGGTTAACGTGCACTGCAGAAAGTAATAATAATTGGGAAAAGTTGGACAGAAATTGTCATCTTAACGCACCAAATCTGTCTTCTTCACGAGTGGACGAGTGGACTAGAATTGTGGGGCAAGGAGACGGGAGGGCGCTCAGTCCCAACTGGGCTCATAGCTCCTACCCCTCCCTAAGGCTGTAAAAAAACTCGGTCCTGTAGAAGGAGCCTCCCGTCTACCAAGATGACCTCCATGGCCAAGCACGCAGCGTCTTCGAAGCATTCTGCTGCGCCAGCCATCCATAATTGATCCGGATTGTAACATTTTGAACAGAAGAAGCAAACCTTTGGCAAAAGATTGGCCAGGGAAAAGCGAAAAATGATCATGGGATGGAAAAAAAGGTTAGCAGGTGGCAGGTTAGCAGGTGGCCACGTTTTCTATCATGCAAGGTTCGAACCCTAAGCCTCTGTCATCTCCTCTCGGCCAAGCCCAAAAACTCTGCCAATATGATAGGCGCTGCAGTAAAAAAGCCTCAAAGTCGCGACACCCAAAAGGTACCAGCCGAGGAGGCACTCGGTACCTCGGGGCTGCGCGCAACTCTGCTCCTGGGCGGCGCTGTGCAGAAGTTAAACTGAATCTTGCAAGCACAAAAAGTGAGGGCTGTTCCCAATCCCTCTCCTACTCCGTTCACCCCGGAGGTCGGGCACGCCTCAGGCTGTTATCACGCAACGCCGGTCACGAGGACCTAAGCGGTGAGCTAGGTTTATCTTGATGGTCATCACCGGCTTGTCAAAGCGTCTCGAAATTTGGACCACACGGGTACGTCTCCATTGAATCCCCCAAGAGCAAGTGGTGCGTTGAGATGCAGCGATTGGCACCTTCCACGGTGAAGGGGCCGAGATGCAGCCTTGCTCCTGCCTTGACCAATTTGCTACACCCATCTACTACACCCATCTGCTGCACCCATCTGCTGCACCCATCGGCAGCAGAGAAGAGAGGGACTAACAGCTGGCAGCGGCATGCATCTGAGGCACAATTGACGGCTCCAACTCGAGGAGCTTGACCATTCCGCGGGTTTGCAAGAACTGTGATGATATCGGGTGGGATCACCTTGGAGTGTTGGTTGCTGGCTTAAACACTAAGTGACGTGGACCGCGGCTGCCAATTTTCAAATCTGAATTCTCCAGTTGAGTTATATGGGGGAGCCGCTACCATCTAGGTATCGGCGGGTCAAGTGGCCGAACTGGTCTCAGACTTGTCGCCGCCGTTCACCCCGAAACCGCCGTTCACCCCGAAAAAGAGCATCAGCGATGCTGCGGCCCCCCTACCCCTGACGAGCTGCGAGATGCACGTTCTAAGAGGCGGCGGATCGGAGCGAGATATATACCCTGGGCTGTAACAGCTTGCACCCCCTGGACAGTTTCGGGGGAAGAAAGTGTCAATATCCCGTGTTTCTTCAAGTTGGCGTTTATTGGGCTGTTGGTGGGCTAGATGCCCCCCGAATCCCCAACACGGTGTCCCAAAGAGACCAACTCGTTGGTTTATTTGCCCACATCAAACACGTCGCAGAAAGATGTCAAATGCGCAAAACTTATCGTTCAAATGGTTCACAATCACTGTATTCACCATCCCGCAAGAAGAAGAGCGGGGCAGTTATTCACGAGACGCGATATCTGAACCAGCACAGCAAGCAGGTACCATGCAATTTGCCCTTCGCATCTCCGTGTACTCGGCGGGAGGAAAAGAAGAAAATAAAAAGGAAACAAGGAAAGAAAATAAGGAACCACAGTGGAGGTCGAAACTAAACATGCAGACAGAACGTCGGCCGCCACCTCTCATAAAACCAATCGCACCGCACCGCTAATTAGTGCAACATCTTGGCCGCGCGAAACGGCGTGGCCGCCGGCAGCGTGAGCGGCGCATCGGTGCGCAAAGTCGTCTGAATAAGGTGGTCAAACGGCGGCGCAGCCGCTACGCGCGGGTTGTACGGCGCAAAGCCCCACAACAACCCAAGCGTGTTAAGGATCGACGTAGCCGAGTACGAGACGGTGCTGCCGGCGGCGTTAGCAGCCTTCTGCTCGACAAACCCCTTGGCGACCCACGGCGACACCAGCAGCGTGGGCACGCGGCCGCCGAGCCGGTTGAACGGCAGCGTGTAGCTGCCCCCGCTCGGCGTCGACGCCGTGTACGTCAGGGCGTCGGGCGCGGGCGCCAGCGGCGGCGGGACGTGGTCGTGGAACCCGCCCGTCTCGTCGAACGTGATGATTAGCAGTGTCGTGTTCCACTGCGGGCCGGCGCGCAGGGCCTCGTAGACCGTCTTGATGAGGCCCTCGCCGGCCGAGATCAGGCCCGACGGGTGCATCGAGGTCGTGCCGACGCCGCAGCACGACGGGTTGAGGAAGCTCAGGGCTGTCAGGTTGCCGGCGGCCGCGTCGACGTAGAACTGCGGCAGGTTGACGACGCGGTTGGAGAGGCCGGCTGCGTACGTCCAGTTGAACCAGCTCGCCTCGGGCCCCGTGCCGCCCGCCGCGTCGTGGTAGTTACGCCACGCCCGCCCGCTCTCGGTGACGGACTGGAACAGCGACTTCTGGTTGAAGCCTTTCGCTTTGAAGGTCGCGTCGTTGCTGCCGTGCCCGTACGTGCTGCCCGACACGAGCGCGAGCCGGTTCGGGTCGGTTGGCTGTGCGAGAGAGTCAAGCTTCTGGTCCGTCGGCTTGCTTTTCGACTGGAAGGGCTTACCCCGGGCACGTCAGAGTGCCAATGGTTGAACGTGACAAAGTTCTTGACGAGAGTGGTCAGGACGGGAACCTGGGCCTCGGTGTAGTAGCCCATGACCTGCTTGGCCAGCGTCGTCTTGCTGACGGAGCTATACAGGCGCAGCTGCTCCTGGACGAAGCCCTGCTGGGTGGGGACCAGCGTGCCGGCGGCGATGGCGGCGTTGCTCGGGGTAAAGGTGCCGTAGAACTCCATGTTGTTGCCGTAGACGGCGTGGTCCGGGTCGTTGAGGATGGAGTCGTAGTCGTTGGCAACTGTGCAGACGGTGCCCATGGACGCATTGGTCAGGCTGTAGGGGTTGCAGTAGGGCCCGCTGTTGACGGGGTTTTCGAGCCCCGCCGTCGTCTGGCCGCCCAGGAGGTTGTCCAGCGAGCGGTTCTCCATGACCAGGATGACGACGTTCTTGATGGCCGACTGGAAGGTCCTGCGGCTGAGGGGGTTGGCCGGCGCGGCTTCGGCAGAGGCCGCAAAGGCCAGCATGCCAAGGATAGCGACTAGCTGCATTTTGGGGGGGGGATCAGGCAACTAGTATCGAGACTGGCGAGGGTTTAACAATGGCTCCTGTTTGCGGCTGCTTTCGCCTCCCACGCTGCCAGGCTGCCAGCTTGAGCCGCCGGCTTGGCTCATATATAGCCAAGACACGAGTTCTCGCAAGTCTCATGTGTTCTAGACCTAATAACCCAAGGACCACCACGTGCTGGCACGTTACGGCCGTTGTACCAGTCGAGCCCACGTGTCCGTTTGTTTCCATCTCTGGGTTACACATCTGTGGGTTACACATCTGTCGAGCCGTCGACTTGAGCGAATTCAATTCCGACGTGTTTTTTCTTGTCACCTACCTAAGCAGTAACACGCCGAATGAAGGTGGTGAGGTCCGTCCAGCCTGGCAGATAGGTTGAGAAATGATAGCCTAGTGTCCAATAGGATCGACCTGCAAGTGCACGAGCGGTTTGCGTGACGCTATTCCGAACGAGTCGCGACCCGGTAACCCGTCGTGGACACCGAGGGTCGTTGACGACCAGAGTCGCCGCAGCCGTTTGACCTGCCTTAACTCGTTTAGGCCTTGCAGGTTGGAGGTGCCGGCCATGGGCCCTGCAGTCCCTCGTGTGCCTCGTGGTAGATTGCTTGGCACCCATTGGGTCGTCCGCTTTTCTTGATGAGGAATGGGTGGACATTGGTGCGACCACGATGCAGCTTCTCCACTGCTTTTCCCACCGTTTCATCCTTCTCCCGCTGCACGGCCGTGAGTGCCAGGGACGGGGAATGTCGACATCCCGCCCTTTCTCGAGTTAATGCCGGCATCGTAATCGGCTATCCCTTGAGCTTGATTGGATCGCTGCCAAGAGAAAGACACTCGACGTTCTTCTTGGCCGTGTCATCGTCCTTTCGCCGACCCACGCTTCACACTTGTCATCCTAGTGCGGGGTCGACGGCAGTCAGAGGGCCGGGCCGAACCACAAGGAGTGGGCGGGGATAGGAACTCGCCGTGTCGAGGCTGCTGCAGGTTATTCCCGTCCACATGCTGGCAATCGGAGCCTGCAACTTGATGCAGGTCAACAACCGCCAAACTTGACACCAAAAAGAACAACCGCGAAGAGCAAGACAAAATGAGCGAAACTGGCGCCTACATCCACGGGCACTCGGCTGAGGTGCTCAAAGCCCACGCGCGACGCACCGCAGCGCGCGACGCGGCGTACCTGATCCCGCACCTGCGGCCCGACTTTCGCATCCTCGACGTGGGGTGCGGGCCGGGGACCATCTCGGCGGACCTGGCGGCGCTGGTGCCGGCGGGGCGGGTGACGTGCGTGGAGCTGGGGGCGGGCGCGCTCGATGCGGCGCGGCAGACGTTTGCGCAGCGGGGCGTGGTCAATGCCGACTTCGTGGTGGGCGACGTGACGGCGCGCCAGGGCCTGCCCTTCGCCGACGCCAGCTTCGACGTGGTGCACGCGCACATGGTGGTGATCCACCTGGCGCAGCCGGCGGCCGCGCTGCGCGAGATGCGCCGCGTGGCCAGGCCCGGCGGGCTCGTCGCCAGCAAGGACATGATCATGGCGACTACGACGTGGTTCCCGGCCGACACGCGCCTGGCCCTCTGGGAGCGCGGTATTACGGCCACCATCGCCGCCACCGGCGCAGACCCCCAGATGGGCCGCGGCCTGCGCGCCGCCGCCCTCGAGGCCGGGTTTGCGCCGGACAAGATCGACGCGCGCGCCAGCTGCTGGAGTTTCGCCGACGACGAGGCCGTCGCGTTCTGGGGCCGCAGCTGCGCGGCGAGGATGGCCCCGGGAAGCGAGCTGAGGAAAAACATTGTCGCCGGCGGGTACGCGACGGAGCAGCAGGCGGACGAATTTGTAGCCGCGAGCCAGGGTTGGGTCGCGGAGGCTGGCGCTTGGTTTGGGTGCATGAACGGCGAACTGCTGGCCTGGAAGTGAACGCTGTTCCGTGGTGGGGAACTACGTGCGCTGTGTGCATGGCATTGGGCACCATGAGGGGCAATACGCCGATAATAAACCAATCAAAATCAGCAATCATGCGGGTTTAGCTCAGTTGGGAGAGCGTCAGACTGAAGTCCACTTCATCGTCTCATCTGAAGGTCATGTGTTCGATCCACATAAACCGCATTCCTTTTTGCATTTTTTCGCTTGGATCCCGCACCAGAAAACCCTGCAGGTCTGTCTGGCTTCTGACAACCGAACCGGTACCGATGGGCGGAAAATCGAATCCCCTGTGCCGAATAACGTGCGAATATTTCTAACAGCAAGGCTCAGACGTGCGCACGCACGTCCGATTAAGCTCGGGAGAGTCTCCGTCTACTGTTAAATCGTCCCCATCCACTGTAGGCGTCAAGCGTTACAGCTCATCGCTCATGAAAATACCACATTTTACAGCCGAAATTGCCATATTCGCTGGCAGCTCCGCTCCACGCGCTGGTAACGGAGTCGCACCGTAAATGCACCTCGCCGCCGTCGTCAACGTTAACACACTCCCGAATGCGGTAATTCTAGCTCAGGGCCGTAGATTCGCTCAAATCGTTCAAGTCTGCAATAAAAAGCGAAGCTAGCTTGCTTGAATTCGCTTACGTGTAGGGCCAAAAATGTAATAAAAAACTACATGCCTGCTTACAACTACTCTTAACTGCTCATAACTGCCTGCCCTACCAATCCATGCCTTCCAAAGCCCGGGTAGTAGGTCGGGGGACCCTTCCACTGCGTGTAGGCTTTGTAACACGACTTGCAGCCTCTGCAGCCCCTGCAGAGGCTGCAGGGGCTGCAGGGCTACGTGAAGCTCGTGATGCGGCGCCGCCCCAGCTACCCCGAGCCGCATCAAGGTTGTTGACAGTACGGCGAGGGGGTAATACAGGTTAGCTAAGCTTATTAATATCGTCATCGTCATCGTCGTCGCCGTCGATGTCGTCGTCATCGTCAAGGGTGGCTCCCTCCCACTGTGAGGCATGTCGGCGAATAGAGGCATAAGTCCGGACTATCTGCCCGGTTGCCCGGCTGGCTGTGTGGCTCCCGGCTGTGTAGTCGGGACCCTCGGTGCGTTCGCTCGGCGGCGAAGGCATTCGAGTTGCGTGGCCTGCCGCGAAGGCTTCCGACTCTGTTAAACTCTTGGTACTGCAAGTAATTGTCTTCGTCAAGTAACGACCTATCCAGGTACTAATATGGATGGAAATCGGTCTCTTGAAGCTTCAAATTACCGGCCTGGTAACGCTGAAAGAGCTCATGAGCGCAAGGAATGCCATACTGTGTCCAGAACCGACCGGTGCAGGGCTCCAGGGGCCGGGGCCGGTCCCCGAGAGCAGGTTCTATCTCTATGTGTTGCTTTACAATACGATTGGGGTATTATAATATATATTGTAGGGAGCATCACCAAGCCACTCCTAACCTAGTTCGTCGAAGCGAATGCGGTCTTTTTGCTTCGCAGTCAGCTTATCGTATGCTTCCTTCAGCCCTCCACCATATTGAGTAACTATTGTACGGTCTATAAGGTATTGCTGTTGCCGGTGAAAACAAAAGACTTGAGAAGCTTATTAATTAACTCAACTGGTGATGTGGTACGGTGACCGAAGTTGAGGACGTTGTTGGCAAAGCAAGTTGCCCACTCTCGAATAAGTGGCATGTAGGTTCGTTCGAGATACCGAAGTATAGCTTTTTGGGCGGAAAAAGTAGCTTTCATCATCTCCCATGCCTATGTGTGGCCGTTGAGGGTAGGCGAGTACATTATATGCTCCCAAAGTAGGTACATTCCTGCCTTAGTATACTGGATCTCGGCCGGTGGGGCATTAATATTGATTTCCTGTCCATCATGAAGTCTTCTTGTACGGTAGACAACCTGCTCTTCTTCTTCGCTGTCTTCTTTTTCGTTATTTTCCTCCTATTGTTACGCTCCCTTCCGAGCCTGCGCTTGAGCCCGGGCAACCTACTTTGCAGCGGCCTTATTCCATTTTTTCTTGAATATCAAGGCCACATTCTTATCAATATGGAAAATAAAGAGTTATAGGTAAGCGTCAGGGTAAATACGCGCAACTACAGGCCTCATCGCCTTCTCAAAGTCGGTAATTATAACCGAGGGCGTTACGCGCCGATTTCTTCGCGATGCTCGTTGACCCTGTCCATCAGCCAGATGAAGCCTTCCTCACGTTTGTTATCAATCAGGCCGAACGCACAACTAACTAATTTACCCAGGTGGTTCTTGTGGACGATTTAAAAGAGAGCCAGGCCCTTATTATTAGTACTATATATATTATTGTACAACTGGACTTAGGGGTAACGCTTCCACTGCTCCTCACACCAGGGAGGGGACCGAAAAAGACCCCTCGGCTTGTCAGGTTCATCAGCCAATCAAAGGACTTTGTAATGGATATACTCATCGTCAAGCAGCTTCTTCGTAGCCTGGAATAGCGAATATCCCTTGAGGGCGAGTCTGCGTATACGAGAGCGGCATTTTCGTAGGTTGACTAGGTCGAATTCCAGGCCCGGAAAAGCTCTTGGCAAGTCTTTGGCAATTTCTCTATTCGGGACAGCTGGTCGGTCGATATACTAAGTAATGAATACCTCATACTCAGGGCCAAAGGTTACACTATACTTCAACTTATTGAAGTCTCTCTTGATAGGCGGATGATTACATGGTTGTCATGCTCAGGAAGAAGCTCAAAGGTCCATTTCCGTTCGTTGGAAGTAAGGGCGTTGGTACGCCCTGCCAGGGGCAGTCCCGGTGGTCGGTGGTGGTGATGTTCTTCGTTGCCTTGGACTTGACGATTTTCCCTCGGTAACAGCCAAAATCCACCCTTGTTGCGCTGAAGTCTTTGGCATAGTTGGAACTGCGTAGCCTGCATATATCGAACTGCGTAGACGAAGTCCATGCGTCTAAATCGACGATTAGATCGTTGAGGGTGTCGTATTTGAAGTTGAAAAGCTTGTGGTTGGTCGGCGGGTTGGAAAGTGGCGACGGTGGCGGCGTGGGCGCATCTTCATCACTGGGCGTATCGCTGGGAATCGCCGGAATCGCTCGAATCGCTGAAGTCTTCAAGATCGGGTATTTTCGAAGCTAAGTTAGCACAGCCGCGATGATGAACAATGAAGGAAATGAAGCCTTAGTGATGCATCGATTGATTGAAGTTGTTGGGGATGATTTTGGTGGTGGTTTGGTTGACAAGGAAGGTTGCAGTGGAATAGGATAGTGTCGCCCACTTTTGAGACACTTTTGAGCCACATTGTCAAGTCACATCCCTGCATATTCCTTCATTCGTTACTTTCAGCCCTGATCCCTCTTTTCGGGCTCTCTGACTTCTGAATGCCCTCTTTTTTCTCCCTTGCTACGGCTGAGTCTCTTACGTAGTAAATTGACCATGCCTATTTTGGCCCAGCCCACTTTTGGTCCGTGCTGAGCCGCCGACTCATGAATGACACCTTACATTGAAGCATGTAAAATATCGCCAAATCAACTAATTACTATACAACTTTCGACTTCTTCTTCTTCTTCCGAGCCCTCTGATTCGTCAGAGCTGTCACTTTCGCGCCCTACTGCCCTCTGCGCGCGCCGAATGTCTTTTATCGAGGCAAACTTCGAATTTGGGCTCAATTCCACCTTCTTCCTCTTGGTTCCCTTTTTGTTCTCAAGCTCAGCTTTCAGAGCCTCATTTTCATGCCTGAGCTTAGCCAGCTCAAAATCCCTGAGGGCGAATGCCTTCCTGACCTTCCTGAATAGCTGATGACGTGCCCTACGGGCCGGGGAGCTGATGTTTGTTTTGGCCAAAGCAATCGTAAGGTCCGTAACCTTATTAGGAGTCTTTCAAGTGCCGTAATCGTTAAGCAACTGTTGTTGCTGATGAGCCGTATCCCTCTCTTCCTCGAGAGTAGCTATAGCCGTACTTTTACCGGCTTTGTTGCTATTTTCTAGCACTTGAGGGCTCGTGAGTGGCTTGAGCTTATTTACCGGCCACAAGCCGGTAGCATACCACCCTGCCTTGCAGTTTTCTTCCTTGAATGCTTCTTCCCGGGCAGCCCGGTAACAGATCAACATAGTGCGCCGGCCGGAGACCGTTGAATCGGAGCACCGGGGTAGGGAGTTAAACCTCTTCCGGTATGCCCGCTTCAGGACCGAGAAAACCGTCAAATCAAGCGGCTGAAGCACGTGTGATGAGTGTGCCGGTAAGTAAAGAAGCTGAATGTTGTTTTGGAAGCAGGTCCACGTATAATCATCAGTTGTATGACTGCCGTGGCCGTCAACAATGAGGAGCCGGCGTTCGTTGTTGGCCGTGCGGGTATGAGGAAGGAAGACTTCCTGAAGCCATTTTAACGCATCCTCGTCGTCAATCCAGCCTTTTTCTTGCGTGTGGAACTTTCAGCCTTTAAAGGGATTCATTTTGGTTGGGTACTGTTGTTGTTGTAAGGTTTTTCCCTTCATGATTACCAAAGGAGGTATTGACCTGCCCGTTACAGAGATGCATTCCACGAACGTGGTCCAATTCCGTGACCCTGACTTCTTTTTCTTTAGCTTCTTGTTGTTGGCTCTTTCCTCAAATCCGAGAACCATGCCGTTATCACCCTAGCCTTCAAGAAGGCCAGTCTCGTCTTTATTCCAACGGTTCTCCGGTTGATCAGCTTGACTGCCGGGAGGGCCAGGTAGTTGAACCAAGCCGTGATTACCGGGACCGTGGCGCCGTTGAGGCGGGCCGTATCCATGCTTTGGGCCCGCTGGTTCTGGATTGACGGGTTCCGGGCCATGAAGCCGCGCAACCACTTCGGTCCTACCCGTTCCGGCTTCCCTCCGTCCACGGCCAGCCGGCGGGCAAATTCCCGGACCGTTGCATGCGTCGGAGGCAGGCCGAGAGCGCCTTGGAGGTTGATCCATTCGGCGAGCCGGGCTTCTGTCGTATGAGGAAGAACCTGCATGTGTTCGAATGCAATATGGCGGGATTTGTGGCCAGCTATACGGTTGCGAAGAGAGGTCCTTGGAACGCCACATTCTAGGGCCGCGCGCCGCACCGGAATGCCTTCGCGGACTTATTGCATGCCCTGCAGTATTTCCAATTCGTTATATTGAGACATCTTCGAAATAACAGTGAAAGAGCTATCGATTGTAGTAGAATTGAAGGAATTTAGTGTTGTTTTGAGGAAGTTGCGGTGTGTTGAAGAAAAAGGATTCATCACATGTGTTGTAAGTGCATGGAGGCTTGCGCATGGGTCAAAAGTGGGCCTAGCCAAAATAGGCATAGTCAACTTACGACTGAACAGACTGTTGAGCCAAGTTTCCTTTGTCCCTTTCCTTGGAAGCATAAAAGGCCTTCTTTCCTATATTATTAGATGGGATTCAGACAGCTAATTCAAGACTCTTTAAGCCACCGTCAACTTTGATCACGGGCCAGAGATAGAATACGAAGGTTGTAGCGTAATTAGGTTGGGTTGTGGTAAAAAGTGGTAAATTACGCGGCGGCAGAATCTTGGACGTACCGATCTTACAGGGTTAGGGTTATGTATAGAGGACTACCGTGGATGGGGACGATTTAACAGTAGACGGAGACTCTCCCAACCTCTCACCCCCCAGCAAGATTCACATGTCGAGCAGCGGCACTGCCGGCAGCACCCTGGCTGGGTTCGGCCTCGGTTTCTCTGATTGTGGTCCACAAATGTCCAACCCTTAACCCGTACCCTGCTAGGCATGGCAGCATTGCATTATATCGCCAACAGTTTGATGCACGGCTCTATGCTCTTTGATGCACGGCTCTATGCTCTTTGATGCATGGCTCTATGCTCTTCGATGCATGGCTCTATGCTCTTCGATGCATGGCTCTATCCTCTTCGCTTGCTTGGCAGAATGAGTTTGGCGCCGGGATCACAAACCCTACCTTGGCTCCAGCTTGAGCTTTTGGGGGTAAAACTTTGACCTGTGAAAGTTCATCTTGCCCATTCTGGGCCGAGCAACAGGAGACAAGTGCAATTGTCTACCTCGGGAAGTGCTGGTGGATAGGGGATCTGAAACGCAACACACGTGACAAAACTGGCGAAGTCAAAGTCATCAAGTTCGTTGCATGTGGGAGACAAAGTATGCCAAACCCCACCCACATCCCAACGTTCTTGCTCATCGGTAAGTCAGTGTTGAACGGTCAAGCGGTCGATCACCAGACACTAGAAGCACAGCCTCGGTTGGTTGGAGAAAAGTCTCTTTTTAACTCCGAGTTTCGGTTTCTTTCCTGCTCTTTGTCAAGGTACTCAGCATTCCGCAGTCCTAACTTTCAGCGGCACCCATGTTTCCCATTCCCCACGCGAGCCTGGGGGTCGTAACGGCCAAACGGTAACTGCATTTAGCGACGGACAACAGAGTCACCACACGGTCTCTCTGACACTGTTACAGCTCTTGTATCCGTAGCCGGTTAGTTCCAAATTAGATGGTACCAACTGTACGTAATGCGGGGAGAAATAGAGAAGAATTCGGTGTTCTAGCTTGCCGAGCACAACGGGCTGACTGTGGGGCTTGTTCACAAAAACTCTAGGAGCTCCGCAAAGTGTGTTTCCCAACCTTGAACCGTTGTAACTTTCCAACGGCCAGTTAACCGTTTCCCCAGCAGCCCCATATCCAAAACAGTTGTTGAAGTAAAAGTTTACCTACATAAAGAAGCAGTGCCCGGGCTTTTCCCCCCTTCAGTTCGCCAATCTCGAACGCTGTTTCAGACACTCAATTGACACACTCTCTCTCTAAAAAAGGGCAACTTTGACTTCCTCAAACGACACACTGAACAACACTTGCCTTCTCTTCGCAGCAACCAACCAAGCATCAGTCGCCAAGCCGGCAGACGTGCAGCCTTGTGGACTCAAGTAGCCACTCCCAATAACACATCGCGACTGCCTCAGCGCCGAGTAGCGCAGGTCAACTCAAACAACAAACCCTATAGCTTCACACCGTCAAGACCATAGATCCCGATCAGCAGCCCTGGACCTGGGTGCCAAGAAGCCAGCGCTCGGCCCAGACGCCAGCAGACGAAGACTCAGCAATGTTCATCAACCAACAAGCCAACAACGGTAGCACCAGCCGCTGCAATGACAGCAACCATGGCTCTGACTCCTCAGCCTCCAACCCCACCTCTGTCAACAACGCAGACTACGACTACGAGTCCGACTACGAGTCCGACACGTCGTCAATCCGCTTCCACGACCCCGTGACCGCCGACGACATCGCGCGCTGGGTCAAGCTGTTCAACTACACACCAGAAACCGCGTCACAAAAACTCCACGAACTGCGCCGCGACCCCCTGACGCACGGCGCCGACTTCCCCGACGCCGACTGGGCCGACTTCCAGCTCGACCACCCCCCGCACGACGGCTGGGACCGCGAAGCGTACGAGCACGTGCGCGCGCGCGCCGACATGGCCGCACTCCTGCGCCGCGTCCTCCCGTCACGCACTCCGCCGGCCCCTGTCTACCTCGTCAAGCTCGACGGGCCGCTCGGCTGCGCAGAAGCCGTGCAGGCCGCCGCGGGCCTCGCTGCCCCGCCGCAGACCTGCGCTGCTGCGCCCGAGGCCGGCGGGACGCAGGTGCGGTTCTGCCGCGTCGCAGGCGAGGCCGCGCGGCGTGGCATCCTCGCGTGGGCCGACGCTCGCAGAACCAGCAAATGGCGCCCGACGGTGCTGCGCGACTGGGCAGCCCGCAAGGCCCTGTCCGCCCGCAGCCTCGACTCGGAGCTCGGCGTCGGCAGCGAACTGCCGCAAAACCGACCGCGGAATCTAGAGGCAGGCGACGCGCGCCTGCGGCCTGCCCAGCACGCGTATCCCGTGTGGTATTTCGTGTACGATGGTGCGCTCGCGGAGCAGCCTGCGACGCTGCAGCGCGTGCTTGGTGGAGAGGAGGACGTGGTGTCGCGCGCTGCGAGGACCTTTGGCGGGGAGATTGTCGCGTGGGGCGCGGGCGCGTACAGAGGGATGGTGGATGCCGAGATGGACGGGTGGGAGAGTGTTGTGGAGGGCCGCGCGGTGCTGGTTGGGGATCGTGAGGCGGAGGAGGCGCTGCGGTATCACCAGACGAGCCAGTACGAGGTCGCGAGATGCGATATTGAGATGGTGGACGGCGAAAAGGAGATGGTTAGGGGCCTGACGTTTCGGTTTGTGGGGGTGGCGGATAGGGATGATTTTTATGGGTTCCGTGTTTAGCAGGTGGTGGTTTGGGCTCTGTGGGAGTTGGGTGTGGATTGAGAGGGGATTGAGAGGTGATAGCGAGCGGGATAGCGAGCGGGATAGCGTCAGCGGGCAATGTGATAGGTGATAGCGTCAGCGGGCAATGTGATAGCGTAGCGTCAGTGGGCAATGTGATATTTTTTGCATCAATATTCTTCTGGGTTTCCAGTCCTAACTGTGACAATATGCTATATTGTGATTTACCTGTGTTCGAGTTGCTTGAGGCACCGCACGTGAAGCTCGTTAGCCCCCGGTCGAGCCCTGATATGAGTGCCGAGCACGTAGATTAAGATTAAATCCGCAGCGTCGGTGCCGTGTTCCCGTTTCCGGGTGCGCGTTTGGTGACGGCGGCGGCAGATGTCGAGGCAATCTACGTGGATAAATCACTCAGCGACTCCGTCTACCCCGCAAACTTCTTCAGTTTGCCCTTTCTCTCCATGGTGCACGCCACAAGAAAGACTCCCGTCCCAGTTGGGCTCATGTAGCATATTAGAGCTGAGACTTGGCATCGGCTGGGCTTGCTGTCCTCACGCTAATCCCTCCGTGCCTCTGATACCGAGGCAGACCAAGCCCAGGCGGACAGCATTGCGCCCTGCATATAGCCTCCGACATGACGCCATGGCTGCTGGTCCCCCTCGCCGTCGCCGTAGGTGTGCACTGCCACGGGGGCATCTTCAACTACACCATCGACGGCGTCGACTACGCCGGGTAGGGACACGGCGCACCCCCTGCCTCGCTCTCCCACACATCATGAGCGGACTAACACGCCGCCCCTCAGACAGTTCCCGTGGCTCCCCGAAGACGGCCAGTCGACCATCCAGCGGCGGTGGTGGGGCGACCCGATCCGCGACGTGGACCACCCGTACCTGGCGTGCAACCGGGGGATCCCGCTCGCGGCGCACACGCCCACGCTGCACGCGCCGGTGCGGGCCGGCGGCGGGACCATCACGGCCAAGTTCCACCACCCAGACTGCCCGCCGGACCTCGCGTACCCGACGGCGCCGTCGGTGGCCGGCGTCGGCGACCCAGACCCGCCGGTGCCGCGGTGCATGGGCCCCGTCGAGGGCTTCTGGTTCCACACCCACGGGCCCATGGTCGTGTACCTGGCCGACTGCGGGGGGCCGTGCGCGGCGTTCCGCCCGGCGGCGGGCGACCGCGTGTGGTTCAAAGTCTGGGAGGCGGGGCTGCTGCCGGGGTTCAGTGTGGTCGACCGCGACGGCTGGAACCAGTTCCCCTATGCGAACGCCGGGTGGAACGTCTCGCTGCCCCGTCGGTTGAGGCCGGGTAATTACCTCGTCCGCCACGAGATTATCTATATCGAGAACGACCCCGCGCAGTTCTATCCCTACTGCGCCCAGCTGGCGGTCGAGGGCGATGGCGACGAGGTGCCGGGGGATGAGTTCAAGGTCGCCTTTCCCGGCGCGTACTCGGCTGCCGGTTAGTGGTCCCCTTGCTTTGACCGTCCAGGCCAGTTGGTGCACTGGCTTTGTTCCGCTGTGGGCGGCTGCTGACACTCGGCAAGACCCGGGGATCGCCGTTGCGGGGATATTCTACGCCCCCGGGGCAGATCAGGTCACGACATGGGTAAGATTCCTCTGCGTGTGTGTGTGTGTGTGTGTGTGTGTGTGTGTGTGTGTGTGTGTGTGTGTGTGTGTGTGTGTGTGTGCGTGTGTGTGTGTGCGTGCGTGTGTGAAGATACTTCTGTTGGTACTGGCGAATGGCTAACTCTCTGACGAAATAAAGCCCATGAACTACACTATCCCTGGGCCGCCAGTATGGACTGGAGGTGACTAGGTAATCAAGGCCGCGAAGGACAGATCAGACACAGTCAACGGGGATGCAATCAGGGAGGATATCCAATGTAATCATGTGCATAAAGGCTATTTCTACACGTTGCTTATAGACAAATATGTACCAACACTAATCCCACAGCCCACGCACAACAGGCACCCTCACTGCGTCCCCGGCGCCGGCCCGTGGTACACCCACAGCATGTTCTCGGCGCCCTTGGGCATGACAATCTTCTTGACCTTTGTGCCCTGGAGCCCACTACCCGGCATCTTCTGCGCAGCAGCACCGCCAGCGCCCGGCGGGGGCTTGGCGGCCGCGACAACCGGGACAGCGGGCGACGTATCGATCTTGCCCGAACAGACACCGTCGCGCGGGAAGACCAGCTCGCCCAACCAGGCCTTGTACGCGGCGATCTGGTGGGCGCAGGCGCGCCAGCCGGGACTATAGACAGAGAGCCCGCCGGCGTGCGTCATGTCGCTCAGCGCCCAGCGGCCGGCGTCGGCGAAATCCTCCTGCCACGACGTGCGCGCGTACGCCGTCGGCACCGCGCTGTCGTTGCCGTACGCGCGCGCCCACAGCTTGGTCTCAGAGAACGCCGTGCCCTCGGCGTAGCCGTGCGATTTGACGACGGTCTGCAGGGCGACCATGTCTAGGATGTGCGTGAACTCGTGGAACAGCACGCCCAGCTTGAAGAACGACGGCGTGAACACTAGCACCGATCCGCGCGTGTAGGCGGCCGCGTTGGACGTTGCCGAGGCGTCGGATGTGCGGCCCGGTAGGATGACGAGATTGGCTACGTGCTGCCGCATCCCGACGGGGACCTGGCTGAGGGTCTGGCAGGCACAGTTACAGGGTTAGCGGGTGTTGTTTGACTCTAGGGAGCGGACGAGGTGGCAAGTGCGAGAGTGAGAGTGCACACCTCGAGAATGCCGTCCCACGGCTCCTTGGCGCCGCGGTGGCGGCAGATGGTCCACGCGGCCGCGCAGTCCTCGTACCACACGTCGCGCACCTCGAAGTCGGCCGGCTGCAGCTGGTTGATGACGGCCTCCTCGCGGCAGTACTTGGGCATCCAGAAGGTCGGCCACGGCTCGAACCGCCACTGCCGCGTGGGCAGGTCTGCTCTGAGGTCCTTGTCTTGCACGTCTTCGGAAAAGGGTGGCGACACGGCGGGCTTCTGCAGCTCGACCGCCGATCCTGAGCGGGATGAGAGGCGGAAGAAGTCGGGCAGGGTTGCGCCCAGCGCGGCGGGGATGCTACTGCTAGCGAGCACGAGGGGGAGGAGTTGTGCGGAGCGCATTATGGATGGCAGATGTGTGTGGTGGGGGGTTGTCTGGGTGGGTGGTTGTCTGGGCGGGGGGTTGTCTGGGAGGGGGGTTGTCTGGGCGGGGGGTTGTCTGGGCGGGGGGTTGTCTGGGCGGGGGGTTGTCGGGTGGATGGAGATGTCTTCAAAATGTTTTGGAGTGATGTTGACGGGGGCTTTTATGTTTTCGAGTCTCATACTCGGCGCCAGGTGTTCACTGGGCTTGGTGTTGCCTACGGCCTGCTCTGTCGGCCACACCGGGACGCCAATCTTCCCAGCGCAGAAAGGGGGAATCGAGTCATTCTCTTGCCTTGTCTCATTTACCGTTGTTCTGTCTCCTCGATCCGCCGTAAAACACCCACCACCACGGTTCACAGCTGCAGCCTGTCACCCCCTGTAATTTTGGCCCTTGACGGTAGATATCCATAGCAATTCTGCGAGCGATAGTCCGCCGGCAGCATCGTGTAATATCTTTGCATTCCCAACAGCACTTGCTGCCAGAAGCAATGCCAAGCAGGCAGGACGATTCAGGTCGCAGCAGCGCAACGGCAGCCAGACTTGCACTCTAGAGCAGGGCGAGCGCGGAAGCCGTTAGGCCCAAACGTGTCAGCGCCACAACCGGCGGACAATGACGCCTGTTTGCCACGAATCGGTTGGGCGCCCGTCTTCTACCGGGTCTTCCTACCGGCGCCCTCTCCCTGAAGCCGGTTCAAGCACCGCCACGACGGGGTGGCGCCGTTTCCTGCCCGACATCTTTGGCGTTAGACGTCTGCTATTAGACTAGTCATGTCCTGGTGCGCGGCGGCGTTTGCGGCTCGTAACCCGCCTGCGACTCGTGGGCTGGGCGCCACGCCGCGCCGCGTCCCAGACCATGCCAACGGACGGCACTTTCGAGTGTGGATGGCCTGCGCTAGCCTGGCCGTTCCTGACTTGCCGCGCGCAGGGCTGATTCGTGTCCCAGGGCGGGAAAGGGGCCTAAGCCTCGGACCCGCCTGCGTGACAACGTAGAAGCTAGTTAAGCGGCGCATCGGCGTCACTTGACGACACGACACGTCTGCGATGTGGGACCCGAGAATCCCTGACTCAGCTGCAGTTCAATGGGCGTAGTCGACATGCATCTCAGCCTCGATATGTAGTCACGGGTGATAGCGTAGATATTAAATCTCAATGACACTAGAAACACCTGTAGAATGGTGCGTAACTGTATTGTAGACTATCCAAGTACCGTAGGATCTCGATAATAACTGCGTGCGTATTCGGGATACCGCTTTGAAGACATGCTGCCAAAACCTTGTCGCCAAAACCCTGTCGCCAAAACCTTGTCGCTAAAACGTTGCCGTTTCCCTCGCTAAGAATGGATTATTGTACACAACTGCGGACAGTTTCCCTCGCTAAGAATGCATTGTTGTACACAACTGCGGAACAAGTACATGTCGCTGCGTCTATCGCAATACCCTAAGCGAGCCCGACACTATGATAACAGGCGGGAGTAGTACATGCCTCATGGTCTATACTACACACGTAATCGTGGAAGTGATAGGAGATAATGATAGAAACAGAATGAGCGGGGGGGAATATTAGGAGCAGGAGCATGACAGTGAACCCCAGCGGCCTCCGTGTTTCTAGAGATGTGCCGGCGAGTTCCCTGAGTTGATATTGAGAGGGATTGGCGAAATCTCTAGGGTTTGTATTCTCAGGTTTTCCTTGGCGGGGGGAATTCGATGCCCAGCGCCCCTTTGTGCCGTAAACAGCGATATTGGGCTGGATCAGGGCGGTTTACTGCCCCTCGGGTCGAGTTTCACAAACAGTATCCGTAGAGCCTCCCGCAAAGAAACCGACCCCGCCGAAAATCCTAGCCCGGCTCTGCCGCCTCACTTCCGGCTACTCGGCCTTAGCCTAACCTGAGACTAGCCTAACACAATAACAACGCCCCGACCGAGATGACCCGGCATCTTCTTCGCCCTCGGGGCTTAGATCTCCGCCTCGTCACTCGCGAGGCACTCGGCTGAAATATTCCAGAGCATCACCAGCGCGTTCAGCAGGACGCGGTGGTGGAGGATGAGGTGGGGGTATCGGGCCTCGAGCGCGTTGATGCGCGTGTCGAAGCCGCTCATGATGCGCAGGTGGACGATGGCGCGGTTCGCCTTCTTTCCCCGCTTGTCGATGCTGCCGTCTTGGTCGATGTTTCCAAGCTCCCACTCGAGCACACGGGTAAACTGGTAGATGGCTTCGCGGACGGCGAAAGTCGCATTTACGGTCTCCTCGCGGGAGAGGCGTTGGGCGGCGTCGGCGCGCTGGAACTCGCCGATGATGTGCTCTGTCGCGTGGTCCATGTCGGACAGGATGATGTCCGCGGTGACTGGGTGGTAGAAGAGGACGATGACCTCGCGTAGCTCGGAGGTCATCGCGTCCAGCTGATATTGCAGTCCTGAGGAGAAGGTCAGTCAATTTCAGGGACGTGAGACGTGTTGTGTGGGAAGGGGTCTTGGATGTCGCGACGCACTGGCTACTGCGGGTTGGAGCTGGGCGGCGGCGACGGGCGTCTTGAACTGCATCGTGATCGCGAATTTATGAATGAAGTTGGTGAAATGGAACTGACGCGACGGCGAGTGGTGATTTGATTCCAGAAAAGTGTAAACGGTAGAGCTGATTGACTGGTGTCTTGTAGGTGATTGACTGGTGTCTTGTAGGTGATTGACGGTGTCTTGTAGGTGATTGACTGGTGTCTTGTAGGTGATTGACTGGTGTCTTGTAGGTAGATTGACTGGTGTCTTGTAGGTGATTGACTGGTGTCTTGTAGGTAGATTGACTGGTATCTTGGAGGTAGTAAAGACTGATAGTATCGCGAAGCACCAGATGGCGCACCCAAAAAGGTGTGAGTGTTTGAAGTGAAACGGAAGCAGGAAGCCAAAACTTGAAAAAAGATGTGGTGCGAAGGAACTGGAACGCGGCGAGGCGCGAGGGCGCGCTCCTCTTCAGCAAGGAGACCCGTGCAAAGAGAGTCATCCGGTCGTCGCGTATTGTGGGTGCCGAATCCAAACAATAGGGAGGCTGGTACGCAATTCACACATCGAACAATAGGTTCGAGAGACAATGGAACTTCATATTGTACGCTTCGGATGGAAGTTCTTACTCACCACCACTCCTGAGCCTCACTTGTCCCGTCTGACGTGATCGCTCAGGCGGTGAGCGGGGCCGTGTGACCGATGTTGGCTTTCGTCTGTAATTATATACCGCCTGGTCTCAGCCTCTGACATAATTATATGCCGACCTCTCCTACGGGATGCCGGACAGAAAGATGAGACGGCTCTCTCTTACACCGCACCTGACCGCCGCCGTACTTGCCTGGCAGATGCCACACTTCCCAAGCACCGACCCAGCCAAACCCACCATCCGTCGGGCCATCAAGGTGTCCCGCCATCCGCGTCTCTCGTGGCTCTTAGCGCGTCCCACTCAGCCTCGAGCATGCCGAACTCGACGAGATCATGCCACGTGCGGTTAGAGTAGATAGCCTCGCGGCGGCGGCCCTCGCGGGTGAAGCCGAGGCCGTCGTAGACGGCGAGGGCGCGGGCGTTGTAGGACGCGGTGCCGAGCTCGACGCGGTGCATGCCGGCGAAGTCGAAGGCCCAGCCGAGCGCCCAGGCTATGGCTTCCGCGCCTAACCCTTTGTTCTGGAAGGGCTCTGCCAGCCCCACCGCCAGCCGCGTCCACCGCCAGTGCGCCGTCGTCGCCTGCCGCTGCCGGCTGAGGAACAGGCTGCCGATGGGCGTCGCGCGCGCCTGGGCCTGCTTCAGGTCTGTGCCCGGGAGCAGCAGCCGCGGAGGTTGCTGCTGGTCTTGCGTCTGGTCTGCTGCCCCTCCTCCAGTGCGGTCTGTGACCTCATCGGCCGCTGGCAGGCAGATGACGACGGCCAGCAGCGCCTGGTCGATCATCTGCTCGATGGCCTTCTTGCCGGCGCTCTCGCCGACAGGCCGGAACAGCGTCGGGTCGCCGAGCCCCTGGCTGACGGGGTCGTGAAGCGTGCACGCTAGCAGCTCTCTGTCCGCCTCGGTGTTGTCCACGGCGCGGTAGATCAGCCGCTTGGACCGGAACGCTGTGGCGAACTTGGCCGTAATCTCTTCCATGTTGTCTGTTCTGTTTGCGCCTTGCGTGCTGTGTTGGTTTGCCCTGGACGTTGGATGCTGTTTGACTACTGTGTTGGTTTGCCCTGGGCGTTGGATGCTGTTTGGCTGCTGTGTTGATTTGCCCTGGAGGTTGGATGCCGTTTGGCTGCTGTGTTGGTTTGCCCTGAATGTTGGATGCTGTTTGACTGCTTTGCTGTCGTAATTCTAGGATGGTTATTGGGGTGGAGGGGAGGTTTCCCTGACGGAGCTGGGGAGCGAATTTATCCCATAATTACGAATAATGATGCCTGTGACTCCCAGCTTCCTTTCCCGGCGTGAGCTGGCCCGTTTTTTATGCATTACGGAGATTTGACAATTGCCAGTGGGGTCTGTAATCTATTATTATGCGGCCTTCCCCAACGTTCTGCGTGCCTGGCTAGAGTGGTTGTTGGCTTGTTTTAGGCATCTTGAGCTCTGAACCATGGCGTGATTGGGCCAAGTTGTGTTCCGAGAAACAAGCTTGCATCCGATAATCAGCGACGTGTTATTGTTGCGCGGGGAAGGGTGATAAGGTGGTCTGTTGGAAATTGATTGGGAGTTATTGTGTTCGTGGTATTCCAACCACGTAGGTGTTCCAACGGGTCAAAAAGTGGTAGTACTACCGGGGGGGGTGTAAAGTTGTTCTGATTCTTTCTCTCTCCGGAACTAAGGTAGGTTCTGCTTGCGACCGGGGTTTTTGTATGTGTGTGTGTGAGAGGTCCGCGCGCCGCACGTGCCTACTTGCACGTGCGTACTCGCGCGATCTCTGCTTCCTCCCTGCTAGTGTGCGGTCACCAGTATCGCTATTCCAACATATTGGCTTGGTTGCAACTTTCTTCCAACTTTCTTGTATTATGTCTTCTCTCGAAAATGCAACGAGAATTTCATCATTCTGACATTGAAGTTTATGTACTTACACGCGCCCAATTATTTTCATTAGTCGACTAGGCATCTTGAGTTTCTATTAGCCTCAGGGATTTCGGATTCATAATAAGCATACCTAGTGTTGTCATTTGACGCGATTTGAACTTAAACGCACCATGCTCAGATATCGATATCACGACTATTTTCAAGAGGAGAAGAACGCGGCATCACCATTTACCAACAAACGCGCTTGATAAATCAGAAAAGACAGTCAATCGCGTTCCACACGTCTCTCGCTACGGCCGTTGCTAATCATCAAACTCTGGTTTTGCCCGCCAAGAAAAAATTAAAGTACAAACAAAAATGCAACGTCGTTATATCATATCATGTCATCATCAGAACCTCCCAATGTCTAAATCTAGATCCGTCATAAGCCATGCCACCGGTGATATGCATGGCCGTCATGAAACGATAGTTCCGCAATTTGCCGCTCCCCAGTGCTCTCGTTACTTTCTTTGATGTTTGTCGTAAGCCGTTTGACCTCTAATCTTGTTTCGTTAATGCGCGTTGCCTAATCCAAACCCCGGGTTTTCGTAATGGTCATTCATTTGCTTCGCTGGTAAAAGCTCTTTTCCCCTCTGATCCCTGCTTTGCTGTCGATTCTGGCTTTCCCGAAGATAGCGTTGTGTTGATGTGCTTCGAATGTGTCGTTCTGCTCTCCGCCCCTTGTCTCTTTTTTGTTCTCTCGTCTTTGCGCCTTTTCTGGTTTCCGCTCTCGGGTTCTTCTATGTTCCCGGGTTCATGCCCTCCCCGGGGAGGCCAGCTCGAATGTTGACCTCGTGCCAGTCTGTAAAAACCGTGGCGGGGGCTGCCGCCGTGTTATTTGAATGTCTTCCTGCGGCCGCTGGCCTAGACGATGTCTTCGAGGATCTGCCGTTTAGATACCCTCCGAATGTGACATTTGGCACTGGCGTTTGTGGGGAGCTTGAGGGTGCGGTACGGCCGGGAGGTAGAAAGGGCGGCGGCGGCATGGCCGCTGTATCGTTGCGGGTGCGGGCTGAGGGGTCGTTGCTGGCGGTGTTGGAACCGGGTCTCGCTAATTCGTTGGGAGCGAAGGGGATGAATGTGTTGTTGCGCCCAAGACCCTCCGTGATCGGACTCAGCGTGGGAGGACCAATAGGAGCAACCCCGGCCGACCGGGCCTTTTTCGACTCTCGCCGCCACCGGTTTGTGTACGATCGTGCGTTGGATTGGATTGTTCGGAGTCCGGCCGCCATGCACTATTTTCAACCGTCAAATATTAGAACCGTCAAATATTAAAACCGTCCGCACCCGAGAAGCATGGAAACAAAAGACATGCCTGAGCCTCGACTACGTTCCACTTCTCGCCCACGCGCGCGGCCAGTCCCGACCAGATCTGCTTGCGCATGCCTATGTACTCCTTGGAAATACGCTCGAGCTTGCGCGTGTCGTGCGTGTAGACGCCCCGTCTCTCCATCAGCCTCTCGTAGCGCTTGCGGCATGCATTGGCCGTCTTGGTGGGAAAGTGCTCTCGCTGTATGTCGGCCCAGCGCTGGCCGCGCTGCCGCGTCGACACGAGCGCCCTGTCGTCGGATGCAGTCCATGTCCCCTGGTTGTAGGCCGAATTTGGATGGTCTTCGAGGGCGTCGGGGTACAGCCCCTCGCCTGTTTCGTTCTGGTCCGAGGGGTTGGAAAGAACGTCGTCGTGCACGCTCGAGACCCGGTCTAGCTGCGCAGCGTCTGGGAACTGGGGGCCGGTGGTGTATGCGGGGCGAGGTGGAGGTCCCATGACGGACTGGGCGACAGCGGCAGCAGCAGCAGCAGCAGCAGTTTGGTCTCGCACGCGGCCTTCCGGGTTCGGGGCTTGAGTCTGTGCCGCAGACTCGCCGTAACCACCCAGCACGGAATCGGCGGGCCGGCCAAGGGGGCCGCGGTTAAGGGGCGCCTGTGAGCCGAGGACAGCGGCGGCATCGCTGCTGGCGTGGAGGTCATGCAGTGGGCGGCGCGGCGCAGGGTCGGACATGGTTGGGGCGACCCCATTCGCATTCATGCTCGTCGAGGGATGTCGATGACTCGATGTCGATTTCGGACCGGGAGAGCTACGACGGGCGACCAGAGGTCGATAAGGTCATCCCTGCTAGTCTTGGTCGTCCAGATCAATTGAATCGTGCAGGGTAGTGGCCCGGTGCTCTATCGGAGCTACAAGGGGGGGCCGTCAAGGGGGGTGGGGGATTGGGGAGGTTTGGCCTGGGTTGGAGGTGGTGGCGGGAATGAGGTAATTGTCCCTCGGGAACGGGTCTTGTAGAACTAGAATAAGGTAGGCCAGGCAGCCCACAGTAATCCGCCGTCGCCTCTCCCAGGTGGCTGATGGCATTTCCTGCCAGAGGTCCGCCAGACGAGCGCGCCGGCGAATCGTATGCACTGCTGGCCGCTTGCATGACGCACGGCAAACCGCAAGGGTGGTGGCTACGGCGTGGCCAGAGGGAAATGCAGGAAGGTGCAGTGCAGGTGGAACTTCGAGTGCAGGCGCAACAGCATTGTCGCTCTATGTTCGCGCCTGCAAGCATTTTCGATCTGCAGCTGTGTCGTCTGGCAGTTGCCGTTTTCAGCATCCACGCCTGAAAAAGGCGTTGTGGAATGCCGCCCGTCCTCAGTGACTGGTCGGCGTTCGTATTACCACTGATTAATTGCTCGTGCGTCCGTCAGTTGTGGGCGACCTCGCGTCGTGGAGGGGCGAAGGCTACACGGGCGCTCCTTCCACGACACAAAACGGCTTCCGCGTGCCTTGGGCCGACCAGCAGCCTGGACTGGCACTGTTGCCTAATGTCGTGTCCGTTGTAACCCTTTCCCCGCCCTTCAGCTTGCGCTGCCCATAAAGCGGACGCGGTACAGATCGATCAGTCCTTGGTACCACTCTCCAACATTTAGGTGGCCTGGGAAGTCGGCCCCCGGCGTCGCAGCCGGGGCCCGCGCGCATTTGCGGGATAGGTAAGGTATGTAGGCAGGTAATTAGACTCAGGTGGACCGAGCAGAATTGCGGTAACGATTGGCACTCTCGTGTTATTCTCCTACCGGAAATCCCCGCTGCAGTGGACATTCCAGAACGATCGCGGCACGCCGATTGACGTCCGATATGCAGCTAGTCATGCCGCCTCCATCTCCCTGCGTCGATGGTGCGTGCCAAGGGAGATTGTCCGACCAGTAGGCTCAGTTCAGGAAATGGGACAGCGAACCTGTGCTGCTAAGTCCCGTCCAATTCTAGTGCCCTCTTTGGCAGACGCTGCTGCATTCGCTTGCACATGGATGTGTAGCTTTCAGCACTGTTCTTGAGCGCCGTTTACGACGAGGCCACGGCCAAGATGCCAAGGGAATATGGACTGGACAGCAGCGTTGCATGAGCACGGCTCCAGTTATATATACTCTACTGACAAGGCGCATGCTTAAGATCATCGCAGAGGTGGGAATGTATTCAGTGGGATTGGGGGGCTGCGCAGGAGGACTGGGTCTAGATAATTGCGAGTATGAATTGTTTAGCATTTGGCACCCAATGAAAACTCAAGTTCGCCATAAATTCAACAAACCCTGCTGGAACCTGAGCCAAGAACATTCTAAATGCGAGCGAGGCCTGTTCATTTTGCGATATCCTTTTGTCCAGTGCACATCTGCCAATTCCTCTTTCGATGCACCGGCACCCATCAAGCCTACTATCTCAGACGTGCTTCAAGTTGGTGTGTCACACGAGAGTGACGTTGACTTGAGGCGTAGTGCGAGATTTTCTCGGCCAATGAGCGGTGCCTGGCTGACCGAAAAAAAAATATGTGCTAAAAGCTGAATCCTCAGGCAGAGAGAAGTTGTTTGGCTTACGAATACTGCTCCTCGAAGCCACACATAATCAGGTTGGTGTGGGAATGCATTTTATTCGCCATATCGAACGCTGTGTCTTTCATTACCTTCAATCGCTAAAGCAATGTCGCCGCTCGCTGCCGAAAGATAGCATGACTGTAGGTGTCGCCCCCAGCGTATTATGGCTCGTCTGCAACTGCAATGACTACATGCTTCAAAACATCTGTTATTTGACCATTTAGTACCGAAATAGCGTTGCCAGCACCGGATTTCCTTATAGTCAAGCGCTCTCAGTAGGCGAAAATTGCCTTAATAATATCGTCGTCGAATAAGCGAGAGAGAGGGCCGAAAGGGCGGTTTTTAGGGCAGTAAGGTTATTCTAATTTCGCCTCCATCTGAACAATATCCCTGGCTTAGAGCTTATTTAAAGTAGCGAAGAGCTATTGCAATGCAACAGCAACAGAAAGGAGGGTTAGAGCAAGCCTTAGTTGTCGTTTTAACGACTAGTCTAGAGATTAGAGAGCAAACGCCAGCATAACAGCACCGGCCCCAGCAACCCGTCCCAGCGCTGGGATACCTGCGCGACAGGCAAACGCAGTTGAAGTGGACGTCGTCGGGGGTGGACCGTTAGAGGTGAGGGTGGCTGCTGCCGTTCTGGAGTTGCTGGGAGATGACGACGAAAATGGTGATGAGGACGTAGAGGGCGAAGAGGGCGAAAAGGACGAAGGGGGCGAAAAGGACGAAGGGGGCGAAAAGGACGAAGGGGGCGAAAAGGACGAAGGGGGCGAAAAGGACGAAGAGGACGAGGTGAAACTTGATGTTGCGGTCGTTGAAAGCAGGTCCTGAGTGATTAAGGTCGGTGCAGTCAAAATAAAAGTCGTTGGATGCGGGCGCCCAAAGGTCACGGTCGGCGGCGCGGACACGGGGCCGTGGCTATTGGGGTTAGAGATGCATTTTTCCGCCCATACTGAGCTGGTGAACTGCTCGAACTGGTTGCCATGGCACGCGGGTTTGAGGCAGATTCTGGCGGCATGGTTAGCGTCGAGGGATGATTACGGACGGCGGCGTCAGGCCTGGACAAGTAAGCAGCGCATACGTATAGGGCCCGAGGAAAAAGTTGCAATAGCATGAATTGAGGGATGCGAGGTTCTTCGTTGCTTCGCTGCAGCCGGAAATGGTCGAGTAGTCGAGTATGCTGGAGTCGGCCAAATGGCAGCTGATGACAGATCTGTAATAATTAGGAAAAAAAGGCAGTTGTTAATTAATTAGTAGACCTAAGACGAAAGACAACACGGCGCGTGCGTCGAGCGGCCGGGCTGGGTGAGACTCATAGGGCAACGGAAGGCTTCCTGAGGGCGGTGCACATTTCGGCACCATATACGTAGGGGGCGTCGTTATCGCCGTAGGGGGGGGGCGCTGTCTTCGGCGCGACAAGAGAAAGATAGCAAAAGAAGTCCAAGAGCAGCAAAGGCCGAGGATTTGCCCAGGGCAGACATGGCGCCGTGATGGTGGTTTTGTGACTTTGTTCCACACAGCAACGGGCAGCCCAAGTACTGCGCTTTTGATACCCGTGCGTGTTGAGTGGACGAGGACCGCGTCGCCAGGTGGCCAAGCACCAGTACTTAAGCACGCGTTTGGCCGGCCCCCAATCCCTGTTCAATGTCCCGTGATCAATATTGGCACGTTTTTGAGTAAGCCTCCTTTTACTTTCCATTTCTCATCACGCCTTACTTCGGAACGGCGAGAGTTAGTGAATGAGCCCTATATCTACCCTACCCACTTGGACATTTTACAACTGTTGTTTTCACCTCCAATTGACCATATTAGCATCACTCTCCCCGTTGTCTTGTTGCAGGTTTCCCACCGAGGACTCGAGAAGGCAGACCTCACTGAACCCTGTCCAAGGGACCAACAACCAACACGAATCAATGCTGGTGGCCCAATCTGCGCTCAATATCTAGTGGCTTGGCATCTACCCCAGAGCAGAGCCACAACTTCACACCTATACAATACAATTCCTGAAAGTTTGAGACTTTCCAAGATCCGAATACACTCAACAACCTTATTACTCCTCCTCCCCTATATAGCTCAAGTTGGTGCCGGTGCTATATGAAACTAATATTAGGATTTGGAGGATAAGGTTAACTAGTAAATAATAATATCAATATGAAACGGTGTCGAGATAATTCGGGTGCCTTCCATATGGTTTTTTGCTGCGTTCTCCAGCCCAAGTCACCTTCATCCCATCTTCTGCTCTTGGGACAGCTCTAGGAAGGCCTTCTTAAAGACCCACTTTTCAGGACGTTCATTTTTATTTTCAAAATACTGATCAATACCTGCAGGCTAGCAGCTAATTCTTTTCCGCGTTTCCTTCTGCAACGACGCGCGGGCTCACATTTCTCGTCGCGGCCGAATTTGAAAATAAAAAGACAACACCTCACTGCTACCCAATCTGAATACCGGCAATATGAAGCCCATCACGTTTGCCGACGCAACCCCAGCGAGGCTGAAAGACACCCTTCTCCTGTTCAACCTCAAGTCTGCCGCAGTGCACTACCTCTACGAACTCCTCTCTCGCAACGGAAGCGGCTGTATCCGCAGCGCTGGCGGCATCGCGCTGCCAAATGAGCTTTGGTTCAAGGTGCTCGAACTGTTGGCACATGACGCGTCCCGTCCGCACCAGCCCTTCTGCTTCGTCAAAGCGTCACTTGTGCCGTCGGGCTCGTTTGGCGGGGCCGAAAAGATACTCCGCTGCGTGCGACACGACTTTGACCTGGCGCCCGGGCAGCGGCTCGCCGGCAACCTGCAGAACCGCGTGAGTGTTACCATGTTCAAGCGCTTCCTGTGCTGTGCCAACCCCGCCACAGCTCCCGCAACCAACCAGAGAACGGAAGAGTTGCTCTTGGGCATGACTCTGAAGGAGCACGAGACATGGTTTCCCATGTACTACAATCGGCCCTGCGTCATGATCCCGAATCTCATCGAGCGTTCCGGCCCAAATAATATCTTCTACGTATCTTTGCGCGCCGGCACTAGTCTGGGTTCGTCTTGTCGCTCCCGGCGGGCGTGTACCACCATTTAACCGCTAGGGGTGTCATTTCGCGCATCGATCATGGAGAATGCTGGATTTGCGACAGAAACAGATCGATCTGGGTTGACGGCGACGACATGAGCGATTGGCTTTCGACGGAGTGGGGTCTTGACGTGGGGTCTTGACGTTGAGGAAAATCTCTTTGGCCGACGTTTTGCTTGCCCTCTATGTGGTATGTTCTCCCTTTTCAGCCTCCCTACTTCTATACCCTTTTGCTACCTGCCTCAAGTAAAATGCCACAGCGATGGAGAATGCTAACACAAATCTCATTTTTCAGTAGGGCCAGATCTATCGCGGACTATGGTGGTTCTCCATCGCCGGCTCTTTACAAACTCGAACAGTGTGCCACCGTCGGATTTTAAGAGACAAGGTACGCTTCTGAAGCGTCGACTGAAGGAGCTCGGCTACGGCTCTGGTTGATTATGCATATATACGGCGCGAGGCCTCGAATGTGTATGGGAACCAGACTTCAAATGTTTGATGACCCATGATGAATCTACGAGTTCTGATCACTCCCTTCAATTTAGGTTCAGTTTTCCTGCAAGACGTGGGCGTGACTAGAAGAGAAGTGCGGCAGTCGTCGAGAACAGCGCCGGAGTCCGTTCGACTAAACAATTGTTAATGGTAATATAATGAGGGGAACAATATTCTATTTCGTCTACTCAAGGGCAAGGAGGCTATACTCAAGGAGTTAATTCTACAGTCAGATATATAACTAATGCAGAATGGCTCATGCCTATCAGCACGCACACACTAAAAGTAAAAACAGGCATTTTGCCGCAGTAATGCAGCAAAAAGTCTAACAATGAAATGGCACCAATAGAGTCATACCGTCCGGCTCACGAACCCACCACCGCCTGAGGGAAACCATATACTAAAAGACGCCAGGAAATGCCTGCCAGCTAAGCACCCAACCAACTACTCCAAAACAAGCGTCACCTCCATCTCGCCAATCCTGGTGTTGCCGGTGCCGTTGCCGCCCCTAACACCTCTGCGCCACGCACCCTCAAACCAGCAGCGGCCCACTAACCTGTAGACGCAGTCTTCGGGCCTCTCGCCGGCGCCCCGCGCCCCTCTCGTCGAAGTCCACGTCGATGAGATGGGCTCTTGGTTGTGAGGTGGTGTCGTCATCTTCGCGGAGCACTTCCAGAACGCGGATACATGTGTTGGATAGCAAAGGCTTGTATGTAAATGTTGGATTCACCAGGGTACCGGTACTGGAATCAACAGGGCGTAACTGTACGCCGAAAGCTGGTGGTTCAAGTGATGGATTGTAGATGTGTGTTCTTCTCTCTAGCTTTCTGGCAGTGCCAGAAAGCCCCTTCTTATACTACTATTGTGGTGGCGAAGTGGGTGGCGAAGTCTCTATCTAGAACCTTCGAGGCCCTTCTGCTTGACAAATTCTAATAGTAAAACTTGGTAGTAGAGAAGGTTCCATTATGTAGCGGCATTAAAGAGTGGATTTCAAGGTCGTACGTGCTGTAGTGTAGGAACTTGGGAAGTGGGGTAGAAACACCAAAAACCAAAAGGCAATGAACAAAAGTACAAGGACACTTCAATTAGGAATTTGTTTCCCACTAGCGCTGTGTTTTTCACCCAGCAGTCTCGGGCAACTCCGGTCGTTGCTCATGAAAGCGACCAGAGTCTAGTCGGCAAGACTACCAAGTAGATAATTATGCCAATCTATAAACCGCTAGCGACAGTGTATCGGCTTCCCTATTAGTTCCAAAACAATGTACTTTCAGTGGCTGTCCAGCCCTTGAGGGGGACGTTGCAAACATGAGGTACTTTACCAAGACTTTCCCGGGAAGTGCCCAGCAGGAATGGCTTCTCCCGATAACCCCCGATAACAATCCAACACTTTGGGTTTTTTTTCCTGCGAAGCTGCCATAAGCCACCTTTCGTACGTCCTGAAAATTTCCCCTCCTAACCAAAATATTTCGAGTGGAATTAGCAGAGCCACCTAAGCGCCATTTCATTTTCTTGCTCAATAGCCGACAACTCCAAATTCGTCAGTGAGCTAGGCCAGAGAATACAACAGCAATGATTTTACGAGACTGGAAGACTGAATGTGCCACTGCCTGAAAAAAAGTTTCTAGTAACCTCGCGAACCTCGATCATCCAGCCGGTGTTACTTCGCAAGGGGTTCGTTCGTTCAACTAGCCAAAGCAGATACGGCGCGGTCAGCACATCCATATTAAAGCCGACCATTCCCCGCCCGAGACCACGAGGATAACTGCTTCGCACAGCCTCAGATCCAACAGCCTGGCGTCATGTTCCAACAAATGCACCCTCACGCAAGCCTTGCGACAAGGTTTTCTCCCTCGCGGACTTCTCCACTCGGTAAACCGAGCATCCCATCGACAAACTTCCCAACAATGACATGGAACAAAAAGCGAAAACCACAAGCGGAGCTTCTCGCATATTTGTGGTAAAATACTCACGGCCGCCTACTCCTCAGGGCATCGTTTCTACCCTGAGGGCGGGGTATGGGTGGGACGCTTGAGCGCCATCCATTTTCAGGGCTAGTACATTCAGCAGGTGAGTTGTTACACAGTCCTTAGCGGATTCCGACTTCCATGGCCACCGTCCTGCTGTCAAGATGTACTAACGCCTTTTGTGATGTCTGATGAGCGTCCACTCTGGCACCTTAACCCCGCGTTCGGTTAAATACTCCACAGGGCGCCGCTTCAAGCGGCAAAAGCAAAAAAGAATGCGGTTTATGTGGATCGAACACATGACCTTCAGATAGGTGGGTGAAGTGGACTTCAGTCTGACGCTCTCCCAACTGAGCTAAACCCGCATGGTTGGTTGTTTTGTTAGTTTGATGTTGCAGTATCGCACTCCATCGCCGACTGGGTCGACAAATTGGTGTTGGCGTTTGTGAGACATGTTCGCGACGCGGATATTTTTAGGACACGTCATAGCACATGAGATGAAATATTGTCATTATTTTCCGAAATTACCGCCAAGGTGGAATTATCACTTGGTATTCCCCAGAATTTCACGCGACTTTTCCGGGCGTTGCGACTCCGTTTTTACTTGCTATACTTGAGCAATATGAAGAGAATGCAATGTTGTTGTTAGGGCTCTCTTTATTCCTCCCATATTCAGCCAGATATGTAGGGTGCAATCATCAGACCTTGTATATCCGCCCCTTTCCATGCTGCACTGCCCCAGGCGCAGGCGCAGGGTCTCGGGTGGTCGCAGATATACGTCATTCTTGTCCTAGATGGTAGCTCTCCGGTATCCAATTAGGTCGAAAATTATTGCCATTAATATATCTCTCCTAATTGGGGAATGTAGACGTGATTGGCTGGGAGGTCAGCTTCTCGGTGAGAGCGAGGCGAAGCAAAGCTCATAGATAAGCCAAGGTGAGGACCCGTCGACATATGATTATATACCTGCGCCAGCCCTGGCAGAGTCAAAACGCGGTTCCCCTCCGTTTCGAATCTTGTTTCCTGATTCTGTCTCGGTCGACGGGCAAAGCGTTGTCATCTATATCGTCGTGGCTGACGCTTGGGTCCGTCCCACCAATTTAGCACTCACTACCACAGCCTGCACAACCCCCACTGATATTCATAGAAGGCTGCATCTGAACTCCTGGTTCCGAGGCCTAATCGGGATTCTTGGCCCGGTCGGTGGGGTAAGCCTGGCATCGCCATCATGGCCGAGAACTATTTCAACCAATCCCAGATCAACCATTGCCTCTTGCCCGCGAACATTTCGGTTTCTGCAACAAAATGGGCGAAGACATGTTGGACAGGTCGGCGAGCATTGCTACTCTGAAGGGCTTGTCGTTGCAGCACTCCCGTCCCGTTCTCGTCACCGGCGTCGTACCCCGCGTGGCGCGGACGAAGCGAACCAAGGCGGATTAGGGCATCAAACAAGACAGCCTCGCCTGCTGCTACCCTAGACAGTGTTTCAACCCGGAGAGCAGCAGCAGCGGCAGCAGTTGGACACCCCAACGGATGCGAAGCACCGCTACCGTTTTTCTCAGCTCCCCCCTGTTAGCGACGCAGAGTCCCGCATCACATGCAGTCTGGTTCCATTTATATCACGGAGATATATCCCGTTTGGATGCGCCTGCGCTTGATGCTACCAGGCCCGGCATCTTCATTGCTCCTGGGGCCCGCGTCGATCATAGCGAGTGGTGGCTGGCCGGCCCGCACGCAGCCGCACCCCCTCCCCAGGACGAAGAGCAACCGGGCTGAGCCGCAACTCCCTGCATGGGGGCATGCAGCTTGGTACGTACCCCGGCGTAAGCCACCACGTTTTGTCGGCCAACTTTACTCCGCGTCTCCACCGCCAACACGCAGCCCCACGGCACGGCGGTGAGTCGACAAGCGTCGACAACGGGCCAGGCTGGGAATCCTGGTTTTTCACGTGGCAGCCATCAATAATGACAGGGCCAGCCAGCCAGCCCCCAACTATCAGACGAAAGTGCGCCATTTCGGCACCCAATGACCTAACTAGCCGAGATTTTCTGCTTGATTGCCATCAACAAACAACCATCTTTAAGGTGGAGGTTCTCCTGACCCCACCCCCCCCTGGTATACAAATGGCGTTTGACTGTATATTAAGCAGTAGCTTTCATTCGCTTCTTTCGCTTCCTTCTATGGGGTTACCGTTTGCATCACACCCGAAACCATCGTTGCTACACCAGAAAAAAAACACTTTATAAAAATCGCAATACGATAGCTCCGGGCCCGCGGGATTAGAAACTAATTGTTTCGGACTTACTAGGTGGAGACTTACTAGGTAGGGGTTGCAAGAAGAGGATTGTGGCCGTTGGATAAGAGTAATAATGGGCAAGACGTCGTCGTACCTCACTGTGATTCGTGCCGGGATTCTTTGGCAAGTAGCTACCTTAGATGGACAACCATTGACATGTAAATGGAGATTAAGTTGAGCCTATCTAAGCAATAGTTAAATATTAACAAAGACTGCTGCAGGGGAAATTTTGAGAACGGCCTGAAAAGCTAAGTATCAGTGGTGGAGTTATTGAACCGCCGATGCCAAGAAACGAGTCCTATGAGAACATAGAAGCCGTGATAGATTCATCACGCTCGTGCAGGTGGTACCATGGTCCTGAAGAGCCATATTGACGTCACGATCAACGAGGAAGATTAGTAGAATGGTAATTGTTAATGTCAGAATGCAAGATGAGGTAACTGTTGAAATATTGTGCTTCTCCGCACCGTCACCCATCGCCCAAACTCCAGCCACCTACGGCAGACCCATAACATACCCGCCAAAAAAAGGAAAGTACATAATTGTCATCAACCTTGGCGGAGCATCTGCTCCAGCAACCCAAAGTCCCCCTTCAGAGACCCTATCCCCCGGCGGCCCGCCAACATGCTCTCGTGGTCGTCCTGCCTGACGGCCAGCTCCAACATACTCTGCACGTGGCTCACTCGCTGCACGGCCCCGGTCGGGCGCGAGTACGGCGACGAGCTCCCAGGCCTACCCGGCCCCCCTGGTGACGGCGGCGTCACCACGCGGCTGCCGCCCTGGCTCTCGCCCCCGGTCAGGCTTGCGAGCGCGCCGAGCAGCCGGTCGATGCGCTCCATCAGGTGGGCCCCGAGCTGGACGAGCAGCAGGGCCTGGAGAGCACAGTTTTGTTGGATTTGGATCTTGCCAAACTTTAGACCTGGGAGGTTGGCCATCCGGCTCTGCCCGTGCGCGGCGCCCGGCTGGAAGGCGTCGTGCATGTACTGTATGAGGTTGCTGTAGATGCGCATCAGACGCGTGTAGCACGAGACGATGGCGAGAGTGGTGTGCACGTCTGGCAGCGCGACATGGTGTCCCGGGCCGTCTCCCCCGGGGAGCTGCTGTTCTGGCTTGACGTTGGTTTCTGGTTGCCCTCCGAATCCCGACCCGCTAGCGTCGGTGGGCGTTTGGGGCTCGCGGAGACCGAATTCCGTGACGCAGTCCGAGCAGGCCGCCGGCACGAACAGCTCTAGGATGTCGACGAAGCTCTGGGTTGCACAGAGAATCCCCTCGACCGGGTAGCCCTCGCACCCGAACGGGTGGCTGGTGGGCTTGGAAATCCGTGCCGTCTCAGCAACCAGTGAGTAGAGGCTCGCGCTCACTGTGCAGATTTTCTGGACAGTCGCGTCCAGATTAGCTGACGCCCTGGGACTCATGCGATGCCGCGAATCGTCGGTTGCGGCAGAGGGTTGTGGTGGAGGTTCTTGCGCATCCTTTGGATGTAGTGTTCCGAGGTCAAGACTGGGTCTACGATCCTGGTAGGGAGGCAGAGAAGGTGGCGGTGTTAGTCCGAGTCCCGGGTTTTCTGGAGGCGGGACTGCAGCTGGAAAGGTCATGTCGAACATGGTATCGTCGCTGATGGGCGATTGGTCAAAGACAAACATGTGGGGGTCGCTGAAAGCGGTGTTGAGGCTATTTGGAGTGAGCGAGTGCATCTGGTATTGCTCACTCGTCCGATGCACGTCCACGTCTCTCAGGTTCTGCCCAAGCGGGTCGTTGACGTGTTGGGTCAAATCTGTGGTTGAGGATGTTGCATTGGGCAGGCACATCTCCAGGTCTGGTGGGCTCGGACCGAACGAGGTCAGGTCGAGCATGTTGAACTCAAAATCCAGATGAAGCTGGCTCATCTCATGGATCTGGGGCGCGCCTGCCACAGCGATATCACCCTCGCTGCACTTGAGCCTTTTGTCTCGGCCGGTGTGGATGTTGGGAAGGTGCGAGATCGTTGAACCTTCCATTCCGGTGACTGAGGACGGAGACGACCTGGATGTCGCTTGGCGCCGCTTTGCCTTCTGGGTCCTTCCTTCCTTGTTGGTATTTAAGGGTCTTCCGACGCGCACGGTTGGTGATTGGACACATTCTGTGCCCGCCCTCTGGCACCGCTGACAGGGTATTTCGGGAATCCCATTGTGGTAGGCGAGATTTGGAATCTTGTCAGGTCCATCGTACTGGCAGCGAAGTTTCTGCGAACGACATCTGTCACAGGCCGCGTGTCGGAGCTGCCTTCCCAAGACAAGAAAGCCTGATGGCTGCTGTATCGACAGATTCAGAATCCTCTTCGGGTCCCCGGGTGATGCCATGCTGATAGTCTCACGGACGGATGTGGAAGGCAGATTGGAGCGATGCCAATTTCAGAACATGAACGGCAGGAAGGAAGAGAGGAACTAAGAAAGGAGGTAACGTAGGCGAATCTGTGTTCGTGAAAAACCTGTCTGGGGAAAGGGGTGGTACGTGGGTGTGGTGAGCTACATGTAGTGGTTGGCGGACTAGGCCAACGGTCGAAGCGGATAGAGCGAGCGGGTAACGTTCCGAGACGCGGGTTTCAATTCCAAGACACCGAGACAGGCGGTAAACTGGGTTGGGAGTGAGTGACAGCGCCGCTAGGCTGGCTGGTACACAGACGCACTGGCTCCGTTCGAGATGCTATTTCCCTAAACGTACGGTAATCGCCGGGGTGGGTCGGTGGCATTTGGCGAATGGGGCCTGGTTATCGTGTGGATCTAGGGCCCGCCGTATTGGTTTGATCACGCCGTAATCGAGGTACCATGTATCTGTGCCTACAAAGCATTACTACCTACACGTAATCATTCCTTCACGTCCCCGTCTCCCTCCTCCAGCGCAACGCAAAAACGTGCTCTGCCCATGCCATCGCCGAGAGCCATCTGTGACCCGCGCCACAGGGCAACAGGCACAAGGCCCTCGTATGGTCATGGGGGTGAGGCAGTAAGCTAGCATAAGTTGTTGAAACCAGAGCGGGATTCCGTGGTGTGGTCGTGGTGCGGCTGAACCCTGCATTAGCAATTGGGGGGTCGCGTAGTAAGACGGGCAGGCACAGCCATGCCAGAGCAGGGTCCTCCACACCATTTCAGAGCTGCAGTCTTGGCCGCGATTGACGCTCGATAAGCGGGAAGTTGCGCGCGCGATCTGCCTTGGAGGATGCTGGTGAGAGTTCCATGGTATGTATGTACTGTACCGTAGACATTGGCTAGTGGGGTAAGCCGGCTTGGGCGCCGCCGCCTCAGGAACGCGATTATGTGTGAAAGTGAGCAGAATCATGACTGATCTACCATGCTTGTCTCCACCAGACGCGGTGCTTCAGGGTTGGCTATGGGCCGGACTCGAGGGTGCGGAGAAACTTGCACCCAGCTGCGCATCTCGCCGAGCCTGAGCTGGACGTCAAGATGCAGCTAGGATGGGGTGCCTTACAGGTGGGGATCGACATAGCGAAAGCCGAAGCACTGGCCATGGATCTGGAGATCGTCCCGACGTAAAGTCTCAAAGCGTTGAGACACACATCTAGTTGGAACGCATCACTGCAAAGAGGCGCCGTCGGGTGCCATGTTTTGACCAATCATGTGTCGACCATGCAGTGCCGGCACCTGCCAGATTGGGTCCAGATCGCGGTTGCAAAGTGGCCCCGGGGTTTTCCAGCCAACTCTATTTGCCAAGACAATGCCGCCAACATGTCAACAATGTGATGTATGTTTACGGTGACGAAAGGCCATTGCGTGGGGTGGTTGATTACAAGGGGAGCCGTCAAGACAGGGCGGCATCTCGCATGCCAACAAAGTAGTGGCCAAGGTGGGATCCATTGTTGCGGAGAGAGATGGGAAACCCTTCATTCACGGGGAACGGGAAGAGCGATGGTGATCCCCGGCAGGGGAAGGAACGACTGGAGTACACCACGCCTTCGGCCCTTTAAAGCTTGTTCGGAGCTCGAGCGCCGTTGCACAAAGTTGCACCCAAGCACGCCAGAGCGGGAATGGCTCAACCTTATCGATGCGGCAAGGAAAACTCCCGATTTTAGTGAGCTTGGCAGCCTTTGGCGGTGTCGAACCCTCAACCCATTCCTCCCTCCTTCTCGCAATGTTGCACAGTGGCGCTGCGCTAAGCCAGTTTGAAAATTTCGAGATGCAAAGGCCATCCGGCATCGGCCCGCTGGCCAGGAGCCGACCTATCATCAGCAGGACGTGCAAGTTCGTCCCAACGTGTCCCGTCTCGTATATCGCCTTCTGGAAACCACACGATCCCAATCGCGCGACTTGGGCCAACAAGGTCCACGGCCGACAGAAGGCCCAGCTGGGGCCGTATGGCGGTCAGCTTCCGCCGCCTGCCCAAAAGGAGCTTCTTGCTTTGCCAATTGGTCATGAGATTTGCAGTGAGTTGAGTCGCGGGAATGATGCGAGGAGCCGCGGGAACGATGCGAGCCGCCGCCCATAAACAACGCAGCGACTCCCGTGAGAGCTGAACTGAGAAGTGAGACACTGCATGGGGTTGAAGACGTCGATCAGCCTACACGCTCCTGCCGGGTGAGACAATGACCTGCCAGTCCAGAGTGCAGACCGCTTAAAGTTCTTGTTCTGCCCCCCGCCCATTATTTACCTGTCTCCTCCCTAGTGCCCCTTGTCGACCCGCCGAGCCGTGCTCGTGTCACTCGAAGGTCTCCGCGGGCCTAGCTCTCGGGCTCCGAGCTCCCAGCCCGTGATTAGTTATCGTCCTGTCGTCATCGGGATCTACGAGAACGCCAGTTGCGTCATAAACTGGCAAGTGAAAAGAAAAAGGAAAGCCCCATTCACCTGACCCTCACCCCCCTGATTGCAGCTTCACAGGGCCCATGCAGCGGCGCCATACGCGCGGTAGCCGCTTTTATTCCTTGCCGCACAGGGGACCCGCGAGTTCACTGCTCATCGACGACTCAGCGAGAGGCTGGTTGAACTTCGAACGGTGCGACACTTGACCCCGTGCAATGCCCTGATGCAGCCGCTCGTCAATGGGGCATGGAGCAGCAAGAGCAATTGGGTGACAACAGGTGCATCTAAGAGGCGGAGCAAGGGGTTGTGAGAGTGAATCGTCATTCATTCATTTGCCGGTGAGGTTCTCCCGCAATTCTCGACGTCGCATTTGTGCACTGTGGTATCGCTTATGCACCTCTTACTGGGGATTAATTAAGAGCATTTGCGAGAAAGGTTCTGACAGCTTGCACCGCCTCGTCAGACTTCACCAGACATAGGATAAGGCTTGAACCCAACGCCGTGGCTTTGGCAGCCTGCGTGTGCTAATTAATTTAACCTGTAGGGATACGTTTGCGGGTGCGCAACTACCAAGCTGGCCAGACCAGTCCTTTGAATTCCGACCGCACCACTCTGTGCCGCAAACCCTTGTGCCCCCGCGCCCCAGAGTGTGTCGTGCTGCTCCAGAGCTAAATGCGTGCTGTGGCCAGCCCAGGCCCAGCTCCGTTTCGGCGTCCACCCAAAGAGGCTGAGCCGTTTGAATGGCGCGCATCTTTTCTTGGTTCGGAAATTTTTGGACTGTTCCCCGCAGTCCTTTTGTTCAGGGCCGATGGCACCTCGATGTCGCAATATCCAAGCCCGGGGTGATTCCTAGCCGTCTATGACCATCGGATTCCCTGACATCCGACCCCCCATCTGGTGGCGGTGAAACTTGGCGGCTCTGTTGTATTCCAATGCTGGGCTCGTCCGTCTTGGTGTGTAACGGGCCACAGGATATCAAACCCTACGGGACGGGTCGGGACGCGACCAGAGCACAGGCACATGATTGGCCAAGCACGTTACGACGGACGAAAATTACCTATCTCTCTGCTGTGGTCACTCGGATCGTCGATTTAGGAAATTCTGCCCCGGGAGCCTTTACTCCGAACAATTGGACTGAAATATACCTGTACGACCAGGCTGGTCGTTCGCTGGACAGCAGATCGTCGTCGTCGTCGGGAGAAAGAAGCCCAGAGGCAAGGCTCGCGAGATCCCTAGAGTCTCACCGCAGCTCTGCCACATCATTGAGTCGGGTGCGGGTGGGTGACTTAGATGCCCGCGAAAGGCGATCGCTGCACTACTCAGCAGATAAGATTTCTCAACACGTTGCAATTCTTTGCTCCTTTCGAGAGTGGGAGAACCCGTCTGCGCTGAGACATAGGCCTCATGAGCAAGGATAAACCCGGATTTCTGCGTCACCTGTGAACCGCGGGTAGTCAAGCCACCGTATATTCTCTCGAAAGTCAGAGATTGCTGGGGAAGGAACTGGAGGATCCCGTCTGAATCACTAATTCTACCCCCAAAAACAAGACGCTGCCCGATATACACTCAGTGGAATCTAAACTGTAGAAACGTCTACAAGGTCCTACTGTTGGCCGCTCTCGGAGGATTCTTCCTTATTTGACTCCTCGCAAGTGTCTAGCTCTCGGGTGAAATTAGGGTATTGCCTAATCCTTGCCTATTTACACGGTCTCGATTTTGAGCTGCAGAAGCTGGAGATGATTAATAGGCGTTTGCGGAGCGGTACCGTCTTTTTGGTTGGGTTATGTTCTATCTAATTTGATCAAACTGGTTAGAATAATTGAATTGTATCCATGAAGCCGATCATATGGACCTAATATAACAATAACATGCAAAGGTTGTGGTGGCAGGATGTGGAAAATTGAAAGAACAGAACTTGTAGATGTCAAGGTGGCTACGCTTGCCACGGATACAGCCGAGATATCACGACGAGAGACAAGAGAGCGATCCCTTTCCAAGGCAGAGCTCCAACTGGAGACTCGTCTGCCAAGACTGACTTCTGTGACGCTGCCTCCTTCACTCGTTCTGACGAGCCGGCGCCATCCAAAAAGACCGGCACGCGCACAGTGGTCTCGTCGGACCTGTCGTCCAGCGAGGCGACGGTAAGCACCCACATCATGGTCGGGCTCTCGAGGTAGAACTTGTCGCGGGACTGCAGCCTCATGAACTCGCCGCTGAACTGGCGCCCGGTGCCGCGTCGAGCCGTGTCGAGCTGCCACTCAACTTTTCGCAGAGCAGCCGCCGAAGCCATCGTCGCGCCCTCAACAAACGCCTGCCCCATCCTTGACCCAAATGCCATGCCCAGCGGCAGGGCAAAGAACCCGGCCCCCCGGCGCGCAGTGCCCCAGTGGAAATCGTAGTCTGGGTCAAACGTCGCAATCCAGCGCGGTTTGCTGATAGTGTGATACCGGCCGGGACAGCTAACGGGATATCGCGACGACATGACAAAGGCGCGAAGCCCCTTCTCCGTGGCGCCAAACCGCTGACGCTGAACCGGATTCTTAACAAACCAGTGCGGACTCGAACCGCGGCGCGGGCTCGGCGCATTGTGCGGACTGGGCACGAGCACGAGGTCGAACAGGAACGAGCACAGCAAGTGGGCGTCGATCGTCGCGGCCTCGCCGGGCCTCAGAGGCAAGCTGTCCGTCGTCGTCTCCGTGTCTAGGATGTCTCGCGGATGCATATCCAGGGCGCGGCAGAGCCTGGCTGCGGCCTGACGCATCCGCCGGAAGCCGCCCAGGTCGAGGCGCAGCGTGTTGCCCATGGCTGGGACCTGCTTGTCGACGGCCTCGCCGACGAGGGCCTCGACGACGGGCCCGCGATTGAGGCCGACCAGCAGCCACAGGCCGCCCTTGCCGGCGTTGGTTCGGGCAATGCCGCCGCACTCGCTCGCCCAGTTGGACATCATCCGCAGGTCGTCTCTGCCAGTCTTCTTATTCTGGGGGGCGACGCCGCCGAACTTGCAGTTCAACCTGGCTATCGCTATGGCGGCGCATCTGCTGGCCTGGTCTAACATCTCGGCCTGTGAGGGGTGGAGAGGTGCCGCGCCGCTGGGCTCTTCGACGGTGTCTTCCGTCTCCACGTCCAATGCCGGATCGTTCTTGTCCCAAATGCCGGGAAACGAGACGACAAAAGCCTTTTCTCGCCAGGTGAGATACGCAGCAGCCATCTCAACAAGCACCTGTGTGACGCGGCGAGACATGGCTGGCATCACAGCATCCCTGGCGCAGGGCAACAGAAAAGACGCCAGCTGAAAATCGCCCAGCTCTGTCATCAAGCGGGCCATAAGGGCGTCCGTTGCTGCCTGGGCCGCCGCGTCATGCCGCCGAGGCGAAACAACATCCACCACTTCCAGCCGTCTCAGCACCTCGCTCTCGACCCGCGGATCGCACGACGGCTCGACAGCGTGCGCGTGGGGCGGCCTGCCGGTTGACGGCAGCGGCCGCTGCGTCCACCACAGCCACTCCGTAATTCGCGCGCCCTGCGACTCGCGGATGTTATCCGGGACAGCGTCGTCCTCTACCACGACACCGTCGCCCAGATAACAAATCTTGACCGGCGCGACGCCATTTGTGTCTGCCCAGGCCGCAGGCTCGGCAAACGCCTCGGCGTGGCGCATCTGGGCCATGGTGCGCACGACCCTGGTGCGCGCGGGCAGGCTGAGGGCGGGGACGAAAGTTGTCTTCCTGAACGTGTCGGCGACCACGACGGCGGACACCCTGCTGAGCGGGAACAGCAACGTCAGCCGCGGGTCGACGCCGAGGAGCTTGGGGCCGGGTTCTTCGTTGCAGAACCGCTGGAGTCTGTGCAGGTCGCTGTCGCTGAGGCCCTGCGCTGGGACGTACAGCGCGCGGACGTTGCCAAGGAGGCCGTTTTGGGATCTGGCAAAGTCGCTTTCGTCCGACACGCAGACGACGAACCTGGGCTGCCGCTGTGCAGGTGGGAGTGTCGCCCGATCTACGTCTTCCCGCTCTTGAATTCCGTAGGATGCGCCGTCGAAACACTGCCTGACTTCGCTGGCAAGACGCGCGCCGCGTGTATCCATCTGATCCAGCAACCGCCTACAGACACGCTGTCTAGTAGGATACTCGATCTCCGACTCGATCCGAGAACACCGCGTAACCTGCTTACCGAGAATCTCGCCAGCCACGGCATACCACTCCTCGGCAAGAACGTGGCCCGAGACGGCCAACATACCGAGGACATTAGTCTCGTCATCGCCACGCGCCACGCTCTCGTCCCGCATCCACGCCAGCAACGCGCCTGTGGCCAGCTCATCCCAGATGTCCCTACCGACAACGCTCGCCTCGAGCACGAACAGACACGCGGCGCGGAAGCAGTGTGGCTTGCCCACGAGCGCGAGGTTGCGGTACAGGTCGCGGTACGACCAGATCACGACTCCCTCTTCCCGGTCAGGGTTGCTGCAGAGCGGTATTAGCTGTGGCGACTGGAAGAACAGCTCTGCGATCTGCCGTTCCTGGTCCGAGGGGGCGATGTAGAAGAGGCGGGCGCTGATGCCGCTCTTTTGGAGCGCCTCACAGATGCTTGCCAGGAGAGCGCCGCGCCTGGCCAGGCCCGGGCGCGCGACGAGGTGGCCCGCGCTGCAGCCGCGCGCGAGCTCGAAGCCGTCGATGGCGAGGATGGGCGATGACGGACCTTCCGTTTTTGGCGCTGCAGGATCATCCCGCGACGCCATTGAAGTGGTTGAAGTGTAGTTGAAATGTAATTTGGGGAACTGTTAAATGATGCATGGGAGAAAGGAAATACGGGGCATGGGACGGGATGGTAGTTGGCAAGAATTTGGCCAAGCGCAATTGAGCGCACCTTGTCGAGCGACGTTTGGCTCTAAACGGCTGCCTGGTCGGTTGGGTTCGTGGTCGTGAGAATGACGCGGCCACAGACGAGTCCGATGATTACGGCACTCAAGTCCGAACCGCGAGGGAGAATCTTGTTCGCCTGATTCTAGGCGAATTAGATGAAATGTAACTGCTGTATTTCTCAGATATCTGCTCTTTTCTGAAACGGCGCAACGGCCGAGACCACGGCCCAGTTGACTGTGCATTGTGCATGCAGGCATCCAACATTGAAACTCCTTGTGACCGACCTCGTCCTTCTAGCTAACCTCATCCTCCCCGCCGACATCGTCCTTGTGGTCGACCTCATCGATCATGCCGAGCTCAAAGTATTCAAAAGTCCTCATTCCTCAGGGTGATATCGTTGGGTTGAGACGAGTTTTGTGGTCCGGTAAAAGGGCAGGAAAAATTTCTTATTTTTCGGGTTTGACCATTCCGGTACCGGGGTTGCATTTGACAGTAGAGAGTATTCCGGTTGCTGCGTAAACCGGATCCTCCTGGCCGTCAAGTCCACAAAGTCCGATTTCTTCATCTTGCAACGGGACTCCTCTTTTTCGACGGCTCCGATGTAATGGGCTCAGATCTTGGGCATGGCGCGTATGGGTTGGAGAAGGTACAGCGTTGCTAAGTCTGAGAGGACGCTGGTCGCGGAAGTCGGAACTGCTTCCATCTTCTCGCACGCGGCCCAGCGACCCACCAAGATGCATGAGCTCGTCATCGGTCAAGAACTTGTACCAGGGATGAAGGGGGGCCGTCCTGACTATGCAAAAGGTGAGAGTCCGGAGAAGCGCCGTAAACCATTTCCTCTTATCTCTAAAGTGGTGCCTTTTTGTATGGGCCACCGGATCTCCCTCTCCAGTATTTAGATGTCACCGACGGAAGCGAGGCGGATTCTGAAGTGGTTCCAGAGAGAAAAAGAATCGAGCCGCACGTCGAAAACACCTTTGGCACCGCGGGATGCTGGAGGATGTCCTTGAGGCTAAGGCCATTTCCGCCTCTGGTAGAGAAGGCTTTGTCGCTCAGCATATTAACGTTGACAAGATAGGTGCGGTTTGTGAGCAAGACGTGGATGGCTAGGATGTGAGGGACTTCTACAAAGTTAGATGTGTCTTAAGGTAGAGTGATGGCGGGTGGGTCGGAAGCCCCCAGAGAGCATCTGTAAGTGTGGCGACTTGGGAGACGGTGTCGACCACGACTATGTCTGCCTCGCCGGGGTCGGCCTCTTCGGTCGGCGGCGGAGGCAAGGCCTGGTCTGATACCAGGTTAATTAATCAGTCATAAAAACGGAGGGAGGGAGGACGACAAGGTTGTCGATGTGAACAGCTGAACCAGTCAAACTTGCCGCCAGGATTTGCTGCCAGGCTATTACCGCCGTCATATATCTGCCTTGCAACAGAGGTTTTTGTTGACGCAGCATGTCCATGCTGGGCGGACTGAGATGGTTGTGTCTTGCCGGGCACTAGCACTTGTCGAGAGCGATTGGAAGCGGAGAAGCGGGCGAAATATTAATGCGGCATCTGAGAGGGGCGAGACTGAGATGCACGGACATGGACATGGCGCCGATGATGCACTGGGCCAGGGCCAGTGCTAGTGTCAGGGCCGCGCCTCAACCGGCGACGCATGAGGCAGCTAGGAGTGGGGAGTAGACCTCTCATGATTGCCTTACTCTCCTTATTTAACCTTAACCCTAATGTAATCACCTCTATCCCCCCCTAAAATTGCTGGCTTCGCTTCGTTCGTCAGTCGCGACGGCCCTCCGCTACGCTACGGGGCGCTCCTTCCTCACTCTTGCTCCTGGTAATTTTATACCATACCCCACCCCCCACCCGATCACCCTGCTACCCGATCACCCTGCTACCCGATCACCCTGCTACCCGATCACCCTGCTACCCGATCACCCTGCTACCCGATCACCCTGCTACCCGATCACCCCTTCTACACCTAAACACTATATCTTTGAATAACAACTACTTAGTCAATTGTGAAGTTATTTACAAGCCGTTGCCAGATTGGTTAGCCGAATGCATTTAGATTAACCTTAATGGAGATTTGTTAGCTCACAAGCTCTACAAATTTATCCTACTCGTCGTAAATTAATTGCAACTTAGCTTCCTTGTGTTTCCTTATCCCGACCTTTGAGTGTGTATACTGTTGTACTACCACAATGCCTACCTATACCAATGACAACATGGCGGATGCCTACCTAGATGTCACGGATAACAACCTTTCTATTCGTCAGGCTGCTCAAAAGAACGGCGTACCGTATATAACATTGAATGACAGGCTCAAAGGCGTCCCTGCTAAAGAAAAGAGCATCCAAACTCAACGCAGGCTAATAGAGCCTCAAGAAAAGAGGCTCATTGAGTGGATTATTAAGCAGGAAAGCCTTGGCTACGCGCCTATATACTCACAAGTTTCTAGCATTGCTGCAGCGCTCTGCAAAGAAGTAGGGGATTTAGAGCCTATCGGGAAAAACTAGATTATTGGCTTCAAAGCCCGGAATCCCGCTATTTGATCTAAAATCGGCAAGAGAATGGAAGCTGCTCGTTTTAACGGGTTTACTCCTTAGGCTGTTAACTGGTATTTTAATATCAGAGAGAAAGAATACGGCTAGATCAGTCCTCGGCTTACCTTCAATATCGATATGGCCGGTATTATATCGAGCTTTGGTAAGAAAATAACATCTATTATCTCTTCTATTACTTATACTATATAAGACTTGATTCATTGGCCCTAGGGACTGTAGAGACGAAGAAAACCTACCTAAAAAGCGACCAAGGTCGCGGCTAGTCTACCATAATCGAATGCATCGGTGCTACGGGTATCCTACTCGATCCAGGCATTATTTTTAAAGGAAAAGACCATCAAATTATCGTTCCGGACGACTGGGAATTGGCCTATTAGTAGGTGCAAAGCCCTCAGCCACCCAGAGATTCAGCAGAACAAGCAAAAGACCCCTGAGTCCCCTATATTTACCGGAGTCCCTGATACCCGTACTACAGGGCGCCAAGTTATGGATCTGAGCAAAGGGAGAAGCCCGAATCGAGAAGGAAGTTCCAGAAGGCGGCCCGGGCCGTTGACAAGCTTCAAATGGACCTAGTTCTCAAGCAGACTCGGATTGAAGCCATTGAGGCCAAATTGGAGTGCCTCAAGCCCAAAAAACGCAGGAAAATTCCTAACCCAAATAAGCGATTCATGGACTTAGGGACCATCTTAATAGGCGGTCAGGTTCCCGCAGAGCCTCAAGCAGAGACTCATGCAGAACCGCAACCTGGTGAGATGGAAGATGAAGATGAGGACAAAGATGACGAGGACGTTTTACCGGCAAGAATGGCCCGATCTGGCAGTGCAACACGAATGCCGGCTAGTTATAATCATTGAAATTGTAATTAGCTACATTTTGCCGTATTTAGCTTGCGAATTGCTTCAGAATTGACTGCATAGTTGCTGTTCAAATATTTACTATTTGGTGCAAAAAGAGTGATCAGGTGGCAGGGTAATTGTTACGATCCCGGTTCAAAGGTGCAGAAGGCGTTGCTCGCCCACTGCAGATTGGCTGGGGCGGAGTCGGGGTGGGGCCTTCAGCAGAGGAAGATGCACCCAATCAGGGAGCACTCAGTGGGGCGCGTGCCAAGACACACTGAGCGCGACCAAGCGTGACCGAGCACGACAGAGCACGACTGAGCGTGCAAGGTAGGAACTCTGATTGGTTGCTCATAGTTCTATATAGGAGCTGGCAACACGCTCTCTCTGGGAGAACGGTTCTGCAGCTATCAATGCATCTGGTTAAGCATACATTGGTTGTGTATCCAAAGCCTGTCTTTCGCAATCTGTGCACGATACTCCTTGTCTCCTATCATCTCCTACCTGCCGTCCAGACCCCCACAATCCTAAGCCGGGCCTAGCTCCGTGAACCTGTTGTCCAGATTGTAACAGTAATCGGGTGGCAGGGTGATCGGGTGGGGGGTGGGGTATGGTAGAACCCGAAGGTTTGGGGCCAAGTTAAAGAAGGTCAATATAGTCATGTGCTTTTGAGCCCCGAGCAAGCACTGTCACCGAAGTTCAAGGCCGTTCTTTGTGATCCAGCATTTCACGAAAAATCGGCCTTTTTGCGATAGACGAGCTGCATGTTGTCGGCGAATAGCGAGAATTCCGAGGGCTACTCGCAATCCGACCCGGAAGACATGTTCTACGCATGAAATTAGTACCAATCGATAGCCTGAATTGAGGGCATTCCAACGGTACTAACGTTCATGATATGCGAGTTAGCCATGATAAGCGAGTTGGCCACCTTAACGAGATTTGGTGGGGCACAAGCAAAAAGATGTTAGTAAATTGTTAGTGATCTTATCAATTTCTTATCGCATTTGGCTGCGCACGCTACCCAGTCTCGTTAAGGTGGCTAACTTGCTTATCATGGCTAACTTGCTTATCAAATACGTTAACGAAGTAAATTTGCACTAATTTACGCGAGAAATGTCGCCTGGATTTGAGCCACTCTGAGCCACATTTCAAGCCACAGTTGGCGACCTCCGAAAGCCCTGACGGCTGAAATTCAAAATAAACCCTGTATTCGAATAAAGCCCTATGTCACGGCCGGCTTGGAATGAGGGCGGAACTCCTCTATTGGGCGCTATAGACGAAGATTCTAAACTAAAGGGAAAAGGGAAAAGAAGCTCAAAAGCCTCCCGTCGCGAGATTCTTCCAGGGCGTCTCAAGGTGGGGCTCTGGCTGGTCGGGTGGATTCACCCAACTGGCGTCTGATTAGTCAGAGCGTCTGGGAGGCCTGGAGGACCAGGCCCTCACACCCTATATGGCTGAACTTCGAATGCCCCCTACACGGCTAAACAGTGTTTTCTTTCATCCTTTTCTTAAAATAGAAGAAGGCCTTCATTCATGTATCTCTGGACCGGATTTAGGCAGACAATTCAAGGCGCGGTGAACTTCGATCGCGTGCAACAAGAAACCATGCATTCCGTAAACATCTTCAATTGAGGTGGAGGGTGTCACGGCCGGCTTGGAATGAGGGCGGAACTCCTCTATTGGGCGCTATAGACGAAGATTCTAAACTACAGAGAAAAGGGAAAAGAAGCAAAAGCCTCCCCTCGCGAGATTCTTCCAGAGCGCGTCTCAAGGTGGGGCTCTGGCCGAGCTTCCATTGGTCAGTCGGGTGGATCCACCCGACTGGCGTCTGATTAGTCAGAGCGTCTGGGAGGTCTGGAGGACCAGGTCCTCACAGAGGGGGTCAGGATTTGGAACCAAAAAGGGGTCGTCCTTATAGAGAGTTGTAAGGAAAGGCAGGTACGCCTGATCAAGGTGGTCACAATGCAGGTAACAAAAAGGGTGAGCAATGACTGGTATTGGCGTAAGACTTCAAGCCCTCGCAGAGAGAGGAGACTGGGCTCCGTGTGACTATGGCTGCGCCACAGTGTGGATCTTTGTGGCTTGTAGGGTGGTGCGTGCGCACAGGTGGGCCACGGTCGGGCGGTGCCCCGGACACGGGACCACGGAACAGTGGGACTATTGCTATTGGTCCCACAGTTAGATATATACGATAACCGTAGCCACGGTCTTAGATAGTTCTTGCTTGGTTCTTCAAGCAAGCAATACACATTCACTAAACTTATACACTGTGAGTGGCATTCCGATTTGACTGTATTACCCGTGCGATAGGAGCTTGCCCTTTGTTCTATCTTCATAATTACCAAACCCCAGCATCCTGTGGAGCCCGTGCTCCCTTACAGACAGACGACCCAAATAGTCGAGTGGTTTGTAATAGATAACTGTTAAAAGGCATTCCGGGGCTCAGGGGCTCAGGAAACAAGAGACCTTGAGATACGTATCGGCGTCAATCCATACCGGCTTCGAATCAGGGTGATATCGTCACGCTGATTCTCGCCTAGCTTCGTCAAGGGAATAATCTTTACGATGGTTGCCCCTCTCACCACCACAAAACCATCGCCTACAGGACTAGCAGGCTTCTCTTTTTCCTTTTCTTTAGCTTAGTTACTTACGAATTCAGCCACTGTTTACTTGCAGCCTTGCCTCTTGTAGTTGCCTACCTACCTTCACACCATCTTCACGACCGCTTTCCCCACACACACCTCCAAGTTGAGTCGTCGGCAAACGTTTCGAATGCGAGTCGCCGTGAAATGCAGCAGAACCAACAGTGGGCCCTGACTCTTTGGTTGGCAGAGCACGCGACGCGCACTCCACCCACCCTTATCATCTCGATCACAACCGCCTACCTACGAAGGACAATCCTGTGTAAATACTACCGCCATCCAATCCGCAACGATGCACTGCAATTTTAGCCCCTCCCAAGGGTGGGAGGAATTTTGACCCTCTTTTTAATAGTAACGTTACCGCCATCCAATCCACAACGATTTTTCGCCAGGCATTCTGCCCTGCATGCACTGCAATTTTAGCCCCCCCCGAACGGTGGGGGGGGTTTTTTTTGCCCCTCCCTTATATGCGCTGCACTGAAATTTTAATTTTTTTTTCCTAGCCCCTCCCTAGTCGCCACCCGGGGTCACAAAGACACCCTCCTAAAATTGCAGTGGGGTTCTTTCCAACTAGCTCGGATCCGCCGATGAACGCCTCGACATCTTTCCGGCTCCCCTTTCCAAGCGAGGAAAACCCCGTCCTTGAATACGATTTGGCAGTTGATTCTCTCCTCGCAGCCGATCGAGAGCTTTTGCAAAGCTTCCAAGCTCGTATTGACGGCGAGTCTTCATTACAGCATTGTCCTCGCTGCCGCCACTCATAGTTCAACAGCTCAAACTCCATTCTCGGGATCATTCTGAAGCCGGTTTGAACGCATTTGCATATAAATTGCTGATTTTGGCACGACTAGACCTTCAAAAGTTACCGAGTTACGCTTTTCGTCCGACTCGATGACCCCCATCTAAAAAAGCAGCCAAAATAGTTGTAGGTGTAAAAATTTGATGCCGAGGATCCTCCTTCCTGACAGCCTCGGTGTGTGATTTTTGATCATTCAATCAATCTGTTGCCCTCGCACTGGCCTCGAACGCTTTAAAATGGCCTCTCTAGGCCATCTAGAGCTCATCAAAGCGACGATATGCTCGATTACTGGCCACGAAAATGCCCGCGAAGGTCAGGTCAAGGCGGTCGCTCGATTGGTCTTCGAACAAGCCGACACGCTGCTCGTTCCGGCGACTAGTTACAGCAAAAGCGCAGTTCTGTACGCCTGCTCGGCGCTGTTGAACAAGGCTCAGGCTGTGGAAGGCTTCCCCTTCCTGACGTCGAATCCGAGCATTCATACGCCTCTAAAGCTTGAGTATTTCGGAAATGATGTCCCCAGTATCATCCTCCTGTTGATCGAAGTGTTCTTATTCAGGGTCCTCGTGTTGCTCTTCAGGGCCCGAGGGAGGAGCCTGTGACAGGCTGGAAGAAGGCGCATGACGATGTAGTCTGTGTGGAATGCAGTTGCACCAATCGCGTCCAACCGACAACGCCAATCGATGCGCCCGCACGGGACAAGACAAATTAGACGCGACAAGAAACTGCGATACGTGACATCCAATTGAGCCCGTTCAGGAAGTGAAGCCAGGGTTGTGCCTTCCAGGGTAATATGTTCAAACACCATGCAAAGATTGGCCCCAGGGACGTTTCGTGTGAAATTGAAACGAACACAAAATTGAAACAAGAAAGGTCTTTCTTAGCGGCATGTCCCTCAACCGCTGGGTCCATTTTCGGATTTGCACGGCAAACCATTACATACAAGGCTTCGGCCCGTTGCTTTGCGCGCTTCAACCCGAGCCAAAGCAATGGGCCGCAAACTCGATCACGTCGCCATTGAACCTCTCGGGCTCCTCGTAGAAAAGCCAGTGCCCCGACCCATATATGGCCATGCGCACGTCCTTCTTGTCAACCCGGCCCCCGCTCATGACACGGGCGACTATCTCCTCCAGCCCCATCAACGTGAAACACCCGCTCCGCATCGCCGCCATGACCAGCGTCGGCTTATTGACATGCAACTCGATGGCCTCGCGGTGGTCGTAGCGCGTGTGGTCGGCCATGAGCCGCGCCAGCCACGTGCCGTCGCACTGGGCGCTGATGGCGGCGAAGAAGGCCTCGTCGCGCCGCGCCTGGTCGGGCGACACGCCGTCGTAGACGCGCGGGTGGAACCGGTACCCCAGGCACTCGGCGACGAGCGCGCGGTGCGTCGGGCGGCGGTCCGCCGCCGTCCACGCCGCCTGCGCCGCCGCCAGGCTCGCCTCGTCGTAGCAGCCCTTGTGCGCCCGCGACGGGTCCCACGCGCTGGGGCCGAACCGCGACCGCTCCTGCAGCGGCGCTTGGTCGACGAACACGAAGCCTACGAACTCGAAGTTGACTGCTGCTCCTGCTCCTGCGCTTGCTGCTGGGTCGCCGAACAGCTCCAGGTACGTCCAGACCACGGCGGCGCCGATGGAGCAGCCGACGGGCACGACGCGGAGCGGGGGGCGCGCGGTGCCGGGCTCGGAATGTGGCCGGCTGCTCTCGAGATGCGCGAGCACGTCGCGCAGGTCGGCGGCGAGCCGCGCGACGTGGTATCCGCCAGCGGTGCGGCCGGACTGGCCGTGGCCGCGCATGTCGGGCGCCACGGTCCAGAAGCGCGCGCCAATCTTGCCCAGGTTGCGCGTGAAGTAGGCCGACGACCCGCTAAAACCGTGCAGCAGCACGATGCAGGTGTCGTAGGATTTCATTGACACGGACGGGGGGTAGCCAGGGAGCGGCTGCGAGCTCTCAAAGGCCAGCGTGCAGCCGTCGTTGGCTGTGCATGTCGAGGACCAAGTCATGGCGAAGAGTGGCTTTGGCGTGGAAGTCAGATGCTGTGAGTTGGTGATGCACGGTGATGGACAGCCGATTTTGGTGACGGCGCACGAAGATGCGTGTCTTTAACTGTCTCGGCGCCGAAACTGTCTTGTGCTCTAGGTTTGCAAAACAGCCGATGGACGAAGGGGCGGAGTTGCCTTTCGCTTCTCCGAATGCCGAGACAGACGTTCCTGAGGGTTAGGGTTAGTCCTTGACTTTGTCGTCGTTGTCGCTGATGCCTTGGTTGATGTGACAGGTCGCGCGGCTGAAGCGTGGATTAATGGGTGTGCACTAGATAGGGGAGACGGCGCGAAAGCGCGATCCTGCACAGCCAGACAATTCGTGCGCTTCATATCCCCTGGGCGAAAACTTCGACCTTACATGACGGCGGTAAGGTCCGTAAGTCGGCCGGTACAACCGTTCACCTGATAATTGTTTGACTTGGTGCTTTGGCGTTTTCGACAAATCCGTCATTGGCCCTGGAGTCGCCCAACCCAGCGCTTCTTAACACGGAGGAGGCCTCTTGACTGGGCCAGACAATCGGCAGCCGTTCCAGTCTAGGCCAGATGCCGGCCCGTAGATACCATCTGCCATGATTGGTGCTTGCAAAATCCCCAGGCCGGACAAGTCATTGGGGCGTGGCATTGAGCCATGTCTAGCCCAATGCTGCACGCCGTACAGCGCAGACACTGATTCCTTACGGACGCTGATATGCATTGTGTACAGTACGGCAGCAATGTTGTACTCGCCATGCAGATATGCACCGAGAGTGAGAGATGAAGACGTGAGAGTCCGAAATTTGTAGACACTGAAGTCGAGTTTGGGTCTCCCGAAGTTGATTCCAAATCTCAACCCAAACTCAACCATCGAAAGCCCAGACGGATTTAATCTCCAACAATACCCAGGCTTCAGCCAATTAGACTGGCCTTGGAAACACAGGGCTGCGGTGGTGATGGCGTGAAGGGAGGTACTAATTATCTTTGAGCTCAAGGTTGATGCCTATTGAAGCGGTGAAAAGGCACCACAACACAACAAACCCAAAAACAACACTAAGCCGAGCCGCAGGCGAGCCTTACACAAAGTACTGGTACAGGATTCCATAGCCAGGTAGTCAAAACAACAAAGAAAAAGGCTCTACTGCATGCACTGGTCCGGGGATCTTAATTCAGGGTAGAAAGACGTAATTTCTGAAGAATGGCTGGAAAAAGAAGGAAAGAGCTATGCCGGCCCTCTGATCCGAGGGAGGGCGGGCTGCCCACCTTATATGAGGCGGGCAGGCCAAGGAAAATAGAACGGAAGTACGCTAGATTATATTAGGTAAGCGTGTAAACAACCCCTTTGTTACCCGGCCCCTGAACCCCTGATCACTATTCTAGGTGAGGTTGTCCGTGTTTGGGGTGTTTGTGGATAGGATTCCTAGAAAGGTGCTGGTGCAACACACGTGCTCCCAGGCTTTCAGCCGGCCACATGATTATCACATCACCGCCAACCTTGATGCGACATTGCGGGGTGCGTCAGACAACGTGGTCCGACAAAATGCCTCGCCCCATCGAAGCGACACCCGTCCCTCTCGACAATGCGGCTCCTCCACACCTCCAAGATCCAGCTCATCGAGGTCTACGGCGAGCAGGTCCCGCCGTACGCGATCTTGTCGCACACATGGCGCCACGAAGAGTTTACCCTCCAAGACCTGCAAGAGCTGAGCCGTAGCCACAGCGATTGGGCTGACTGACGACCACGTCGCATCCATCGCGAGGTTCGACAAGACCAGGAGATGCGCCGCCGTCGCACGGCGCGAAAACATTCAATACATATGGATCGGCACGTGCTGCATCGACAAGACTAGCAGCGCAGAGCTGTCCGAGGCCATCAACTCCATGTACCGATGGTACAACAAGGACCAGATATGCTACGCTTATCTGTGCGACGTGGAGCCTGTGGGTACTGAGGATATTTTTGGGAACGACTCTAGCTTTCGACTGAGCCGATGGTTCACGCGCGGATGGACCCTTCAGGAGCTCATTGCGGCGCGCCATGTACGGTTCTACGCCCGCGACTGGAGCTTTCTCGGCAGCAAGAAGCAAGGCGACGAGCAGGGTGACGGTGGTGACGACGACGACCAAGGACTGCCTGGCCGCTGAACTTTCTGGGGACGCCGTCCACCGTTACCAGCAACAGACTCCGTGTCGACCTGCATCTCCGCGAGTGCCTTAATCTCGTAGGTGCCGACTATTCCGTTACTTTGAGCTGTGAGAAGGCCGCTAATGGCCGTCGCGTTGCATCCGTCATCTATCTCCGCCGCCTCTGGGGTCCAGGCGACCAATTCGCGAGGCTGTTCGCTGGGAAGCGAATATTTGAGAGGCCCGTCCCTTTGACGGAGATAGGCATAGACGATCAGGGCTTCTACGAAACCGTCTTCGTCCGACAGAAACCGTCTTCGGGCCTGCCACTGATCCGGATCTCTGTGTCAAAGGAGCCGTTCCCTTCTATGCCTGCGAATTCCGAGACGATGTAGTGGAGCATCAGAGACGTGCATCCCAAGGGGGCGTGGAACGAGAGGTCACAGTGTCTTGAGACCAGGGACTTCCTGTTGGGCAAGGCCATCGGCATCTTTCGCGTGGCGATCTGAGGTGGCGAGGGTGCTCCGGTTATGGATCTGGCTGTTGGCATGAACATCATAAACCAGAGATGGTGCAGGAGCTGATGCCATCTGATGAACCTCAATACCAGAAGATCGAACGCACATTCTACGAGGTTAATCAGGGCCGTAAAGAAGTTCCTGACATCAAGTACCAAGCGATATCTTCAGCTCTAATGCCCTCTGGGACGCGCGATTTCCGACAGATATGGATGTACCGGCAGCGTTTTCCGAGGGATACGGACAGCGCAGCCTTGCCGTGCAAGGCAGACTCGTTGCACCCAAGTTATCTAGTCCCACCCGCAGCCAGAGTTCAACGGGTGGAGCACCTGTGTCGTGCTCGGGGATGGTAGGCCATGCTGCGACGCAATGGGTGATAACGAGTCCTAATCTATGGTGGGCGCACGCCGCACTGCCTTCCACGGTGGAGGTTACTGTTACCGGCCCGGACGGAGAAGAGCGTGCGGCGGACAGTGATGAGGATGAAAGCAACGCCAACAGCATCATCGGCGAGGAATTACCATGCAGCCGGGGTCTCCAGCTGGGCCATTGATTACCGCGTCAGAGTCTCATCTTACACCACATAGGGAGAAGCGTGATGGGAAGGCGGCGAAGGCATTTGCGAGGTTGAGGAAGAAGCTGTCGAGTACAAGTGTCAAGGAGGAGGGGTTAGGAGCTTCCGGTACCCACTCCAACTACCGACTAGCTAACCACCTGCACAACCTCACGACCTTCCATCACCAGCCAGCGTACTTCCTAGCAGTTTCCGATGCTGGCATATAGGCATAAATCCCTGACTTATACCTCTGCCGCAGCAGGTATACCGTACTATCCTAGATCGGCACGGGTTACTAAATCTCGTGCATTTGTTCGTAGCCAGTGAGTTCCCGGTCCTCCCTGGATTAATCAGCTGCGTACATGACAGCTAACAGGAAAGATAGAAAGCACGTTAGCTCTCCTGCACGCAGGAAAATCTGAATCTTAGCTTACAGGATGCACAGCTCAATGGCGATTGGGAGTTCGAGTAGGATCCAAGCCCTATCACCCACACAATATCAACCACGACGACCTTGCCAAAGCCCCGTAACAGCCAAGTTATGCTGACAGTGCAGGAGGCTTGATTCCTTCAAGAGCTTATTTTTCGTGAAATACAGCATGTGTTGTGGTTAATGCCATCCTGGAACGAGAGAAGAAAAGAAGATGATTTGTTTAAGAAGCTAGGGTGCCCTACGAGGGCCTAAATGATTGTGGTAGGGCCGTGCACTAATTGCGTAACAGCATGGCGGAGATGGAATCGCGACCAAACAAATGCAGCCTGTGCGCGCTGCCTTGAGGACTGCTCTAGGGAACAACGTAACGCGATCGGGGAGGGCTCGCTTCGAACGGGAGAGGTCGTGGCTCAAGAGCGATGGAAACAGCCGCCCAGTGCCTCGTAGCCATGGTGAGTATATTGCCCGTAACACTTTCCCCGGCAGCGATAGCAGCTCGTTGATATTGACTCAGGGCATGGAGTCACCTGTTGGCAACCGTTCAGGGGTGTGCGTTGGCCGCATACATGATTGACCAAGGGTCTGGCAGCTGCAATGTGGCTGCAACGTGGGGGGTGGGTAGGAGCAAAGATAGCGGTCGGTGCGTGGAGTAGGCTTCTTTACTTATGCGAACGAGTGTGATGCCGTGGCTGTGTCTACCTCTCCGTAACTTGTCAACCTTCACGTGGGCGATATTATATTTCCAAATTTATATATTTTACATTACTTATCGGAAAGCTATAAAATCGAGTAATAATTTTCACCATCAGGTCGGCCGCCACAACGAGAAACTCGTCAGCTACGGCCACGGCATCATTGTTGACCTGCGGGACACGGTGCTGGCGGACCTCGGAGAGTAGGCTGGCGAGCCCGTCACCGCGACGGCGAGAATTGACTATAATTTGATGCGCAAGGTGCGGCTAGAGATGCCGATGCGCAGATGGACGTAAGTTTTTCCCGCCCCCCGGCTTAGCAAGCCGAGTTGGTAGATATGCCGTCTGCTATGTTCTTTGGCTGACGATTGGGTGCCTTGGGTGCCTAGAGATGTGTATTCCGAGATCTAATAGACACTACCTAGACAGTTCAATCATGATGGATTTCAAGGCAGGCATATCTGTCCCCAATATCGCTACTCGCCACATGGCTGGCGGCGGCTCCGTGCTCGGCCGCGCAAGAGACAATGAAGCAATTTAATCGATACTAACTACCTAAGCACCTATTCTTATCTGTACTAGTTAATGACTTGGGCATTCTGAGGCCCCTCTGCTGCGCTGGTTGCTGGTAGTTATCAAGCCGTAATAGATAGTATATACCAAACTAATTACAAACACCAACCAGTCAGCACCACATCTAGAGAGACATTTCACTAGAGGGCAACAAAGGTGTAAGCATATGGACTTACCAACGCGTTTGGGCGGGTCGGTACACGTTGTCCGGTACGTCGCCAGGTCCATGTCGCCATGCGGGAGGATGACGGGGCCAACGCCGTGATGGTAGAGGCCGTGGCAAATGTCGACAACGCGCTGCTGGCCGGCCGTGTCGGTGAAGACGGTGAAGCAGTGGGTACTTAGAATGGTCCGAGTCGGGTCGTTCGGCGCGACGTTGGGCTGGAAGCGCGCTACGCCGTTCACGTCCTGCCAGAACGGGTTGTTGCAGTTGGCGGACGCGGGGTCGTTTTCCCAGCCGAACAGCGGCCCGGCAGGTACGCAGCCCCAGGGCTCTTCGTACATGACCGTCACGCCCGCGACGTACTAGTCATGGCCACCGAAAAGGGTCAGCGTAGAACTGATGACGGATTACGAGCCTAGAACGAATCCCACTTACCGGTGCGCCGGTGCCAGGTCCCTCTCCGAGGCAGTCGATGGTCAGCTTCACCCAGCAGGCGAGGTCGCAGCAGTTGCACGTTGTTCGACCGTTGGGCCTCGTGGTGATGGTCTCCAGGTTGAAGTCTAGGGCAAGGGCGTGCACGCTTTGGCCTCCATGCCTTTCCCGGCAGTCATACCGCAGCGGCGCGACCGGGTCCATGCCCGTGTCCCACATCCGGGTCGTGATGTCAGTAATGACTCTTGCTTGGAGAGCGGCAGCGTTCAAGCCCGCGTGCGTTGCATATTCGGGAAAGGCAAGCCGAAGGAGGGAGAGTGGGAAGTCGATGCCGGCGAAGGTGGGAATGGTGTGAGGGCCGAATAGGAAGTAGATCTCGAGGCGGGTGGCAGGACCGTTGGCAAAATTCGAGCCGTCAGTGGCACGCACCATGGCCCACTGCCAGTTGCCAGCCAGCCTGAAGGGACCGAGCGGGTCGAGGACGCTGGTGAAGCCGTCGGCAGTAAATTCACCGGCCCCCGGACCCGGGCCAGGGGCCAGGGCAAAAGGCTGGCTGATGATCTGGAAGTTCCCTGGACCAGTGCCCTTGAGCCGATACTGTCCTGCGAAATAGGCGCCGCGACTGCCGGTAACGATCAGGGGAATGCCGTTCCGGTCATAACGGAAGGCAGCAGGGTGTCGACCCTCTGTGGCTGCCGCAGGAACGGCTTCGGTGTCGCTGAAAATGGCATCAGCAAGGACAGTGTGTGCCGCTGCTATCCCAAATCCTTCAATAATGTTGTAATTATTGACGTTGCCGTTCGTCCTGGTGATTCTGGTAATGGTGATGTTGGCCATTTTTGCCGTGTTCAGGTAAAGACTTGGAATAGGCTGTGAGTAGGTTTCGGAGCATGTGGACCCAAGTTCTAGGTCGGAGTGCGAGACGATGGCATTTACCTTAACTACCCAAGGTGTTCTAATCATCATCCTCGTCCGCGGCAGCCGCTACATGGCCTGGATCTATTACCCAGTCCGTAACGATGTCAGCAGAGCAGTTGATTCAGCTCGGCTTCGGGCGCCACAAACCATGCCTCATACAGGCATCCTGCAGCAGCCCACGGCAGGTTTGGAAGCACAACGGCGTAGACCTCGATAGCCAGAGTCTCGTGCCGTGACGGGCGATCTCAAGAGCACCACCAAAAGCAATGCGCCTCTGGATGCCCAGTCGATCGCCAAGCTAGCCACGAGCATACCAGCCATGTTCAGCCAGAAGACGACGGTGAATTCCAGCTGCACGTGGGTCCGGCCCTCGTTTGCCGCAGCCCTGTACACGGTCGAGGATGGCACCGGCACCGACTCTAGCACCGTTTCCGTTCTTTTCGCCCACTACACGGATGCCTCTGCCGCCCAGGGCGCCATGCGTCAGCATCTCGCCATGTTCGACGGTAACGTTGGCCTTGTGGCCAAGAAGCCGGACAGGCCGCTCGGCCAAGTGTCGATCCAGACCGGCACCGGCGTCTTTTGGGTGCGCGACGCCATTTGGGTCAGGGTCGAGGCGGTACTGTCTTTTGGCCCTACGCGTGAGTCTTGATCCCCTTCTAGCATCGGGACAAGCCGTTGTCGTGGTACCTGTCTAACAGCCCCAACATCAAACCAGGCGCCTCCAAGACTCTTGACCCTCCTCTCAACCCTGCTGCACCGGCCAGCCCTGGTAACACCGCCGCCGGCGCCCCTGGAACTACCGCCGGCAAGACAACGACGACGACGACGCAGGCCTCGAGATCAGATACAGCCAAGCCATCCGACAGCGCCCCGACCGTCTCCGTCCTGGACAAGGCCCTGGCCCTCGCCGGCGCCCTCGACACGCACCTGACCAAATTCGCCGTGCCCGCCGCAGCCCAGCTCAAGCCCAACACGGCCGTCAAGACATCGTCGTGGAAGGGTAAGCGTGGCGCTCAATTCAGTTTCCAGCTGGCCGACGCCAAGGGCACGCACGCCGTCAAGCCTTGCGAGCCCGTCGCAGGCGACCGCGGCGCGCGCAACCTCGTGTCGCTGATCCGGAATGGTTCTGCAGAGGGCGAATATACGTTCCTGGCGTGTCAGGAGGGCAAGGGCAAGGTGAATCTGCTGGTGGCGAGGGCTGATACGCTGGCTGTGGGGGTTGCCGAGGTGACGGTGGAGGTTGTTGCTAAGTGATTGGTACAAACTGAGACTCGCTTGACAGGGTTGCGAATGGCACGGTGGTCGTTTATGAAGCCACTGAAGGCTTGATTGCCCATACTCTGTGTCCAAGATCACGATTGTTGAGTTCTGTGTCCAAGATCACGATTGTTGAGTGGTATCATAGCAGAGCCAGCTTAGGCCAACAGTTCTATTTCGGTTGAGTAGTTGAGTTAGCGGCGTGCGAGGAATAGAGTTATGATCGCGAGCAGGGTGTCTACTCGACTGGTTTCCGGGCCATTATTCGTTCACGGTAGTCGTCAGAATCAAATATCCAATCTTGTGCCTTTTGCGGAGTTGCTAGTCGAAATTACAAGGGAAAGGCCCAGTGTGGGAGCATGGCGCCACTGGAGCAAAAATCTGTTAAACTACGTGCCTGACAGGCCTGTAAGAGGGCACCCGTGCAGGGTGCTACAGTGGGCTCGGTACTGTAGCTGGCGGAGCGGAAGCGGTAGCGAAGGCGGGGAGCCAAGTGCAGGGCCCTGATCCTGCGAGGAGACAGAAGAACGCATGGCTCGAAACTAGGCTGTGTGGTGTATTATTAATACATGAGCCATCAATGAGCGCGGACATTGCGGTGGCCTGGGCCGTTGAAAGAAGCTTTGGATGAGGACTCCGCCTTTTGTTGGCTCCGTGTGGCGCGCAAAACGGCCGCTAATTATGGGAGGCGGCCATGCATGCTCTAGTAATAGTCCTATTACACTTCTCAATTCTCGAAGCGGCGGAAAGGGGTTGCCTGCCGGCCGGTAGTGCATCTGCCTGCCGCGGCTCCTGCAGTCCACTAGAATAGGTCCCTCGCATACTGTTCCACCGAGACAAAAACGCTCTCTCATTAAATATCCTTCTAGAACCACCACCACCACCACACTCGATTCTAAATTGCCTAACCTATAATAATACTCGAGATCGGAGAGCACCATGCGACCACAAACAACAATCTCACCGCTATTTCTACCTTTATCCCTAAGTGCCGCGTTCAATGGGCGGCGGCTGCGGGCCGGGCGCGTGCTCGAGTGGCGGATGCTCGGGCTCGAAGTACGGGACGGATGGCGATGATGTCGTCTAGATTTGACCTACTTTTTATAGAATTAGACAGGCCCTAGTTGACATGCTTCTGAGCTTCCTTCATTCTTTGTTATTTCCTTCATTCTTGACTCGGCATGTCCTCATTTCATTCGGAATGCCCTCTTTCGGGCTGATTACAACGCCTCCCTTGCCCTCTCTCCCTGAGTATAAGGAAGCGTTCTTTTCTGTACTTTTGGACCTATTAAGCAGACAATTCAATGCGCTGTCAACTTCGATCGCGTGCAACAGATGATGATGGCGCTGGTGTGTTTATTTTTCTCACTCAGTCCCCCGTCTCTTTAGTTAATCAGGAGCTCATCTTTGTTGTAGAACCAGACGACGACATCGACTCGAACGATCCCGACAACCCTCCGACTCTGACCCAGACAAGTGCACGATGTCAACCTTCTCCTCCTGCCGGGAATACTGCACCGCGCTGCCCACCACCACGTCCTGCACGAGCACATGCGATAACGTCGTCGGATGTGACACAACCGGCACCGAGATTGCAGTAACCATCACACCCGCATCCGCCACCATCGCGGGCCTGACAGAGAACTGGCAGGGCGACGGCGATGCGAACCTGGATAGCGTCGCCTTGTCGGTTATCAGCTTCCTCGGCGCGATCGGCGACTTTGGCAGCGCGTCCCCCTCACCAACCGCAACAAACATCCTCAACATCCCGGCGCCGCAGCCCTCGAACGCGGCCGAATACGACACGTACATGTATGTCGCGGCGAACGTGTGCTCCGGCGCCAGCCCGGCCAAGTACGGGCACTGGGTCATGTACGGCAAGTGGACGGGAGCAAGAAAGGCTACGCGCAGTTTGCCACCAAAACGTGCGAGCAGCGCGGGGACCGTCGGCGACGCCGCTGAAGCCGCGCTTCTACGACGACGAGCTGACGTTTGCTAAAGCGGTGAGCAACACTAACTGCGTGCTCACGAGCAGCACCAGCGGCGTGGCGGGGCTGGTGTGCGGCGAGTTCTTCAACCGGATCGAAGCGGCTATCGAGTTTGAGGAACCGCTGGAGGAGAACCTAGTCGACTATGCCAGCTGTGCGGGCGTCGGCGTCAGCTGGGCGAATCTGTTCGCGTGGAATTTCAAGGCATCGAATGACAATGATTAGGTGCCTGGGTTGGGGTCGGTGTTTTGTTTGGTTTGGGACTGTGAGAGAGCGTAGTCTTTTGTACACTTTGGGTAAAAACTTGGTACCGGGTGGGGAGTAAAAGAGGTGGACGGGGATTTGTAACGATAATTAGATATATAGAATGGCTGAGAGGTGAAAATGGGCAACATAGTTAGAAAAAACAGTATTGCAAGGGACTCAATTCTTTGTTACTTAGTACTGTTGGGAGTAGTACTGTTGGGAGCAGTCGTACGAAGCGGACTCGGCTCAGATGAGGCGTCTCTCGTGCAAATTGGCGACTTTCTAACTGACTGAAGCTTCGATTTGAGTATCAAGTCAATCTCGGGCAAAGACGGCAATTCGAAAAAATTGGAGCGAGACTTATTCGGGGGTTTGACAATGGAGCGCAGCGAGCAGCCCGCCGCAGGCGCCCCGGAGGGCCTCCGGAGGCAAACCTTTGACGGCCTTGCACCCATCTGAAAGCTGTGGGGAGTCTCTTTTGTTCTGTGACGACAGACAACGGGCCAGGACATAGCCAAATGCCAAACAGTCTTGATTAGAATATCAGAAGTATATACAGTATCAACTGCGTGCTTGTCATTACCACAGGCTCAAAGATCCGCCGATGGAACCACAAATAGCCCTCCTTTTCGTGCGGCTCGGTACAAAACAGACCTTGAAAAAATTAAGCGGCCCGCCCAAGCGTCCTGCTGCCAGTCAGGATCACCGCCAGTCAGGATCACCCAGCGGAACTAGTCGGGGACGGGGCAGGCGAGCTGGACGCAGACGACGTGGGAGGCGGGGTGGCGGCCGAGGTAGTCGAGCTGCCGCCACCGCCCCCGCTGCCGCTGCCACTGCCGTCCTTGCCAACGACGACGGCCTGCACGACCTGGCCGAGGGTGTTGAAGATGATATTGACCAGGCTGCCGAGGTTGTCGTACTTGTACGTCTTCTGGGTGAGGCCGTTGCCCAGCTCCTTGGAGACGCCCGTAAAGGTCATGTTGTTCTGGTAGTTGCCGACAATGGAGCTGAGGACGCTGCCGGCGTCGCCGACGACCTCTTGGACGATGTTGCCGAGGTTGTCGATGAGGAAGTTGAGCTTGGAGTTGCCCTGGACGATGGAGCCCAGCAGGCCGTCGACGGCGCCAACGACCGAGTCGACGACGTCGGTGACGTCGTTGAGCAGGTTGATGAGCAGCGGGTTGAGGTCGAGCGACGCCAGCGTGCGGTTGACGATGTCGACCAGGTTGCCCAGCCGGATCACCAGCTCGAGCTCGGCCTTGACGTCGGCGATGGTGATGTTGACCTTGGTGATGCCCACCTGCACGCCCACGTTGATCGACACCAGGTTCGCCACCTCGGCCGCCAGGTTGACCTCGGCCCGCAGGTTGTCCACGTCCAGCTCGATGCGGCCGACCGACAGGTCCGGCACGCGCAGCAGCACGTCGGGCGGGTTGTCGCCGTAGTCACCCGCCCCGACGCCGCCACCACCGCTGCCACCACCGCCGCTGCTGCCGCCTCCTCCGCCTCCTCCGCCACTAGATGTGGTTGAGGGAGGGGACGAGGACGAACTCGAGCTAGAGCCTGGTGGAGGTCCAGCACTGGATGATGCAGGGGGCGGTGAGGCTGAAGACGACGAAGCCGGCGTTGGAGTCGACGTGGGCGTAGGTGCAGGCGAGGAGGGTGTTGACGCCGGCGGTGTCGTTGTAGATGCATCCTGCGCTGCTACGAGCACCACAACGGCCAGAAGGGCAAACAGCCGCAGCGACGAGGAGAGACTAAAAATCTTCATACTGAGCAGTCGACGTGTTGCTCTGTTCTCGTGTGCCCTGGCAAAAGCTGAACGAGTGGATGAAGCTGGGCGGACGAGCACGACAGCAGCAGTCAGGCAGGGCGGACGAGGTCAAGACACGTCCTCCGGACGCGTGAAAGAGCAAGCAGTCCGGCAGTGACACGGGGGATATAGGGGATATAGCCTAGTCCGTGCCGGAAAAGACAGAGGTCGAGAGGCTTGTCTGGCGGAGTCCGTCATCGCCCAAAGATAGGCAATCCGACGGAGGGAGAATGCCATGGCCAGAATGCCGCCATACTCAGATGAGTGCTTATGTGCCGCCGCTATTGGGTGGCCGTCCGTCATTGAGTGGCCGTCCGTCCTTGGCCGTCCGTCCTTGAATTGCCCATGTCGCGGACGAGTCCAGATTGCTCGGCCCAGAAAGGAGAAAAAGCTGGCGGCAGCGTCGCATTGATAGACGGTTGGACCGCGGCGTCTGCCAAGGAAGCATCTCGTCACCCGGCCGGGCGCCCAGTAGGGTCCATTTCCTGGCGGCTCGGTGCAACGCTGCTGGGGGTGCGGATCTGCAGGCTGCCAGGGGGTTGCCATGTTTTGGGTTTATGCAGCAGCAGTGCCGTAATTGCAGGCGTTCAACTGGCAACCAGACGCAGCCATGGCCAACTTGTGCCTTGGAAGTGCCCTCGTCAATAGCACGCCCAATATTGCCGTGTGTGTTATAGGTGACGCGAGTAGGCGCGATGCCCTTGAGAGTCCGAACTGAACCTTTGCCGTCGCACGCAGCCCCTAATCTGGCACCACACTCGCCGTAGTCCCTAATCTCGACTGCTGTTCGGCTGCAGGTCGACGACGCCGGCCTGCATGATCTTACTTGTACAGCACAAGGCCCTACCCCTCGCCCGTTACGCTGCGTGTCTGGGGTCTCAGCACCTCTCGCTGCCACCGCACCTAAGTTTCTGGTGGCCAAGTTTCTGGTGGCCCCTGAGTATCCCATCGTTTTTCCCACTTGTTTCTTCTCACCCGCCCTCGCCATAACCAACTCGAGACTAGACATGATGGGCTCAAGAATAGGGAAGGCTGGCGCCTTGCTCCTGGCAGTCCTCGCCACGCTTGGGCTCGGCCAAGACCGCGGCGACGGCTACTACGGCTACCGGCTCGAGCAGCGCGGCGACCCAGAGTCAACCACGTACGAGACGGCAGACACGGTGCCAGGGGTGCCGCTGCCCAAGCAGCCGGACGTGTACCTAAACGCCAACGTGTCGGTGGGGGAGATCAGCATCGAGGTGGACAACATCACGGCCAAGGTCAACCTGGACGCGCAGGTGCTGAAGCTGCTGCACTTCACGGCGGGCGTGGACGCGAGCATCGACCGCGTCAGGCTGCTAATCCAGAACGTGTCGGCCAAGGTCGAGCTCGAGGCGCGGCTAGGCAACGTGGTGGCCATGGTGGACAACGTGCTGCACAGCATCGACCTCAACCCCATCCTGGCCACGCTGGGCCAGGACGTGTCCAAGATAGTCAACTCGACGCTGAACACGCTGGGCGGGCCCGTCAACGGCAGCTCTGGATCAGGCTCGGCCAACGCGAAGCGGTCCGAGCCGAGCTTCAGTCTCGAGCACAACGTGCTGTACAGCGTCAACGACTACACGGGCAAGACGCACACCAACCGGCGGCTGGCGCAGAACGGCACCATCTTCGACGAGTTCCTCGACAACGACGGCACCGAGCACGGGCGCGCCGTCGTCGGCTACTACGCGCGCGACATGGTCTTCAACGGCCACAACAAGACCATCGCCGTCGACGGCCACGTCAGCGAGTTTGAGCTGCAGTACGAGTACAAGCCCTTCCCCGGCATCGACGTGACCTGCTGGATCTACCTCGACCCCGCCGGCAAGGTCACCCGCACCCAGGTCATTGCCGAGGCCCAGGGCGGCGGCACCAGCACCATCAGCAACGACTCCGAGCTGTGAGGATGACGGAAGGCAGCTGGCGTGTTTGCGTGGCCGTTTGCAGCGTGCAGTGTGCAGTGTGCAGTGTGAGTGTGCAGTGTGAGTGGGCAGTGGGCGAAATTGGGCGGGGTCGGTGCGTTTCCAGCGTGTCTGTGGTAGCGGGACACTGCGGGGTTGCCGTGTCGTCTGTCGAAATTGGCTGCACGGGGTTGGCTCTTTCTTCCTGTAAATAGCGTTCATCAATGTGTCCAAGCCTGGTATCCGTAGTAATTGCGTCTTGGGTTTGCTCGCAGAAACGTAAAACAAGCTCCCGTCCCCAGCGCGCTGGTTCTCGAGCCGAAACGCGGGCTGTTAAATTGCGTTCCTGCGTGGGTGATTGTCATTTGCCATCGCACTTTCCCGCCCGCCACTGATGGGATTCTGGCGATTTCCCAGCACAGCGGTCACCCCCACTGGCCCCACAGCCCGTTGGCCCCCTGCATCAAAGGAGCTTTTGCTCCGCTAACCCCTACTTCAACGTCCCTCAGATGCTCCTTCCGCACGAAACGAGTCATCTAGGAGAAGCCCAACGGCTGAAGGCGCTTCAATGCGAACGTGCCCGGTGCGTGGGGAAGTAATAGGCGGATATGAAGGCGCTGCCGTGATCTTTAACAGACGAAAACGTCGGTTCGCCGTATCTCCAGAGTGCTCCACTAGTTTTAGAACACATTGCTATTTTTCGTTTCAGACGGCTGAGGTAAATACGGTACATGTAACTTAGGCAAGTACCTGGCCGTTTCGCTGCAACGAGGTGGCAGAATATTATTCGGCTAGATATGTTCGTGGTATTCCAACCACGTAGGTGTTCCAACGGGTCAAAAAGTGGTAGTACTACCGGGGGGGGGGGGGGGGTGTAAAGTTGTTCTGATTCATGTTTTTCTCTCTCTGGAACTAAGGTAGGTTCTGCTTGCGACCGGGGTTTTTGTGTGTGTGTGTGAGAGGTCCGCGCGCCGCACGTGCCTACTTGCACGTGCGTACTCGCGCGATCTCTGCTTCCTCCCTGCTAGTGTGCGGTCACCAGTATCGCTATTCCAACAAGATAAACTGAGGACAATTTGGCACTGGTTTGATGTTAAATGACAATGTCCAAGGGAACTTTGAGCTTTGAGATAATTGCCTTGTTTTATTCCAGCTCCAGCAGGCACACACTTCCCAAACTCGGGACAAGCTGTTGGCCCAACTCCAACCTGGTCTGAACCCCCTCATGACGCAGCACGGCAGTTACGATGGCCAACTCCCACCAAAAGGGTAGTTGAGATTCGCACACAGCTGAAGGTCCCAAAAGTCATATTGGTGTAGCCCCGGCCTCTTGACAACAGAATTCCTCTCGTATCCTGCCCCTTCAATTCTACCGCAGTCCTCCGCCGTTCACCACACATCTACACCAATTAATTGCCTCCGGCCACTCCAGGTGCCCCATGACAACCCCAACCAACATGCATCTATCCCACCTCTGTGCACGTAGTCATGCCGTGCAGCCACAAGCGCGCGGCATCGCCGCCACCTGTCGGCGTCAACGTACTGACGAGACTGAACGAAGCACCCCAGCTCACTAACATCATCTCTCCCGTATCTTATTCCGGATGAGGCGTGAACCGCTGGCTGAGTGTCATGCATGTGTCGTGAGAAATGGACAGGTGTCTAGCGACCTTGCTCCGTACGTAGTCACCGGTTGCTATGCGATCACGTCGCCGTGTCTATAACGATCCAAGACCTTGTAGAGTTCGCACTCGGGGCTCTAGAGAGGGCAAAGACTCGGTCCAGCCATGCGAGAAGAGAGACGACTTCCGTGCAGTTTGCGTGGGACGCAACGCTAATCTACCACCATCAAGCGGCGAGCCTAGGATGAAAAAGAGGCTTGCGGGCGGTTTTGACAAGGCCGAATGGCTATTGACTACGATGCTGATGGAGATGCCGGCCGGGGTCGTTATTGTTCTCTGAACGCTAAGATGGCGCCGACATGGCAACGCCGGCCGCCGTCCCGCCGTCCCGCCGTCGAGCATGGGGGCGACCGGGGCGGGCGCCCTGTCGACACTACCATGAGCGGTGCGCGCGGTGAGGGCGGCGAGACAGGCACGGAGGCTGGCGGGAGTACCGGCCCCGATATCGGCAACAGTAATTAAGGCCAGCGCCTGGACGATATTAAGCTCGGGTACGCCCGGAGGGTCACCCTGTTTCTGCTTAAATTTTTTTCATTTTTCTTTTCCTTTGTTTTTTTGGTTTGTATTTTTGGGAGTTCTTTTAGGGTTTTTAGTTTTTTGGGGGTTCATCTCATTCCTTTTCCTTTTCCTTTTCCTTTTCCTTTTCCTTTTCCCTTTCCTTTTCCTTTTCCTTTTCCTTTTCCTTTTCCTTTTCCTTTACGTATTTTTATCTTTCTTTAGCTTCAGATATTTTTAACTACATCCACTACTTTCTCACTAAATTTGACTATTGTCTTAACCATCTAATATGGAACTCGACAAGAGTAATGAAGAGGCTAGTTATCCGGTTTGTAGCTCGGAAACATGTCACTATGGACTAATTATACCTTGAGGACTAATTATACCTCAAGATCAAGGTAGGATGAGCCTAGATATACTCACTCTGTTCAAGATCAAGCGTCGGGGTTTTATTTGCAAACTATATTAGTTTGGTCGCATGAAGCCAATTCCTCGGCCAAAGAAACGTACGTGCATAATAAACTTCTCGGGCCCCTTTGGTTCGGTACTCAGGATATATTCATTAGCACTTCCAATACCCTTCTATTGTCGGAATCCATCGGCAAGCCTATAATCACAACACTACAGCAGCCAAACTTTCTTCGGACGCATCCAATACAATGGCGGGCCTACCGGTTGCTGCTGTCAATCTTACCAGTGAACACAATCCTAAAACACTAGCAACGGAATATCCAAGATCGCAATGTTGGTTGCAGATGCTCCTTCTTGCCGAGCTGAAATTTCCAGGACCGATCCAAGCCATGCCCACGTTGAAGACCACATCAAAGATGTTACTGAAATGCACCCCCTGCTGGCCGCCGCCTACCACAATCGATCAAGAAGCCATCTAGCCAGCCTTCCGACTGCGGTCCTCGTCAAAGTCTTACTGTTTGCCGACCATGTCACACGACAGTGCCTTCGCCGTACATGCCGCGTCTTCCTGGAGCTATTTGGAACTGGCAGGAAAGATGAGATGACTTACAGGCACGGCAGGTTTGCCTACATATGGCTATTATCACGCTGATTGCTCACTCAGGGCGAAAACAAGACGCTATGCTCTATATTGCAAAGAGATAGCTATTGCATCCGTTGTCTGGCTGCTCGCCGGGCAATCGGCTAGGAAGAGAGGGTTCAGATGAGCAAGAGATACCTTCACTGTTCCGGCTGTGAACGGGACCACCCTGCCTGTCTGTTCTCCGCCTCTCAGCGACGCAACGAGGATCAGTCAACTCGATTTTGCATTGGCCACGAAGGGTTTCTTAGGATCTGCAATCACAAGACTGTATCCTGATCGCTTATCGAGTCGCTTTCGATGTCCATTTTCAACCAGGAGGGTGGGAAGAATCATCTCTTTGTCGATTGTGGAGACAGGAGTCACATTTTCCAATGCCAATGGCGGTGGAAAAGCTTACACGGAGTTGCCATGGATGCTCTCGCTCGCGTGATGCGGTGGGGAACTCCAACTCATCCTTGCCTCACCATCGAGTACTTGAAACCCAACAACTTGTATATCACACTCGCCTGGCAGGCACATGTAGCCCTCGCCCGGCATCACGAGGGCGACAAGCCGCTTACGGCGCAAAAACTGCAAAGCCGCCTTGCAGGGCTGCGGGATACACAAGCAAAATTCATATGTGCTGAGGTGGAACGAGGCCAACAGCTCGAGTCAAGATTATTCGACCCGAACCTCTGCCGCTGCCTTCGCTACGCTAGCATGGACAAGAAGTGGCGACACCCTCTAGACGAGACGCTGCTATTGCAGTCGCCCAAGTTGAAAAATCGACCGTGTCACAGCGAACCGACACGACGCTTGGCTCCTCTGCTGCGAGCTCAGATGGACGACCCGAGCGGCCACGACAGAATCAACGCCCACAACAGGCTTCAGAGTGAGCATAGACAGTTCTGGCGCCATTGTGCCGCACGGAAAGACGGCAAGATTGATCCACTGGGCCATGCCGAGCAGGCAGTCGTCGTTGCCCCTTGCATCTCTGGCCGAGACTGGATCGAGGTCAACTACGAGATGACCATGTGTTTGAGACGCGAGCGCGGAGCCCCGTTCATGCCGCTGAGCTGGTTTTACTATCTCGACCCCGACTCGCACAGGCTCACGGAGGACGACGAAGGGCTGGGCGTGTACTGGTGCAAGGAGGAGACGTGCCGGAACTACTACCGCTATGGCCTGTCGAGACTCCACCCGTTCGTCAGGTGGGGTGATTACAGCCAGCCCTGCCCGGAGGGTGAATGATGGTGACCGGTGTTTTGCAGATCGAGCTCGGGGAGGACGGCGTGATAGTTGAATTAGGTTTCATTCATTTTCGTCCATGGTCAATTCAGATGTCTTGTCGCTCTATCTATGCACTCAAATCTCTGAATGGTTGTTAGTGGGAGACTCTCCAAGATTTGAAAGGCCTTAATAACCGACGGCTCGCCCTGAAGGTTTTTCGCTGATAGCCCCTTGTCTGTCCCCGAAATACCTCGGAAAGGCTTTTCCTAGCCGTTACATTTATTGAGTATCTAGGTAGGTACCACGCCAACAAACATTCAGGGATATGTTTGTCTGCAGGGTAGACGAAAACACCGTTGAATTTGCGGCGCACTGTTAACATGACCGTTTCGCCAGCTTCACCGTTGCGGCGGCGGCGCAGTCTATTTAAGGGGAGCTGGGTCTCCCTGTCTGTTGGCAGCTCTCGCTGTCGCAGACATTTCGCAAAAAGCATCCCTACCGAGTCGTCGCGCCAAAATGTCCCGACGCCCCGTCATTATTCTCAGTAAACCTATCAAGTTGCGCAACCACAAAGAGCGACAACGAAAAGCGGACGAGGACGATGAGTTACTCGTAGATGACAATATCGATAGCAAGCGGAAAGTATGTTTTCGTCTGCAAGAAGAGCGGTTTCGCGCATGGCAAACGATGCGGCTGTAAGTAATCTCGCGGGTTATATTATTTGCTCTCGTTGACGATAAAATATTAGATTCGTTGAGAAGTATAAGGGCGAAAACTTTGACCGGATTTGGTTGGGTCTTTGCAAGGACCAGAAACGCGAAAAGACTATCATAAGGTCGTACTTTCGAGATTATGTTGAGTCATCGCAGAAAACCCGCCCAGCCTTCGAGAATGGGGACGATAAAAGCTAGAGTATTTAGACGATTACCAGTACGAAGACCGTAATATCGCATTAGAGGAACTTGGTTGTAGAGGCGCACAACACGATCCTTAGAGAAAAGAGGCGCGACGACCCCAGCACACGTGGGCTGTGGAAGTTGAAGTGGGATAAAGGGGACAGCCCGATAGCTGACATCAGTAATGTAAGGAGAGTCCGACTTCAAGATGGCCTCCCCGTGCTAATACGTTTAGTGGATCCGGTCGGATCTCGCAGATACATTCGGCTTAATACGCGAATCGGAGCTTTCATTCACGAAGGCCGAGACAACATCCGAAGATCTTTTGATGCTCCTCGATACCTTATGGACGCGGGCTGAGGATGTACCTTGTCCGCCTGAGTTCCGTGTCGCACTCCACTGGACGCTGGTCCTCGCAGGCCTTGGATTCCGGCCAGGTTCGTTGATGAAGTTCCGATACGAGCATATCCGTCTTCTGGTCGTCCCGTCTCCAAGAAGCTTGTTACGTCGTGAACCGGATTGCCGACAGTGCGGCGTTTCCTCCTCCCAGCGCCCTCGTAGTGGTAGGAAGCAGACAAGGCGACTTCGATGCTGTCCCTACTCCTCAGCACCTCGGTGGCGATCTGCGAGCGACGATGTTAGACTGCGGGGACATGCGCGATCGGAGGCTGTTGCGGCTGCCAGCATACGGGCTAAAGTTGGAGATGCTGTGATGCAACGGAAATTGCGAGCACGAGTAACAGGAGCTGCTCAAGGATTGGATCGAGAATGCGTCAGCACCATCAGCATCAGTCTTCGAGAGCTGGATGGGAAAGGAACCGACTGCGCGTACACTGTTAGCGGACGATAGCCATGAAGGGACACTGGACTCCGTTGTCTTACCGTTTGTCCTCTGTTCAAGAATTCCCCGTCTTCTTATGTGGATGCGATCGGGACAGCCAGAGACACGTCGACCCCCGTGCTCGACGCGACCTGACGCTGTTGACGAATCTGTTAGATAGGTTCGAGTTTCGCCCAGGAGAGTTCGTCAACGTGCGCGAACGCCGCAGTCTGCGTGGCAGTAGCGCTGCGACCAGGGATGTGGCAGCCTACCTTAACAGGCTTGGAAATGAGAGTACTTGGTCATCACTTCCAGCCATTCCCGCGACAGGATGTAGATAACGGCATGCCAGATAGCTGAAAGTCTGAGTCCCTTCACCATGAATCAATCCTGCCGATGTTCAGGTCCTTCCCTATGGAGACATTGCCAGACCCCGAGTTTTGAACGCCCTGGCCGCGGAAGATGTGTTGCGCAGCTGGACGGTTGCCCATAGACGAGTCGAATCCATGCTGACCGACGGCTGCTGTCGTCGTGGAAGGCTGCAGCAGGTCCACATACGAAAGGAGCTCCTTAGCGCACCCCGCAGCCGCAGCCGCAGCATAATGCTGCCAGGCGTCGTTCTTGTGTGAGTCTGCGTAATCCGAGACGCCCCGGACGGCGATGCACGAGTACTGGGTCGCCATGCCCGCCGCCTCCATCTCGAAACACAGGACATCGCCAACCACCCTCCCATCCATTTCGGCCGTGTTCGGGGCGCTCCGCATGACTTGGTCTCCAGACGCAATAAGCCCATAATGAATCTTGGGGGTCGGTTCACGCAGCAGACGCTGGACCCGTTTTGTCTTGTCACAGAGCTGACAGGTGGCTTGGTTGGGGACATGACGATATTCCAACTGGAAGAGCTCATCCGGCTCTACAGGCCGCTGGTACGAGACGCGAAGATCGTCGCTTTTCTGAAACATGGCCGACAGGAACTCAGGGATCTTGTTTTGCGAAACCCTGTGGTCGGACCGCATAATACCCACAGCACTCCTCAAAATCTCGGGTGGCGGCCAAAGGAATCCTTTCATGACGAAGCCGTCGTCCGTGTTCTTGCCCAGATCGTACTGAACCACGCCGCCATGCTCGCCGTCGGGCACACTCACCACAACGTCGCCCAAGCGAATGTCATTCTTTCCGCTCGGCACGCCTCCTCCGATACCGACCATTAACCGAAGCTCGATCGACGGAAACGTACGCGCCATATCTTTTGCCACCGCCGCTGCCGCGCCCTTCCCCTGGCTGCCGGGAAGGCTGGCAAGGACCACGTTGTGGCCGCTGAGCTCTCCGAGGACATACAGACTCGAGTCGCCTAGCTTTCTGGGCAAACGGGCATGTTCTTTGTCCAGCATGTAGCGGACAGCGCTCATCTCGAATTCTAGCGCGCACACGATACCGATAGTGTAGGCTTCGTAGCCAAGCGACTGGACACGCTCTGCACGCCTGGTTAGGGCACGGTGTTTCTCGGTTGGGCTGACGTAGCTCGTCTACCTTCCATCTTAGTAATTTTATTTCGTACGACTTGGTTCGGGGGTGATCTAGGCTTCAGGACACCAGAGAGATTGACGCTAACAATGACGCGCAGGATAGCAGTTGCTGTAGTTGATGGGTAAAAGTTAAAACCGAGCATCCCATTCCACGAGAGTTCCAGCTGGTGTAAAAAGTGGAGAACTGATGTGGTCTGTGCACCGCTGTATGTGGTCTGTGCGCCACCGTAGGAAATGCCCCGCAGTTTCAATTGGCGCCCAACACTCGATCCCGCTCAGCTTCCTTCAGAATTCTCAATGACCTAACGTCTTTGTACTTGACTACTGCGAAGAGCTCGAGGAAAACCACTCATGGATGCTAAGTCCAACAAGCGCCGGGTTACCGAGGAATCTCTGGCAGAAAACAGACCCTCAAAGCGACCCACAATAGCGGCGGATACTGCTCAATCTTTCTTCGATGGACACAGATTCCAAAACAGTGGAAGTGGGGATATCAAGGTAACTGGGAATGTGACCATAGGTACGGGGTATAGTCTTGCCTACATTTGTAACCCTGCTGCTAACGGACTGCCAAGGCGCTTGGACAGAGAAGCCCGGGGACTGTCTACACGGCCTCTTCGTGACTGATCCGCTCGAGGACAAGAACGCATTGAAGCGGAAAAAAGGAGACCGTGCTCTCGGAACCTGTGAGTGGATACTCCGCACGGAAGAGCTCACTGCCTGGCTTGGTTCCGGCCAGACAGCGGGCCAGGAGAGCGAGACGACCAATGTCCTATGGCTCCATGGGAATCCAGGGACTGGGAAATCGACCATAGCCATATACCTTACCGAGGAGCTGTCGACAGCTTTCTCCAAAACGGACAAAAAAACGCTAGCCTACTTTTTCTGTGACTCTAGCTTTGCGGCACGGAGGGAAGCGACCTCGGTTATCAAAGGACTTCTCTACCAGCTCGTAAAACAGCACCCACAGCTTCTCGATTACCTCTTACCAAAATATAATGAGCGTGGGGCAGAGTTGTTCAAATCCTTCGACGCTCTCTGGACCATATTCATGGCCGCCGCCGCGGATCAGAGCACAGGTCGAAAATACTGCATCATTGACGCGCTGGATGAATGCGATCGAGAATCGCAAAATATCCTTTTGCAACAGCTTGAACGATCCTTTCAGAGCCGAGATGTCTCGTCAAATGTCCGGATTTTGGTCACCAGTCGGCCGTATTCCGAGATACGCGAATGCTTGGAAGGGTTCCCGAACAAAGATTTGGCTTCTTTCTCCGAGAGACAGCAGGATATTGATCTGTTCATCAAGGAAAAAGTGGCAGACCTTGCCCAGAGAAAAAAATACACCGACAAGGTCAAAGGGCAAGTCAGCGATATCCTCAGAGACAAGGCCAAAGGTACTTTCCTCTGGGTTGGCTTAGCCTGTGAGGAGCTCAAGGGTACTGCTTCGCAACGCGCCATCCAAATCTTACAAAGCATGCCTAAAGAACTTGATTCGCTCTACAAGAAGCTTCTTGACACAGCTCTTAACCAGGATGAGGTCAGCCGCGATGACATCCGACGCATCCTGAGCTGTGTAGCTATATGTTCGCGACCACTGACCGTGTTGGAGCTCTCTGAAGCATGCCACCTGCACCAGGATGAAGAGGACGTTGAGACCCGGGTCCAGTTCACACGCGAGCATATCGCGTCCTGCCGCCTAATGGTCATCATTCAGGACGACAAGGTGCTCCTGCTGCATCAGTCTGTGAAGGACTATGTATTTAGGGCTCTTGCTGACTATTTCACTGACGAGCGCGAGGCTCATGCCGACCTTGCCTATCGCTGCGTTGATCTCCTTACCGACCCGGATCAGTCGCGTAACAGCTTCTTGGATTATGCGACTCTGAATTGGCCTCATCACGCACTCATGGCGCAGTCGACATTCAAGGTCGGCTCGCGAGCCGAGTTTTTCCGAATTGATTCTGCGATACGTGAGCAGTGGCTACAGCACCTAAGATCGAAAGGGCTTCCATATTCTGAGATTCCACAGCAATTCTCCATTTTGCACGTGGCTGCACAGTGGGGAGTCTCCGCTCTAGTAGAATATATCTCTCATCCGGATGGTCAGGAACATGTTGATTTTGTCGACGGCTTAGGTATGACGGCACTTGAGATAGCTGCTCGGTCTAAATATCTAGACGTGGTTCCTGCCTTGCTAGGGCTTGGGGGGAAGGTGACTATGCCGGTAGTAGAGGCTGCAGCTGGAAATTACATGAACGGCAAGGAAATAATAACACTGCTTCTCGACCAGCGGGGAGACCAGATCACCATCACCGAAGGGGTGGTGAAGGCTGCGGCTGGAAATTACCGGAATGGCGAGGAAGTAATGGCACTGCTTCTCGACCGGTGGGGAGACCAGATCACCATCACCGAAGAGGTGGTGAAGGCTGCGGCTAGAAATGACAGAAATGGCAAGGAAGTAATGGCACTGCTTCTCGACCGGCGGGGAGACCAGATCACCATTACTGAGGAGGTGGTGAAGGCTGCGGCTGGATATTACGGGAATGGTAAGGAAGTAATGGCACTGCTTCTCGACCGGCGGGGAGACCAGATCACCATTACCGAGGAGGTGGTGAAGGCTGCGGCTGGAAATTACGGGAATGGTAAGGAAGTGATGGCACTGCTTCTCGACCGGCGGGGAGACCAGATCACCATCACCGAAGAGGTGGTGTCTATGATTGCCAAGAGATTTGATAAAGAAGTGATGGTACTGCTTCTCGACCGGCGGGGAGACCAGATCACCATCACCGAAGAGGTGGTGTCTATGGTTGCCAGGAGGTTTGATAAAGAAGTGATGGCACTGCTTCTCGACCGGCGGGGAGACCAGATCACTATCACCAAAGAGGTGGTGAAGGCTGTGGCTGGAAATTACAAGAATGGTGAGGAAATGATGGCACTACTTCTCAACCGGCGGGGAGACCAGATCACCATCAACGGAGAGGTGGTGTCTATGATTGCCAGGTGGTTTTATAAAGAAGTAATGGCACTGCTTCTCGACCGGCGGGGAGACCAGATCACCGTCACCGAGGAGGTGGTGAAGGCTGCGGCTGGAAATTACGTGAATGGCGAGGAAATGATGGCACTGCTTCTCGACTGGCGGGGAGACCAGATCACCATTACCGAGGAGGTAGTGAAGGCTGCGGCTGGAAATTACTGGAATGGCAAGGAAGTCATGGCACTGCTTCTCGACTGGCGGGGAGACCAGATCACTATTACCGAGGAGGTAGTGAAGGCTGCGGCTGGAAATTACTGGAATGGCAAGGAAGTCATGGCACTGCTTCTCGACTGGCGGGGAGACTAGATCACTATCACCGAAGAGGTGGTGAAGGCTGCGGCTGGAAATTACGGGAATGGCGAGGAAGTAATGGCACTGCTTCTCGACCGGCGGGGAGACCAGATCACTATCACCGAGAAGGTGGTGGAGGCTGCGGCTGGAAATTACGGGAATGGCGAGGAAGTAATGGCACTGCTTCTCGACTGGCGGGGAGACCAGATCACTATCACCGAAGAGGTGGTGAAGGCTGCGGCTGGAAATTACGGGAATGGCGAGGAAGTAATGGCACTGCTTCTCGACCGGCGGGGAGACCAGATCACTATTACCGAGGAGGTGATACTATGATTGCCGAGAGGTTTGATAAAGAAGTTATACCACTGCTTCTCGACCGGCGGGGAGACTAGGTAACTATCCCCGAGGATGTGATGGAGGCTGCGGCCGGAAATGAAGGGAATAGCAAAGCGTAGCTGAGTGAGATGTTGAAGGATTCGCCATGAAGGAACGACTGTCTCAGAGTAGACTTGGTATCTGTCTGTTCCACTCGAGAGGAAGCTATTTACAGTCCGGGAAAACTAGTAATCTTTTAAGAAAGTATTTTGGAGGTTCCTTTCAAGGCTTTTCCTTCAGGTATTGTTTTTCTCAAAGTAAGCTACCTGGAAAGTCAGGAAGGGGTCGCTGAATGGTGACTCCGGCGGCCTGCTCGCTGCGCTCGCTATGAAGAAATATAGAACAATGGTTTATTTAGTAAAATATACTTGAAGTATAATTTTTAAATTATTGTTACGAGGGATTCGTGAATCCAACACTCTTGTCCACGATGTGAGGCCCGTATTCCGACTGAGCCGGCTGGCTATCAATTTGGCTTATCGCGAGGTTTCTTTCAGCGGGGCATAGGGTGGGAGGCAGCGTGTTCGAAAACGGAAGTCACCGTTTTATAACGGTCAATTTTACACAGATCCGTGGGTCACTAACAGAGGGAAAGAGGGACCCGTTTTTGGATCCAAAGTACCCCCGGTTTTTGACCCCCTCTACCTCGTAGGGCAAGCTTCTAGGGATTGCAATGTACACTCATGGTCGGCAAATAGACTTACCGGAGCCACCGTATTCAACAAGCCCACGAATGGCTCCCTTGAACAAAATGCTGTCTATTAATTGCTACATACACTACTTAAGGGATTGACATCACACTACGCAGACGTCGCAGCGTTGGCAGCGGCTCCATCGACGCCGGTCGCGAGGGCCAGCTTCTCCTTGCCGCCCCACCGGTGGTAGTCCAGGTAGCGGTAGCCCTGGGTGATCTGGGCGCCGGCGTTGACGAAGTGGCAGGCGAACAGCAGGTAGTTCCGCGGCGTCACTGCCAGCGAGTAGCGCATGAAGGTGAAGGCGTAGATGGTGAGGGCGCCCGTCATCTGGCCCGAGATGCTAGATGGCAGTGTCAGATACTCGGCACCAAGAGATGCACGGTGAGGAGCTTACAGTTCGGGCGACTTTTGCGTGTCGAGGATGGCCGCGATGGGAATGCCGAAGTTGGACGCCGGCCCCCAAAAGTCTGTTTTGATGTCAATGACTTTCACCTCCCAAACAAGGTTGACCACCAAGGTCAAGTAATTAGGCTCAATAAATGAAAAGGAAAAAAAAGGCAACGCCATATCATCTAAAAACACTACAGCACTGGCGATGCGGTTGATGACGGCGTCATCCACGGAACAGCCGGAGCGCGGAACAAAAAAAAAGGGTGTGGCTCGGACTTAAGCGGAGATTAAATGACAGGTTTTGGAAAGCACACGTACGGGTCGAGCAAAAGTAGTCGGTCACCGGATTTGACCTGATCCGCGCGTTGAGGGCCTTGACGAGAGCGGCCATGCTGAACGAGCGCGCGAATGCGGCGACGGGACGGGTAGACGGGGGCGCCGGGGGGGGGGGGGAGGGGGGAGGGGGGAAAGGTTGTGAGTTGCGTTTTGTCGGCGTCGGCGTCGTCGAAAGTTTCCGGTTTGAGTTTTGGCCGGTGGCCAATTTTCTGCCGCGACTTCCTTGCTGACGAGGCACGTGACCGCTTCCGGATTTAAAGGTTTCGGGTCTTGTTATTGCCGGGGCGGGAAATGCCAAGACAAAATGATTCAGTGAAGGGGCGCCCGAAACTCAATTTTCTGACTCTTGCAACATTGGAATTGATTGCGTTGTGCATGACATAAAATGTGCCATCACTTCAACTCTCTTCACGAGGGGCCCCATTGGTCTCCCACATCGCGGATATGACCGAGATTCCACGAGATGATGCATCTCATCGGGAGTATGCGTGCACAGGTCCAGCCGCTCAATTTGTGATTTTAGTCTCCAACCTTCGCGAATACTTCCGGTCTTGCATTAGGAAATCACTGCTTTTCCTTGGGCGGCTGCGGCACTAGCAGCCAGCTGACAGTGGTGGCAACGATCAAGCCCACGAGCACAGGTTGCATCACCCCGACGCCCAAGTGGGAGCCAAGCACTCCAGTGACAATCGGGAACAAGGAGCCGCCAACCTGGGCAAAGACGAAGACGAAAGAAATTGCCGTGGCGCTGATGTCGGGCGGAAAGAGTCTGGAACCGACGGAGATGGCCTTGGAGAGGGTTAGTGGCTGAACATGCCGCGCTTCTAACGCTCTAAAGGTTCAAAAAGATACCTGCCGTACTCACAGTTGCAAAGAACGGCCCGGAGAAGAAGCCCAGCAAACTGATGGCAACAGACGCTGCGATGATATTGGGGACGCTTTTCCAACAATTGGTTAGCATGGGTATCTAGGTGCCTTCGGATTGAAGTCCAGGACAGAGAAGAGAAGAGCTCAAGACTAACAGCCAAAACACTAACTGAAACACCAGACAGCACACGCAGTATAGAAACACCATCCTCCTCTCGCCGTACCGATGCGTCGGCTCGGGCAGCACGACGCGGCCGAGCAGGCAGCCCCCGCTGAACCCGGCCGGGACGTAGCCAACGTGCGCCAAGTCGCCGTTGCGCACGTCGACAAGATACTCAACCACCCACCCGCCGGCCGTGACGCCGAAGCCCAGGTAGCAAAAGAAGAAGAGGCTCAGCAGCCAGACGCTCGGCGTGCTGAGCGTGCGTCTGACCAGTGCCGTTGCGCTGGGGCCGCGGGTCTCGTGTCCTCCTTCCCTCAGCACCGACAGATCGGTCTGCCGCCCCCAGCGAAAGGGTAACGAGTCCCGGAACGCGGCAAACACCAGCGCCATGTTCGCCAGTCCCAGCCCGAGCGGTACCGTGTAGAACAGCCACCAGCGCGACGGCGCCGACTCACTAGAACCAGAAGGAGCGGTAGAAGCAATCGCCGACGATGCAAACGGCCCCGCCAGACACCCGGCCATGTACGCAGCGTGGATGAAGCCGAGCCAGCGGTGCGCGCCCGCCGACGACGACGACCCCGCAACAAACGTGTTGACGTGTGTGTCCTGGTACGCCTGGCCAAGGCTGGTGAGTGCGAACGTGGCCACGTAGACGCCGAACGGCGGCGCCGGCGGCCACGTGCGCAGCGCCTGCGCGGCCGTCTGCAGCGCAGCGCCCAGCCCGAGCATTGTGCCCAGCCCGAGGCGCTGCGTTAGGTGCGTGTTGGTCAGAGCTGCCGTGAGCCACCCAGCGAAGCTGGCGGCGTACCTTTTGAGTGCAAGGTAGACGGGTCCCCATCAGCTGCGGAGGCCCCGGGTCGAATGGGAAGATGAAGTGCGGGAGAATCTGGAAGAGGGCAACATGGAGACGGAAAGAAAAGCTCACAAAGTGGACACAATGGCTGTCGTGATGCCGTAGTCGCGAATCACGTACGGGATTAAAGCCCCGAGACTGCCGTCATTGACGCCAGCGACGAAGAATGAGAAGCCGGCGCTGGCGAGCTTGAAAGGCATCGCCTTGTCCGTAGTCCGTGTCTGCGCCGACATGGCTCCGGTGTCATCGACTTCCAGTGGGGACCGCAGCATAGTGCCTCTGTCGTTGAGACTTGCCCGGGGCGCGACGTGGTCATTGACCGCTGCATGGGCTGGGGCAGTCACGGGCGTGGCTGTCATCGTTGTTGTTGCCGCCGGCATTTTGAGCCAAGACGAAGCTGGAATGGGGCGGCTCGGTCGTGGCAATGAGGGTACCAGCAATAAGGGGGCCTGGACTCGAAGTGAAATGGCAAGCGTCTTGATTTATGCCTCGGATGCTTCTCGCCGTCAATGAACCCCCGCCATGGCCCATGTCTTCATAGCGCATCCCGCCGCTTCGTCGTGCCGAAATGGCTAATCATCGGGAAAGACGTTGCATGCGTGGCGCCCGGTGGGCGATGCATGCGGAGTCCATTTCCCAAGATGGCTGAAGTTCGGGACACGCGACCAACCGCCGTCTGTCGTCTTCTCGAAGGACCATTTCGGCGAAGGATATCCGGCCCGTTCCTCGCGTTTGTGGACCAACACGACAAGCTGAAGACTTGGTCAAAAATCTCTCTCCTCGATATGCGAATTAGCAGTGGCGAGGAAATTCTCCCTCTAGGTGTCCCGCCCCTCCTGGCATGAAAAGCATGATGTGCAAGTTTTGCTTGTCACAATTTCGGGGCTGCGGCCAGAGCCTCTCTTCTCCCAAAGTTTGATCTGCCGCAATGGAACACACGAAATCGCCTCTGGACAATAACAACACGATTTGATGCCCTTGAATGCCTTAAGCACAAACACCACAACTACCATCTTGTCTTGGTGTCATGCAAATGATCCTCCAGCTACCAGCAGTGTCCTCACCATCATTGACGTGGTAGCACCAATTGAGTTGTAACCCAGCCAGCGGCGGCCAGGCCGGGCCGAGACTCGAACCAAACGAAACATTCGTTCGGAAACAAAGGGTTACACGAGGGAGTCGATTGCATGCCAGATCGGGGACCAAGCAGCACAAATTGATACGCGGGTCAGCACAGAAATAGCCGACCCCCGCGGGCCCCGGTTTCCTCTGAAGGATCTGTCTCGGGGCGACCCGGTAAGCGTTTGGAGACGACGGCGCAGCGCGCAAACGCCACACCGTTAGTGGCTGGACCGTGCATCGGCCCCACCGTTGCGCGGTGTCCAGGCCGCCCGCCGGGCCGGCCGGGGGATCGGCGGCCCATGGGTAACCCCCATGCACCTTGGCATGCCCTGAGACGTCCCTCGCCCGCCTCCCAGCAAACCGCGGCTAAGGCATGAATTTTGGCGGGCGCGCCAGCGCGCTTCTGTGTGTGGGTGTTGGTGTGGTGGTTGTTGTGTATTTATAGCGCCCAAGCGCCCGGTATCTTGACATTCCGAATCCTACATTGCCGCACACACTCACTTCACCCTCTCACATCCGCCCAGCAACGACCAGCGATATATCAAGAGTGCCGAGACTTCCAGAGTCCGCATTCCGCAGTGTAGACCAAGAAAGAACTGCCAACAAAAACTGGCCGGAAAAATGCGCATCGCCGCTCTCTTTATTGCCTTTTTCGTCGCCGTCGTGGCTGCCGCCCCGTCCCCGGCCGCCCCGTCCGACTTCTCCATCGAGAAGCGCGGCATGGACCAGTGTGTGAGTTTTTGCCTGAACATGTTTCCATCCAAGCTTTATGGTAAACGCTGACTCGTTTTGCCGGCGGCAGGACTGCGACGAGAGCAGCTGCAGAGGCCCCGCATGCTGCGCCAACGGCACGTGCTAGAGAAATACTACCAACGGCAACAACATTCCTTACTTTCTTTCTTCTTGGGGGCTGGCTGGCGCTTGGGAGGGTTTGGGAATTACAGCAAGGGGACAAAAAACAGGGAGTTTTGGCCGCAGAGAATGGGACTGGATGAGCGGGAACGGGGTTTGGGCCTTTGCTTTCACCATTCGTTTATTTATTTTTTCGACTTTGTCGAGGGGAAACCTGCCACAGTTGCACTCTGCCTTCTAGTGTTTACCAGTCGTTACTACAGTCTTGTCTCGACTTGAGGGACACACCGTCATTAATTCATGCTGTGATAGGGGCTAGACACTCTCTCACTACCTATAATAAAACCCACGTTTCACTCTTTTGCTTTGCGTCTCTCTTATCACAGAGGCGCTTGAGTTTCTTTCGTGAAAATAGAGGAAAGTGACGGTGTTTTTCCACAAAGTTTATAGGTTCAATCCGTGATAGGCACGGTCGATGACGAACTCCGCGAGTGAGCCGAGCTAGAAGGTGCTAGATAGACATTGTCAACAATTACAGGCCAGCCCGTGACTACAAGCATAGCGATGAGATCTAGACACATGCTGTGTCTCGCAGCACGCTCCTGGTGTAGGCACCGACGGCGGCTAAGTTGCCGCACGGGCCGACGGCCACGTCCTGTAAGTCCCCCCTTGAGTGTTCCATGATGCCCACAACCCGCGCGGCACTTTGCGTCCATATGGCAGTCTCGAGGAACTGAGGTTAATTAGTTGGTGCTAAATTTGGTTCTGTGTAACGGTGGGATTGGTCCCCCAGGATGAGTTAAGAGAGGGGCAAGCGGCGGGGAAGACTCTTGATGCGATTTAATGAGCATCGAAAATAATCTACGCTTAGAACTCAGAGACCCGTTGTAAGCGTTAATTATGACCCCGGAATGAGAAAAGCACTTCGGGAAATAGACTATGGTTTGCTTTGTTTCCGGCCAAAAGCCTCTAGTGGTGGCTACTTCTCATGCGGCTCGGGCGGCAAGAACGAGCAGCGCGATGGAAACTCCCGGTTTGCAAATAGACAGGATAACGAAGAGGCGGCCAAGCAAGAGCAATGTCTATAGAGAACACCACCGTGCCGGGTTGAGCTTGTCTCTGATTAATGCCTTCGTGCTCGACGCCCGCTGCTGCTCGTTGTATCTCTGGATGTCGAGCAGCCTCTCTCCCAGCAGCGGGAACTCGCCCCACGGCGTGAGGAAGTCTTGCCTGGTGATCCCTCTCGAAGTGGCATCTCCAGACGACGGCGCAATTATGGCGTCCAGGTTGCTCTGCAACAGGCTTTTCAGGGCTGGATCGCGGTCCTCACGGGGCATCAAGAGTATGGCCTTCCTGGCCAACTTCCTAGACCCCCGTGTCTTGCCGAGGATGAATCGGAGGGAAAGCAGAACCTCTCGATGCAGGCTGTAGCGGGCTGGATACAGATCCTCCGTGACTCTTGGGCGCGAACTAGCCAATTAGGTTCAATGATGACGGCTGGCTTCCTGCGGAGTTAGTCTGATAGGAACTAACCTCTGGATCAGCTTCTGGTAGCCGCCGCCGGATGAAGCGAGAACGCAGATGGACGGATACCGGAAGAGACGGAGAGTTCTAGTGCACGAGTCTAGCGTGAAGTGTTGGCTGATATAGGTCAACGACTGAATGTTTAGCAAGGAAAGATGCAGGATATCCTCAGTTCGCGGCTGCTCGTGACTCTCGGGCGGAATCAAGCCGAAGACACGGACGAACATGCCGAAGACACGGACGAACATGCCGAAGACACGGACGAACATGCCGAAGACACGGAAGAACATGCCGAGAGACCAGCCGCAGTTCTCCATGTGAATCCTGACGGGTAATTTTGACCGAGTAGTGCTGTAGAACCGGCGCTGTGGTTCCAACAAAAGAACAAGGCGATCCATCCCAGAAACGCCACCGCGAGTTGTTAGAGCATCCTAGCTTGCTCTGTAGCACCTAGGCTGATATAGGAGAGCTCGGGATAGCTGATGAGGAAGTCCGCGGGACTGGTGACGGTGAGGCTCCCGGGTCGTGAGTCCTGAGCTATTTTCCGCATCGCGACAATCAGCAGTGCCAACGCGCCGGATGGGCCACCAGAGAGGGCAGGGAAGGCTGTCAACACTTCCCGCATCTCCCGCTCGACATGAGCGAGGACGGGGTCCAGGTGGATATCCCGTTGCTTCTTGGCGGGGACATTGGCCGTGAATACGCCCCTCATAATTTCCGAGTGTAGTTCATGGAGAATTCGAGATTAGCAACACATGTGCGAGGAGAAAACCGGGTTGCGCGATGGGGGAGGGAGAAGGCCTGCGATCATGCACGAGTTCATATTTTTCCCGTGGGAGGTTTGCCGTACTTCGTTCCTCCCGTTGTAGGCGTACGTCATCCCGCCTTTAGCCCTTGATGGTCTAGAATGGAAGCGAGCTGTCTAAGCAACAGGTGTTTGCTAGCGATCTGGGACTACTTCAGCTGTCTTGCGCCAAGGTAATTAGAAGATGGGATGTTAACTCATGAATGAATGAAAAGGGGGGAGTCGGCTTCAAGTCCTATCGATGTGATAGGCGCAAGCGCACTTATATCCATCATCGAATGTACAGCCGTGCCTGTACTACACAAATACAGGGTGCACACATACCTTGCCTGGATGGTGACTCCGCCATAGCAACCGCGAGATCCTGCCTGCCGAAACTATATCGGAATGATGGTCTACACTTTTACTGACGACCACTGTTCCAAATTGTGACCTATCTAGCTCTACGCGACACCCGCACAATTGCGGGCCTTGGCTGAATTAATTGCTGTGATGAAATCTGGCTTGTATTGGCTACACAATATACTATCTTCGTTGGTGTTTGGGAACGTGCCCTAAACAAAACCAACCACTTACTGCACCTACTGATACTTCGCTGTAATGAAAACAGTGAAATCCGAAGCCTTAAAACACGAGACATAGTCTGAAGTAACCGTTGACGCGTGGTATTTCTGCATCAAGGTTGCGACCATTGTAGAGTTCTCGACTGCTCGTTCGAATCCACGGGTGCTGCGCCCATGCTCAATGCCTGGGCGAGCATAAACTGGGTGCGAGCGTGCGAGCGTGCTCTGCTGGAATGATTGGAAACTGGCTTGATATAGCCACAGATCCACGGAAGAGTTGTCTAGGAGGACTAGTTGGCGGGGAGGTAAGGGCTATAGGGTCGGCTTCATTAGAGTGCTGCTGTGGCGGGAGGAAAAATTCACGCCGCCTCCGAGTAGGAGCCTGTTTAGTACGCAACATATCCCAGCTTGTCGAGGACAATTGCGACTGCTAGTTGCTTGCCCGGTGCGCTCAATACGCTTCTCGACGTGCTGTAGGCCTGTGATGCTTCTTCGTACCGCTTCAACGCGAGCAGGCCATTGCCAAGAACAATATAGTCACTGAACCGTTCGAACGAACATTAGCAGGAATATCCGGTGTGAAAGGTCGAGTCTTGAAAAGGCTTACTGCCCAATCATCCACCGGCTGATGGTAGTCTCGAAAACCGTGATAGTGTCCCGCAGCGTGAATTTGTTGAAAGTTTGCGTAACCAGCAGTTTCGAACAGATACCTGCCGTATTTCCATGATTAGCTACCGAAAGAATCATCACGAATGCACCATGGCGTAGCGGACTGTAGACCCATACCAGGAAGCCCATCCCATCAGCTTCGCAAAGCCCGCCGGGGCTGAGTAGCGGCCAGATGTCGGGGCTCCCTTGCAAATAGTGGCAGCTTAGCGAGATGGCATGCTGGATATACTTGGCGCACTCGTCCCACCGTCCAGTAAAGCGCTGGCCAGTATGCTCCTTTGGAAACATATCGCCTACGAGCTTGGATGCCTGCTCAAACGCACTTTGGCGGGTGGTGCATCTAGATTACATCCGAACTGAAAACTGTAAGAAATGCGCTAGGTTGCAGGATTGGTGACGGGTGTGGTGTGTTAAGATACCTGCCTGGAATTGCTCCAATCGATGCGAACTAAGCATTTCGGTGTTTGGGTCCTTGTCAATCAAGCCGAGATTCATTAGCTCTTCTTTAGTATCAAGGTAACTGCCAAAAATTAGTGTCAAGACCAAAAGTCGAGCCGAAAGGAGAGAAGGACACCGTACTCATCAGTATGATGGCAGTACGGGAGCAGTCCGCTGGTGCTCCGCGACGCATGTTCGTCTTAGTGATGGAGTCCTGCGGGATATCATTTGGGGAAGAAAGCTCAAGACTCCCAGTAGAGATTTTCCCTCCTCCTTCAGAGCGTCGAACAACATGGTCCAGTTTGTGGCAATCTTGGACTAGACTTGGAGAGATGGTGGTCTCGTCGTCCGTCAGCTGGAAGCCCACCCCCGGATGCCGGGTTGTGACTAGGATCTTTCCGTTCCCTCCGAGGGGCCAGAACTGGTCGAGATCGATACTGCGCTCGACGTTATCGAAGACCACCAGCTGACCAACTGAACGCTAGTGAATAGGGCGCGTGTGGTCAGCTTGACTCCGGGGGCACAGATGCTTCGCCAAGGGAAACAGAGGTCATGCATGGCCTCAACAAACCTGCGCGTGCCAAGTAATCCCTCCACTTCTGTCTGATCTCGACGCCGGGCTTTTCGGCGTCGTCAATCACCTGCAAGCGGCGGAGTGCCTCGTGGCAGCCCTGGTCCAAGGCCGCGCCCCCCTCGCTCTTGATCCATATGATGACGCTGTGGTTGGAGAGGGACAGGTGGGAAAGGCGCAGCGCTATGGACGTCTTGCCCACTCCGGCGATTCCGCGAATCGTAACGCTGCTGGGGTCTCCCAAGCTCTTGCCTATCTGCTCCAGTTCGCGGTCTCGGCCGTAAAACCGCACAGGTTGCTTCAGCAGCAAGTAAACGGATGGTGGTCGCCGGGTTGCTACGGCGTTCTTTATGGGCTCGGGAAAGGAGAGAGAAGAGTGGGGAGGTTGATGGACGTCGCATCTTAAAATGTCAAAGAAATGTTCGGATGCTTTGAGGTAGTCGCTGCATTCGGCCCCGCGGCGCGAGATGGTTTTGAACCGCTCGTCATTAATTGACACTGCGCCTGGCGTTAGTAGCGAGACAAGATAGATAGGCAAGTATAGGCATGATGGCGCACCGAGGGGGCCCTGATTTTAGCTGTCGATGATGGCACCGAGAAAGGCAAGACGCAGGCGATATGTCTGACTCAGTCGCTTCTTGGCATGGTTGACCGGTATGCGGCTGTCGGAGCATCTCGAGTAGAAGAGAGAGCCCAGTTCGCTGTAGTGGCAGAGTCTGTCGATGATGGCGTGGAAGGCGTGGAAGCAGTCTCCAGAGCCGCCGGTGCTCTGCTCGGTCTGGTTCACGGAGCCGGAGATGGCCATGTAAAGATATCCGGCCAACAAACTATCGAAGGCGAGACGGTCGGGGCTGAGCTGAGAGAGTCGCAGAATCCCTTCGAAGCTTGTCTAGTTGTCGCGGAGTTTGGAGCGCACTACTGTGCTTTGGACAACCTGGGGCAACCCGTGGAGGAGAGACGGGAAGTCGGCTCGCGATGACTCTAGAACTCGTTGACGTGTGAAATGATCCGAGAAGAATGCCAGTGCGGAGAGGTTGGCCCCAGACGCCTCATCCCTGTGCCCCAAGTGTTAGAAAGATCAGCGAGACGGGTTGACATGCAGCACTAGCCTCTGCACTCTGTGAATCAGTGTGCACTGCATTGTGCGGCTCAGTGTGGGCATCCTCTTACATTTTAAGTTGCGTTTGGTTTTTAAGTTGCGTTTGGTTTTTAACTTGCGCTTGGTTTTTAACTTGCGTTTGGTACTTGGGTTCTCGCAAAGCAAATTCGTCTCCTGGGCACTTTTATTTTAGACGCGCGCTTGGCCGCCAGCCAACACAGCAGCTCGGCCCAGGTGGCGAAATGCCCCAAATATCGCAACATTAATAAACACCTAATCACGAGCAAACACCTGGTATCACGGCGAGGCTCGCTGCCTCGGCTTGCCCTTCTCGGGGAGGATGCCGGAATCAACATACTCCGCCCCCGCTCAGCAATGAGGATGGAAACACAAACATAAAAAGAAATGACATGACAGCATCTGCAGCATCAGCAGCATCAGCAGCATCAGCAGTATCAGCAGCAGCAAACAGATAGCTACACCAGCAGCAGGACCCCATGAGTCGATTACTACTTGACATGGGTAGAAAACGGCCTCCCAGACACTTTGCAGTGCAAACACGGAGCCATCAGATGATCAGTCCGCCCTGGTAAAACAACCAATCGCAGCTCGATGCGGCACCGCGAGTCGTAATTGACAAAGACGGTAAGCTTGTCGGGCGACTGGCTCGAGAACCAGCAGAATTTCTGATGCGGGTTGTATTTCAAGTAGTCGAGCTCGTGTGGGTCGACACTCCTCGGATAGTAGAGCGTGAGGGGAAGGCTTCGACCACTCTCCGCAGGGGCTGCCACACGCTATTAATTACAGGATGAGGTCAGGCCAGGCCACGTAACGTCAGGCAGGTTCGTTTACTGGTCGAAGCAAGGCAACTCGGTGGCACGTGTGAGGGCCTGGTCCTCCAGGCCTCCCAGACGCTCTGACTAATCAAACGCCAGTTGGGTGGATCCACCCGACCAGCCAGAGGGATCCACCCAACTGACTAATGGAAGCTCGGCCAGAGCCCCGCCTTGAGACGCCCTGGAAGAATCTCGCGAGGGGAGGCTTTTGAGCTTCTTTTCCCTTTTCCCTTTAGTTTAGAATCTTCGTCTATAGCGCCCAATAGAGGAGTTCCGCCCTCATTCCAAGCCGGCCGTGACAGCACGCTCAGATGGAAACCAGCGCTATGGAGGCGTCGGGAGTAGGGAGAATTAAGGCTGAAACATGGTTTATATCACCGCACAGTCAACTGCATGAGACAAGGCTGCAATATGGTCGCTGTATTCGTAGAATCTAAAGCTAAGGAAAGAAAGAAGAAAGGAAGTTTCTAAAGCTTGGGCAGGGCGCAGGGAAATAGGACGTGGGGTGCACGGGCCATCTAGTCTAGTGGGGTCCGGGTCGGGCCCACTATTCCAGAGTTGTCTGCACTTGCCGTGACAGTTTACTTGATGATGCGAGCCCGGAATCTGTCGTTGAGATAGGTTGCCGCCTCGTCCTCGGTCAGGTGTCGCCGGATCCTTTTCGGGCCGCCCTCCACCGTGTGGTCGATGTGTATGGGGAAGACCGGGGGCGCCGCCGTCACCCATCCGCTGTCTGACCCCTCCCGTAGTTCATGATCTCCGAGTTGTTCCTGCGATCTACCCTGCACTTGGCTCTCAAGCCTACGCTAAACCGCTTCTACTCCGCCTGCCTACCACACGCACTACAACATAAGATTTACTTATGTAGGTTTAGCTATCGTTATAAGAAAAGATCTCTAGAGTATCGGAGTTAGTGGCCTCCGGATAGGATATTGTCGCTTCGCTTACTCTCTACGTTATCTAAATAAGCTAACTATCGCGCTCTAAATTACCAGGAGCGAGAGAGAGGAAGGAAGCGTCTCGTAGCGCAGCGAAGGGTCACGCGACTGACGAACGAAGCGACGCCAGCAATTTTAGTTGAAAGACTGTCCAAAGACTGGTTTGTGGTTGGGCTTATGGGCCAATCTTTCGCACTCCTAGGCGCATGGGAGTGCGAAAGATCGGTCCATAAGCCCTGGAGTTTTGTTGTGTTCCGCGGCAGGCCGCAGGAAACCCAAATCAGTTTAATATCCAGGCCCTCCCGCCTTTCCATGGTTCCCCCGCTGCTTCATCCAAACTTACCAACCAACCGACCTTGCCAACCAACTGACCTTGCCAACCAACCGACCTTGCCAACTTACCGACCTTACCTATCTTGCCAACCTACCGACCTTACCTACCTGCTTACCCTCCAGATTCAAGGTCCCACACATCGCTGCTACCACGCCCCACGTTCAGTAAATCGCCTCTCCACTAGCACGGCAGGAGAGCAAATGCGGATTCGCGGGGTGTCGCTCTTCATTTCTCGGTTTTCGGCACTGCTGTCGCCCAGAAGGGCCTCCCTTCGGAACTGTTGGAACAACGCGCTAGTCAGCCACAGATGTGGCGGTGGAGGGGCAAGCAGCCACATGTGGCTGTGGAGGCGCAGGGGCGCAGGGCTACCGAACCTAAATAAGTGGCCTACGGCCACTTCCACCTTCCTTAGAGACACACATAGACATCAACGAAATCCAACACTTGAACCACTAGTATACGGCGCGCAGCGCGCCATGTTGATTCCAGTACCGGTACCTAGTGATTCCAACAGGACCACGGGCAGCCGGTGCTGTCCGACTCCGCCATGACCATAACTGCCGACATCAATCTCCTCACCGCGACGGCCTCGGAGCTGCAGACCAGGCTTACTAGCAATTCCGTCACCAGCCAGCAGCTTGTTAGGCTTTATCTCGACTAGATTGCGCGATACGATGGCTACCTCCAGTCCGTTATTGCCGTCGGCCCCGACGACATCTTAGCCAAGACGGCGAGCGACCCTGACGGCGAGCGACCTTGACGGCGAGCGCGCCAAAGGCAGCATTCGCGGCCCGCTTCACGGCATCCCCATCATCGTCAAGGAAAACATCGCCACCGTTCCTGCCCTGGGCCTGCCGACGACCTGCGGAAGTCTTGCGCTCGTCGGCTCCAAGCCAAGACAAAATGCTGCAATTATTGAGCGCGTAAGCAAACGCCTAGTTGCGCTTCTTTGGCAATCCGAGCGCGACGCCTGCCTAACTGTGACTTTTCCAGCTTATTGCCGCCGGTGTCATCATTCTGGGCAAGGCAAACCTATCGGTAGGCCCCCATCATTCTGCACAATATTCGCTCGCAACATCGCTCTAACCAGTCCACAGGAATGGGCGTGGTACAGGTCCGACTTCGCCGACTCAGAGTAGTCTGGTGTGAGGAGCCAGACGCAATCTACCTACGTCCGCGTTGGCTTCCGTGAAGACAACACTGGCAGTAGCCACAGTGTAACGAACTGCCTTTTCTTTCGTCCTTTCGTCCTTTCTTCCCGGTGGTGGAAGACAGTGCAAGCCTGGAGCTAATGCAATTCGTAGAAACCCGGCGGCTCCTCCTCTGGTTCCGCTGTCGCCGTCGCGGCCGGATTCTCGCCCATTTCCATCGGCACCGAAACGATGGGTTCGCTCATTATGCCCAGCGACAGGTCTGCCCTGTACACGATCAAGCCCACCCTCAAGATTGTTCCGCAGGAGGGCATCATCCCCGTCACGCCCGAGGCAGATTCGGCAGGCCCAATGACCAAATCGGTCCTCGACCTCGCAAATCTTCTCGACGCTATTGCAGACCCAAGGAAGACAACGATCACTGAGGGTGGATACAAGAGCGCTGTCACTGGGAAGTGGGGTGACATCCGGATTGGCGTCTTGGAGCCCGAAAACTGGCTATTCCCGACCAAGATCGTCAAGTACGAGAAGCAGGCGTCGGAGCAAATGGTACGGTGGCCTTGGCTCAATGCGTGCCATGCCGCTGACCGTAATTTCTAGTTCCGAGAGTGGAAAGCAGCATACAAGAAACTTGCTTCGGTTGTTAAGGTCATGAAGCCCGTCACACTTCTGTCGGTGGACGAATCGACCGACCACGGCAAAAGCGATATCTGGGACGCGTTTCGTTAGTGTCCAAGGCACTCGCTTCCCGGCTCATGCCTCCACTAACCACTCACTCTGACTTGGACTCGACATTCAAGACTCTCCTGGAAGAATACCTGGCGAGTATCGACGACTCCAAGGTCAAGACACTTGAGGAGCTTGTCAAATTCAACGAAGATCACGCGGAACAGGAGCTCCCACCCAGTATGTTCACCGCCTATCAATTATAGTCTTCGAAGAAGCTGGAGGATCCATCACTAATATCTTGTTGTAGGCGCCGACAACCAAGCTGGCTTTATTCGAGCTCTAAGTGCCAAGATGCCAGAGGAAGAGTACTACAAACTCATCAATACCGCCCGCGACCGTTCCGGCAAGCAAGGGATCGACAAAGTCCTCGAAGAGAACGAGGTCGATATCATCATGGGCCCTAGCGATGGGCCCTTATTCTGCATATCTGGGACAGCAGGTGAGTGCTCACCAAAGGGGCCGATTTGCCCCGACTTAATTGCTACCTTCAAGCTTCATGTCCTGACAAGCTTCCCAGGATACCCTGTCGCGTCGTTACCGCTTGGCTACCTCGATTTCAACGGCAGGCCTTTCGGGCTGCAGAAGGCCCTCATCCAGGCCCAGAGCGCCTGGGAAGCCACCTTTCCTGCGCGCCAGCCCCCGCCGCTGGACGAGATTGTGCGTTGATGCATTGAGGGGATCGACGACGAGCGGACAGTTTTTTAATGGGAGTTTCGTGGTTTTCCTCTGGGGCACTTGGCAGAAAGTCCCTACAGCTAACTATCCACCTCAAAATGCTGCAGCACTGACATTCACATTGTTTCCCCGTGCACCTGTTTCCCCGTGCACCTGTTTCCCCGTGCACCTGTTTCCCCGTGCACCTGTTTCCCCGTGCACCTGTTTCCCCGTGCACCTGTTTCCCCGTGCACCTGTTCCCCCGTGCACCTGTTTTCCCTTTCTGCGTGATACACTACTCTCATCAGCGACTTTTTGTGTCGTAGGGGCTCACTAATTGACTAATTTCAAGGACGGATGGTAACTGACCGAGGGCGGTGCGCTTTGTAGAGCGGGCTTTTTCCTCACCAAGGACTTCATGGACATGGTTAGCTTGATATAATCGAATCACTGCCCGAGGTTAACGCTGGTTAGTTTTGTCATGTGAACCTGCTAGGTTAGTTTTGTTATGTGGACCTGCTAGGTGCGGCATCAATATCTCTGGCTGCGAATACTCTCAGGGGCCCTACTTTTGGGCCTCAGCCAGCTATGGCTGCCGTGGCAGCCCCCTATATTCTTACTACAACCCTTCCATCCTGACCACTTACTGTCCAAGTCCCACACCCAACACGCCGTTCAGCTTCCTTATGCGAGCCCCTTGGATACCACGAATCCGGGTCAGCTCGTGAACCCAAGCTCCCTCTCCTCAACCTCGAACTAAAAAAAGGTGCGTTCATTCAGGCGTAGTAGGACTTGGTTGATGTTGGAACAACGCGCATTCCAGCCACATAGAGGTGGATGTAGCAACGCATTCAACAGCCACACAGGCGGCGATGGAGGCGTAGGGGTCCAGATTCCATATAAGTGGCCTACGGCCACCTCTTTCTTCTAGATAGACATAGACAACAATGACCATCACTTGAACCACCAGCTTTCGGCGTGCAGCACGCCCTGTTGTTTCCAGTACCGGTACCTAGTGATTCCAACAGTTGACAATTCACAAACAGTTAGTCAAATTTATTGCTCTCATTTGTATCAAATCGGGGATAGCAAACCGGCTTTGGCGTTTCCTGTCTATTAGTTGCGAGATTCCAGCCGTCCATGATAATTCTGACACGGAAGAATGCGGTACTCCCTCTCGAACCAGTGATCGCAACTTCATCGCTATGACATTACATTTTAGAGCCAAGGCAGACTCAAGTTCCGTCCCTGGCTCCCGCTGCGATTCTAACAAGTCCCCCGATGAATGAATCGACTGGCACTGGTCTCTCGATCCTCCTGTGAGTTTGCTCCGCCAACCGATTTTAATAAGAGAGCCTGTGCAAGCTCCTATGTATATCAGCAAAGTTTACGAATCACGGAGAGCATCGTCATATCTCGGCGGCATCATTTCTCGGCGGCATCATTTCTCGACAGGAGGCGCCAGCCATTCCGGGGATGAAGGGGCGGCACAGCCAGTGCTTGCAAGTAAACGTGACGGTAAACCCAACCCTACAGTTCTCAGCAGTTTTGTTTTCCCCACCAAATATAAAGTTCAAGATTGATGTGGGCAGGATATACGACCATCAATGTTCTCTAACACCCCTTCATCGGCTGCAACTGACTGTGATACACATGACATGGACTATTCTGCGCCGCGCCACTGTCCAGCAGCCTCGACTATCCCGCCTCGACTATCCCACCCCATTGGATTCGCCTCCAGAGTTAGATGTGGACGATCCGCTTTTGCCGTTTCCTGACCATCAGCTGGACGTCCATGTCCGGCTGTGACGACCCATTGGGAAACGAGCGCCGCTCAGGCTTGTACGACCCAGCAGGCAGCTGCAGGTCGTAGTTGAGCAGCAACTGCCCGAGCAAGATCTTGATGGTGTTGGTGGCAAAAACCCTCCCAGGACACGCCTGCGGCCCATCCCCCCACGTCAGCAAGTCCGGCCCGTTGCTGGCGTACTGATGGCGCGTTTCGTGCCCCGGCTGCTGCCGCTTGCGGTAGAAGCGCAGCGGGTCAAACTCGTCCGGGTTCTGGTAGAGCTCGGGCGAGTTGTGGATGTTGTCCTGATCGACGCAGATGATGGTGCCCTTGGGCAGACGGGGGCCGATGGAGAACTGGAAGTCTTGCTGCAGGATGCGGTTGAGGCCGAGGTAGTGGAATGTGTTGACTCGGGCCGACTCGCGCATGAAGCTGTCCATCTTGGCCAGTTCGGCGAGCTGTGTCGGGGGCAGCTTGCCGTCGGCATCGACGACGCTGTTGAGCTCGTCTCGCAACTCCTCGGCGAGATCGGGACGCAGGACCAGCTCCGTGAGCATCCAGTACAGGCTCACTGCTGTCGTGGGGGTTGACTCGAACGTGGCCGTGATGACATCTCTGATGAGCTGTTCGGTGTCTGGCTCGCCTGGCTTGTAACGGTTCAGGAGAAGATGGACGAGCGTCGTTCTCTTTCCCTCCCCGTCTTCGGTCTGGGCTGAGGACTCCCTGACGGCCTGTTCGACAGTGGGCCGCAGAAGGCGAGCGAGATACTTGTGCAGGAGCCAGGCCGGCGCATAAGAGACGGTGGCGACCAGCGGGCGGAGGAGACGCGGCATGAAGCAGCTGATGTAAACGCCGATCCCGACGCAAATAGGGAGCGTGCGGACAGCCCTCAGCCAGCGGGGATTGCGGCTCAGGGGTTCGCCAACAAGCCCGATAGCACCCGTGGCGGCGACGACGTCGAGGACCGTCCAAAAGAGATTGACAGTCTTCCACTGCGGAGCATCTCCGACGACGGTCCGGAGCGCCTCGCGGGCGACATCCTGGCGGACGCGGCCGAGGGGGCCCACACTGCGGGCGAGGTCGGTGCTGGCTGTCTTGTGGAGAGTGCTGCTGGAGTCGTCGGTTCCAATCAGTTTCCACCCGCCGAACTGCACCGTGGTGAGGAAGTCGACTAGCGACGCAGTCCGCGTAGCTAGCCGTCGGACCTCGTCGACGTAGGCGGACGGCAGGACGACGAGCTCGAAGCCCGAGTAGGCGAAGAACCACGGCCGGTCGGGATACTTCTTGGCCGCCTCATCCAGCATGGGCTTGTAGTCGAATGCGTGTCTGCCATTGGTGGGCTTGAGTTCGGGGACGCCGAGGCGCCGGAGAGACAGGAAATACGGCTGGACGACGTAGGCGTCGACGGCGAGAATCAAGGAGCCGACGAGCACCACGAGCAGGCTTGTGCGGAGCAAGGGCGATGTATCGCGCCAGACCTGGGCCGCGAGTAGGCGGGCTAGCTGCCACTTGGTGAGGTTTAGGGGGGCCAGGGCCTGTCGCACCACCTGGAGCTGCTCTCGCAGGTTTTCGTAGTGGTTGGCGAGGCCAGACACTATGGGGATCGCCATCTCGGCGGTGCTATTGAACAGCGTGAATTTTCTGAAGTGGCTCTTGGCGGTGCCGGGTTGAAAAAGACAACGAGAGAGTGTGTGTACGTGTGGGCGGCACGGGGCAACAAGCAGCGGGGGCACTGAAGATAGATACAAACTGTTACATTTGCAATATTTGCAATCTGCTCGAAATGACACATCGATAGTACAACGTCGCTGTCGGTCTATGAGGGGGGCGTGGTTGGGGCTGGTTTTGGTCCTCGGCGTCACTATGGAATTCCGAAGCCGAAGGTGGCGACATCCGGAGTGGCCACAGGCGGGTCGGGGTCGGGGTCGGGGTCGGTTACCGGACCAGGGTAATTACCTCACCGGACACGTAATCTAGCGTATCGTCACCAACTATCGGCGCAGAACGAAGCGCGATGCCAGTCTCGTGTCACCAAGTCGAAATAGAGCGGCGAGCAATAATTTTTCAGAGGGCTACAATTTTTCAGCGGGCGACAATTTTTCAGAGGGCAACAATTTTTCAGCGGGCGACAATTTTTCAGAGGGCAACAATTTTTCAGCGGGCGACAATTTTTCAGAGGGCAACAATTTTTCAGCGGGCGACAATTTTTCAGAGGGCAACAATTTTTCAGCGGGCAACAATTTTTCAGAGGGCAACAATTTTTCAGCGGGAAGCCAACGAGGCCGTAGCGATTCTCCCACATCACTATTTTCACTCAGAACCTGAAGCAGCGGAATTCTCGACATGGCGGCCCCACCCTCAGTCAACATCCTCAACATGTCTGGGACTTGGACTCTGGTATGGCAGTTCCTGCATCTCTGGGGCTGGGAAGTTAGCTGGCGCAACGAGACAAACTCACAGTCGCATGCAGAACAGGCAGCTGTCGGACGACTTTGATGCTACGTTCCAGGTCGTAAGTCCAGCTTTCTCAGACACATTTTTGCGCTACCGCGTACTAATTCTCTCCTGCGAGTACCTAGCAAGGAGTCTCTTGGCCAGTTCGCAAGATTCTAGCCTGGGCTGGCGTCGCGCTGCACATGGCTCAGACTTCGGACACGCCGCAGGGCGAGACTGGAAAACCGCCCATTACTAAAATCAACGTGAAGCAAACCATCACTCCAGGCGGGTTCAACAGCGAGGAGGCGTATGTCCTCGACTCTAGTGTCAAGTACAGCACCCTCCCCATCTTTGGTGCCGTGTCGGTGCACTCTCGGTACACGCTCCTCGGCCAGGTTGATGACGTAGATCTGCGAGAACGGCTTGCCGCGGATGGCGCCACCGTGGCAATTCAGGAGTTCGCCGAGAGCAAGAGCAGCGACTGGTCGACGGTTGGGGTCTGGGGGTTTGAGGTCGTCGGTGGTGAGAGACGCTTCACGCGCACAAACACTACGACAGGTCGCAATGCCCGGGCTGTGGCGCGGCTGGTCTATGACTATAGCCCTTAGTCCTAGTAGGAGATACAGTCAACAGCTCGAAGCATCAGGTTGAGCGAGTCAATATTTATATATACAAAGATATATAAAGAACACCAACAGCCAATTCCTCTCAATGACCCGCGTGACTAGACGACTACCTGCCTCGCTACTGCCTGCCTCGCTACTGCCTGCCTCGCTACTGCCCGCTACTGCCTCGCTACTGCCTCGCTACTGCCGCGCTACTGCCGCGCTACCCGCACCACAAGCTTCTTTCCCGACACCTGCTTCGACTTGAGAATTTCGAGCCCCGTAATGACAGTCTCGAGCCCTCCCGGCTGTAGCTCCTCCATGGGTAGAGGCTTGATCTTGTTCTCGTCGATGAGCCCCTGGAGGCTGCGGAAAAACCGCTTCGACCATTCGTGGAGCTCCGGATCCGGCGGAACCCCGTAGGGCTCCGGCAGCAGCACGCCCCTCCCGAGGATGGCAGGTCCCATGACCAAGCTGTGCTTGACGGTGCGGCGCGTGCATAGTGACAGCTGGTACGTCTCGAGAGAGCAGTAAATGCCTCCCGCGCGGCCAATCGCCTCGTAGCACAGCGACGTCGTTGCGGCCTCGCCAAAGGGGTCGATCACCCGTCGGAGTTTGTTCTTGGTATATGCCCGAATGTCCGCCGCGCAGGTCTTTGAGCGGTAGTCGAATACGGCGTCGGCTCCGTACTGCTTGACCAGCTGGAAGTTGTGAGGGGAGCACGTCGTGACGACATGATGTCCCAGTCTGGAAGCACGTGAGTCAGTGTCCACGTGGAAGAGTAATAAATAGGGAAGCAATAAATACGGAAAGAAGTAATAAATACGGAAAGAAGCAATAAATACGGAAAGAAGCAATAAATGCGGAAAGAAGCAATAAATGCGGAAAGAAGTAATAGGTACGGAAAGAAGTAATAAATCTGGAAAGGATGTTACGCAACAGCTTCAGTATCTGAATAGCCAGCAGCCCGACCGAGCTACTGCCCCCGTAGACTAATACCGTGTCTGTCGTCTTGGCGCTCAGCTCTGCTGCTTCGTCTGGCGTCGCAGGGAGCCCCAAGCTCTGGTGGAGAGCGAGGGCGACGGTGCAGATACACGCAGGGTTGAGTGCCATGGCCGTCTCGAAAGCCATGGTGGGGGGGATCCGGAGCGTGTAGATGGCCTCGACCTTGATGTACTCGCTGAAGGAGCCCGACTCGGAATCGTCCTGCTTGTTGCTGGGGACACATCCAAAGACGCGGTCGCCGACGGAAAAGCCCGCAACTCTGTCGCCGACGGCTACAACCGTGCCGGCGAAGTCCACGCCGTCCTTGAGTCCCGACGTTGGAAACCGAGCGGCCATCTTAAAGTCGCAGGGGTTGAGAGACACGGCAATGTTGCGAACCAGAAGCCAGCCCGGTAGGGTCTTCGGGACTGGGGCATCGTACACGACGGCAAGCTTGCCACCGCCCTGCTGGAGGATGGCAGCCTGAGTCGTAGGGATTGCTGTTGTGGCTGCCGACATGCTGTATCGAGCACTGGCAATGGACGTGGCCGTGTGCCGAGACTCTTGCCTGGGTTCCGGATTCGCATGTAAATACGTGACACGGGAAATCGGAGTACTCGCTATCTCCCTGGGATCGATCTGGGGCCTCCTCCGATGACACCCGGAGAACTCCGATCCCTTGCGGGCCTAGATCGGAGAAGACATATATCCACGCATTTGGCCGTGTGTATTATTCACCACCTGTATTTATGGCTGTCAACCCGCACGATATAGCCGGCTTCAAGCTTCTTTGTCCACTAAACCTCACCTGCATCTGACCTACCCTCACCCGCGTTCGACTAACCCTCACCTGCGTTGACTAACCCTCACCCGCATTCGACTAAATCTCACCCGCGTTCGACTAAACCTCACCGGCATTCGTCTTCTTCCCCCGTCCCACCTTGCCTTTAACAAAAGCCCCAACCCAGGCACACTAAACTCTGGTTGCGATGAACTGGAACCGCCGCAGCCTCAGGTTGGGCTTGGCGGTCCTCGCCCTCGCCGTCGGCGCAGTGGGCCAGGACGGCACCGAGTGGTCAGACGGCTGGCTGGGGGAGTGGAAATCCCAGCAGCTCGTCTTGGGGTCCGACATCGCCGAAGCCTGCGAAACCAGCCGGGTGTCGGCTTTTGAGACGTCCAAGGGCCGAAAGCCCGTCCACTTCTCGACGAGCCCCACTGACAACTGGGAGCTTCCTCGGATCGTGCCCATGAACGAAACAGCGGGCGAGCAGTGGGAGTTCGACGCCGTCTCGGACGACGGGCTGTCGGGGCTCATCTTTGGCTTCTACCGGGATCCCAATTACTCGGTCCTGGGGTCCGGCAACCTCCGCATGTACGTCGAGTTTGCTTTCCCCGACGGCGAGCGCTTCGTCCAGATCGACTACGCCGGCGAGTCCACCATAGAGTCGTGCCGCGGGGCCGGCACGCGCGGCGAGTGGAGAGGCGACGGGTACAGCTACGTCTGGGAGGTTTCCGACGACATGCGGCAGTCTCGGGTCGCCTGGAACACCCCAAAGACCAGCGGCACCCTTGTTCTCCGCTCCGTTGCGCCTCCCCGATACGCCGACGGCACCGCGTGGCCGTCGACAAACGCCTCGCTGCTGACGGTGCCGCACTTTTACTGGGCCGAGCCCATACCCGTGGCCGAGGTGACGGTCGACGCTGTGGTAGAGGGCAGACAGGTCGCTTGGTCCGGCATCGGAGGACACGAGCGGCTGTGGGGGGCCTTCAACTGGCTGACCTGTCTCGACTCGATGCATTTCGTCCGCCTGCAGGCCGGACCCTACGCCCTCACCTTTTGGGATTTCGAGTCTTGGCTGTACAAGGGGCTGCACGTGCCGTCGGTCGTGTTGGCTGAGGACGGGGCTGTCGTGTTTGACAGCCGGCGGACCGAGCCGTCCGAGACGGACGACTTTTTTACGTGGAGCAAACTTTACGACACGGAGGGCGTTGCTGGCAAGTTGAGGGACAAGGCGACGGGCTTCGTGATCGACCTCTCGTCCCCCACACGCGGCCAGCAGTGGACCTTCCTCGTCACCCACAAGAATGTGTACTTTGAGTATTTCCTGGGCGGGGGCGTCGGAGGCACTGGTTACACGGCGACCGCCGTCGGTGGCCAGGTTGGAATGCAGCGGCAATGGGCCGGGGTTGGTGTCACGGAGGTGCTGAAACTCCCCGAGCAGAGCTTGGTTGTGAAGAGGAATTATGTTGCCTAAATGCCCAGACAGGTCTAGGGCGCTCGCTGCCTATTTGTGAGACTGGCCTATTTGTGAGGCTGGCCTATTTGTGAGACTGGAGGATCTAGATAGTGCCTATTTTTGAGGCCTATTTGTGAGACTGGAGGATCTAGATAGTGGCAGAATTGGATCACAAGTGCCCCTAGGGGTTCACGAATCACAAGTGCCCCCAGATCTGGCATGTTCATCAAGGTACATCCTTGGGCAGCTACGTACCAGGAGGTCGAGAATCACATGAAAATTGGACAAGTGCTGGGATACGCGGGGCGTGCTGCCGCCAAATCGGATGGCTTGTGTGCGGTAAACTAGTTACATGCAGGTCGGACCGGAGCTGAATTTTCCCCATGGGGAGGGAGGGTAGTGATACAGCACGACGGAGACCCCGACACCGCAGGTGCGGCGCAACCACGCAGGGTGCGGCGTAACCACGCAGTGCGCCTTAGCGACGGCAGGTGAGCAATAGTGTTAATCCGGGAGGACATATCCGATAAAAGCATCCAATCCCCAAACGATGCTCGCCGATTGGGACAGCGTAGAAAGGCGTCCCGTCGCTTTTGCCAGACGGCAGAGCAGGCAGGGTCTCCGGCAGAGCAGGCAGGTCTCCGAACCCGGCTCCCATCGGACACCTGAGGCGCAGCGGCAGCCGTGTTTCCGTTTGTTAGCTACACGTGCTGGTCGACCCTATGGTACCTTGCCGAGCAGATTCTGGGCTGCATGGCCGCTGCCAAGCCGCGAAACATGCCGGTCACCCCACGCTTCAGCGCTGCACCATACTAGCTTAGATTCCGTAAGACTTTGAAGTCCAACAAACATGGAGCGGGCACTCGAAGGCCATGCGAGACAGGCGGTGCACTTGCCATGCGAGACAGGCGGTGCACTTGTGGCCACCATGGGCACGGCGGTGATCTGCTCCGCTGTCGACATGCTCAAGTCCATTCGATTGGGGATTGGGGTGTTGGGACGGGTCAAATGTTAGGGTCAGCGGGCCGCACCGACGATCACAGGAGGCGCGATGATGGCATCATCGCGATTGCCATTGCAGCCGGACAGAAGTCCGTTGCCCCGGTGAAGAAATGCATTCTGACACCCCCCCCTCCCAATGATTCTGACACCCCCCCTCCCAATGATTCTGACACCCCCCCTCCCAATGATTCTGACACCCCCCCCTCCCAATGATTCTGACACCCCCCCTCCCAATGACCAAACCCCGCATCCCCCCCCTCCCCTCCTCCCAACCCACCCCCCCAACCCCAGACCAAACCCCGCATCTGCTCCATCTCCCACCCCAAGGTCCTTCCAGAGAGGGTGAAAAAACTTAAAGCATGCCATGGACGCCGATCCACTCCATGGCAAGCCTCGCTCAGCTCATCATTCCACTGGAACTTGCACTTGGCAGCGGCGTCAAAACAAGCCCTGCTGTCGACAGGGCAGACGAAATAATGTTGGTGGGTGCTTGGGCGCTTGTCTCCTGCTCGGTGCTTGGGCACTTGTCTCCTGCTCGCTCGCCTTTCCCCCCCGGGATGAAGACTTGGCTGGGTGGTGGCCAGTGCGCTTGTCGACTCTTCTGGATTCCAGCATGAACTGCTACAGGCCAATGGCAGGCACAGGGTTCGATGACACAATATCCCCCCCTTGCGCCCCCCACACGGCCAACGGTGATCACGCAATAAAGTAGGGTCAAGACGGGGTTGACCTTGTTCAGAAACCGTCCCCGACGCCCCAAACTCGTGGTTATATTGAAGAGCCGACCAGTCAGTACCCGGCATGCGACACTGGCCAGGCCGGGATGACCGCCTGATCGGATCACAGTCCTCGACGTGTTGACCCATTCCGACCGCAGCCATGCTCGCAGCCCCCATGCCCGTGCCCACAACCTCCATGTCGACGCTCAACTTCCGCTACTCGCGACGCTCCGCCTGTGACCGCTGTCGCGCCTACAAGCTCCGCTGTCAGCGCGACGAGCGGCTCGGAAAGCCGTGTGAACGATGTGCCAAGTCTCGTCTGGCGTGCACCACCACCTTTGATCCCGCGTCAACGTCAACGTCGTCGTCGTCGGCAGCATCATCATCGGCTTCCCAGGCGCCGCGGCTCAACGCCGCGGCCCAGGTCCAGGCCCAGCACCAGCAGCAGCACCAGGCCCAGCAGCAGCAGCAGCAGCAGCAAAACAACAATGGCATCCAGGCCGGAGCAAAGGAGCACCAGACCTTTCTACCGTCACCTGAGCGGCTGCACTCGCCGCCAGACCAACGCGATCGGCAGCACAGCGCCTTTGCAGCACAGCGAGCAAATTCAGGGCACCTGTCGTACTCGCCTCCCAGCCAGCGGGAACCCGACGATGGCCATTTCCAGCGCCCGGGGGAAGCGCCGCGGAAAACCAGAAGCGTGGAGAGAAACGACAGCACAGGCGGCGAAAACATGCTGTTGGATCCAAATCCGTTGGTATGAACCCTCGCTCCGGTCCCCATCCTGCTTGTCTGAGAAGCCCATCCTGCTTGGTCTGAGAAGCACCAGCAGCCCTGGCTAACGCAGCGCTCCACGCACAGGGACTTGATCCGATGGATTTCAGCCTCCCCGACATGGCCTTCGACGCCAATGAGCTCAGCCTGCTGATGGTGGACCATTCTCCCACCCGCGCCGAGGCCGGATCTACATGTAGGCGGCCCGGTGGGGACGACGGCTCGGGCGTGTTTGGCCACGAAGACGACGCGACGCTCTGCGGACCGGGGCCCGGCACGAGCCTGGCGTGGGGTTCGCATGGCGCACACCCAGAGCCCTGCCTGGACGCTGGGAGAGACGCGAGGGACTTTGAACCGGACATGATGGGCGGGCCTGTCGACACGCAGCGGTTGACTAGCAGCTACAAGGACCTGTTGAGACTCAGCCTGGAACTGGTCGAAGAGCGGGAAATACTCGACACGCAGGCGCCGCTGACAGCGAGGCCGAGCATCGCCCCCCTGACGTGCTCGTCAACGCAGCAGCAGCAACCCGTCAACCGTGTTCTCAGCCAGACGGCCCGGTTCTGGGACATTGTCAAGGCCATGTCATCGACCTCTCCAGAAACCGACGCAAATGGTAGCAGCGGCGGCGGCGGAGGTGGTGGTGGGAGCGGTCGGAGTGGTGGTGGGAGTGGTCGGAGTGGTGGTGGGAGTGGTGGTGGGAGCGGTCGGAGTGGTGGTGGGAGCGGTCGGAGTGGTGGTGGGAGCGGTGGTGGGAGCGGCGAGAGTGGCAGTCAGACTCGCAGCAACAGCACCAGCAGCAGCGTCAGCCTGATCAACCTCAACAGCCTTCGCCACGGCTGGGAAAACGCCAGGCTGAACGGCAACGGGGACCTGGACTCGAGCTTCTCGGCGTCATCGTCGTCATCGCTGCCCCCCCCTGCGCCCGGGCGCCAAGATCACCTGCTCATGATCAACCTGGTCATGACCTACGTCAACCTGCTGCGCAACTGCCGCGCTGTCTTCACCCGCCTGTACCACGCCCTTCAGGTCACGCCGTCGCCCGAGTCTGACGCGATGCTGAGCCTCCCGAGCCTGCAGTTTGGCGACTTCCAGCTCGAGAACAACGTCTCCATCCAGGTCAAGGTCCTCATCGAGCTCACGTCGGGCATGCTCCAGCGCATCGGCAACGCGCTCGGCATCAACACGGGAACGGGCTCGGGCATTTCGTCGTCGCCGGGTGACCACAACTACCGGCTGCCCTTTCTCAACGACCCGGTTGCCGTGTCGACCCGCGAGATCATACTATCGCAGGAGAGCATGCAAGGCGGCGTCCATGGCGGCGAGCCCCCTCTGACGGACATTATGAGCAATCTCAACCGGCTGTTGGAGCGCAGATGATTACCTGCCTGCCTAGGCAGCATTCTTCCCTTTCTCAGACACTGGCTGTTCAGTCCTCGATCAGTTGGAAAACCCAACGCACATTTTCATGACTCGAGCGCGCGCTACTGCAGGATACCTATTAGCATGAAAATGAAAACAAAGAAAAAAAGTCCCAAAAAGAAGACCATTCCAGAACCCGCATGCCACTAAAACAAACTTGCATTAAAACAAACATGCCACTAAAACAAACATGCACTAAAATAAGCATGCCACTAAAACAAACATGCCACTAAAACAACCCGGACGTCACAGATACTCCTGACGTCACAGATACTCCCGACGTCACAGATACTCCCGACGTCACAGATTCTCCCGACGTCACAGAGACTCCCGGACGATGCCAAAATGTCGGTCCAGAAACCGAAACACACGCTGGTTTGACAGCGCCAGAGCGCCCACCTTGGCCTGAAGCCCGCCCTCCCCCGGCGTCGTGCCCACCCACAGCTGCTTCTCGTCCCCCTCCTTCAAATTCCTCAACCCGTCATAGACGGCCGACGTGTGAGTCGACACGTCTAGATAAAGCGACGCCTTCGCGCCCGTGACGAGCACTGGGCACCGAATCCGATCCAGCAGGCTGCCCCCCCCCGGGAGCCGCAGCGTGTAGCTCTTCATTGCGCGCAGGATCTGCGAAGGGCGGCGCAGCCCGAAAAAGGTCCCCGTCGTGGCGATGTTCCACTTCATCTGGAATGCGAGCCGGGTGCCCAGGTTGATGACGGCGTCGACGGCCCCGTCCCCGATCCAGCCGCGTTCCCACGCCGCCAGGAACGCCTTGGGGACCTGCGTCGTGGCAAAGTCCCAGAAGTCGTGGACCGGGTCGACGGCCACGCACGCCTTGAAGCGGGAGTCGCCGGCGGCAGCGCGCAGGGCAAAGTACCCGCCCAGGGACGTCCCCCAGACGGCGAAGCGGCCCGTGTCCATGTCCAGCTCGGGCTTTGTGGCTGACAGGGTCTCGAGGTGGTCGAGCACGGCGCTGGCGACGACTTCCCAGTCGGGCCGGAAAACGACCCCGTCGCGGTGCAGCGTTAGCCCCTGGCCGGGTCCTTCGTAGGTGACGGCCGCGTATCCCAATTCCAGCGCGGCGGCGGGCGCCATGAAGTAGATTTCTTCTGACAGGCCGTCGGCCCCGCTGTTGGCGATGAGGATGGGGGCTTTTTGTTGGCCCGGAATCCGGCGCCAGGGTGGGGGGAGGTAGAGGTAACCCGGCAGCACGCGCCCCTCAAAGGGGATCTCGAGACGGTGTACTGTGCCGGGTGGGAAGAAGCGTGTGGCGTCGCGGAAGAGGGCGACGGATTTCTCGCAGAGTGGGAGGTACCGCGGGTCCGGGCTCAGGGGGCCGGCGCCGGGGAGCATGTAGTAACTGGCGCGAGAGTAGTTGTGGGCGCGCAGCAGGGCGCGTTTTGCGGCTTCCCTGTCGCCGCTTGCGCGGGCCTCGTTGGCGATGGCTTCAGCCTTGCGGGCCTGCTCGGCCCACGCGCGGTGCCAGCTCTCGGGGTCGTTGTCCTTGATGCGGCCAATTGCGTCCAGGCATTCGGCCAGCTCGGCACCACCGGCTGCGGCCATGCCGAGGATGCGGACGGTTTCGAAACCGAAGAAAATACCAGGGAAGAAGTGATGCATCTTGGCGGATGCGTGTTGTCTGTGTCTGTGTCTGTGGCTCTCAGCGTGAAGTGGTGCTAAAACTACTGAGGTAAACGCTGCCGAGTTGGGTTCACGATAGAGTTCAAATGGAAAGGATACCAATACAGAGTTACACAAATTCAGCAGCCATGGCGCGTGGCGGTCTCCGGAGTCGATGGTAGACACACCGGAGCACACCGGAGCACACCGGAGCACACTGGGACACACCGGGGCACACTGAAGCACACCGGGGCACACTGGAGAACACCGGGGCACACTGGAGCCTACTGGAGCACACTGGAGCACACTGGAGCACACTGGGGCACACTGGAGCACACCGGAGCACACCGGAGCACACCAGAGCAACACCCGAGCAACACGAGCCCCCACTCGCAGTTCGGCGGTAGGCTCTTTTGTGTAATTATTTGAGGCCGATAATGGTCTCCGACATGGACCGACCCTATTCCGAGTCGACTCCTAGCCGGTCCCTCACCCATGTCATGCCGGTGCCCGATCCCGATGGCGTGCTCGACGCCGGTTCACTCCTGGTTGGCCCTCACCACAACGCCCCGAGCCGTCTTTGACCGGACTCACGTACCGCCAGTGGTGCAGTAGCTGGTCGAAGCTCGAGACAGGGGAGCGGCTTTTCGTCATTGGCGCCAAGGGAAAACTAAGCGTAGTCGAGTAGCAGCCTTTCCAAAGTAGCGCATGCGGATAGGGGTTTGTTATGATGTCGCCCTGAATGGCGTCAGCGAGTCTGGAGGTGTTAAGATAGTCAGCTTCCTAGGACCGATCATGGCATGTAGAATGATACCAGTGACAATTTGAACATCTCAACGAGTGGGTCACCTCAATCCTCACGAGTGGTCACCTCAATCCTCACGAGTGGTCACCTCAATCCTCACGAGTGGGCACCTCAATCCTCACGAGTGGGCACCTCAATCCTCACGAGTGGGCACCTCAATCCTCACGAGTGGGCACCTCAATCCTCACGAGTGGTCACCTCAATCCTCACGAGTGGTCACCTCAATCCTCACGAGTGGGCCACCTCAATCCTCACGAGTGGGCTACCTCAATCCTCACGAGTGGGCACCTCAATCCTCACGAGTGGGCACCTCAATCCTCACGAGTGGGCCACCTCAATCCTCACTCAACGTCCAGGAACACCAGTTCACACCGTCCCCAACATACCGGGAGGCTCCGCAGAAATGGCACCGGCTCCCACGATACCCAGCCATCCCTATCCTCGGGAACCCATAGCCATTGTCGGCAGCGCCTGTCGGTTCCCCGGAGACTCTTCGTCGCCCTCCAAACTCTGGGAACTCCTGCGCCAGCCTCGCGACGTGCTCCGGGAGATCCCCGACGACCGCTTCAACACGGCGGCCTTTTACCACCCCGATGCTCTGCACCATGGCACGACCAACGTCAAGCACGCATATCTGCTGGACGGCGACCTAGGCCACTTCGACGCCCAGTTCTTCGGCATCAAGCCCGTCGAAGCCAACTCGGTGGACCCGCAGCAACGTATTCTGCTCGAGACGGTCTACGAGGGGCTGGAGAGAGCTGGCATCCCGCTCGAAAAGCTGCAGCGCTCCCAGACGGCCGTGTACGTGGGCGTCATGAGCGCCGACTACACGGAGCTGCTGGCGCGCGACATTGACGCCTTCCCGACCTACTTTGCGTCGGGAACGGCCAGGAGCATCCTTGCCAACCGCATCTCGTACTTCTTCGACTGGCACGGCCCGTCCATGACCGTTGACACGGCGTGCTCCTCCAGCCTGTTCGCTCTGCACCTGGCCGTGCAGAGCCTCCGCGCGGGCGAATCGCCCACCGCCGTCGTGGCCGGTGCCAACTTGGTGCTGGCACCGGACCAATTCGTCGCCGAGAGCAAGTTGAACATGCTGTCCCCCGACGGCCGGTCTCGCATGTGGGACAAGGAGGCCAATGGATACGCGCGGGGAGACGGCGTGGCCGCTCTGGTGCTCAAGACGCTCAGCTCTGCCCTCGCCGACGGAGACTCGATCGAGTGCATTATCCGGGAGACGGGCATCAACCAGGACGGCCGCACCAAGGGCATCACCATGCCCAGCCCCACTGCCCAGGCCAACTTGATCTGGTCCACTTACAAGAACGCGGGGCTGGACCTGTCCAAGCCCGAGGACAGACCGCAGTACTTTGAGGCCCATGGAACGGGTGGGTGAGCCTTTTTTTCCCCCTCATGCTGCTCCGGGGAGCCCTTTTCCCCTCGTGCTAATCTGGGGAGACCTCAACGGCTAACGCGGTGGCTTTGTGACTTTTTTCCTGCCAGGCACGCCTGCCGGTGACCCGGTCGAGGCTGAGGCCATACGCACGGCTTTTTTCGGCCCAGTCTCGGGCTTCCAGCGGTCGCAATCCGACCCCCCTCTCTATGTTGGCTCCATCAAGACCGTCATCGGCCACACCGAGGGGACCGCCGGTGTCGCTGGAGTCATCAAAGGCTCCCTCGCGCTCCAGCACGGCATTGTGCCGCCCAACCTGCTGCTCCACGAACTCAACCCCGCGGTCAAGCCCTTCTACGACGGGCTCAAAATCGTCAAGCAGGCCGAGGAGTGGCCGGCCCTCCCCGAAGGGGTCCCCCGTCGTGCGAGCATCAACAGCTTCGGATTCGGCGGTGCCAACGCCCATGCCATCCTCGAGAGCTACAACGCGCCCACCCCTGCTTCCCAAGCGACCCAAGCGAGCCAGGCGGCTGGGACGACTTCTCATCTGACCCCCCATCTGACCCCTCATCTGACCCCCTTCAACTTCTCTGCGTCGTCGGAGAAGGCCCTGACGAGGCTTCTCGGGGCCTACGCATCACACCTCCGAGCCAACCCCGCCACCGATCTGGGCGATTTGGCCTTCACTCTGAACACGCGCCGCTCCACGCTGCCTGTCCGCGTCACGGTGCCGGCGCTGACCGCCGACAGCTTGGCCTCGAAACTCGACGACTTGGCTAAGGCGCCGTCGGGAATTGTCACGGCGAACAGTGGCGCATCTTCCTACCGCTCGGACTCGCGATATCCTGCTCTGCTCGGCATCTTTACCGGCCAAGGCGCCCAGTGGGCTTCCATGGGAGCAAAGCTGCTGGCCGGCTCCGCTATTGCCGCCACCTCGATCCGCCGCCTCCAGCAAGCCCTCGACAGCCTCCCTGCCGAGCACAGACCCGAGTGGACGCTGTGGGAGGAGCTGTCCAAGGGCGAGGCGTCTTCCCGGGTTGGCGAAGCAGCCTTCTCGCAGCCGCTCTGCACGGCAGTCCAGATCATCTTGGTGGACCTTCTCGAGGCAGCCAGCGTCCGGTTCAAAGCCGTGGTCGGCCACTCGTCGGGCGAGATAGGCGCTGCCTATGCTGCCGGGTACCTTTCGGGCGAGGATGCCATCCGCGTCGCCTACTACCGTGGCTACTTCCTCCACCTGGCAAAGGGCCCCCTGGGTTCTGGTGCCGGTGCCATGATGGCTGTCGGCACGAGCTACGAGGATGCGCAGGCTTTGGTCGAGCTGGACGAGCTCGCCGGCCGCATCACCATCGCCGCCTCCAACTCGCCAGAGAGCCTCACGCTGTCAGGCGACCTAGAGGCCATTGAAACAGCAAAAGCGATCCTCGAGGACGAAAACAAGTTCGCCCGGCTCCTCAAAGTCGACAAGGCCTATCACTCGCACCACATGTTCCCCGCTGCCGGTCCGTACACGGAGGCCCTAGCCAGCATTGGCATCAAGGCCCGGCCCCGGCTCGACGGCCGCGAGCGTCCCGCCTGGATCTCCAGCGTTTATGCCGAGGATGCCCAGTCACTGTCGCTGGGACACGAGGCGCTGGGACACGAGGCACTGGGACACGGGGCACTGGGACACGAGGCACTGGGACCCGAGGCACTAGGACCCGAATACTGGGCGCAAAACATGGTTGGCCAGGTCAAATTCTCGCAGGCCGTCGAGCAAGCCGCCAGTGCCTTGGGGCCCTTTGACCTCGGCCTCGAAGTCGGACCCCACCCGGCGCTCAAGAGTCCCGCCCTGCAGACCATCCAGGCGGTGTCAGGCCAACCCATCGCCTACGCCGGCCTGCTGCGCCGTGGAGCCAACGATCTGGAGGCCTTTGCCGAAGGATTGGGCTCCATCTGGCAATCTCTTGGGGCAGGAGTCGTCGACTTTGCAGGCCTTGAGAAAGCAGGCCTTGAGAAAGCAGGCCTTGAGGAAGCAGGCCTTGAGAAAGCAGGCCTTGAGGAAGCAGGCCTTGAGGAAGCAGGTCTTGAGAAAGCAGGCCTTGAGAAAGCAGGCCTTGAGAAAGCAGACCCTGAGAAAGCAGGCCTTGAGAAAGCAGGCCTTGAGAAAGCCTCGTCGTCTGGCCGACGGCCGCCGAAGCTGCTCAAGAACCTCCCCTCGTACGCTTGGGAGCATGACCGCATCTACTGGCACGAATCTCGCTGGTCCAGGGCCTTCCGCACCGGCGGGCAGCCCCCTCACCAGCTGCTCGGCACCCGGGCCCCAGACGGCACGGAAGGCGAAGTCCGCTGGAGGAACCGTCTGCACCCCCGCGAGGTCCCCTGGCTGGTGCACCATCAGGTTGACCGCCAGATTGTCTTCCCGGCGGCGGGCTACCTGTCGGCCGTCGTCGAAGCCGTCGCTCAGCTCCATGGCGTCGAATCCATCCAGCTGCTCGAATTCCAGCATGTCGTCATCGGCCAGGCGCTGGTGCTCGAGGAGAACTCGGATGTCGAGACGCAGCTCAGCCTGCGCACGACCGAGACCCTCGGAGAAGACGGCAGCATTGGCGCCGTCTTTGCCTTCTACTCGGCCTCCAACAAGGACTCGGTCAGCATGGTCAAGAACGCATCCGGTCGTGTTCGCGTCACCCTGGGGACGCCGTCCCGCGAGGTCCTACCCAGCCCCCACAAGCCCGAGCGCGAGTTTCTGGACGTCGACCCGGACCGCTTCTACAAGACGGTCGGCGAGCTGGGATTTGGCTACGCGGGGCCGTTCCGCAAGCTCCGGGCCACACGGCGGAGGCTAGACGAGTCGGCCGGCTTGATCCAGACCCCGGACGCTCACGAGGACGCGGGAGAGGGAGGCTCTCGGCTGATCCTCCACCCCGGCACCCTCGACTGCGCCATCCAGTCCATCATCCTAGCCTACAGCTATCCCGGAGACGGCAAGATGCGGTCCATTTATCTGCCCACGGCTATTGACAAGCTCCGCATCAACGTGTGGGCCAGCGCCGAGCTCAAGGGGCCGCCTGGATCCGAGCTGCCGTTCTACGCATCTATCGCCGGGTCCCAGGCCCAGGGCGACCTCGCCGGAGACGTCGAGATGCACTCGGCCGACGGCGCGACGACCCTCGTCCAGCTCCAGGGCCTGCACACGACCCCGTTGACTGTGCCGGCCCCCTCCAACGACGCCAAGCTCTTCTTCGAGACGACGTGGGACGCCGAGGCCCCCGTGGGCAACCAGTCCCTCTGGGACTCGGATGGCGTCGACCAGTCCGACAGCTTTGCCCTGTCGTTTTCCCTCGAGCGTGTGGCGTACTACTACGTCCGCACGCTGGGCGAGGCGATGCCTGCCCCCGAGCGGGCCCATCTCGACTGGCACCACAAGATCTTCTACCAGTACATCGACACCGTCGTCGAATGGGTAGCTTCCGGGACGCATCCCTATGCGAAGCCCGAGTGGGCCGACGACTCGCAAGACGAAATCCTCTCCGTCATGGACAAGTACCCAGACAGCATCGACCTGCGCATCATGCGCGCCGTGGGCGACAACATGGCGGCGGCGGCCCGCAACGAGATGAACATCCTCGAGGCAATGATGAAGGACAACATGCTCAACGACTTTTACGCCTACGCCCTGGGCATGGAGGAGTACCTTCTCGACATGGCCCGCATGATCGGCCAGCTGAGCCACCGCTTTCCGCACCTGAGCGTGCTGGAGATTGGCGCCGGCACCGGTGGCGCTACCGCCATAATCCTCGAGACGCTCCAGGGCTCCTTCTCGTCGTACACGTACACGGACATCTCGAGCGGCTTTTTCGACAAGGCCCAGGACAAATTCGCCAAGCACCGGTCCCGCATGGCGTTCAAGGTCCTGGACATTGAGCGGGACGTCAAGGAGCAAGGGTACGAGCCGCACTCGTACGACCTGGTCGTGGCCTCGCTCGTTTTGCACGCCACCCGCAGCCTCGAGGAGACCATGAAGAACGCCCGCAAGCTGTTGAAGCCGGGCGGGCGTCTGCTGATGCTCGAGCTGACGGACAACGACCCCATCCGCTTCAGCTTCATCTTTGGCGGGCTGCCGGGCTGGTGGCTCGGCTACGAAGACGGCCGGACGATTTCTCCGTGCGTCGGGATAGGCGAGTGGGAGGCTGTGATGAAGAAGACGGGCTTCTCTAGCATCGAGGCCATCACTCCGCACAACACCACCTTCCCGCTGCCGCTCAGTGTCATCATCACCCAGGCCGTCGATGATCGTGTCGAGTTCCTCCGAGAGCCGCTTTCGCCGGCGGCTGAAGCGCTCGGGGCGCAGCATCTCACCATCGTCGGCGGCGATCCCGGCGGCAATACCGGACTCGTCTCCGACATCTTTTCAGCCGCCGGCCGCCACTACCAGCAGCCCTTCAAGCACGTTTCTCTGCTGGCCGACGTGGCACAGCACGAGCTTCCCTTCCTCGGCAGCGTGGTGAGCCTCGTCGACCTCGGCGCCGAGCCGGCCTTTGAGTCGGTGTCGGCCGAGAAACTGTCGGGGCTTCAGGCCATATTCCGACAGAGCAAGAACATCCTCTGGGTGACAGTCGGCGGGCTAGCAGACAGCCCCTACCGGAACATGTACCGCGGCCTCCAGCGCAGCGTCGTCAAGGAGCTGAAGCACATCCGCGTTCAGCTCCTCGACTTTGCGTCGGAAGCCGATATTTGTGCCGACGAGATCGCTAGCCGCCTCCTGCAGCTCGAAGCGGCTAGCCGCTGGGAGCAGGATGGCCGGTTGAGCAACCTGCTCTGGTACCAGGAGCCCGAGATCGTCGTCCGCGGCGGCAAGGCCCTGGTTCCGCGCGTGAGGCCAAGCACGCAGCGGAACCAGCGGTACAACTCGGGCCGACGCCGCATCACCGAGGACATCCGCCTTGACACGTCGGCGGTGGTGTCCATCCGGAGCGCTGGGAACGGGGGCTTCACGGTCGAGAAGAGCGGCGACGTAGCACCCACGGCAGCCACGCTCGGTCACGATCGCGTGGACGTCCGCCTGTCGCATTCGCTCATCAGCCCGATCAAGCTGCCAGATGGAAGCTCCCTGTATTTGTCTGCCGGCAGGAATGTCGCGAGAGACGGCCACCGCGTCATTGCGCTATCCGAGACGCTCGACTCTGTCGTCCGCATCCCCCGAGGCTGGGCCGTCTCCATCTCTGGGGAAGCCGCCGCCGAATGCGACGGGCAAGGAGAACTCGAGGCCAGACGGGCCCTTGTCGGCTTGTATACCCATCTTGTCGCCGATGGGATTCTCGGGGGCGCACGCCCCCGCGACGTGGTTGCGGTGCTCGACCCCGGCTTCTCGCTGGGAAATGCCCTGGTTCCGCTCGCGGCTGAGAAGGGCGTCCAGCTGGTCTTGTTCACGAGCACCACCACCACCGCTGCTCCGGGGGGCACCGCCGCTGCTCCGGGGGTCAGGCTCTCCCCGCCGTGGGTCCCCGTTCACCCGCGAGCCTCGAAGCAGGGGCTGCAGAGGCTGGTTCCTGCGAAGCCAACACGCTTCGTCATCATGGGCGGCTCTGACGATCTCGCGGCTGCGTTTGTGTCCGCGTTGCCGTCCGGATCGACGGTTGTTCGGGAGGAGCACCGCCGGTTGGGATATGGACTCCAATCAGGACATGGACTCCAATCAGGACATGGACTCCAATCAGGATATGGACTCCAATCAGGATCGACACGCCTTGCAGGATCGACACGCCTTGCAGGAGACGTTCACTCTGCTGTCTCGACAGCTTCGCGCCATCTTCAAGCGGCGTGGGCGCGGTTCGCCGGCGAGTCGGTGCCTGCCGCAGACACACAAGCGTCGCTGCCCTCGGCGACGCTCGAGGAGGTTGCGTCGGGTTCTGCCCTTCGATCCGGCTCCGCGCAGGCCATCGTCGCGTGGTCTGCCTCGCCTCGCGTCCCCGTCCCAGTCTCTCCGGCGAGCAAAACGGTGTGGTTTGCTCCAAATAGGACGTACTGGATGGCTGGCCTGACGGGCAGCTTGGGCCTGTCGCTCGTGGAGTGGATGGTTGGGCAGGGGGCTCGGTATATCGCCCTGTCGAGCAGGAACCCCAAGGTGGATGAGGCATGGCTGCGGGCCATTGCGGCGCGAGGGGCCACGGTTGCCGTCTATTCCAAGTAAGTTGACCTCTCAGGATTTAGAAAACCACCTAACGTGTTTGGCGCAGCGACGTTACGAGTCGGGACGACGTGCGTGATCTGCACCGCCGGATTCGCGAGACTCTCCCTCCCATTGCCGGAGTCGCCCAGGGCGCCATGGTGCTGCACGACTCGCTCTTCTCCGACGCCAACCTGGAGCGGCTGCAGAAGGTGCTGCGGCCCAAGGTGCAAGGCAGCATCCACCTGGATGAGATCTTTTCCGAGGACAATACGGACGAGAAGCTCGACTTCTTCGTCTTCTTCTCGTCGGTCGCGTACGTGACGGGCAATGCCGGCCAGAGCGTTTATGCGGCCGCCAATGCCTTCATGGCCAGCCTCGCCAACCAGCGCCGTGCTCGGGGTCTCGCTGCATCTGTCATCAACATCGGAGCCATCCTGGGCGCCGGGTACGTGTCGAGAGAGCTGACCGAGGAGCAACAAGAGTATCTGCGCAAGGTTGGGCACATGTGGATGTCGGAGCAAGATGCGCACGAGATCTTTGCCGAGGGTGTCCGGGCCAGCAACCCCAAGTCCGCCGAGAGTCTCGAGTTTGAGACGGGCTTCCGGTCCGACAGGGACCGCGCACGAGATCTCAAGGACGAACCCCCCATGTTCCAGCATTTGGGCGCCGGACTAGGCGATGACGTCTCGGCGGCGGGCGATCCCAAGACCAGACGACAAAGCGTCAAGACCAAGGCCCGCTTGCTGAAGGCCACAAGCCACGAGCAGGTGTTTGATGTCCTGAAAGGTACGTCCTGTTCCCAGCTCAATCTCCCTCTAGCACCATCTTTTGTTGACAAGGTATTCCCAATCCTAGAGGGCTTTCTCTTGAAGCTGCAGGTGGCTCTGCAGTCCGACCCCGCCAGGTCAACGCTGGATGCGAGCCTCGACGAGCTCGGCGCCGACTCTCTCGTGGCCGTCGACATCCGCTCGTGGTTCCTCAACGAGCTTGGAGTCGACTTGCCCGTCTTGAAGATCCTCAACTCCCCGTCAGTGCGCGACCTCCTCGTCTCGGCCCAGGAACTCCTCCCAGCAACTGCTATTCCGAGCGCCCCTAGCGGCGCTGCCTCTGACGCCGCCAGCGCTGCCGCTGCCGCTGCCGCTGCCGATGCCGCCAAGCCAGTGCGAGAGTCCGATGCCGCCAAGCCAGTGCGAGAGCCACAATCCGTGGGGCCAATCTCCGACCCACCCGTATCGGAGTCTGCATCTCGGAGATCTTCCAGTCCGCTTTCTCCATCCGGCTCCGAGAGCGCGGCAACATCTCAGAACGCGTATCCTCCCTCAACAGTACCGTCCGAGATTGGCGACACCATTGACTCGACGGAGCCGGCTGATGGCAAGCTCCAAGGAAAACAGCCAACGCTGCCTGCCGCATCCCTAGACCTCACAAACGCCGTGCCAACGCTGCCTGCCGCATCCCCGGACCTCACAAACGCCGTGGCATCGAGGCTTCCCCCTGCCGCCCAGCGAACTGCGCCCCTATCCTTTGCCCAGTCTAGGTTCTGGTTTCTCAGGCGCTTTGTGGGAGACCAGACGGCCTTCAACATCACAACCGTGATAAAACTGCGCGGCAAGGTCGCGGCCGAGTCGCTGGCGAACGCCGTCGCCGCCGTTGGCCAGCGGCACGAAGCCCTCAGGACGTGCTTCACCGTCGATGAAGCCACCAAGACGCCGCTGCAGCTTGTTCTTCCCACCTCGGCGCTGCGCCTCGAGCAGGCCGCCATTTCGGACGAGACGGAACTGGACGAGGCTGTCCGGCGGCTCAAGAGCCACGTCTACGACATCGAGCACGCCGAGGCCCTCCGCATCCAGCTTCTCACGCTGTCTCCGGAGCAGCACTACCTCCTCCTAGGCTACCACCACATCTACCTTGACGGCATCGGCTATGTTGTCCTCATCTCCGACCTGGAGAGTGCGTATGGTGGCGACTTGGCCGCCACACCTGCCGCTGCCGAGGTGCTTCAATACCCAGACTTTGCCCAGAAGCAGATCCGGGAGTACGAGAGCGGTGCGTGGTCCGGCGAGCTGTCCTTTTGGCGCCAGCAGTTTGCCGAGCTTCCCAAGCCGCTTCCGCTGCTGCCTCTGGCCGGCCTGCAAGCTCGGCTTAGCGCCTCGCGGTTTGGCTCCCACACTTCGGGCTTCCGAGTTGATCGTGGTCTCGCCGATAAGATTAGCCAGGTCGCGCGCCGGTTCAAGGTGACGCCGTTCCATCTCCACCTGGCCGTCTTCCAGGTCCTGCTGTACCGCTACGTGGGTGACGAGCAGGGCAAAGACGTGGTCGTCGGCGTGGCCGACGGCAATCGCAAGGAAGCCAACGTCTTGCGCAGCCTGGGCATCTTTCTGAACCTGCTGCCGCTGCGCCTCCGTCTCCCGCGCGGCCCCAAGCAGACGTTCTCCGACACGCTGCGGGATGTGCAGACGGTAGCCCAGGCCGCCTTTAGCAACTCGCGCGTGCCCTTTGACGTCTTGCTCAACGAGCTCAACGTGCCGCGGGCGCCATCCCACAGCCCGCTCTTCCAGGCCTTCCTGAACTACCGACAAAACGTGCAGGAGGCGCGCAGCTTCCTGGGATGCGAGGGCGAGCTCGACATTGTCGCTGCCGGCCAGACCGACTACGACATCAGCCTTGATGTTCTCGATCTCGGCGCCAGCGGCGGAGAGAGTCTCATTACCGTGGCCGTCCAGAAAGATCTCTACGCCCCGGAGGCGGCCGAGAGGTTGGCCGCTAGCTATCAGGTTCTCCTGCGCCAGTTCGTCGACAACCCCGCCGCCAGGGTCACCGGGCCCGCGCTCCATCTCCGAGAAGATGTTGACAGGGCTGTCGCTTTGGGCCGAGGTAAGAGACAAGACGCTGCGGTTTCGCAACTCGAGTGGCACAGCCAGTTCCTAACCCCATTTTGGCAGGCCTAGAGGAACCGATCCAGTACCCATCCATTGTGCACCGCATCGACGTGATATCAGAGAAATACGCCCACAGGATCGCGCTGAGAGACGCCTTGGGAAACACCCTGACGTATCAGAGCCTGTCCGAGCGGGTTGACGGCATTGCGGAGCATCTCACCGCCCAGGGCATCGGGAGCGGCTCCGCCGTTGGCGTGTTCCAGGCCGCCGGTGCTGACTGGATCGCGTCAGTGCTGGCTATCCTCAGAGCGGGGGCAGCCTACGTACCGTTGGATCCAAAGGTCGGCCTGGAGAGGCTTTCGCTGGTTAGCAAAGACAGCCGGATCGCCGCCGTCTTGGTAGATACCCAGACCGTGACCGCCGAGTTTACCCAGCGGCAGCGCGATTCCGGGGTCGCCGTCGCGAACGTGTCCGACATCCAACCAGCACCTCGGCCGCACAGATCCCCGAACCGCGCCCGGCCTGCAGATGTGGCCGTCGTCATGTACTCCAGCGGCTCGACCGGCGTTCCCAAGGGCGTCTCCCTGCTGCACTCCAACATCAGCAGCTACGCCGACACGGCTCACCTGGGCTGGGGCCTGCGCGAAGGCCAGGAAACCTTCCTCAACCAGGCCTCGTACACCTTCGACGTGTCCCTCCAGCAGACCATCGTCGCGCTCGGCCTCGGCAGCACCGTCGTGGTCATGAGCAGCGCCGCACGCGAAGATCCCGCCGCCTTGTCCAAGTTGGTGGCGTCCGAGAACATCACGGTAACGGGGGCAACGCCGACCGAATACCAGGCGTGGGCGCGTCATTGGAGCCCGGAGCTTCTCAAGAGCTCGTCGTGGCGGGTGGCCTTTACGTGGGGTGAGCCCGTGTCCAAGCAACAGATCCGCGCCTTCCGCCTCCTTGGCAAGCCCGACCTCGGGCTGATCGATGCCTATGGTCCGGCCGAGGCGACCATCACGTCAGCTCACGGGGACATCCCCTGGGCTCGGGCCCGTGCGGTCGACGGCGTGCCTGGCCATCCCAGATTCCCCCTAGTCGCCACGCCCAACACGTCCGTCTACATCGTCGACGGCAACCTCGACCCCGTCCCTGCCGGTGTGCTGGGCCAGGTGGTCCTCGGCGGCGCTTCGGTTGCCAAGGGCTACTTGAACGACGAAGCCCTGACAGCGAGCAGGTTCGTGGCCGACAGGTATGCGAGCTCGTACTTCCGAGCGCAGGGCTGGTCCAGAGCGCACCTGACAGGAGATCGCGGACGGCTGACGGCAGACGGCCGGCTGATCCTCCACGGCAGGATTGAGGGGAGCACTCAGGTGAAGCTGGCCGGGATCCGGATAGAACTCCAGGATGTTGAGGCCACCATTCTCAACGCCAATGCTGCCGTGCTTCAGGCCGTCGTGTCGGCCCGCCGGAGCCCTGGCTCAGGCACACCTTTTCTCGTCGCTTTTGTCGTCCTGTCTGACCGTCTCGGCGACGCCTCCGAGAGAGCCCGCCTGCTGGAGCAGCTGCCGAGCACGCTCCCGCTCCCCCCGTACATGAGACCGGCTATCGCTGTCGCCGTAGACCGCCTCCCTACCAACAGCTCCGGGAAGCTGGATCGCCGCGCCGTCGACGCGTGGCCGCTGCCGACTTCCAGCGACGGTGGAGGAGAAGGACAAGCCAAGGCGGCTCTCGCGGGTCTCTCCGAGCTCGAAGACGCCCTCGCTCGTCTCTGGCGTGACGCCCTCCCCCAAGGGCTGCCGCGGCCCCAGAGTTCTCTGGACAGCCAGTCGGATTTCTTCCACGTCGGGGGGAGCTCTCTGTCGCTGATCAACCTCCAAGACCTGATCAAGGAGCGCTTCCACATCTCCGTGTCGCTGCACAAACTCTTCCAGTCCAGCTCTCTGGGCGGCATGGCGGCCGCGATTCGAGAGCTCCGGACCGAATCCGGATCCGATGGCGGCGGCGCTGCCGACACCGCCGCCCCAGCCGTCATAGACTGGGAGCAAGAGGCTGCCCTCCCCTTGGACCTGCAACCCGAGCATGGCGATCGCGATAGCGAAGCAATCGTCCCCCCCGGCCGGCCGCCAGCCATCATCGCGCTCACCGGCGCTACGGGCTTCATCGGTCGCGGGATCCTCCAGCAGCTAATCAACAACGCCGCCATTTCCAAAGTCCACCTCCTCGCCGTGCGCAAGCAGCCATCCCAGCTGCCCCCGGACTCGCAATCCCTCTTCGCCCACCCAAAGGTGACCATCTACCCCGGAGACCTCGGAGCGCCGCGCCTCGGCCTCACCCCCTCCCAAATCTCCTCCATATTCTCCACCGTCGACGCCGTCATCCACGCCGGCGCCGACGTCTCCTTCCTCAAGACCTACCATACCCTCCGTCTCGTCAACGTCGCGTCGACGCGCGAACTCATCCGCCTCTCTACGAGGCGCCGGATACCATTCCACTTCGTCTCGTCCGCCACCGTCGCCCGCCTCGCCGTCGCCCGCGGCGCCGACAGCCTCGGTCGCGAATCCGTTCGTCGCTATCTCCCCACAGCGGCCGACGCTGAAGGCGACGGCTACGTCACGGCCAAGTGGGTCAGCGAGGTTCTTCTGGAGAATGCTGCGGCGCAGACTGGTCTGCCGGTGTGGATCCACCGGCCCACGAGCGTGACGGGGGATGGGGCGAGTGAGAGGGACTTGATGAGCAATGTGTCGCGGTATATTCGGAAGCTCGGAGCGGTCCCAGACACGCGCGGGTGGAAGGGGAATTTCGACTTTGTCGAGGTCGGGAAGGTGGTTGGGGATATTGTCGGGGCCGTTGTGCATGGTGATGATGTCGATGAGGAGAGGGCAGAAGGAGGAAACCCGCGTTTCCGGTTCCAGTCTGGGGATGTTCCAGTCTCTGGGGACGAGATCGCGCCAACTGGCGGTTCAGAGGGCGGCGAGGAGAAAGGGTTCCAAGTGCTACCGTTTGGCGAGTGGGTTGACAAGGCAGAGGAGGCCGGGCTGGATGGGCTGCTGGTGTTGTATCTGCGCCGCGCAGAGCAGGGGCAGCTGCTGATACCCAACCTGAGGAAGGATTGAATAATTGGTGGGAGCGGAGGTGTCATCATGTGGCGCTCGAATTGTGTGTTTTGTGTGTGGGTGTCATTCAGTGGGTGGCTTGGGTGTTGATGGGGGTGGTTGCATTAAAACCGCGTTGAGGGCTGGGCCGGCATTCGTCTTTCGCTTGTCATCTCTTACGGGTTTATTTCGCTTGTCATCTCTTACGGTTTATTTCTGTTGGAACAGCGGCATTCATGACCGTACTTTTGGTGCAGTGAGGTAGCGCAAGGCACGTGCCGATCCACCAAAACCAAGCTCCCCAGAAACCTTAGTTACTGTTGGAGCAGCGGCATTCATGACCGTACTTTGGGTGCAGGAGGGAAGTAGCGCCGGGCACGTGCCGGCTCACGTGGTACGTGGGCGCACGGGGGCCTGCGTGCCGATCCACAAAACAAGCCCACCCAGAAACCTTAGTTACTTCTGTAGACAATACTGAACAACCATTACCCCCCCTCCCCCCCCAGTAGTACTACTACGAACCATTCCGGAATACCACGAACCATTTCCTATGTGGTGGACAGGCCCTAGTCGGAATGAGTAATGAGCGCTTTTCTCGACTTCTAGCAAGTATTAGCACGAATATATCTCGGTTGAACGTGTTTGGCACCTCCAAAATGAGTTTTCGAGAGGCTGCAGGACAGATCAGAGTGATTTCCACACTTAATTCCAATCCAATAGAGTACCTAGATGTCTGAACGCCATCCGTCAATTGTCCCGCCATGCGTCAATTGTCCTGCCGTCCGTCAATTGTCCTGCCATCCGTCAGTTGTCTGTCTTGTTGGCGTGCCATGGCTGAAGTTTCTTGTATAGTCGGCGCCACGTGAACACGCCAGAAGAAGACGACATGGCGTCATGCTGCAAGCTGTCATTGCGAGCGGCGATCCCCCGTATTAGCAACTCGCGAAATGCAGAGGAACTATAAAATAAGCTACCTGACCAGTCAGGAAGGGGTCAGCTGAACGGTGCCTCCGGCGGCGCCTGCCGCGGGCTGTCCTCGCTTCGCTCGAGGAAGGGTGGCTGGGCCATTTTACTAAGAAACTAGTAAGGACAACCCCGCTTTGTGTCATAGCTCGTAGCCAAAGGTTGACCCAACTGTGTCAACTATGTCCACTGTGTCAATTTGTCACCTGTGGTAAAAGTAAAAACACAGGAGAGTCATTACAACGTAAACAGCATGGTGTTGAGGCAGAAAAAGTCGATTCTGCTAGTTAACACGGCGCTGGTAATCCGCCGCACGCAAGGCACTTGTAACGGGGAACTGACGGCGAGAGCAAGCCGCATTACCGCTCTGGAAGTCTCGCAAGGACTGGAAGATCGGCACCACATTTCTCGGAAGAGCCTCATCGTTAGGGAAGCAAGCCGGGCCGTCATACTTGTCCCTCTTAACAAGCAGAACAAAGGGAGCCTCGCGGCGATAGCCCCTCAACACCAAAACAAATTCTCGTAATAATTTAATGTTCCGATGTTCATGGTCTAATTGTTGGATTTCTAGGGGGCAAGCCCCTAGGACCCCTATTGTCTGCGGCGCTCTTGGCCTGCGGCGCTTGGAGCCTGCGACACTTTCCTTCATACAGCTTACATCTACTAATTGGGAAATTGCTCCTTCCTGACACAACCACGACAGCAAAGCGGCATTTCACGGCTTAATCTGTCCGAGGTTCATCCGATCGACCAGTCCCTCGAGTCCATCTCGACACGGCCGAAAACTGGCCAATCGCTGTCCGAGAAAATTTCGGCACCCTCACGGTAATATAGAATACAGCCTCTCTACGCCACCTCCGGCTCGCAAGCTCGCCTACGGTGGCTCCGTTCAGCTGAATCATAGTTGCCCGACTGTTTGCAGCCGAGATGTGCAGGTGTCTCCAAGTGCCACTGTGGCTGGGATCGCAGGGATCAGGCCGGAACCCGGCCTGATGCGCCCGAGCCCAGGCATAAGTGGATCTGGAATCCACCAGTCCAGGCCATCATTTATTTCCACATACATATTCCGCCGTGGCTCGAATAGCTAGACTTCCGGCAAGCAATCCAGTCATTCCCTTCCTGCCCACAGCCACCCTTTGCAAGGTTCCAGCCCTGTGGGTGGCAGGACTTCGGCCCTTGAGCCTGAAACCTCGGGCAATGTTTCGCTGTCCACCGCATCGACGCTGTATAGGTTGGAGTCATCGGCCAATGTTTTGACCGTGTGCTGGTGTAATCTCCATCTCACTATCAGGCTGCGTCTGAACTAGATACTCAGGCTAGGAGAGGCCGTCAGTGTGATAGACACGTGCTGTCACGGGGGTGGAGCGAGGTCGCGATGCGAATGGTGCTTAATCAAGGAACTACCCTTGGCCAGGCTCCTGTACAACGGAACAGTGACGAAGATGTGCCGGTCGGTGGATGTGCCGGTCGGTGGATGTGCCGGTCGGTGGATGTGCCGGTCGGTGGATGCGGTCGGTGTTCGGGAAATACCATAGGGTAGACTGAGCATGGACCTTGTCTCTTACATCAAGTACAGCCTCTCTCTAACTGAATGCCCGAGTTGAACTTGGCACAGCATCTGCAGGTATCTAACTAGGTCCACTACCTAGGCATCCACACCACCTGCAGGTATCTAACTAGGTATACTACCTAAGCATTCACACCACCTGCAGGTATCTAACTAGGTCTACTACCTGGCATTCACACCACCTGCAGCCCAGCTTTACGGGCACACCTATGTAATCCCATGTCCGCCGCTGATGTACAACACAGATTGGCCCGGTGCATGGGTATCGCTTTTAAATTAGATTAGATGTCATTATCTACCTAATCGACCAAGAAGCTGAGATAACATTTGTTTGTAAATGCTTGACCTCTGTGGCTTTTTGGGAATACCTGTTGGCAGGTTAAGAAAATCAATGTGAAAGGTCTCTGTCGTCTACCTGTAGTAGCATAAAGAAAGAAAGGGTAATTACACAGCCAATTCTGCAGTCTACTGGCCTTTTTATGCCCTTCCCTTCCTCGGTCGGGGCTTCCATCCGTACATGATGTTAGTATCGTGCCTTTGTTTGGCCCGCATTTGGCTTCCAACCGGCTACGTAATGCTGACAATGTCCAATGCACCCCAGAAATGATGACCAAAAGAGCGCATACGGCAACCTGTTAAGGCCACGATGTGACCCGGGAAAGGACCAGGTGCCCTAAGGCTCGGGCTCGGGCTCAGGCTTCTTGGCCTCTTCCTCCTGCTGGAGCCCGAACTCTGTGTTGAGCTCCTTGCGCAACTCAACCTCCTTCTCCAGGAAAACCAGCAAGAAGCTGACACCTGACAAGACAATTCCAACGTGCCAAACCCGCTGTACGCTCGAGCTGTACACTTCGCGTACCTGGCCGCGCACAACACTGGCAAACGCGTTGACAAAGTCGGCCGTGGCATGGGCATAGGCCTGGCCCCCGTTCAGAATGGACCGCGCAGCTTCGTCGTCGATAGTGTACAGCAGTGACTCGAAGCGGTTGTTGAAGACGGCGGCGGGGATTGTGACGGCCCAGATGACACCGACGCTGCGGAGGAAGGCCCACGTGCCCGTGCTGCGCGCCGCGTCGGCCTCTGAGAGGCGCGCTTGAACGGCAGGCAACAGAGTCGCCATGGGGAGACCGAGGCCGACCGCCAGGAAGACCTGGAAGAAAACCCAGGCAGCGGGCGACGACGAAGGGCCGAGGACGGAGGCCAGGCCGCACCCGAGCGTCAGCAAGGCGAAGCTGGCGAGGTGGATGGGCTTGTAGCGGCCGATCTTGGCCATGACACCACCGCCGATGGCGGCGGACAGGGGAAAGGCGATGACGGTGGGCGTGAGGTAGGCGCCGGAGAGGGTCTGCGACACGCCCACCACTGCCTGGAAGTAGACGGCAAAGACGTAGACGACCCAGAGGCACATGATGGAGTGCAAGAATGTGATGGCGTAAGCGGCGGCTGATGTGCGGTTTCCGAATAGGTGGTACGGCGTAACGGGCTCCGCGGCCAGAGGAGAGCCTTCGTACGCCACAAAGACGAGGATCAAGGCCAAGCCGGCGGCGAGAGGCCCGCAGACGCGCGGGTCGGACCAGGGGCGCGACGAGCCGCCGTACGTCACGGCGTACATGACGCCGACGCAAGAGAGGGTCAGGATGGTGACGCCGCCCCAGTCGATGCGCTTCATCTTGGTGGAAAAGGAGCCGTGATCGCCGTGGTTGACCTTGAGGAACAGGAAGATGACGACCATGCAGGCGGCACCAATGGGCAGGTTCAGGTAGAAGGCCCAGCGCCACTGGCCGCTCTGGGCAAGCGCGCCGCCGATGAGTGGGGCGACGGCGGTGAAGATGCCGATGCAGCCGAAGATCATGCCCAGGAACTTGGAGCGGTCGCGAACGGGCAGCAAGTCGCAGATGACGAGGTCGACCATCATGTTGATGCCGCCCGCACCGATCCCCTGCACCGCGCGAGCCGCGATGAGCATGTTTGCCGACGAGGCACCGCCGCAGAGGCCGCTGCCGAGGTTGAAGACGGCGAGAATGGCGAGAAACACCCATCGGCGGCCGTAGAGGTCTGAGAGCTGGGCTAGGAACGGCTGGAAGACGGCGCTGCAGTCCTCATTGTGTTAGTGCTCATGTGCGCCCCATGACAGCTAGAAGGGGGGGGGGGGGGGGGAGAGAGCGTACCCAGTGAGGAAGTAGACGTTAGCAATCCAGACGTACGAAGGCCCAGCGTCGAGAGAGAGGGCAATAGTAGGCAGGGCGGTGGCGACGATGGATCCGTCGAGAGCGCTCAGCAGGGTAGCGGCGACAAGGCCGGTGAATACGGCCCAGAATTGCCAACCATACTGTGTTTTCCCCTCGTTTTCGCTTGCCGTTGCCTGAGAATCGGTTGAGCTGTCGGCAGGGTCAACTGCCGTCTGCGCTGCCGATGCCTTCTGCGCTGCCGGTGCCGTCTTTGTGGTCTTTTCTGCCGGTTCAAGGGGCGCCGCGTGGGCCTGTGAGGTCGCGGTCGCCATGACAGCAACTGTTGCGAGTCGAGAAAGACTCAGTGGCAGAAGGAGAATAACCAGACCCAGATGAGTCCAGGAGAGCTGGCGAGACGGAAACAACGAGGCTTCAGTCTCTAGGCGAGGCTATCTTGGACTGCTGGAGGGCTGTACTTGGACTGCTGGAGGGCTGCACTTGGACTGCTGGAGGGCTGCACTTGGACTGCTGGAGGGCTGCACTTGGACTGCTGAGGGCTGTCTTGGACTGCTGGAGGAGAGCAAAGCATGTGAGTGCGATGCAGGTCGCCTGAATCGGGACTTGGAGGGGTGATAGCACGGGTGAGAGCTACATCAGAACTACGCAGTCGATGGGATACTGTTTCGAGTACATGGCCTAGGAGGAATGGCCGCTAAGTTGGCACGGCTGGTGCCACTTGTATGCCTGATTGGCTGTCGGGGCGAGCCGCTTTGTCGGAGTAGGTATGGCTGCATTGGTAATGCATCTCTAGCGGGATGCTGAATCTGGCTGAGATCAGATTGTTGACTCCGATAGGGGCTGCCTGATCGGAGACGGACTGGACCCACTCGACTCCGATTATTACCCACCTTACTCCGATTATGAGACCCACTTTACTCCGATCAGACCCACTTTACTCCGATTCGCTCGGTTGGAACCCCGGCTTCTTACCCCGCTAGCCCGGCCCTTGTCCTCCAAGCCGGCAGCGACATCAAATTAGAAGGCGTCCATAGACGCCACAGCCAAAAAAAAAAAAGGCTATCAAAAAGACTTGCTGCACCCCCCACCAACCAGCCCCCCCCAGCCCCCCCCCTCCCCTCGTCTCTTAGCGTCACTGTCACACACAGTAGGACCCCTGACCCGACTCTACTAGACTCCATCATGCTTCGAGAGTTTGTGACAGCTGTGCAAGCGCACCCAGGGACCACCATAGCGATCCTTGGCATCGCGGCAGCACTCGCCTGGGCTGGACTCGTCTGGCACAAGGCATCTCGCGAGCTGAAGTTGCCCTTTTTGCGCTTCGAGGATGGCGATGACTCGCGCCAGCGCTACATCACCGACAGCGGCACTTTGTTCAAGGTTGGCTATGAAAAGTACCTCAGATATGGACAGGCCTTCAAGATGCGCAACTACATCGATGAGCTGCCCCCTCAGGTTTACCTGCCTCTCAAGTATCTCGACGAGGTCAAGAGTGCGCCGCAAGCCAAGCTCAGCTTTCCCTACTTCTCGCTGCTGGTACGTCTTTTCCGTCTCTCGAGAAGGGTTTCGTGCTCACCCGTTGCGTTGCAGCTCTTCTCGCAGGACCATACTGGTATGGCCAAGCAGACGGATGAGGCCGCCCATGTGATTCGAACAGATCTGATCCGCAATCAGCGTGAGGACATACCCGGACTGTCATTATCCCAGCGCTGCCGGCGCTGACGGGATTCTTGCTGACAGGATTCTTGCTGTAGCATTTCTGTACCCCGGGCTAGAGGCAGAGCGTGCTGCTGTCATTGACGAGAAGCTGCCACGGACACAGGGTGAGTTCCACGAAACAAAAAAAATAAAAATAAAAATAAAAAATAAAAAATAAAAAAATCTTTCGTTTCAGAGCTCAGCATTAACAGGCCCGCAGACTGGCAATCGGTGAATCCGTATCCCATATTTTCCTACATCATTGCCCGGCTGGCAGCAAAAACTACCGGGTCAGCCGAGCTCTCCCGCAACGACGAGTGGCTCGGCATCATGATCAGCGTCACCCAGACCTCCATGGGGGCCGCCCACGCGTTGCGCGCATCGTGGCCGTGGTGGACGCGCTGGCTAGCTCGCTATGTCTTCCCACCTGTGAAAAAGGTGCTCGCAGATCGAGCCCGCGCAGCCGAGATCCTGCGTCCGATTTTGGAGGAGCGCGTCGCGACCCTGCATGCCGACGACGGAAAGACCGAGAGGCCCAACGACGGCATACAATGGTTGGTCGAGTATTATCACGCCAGGGGCAGAGGTGCTCTATTGACTCCTGACCTGCTCGCGCAAAACCAACTGTTCTATGCCATGGCCGCCATACACAGCAGCACGGCCATTCTGCTGTCCGTCTTGTACGACCTGATTGATGAGCGCCATGAGCACATCAAGGCAGAGCTTATCGATGAGATTCAGCAGGTCCACAAGGAATTTGGCAGTTGGTCGCGTCAAGCCGTGTCGAAGCTTGTCAAGCTGGATTCATTCATGAAAGAGAGCCAGCGGATACACTATGTTGGTCATGGTAAGTTTATTTGCTCTCTTTTATTTGCTCTCTTTTATTTGCTCTCTTTTATTTGCTCTCTTTTATTTGCTCTCTTTTATTTGCTCTCTTTTATTTGCTCTCTTTCATTTCCTCTCTCGTTTTATTTGCGTTGGTGTCTAACAGCAGGCCAGCCCGGGTCACACGTGCCGCCAAGGTCCCCTACACCTTCAAGGACGGGCTACATCTCCCAGAGGGTACCATGATCCAGTTCCTGCACAGCGGCCCGCTGCGAGATGCCGACTTCTTTGAAGACCCCGAGACCTTCGACCCGTGGCGCTTTCTCAAGAAGCGGCAGGAGGGCGATCCCAACAAGTTCCAGTTCGCCAGCTTGTCCGACGTGGAGACGACCTTCGGCGCTGGATTCCATGCCTGCCCTGCTCGCAACTATGCGTCCGACGTTATGAAACTGGTACTCGTCTATCTGCTGACGAAGTACGACATCAAGTACGACAGCGATACCCAGAGGCGCCCACCGGAGATGGCCCATGACAGTGCTACCATGCCGAGCCTGGCAACACAGATCTTGTACCGGGACAAGAGCGTGTCTCGAGGGCAACCAACAGCTAGCACAGCGTAGACAGCTATAAGTACGGGCTAGTACTAGGTAGCCGGAATACAAATTGAACCGGGGGGTTTTGGTTTTGGAGAAAGAAAAAAACAGTGCCCGCGAGTCCCGGGTAACTTGAAGTGAATGTGCTGATGACAAAAGTGTAGACCGTGAGCTGCCTCGGCCAATGCAGGGACCAGACCATGGATTTTGGAACGAGCTGCGAGTCCGTGATAGCGCAAAGCTGCGAGTCCGTGACAGCGCAAAGCTGCGAGTCCGTGATAGCGACAAAGCTGCGAGTCCGTGATAGCAAAAAAATAGTATGGTGATGTCCCCTGCATGTCCTAGCAACCAAGGTGTGCTACTTTTGCCAAGCTGCCGCCCCATATGCATGCAGGGTTGCAGCCCACGCAGCCGGAGCCCACGCAGCCGGAGCCCAAGCAGCCGGAGCCCAAGCAGCCCCACATCGGAGTTGACAAGTGCTATTGAACAAGCCAAGGTATTGGATGAGCAACTACCGGGTCTCAATGTCGTGATCCCACCTCGATGCTCGCATCCTCCAACCGCGCGAGCCAAGCATCCAGGCCCATTGCGCAGCCAATGATTCTGTGCCCAGCTGGTACAGGTACTGAAGCCGTGGTTGGAGCTATAACTTCTTGACCTGCCCGGTTTTGTTGGTCCGGCTTGCCGATGTCTCGTTCCGCAGGCCCTATTTTGCACACCTCTTTGTGCCTCAGTCTCCGAGTCCTAACCCTCGCTGGCATCGAACATCACCATCACCAGCATGGCCGTCTCAGTGACGACAACCTCGGCCGCGGCCGCAGCCGCAGCCGCTGACGCATCCCCGCCGCCCAAAAAGACGCTCCGCTCGTACATCTGGGACACAGATTCGCATCTCAAGAGCCCCGCAGAGCGCCGACTCCTCCTCAAGCTCGACCTGGCCATCCTCATCATCAGCTGCTTCGGCTTCTTCATGAAGTTCCTGGATCAAACCAACATGATCAGCGCCTACATTTCAGGTATGCGTGAGGACCTGGGGATGCTCGGCAACGAGTACACGTACGCAACCACGGCCTACACGGTCGGGTACGCCATCATGCAAGTCCCCAGCACCCTGATCGTCCAGAAAATCCCGCCGGCTATCTGGCTGGGCGCCATGGAGGTCGGCTGGGGCGTCTGGACGTTTGCGCAAGCCGGCTTGTCGAGCCCGGCACAGCTGTACGCGTTCCGTTTCCTGGTCGGCTTGTTCGAGGCCTCGTTTTCGCCGGTCGTGCTCTACGTCATTGGCGGTTGGTATACCAAGACGGAGCTCGCCAAGCGGACAACGCTCTTCCAGATCACAGCGCCGCTTGGTGCTGCCTTTTCGGGATATCTGCAGGCTGCCGTGTATGAAGGCTTGGACGGTAGGAATGGTCTCGCTGGATGGCGGTGGCTCTATATTATCTGCGGTGTAAGGCTGCCTCCGTTCCTGGTCCGCTCGACCGCGTGCGGGTGCTAACAGTTCTGGCCTCCCCAGATAATGACAGTCCCCGTCGGCGTTGGCACTTTCTTCTTCTTCCCCGACACCCCCTACAAGAAGAAGCCGTGGTTCCTCACCAACGACGAACACGCCATCGCGATAAAGCGCGTGCAGGATATCGGGATCGCTCCCCCTGCGAAGATCACCCTCCGCACCTTCACCCGTATCCTGTCCCACTGGAGGATCTATGCTTTTGTGTTTGGCTACGTCGTAAGCTGCCCTGCACCCTGCACCCTGCACCCTGCCGGCAGTTCTGTCTCGCGCAGCTCGTGTGGCACTCTGCTAACGCATCCCTCAGCTCTATGGCTGTTCTTCGCTGGCTGGCGGCTTCTTTGGCATCTGGCTCAGGTCCGAAGGCTTCTCGGTTGTCAATTCAAACGTCATTCCCTCGGGGGCGTGGCTGATTTCGGGATTCTTATCTCTAACCTGGGGTTATCTGTCTGATATCACCAAGAGCAGGTTCACGTGGGTTATAGTACCCCTGGTAGGTTCATTCACTCTGGACCGAGCACTGAAGCTTTGGGGGGGGGAGGGGGGCGACGAAAGCTGACAAACCAATTCACAATTCACAGATCCTTGGTCTTATTCCAAACGGCATCCTGGCCGTCTGGCCCCCAGGAATCCCGCTAAAGCAGTTTGCTTTCTTGACCGTCGGAGTGCAGCTGATGCCAGGCGTCTTGTGAGCCTTTCTGCTCCATCCCATCAAAGCTGCATGGGCATGTGCTGAAATATTGTATCACAGTTATGCTTGGGCCCACGAGGTCTGCCGCGATGATAATGAGGAGCGCGCCATCGTCGCCAGCAGCATGAATGGCATGTCATATGCCATCTTGGCATGGCTACCCATCATCATTTTCCCGCAGACAATGGCACCCAGCTTCCGTATGTGACAGTTGAGCGCTCAACTCGAGATGCGACATGAGCTGACACGTTTCATTCCAGGTTACGGTTTCCCTGCGAGTTTTGGACTCCTGATCGGCGCGATTTTCGCCGTCATCCTTATCCAATTTCTTGTCAAACGCGAGGAGAAGCTCAAAGCCGCCGTCAGTCCAGCGACCCATCTCGAGACGGCGGGGTCGGGTTCCGAAAAGAAGGACAGCGGTGAGGACATTGATGCCAAGACGGCTGGCCTGTAGTACTGTATGGTCTATAGACTGTATGGTCTGTAGACTGTATGGTCTGTAGACTGTATGGTCTGTAGACTGTATGGTCTGTAGTACTGCATGGTCTGTAGTACTGCATGGTCTGTAGTACTGTATGGTCTGTCGGGTCTCTTGCGACACGACGTGATAGCCAAAGGGTAGAAGGGGCAGTTAATTGGCGGGGCAGTTAATTGGCAGGGCAATCATAGCGTCTCGCCGGCTGAGTTAAAGCAACTTTGCATAGTTTGACCTACCATGATCACTCTTAAGCTGCGAGAGGGCTAAAATATGCCCAGGATTAAAGTTCTTCCTCGCTAGTGCAATTGTGTTTCCCTGGTATGGCGCCATAGCACTTTTAGGAGCGAATAGCATTGTATTGGTTGAATTAGTCGAGAAGTCGCGAGCTCATATTTCTCCCGGATCCCAACAATTAAATTGTTGTTTTGGCGCATTTGCTTTGGCGCATTCACCTTGGATTTCTCCTAGACGTGTGTAACATTTTTTTTGTTGGTGATTGCAGCCGACTTCATTTCGCCCTTCGCCTTTTCCGTTCAAGTCAAGCCTCAGCTAATTTTCACGTGCAAGGTAGGCAGGCCACCAGGCGAATCGGAGTCCTGCTAAAGACGCTGGGCGTTCGCGCACCCCCATGGCACTTGCATCTGCATGTGCATTTCTTAAGCGCGGAAAAGACCACAGCACAGCAGTCAGTAGGCACACTCGGCAATCAAAAGGGGCATAGCTAGCACCCTCTTTTAGCTCTAGATTCCAGCGACACATGGGCGCTCCAACTCCCGACTCCGGTGGCTACCTCCGATGACTGGATTGCGAGCTTTGATGGGCTTGATGACGTGCTCGGCGGTGGGGGGCAGCGTTGCTAATAGACGCCGGGCGGCTCAAATGATTGCTGGTACCAGAATGCTGTATTGCGTACTGTAGGTAAGGCCACCTTTGAAGCATCCCTACCTTCCACTTGCCTCGAGTTTTGTCCAACCTCGCATTGCAACACGCAAGCATCATCAGCTTCCACCCACCATATACATACCAGGTATCATGGCGCCAGACAGAACCCCGCGTGGCCATCCCGGCTCTCACTTTGGAATCGGTCGGACGGTTGCTGTTATCGGTGCTGGCATCGGTGGGGTTTCCGCTGCGGCTTACCTGCTCAAGGAGGGACTTTCAGTGACCGTCTTTGAGCGGTCAGGCGTCGGCGGTGGAATTTGGCATTTTGACGAGCGCATTCCCGAGGACCCCCCATATCCGAGCCAGAGGCCCTCGCTGGGAGACTACCAAGTCTCCCAAAGAGGCGAGTTCGCGAGCCCAACCCCTCCGCCCGAACCTTTCGTCGACGACAACGACAGCCGCGTGGATGCTCTTGATTCCAATCCCAAGGGCGACTCGAATCTCGAGGTTCGCTTCGCACCTCCGGGGCCGTGCTACGCGGGTCTCAAGAACAACATACCCACGAGTGTGCTGGTCAGCAGCTTGGGTCCTTGGCCAGAGGGAACGGAGCAGAACATCAGCCAGGAGCTTGCCGAGAAATACATCCAGGGCCTAGCGACTGAGCACGGAGTCACTGCGGTCACGCAACTCCATACCCGGGTGGATGAGGTCAAGACAACACCCGACGGCGCGAAGTGGGAGGTGCGAACCGTCTCTCTGGAGAAACTGCACGGGAGTGCCCAGCTCAAGGAGCGCCTGTGGTGCTTTGACTTGGTCGTCGTTGCCACCGGTCACTATTGCACGCCCCGGATACCAGACTTCCGGGGGCTGAAGCAGTTGAAAACGGCATTCCCCGGCCGCATCATCCACTCCAAGCAGTATCGTCGCCCCCAGCAGTTCCAAGGGCAGAACGTTCTGGTAATCGGGGCCGGCGTATCCTCGTCGGATATCTGCAGGGAGCTCGTTGGCATTGCCAATAAGGTCTACCAGAGTGTGCGCGGGGGCATGTATGACACACCCGTCCACCTGCTGCCGGACAGCACGCTCCGGGTGGGTGGGATAGAAGAGTTCCGACTGTTGAAGGACAGCTCCATCGCAGGGGAACAGCACTTGGCCCCCGGTCAGCCAATCCCGGGACAGGTCGTTCTCAAAGACGGCGAAGTCCTGGATGACATCCACTATGTGGTGCTCGCTACAGGGTACATCACCTCGTATCCCTTCCTTTCGCACCTGCACTCGGACGACGCAAACCTCGACGAAGCCGGTGAGCATGTGCTCATCACATCAGACGGCGACATGGTACACAACCTTCACAAGGACATCTTCTACATTCCCAACCCAACACTCGCCTTCATCGGTGTGCCGTATCATGCTGCGGCCTTCACATTGTTTGGCTTCCAGGCCCAAGTGTTGGCCCGGGTGTTTTCAGGCAAAGCGCACCTGCCAGCGCGAGGGGAGATGGTGGAGGAGTATAGGGAGAAGGTCAAGGAGAAGGAACTCGGACGATCTTTCCACTCTTTGGCTGGACCTGGTGCAGAGGTTGAGTACGTGAAGAACTTGGTTGACTGGGTTAATGAAGATGGAGATGTCCTGGGTGAACCGCAAATATCGGCACATGCGGAGGAATGGGTCAAGGAATATGAGGCCTTCAAGACTCGGCTCACTGAGGCATGGTTTGGGAAGAAATCCGAGAAGTTGGAGTTATGAGATCTGAGAATGTAGAGGTGCATGTGTAGATGCGCAGCTATGTCTTGAATCAGAGGAGGAAATTGAGTCTAGTTTTTTTTTGGACTACGCTGTAAATCATCTCCATCGTACATAGCGCTGTTGTCTCACTGCTCCCGCCCTATCTCCGCTATCAAACCGAGATTTCACAGTAGATTCCCCTTGCCTCCTCCGACCAACCTAGCCCCCTCGTCGTCGTCACTAGCCTTCGAGCCAATAATTGACTTATCAATTCCACAGAGCGCAATTTCGAACAGCAGCAAGGTCTTGCCAGCAGCCAACAAGGCATCGGCGTTCTTGTTACCTGGTCCCTGAACACTATGTTCCCCAAGTCGTCCACTCCCGCCTCCAGCTTCTCAACGCTATCGGCCATAAACACTTCTGCCCTGTCTTCGCAAGTTGTCAGAAGCACGGCACGCTGGATTCGGTGGAATTGATGGGGTTGCAACTGCGTGATTATATTGCTGGTGTGATCTCCGTTTTTTTTTGGCTTGCAGCCGATATCTCCTTCCTTTATAGACTTCTTTCGAGGATTCGGCTTGTGTCCTCACAGTGGCTCGGCCTGACAGTGTCAGGTACCCAGCCAGTTTTGCTGACGAGGTGCCCAGGGACCCTTCTCCCTGACAGGACGGTAGATTTTTATTCGCGGAATAGGGGGGTAAGGTAGAAAAGAGGAGGTACGAAATACTAGCGAAAATGACGGCGGAAAACTTGGAAGCTCTGATATATTTCGGATGATGAACAGCTCCCATGTTTCGGTATGGAGGTGAATCATACACCACTATTGTGTTCCAATCGCGATCTCTGCTTCTAGTCAGAATCCTTCACCGACGGATCCTGCGCAACCCGGTAGCAAGCTGATTTCTGGTGAGGCTCGGTCTCCTCGACGCCCTTACCGCCGATGGCCTGCAAATAAGGTCCATTTGTCTAGAGAGGTTATCGTTGGCGATGCGAAACTCTGTTCTCTGCTTCTTCATCTCAGATTTGAACTCCTGGCCCTGACGATCCATCAGCTGTGTTGACTGGTCGAGGACATCCTGGAGTTGACTGGTCATCTGGTCAAACTTGCCGTCGACTTTTCTACTAAGCTGAGCTACATCCCACTGTACGCCCTGGTTCAGGGTTCCGAGATATGTGACAGAAGAGAGGTTGCTCTTGAACTCGGCATGCCTCTGTGTAGTGGGTCTCTCGGTGGTAAGGATGTCGGTTACTTCAGCGGATAGGCAGGGTGGGCGGAAATATATTCGTTTGCTGACAAATCAAATACCGGATATTCGTGAAATATTCGCTAACAAATTAATAATATCCGTTAATACACTAAGTAATTAATTTCGATATTCTGAACCTGCTGAAGAGTGTGGGAACTACCAGTCAATCAGAGGATGCAGTCGCACGTGATTGGTCAACAGGCTGCACAGCCTCAGTGGCTGACGAGCGCTCGGGCCGCTATGCAGCACGTGCGCGAGGCACACCCCTCACGTGACCTCCGGCATCGCCAATTCCAACGCGCATCCTGTCCCCGTACTTCGTGACCTAAAAGACATAGAGAAGACCAGAATACAACCACCACAACCACCCCATTCGAATCGGTTACTGCAGTGACTATGGAACGAATGACCTTGTCATTCCAACAAAGAGGTTATGTCGATAGAGCATTAATTGGATTTCAAAGCGTTGAGGGAATGGTGGTTATGGAAAGGATGTGAAGAAAAGTGAACGTTGGAGCGTGATTGAGCCGGAATGGAAGGTGGTCAAGGGCGGCAAAATGGATGATTAGAAAGAGCAGAAAAAGTGGAGCAGAATGGTTGTTCAATTATTGTGATTCGTTGAAGACTGATAAAGTTGATGATGATCTAAATTAAAAGGTGGGAAAATGTCCCCTTATTATACTAGCTTGCATTGGCTTAGTTGGTCGTAGTTGACGGCCTGACCCGGCCTGCGGCCAGGTGGGCTCAAACTACAGCTAGGTGACTCGAACCGCGGCTAAGTGACAGCGAGGTAGTTGGGTCGATTCTAAAAACTATATATATAGGGCATTGTGCGGTCGTGGATTTTTATTACAAACCACTCGACTGTTAGGGTTGTCTGTCTGTAAGGGAGCACGGGCTCCACAAGATGCTGGGTTTGGTAATTATGAAGATAGAACAAAGGGCAAGCTCCTATCGCATGGGTAATACAGTCAAATTGGAATGCCACTCAAAGTGTATGAGTGCAGTGAATGTGTATTGATTGTTTGAAGAACCAAGCAAGAACTATCCAATACCGTGGTTACGGCCGTCGTATATATCTAAGGTGGGCCAATTAGGTCGTTGCTCTGTTGCTCCCTGGCAGAGCTACAGAGCGTTGCTTCGTTGCTCCCTGGCAGAGCTACGGAGCAACCCCGTACACTGTAGAGCCAACCAAACCGTTGCTCCGTACCCCACCGCACAGAGCAAATGCGGGTCCCTGCCCTGCATGCCTGTCTCGTCATCCCTATTGGCCGGCCCCACTTTCAGAGCTATGACTAGCCCAGAATGGGCGCGGTTCATCACACCAACACATGCTTATCGGTGTGAGGGCCTGGTCCTCCAGGCCTCCCAGACGCTCTGGCTAATCAGACGCCAGTTGGGTGGATCCACCCGACCAGCCAGAGCCCCACCTTGAGACGCCCTGGAAGAATCTCGCGACGGGAGGCTTTTGAGCTTCTTTTCCCTTTTCCCTTTAGTTTAGAATCTTCGTCTATAGCGCCCAATAGAGGAGTTCCGCCCTCATTCCAAGCCGGCCGTGACAATCGGCTGCCTCGCCGGCTAGTTAGTATACCATTCTCTACTCGCTCTAACTAATAGTATAGGCCCCCTATGACGAAACCGATAAGAGGATGTTTACTATTATAGGTATAGCTACATCGAACAAGAGTACTCTTTTCTCTATCTACGAGACCTTGGAGGCGGAGAAGATGCGCCGTTAGTAGCGAGGTGCATCTGTTCAGGGATCCGTAACATGGCTAGCAGACCTCTTCTCTATATTCTCGCTATAGACTAGTAGTAACCGCTTCTCTATATTCTCGCTATAGACTAGTAGTGACTGCTTCTCTACATTCTGTTGAACTGCGTGTGGTAGGCAGGCGGAGTGGAAGCGGTTTAGCGTGGGCTTGAGAGCCAAGTGCAGGGTAGATCGCGGGCTGTGCCTTGCGGTCTCGTACAACAGTACCTTGTGAGGCACTGAGGGAAGCAACCTGACTGCTGCAGGTCTGCAGAACTCTGCTGCAGGCCTGCCACATAGACTGAGAGAACTCTGCTCAACAGTCTACCTCGTGGGCGGCAGGGGACTCTACCCTGCGGCCCGGGGTCTTCTTGGGCAGGGAGAGTGCTGAAGAAGACAAAGAGGAGCTGTATTATGAAGGGTGTAAATACAAAGAGTGGTGAGTGTATGACTTGCTTAAGGAAGGAAGGAAATCTATCTAAGGGAAAGGACTGGCCTTATATGGGCCAGAGGCAGATCTTCCGGAGACTCGTGGCCTCGTATTCGACAGTCTTCTAGGGGGCCTGATATGCCTGCTGCTAAGCCTCGTATTGAGCTGTGTGCTTGGCTGGCAATTTGCAGTGCCCTGGACTTCAGGGCCTTGTAGCTGTAGTAACCAGCCACACTTTAACAGACTGTATTACCCGTGCGATAGGAGCTTGCCCTTTGTTCTATCTTCATAATTACCAACCCCAGCATCCTAGTATCCCATTACAAACCACTCGACTGTTTGGGTCGTCTGTCTGTAAGGGAGCACGGGCTCCACAGGGTGCTGGGGTTGGTAATTATGAAGATAGAACAAAGGGCAAGCTCTTATCTTTCGCACGGGTAATACAGTCAAACTGGGAAGCGCATGGGCGGGAAGATGGTATTTCACGATTTTACCGGCCTAAAATAGGCTCTGCGTATCTCAACTGCCAACAGCTGCCAAGGTCCCTAGGTAGGTGCGAGGAAAAAGGTGGTGGGTGCGTGCATTAAAGCTCTTAAGTAATGCAAATTAATTTAGACATAATTATCTTTTCCGCGAGCGCACCTAGACTTCACGAGACACGAAGTTACAAGTATCCTCGGATCGACCGCAAAACATACGTCGCTCATCAATACCCATAACGTCTTCCTCCCCTCCTCCCCATCCCAAACCCGACCATCGGCCGCGGTCCGACCATTGGTGGCCCCCCGCAGCGCCGGCGACCGCCCCAGCTCTGAGACACCGGTCCCGGATATCCACACGGCTGCGCTATGACGACGGGACGGATGACTGGTCCGTATATTCCGCCGCAGGGCCTTGATCTCCTGCCGAAGCACATCGCAAGGTGCCTTGATAGTGACGTTCAAGCGGGGGACGTAGCGTTGAAGATGACGTTTTTGGTGTGTGGTGGTTAGGTAATTCCCAGTTATTTTTCTATAAATGGTATCAGAAATGGCAGTACACCGTTGATGAAAAGCTGTACAAGACTGAGCACATACCGCGATGATATCAGTACTCGATTGCAAACGGGCTGGCAGAGACGCATGGATGCAGTCCGTCGCTCAAGTGATACAATGTCGAATGCCTACCCCATATTATACCAAGCTTGAGAAAACACTGCTTGAGGCTAAAGTCGCACTGCCCTCTGCCGCGCGGCAATGATGCAATGATTCGGCGCAAAGTTGCCGGAACTTAATTGATGTACCCCCATTTCCCTAGGTAATTCCCAGCAGCCCGCTACTCAAGGGCTACGCTCGGGCTTGCACCGGCCATCTTCTCAGCTAACTACGTGGAGCAGCGACGTCGTTAATGACGTGGCAGGGTCGTTTGCAAAGTGTAAACTTAAATGTTGTTTAGCTTCCAAAATCTTCACCAACCCCTTCCCGCTTTTGATTGGCATGCTGCGATTGTGCACGGCGGCGAGGGACGCGCAGAATGCCCTCTGTCTGGATGACTTGTGCGTTGTCTTCGCAAACCACCTGTGACAGCCAGGCACTCCAGTAAGTTGTTTGGGTCTAGAGTGGGATGGAATTAAAGTGTGAGGCGCGCAAGGAGAAGTGAATTGTCGTATTGATTAATGCTTCCTTTCTACTGAGGCGACTTCGTTTTGGGGACGAATGGCTGGTCGCTTAGGGTTGCGTTAGGGTTGCGTTAAGAAATGACATATTTTTCTGCGGACGTGTCTGCATATTTTGAAGTAACCCACTAGTATAATCCTTGAACCCTGGCCGAAAGTTTCCCTAGCGTCGTAATTAGGTCGGGCCAGGTACCACTAGCGCTTACCACTAGAGTCTAAGGTACGGGCTAGGCCTCTTCTTGCTACTTCGCATCAACCTCCAGTAAACGCGGCACACACTGAGACTTGACGCGCTGTGCGTTATTTGGCTTCTAAATTCTGAGAAACAGCTCCTTGGACAGTGAGTCAACCACTTAACGTTCGTCAGACGACTTCAAAATTGGTACCGTCATTGTGCTTGATGGTTCAGCGCCGATACCGCGATTGGCGGCAATTCTGGTGCCCGACATGAAGATTTCGTGAAGTCGCGGATCCCTGTTTCAATCTCTTGCCTTTGAGTTTTGCGGAACGTCTTTCTCCCCGGACCTACAGCCTACCTGCCTCACATTGTGGCCTTTGTTTCTCTTCTGGTGGGACAATGGCTGTGCAACTGCAACTGCTCGCGCGCGGTTTTGGCCGCTGGGCCTGCCGGGAATGTCTCCACCTCTTTTGCCATCTTTTCGTAAGATACCTGGCCTTCCTTCTGAGAATCATTGCCGTTGGGGCCCCCGGGCAGGGAGAGGGAGGGCGGCTGATCGCGACGTGCAAATACAGCTATCGTCCAATCCCCGACGGCTACACGCGCCTCCTCCGCCTGCTTCCACACAGCCACAGGGACGCGCCTATCAGGTGTGAGCTCCTCGACCACCATCTGCTCGACTCTGGAACGGGGACGCGGCCCTATGAAGCACTTTCCTACGTGTGGGGGCCGCCAGGCAGGTCTTCGGTTGTCTACATCAAGGACTTGGTCAATCCTCCCCGCTATTACGTTCTGCCCGTCACCGAGAACCTCCACGACGCCCTCACCCGGCTCCGCGACTGCAGCCTTGCGCGCGTGGTCTAGGTCGACGCCATCTGCATCAACCAGGAGGACCTGGGCGAGAGGGAACGACAGGTGCAGCTGATGGCCCTTATTTATGTTCGGTCGCTGCGCGTCGCCGTCTAGCTCGTGGACCCGCCGCTGCCGGCTGGCACGGATGCCACCAAAGAGCCGGTGGATGCAGAAAGAGTCGCCGCGGACTCGGACACTACGCTGGCCATCCAGGCTCTACTTAGCGCTACATGTGGAGTCAAAGATAGGACAGCAAAGAAGGCCATTTCCAGTATATTTCAGAGGGCGTGGTTTAGGCGAATCTGGGTAAGTCTGAGCCGGCCTCTCTACTAGGGCTCCCTCACTCTTTTTCCTTACCATCGCTTAGTACCTGATGTGCGCCATGTTAACAAACGGAACATGACCACGTGCTCCAGGAAATAGCTTCCGCCCAAAATGCCCTGATCATGTCTCGCCACAGCGAAATTAGCGGCCAAGCGTTTTGTGCCGGCCTGGATGCTTTTTAACTCGATGGATTCAACCTGGACCCGGATACGAGGGTGCGAGCTGGCTCGGCAATGTTCCTCATGCGTGGAACGGCCTTCCGGTCCCAACGGGCCATGAAGGAAGGGCCCGCCGGCAATAGGTTGTCCCTCGGAGTACGGGCCCTGCGGGAACTGATCAACATGTTCCACAACCGTGATGCCACCGACCGCCGGGACAAGGTGTATGCCCTTCTCGGCATGAGTTCCGACGCTCCAGCCAGTCTTTCTCCCGACTACACGGTCCCGTGGAGTGACCTACTCCGGCGTCTCACCGGCAACCTGTTTGGAGGACGGGCATCCGTCGAGGCGTGGGATGACAGCGATGTCTTTGTGTTCACGACAAAGGCTCGCTTCCTGGGAGTCGTTGACAGAACCCCGAACCGCCCAAACACCAAGGACTGGGCAGGTGGCGGAGAGGCGAGAATACAGTGGTCACCTGCAGCCAGGCATTCCAAGACCGAACGACTTCATTTCTCCTACGTCAACTACGGCGCCTCGGCCAGGCGGACCTTGAGCGGCGACAATCTCTGTTCTATCGAGGGCGTGTCGGCTCCGATGATTGTCAGGTTGTACGGAAACAATCTTGTTCTTGTCTCGACCTCGGTCACCTTCCAAGACGACATCCATCTGCATGCGACACAGCCGCTGACGTGGTCGCCCGAGACAGCCCACTGTTATCACAATGTTTCGATTATCTGGGACTGGGGAAGTTCGTCTGCCGATCTGACAGACAGCCAGCAATGGTCGTTCGGAACCCAACTTCCTCATGGCTGGACTCAAACGGCCGAGACGATGGAGGGCGCCGCCTTGCTGCTGCGGGACGCTTCACGCTACAGCAAAGCAGCTGACCTCTGCCATATGGCCATTGAAGCTTACACGGCCAGGAAGAGCTCGCGTACGCTTGCCTCCGTCAAGACGCTCAAGTCGATATACGGGCTCTGGGGGGACAAACTGGGTGTGCCGGCGGTGGAAGACTTTCTCCAGAGAGGTCTCAACTACCTAGACTTGCCGGAAAAACGGGTAGGCCTCGTTGGGAAAATCGACGATTCGGCTTTCGACAGGTTTCTCACCCGACGACCTCACAGCAAACAAGCTACCGGTGAAGTAGCGCTTAAAGTGCTAGCAGCCTCTAGGCGCCTGGATAGATTTAAGCTACTCCTCGACCGTTGGGGAGGTGACATTAACATCACGCAAGACGTGGTAGACACAGCGACGCGAAACAGTCGACACTCACACGAGATGATGAAGCTCATTTTCAGCCGACAGCAAGATCTTGACAGCAAGATCTCGACATGACGCGCGATGTCTACTTGGCGATAGCGTCTGATCAGGGGCTGGTGGGCTCTGTGCGCCATCGGCTCCCCGATCCTCAGACTCTACTAGAACGGGATGAGGCGAAGGCGAAGGCGAAGATAGATAGATGATGAGAGGAGTGAATGAGAGGGGTGAATGAGAGAGAAAGCCATGCACCTAGGACCTATCTGTTTTTGGCCGAACCGAACAAGACGTCGGGATATGAATGGAGAGCCCGAACGCCACCGACAAACAACTCCGACTCCCACATAAAATAAAGGGAGGGGCAAAGAAATGGAAGGGGAAAGGAAAGGGGAAGAGAAAGAAGAGACCCATCACCCAATCCTCCTCACCGCAGGCTTCAACACCCTCTCCGCGCCCGCCGGCAGCCCGCCCTCGCCGGCAAAGCGCCGCTTAAGCCCCGAGTCGAGCTTAGGCAGGTACGGGCTGGAGGGCTGGTAGGCTCGCCAAGCATTGCAGTTGGGCTCCATCTGATCGAGGTGCATTAGCGTGGGGATCTCGCTCTTGCGCTCCAGAAACTGGATCCCCAGGCCGCTGGCCACGTGCCAGCCGATATGGCAGTGCATGAGCCAGACGCCCGGGTTGTCGGTCTTGTACGCGATCACCAGCCAGCCGGATCCGGGCATCTGCACGACGTCGCGGCGCACGGGGTTGTTGAAATTCAGCTGGCCGGCCATGGTCGCCGCGTCGAAGACGCCGGTCCCCAGGCCAAGAACCAAAAAGTCGTGCCCGTGCAGGTGGATTGGGTGCGGCAGCACAAAGTCGTTCTGCAGCACCCAGAAGGTCCAGACATTCGCGCCGGCGACCTGCACCAGGTTGATGGCGGCGGGGAACGACGTGTTGCCCTGCAGGATGTACTCCAGCACGGGGTGGTCCCACTCGACGACGATGGGCGTGTTGCGGATGCTCCACTCGAAGACCTGGCCGCGCGGGCCGGTGGGGAACGCGAGGTCGATGGGCAGCGTCGACGGCGCGAACGACGCCGCCGGCACCGTGCGCGTGACGACGGGCGCGAACCCCGTCTCGCCGGCGCACGCCGCTACTACGGGCGTGCCGCGGTTGGTCGGCAGGCCCGTGGCGCTCGCGCCGTCGTAGTGGAAGATGGCCGCCGGGAACGGGTTGTGCGTCTTGCCGCAGTTGTTGGCCGCCTCGAGCGTCGCGTTGAACCAGTAGTTGGCCACGGGCTGGCTGGCGTCGATGATGACGTCGTAGCGCTGGCCGACGCCTAGGAACAGCGTGCTGCGCACCGTGGGTGTCACGGCGACGAGGTCCGTGGCGATGACGGTGAAGTTGTGGCCGACGAGGGACACGGTCAGCGAGTTGTCGACGCTGGTGTTGATGAGGCGCAGCAGGTGCTTCTTGCCGGGGGTCAGCGTGACGCGGTCGTAGGCGCCGCCCGTCGCCGCGGTGGGGTGCACGTTCTTGCCGCGGAACAGGATGTTGTCCGAGTCGGGCGGCGCGCCGTTGGCCACGAGCTCGGCCCGCAGCGTCAGCCGGTCCGCGGTTTCCCAGTAGTAGTCGGTCATGGCGTACGGTCCGAGGTCGATGTCCCAGTTGGCCGACGTCGGCCCGTTGACGATCAGCGGGCCCACGACCCCGTTGCCGTACTGGTTCGAGTAGTGGCTATGATACCACGACGTGCCGTACTGCGTCGTGTGGAAATCATACGTCTTGTTGTGCCCCGGCGGGATCGGGCACTCGGTCACCCCGTTGGCCCCGTCCTGGTTGCTCTCGCCAAACTGCCGGATCCCGTGCCAGTGGATCGACGTGCTGCGTTGTCGGTCAGAGAATGTCCCGACGTGGGGGCGATGGATGCGTACCCATTGTCTTGCATGTCGTTGAAGACGTTGACAATCACATAGTCTCCCCAGTCTGGCGCCGCCATGTCAGCTCTTGATCAGGGTTGGGACGGAGAGTTGGCACTTCACTCACCGGCTGATATTGTTGGCCCGGGATATTGGCCTTCGCTTGTTAGTTGCATGTTGATGTTTTCGTCGGACGGAAAAGGTGCTCACCGTTGATCAGCATGGCGACTGCCTTCGTGACGCCATCTGGGCCCACCCAGTTCGTTACATTAGTGATGTGGAGGTTATACTGTTCCGGCACGGGTTAATCACGAGTAAGTCACACCAGGACACAGGGTCGGCAACATACAGTGAGCGTGTTGAACGCTGGCGGCGTCGTCACTTCATAGTCGGTGCTGATGTTCCAGCTGTTCTTCCAGCAGCCGCGGTTGGTGGCGTTGTTCTGGCCGCACGGCCTGCCGCCCGGCGTGATGGTCTGCCGCGGCAGGAGGTCGATGACGGCGTTGGGCGCGTGGTGCACGGGGTTGGCAACCGACACGGAGACCAGCAGCGCCAGCGCCACAGCGCAGCAGGCTGTGGCTGGCCGGCCGAAACACCCGAGCATATTGTGGCCGGCGAGCGGGAGCTACGGGGCTAAATGGGATTTAGATGAACTGTCACTTCACTTCGGACGAAAGCGAAGGCGCCTGTTCTACGATGATGGCCTGCATTCCGGGCAAGTGGGATACCGCGACAATTTTATATACCTTACACGATGACTACACGCCGGCCGCTCTCTGCTTCCATGTTCCAGACCAGGTAGCCTCTCCTCTGCCGCTTCTCGTGGCCTGGCCCTGATGCAGGCGCAAGATGCGAGCGGCGGGCGGGCGGGCGAGCGAGCGAGCGTGGCTGCCTGCCTGCCTGCCTGCCTGCCTGCACGCACGCACGCACGCACGCTCGGAACTCTGCGAAGATCTCGAACAGAGAGGGAGGGCTGCGGCAGGCTTACTCCAGCCAGCCGTCCCTCACTGCACTGGGCAGGTACCACGGGTTCATGCCTCCAGAAGACGGCACGCGCGGAACGACAAACAGGGGGGTGGCCCGTTTCCCGACCCCGGTCTTTGGTGATAAAAAGACTTACTTCCTTTGGCCGCACGTCGCCCCTTTTTCTGGATCCCGTGTAGATAGGCACTCACGGCTCACGGCTCACACACTCATGCTCATAGCGATGGAGATCAAGTCATGGAAACTACATTATGTGCTTCGTTAACTACGCGAAAGCTCATATTAGCCCCTATTTTGGCGTGCGGGAGGATCGACTAAGCGAAATCGAGGACTATGCCAAGCAGCCAGCCGCGATATGCCGTGAGGCTGAGGCCGACAGCGGCGCCGCTTGCCTGCGTCCAGGCGTTCAGGTCGGGTTTGGCGGTGGGTGGGTGGATGGTGTGTCTGGTGCAGCGCGGGGTAATAAGCCACGCACTGCGCATCATCAACAGCATCGCATGAATGTTTGTGGCTCGGGACCGTGGTGGGGGGTGTGTGGTTCGGCGCACGGGCCCAAAGAGGAATGGCATGGCCACGCCACGGCTGGTGCCGACTAGTCGAAGTGCGGAGAAGTGGCGGCAGCAAGGTGACAAAAAGTCTTGTTCGAGGCTTGTTCGTTTGCTTTGCTGCGCAGCCCGTCAAGACTTGACTTGTTGTTGTTGAGGTCATCGTGCACGCCGTCACCAGGACCCTGTCCAGCCGTGCCGGGCCTAGCTTCTTCGTTAACAATTGCACGGGTCCGAGAGCAGGGATTCACTACCCGCTGCTATTTTGGTCCCGTCAGAGACAAACCCGGGCGACGTGGGAGCGGTCAATATAGTCCATCAATAGGCGAGGAATCCACTCGAGTCGATTTGATGGCCGACTGCCCTGTTCAGCCCTCTGGGAATTGGCTGCTGGCCAGTTTTGCTCCCCTCGTGATGCCACCCAGCCCTGTTTCAAGACCTGTCGCTTAGGCGTGGCAGGGTTGCCACGACACGGGACGTAGATTGCCCAGCACCCAGACTGCAACCGTCTGTCGGTCTGAACAGGGAAGGTGCGTGCGCTTCCAAGGGTTTTAACGTGCCACAGCTATGAGCTAGCCACGCGTTGTCGTCTGTCCGTCGCCACCAGCTACGCCTCTCGCAGTAGCAGCACTGCTGAGCTTCGGCACCGACGAGTGCAGGTGGTCAGGTAGCAGTGGCATCGGCCGAAAACTGAAGCTATTGCCAACCCAAGTGGCTAGTCGACGCAATCGTCAAATCAGCGGCGCCGACAAGCGAGAATGCTAGGCGAGCACGCCGTCCAGTACTGGCCATGCCCGAGCCACAGGTGTGATGTGGTGGTGCGGGCGGCGCTGGGGGGGCTTTAACCGCCTCGGAAACAAGGAGCCGGCTATTTAGCCGGACCACACGAAAGACGGCCCTGGTAACACAGGGCCGGCCTCCGATCAGAATGGCAGGATCTGCAAGTCTAGTCTGATCGTCTAAACATGGGCAGGCCGGTTCTGGGATACCTGGCTGTGACGGCATCGGCATTGCAAAATGCTTTGTTGGAGCGAAGATGAAAAACCAGGAGCAAGCGAGAGACTAAGGGAGGTAACCTCAATAGCCACTGTCTTGAACAAACAATCACGAAGATGTGCACATCAACCGAAAGTGTGCTGCAACCACACGAGCATGAAGCAGTAGGAGAATTTGCGTTGATTGCGTGCAACATTTCATCTCGGCGTCCGCCGCGCTGGGTCGGACAGGATCGCCCCCCTTAATAACGGCATATTGTTTCCATATTGGCAGCCACTACTCACCAGGCCCTGCGCCCTTTCGCTACTGTCCCCGTCATGCACGGCGAGCAGACATACAGAGCAATACTCTGCGCCTCACAGTGATGTAAATCGGGTCTGAGACCTAATATCTTCATTCAGGGCATGCATCGCATGTGAGAGGTATATGCTGGTGTGTGGTTTGGAGTTTGTCCGAAGGCTCGGCAAAAGGTAAGGGGCGCATTCCCTACTGCAACATTCACGACGCTCCTTTGTAGAATTAGCCAAGCTTCATCCACCAGCTGTGCATCCGCCAGCTGTGCATCCGCCAGCTGCCCAGTGTGTTTCAATATAGGAATAAAACCGTCTTGAGAGGCTAGTACAGGGGGTTCAACGATTTCAAAGCCTTAGCCGACGCCTGGCGAGGTATCTATCTGCGCTGCGGGTGTTCGAAACTTGGGTAAGGTACCTAGGTATTGTAAAGTGTGACCTCTTCATTTTGCCTGAGCATCTTGCCTGAGCATCCGTCTTGGTTGTGTCTTTGTCCGGTCTTCTTTTCCCCCTATGGTTTAGGTACACTGCGACAATGCCAACAATAGAAGAAACAAAGAACAAAGAACAAAGAAAAGTTGCAATGCTAACCGATAGCTAGACCCTTCTGTGCATTTCAGAAAACATAGTTTCACACACATGACCCCAGGCATACCAAACTAGGCACGGACGAGCAATAATTTGGTACCCATATGCAAGCGACAGAACTCACGACAAATGAGGCTGTCAGAAACACTGCACACTGGATCTTGTGGAATTGATGGGGTTGTAATTGCTTGATTGTATTGCCCTCTTTCTAGGCTCTCTGGCTCTGCCAGAGAGCATTTCTTATAGCCATGGCCAGGTGGCGAGGTTATTGCGCGTCTGTGGCTAATAGTGACAAATTCATGATTCTAGCACCTTCTAGAATCTCCCTTCTTTCTGATAGTGACAAATCCATGATTCCAGCACCTTCTAGAACCCCCCTTTTTTCTGACAGAGGCCATCTTTTTTTTGTTAAGAGATTACATGCGGTGCATGAAATCAATCATATTATGCCCGCAGAGATTATTCTAGTAATGAAGAATGAAAGAAGACGCTGTTTGAAAGAAGACGCTGTTGTACACTCACGAGTCAAATAGGGGGCAATTGGCCTGTGCGCCTTGTCCCCCAGGCAATGACGTTTTCAAGATAGCGGCGACAAGGTTTTAGCATACAGGATTGCCGAAAGATGTAACTTTTCTTTATTCTATTGCTACAGAAACAAAGAGAAAAATAGCACCAATCAATTGGGAACCGGGTGTCGCACAAGGGTTGTGGCTGAAACAGACTAATGGTCTGCACCATGAACAGCTCGTGTCTGCCAGAACACACGAGTGGAAGAGCATGTCAACAAAGAAGTAACCGGAACAGCCGGGTCGATCAGATATAGCATGACTGTGTCAAGAGTTGGCGGTTAGCTTAAGTATAATTGGAACCCCTAATAAGAGGGACTTGCAATGCAAACTCTTTCCCGGTCAAAGATATTTTAGAGTCGTAACCCTTTCCCGGTCATAGATATTTTGGAGCCGTAATCCTTTCCCGAAAATCCACGCCACAGAAAGTTCATCACGCCACCCCAGAAAACTCACCAAATGCATCCACAAATGGATTTTAACATTGCACTTCTCAAGGTTGCGAATACCCAACAATATCTACGACAAAAAGCACAGCAGGTCCGTGCTTTTCCACGGCCCATTCCATCGATTGCCTTCCTTTTCATGGTAATATCTGCAACATTGGGGTATCAATGGTCTGTTCCATGTGCCATTTCTTTCTTTGCTGCACTCGTGCTCCGCAGCGCTGCTGAGCATTTTGAATCTCTTGCACGCGAGCAACTTGGCCTTCTCTGGGTGGAGCCTGGAACGAAGTCTCAGGCAACGGCAGCTCTGACAGCATTTTCGCCCGCATCGCAGCCGGAACCTTGCGGATGCCTTGGTTGCTGTTTGTACCGGCAATTTTTGAGCTTTGCAGCCGCAAACCTTGACCACAGTCTCGAGTTGTGTAGCATTGGTTCAGAGGAGATATTCGTGGATGCACCCTCGGAAGCATATCCACGAAACTTGGACAATGGTATCCTCGGGATCTGCGACTCTCGGTCAGAGAAGGAGTTTGTGGCTGCAGATTCTACGACACACCCGCCACTGGCCTTGAATAGTACCGAGGCTCAACAGGGAGGGGAGGAGGGCACAAATGAACGGACGGTGTCAGGCGAAGCCACTGAGGCCACGAGCATGGAAAATTCACCAAGGCCACTCGAGGAGCAGCCCGAGCCCGAAAGAATGGAAATGGACGTCAGAGAGAGGCCCAGTAGCCCAACAGTCATTGTCCCTCCCAGCCAGCACCCGACACCTCCCACGCTCATCTTTGAACCATTCACTCCCGACAGCCTGAGCTCTAGTGTGCTAGAGTCCATAGAAGTCATAACGTCGCCGCTGCTCGACCAACTTGCACCATTGCCCAGCATCGACGGTATCATCCGCCGCAGCTTATTCGACGAGCTGAACAGTGCCGACTCCTCTGAGGATGAAGATTTGGATTTCCACTTCAACTAGTCGTACATTCTCGGGGTAGGAGGCGGAAATAGGCGGAATCTGTGGTTAAATAGCACTTGCAGAGGCCAGCAAACGATGCGGGCAGCGTCCAGCCAACCATCAACCGATCCGCCCAAGGCAACCCCAACCCCAATCCTGCCTGGTGTGCCCGAGATCCGCCTCATCGGCAACAGATGTCTCAGCGCGCGCGACTACTACGACCTGAACGGCACCGGCGACGCCAGCGAGCACTACCTGCATTGCGCACGCAACACCAGGTACGAAAACAAGTCGACATGGCTCTGCTTTGGCCCAGATGGGTGCCCAGAGCCGGGCCTCGCAGTATTATACAATCTGCGGACAAGAGGAGGGCAAGGAAGAGGAGATACGGTGCAGTAAGTATTAGAAAATGGCCCCGCTGCCGAGCTGGGGCTGCTGAGGAAATACGCGAGATGTAGGCCCGTGAGGACGCGAAGATGTGGACAGAACGGAATGCGCGACTTGCCGGGGCGCCGGGAGGACAGGTATAGACAGGTATAGTCGTGGATGATGCTCGTCTGGGGAACTTGGACGACGATACCACTTCGTTTAGCTTGGTCCAAGGCTAGGGAGGGAGCAGTTCTGAGCTGGGCCCAGCGGATTCACTTCCGGCGCCATGGTCCGCGGGTTTCCTTGCAGCTCCTTTTTTCCCCTATTATGGGTTGGGGCATTTTGAACAGGTTGTATATCGATAACCACGCCTATATGCAGTGTCCATTTCTCTAAATAATTAATACACATTGCCGAGTGCTATCCATCCTATAATACCGTGACATCCATATGAGCCCTTGCGGTTTTGTTCCCGAGTTGTTGCGTGTCGAAGTTCGACACTGGAAATGGGCGAAAACTTGAGTTGTGTTGAGAACTAACTACGTAATTAGAATTTGGTTGCCCGGGTGCGTTCATCGGCGGGTTTATTAGACGTATCCACAGCCTGATAAAACCCTTATCAACGAACGAGGTCATAGCTCAAAATGGGTCATGGAGTTTGACCCATGTTGAGCCGTTATGACCCATGTTGAGCTGTTATGACCCATGTTGAGCTTTTCAGTCAGCACATAGCATATGCTAAAGGTCAGCCGACCAACCCAAAGTGGAAAAGACCGGCGAGCAAGGGTAGACATCTATAATATTGCTGCACAATTATTACTCTGCTTCACCATATGCCGAATTTGTACTCAATACCTCAATCTAATAATAACAATTCAGGGGAATTAATCCGCAATGGATGTATTACCAACCTACAGAGGAGCAACAGCCGACTTTGAAAGTAGAGCCTCCAGGCACTACGTAGCTTATGCCTAGTATGAACATGACCCTACGTCGTCCCCCCATCCTTCAGACGGTACCCTTAGCGATACCGGCGACGAAGAGTCTACAGGCGATGAGGATGAGCAGGTGCTCGAGCAAAGTATAGACGATACGATAGAACAATTCTGGAACGAGGACGATGATCCGATTACGGAGACAGCGGGAGAGGTCGTCCGAGGGATGGGTTTTACCAAGGTGAGCTGCTCTAGCATATACTGAACCTCGACTGACTTGAAGCAGAACACTCTCAAGGATTACGGCCTAATTATCAGCGGTGGCCGTAAACATATTATCTCTATGGCTGAGATTATTGACAGCATTACTATTCTAAGCTATTGTCACGGCAGGTGCCAGACAGGTGGTAAGAGCTGGCACACCCCGACCAGACATTCTGGTTTAGGATGTGGTCAGTGCATAACGTCACCAACTCAACCTATTTCTCTGCGCCCTGCGCAGCCTTTGGAACTTTCTTTTCTTTTTCTTTCCTTAGCTTTAGATTCTACGAATACAGCGACCATATTGCAGCCCTGTCTCAAATTAGTTGACTGTGCGGTGACAATCTAAAGCTCAATCTCACTACTCGCCTGGGAAGGCAATTGCAAAGAATATCCCCCGGAAAAGAACAGAACCCCGCGGTCGCTACACAGGTGTACGATCGCCGACCGAAAGAAAGCACCCAGGCGGAGTGCTAGAAAGAGAGGCGACCGGTAAGATGCCTACCGCCGACGATACCGCCATGCAGGCAGTTCTGCAGACGGCTGTCGACGAAGTGAACTTCGATCGCGAGAGCTTCATGAGAACCCACTCTCGCAAGAAGTCAGAGACCACGTTAGCTATGCTAGCCAAGCAATCCGAAGTGACCGCCAAAGCCACCCAGGTCCCAGCGAACCCCACTAATGACCGAGTGGACATCTACGACTTTACGAACCGTGTCCTGCGCGATGTCGACGGCGCGAAGTTCACGCTCTCTGTCGATGAGATCGATAAGGACCTTCAGGAGAAGATGTCCGACATGGCAGCCGCATTCGTCAAGCGGAACAAGAATGGACCCGCCTTACCCTTTGGCACGTGGTTACATCCAGATCTCGTCGCTTTTGAGGGACCTATGGATATCAAGGACTTTGAGCAAGCATCGACTAAGCATCCTGACGAGCATTACTAGGAGTTCAAGGTCCGCACGTTTTTAGCGCACGGCCTGTACGACCAGATGTCTCAGCTATATAGCATCGCTCGCTATCAGGCAGTCGTTATCGATAACCTCAAAGCATGGGCAACCCGAATCCTGACACAGAATACACGCTCAGCCGCTGCGACTTCGGTTACGAGCCCCACAGCTGGAACCCTAAGCCCAGCTGACGAAGATCTCGTCGCAAGCCTGAACGATGCCTTACAAGATCGGAATGAGGCCATCGAGCGCATGCAGGATAAGATCAATAGCCTGAGCCGCGCAATCGCTGACAACGCTGTTAACGGCTCGATCCGCGGATCAACACCCGCATCAGTGGACAGTACGTCACGTCGAAGCGCCAAGATTTCTGATCCTCCGCTATACTATAACGAGAAGGACAAGGATACGGTCACCTTCAACGCCTGGATCCGCCAGATAAAGAACAATTGCAAATCAAACGGCTGTGGGTTCGAGCCCTGCAGTTGCAAATGAGCCCCACCTCTTTAAATGCCCGGCACGACCGATGGGAGATCGGGAAAACAGTGGGGGTTTATATGTGGGTAGTTTGGGGATCTCTATAGTGCGATTGAACCCGGGTCTAGAGCTCGCGAGTATGCTCGCTCAACTGGGGGGTTGAGGCTCGGGACGAACCTCTAGCGAACCCGGGGGATGTCACGGCGCGCAACGGCCGTAGCACACTATAACCCACTACAGGTTGCAAGTCGACGACTTGCAATTCTGGCATCCTTTTGGGGGTTCTAGCGTAGTGGTAGTGGGTGCTGTGAGCTGGCGCCGTCACAGCTATCCTTTTACTTGTCACGACCAGGGCAAGGCATTGAGGTGAACTCAGTCCATTGGGTGCTATCGACGAAGATTCTAAACTGAGGAAGGAAAGAAGGAAAAGTCCAACGACGCGTCGCGTGCTCGCGAATAAGTTTTCATCTATCAGTGGGGTAGGTGGGGCCTCGAGGCGGCTTCTGATAGGCCCGGGGTTCTGGGCGGCTCTGGCTGCTTGAGGGCCAGTTTGGTGGACGGGTCCTCACATTACTCATAAGGATGGTATAGCCACTTTTACCCACCTACCAGAACCAATTCTACAAGGCGACCCGTCGAATATAGATATTCTTTAGGAGTTGCTCGGGTGTAGGATCAGGTACGTACTTAGCGTCTGCCGAAACAAAGTTGAAGCTAATATATATTGTAAGGAAAGGACACCCCAAACACCAGCCGCGCGCACAGAGTGCGCGCTCACCACCTGTTACCAACTGGCCGAAACACTGCCAGTTGGCACAAGCCACTACGCCACGCCATAGCGCCCCGGGCCTGAGCCCCTGAGCACGTATATAAACAGTGGCCCTCGCCCACCTTCCTTTGCGAGGGCTAGGTTGAAGTCTCACACCAATACTACTCATTGCTCGCCCACCTTCTTACCTGCATTGTGACCACCTTGATCCGGCGTACCTGCCTTCTCTTACAATATGAAGAAATTCGATTTCACACTAACTTTAAAAGTAGAACGACGATAACAATTTTAAAAACGAAGCTGAAATTCTTAATGTAAGTATCTTTCAAGCTAAGCTTAAGTTTATACTAAACCGAGATAGTAATGATACGTCGTTAAACTTCGCCTGGTATATGGCTTATAAGTATATAGGAGTGAAAGTATGTGGAGTAGCTGCCAAGGATATTCTGACTCCGTACCCAGCGTTCGACAAAGTGAAGTTAAGCTTACTTACTAACCTCCCAAAACAACAACAACGTGGGGAAGTTGATGGGTCAAATTTGACCGAGGCTGTAAAAACTAATAGAAAAGTAAGTAAATACTTCCACCCACTTCGCTTATTTTTAGTACATGCGTGAGCCGATCGCAGAACGCTAAGTCACCTACGCTTCGAATACGGGCTCAGCATATGCCGAATACTGGAAAATATAAAAACATATTAACGTGTGTGATAAGCGAGATGAACAGACAAGCGAGTTGAACAATTTCCACAACCTCACCACAACTACCCTCAATTACACAACCACAACACTAGGAAATAACAATAACTGAATCGGAAACAGATGAATCAGACGATTCTGCAGCCTCCTTGCACGTACGTGCATTATGGCCAGGCTTGCCGCATACGCCACAGCATCGAATCTTCGTACGAGACCCCCCTGCACCACCACCATTTTGTCGTGTTTCCTGGACTAACTGCCCACCCACAGCCTTCTGATCTAGTAGATCCTGTGCCTCTTGTATAGTAAGTGATCCTCTAAGCCGAACACGTGTTTTCTTGGCTCTCCGTCGCTTACTAAGCCCCTCATTGGCCTTCCGAAGTGCTGAGACCTCTGTACGCAAAAGAGCCACCTCGTGCATCATAGCCATCGTACCTTTAGCTAATCGATCCACAGCAGTCAGCATTGGTGTTGGAGAGCTGCCCTGATGGTTGGAAATTCGAGTTTTGATGAACGCTGACTGTGAGGCAGCCTCTCTCGGGTTTTGTGGCGTTTGGGAGACCCAAGGTAGCGATGTAGTTAGGCTTGTAGCTGGGGGTGTTGGAGTCCGAATACGCACATCTAGCTTGGATATCACCCTCTCTGGATCGTACGGCACAAGGCCGGCTCCAGCAAACCCCCCCTGGATATTCCTTTCCGTAACCGAAGCAAAAAACGCCTCTCTAAACCCACAAAGAAACTCCAGCTTGCTAATATGTGTGATGTTCATCCGCATCAGCTGCTCAATCTGACAGCCGTACGCCTTCTTCAACGGCCCAAAGCAACCAACATCCAATGGCTGAAGTAGGTGTGAAGAGTGCGGAGGCATACAGAGTGTGATGATGTTGTGCTCCCGGCAGTAAGTCTCGAATTCTTCGGAGTGGTGGCTATCGTGGCCGTCGAGAATTAACAGTCGGTATATTCCCTTCGTACGAGATGCTGTGTGGAAATCGAAGTGCCGAATCCAATCCATGCCTTTCTCATTAGTAGTCCAGCCATTGTCGGTTGTTGCGATACGCCAGGTACCCGGAAGGTTGCACTCTTGATACCAGTTAGCAAGGTGATATTGCCCAGCTAAGATAATGAATGGTGGGATAGTCCAGCCTAGAGCATTCACTCCTTGGATGACTGTAGCCCACTCTCGATTACCAGGCTGGGCTTGCTTAGCCCTACCACGGCCATCAGAGGTAGTAACTACCATAGCGGGGATGATAATGCCCATCATAAAGCCGGTCTCGTCGAAATTGTACAAATCTTCGTCAAGGATACCGTACTTGGCCTTCGTGTTGTGCACAAGCGCAAACCACTCGCGAATAACTTTTGGATCTTCGCATTTGGCCCTCTGGTAGTCGTATTTACGCGTAAAACGCGTCCGAAGTTCTGGCTGGCGCTTGACGAAGTTGTGAGCCCAGCGTGTACCGACAGAGGGCGCGTCGCGTTCGCGTAGCAATCGATTGGCCATATCTTCTACGTACGAAAGCCGGGGATGAAATGCGCGCGCACATAGCTCAATGATGTACTGAACAATCGTTTTCTCTTCCAAATCCGTAAGCTTCCGCGAATTGGCTGGAGTATCACGTCGTGCAGGTTTGCCGTCGCGTCGGTTGCGTATAGTATTTACCATGACTTGATATGTTGTTGCTGCAGCTCGAATACTGAGTTTTGGGTCGTTTTGAATAGCCCTGAGGGCCAAATTCACCCTAGCTTCGTATGAAGGAAGAGACATTTGAGTTTGTTGAGGAATTTGGTGTTTTGTAGAGAGGAGGCGCGTCGCGTCAAAAGTGTTCAACTCGCTTGTCTGTTCATCTCGCTTATCACACACGTTATTACATAACTATTAAAGTATGACTTCGTTTATACTCTATCTTGCTTTCTTTGACAGTGTAGACCAATTAATTTATCGTACATCTTGCTTTAATTGACCGTTTATACTACTTTATTTGCCCTACACCGAGTTATATATATTTTTATTGGGGCTGCTCAGCATATGCTATGTGCTGACCGAAAAGCTCAACATGGGTCATAACGGCTCAACATGGGTCAAACTCTATGACCCATGTTGAGCTTTTTCAGGGTTAGGGTTTTTTGACCATGTTGAGCTGTGACCTGATCAACGAACAAGACGTTGGAAGAATCCCCGCCAAGGTTTCAGTCTCTTCTACAGCGTTTACTTCCAAGGCAGCTGTAAAGATATGAGCTGTATAATTAATTGCGACAGTACTAATTACCACTCTGAGGAAAATAATACAACACGTGCAAATAAATGATTGCAACAAGTAAAGAAGGACGATAAAAAAAACAAGAATCAAAACACAACCCGGGCAACTAGGTAATTATCAACCTCATTGCCCCAGAGTACACTATCGCTCACAAATCATCCTGAACAACCAACTTCTGACCCTCATTCTCGCCCACGCCATCCGACTCAACCTTCTTCAGCCCGAAACAGCCATGCACATCATCAAAAACCACGGAAAACCCACGATAAAAGAACCGCCCGGTATTCACAAACGTCGGCGTGCGCAGCGCGACACTGACATGCCACGGGTTGACGTTGGGCACCGACGGCGTGCCAACGACAAACTCCTCGACGGCGACCGGCGGCAGCCCGGGCTCACCAAACGCGATCTGCACCCTGCTGCCGTCGGGCAGCTTCGCGATCGGTTTCGGCAGCGTGCCATTGGGCAGGCTGACGTAGCTCTGGTTGAGGCCCGTGTCGAGCAGGGCGTTACCACACGCCGGCGTGGTGTCGTTGACGACGATGCACGCGCGCGGGCCCATCCAGTCAGCCACGCCAGGGTACGGCACGGGCTGCAGCGCGTAGAAGGCCGCGCCGGCCGTGTTGGCATCCGTCAGCCCGAGCGCGGCGCCGCGGCTGTCGAGCACGTAGCCGGCGTTGAATGAGGTGTTGGACACGGGCAACCCGGCGATGGCGGCGACGTTGCGCAGCGGGTTCTTGTCGGGCGTGGCTTGCGAGGCGGCGCTCGACTCGCGGCCGAAGCCGATGCCGAGCATGGCGACGCCCGTGCTGTTGATGCGCGTGTCGCGCTTGTCGAGGCAGTGCGGTGTGCGCGTGGCGTCGTAGTCGAGGCAGCGCGAACAGTCGACCATGGCGAGGAGCGTGGCGTGCGTCTCGACGACCGGGTGCAGCGTGTGGTTTCGCGCGTCGGCGTTGAAGAACAGGGTCCGCGACACCCAGCACCCCTCGTAGTACACGCGGCTGCTCGACAGGTACTCGTCGCCGGGCTGGCCGCCCTGCTCCGCGCATCCGCGGTTGAAGTCGTAGCCCACGTACTTGGCCGGTAACACGATGCCCTGGCTGCCTGTGTCGGCTAGGGGCGTGAACCGCCGTCCCGATGGCGAGCCGACGCGGAACGAGAGGTACACGGGCGACTCCCAGTCGACTCCGGACGAGTCGGCACCAGCCCAGGGGATCATGGCCGAGGTCGTGAAGTTTGTGTAGCGGCTCGCAGCAGCCAGCGGCACACCCGCCGCGGCGAAGAGCTTGGCAAAATTGGAGACCATGGTTGTGGTGGTGGTTGCGGTGGTGGTTGCGGTGGTGGTTGCTGTTGTCCAGGCTGCAGGCACCAGAGGTCTGTTTGTCCACCGGTGTAGCGGTGCTCCGTGGCAATGGTGGTTTTGTTGTCGTTGGGTGGTGTGGATGAGAGATTTGAGGGTGATATTGGTTTGGGGGTGATGTTGGTTTGGGGATGGGAATCGGGAACTGGGAGAGTTAACATCTCATTTGCACCACACCAAGTTCGGTGTGGCAATGAGAGCTGAGCTGAGGGGAGGTCGAGGCCTAGAACGTCTCTTTGATGCGATTTTGTCGCTGGGCGTCGGCGCGTAATTTCACTAGTGCCCTTTCGTTGCCATGGCTAGCAAGGTCGAAGCAAAAGTGGCGAGCTGAGATATTCAATAGTGCCGCCGAGTTGCAGGGGTGGGAAATTCGTCAACACCATGCCACGTTCAAATTGCCTGCTTCATTATTTGAAGAGTTATCTGGAAAAACTACGCTGAAGATCTATTTTTATTAGGACATGTCCAGGATGGCGAGATGATACCCGACGCAATTTTCTCTCTATTATCATGAAAAGTCGTGAATGGAAAGAGGATATCTGTTGTAGTGATTTCCCAGTACATAGAACCTATAGAACCTGTGTAAAATCAACTAGAACTACCTCAACGACGGGACTCGGGATAGAAGAGAGTTCTTCTCGACCTTTCCTTGGATATTCTTAATTGCATTTCTAACACCGCGTCAAGCTCTTTAACGTGTTGCGAAGATTTTTCAAGGATTTCCAGCTGAAGTACCGGTATTATAGCGTCGACGAGGACCTTTGCTTTAGGAAGCGTCAACAGAAACCCCACGTTAGTCCTATATTCGACGTCCAGGGCGTGTCGCAGAGGTGTGTATCCGTCCCTGCCTTCGTCTGCGGTTTGGGCCAGTAACGGGTCGATGTCGTTCCGGGACCTCGACTGCTCTTGCGTGCCACTTGCATCCGCCGTGGGCTTTCCCACTTGAACTTGCCGGATCCAGCTGTCTAGAAAGTCGGTGTCGATCTGTCGAGGGAAGAACAGAAGTTGTACGAAGACACCTTGAAGGACTGCGAAAACCAGTTCAACAGGATTGTGAGGACTGCGAAAACCAGTTCGACAGGATTGTGAGTACTAACAACGAGGCTAAGAAGAATAAGTACTCTGTTCTTCTCACTACCATCATGAAGCCCCAGCAGCTCTGCAATCATGGAGTAGCGAACCTTGGTTTATGTGAACTGTGTGGGGCGATGACCAAGATACTCAGGCATTGCTGGATAGTAATTCACAATGCCCCGACTGCTCCCGAGATCTCGGCAGGAAACAGGCAAATTCGCTGCTAAATCCATTCGCCGACTCACCCTCCCGTACGCACTGTCCTCCACGAGCCGTGAGTCTAGCATTGGCGGTCGCTCACCTTGATTGGCCGGAGAGATTACGCCACTATCTAGCGGGTTTCGAAACATCGGCCAGATGACGGGGTCTTCCAAGCTTCAGGCGGTGGCCCAGAATATTAAAGCCTTGCTTCCCTGTTCCAAAAGGTGAGCCTCCTTATTCCCGGAAAATGGTCATAGCTTGAGATCACTAAACCAGCCACATCACGGTTCACAGCATCATCTTCACATCGTGGCGTGACACAATCGACATGCTCGGCCCGATGCTAACCTATCACAACATCCCGTACCTCTAGATTGACGGGAGGGTCGGGATTTTAGACCGCATGAGCATAATCTCCCGGTTCTAAGACACCGACGAGGCTTGTTTCCTGGTCATGTCTACTGCGATGGGGGCAGTCGGGTAAATTCACGGCCATCCCCTTTTCCTGCGTTTTTCAACTGTCAAATAATTGGACTAACAGCCACTCTAATACATAGACTGACACCTACCGCCGCAACTCGTGTCCATATCGTCGAGCCGTAGTGGAACCCGTCCGTGGAGGACCTGGCCATTGCCCGGGCACTGCGCAACGGCCAAGAGCGCACGGTGATCGTTGTGAGATATATCGCCAAAGGCACGCTCGCGATTAGTGAGCCGATTAAACTGTGACCATTGGATGTCTCCCATTGGCAACATTTTGCTAACCATCTGAGACTCGACAGCGATGCCAACGACGCGGTCGGGGCCGGCGCTGTTCTTCTCGGTGATGTAGGCCAGCAGGCGCGGCGCGACGCCGTTGCCGCGGTCGTGGATCGCCGCGTACACTTCGGCCTCGGCCCGCGTGCCGGCGCTAACCCCGCGCCGGCTACCGCCGTCGGTTACGTCCTAGACCTGGGGCGTGATGCGGCGGCGAGCAGTGAGCTCTTCGTTTGCGACAACCAGGACTTTCTGGGCTCCGAAAGTCTACAGTCTCTCCTCGGGTGTCATGGGCGGCAGCCCGTCGCGTTTAGCCAGGTTCTCGGGGTAGCTCATCGCCCAGACGTGGGCGCTCCAGCCCTCGGCTTCGGCGAGCTTGGGTTCGGGGATTCTGTAGCGGCCCCGTTCCCAGAGACTGTAGCCTGGGATCGAATAGTTGACTCGGGGGATGTCGGCCGGACAGGGACCCGCGACGCCCACGAACTGTTGCTTCCAGGTCGACGACACGACCAGTTTGTCCTCGTCGTTCGGCGATAGGCGAGCGGCGTTCCAGTCCCCGGGCGGGAGAGTGTTGAAGGCAAAGGGCTAGACGTCCAGGTTGCGCGCAAAAGCCTCTTCCCAGGCCTGGATGTCTTCGTCAGTCCCCCGCATCAGATGCCACAGCGTGTCGGTGTAGAATAGATACTTGATGCTGCCGTCGCCGTCCTCGACTCGGTAGTAGGCGTCATCCAGGTCCCATTAGGACGTAGGGGCCGTGCCAGGATGGCCGTCTCCGACGAGCTGGAAGCTGGCTGTCTTTCTCATGACCAAATCGTGCACACCCATAGCAAATTCTAGTGTAGGAAGTTCAAGTAAAAGTCAAGGTTGAGGATGCGTCAGGTAGATGGGACTTTGAGGCAGAAGAGTCGAGTCAAAAGTCGAAACCAGGCTGGAGCGGGCGAGGGAGGGGAACCAAACCCTTCTTATCGGCCGGGTTGAAATAGCCGCAGCGAAAGGGAGCCAATGGGTGGGTTGACTCGGTGGCATGGCTGCGCCCATGTAATTAGAACGGGTATCACGCACAGTGTGACTACAAAACAACATACTCCATTGCTGCATCATGCCACTATGTGTCACAAAGAGGAGAAGTCCATCGTGGCCAGTCACTGTGAGCAATAAATGTTGCTCTATTGGTTCTATCCAAGCTATCTAGGTGTAGGAGTGTCCGGGGGGCTAATCATGGTGCTGTGACTTTGGGGGGTGTTGAGATCCATTTCCGAGCCATCCAATCCGTATCATTCCAGAAGAAGAAAAACTGATCAATCTAATCACTGGCCGATCCGCCTTCTAGTCCAGTCAGCAAAATATCCTCCGCGCAGTCTTGTGTTCTTGTGTTCTCATGGTGTCTACCAATTGGCAATCTCCGGCTTGGTCATCCTTCCTATAACCTCATTACTCATCACTATTAGCACCCATCCCGCTATCAAGAGTAGTTGTGCCTTCTTGGCTTATGAGCGTCCACCTGGTAGTCACAGGTGCAACTTTCCTGACCCTTGCAGCGGCGGAGGATGACGACATATTTGTGGTTACAGCTGCAACTGTACGGCACTTCCTGCCTGATGCACCTTTCGTCGCGACTTGTGATGTCTCAGATGAGGATTTGTGCTGCTGCTTGTTGCTAGGGATTTGGCTGAGGTGACTACGGTGGTGGTGGTGGTGGTGGCGTATAGTGTGTTTGTATGTGCTTGACGGTATATCGTTAAAGGGGTGTTTGTGGTGACAAGGTGGCTGTTGTAGCCTGTAGATGTTTTTCTCTCGTGGCGAATGATCTGTGTGTGCTTGAGTGTGCTTGTTCTTGATGCTTTCTCGGTGCCGGATGAAGGAAAGATGATCTTAACAAGAGTAGCTCTCGTTGACCCTTTATACCCGGACGGTAGCCCAATTAGTCACCATCGGAATCTGCTTTGGAAACAAAACCCGACTCTTTGCTTCATTATTCAGACATTTTCGGCTTCCATAGCAGGTCAGTTACTGCTTGCCGTACGCCTTGGGTCTCGTCTAGGGTCTGATATGGCTGTGTTGATCACAAGAGAGTTCAAAATCCCGGAGTGCGCCCACGTCCTCGGCGGCTTGATATATTGCGGCTGCCCTTGAGCAGGGCACTTGTTGTCATTGGACGTCGCCATGGCCAGCAGATCCCAGAGTGCCGAGGAGTCAAACTCGACACCTCCCACTCGTAGGGCGGAGTTGACTTCGACCGTGTCATTGGAAATGACAGCGAATTGATCAAGTGGGCTGGACAAGAGGACCCGCAGATAATCACTTCTCAATTACAGAAAGACGGTACCGAATCAGTAGAATCTACCTACTCCCTTGAATTCATACTGCATCTGCAGCAGCCATGAATTCATACTGTACCTGCAGCAGCTCATGCAAGGCATCCGTGGGCAGTTGGCGCTTACACGGATCCGACAGTCCGGGGCGGCGTGCAATTGGACACCGCTCGGACATTCGGTTGCGTTGGCAGTTCCTCCGCCACGGAAACCCGGCCGCTCTTTCCATGACCACTACGTTTGAAGAATGCCCAAGAACGTATTTCAAGTCCGCCATGTAGGGATCAAATAATGAAAGGAGTCAGTCGATGCTGTCCTCGTGAAGATAAAGACCCCTTTGCAGACCTTTTCTTTAGCCGTGCTCAGTCTGCCCGGTCTCTGTCTGCCCGATCTCTGATATTAGCGGTCCGACTGACTCCCCTCTAACTCGACTATCACCGCACACCGATACACATGCCAACGTTGGCCCTTAACCCCAGCCAGATCAGTTGAGCGGTGGTCGGTCAGGTTGACGGCGAGCAGAGGCCTCCCATCTTCGTGGAATTCCTAGAACGGAACTCGAGTGGACGTGTCGGTAGCAATCACTCCTCATTTCAGGTGTGGGTCTTCTTCAGGGAACTCTTTCTCGAGTCCTACCGGCATAACGATAGCCATGACGATGATAAAGGACAAGGTAGGAATGAGAACGCGGCTTCTACGTCGAAGCAGATATTCATCTTCTCGACAGCTACGACTCTATTACCCGTATTATTCTCTAGCGCCGAGCCCAGATCCCTATTATTCTGCCCCAAAATCCCACCAATCTTCACACCAAACACACCTCGAACTATCAGATAATCTTGTCCTCCCACGGCTCGCCCCAGGGAACCGTTCCATCACCATACACGCGCACGAGCCTCCATAGCACCATCTCGATGCTCTTCGCGGTGCCCTGCACGTACTTGGTGTCGGCCGAGCTGCCCAACAGGCCCGGGATCTTGGTGGTGTTGGCTTCGAACGCCGACTCGTCAAACTCGTGCAGGGCCAGCAACCGCGGCCCGCCGCCCATGGTGTTGTTGAAGCGGCTCGTGCGCCGCCAGCCAGGCAGCCGGGACACCTCGCCAATGTACGTGCTGTGGTACCAGTCTTCGAAGAAGTCTGTGTAGTTGACGGGATTCGTCTTGAACGACGGCTCGATGGCTTCGGTGACGAGGATCGGGCCGCGTTCTGATTATCAAACAGGGTTAATTAGTCATGTCCCGGAGAACATGAATAATTAGAGTGTAAGGGAAACAGACCATCGCCAGTACTCCCGCTCTTCCACGTCTCGACGTGTGGGCCGGCCATGGCGATGAACTGGGCGACCTTGTTGACGGGCCCGCCGCCGGGCAGGGCGGGGTCGGTGAGAGTGACGTTGAGGAACTCGGGCGCGGCGAGCGCCGCCACGTCGGGGTACTTGTACGTGACGAGGAACGGCGTCGGTCGCCGCGCGTCGGCGCTCTGGTACCGCCACGCCGTCGTGATGGCCCCCGCCTTCCCCCCCATCCAGTCCGGGATGTGCACATTCTCGTACCATTTCACGTAGTTGTCGTACGGCAGCGCGTCCTTGTAAGCCGGCAGCACGCCTGAGCTGACCCAGAAGATGCCCGGCACGGGCGCAGACAGCGACATGGTAGAGACTAAAAGGGGTTGGCTGGTTGGTTCGTTTTTCTTTTTTCTTTTCCTCTACTTTTCTTTCCTTTGCAGAACCTCCCCCTCATCGACATCGTCGTGGACAAGCCTTTTAAGTTGTTGTCAGCTTCGTGCCCGGGTATATGCCAATACCCGACAGCCTCAATTCCATATGGTTATTTCTTTGTAGTGGAAGATTCCGCACAATTTCCAGCCCGTCCATATATTAAATGCAAACTTTATCCCGTCGGAAAGAAGCGGTGGTGTGATTGTGTGCTGCGTGGGGGAGCATTACGGATTTCTAGGCCTCCAATTTTGTGTCGTTACCGTATAAAACGGTCGTTAGTCCGGGCGCTACCGCAGTTTTCACCGCGGGTTTCACCAGACTACATTTCGTGGTCGTGGTCGTGGTTGAAATAGTTTTCAGCTGTTCTACTTTGAAGAGTGGCGTTGTGATGTGTCTTTGGAATGAGCAATGTGCCGTTCAATGACAGAATGGAAAGCATATGCGCCGCAGCCTGCAACGCGGGAACTTGTCAATATCACGGCCACCGGAAGAAGAGCATTTTCTTGAGGACTTACGCGGGCTTCGATGGTAATCGTCCTCGGATCAGGATTGTTGATGGTGTCGCACGCCTGGTGATAGCACGGGTCCTGCGCGGCTCCCGTGCCCGTGTTGAGGAAGCCAAACGGCTTGCCCAGCACCTGCCAAAAGGACGCGTAGTCGCTGCCGTTGGTGATGATGGCGGGCGTGACAACCAACCCCTGGCTCTCAAAGTGGTCGACGTAGATGCGCTCGATGACGTCGGACCCCGCCGGCGCCACGCTGCCATGCGTGCTGCCGTCGCCGTCGCCCACGCCAAAGTAGCCTTTGGACACCATGTCAAAGTTGAGGTAGGCGAGAATCCGGTCGGCCTCGTCGGCGGCCAGGCTTGTGCAGTACGCCCTCGACCCGACCAGGCCGTTCTCCTCGGCGCCCCACCACGCAAAGCGCACCTTGTTTCTTGTCTGGTACTTGATCGTGCCGCGGAAGAGCTCCAGGAGCAGGCTGGTTCCGGAGCCGTCGTCGTTGATGCCCGGGCCCGCCTGCACGCTATCCAGGTGCGCCCCAAGCACGATCACGTTGTCTGGGTCGCCGTCCTCGGTCTCGACCAGGATATTCTGCGTCGTCCGGTTCTCGATACTTTGCGTCTGCTGGAAGTAGGCCTGGACAGCTCCACCAGCGTCAAGCAGCTGTTTGATGCGCAGCCCATCGTCCTGGTTGATGAAGCCGGCTGGGACGAACTCCGGGTTCGGCGCGCTCAGCGTGCCGGCAGTAGCATTCGCGGCTTGGTCGTTGTAGATGAGGACAGCGGCGGCGCCTGCACGCGCAGCCGGAAGCACCCGGCCGGCAAGTGTGCCCCCCGTCAAACAACGCCATCGCTGGACCAGCACAATCTTACCCGACACGTCCAGCCCGTCGTAAGAGGCTGCGTCGCAGCCTGCCACGCCCTCTGGCCCGTGAACCACCTCCGCCGTGAGGCCCGCGGCACTGGTGGACGGCGAGAACGTCAAGCCGTAGACATAGATGCCTTCGCCGTCAACTTTCAGCTCGATGGACTCGACGCGGCTGAATAGGGCTGTGAAGTCTTGCTTCCACGCCTTAGTCCCAGTGATATTAGAGACGCGGTTCCACACGTAGTCGACCGACGCCGCGTAGCCGGGCAGTCCAAAGGCACGGTTGCCGCCATTCGCCGATGCAATTTCGTCTAGAGCCACGAGGTTGGCCCACAAACCTTCTGTCGTGATTTCCGCCTGGAGCGCTGTCGAGTCGATTGTGGGTTTATTGTCCAACCCGGCCACGATTGACGACAGCGACGCAACAGCAGTGGCAGTTCGAGTGAGCTTCATGACGCTCGCTTGTTGAATTGAGAGTGGTGTCAGTCTATGCGATACGCGAGCAAATAGGAAGGGCTAGTCCTATTACTGGAATGTTCGTGCATTTTAAACACCAAGGTCCAACTCCGCTCAGCGTTGTATCGATGCGGGTACTAGTTGTTAGTTTTGTCCCCAATAGGAAGCAGGGCTGGATTGGGAAGGTCAAGGATGCTGATGGTGAGTTCTAAAGTGCCAAGTCCCCGATCAGCCTGAAGAACGGGTTTATTGTGGGAGGCAAGAACCCGTTGCCTCGAGCTATGTCACATGCCAGGATGGGTGTCGACGGTAGTTGAATTTACCGAACTCGTGACAAGAGAGCGTCTTGTCTAGCAGCATTGCCAAATCCGAAACTGGTGACTTCCAAGCGAATCAAGTGCTCTTTCGACAACACTAATAAAAGGCCAAGCATTTAGCACAGATTACGCCTTCCACGACCCCCTCTTCAATCACCAGTCACGCCAACAAAAATTCCGTTGGCTGCGGCTGCTCCGCGACAAACTCGCCCTTCATGACGCCATGCACATAAGCCGGGCCCTTCACCACATACGACCCGTTTCCAAGGCTCCCTAGCACCAGTGGCGCCGGCACACCGTAGAAGACCACCACCAGGTCGCCCGGCTCAGCCGAGTCCGGGACATAGCCGACACGGCCATCAGCCGACGCAAAGCTGCGACTCTGGTACGCGAGGCGGCGCGTGTCGGCCAGATATGCCCAGCCACTTCCGTGCGTTAGCGCTGACAGCCACGTGAGAGGATCCAGCAGGTCGGATTCCGAGTTCACCCTCTCGAAGAGCTGTGCATGGCTGCCGTCTTCGTTCATGATGGTGTTGCCGCCCAGCAGGGCCACATCGAGCGACACCTTCCAGTTCGGCATCTCTGCTGCTGGCACTGGGGCTGGAACGTCACTACCGCTTGTGTTGTTGTTGGCGCTGGACCTTCTGGCCTCCGCGACACGCGCGAGCAGCTCGCGGAGCCAGCGCCGCTGAAGCAAAAACTGCAGCGCATGGTCGTCGACAGCCGGTATGTCGCGCCCGGGCAGCTGTAGTCGCTCGCTAATTTGCTGCAACTCGGGAGCGTCGCGGTCAAAGTCGGTGTAGTCGGTGTCACGAAAGTCCTGCGAGTCTGACTGGAAGGCCTGCCGGAACGTAGGACCGACCGTGGCGACGGTGCAGAGAACCGTGCCGGCCAGGCGAAGGACGATTTTTATGGCCGGCTCGTCCTCGCCCGGGTCCATGAACATGACCTCGCTGGCCTGCGCCTTGGTGCCGCCGCACGCGTTGAACGACCTCCACGTCAGGCCGTTGTATGGGAACTCTGACCAGTTCACGGCCCACGACTCGAGGCCGCGGATTGCGGCCGTCGTGGCGGTGGGTCGGGCCAGGCGGCGCGGCAGGACGAGAAACGAGCCGTCGCCGGCGCGCAGGAACGCCATGCTCGCGCGGTTGAACACGTCGGCTGCCGAGAGCGCGTAGTTGATTTCGATGCCCAGTGCGTCGTTGGCCAGGCCCAGCAGAGCGAAGATGAGGTCGCGCGGGTCCGTGGAGTGGATAGCGGCGTCCTGCCCGTAGCTGCCGAGGTAGCACATAGTCAGCAGGTGGTCGAGGCCCAGGTAGCGCCCCGGGATGGCCCTCATGGTCAGCGTGCCGAGCATGCGGGGGTTGAGCTCGGGGATGTGGTTGCGGGCGTAGTTGTGGACAATGGCGTTCTTGGCAGCGTTGAGCAGCGGCGAGTCGTGCAGCAGCAGCGAGTCGCGCATGCCCCAGGCAAGGTGCATGACTAGCACAAACATGTCGCCGTCGACACGCCGGTCGCCAAAGGCAAACGCGACCTTGTTGGCCAGCAGCAGCTCCTGCAGCACCCAGGCGCGCGTCCACCAAGGGCACTTGGCCAAGTTGTTGAGCAGGATGAACAACCTGGGGATTTCGTCAATCATGCCCATGATCTGACGGCCGGCGCGCATCACATCGCGCTGTGCTTGCGATTCCATCTCGTCGTCCCGACGTGTCCAGTTGGCGCCCCGCGACAGCCACACGCTCATAGGAGCGTAGCCGCACGTGCGCCAGCACTCGAAGCGCTGCAGGCGGTCAGCGACCAGGGCGACAGCATCGAGCGAGAACATCTGCGGCCCGTCGCGGTTGTCGGCCGTGGGGCCGAGCCACACGAGTGTCGTGGCCGCGGCAGCATAGATGTCGCCCATCAGCTGGACCTGCCACGTCTTCTCGGCGTCGTCGGCCTGGTCGATGCACAGGGCGTCGACCCAAAGCCGCAGCTCGTCGTCGCGGCCGCCGCGAAGATTCAGGAGGGCCCAGCTGAGGTTCTCGCCGATGGTGGTGCTGAACGACGCCACATACATGGACTCGCCGGTCGTGGCGTCGCGGACCGAGTAGTCGACGTCGACGGGGGCGCGGTTTTCTTCTTGTGGCCCCCAGACGTAGGAAAGTGCGGAGAATGTTCCTGCATCTGCCAGCGGGACGTGTTCGAGATCGCAGCGGTACGGGAACGAGCTGTCAGCGTCGGGCCGCAGAATCAGTATCCGGATTTCCTGGGCATCTCTGTCCAGCGCTTGATACACGATAGGCATGGTGTTTTGTTGCTTTATTTTTTCGTCAGATCTGCTCGGTAGACGTTTCATGTGGTTTCGGACTTAGTACAAGGAGAAAAACACCGTGTGCCGTGGCAAGGCTCTGGTCTGATTTTAAATACTGGCGCATAGGGTAGTGAAAATGGTGGCAGTGCGTCCCGATTGGGAATAGTTCCATGCAACGTCATTGCTCTGTTCATGCACAGGTCAAGTGACCATTTTCTAGTTGATGTAGAGGGAACGTAGGGGGGAACGTAGGGAGGAACAATGTTAAATTCGATGTTGCCCCGGTAGATGGTAGCTGTTTCTCCGTGTGTTTTCTCTCGCTCTGGCCCCGGATATGCAGTCCCGCAGAATTCACACCTCTTCTTCACTGCGCAGATGATCAAATCTCAGCACGCTCTGCATCAGCACATCGGCGCCCGTTGCACAATCTTCTGCCTTGGCGAACTCTTCGGGGTTGTGGCTGACCCCGTTCCGGCACGGGACAAAAATCATGCTCGTTGGGCAATGCCGCGAGGTGTAGACCGAGTCATGCCCCGCGCCGCTGACCATTTCCCGAAACAAGCTAGTGTCTCCCGTCACAGATAGCGCCGAAGCCCGGACGGTCTCGATGCAGGAAGGGTGGAAGTCAACGGCGGGTGAGATGGTGTCAGTCTGCCAGGTCACCGACACATCAAGTCCCTTGGTGACATCCTTGGACGCCAGTCTAGAAAACTCGGCCTTCAACTCAGCCTCTAGGGTTTCAAGAGTGGCATCCGATGTAGCGCGTATGTCAAGAGAAAATTTGACCTGGCCCGGGATCGTATTGACGCTGCCTGGGGTTAGTGTCAGGATGCCGGTCGAGGCTAGAGCCGAGTGCTTGGCGGCCAAGTCGTGAGAGCACGCTATCATTCGACAAGCGGCCAGCATGGCGTCGGCTCGAGCATCGAAAGGCGTGGTTCCCGTGTGTGCATCTGAGAATTCGGCTGTCAGTAAATGACGATGTGGAAAGAGACTGCACGGATGAATGCGTACCTCGGCCTGTCAGTTGGACGGTATACCACCGATAAGCCTGGACGCCAGTGACGATGCCGATCTTTTGTTTGTGGTTTTCGAGGATCGGGCCCTGCTCGATATGAAGCTCAAAGTGCGCGGCCATGGGCATGGATGTATGACTTGCTGGAACGCTTCCCAAGTAGCCAATGCGCTCGAGTTCAGACCTCATTGTCACGGTGCCACCTCTAACTTCTCGAAGGCCGTGGGCAGTTTCGACTGGCACCTCGCCTGCCCACACACCTGACGAGACCATGGAAATAGGAAACCGGGCCCCTTCCTCACTGCGATTGGTGGCACATCAATAGCAATATCTCATGGCCGGTGACGAGGAAACGTACTTGGTCCAGTTCACCACCCCGACCGGAAAATGCGTCCTCGCGTCACGTTCGTTCAATATCCTCAGCATCTCAACGCCCGCGAGAACTCCAAGGATGCCGTCGTATCTCCCGCCGCTGGGTTGCGTGTCGAGGTGCGAGCCGACACAAGTCGGCGGTCCAACGTTCCGGCCGGGGCGGATGGCAAAAACGTTGCCCATCTCGTCGATGGTAACGGAACACCCGAGAGCCATCGTTGTCTCAACGAACCAGTCACGCGCTTTCTTGTCCGAGTCAGACAGCGACAGCCGGGACATGCCAGTTTCCGTGTCCAGCGAGCCCCACCGCTTTCCGGTGCCCCACTTACACGTGCGGTGCAGGTCGTTCATGAGGCGATCCTGGTTGACCGTGAACCCGCCGACACTCTGTCTGCGGCCGCTTGCGAGTCGCGCCGAGTGGGCAAAGCTCTTGGCTGCCCATTGTCCTCGGCTACCTTTCTTGAGGGCGGCAGCTCGTAGGAGAGGCAGCTGGTAGGCGAGCAGGGCCCGCGCGCGGCACGGAGCCATCATTTTTGAGAGAATTGAGCAGCTTTATGACGATTATCTGCCTGTGGGCCCAGACGAAATTTTCACTTGATCGAGCTGAAGAAGTAACGTAGGGTCTATTGCTGAAGTCGCTCCTTCCTAAATGTTTCCGTGTTTTGCGTCTGAGGTGCGGGGAAAGCAAGCGTGAGTGGACAATCCCTGGCCATTCACTGCCACTGCATTGAGCCAATCGGAGAATTGGCTGTGGTGGTCGGTTTGGAGTATGTCTTCGCGCCTTCCCTGGAATCACGGCTCCTAGAATCATGGCTCCTAGAATCACGGCTCGATCGTGTGCAGATGCCACTCGCAAAGCGGAGAAGGATCGATCAATGCGGCCATGTACGTACGTAACCTATTTCACTTTGGAAGTGACCTTGACGAGTGCATTGTGGGCCTCTCCAGGACACGGCGTGAAATATCCACAACCACTGCCGTATTTTTCCTTTCTCGAGCAAAGTCTTGTTTCCCTCCCGAGTTAGCGGGCCAATTACCACTCGAGCACCTTGATTATTCTCATCGGGCTCGCAAGATTGTGTCCCGATCCGTATCATACCCATCGATTACCTCAACCCCCTTTGGATGCTTGTCGACAGGGTAGTTCTATCTTTGGTCAAGCGGCTGCCGTTCGTTGGCAATGCCAGCTTCGTCAGATCGAATCCGATTCAGCCCCAATTCTGCTGTTGCAGATGCTACACTCCGAACGGTCGCCGTTGGTGTAGACAAGAAGAGAAAGTCAATAGGAAGGCGCTGATTGATCTAGCGAATTCAGTTTTCTGCATCCAAGTTACAATAAAGGGGGAAGGAGCGGAGACGTTCATTGTCGTTGCATGAGGTAAGCTCGACCCCTGTCTTGCATGCACTGTACCACTTCCATCCATCCCAAGCACGGTGTCTCAAAGGTCCACAATACAAGCACGGTTACAAGTGTACAAAAATACTCAAGGCCAATCTGAGTGCCGTCATGCTCTTTCGTTGTGTTTTGCAACTGCGACGGGCAAAACTCACCTTCGAGATCCGCAGGTGGATGCTGATTGGCTCGCAACGCTGGGCGCCCACACAGCATGACATCAACACTCTTGCTCTGCTGTTTGTCTCCACCTAACCGAACCATTACAGCTTTTGCAGCTCTTTTGCAGCCCCCAACCGTTGCAATTACAGCATTTCCGATGCCCCTCTGGCCCAAGCTCTCAGCACACTAGCTAGCACACCGCGTCACCGAGATGCGCCCCGCCCCACAGAACCGCTCATGGTCGGCGTTTCGCCGTCTCAGTGGTTGACGTCATCTACTGCCACTGGCGGCCAGACGTGACAGCCACGTATAATAAGAGAGAGATGGCCTTCCCGAGCCACAAGTTACCCTCCTTCCTAGTCCTTCTCCAAATAACCAACGACTCACATCCATGGCCGGTATCATGTCCTCAACGGTCCAAAAAGTGCAACAGGCCGTCATGGGCCCGCGGGAAGGCGACAAAGCTGCCGACCTGCTGAAGGACACCAAGGAGATGACGCCCAAGGCGCGTCTGACCACCGACTACGGTGTCAAATACACGTCGGCCGACGATTGGCTCAAGGTCGTCAGCCAGGACAAGACGGGTCCGGCGCTGCTAGAGGATCCTTTTGCACGGGAGAGGGTAACCACGCCTCGCCCACCCCCTTCTTCCACGCTGACATTTGCTCACCTCTGCCCAGATCCACCGCTTCGATCACGAGAGAATTCCCGAGCGCGTTGTGCATGCTCGGGGCAGCGGCGCGTTTGGCAAGTTCAAGCTCTACGAGAGCGCCGAGGACGTGACGCTCGCCAAGGTGCTGACTGACACGTCGCGGGAGACGCCTGTCTTTGTGCGCTTCTCGACCGTGCTGGGCAGCCGTGGTAGTGCCGACACGGTTCGTGATGTTCGCGGATTCGCTGTCAAGATGTATACGGAAGAGGGCAATTGGGACATTGTCGGCAACGACATTCCCGTCTTCTTCATCCAGGATGCCATAAAATTCCCCGACCTCATCCACGCCGGCAAGCCCGAGCCGCATAACGAAGTGCCGCAGGCTCAGACGGCCCACGACAACTTTTGGGACTTCTCATTCAACCACACTGAATCGACCCACATGTTTATGTGGGCGGTAAGCACTTGCCCTCCCGGATCGTCTCTTGGTATCCGGGGCTGATGATGTGGCTGATGATGTGGCTGATGATGTGCGCGTAAAGATGAGCGATCGTGGCATTCCTCGTTCGTACCGCATGATGCAGGGGTTTGGAGTGAACACGTTCGTCCTCATCAATGCCCAAGGCGTGCGCAGCTTCTGCAAGTTCCACTGGACACCCGAGCTGGGTGTTCACTCCTTGGTGTGGGACGAGGCCCTGAAGCTCGCAGGACAGGACCCAGACTTCCATCGCAAGGTATGTGCCACGCAGCCAGCCGTAGGCTTTCAGAGCAGCCACTGATGTATCACAGGATCTCTGGGAGGCGATCGAGAACGGCGTGTACCCCAAGTGGAGGTTTGGCATTCAGGTCATCTCCGAGGCAGACGAGCACAAGTTCGACTTTGACATTCTCGACGCCACCAAGATCTGGCCCGAAGATCTGGTGCCCGTCCGCTACATCGGCGAGCTCGAGCTCAACCGCAACCCGGACGAGTTCTTCCCGCAGACGGAGCAGGTCGCCTTCTGCACCAGCCATGTTGTTCCCGGCATTGGCTTCTCCAACGACCCGCTTCTTCAGGGGCGCAACTTCAGCTATTTTGACACGCAGCTCTCACGGCTAGGCATTAACTGGCAAGAGCTGCCCATCAACCGCCCCGTGTGCCCCGTCATGAACTTCAACCGCGATGGTGCGATGCGACACACCATCACACGTGGCACCGTCAACTACTGGCCTAACCGCTTCGAAGCCTGCCCCCCGGCATCTCACGCAGAGGGCGGGTACGTCGAACTTGCCGAGAAGGTGGCGGGTATTAAAGCACGGGCCCGAAGCGTGAAATTCCAGGAGCATTACAACCAGGCCCAGCTGTTCTGGAACAGCATGTCCCAGGTCGAGAAGAACCACATGATCAGTGCGCTCGCGTTCGAGCTGGACCATTGCGAAGACCCCGTCGTGTACGGTCGCATGGTGACCCGGCTGACCGACATCGATCTTGGTTTGGCGCAGTCCGTGTCGGCCTTGGCGGGCGGCGAGATGCCGCAGAGGGCAACCCGTCCCAACCACGGCCGCAAGGCGCCCGCTCTGAGCCAGACCGAGTTCCCCGGCGCGAAGCCGACGATCGCCTCGCGGCGCATCGCCATCCTCGTTGCCGACGGCTACGACGCCGTGGCCTTCTCGGCTGCCTACGCTGCCATCACGGCCGGTCTGGCCACCCCGCTCGTCATCGGTACCAAGCGCAACAAGATCGTGGCCGCAGATGGCACCACGTCTGTTACCCCGCACCATCACCTCGAGGGTTTCCGCTCGACCATGGTCGACGCGCTGTTCGTTCCCGGCGGGGAGCAGTCCATCAAGACGCTGTCCAGGAACGGACGCGCCCTGCACTGGGTTCGCGAGTCCTTTGGACACCTCAAGGCCATTGGCGCCACAGGTGAGGCTGCCGCGCTTGTCCAAAATGCCATCGCGCTGCCGCAGATTACGGCATCCGTCTCGGGTGACGTCGTCGAGCGCTACGGTGTTGTCACGATTGGCCAGGTCAAGCCCACAAACTTCAGCGAGGCGGTCACGATCGCCAAGGGCGCCAAGGGGTTCCTCGAGAGCTTCTTCTACGCTATTGCCCAGCACCGCAACTGGGACCGCGAGCTCGACGGGCTCAACACTCAGATTGCCTACTGAGGGGTGTCGATACAAAGTATAGGGGTGTTTTGGACGAGTCTATGTTAATAGCACGACTGTTTCACCGTTACAATGGAGTCTAGAGCAATATTTGACGTTGCCCACCTTACCAAGTGCCCATTAATGGGTAATATGAAGCAAAAAAATAGAGTATTCTTGCAATCGCTTGCCATTGTCCTACCCCATCCATGAGTCATTGCATCTGGCGCCCCAAACGCCACCTATTAGCAGGATGCAGCTCTAAAGCCATAATGCAGCTATCGGAGTCGACGGCGGCATTGCCAATGTTACGTATTAACCTGTGAGGGTGCAGGCTTCTTCATATATTATGCAGAGCTTTGGTTTCTTTTAATATAATCGGCAAGCCGTCACGAATAAGGCTCCACGAACAAGGCTCCACGAACAAGGCTCCACGAACAAGGCTCCACGCGATTATCCCTAGTTAGAGGGAATTAGATTAATTGTGAAACCAAGAAAACCACCGTTATATGCGTGCTAGATCAAGGGGTCCGGGATTTCCGCGTACAAGAGCATGGAACTGCAAGGACTTTGTGGGACCAGAGCTACAACCAAGCCAGAATGCAGAGGATTGGGGGCTATTCGCCCATTTTCTTGCTCTGACTTCCTAGTTGGGCTACAAGCCATCTAAATGTGGCCAAGAGTCGGCATCATTGCTAGTCAACACGGACGGGTAGGGCAACGTCGTCCAGCTCATCACCTTGACGGGTTGGTCGGAATTAGGACACATTCCTAACCGCCCTATCTTCGTCTATCTCCGGTTTCCAGTGCCATCGTCTTCTTCCATGAGCTGGACTATGTCCTGGTAGCAGGATGAGGCAGTCCTCCTGCACAGTCCTGTTTCTTTTACCTATCCATCCTCGACTCTGCGTGCCTCAACTCTGTGTGCCTCAACTCAGGACTCCAGCCCAACTCAGGACTCCAGCTCAACTCCGAACACTTGAACTACTCTCTGGCCTCACCCCTTAGCGATACTTGCCGCCATGGCATCTGCAGACTCCAAGGTTGTTTTCGTAACTGGGGCCAACCAGGGCCTGGGCCTCGCCATCATCGAGGTGGCCGGCCTGCGCTACCCAGACAACGTCTACATCCTGGGCAGCCGCGATGTCGGCAAGGGTGAAGAGGGCGTCCAGCAACTGCGTGAGAAAGGCGTCAAGGCCCGCGTCGACGTCGTCCAGCTCGAGGTCGACAACGACGAACATATCACCGCCGCCGTCGACTACGTGGCCAAGGCGTACGGCCGCCTCAACGGTAAGCTAGCTGTGCACTTTCCTTCTCGTCTCATTTAACCAGTTACCCGCCGCGGTTGACTAACTCCTTCGTGGCGCGCAGTGCCGGTCAACAACGCAGGGATGCTGCGGGGCGTCGGGGTGCGCGAGGATGACCCGGCGGCGATCCGGGCGACGTACGCGTCGCTGTTCGACGTGCACGTCACATCGGTGGCGGTGCTGACCCTGATTTTCAAGCCGCTGCTCTACCGGGCGCGCGCCGCTGGTCGTCAACGTGACGTCGGGGCTGGCCAACCTCGCCAACCTGCTCGACCCAGCCCGCCGCATGTTCCGCGTGCCGCCCTACGGCGCCTCCAAGGTCGCCCTCAACGGCCTGACCGCCCACCTGCAGGTCGACGAGAACGACCGCGCTGCTGATGACGCTGCTCACCCCGAAGCGCCATCGCTCGGCCCGCGCATCCGCTTCTTCATCTCGAATCCCGGCGTGCTGGCTACTAGCTTCTCGGGATTCCATCCCCGCGGCAAGGCGCCCCAGCTTGGCGCCGAGTCGGCTGTGCGCTTGATTGGCGATGCTGAGGGGGAGTATGATGACTACATCCAGTGGGAGTTTGAGGGCGGGGAGATGAGAAAGGTGCTGTGGTAGCTAGGAGGATTGTAACGTCGTCAGAGGGAATGAAGTTCCGTTAGTATTAGGGTTCGCCCCGTGTCTCACAGACTGGATACCTTACTCTTGGTGTTATCTAGCGCCGAGAATGAGACTCAGTAGGATTGATTTGTGGGTTAGTACCTAGTGAACTTGTTACTGGTTGTTTACACCTTGGATACAGCCCCCTGAGACACCTGGACGTCAAAGCAGGTGGTCGACTCAGGTAGTGTGAAATCCCGGAGGGCACTTTTCCGGTGTGTGGTAATTGACGGCGAAGCCCAGCTGGGAGAATACAGCACTCAACTTGCTAACTATTTTTAGCCTCGCCAGTGTTAAAACAGCGTACGAAAATCCATGATTGATCAGGCTTGGTCGTTATTCGGCACATCCGGGAGGCGCACTGGAGCAGTGTATTTCTTGTACAATACGATAAATGACGCAGAGTAAGCATATTGCATCCGGCATACATTGGGGCTCTTACCTATGCCTTCTAACCTTTGCCCCAGTAGTCCTGCGGGTGCGTTTAGCAGCAGAATATATGGGCATGGGCCTTTTCGCCGATTTTAGACGGGTTTGCTTTAGGTTTGGCTGCTCTCCGTTCCTCTTTTCGTCTACACTTGGTGTGTGGGGCACTGGGAACTGGGTTGTCCCGGCAACAGAACCATGCTTGATCAGCGTCTGTCGGTGGACAAACTGAATTGTTGAATCCAGTCTATCAGGCCCTCTCCAGCCGGGGCTCATTCACGTTCGCGCCAGGCCCGTTTTGGTGCCCTTAGAAAGAGAAAGCGGCGACCGGGCCTTTTTTAAAGCCACGACCCTTTCTATCAGGTACCGCGGTATCTAATATAGACTTAACTCGACCTCAAAATGTTCCCAACGGAGTAAAGCGTGATATTTTTGTGGGGGTTTTCGAGCAACTAACGGGCTCATTTTCGACTGGTTCGGAAATACAAGCCATTCTCTTGACTCTCTCAAGTTTGGTTAGGAAAAAGAGCTGATAAGTCACGCCTAGCCAAATCTCTAGCTACTTCTAGCTACAACAAACTAGAACGTACCCAAGCCAGCCTTCCTACAATATATTTAGAAAACTAATAGGGCTCTCGATCAATTCTTCCGTCCGGTCTTATCCTTCCCTGTGAGGTATCGATTAGGGTGTGTGGCCCTAGCCAATACACTGGGCGTGCTTGCATTGGGCCCGGCACCTCGAAATTTCACCCACCCCAGATCCATCATGCCCAGAAAAAAGCCTCAGACATCATCCACCGTGCCTAGGCAGCATCTATCTCGTCGTTTGTTTCCGGGGGCAAGCGGAGAGCCACTAACCATAATATTGTGCCTCATTGAAGTGTCCTATCTAACTCGGTCGTCGTATTCGTTCCCGCCCGTTGACAATGGCGGGCCGCCGAGGAGGCAAGAAGCCAAGAGGTCGGCTCAGAAACAGAGTTCGGCGGGGCTTCTCGCGATTTCTGCATCCGCACAGTCTCACTTCGCAACGTCACTCGGGCTCATCAAAGGGGATCGCCCCGGAAGAATGGATGAAAAGGCCCTATTTCTGAAGCTGATCCAATGGGTCTGCTTCGCCCAGCGACCCATGACACTGGCCGAGCTGCGCTGGGCAATGGTCGCCGACTTTTCACGCAAGTCACTGAGAGCATGCATAGACTCGGCCGATTACATAGACGACATGGACGCAATAGAGAGGAGACTCAGGACCCTCAGTCACGGCCTTGTTGAGGCTATTCGGACGTGAGCCGATACTCCCTCCTCTACGAGGACTACGTACGACGACGACCTCCATAACGAAGATTGTTTCAAGCTTACGGCGGTAGTACTTATAGTTCGAACTATATAAACCGAGCCTTGAAGACTATGATATGTAGGACTGTATTGTCGTGAGCGGCGGGGAAGAGGTGGATATAATAGCGAAGAAGACTCGGACCAAAAGGAAGCAAAAGGATATAATAGCTGGCTCTATCCCTCTGCCGGCTAGGCCGGAGACTGTGGTGCCAAAGCTACATATTCTTCACTGGGCCGTAATATAGTGGGAGGCACGCAAGGCCGAACGCTACGCCTACTCGCCCTCGAGTACGCCTACTCGCCCTCGAGTACGGTGTATTCGCCCTCGAGTACGGTGGAGATGAGGATTTGTGGATGTTTCCGCTAGATGAACATGACCCTGATCTACGGCTTGAGGCGAGGAAGCTTGAGACTCTTGAGGAGGCTTAGCGGCTATTTCGCCGGGGAATCCTTTTGTTATTGACTGAGGGACCATATTGAGGCCCTGCGGGGACTGAAATGCGGCTCTGCAACATGTGCAACACCATAGAAAACATCCCCACTGCGGAAACCTTGCAATTTACGATACTTTTGTAGGTGCCCGCGACCATACTTATATGCCCTGACTGGGCAGACTAGAACTAGAATTCGTGTTCAATTTGAGGAGACTGCATTTTTGAACGATCTAGCCCGACTTACGGTTACCTTGCAAAATAGGAAATTCTTCAATTCTTGACGATTCCGAAGATGTCTTCCATCATCACGGCCTCCTTCGTTGCGGCTGCAAAGCCGGCCCGGTGATACAGGTCACTGCAAATTTGGGTGTGGGTTATATCTTGGTTTAAGCCAGGGTGGCCTGCAAGGCAAGGATCAGGTGCATGGGCGGCTCCATCCAAAAAGACCGAATTTACTACGGCAAAAGCCGGGCAACTAGTTGATTTCAATTGCCAGGCCTATGATTTTATCATGGGGTGGGTGCGCGCAGCAATCCTCTTATATTGGGCCGTGGGCAAAGACGTAGACACCGGGAGCGACACGCGGTACAGGCGGCAGATACTACAGGTCCAGCTTAAGGCCAACCAGAAGGCTATTAGGGCTAATCTCTACTGAGAAGATGAGAAGTAGCTGCTGTTTGGGTTAGCCACCCTTCGATCAGATGCCTGATTTTAAAAGAGTTGTGGCTGATTCGGCGATGCATTATGCATCTCGTAAATGATTCGATCCTGATAAAAAGCGATTAGCATCCATGACATCCCTCGTGCCCCAAGTGTAATTAAAAATTACCTAATAATCATGTGCTGGAGACGTGCTCTACAAAGCTGCCAAGTTGGGCTTTTGGTGCGCTGCCCTGCGGCGGGGGCTGTCCTTCCATGGCTCGGTATCCCCGTACATGCACCGATCGGCTCCCGACCAAGAATTCAAGATCATGCAGACGCCAAAACGAACAGCCCTGAAAGGTTGGGAGATGTCAATTGGACTGTGCCGCACAACCAGATCTTGGATGCATTCTTACATCATCCTTCCGCATCCCCCTGAGCGGGCGGAACAGAGATCAATCCTGCGTCGTTCTTTGCCGATATGCGATGCCAGAATAGTTTGCATCGCTCATTGACTCAGGAGTGGGCAAACCCTGCGCCAAGAATTCTTGGCATTTGCAAGAGACGAGAACATGAACCATGAGGGGACATCAAGTACCCGAATTAGGTAGTGTCGCTTCGTCCGTTCTCTTGGTAGATCCAGAATTCCGTTCCTGCCTAGAGACTCAAGGAGCTTGGGCCGAGGAGTGGCAGGTATGGCAATGCAATGCAATTCCGTCTTTCTGACTATGGGAGGAGCGTCTTGATTTCCAAGTAACTTTAGAGTAAACAAGGCATGCCTTTCTCTCGGATGCCTTTCTCTCGGCGCAGAGTGAAGGGTCTTCGCATATAAAACCCAAGGTGGTGTCACTCGGATAGCAACCCTCTCTCGACAGACACCGACAATCAACACTCGGTCTTCCCTTCTCAACAACATCCCATACAGCCTCTCAACAACATCCCATACATCCTCAACACTCCACATTATCAGTCACAGCCAAACACTTTGAACACACACACCCATCCTCAAAGCCACCATGAAGTTCCTCGCCATCCTCGCCGTCGCCACCCACCTAGCCACCCCAGCTCTGGCCGACTTCTTCATCTACCAGGGCCTGGAGAGCTACATCGACGTGGGGACGTTCAATACGTACTCGTTCTTCCGGGGGCCGCCCGACTGCAACGACGTGAACAACGCGCCGCGGTACGACGAGTCGGACGACGTCAGCGGCGACAAGCAGGGCGTGGCGTGCGACGGCCCGGGCTGCTGGCAGGCTAACCCCAACGACATCGACCGGCTCGAGTTCAACACGCGCTTCGGCCACTTCACCATGTACAAGGACCGCGGCCGCGACATCTTTGACATATGGGGCGGCAACGTCGGCCACTGCGACCCCGACACCAGCCACCACTACGAGTGCCCCAGCGGGCCGTACCCCAGCCCCCTTAGCGGCAAGCGCGTCTTCTTCTGCCGGGCTAGCTTTGGTCCTTGAGTGTTTTTTGAGGCATCATGGCGGTGGTTAAGGGAGGCGAGCTTGGATATTGGCTTTTGTTCTAGTTTTCTTCCGAATGTACCTAAAAACTTCATCTCTTTCGTCACAGACAGTTCAGATACATGCTTTGCCTCACCCCCTCAAGGCCTTCTGGTTCTAGTTCTCCACGTGGCGCAAGAAAGCACATAACACAGCAGACAGCCAAGCCCGTCCAATTACTTGGAGAAAGGACTTGACTACGCGGCCCGTGTCGGTTATGAACCGAAAGCGTCCCGCTTACGTATCGCCACGTTGTTGTTGGTGAGGCCGCTGGACACTTGTGGTAGTAGTAAAGATTGTTTCAAGAAGCCTATAGGGCTATCAAAAAGAGCTCTGATCTGGGTACCCGTCATCATAATTTCAACACCCAGGAAATACAGGAAATACAGGACCGTATAAACAAATTAGGATTCAACGGATTTAGGATTCAACGAATTCCTCAGGCAACTGGGTGCCGGCCATAGCTTGTGGCTAATTTGCGTACAAATTGGGGCCTTGGAGTAACCATTTGCAAGTTGCCCTTATTTCGAGGCACTCAGCAACGAAGACATTGTCAAAATGAATTTCTAACCCTGAGTATCTCAACTGCTAGCACCTGGCAAAGACCCCGAGGGGGTAAGCTGATTGTTAGACGGGGTACCCAGATCAAAGCTCATTAAAAATGCATTTGGCTCTTGTTAAGAGCCCTCTAATGCATCTTTAAAGGTCTTGCAGATGCCTGGGCTCTTACCCCCCCGTGGCCCATGTGAAATACGGCTTTGGTTCTAGTTCAGCGATGGTTCGGCAAGCTGCCCTGCGAAAGAGGCGACTGGCCCAAAAGAAGAGGTGAATATGCCCCATGATGCTCCAGCAAACCTCAATTACTGATCAGGGGCTCAGGGGCCAGGCAACAAGGGGGTTGCTTACACCCTTACCTAGTATAATCTAGTGTACTTTTTTCATTTTTTTCTTGGCTTACCCACCTCGTATAAGGTAGATAGCCCGCCCTCCCTTGGATCAGAGGACGGCATCGCTCTTTTCCCTCGGCCCTCTTCTTTTCAGGAAGCAGTCACGTCTTTTACTATGAATTGAGATCCCCAGACCAGTGCATGCACGTACTAGTGCCTTTTCCTTGCTATTTTGACCTCCCCTGGCTATGGAACTCTGTACCTTTACTCTGTGAAGCTCGCCTAGGAACTCTGTACCTTCACTATTTGAAGCTCGCCTACGACTCGTCTTGGTGCTGCTTTTGTGGTTGTTGTGTTGTGGTGCCTTTTGACCGCTTCACTATCCATCACTTTCGTAAGATAGAAAGGTCGTTACATAGCTCTTCTAGGTTCGGGACTACGAACACAATTGTAGTAGAAAGAGGTTTATTAATTAACTTAGATCAGTCCTAGACGGGGGCATCCAAAATTATAGATGGCCTTACACCGCCAACCCCAGGACCTTAGTTACATTATTACCGCTTAACCCCCCGCCGTCTTTCTCTTATTTCCCTTTCCCGCATGTCCTCCACCGTCCACTTCATCCTCCTCATCCTCCGAGGTATTAATTCCGTTATACTTTAGCACCTTTATCAGGCGCCCGATCTGGCGGTCCTGCTTTGACACCTGACGTGACAAGAAAGCTACCTTCCGGGTAAGCTCGGCCACTTCTGCGGTCGGAGCAGCAGGGCTGGCGCTGCCAGTGGAATTGCCCACCTTGTCGGTAGAATCGGTGGCCGCACGGAAAGCAAGGGGGGGAACTTGGGTCGGTGGTGGTGGCGGCGGCGGGGGTGCATCGCGGAAGCCAAGCGTGCCGCGACGGAGGCCAAGCGCGTCGCGAGAACTCGTACTGGGGAGCAGGGACTTCGGCTGGGGAAGGACTTGCACAAACGAGTCCAAGGTCGGCTTAATATAGGTTGAAACTGGCGTGTTCGAGTATTTATCTAGGGAATTACGAAGAGCAGTGTAGGCATCGCGACACGCCGGCGATGGCGATTGTGCGTCGTTGCGAGGCGTCAGCAGTCTCTGCTTCTGGGTCACCATAAAACTAAACAGAAAGCCTCGGTCAGCAACAGGGGTACCAATTTTGATAGCACGGGGGCCATACAAGTCGATATAGAGCGGTTTCAGCGCAGTAGGCATGTCGTTACATGCCCTGCGAAGACGAGCGCAGCGCTTGCAGGCACCCGCCAATTCCGACTTCTCACAACTAACGTCGTTGATCGTGATACTATATAGGCAGCCGAAGCAGGGAAAGGCCAAGCCTCCGCCACAATCCACCGTCTCCAATTTGACCAGGGAATCGGGCTCCTCGTCGTCGGAGAGCGACATCTGCGACAAGTTCGGGGGAATGGATGGCGGCAGGGACCGAGTTTTATTGCGAGCGCCGTCGAAAATGGGAAAGTTCTTCTTCGCGGCGGGCGCGTTTCTGGGGGGGCGGGGTCCAGACATGATGCGCTAGAGCTGACTGAATCTGGAGCAGAATTGAGAAAGGGCAAAAGATGTGGAAGAAAGGCGACGTGGTTTTGGCGACAGATGATGATGCAGCGAGAGAGAATTTACCGAACCTCGGAGTGCGCGATGCTGTCGTTGCGAGATGAAGAGAGGAGGCATGGTAGGAAAGGAAGGAAAGGAGGGAAGGACAGGCAGACCCGAAGGAAATATTTAAACCGCCAAAGGGCAGAATCAAAGCGTTGGAGTCTCCACTTTCCTGGTGATTTCAGATATGGGGACGGGATGACAGATACGGGAAGAAAAGGGGGAGCGATGTAAATACGGTAATTACTTTCCCATACGGCTCGACCTGCTCGCGTCCAGCTTAGCGGGGGTTTTCTGAGGCAATTGCGAGATTCGTTGTATCCTAATGCCAGATACCTGCATTACCATCGTCTAGTGGTCTATATCTTCATTACGTGGAACCGGGCCAGCCGGTGCCGCAGCAACCGCACACACGGGGTAAACATGCTCGAGAACTGCTCGGCCGCAGATGTATATACACAGACCAGCTGCTCTCACCGCGTCCAACTCCGACTCGCCGCGTCCAACTCGGACTCACCGCGTCCAACTCGGACCTACCCAAACTCTTCGTCATCACCCCTCGGGGCCCAACCGACCAGCGGTGACGGCCTATGCTCAACCACGGGTTCCTTGGTGTCGTCGTTAATTAGATAACAGAGACGGGGCCCTCGGTCGTGGCGACATATCCGGGGAAGTACAAGACGGTGACGGGCAGGCCGTTGCTCTTGTTCTTGTATTTCTTCTGCTTGAGGGTGATGCCGTAGGTGGTGGCGTAGGGCTGCAGGAAGGCGCGGACCATCGTGTTACCGGCGGCGTGCATCTCGGCGGTGCCGGTGTTCTGCTCGGCGTAGACGTAGTGGATGTCGACGAGCCCGCCGTGCGTCGCGATGGCCTTGTCCAGAATCGTGCGGATCTTGCTAATCTGCGCCGGCCCCTCCGTCACCGTGTCGCCCAGCTTCGCCCCCTCGATTACGGTGAACAGGGCCCACTTGGTGGGCAGGTCCCCCTTGAAGGTGATGCCGATCACCGAGCACCCGTGCAGCCCGCTCTGCGCGTTGTCCTCCTTGGTGAACTGGGCCACCTTGATCTCGTTCATGGCAACGCTGACGGCAGTCATGGTAGCGTGTGGTTTGCTTGTTGTTTTGGGTGGTTGGAAGGGTTGGGGTTGTCTGTTTGATGGTGCTGGTGATGTTGATGGTGATTGTAATGGTAATGGTGATGGTGATGGTGATGGTGATGGTGATGGTGATGGTGATGGTGATGGTGATGGTGATGATGAAAACAGAGACGGCTTTAAGGTGTCCGGAGAGTCATGATTAAATAGTGATCGTCGCGAATCCAAGTACGAGAGTGCAATACGACCGCCGCAGTGAAGCTGTTCTGAGGTGCTCGGTGGCGAGCTGGAGGCCAACTTACCGCGAACCACCAACCGCCATCAGCATTACCCTCGTCAGCACCGACTCGTGTTGGGATCTCCACCCAGAATGAGGCGAGATAGTGATACCAACGCCCCTGACAAGGCCAGCGGCCCACGAGTTGGAGCTGATCATCACATTCTGTCACTTCACCGGCGCCGCTCTGCCTCGTATCCGGACTAACTTCTAAGCTGAGAGTGAGGCGAGTTGAGGGAACCACGCCGCAGACCGTGTCAGAGCTGATGGGCACTTTCAATGAGCACAGTGAAATGAGAACAGTGAGCTAAACAGGTGATGTGTCTCTGGGGCAACAGCGGGACCCGTTCGCGGTCCACCGCCCACGGCGTGCATCAACAGCACATGTCAGACTCCCTGAAACCAAACCCGAGAACCGTCATCGTTTCATTATCATATCAACCGGTTCTCATCTACGACGGTCGTTAGGTATGAGCTCAGACGTTCATTACGCCACCGCCTCTCATTTCCTGTGCTATTGTCGAACAAGAGCATGGTGGAGCCCCGTCTGATGCGCGACGGAGAGAGGACTGCCGGTGTTCCACATGATTGCATCTCTCAGCCGTTTTGGGTGAGATTTGGCGTTTTGTGTGACACCCATCAACGACATGTTTGCTTTCACCTAACCCGTATTCGGCGTTCGGATAAGCATGCGAGGGTAGTATTGGTGTCGAATGCCCCCCCCTAAGCTGCAATGACGCGGCGAGGCGGCAGCGTTGTTTGGGGAATGATGGCGCCTCGTGTTTCGCTGCGGGGAAGATATGCCTTTCCTGGGACTTTGAACCGCTTTTCCAAGTTACCTGGACGGTCCCCAACCAACACGACTGTGGCACGGCACCTGCTGCCGCCGCCCCTTGGGTCTTAATCATCGCCCAGCATCGGGGCCGACGTGCCAGGCACCGATGTCGGCAGTCTATACGAGCCACATCCGAAAGCCTGGGCCACATGCAGACATCAAAATGCCAAGACCAAGCCGCAGATAATAATAGTCTTGCTCTTGAGTCTCATTTGCCCATTGTCTCCGAGACGGGATTTATGAGAATGAGACATGCGGCATGATCGCGTGACAGGTCCTCGCCTCCTCCGCCCTCCAACCGACTGAAGTGTGCACACCCACCATTCACCGATGGACCTAGACAAAAGTGTGGCCTGACTAGTCAGTCTACAGTGTGGAATTCCAATACCGCGTCAAACAGCCTGCCACGGCACCAGGCCTCTGTACCCAGCTTGTTTTGCGTGACACAAGCTGACAGGGTTTGTTCCAGAATCTCAGCTTATGCCACCTGCCTTGGTTCCATGCACGCAGAGGTTTCAACGCCGCCAACAGACGGCTCAAGCAGCCACCAGCAGGAGAGGTAGAAGGTCTGGACGATGGATTGCACTGCACGTGACTAGGAAGTCGCTCGTGCCCGCAGTCTCTTGCTCCTGTTTCCATAACTATATATCTCCATAACTATATATCTCTATACCTATATATCTCCATACCTACATATCTCCATACTTATATAAGACGTGCATACCAGCTTGTTTGAAGCTCACCCGTCGGCGAGGGCTTTGACGTTGAGATTTTAGGTTGGATTGCGCGCCCCCACTTGCCACTTGTTTCTCGACCCCCCAAGAATCCATCTTCACCTCCTGGCCTTGCAAGTCCCTCTGTTGGGCTTTCCCCCCACTTGCTGCTCGTCTTATCTTCCTTTTTCTCTTCCTTTTCTTATTGTGTCGATGACGAAGCAAGGGGAATTGTTCATAAGCCCTGCTGCCGCCCACCTCAAGATACAGCGGCACGCCAACCACTCCGCTCTCGCCATGAAACTTCCTCCCTAGCTTGGGAGCGAATTCGGGTTTGCCGTGTAGCCCGGTTTGAGTTCTGCCTACCCTCTAATTTCACGATTCCATCCCTTACTCTTTCTCCCCCTTTGTTCGGGTAAGTCAGGTGGTCTGCTTATGGAACACCCCTGGATTTGGAACAAGGTTTGTCATCAAGGACTTGCCGCTCGCCACCCAACTCACCTATTTCAATCGCTTGCAACTCAACCAATTCTGCTTCAATACTTATCTTCTTTTCTCCATTCAATTAAGAAATGAAATATGAAGCGATATACTCAGTTGGATTTGCAGAATGCGCTGGCAGAGTATGCAGAAACCGGCTTACTCTGTAGCTCTGCTGAAAATCACGGCATCCCCCCTACTACTCTCTTTAATCGGGTTCGTGGTTCCGAGCCAGCCTTCAAGGCCCAAATTCTTAATCAAAAGCTTTCTCCGGCTATGGAAGAACGCTTAACCGAATGGATTCTATTCCAAGGGTCGCTCGGTCACCCTCCAACCCACGCCCAAATTCGGAAACTAGCTAGAAGAATGCTCGAAGATAACGAGACCCTCGGAAAACGCTGGACTAGCCGGTTTTTTGGCTAGAAATCCATCTATTTCTACAATTAGGCCTCGGAGAATCCATGCAAACCGTGCTAATCGAGCCTGTGAGGCCGTTATCCGGCCTTGGTTTGACTATTTGAAGCCTCCAGGCGTGGAGGCTATTCCAGCCAAGCATAGGTATAATATGGATGAAACTGGCATTGCTTCTAGCATTGGAGATAACGGCCTGGTTGTTGGATCTAAGGAAAGAAAGAAATTCCAGAAAAAGAAGAAAGGAGACCGAATTTGGACCTCGATTATCGAATGTATTTCCGCTGACGGCCGGTATTTGAACCCAGTCGTCATTTTCAAAGGTGGAAGCCTTCAACAACAATGGTATCCACGCGATTTACAGCCATTTAAGGGCTGGAAGTGGAAACCCACTGAAAACGGCTGGTCTGACGATGATACTGCCGTCGCATGGCTCCGCAATATCTTTCTTCCAGAGACTCGGCCAGCTACCCCCTCGGAGAAGCGCCTCCTTATTTTAGATGGCCACGGTAGTCATACCACCGAAGAATTCATGTGGCTAGCCTTTTCTAATAACGTACAATTGTTATTTCTACCAGCCCACACCTCCCACGTTCTCCAGCCCCTGGATTTATCGGTTTTCGGCCCTCTAAAAGCCCGGTACAGAGCCAAGCATAACGAGGTTGTTTCCGGCTTCGACGAAGGCACTGTTGCTGAAAAGAAGGCCTTCCTAGAATGCTACCGGCAAGCCAGGGTCTATGGAATGACTGAATCTAATATCAAAGCCGGCTGGAAAGCTACAGGCCTCTGGCCGGTCAGCCTCAGGAAGCCCCTAAGCAACGGCCTTGTTATTAAGAATTCTAACGGCGACGTTGGTCAACTGACCTCTACGGTTTCTATAGACCTTCAAGAGGTCCATAACCCCATTCTAAATAAGGATTCGGAGGGCCGGCCTATATGGTTTACCCCTAAAAAGCCGAAGGATTTCCGTATTCAGGGGCAGGTTTTTCTAGCCGGCCAGAAACGGACTGCCAACGACCGAATTTTCATACGCAAGGCCGCAAAAGCCTTCGATTACGTGGTTTTCCAACTAGCCAATACGGCGCATCAATTGGAGGCTGCAGAAAAAAGCCTAGAACGCACAAGAGGCCGAAAGAGAAGGAAGGTCCAAGTCGACCCTAATACGCAGTTCGCTGGAATTGAGGAGGTTCGTGCCTCACAGAGAGAGGCTGGCAGAGAGGACCTTAGTTATTCTGAAAGAGCAGAATCAGGAAAATCCGATACTGAAGACTTCATCATTGTAGCTAATTAATTGACAAAGTTGTTGGCAATTGAAGTTTGTGGTGTTGTGCGGGGTCCGATTCAGGGGCTGTTCCATAGGCAGGGGTGTTCCAAAAGTCCCCCACCTGACTTACTAATTAACCACTGGAAGGCAATGGCTGCCACACAACGCGCAGAAATCACAGAAATCCTCAAGGTAATCTGACCTGCAGGGAGGGGTTTTAGACCCCCTCCCTTGCTGCCATCTAACTGGTGCTGAATGTAGAGGAGTACACCCGCGGAATATTTGGTTGGTCGAGGGTGAACGAAAGCCGGGCAGGTGAGTGGTAGTGGTGGTGGTGATTGGTTTATGTAGTCCCCCCTTTGGTTGGGGAAGACCCTCACGCTGGAGGCTTTGTGTGTGTAACTTCAGGCTGCACCCAACTGCGACCTTTTGGGTGCCCAGGCTGAGCCTAGAATGGCGGAGACAGAGCGGGAGTCTGCAACCGGGAGCCGTTCGAAATTTTCGATGGCTTGGATGATGGCTTGGTTGATGGCTTGGTTGATGGCTTGGTTGATGGCTTGGTTGCTGCTCTATCATAAGTTCCGCCACTGGTTGGCGTGATGGACCACCATCAAAGCTCGGTTTGCTACACGTGGCCAGATAGGAAGTACCCAGTCTAGCTGGGGAAGCGACGGGCTGTAGAGCAATTTCATGGGGGAGAGGGGGCTGCATGGGGGAGGGGGGGCTCCATGGGGGAGAGGGGGCTCCATGGGGGAAGGGGGGCTTGGAAGGTTCTTGGTATCGGAGGGGGGGAACGACTGGAAGCTGATAGGAATATCCGGACGCAAAAAGGCTAGGCAAGTAGGTATGTACTTACCTAATGATGTGGTAGATGCTTTTAGTGAGAAAGAGAAGCAGGATTCTCCACGTTCTGAAATGAATTTGAGTGATCAAGCAGACCGAGTTCGAGTCTCCGCACAACATCTTTCCTCCCAAGCTCGGAGTGCGAAGATAAGCCCTTATCGTCTTCTCGGCCACAATGTCGGGGCTTTACTATGTGTTTGTAAAACGGGTCCCTGGCATGGGAAATAAGACTGTGTATAGTAACCCGAACATGGCCTCAGTTCTGGGTTCCAAGCACCCTTGGTAAGTTTTTTTCTTCCAAGGCAACTCGGCAGGCCCCCTTGGTGTCTCAAGATGCACTTGTCGTGACATGTCTACCCTGCTGATGACACGGCGCGGCGCTGTTTTTGTGGGTGTGCATAGATAAGGACGAGATCGTGAATTTCCAACAAAACGCCATGTGATGATTACGGGGATAAATCTTGGCATGTCCTGAGCAGTTTCAAACTACACAACGCATACGCCTCCGCTGCTTTGAGATAGTTCATTGCCATCTCTCCTCCTGGTCATGTCATGTGCTCTGTTATCCCGGCCCCTGCAACTGATTACCGATCGTCTTGAAGTTGTGCAACAATGAATCTTGAACCCCCCTGGGCTTTCTCCTCACAGCTCACCAAGTTAGGGGATGAATCATAATGAAAGTCGTTAGCCAGGCAGACCCGCCAAAGGAAGGAGGGGTGCGGGGTACACAACCCAACGGTCTCTCGCTATCCTGGTTTCTCAACTCCAACGAAGGATAATTTACAACTCACCCATCACAAGCAGCGAACCATAATTCACAACCACACCCATCACAAGCAGCGAACCACAATTCACAACCACACCCATCACAAGCAGCGCCGCCACCACCACCACCACCACCACCACCACCTCTATGGAGTCCTTCAGCCTCGACATGATCGGACAGCTGCCAAACTTGAACATCTACACCCAGCTCTGTCTCTGCTTTTCCGTGCCCGACGGCGACGGCGCGGACGCGACCCGCCAAGTAGCCGCCGACATCCTCGCCCAGGGCCTCGAGACACTAGCACGGCGCGTACCATGGGTCGCAGGGCAGATCGTCCACGAGCCGTCCAGCGAAGCCGGCAACTCGGGAACCTACAAGATCGCCCCCTGGGCGGACACCCCACCGCTGGTGGTCCGCGACCTCCGGGGAGACCCGTCGGCGCCGACGATGGAGGCCCTTCAGAAACGGAACTTCCCCATGGAACTGCTCGACGAGCGCCTCGTCGCGCCGTACATGACCATCCCCGGCCGGGCGGCGGGGTCGCAGCCGGATGAGCCGACGGCTGTGTTTGCAGTTCAAATGAGCCACGTCGATGGCGGGCTGTTGCTGACGTTTGTCGCCCAGCACCAGGCCATGGATCTCGCGGGGCAGATGCAGGTTATGCGTCTTCTTGCCACGTCCTGTCGAGAGGAGAATTTGCCGGACGGCGAGGTGGAACTCGCGAACCGGGATCGCTTAAGCATTATTCCACCTCTTGGCGACCATGAGCTAGACCCCGTCGAGCAGCTCAGTCGGCAAACGGTGAAGCCGTCGCCTCTGCCCTCTGGCGCCGACTCCGTGGAATCTGTCTGGGCGAGTTTCTCCTTCTCGGAGGAATCTCTCGCTACCCTCAAGGCAGCTGCTCTCCAGACTGCCACGCTGCAGAACGTGTCAACCGACGACGCACTCACTGCATTTGTCTGGCAGTCCATCACGCGCGCGCGATCTCGCCGCCTCAGAAATGACCCGGACACAACGCAAACGCGATTGACACTCGGCCGCGCAGTCGACTGCCGCCGGTACCTCGGCGTCCCGAGGGAATACCCCGGCCTGCTCAACACTATGGTGTACCTCACGCACGCCGCGCAAGAAACCGCCGACATGCCCTTGGGCGAAATGGCCTCGGAGCTGCGTGCCGCCGTCGACCCGGCCACGTCGCAGGTCGGACTGTACACGCGTGCGCTGACGGCGCTCCTGCGCCGGACGCCAGACAAGGGCATGGTCTCCATGGGGGCGGACATCGACCCGCCGAGAGACCTCATGCTCAGCTCGTGGGCGGGGGCGGGGGCGGATTGCTACGGCTTGGATTTCTTTGGCATCGGGCTGGGACCGCCCGTGGCGGTGAGGAGGCCGCGGTTCCAGCCCTTCGAGGGCCTAGGCTATCTTCTCCCTAGACATCCGAGCGGCGAGATTGTCTTGGCCGTGTGTTTGAGAGAGGAAGATATGGCGGCGCTGAAAGGGGATGACGAGTTTGGGATGTATGCCGTGTGTGTTGACTGACGGAGAGACAAGATAGCAATGTCACCATCTTAACAACACGTTTAACTGCTCTTGGGGATTCCTAGCTTGGTCACATTGCGTCGCCACATCCCGGTCATCATCTCCTCACCTAGCCTCACGTTCCAAGTGTGTGATGTTGTCTCCCTGCTCCTCGGCTTTGGACATGACAGCCCCAATCGTGCGCAGGTAATCCGTCATATTCCCAAGATCTTTAGCGTCCGCGTCGGTCAATATCTTCTCGAGGAGTCCGTCCAGAGGCGTATTGAGAGGCCACATTGTTTTCTGTATCATCCGCTGAATACTTGGTCTGTATTCCTCTGGCTTTGTCTTGGCCTTCCATCTTGTCGGCCCCCAATCAGACTGATTTTGTACATAGCCAACAGCCAGTAGTCCGAGCGAGCACAGAATGTCGAGGTTTTGGCATATGGCCTGGGAAGGATCCTGGGGTGCCAATTCTTGACAGTATCGGACCAGCTGCTCCAGGTCTGCTTCAGAGTATTGGTCCTTGGCCAGGCCCTCGCCGACCAGGAATCTATGCAGCTCTGACCGGACGACAGGATAGCAGACTCCATGCCTGTTAACGGCAGGGCGAAATGACCAGCTACTTGCCAGGCTGGCAAGAACCACCTTACGGAGACAACCTGACGAAATCAACTTGCTATGCCGCAGGATCTCGTCACCCTCCTCGGTTTGGGTGAGGAAATCAATGGCGGTGCGATGGATGAATTTGACAGGAGCCTCAGGGCCTATCCCTGCTGGCCTCTGCGCCCCATGGACCTCGATGATTCCAGCACGGCGGGCCGTGATGGCCTGATGAACAGCCTGGCACTGAGCTAGCACGGCTCCGGTGCTAACTCTCTCGCTGCGCATTAGGAGGGACCTTGCTAAGACATCGTCGGATGCCATTGCGATATGGAACAGTGTCATCCCCCTGTAGCATGACTTCTGGCCCTCATCCGCTGTTCCGCGGCTCTGCCATCACCAATGGGGAAAGTAGAGGCCTGGTATTGTGTTCAGTATCTTCCTCCCGTCGATGAGGAGCTAGAAATACAGCGCGGTTTCTGCTCGGTCTTCCCCTGTTTCCTGATTCCGGCGTGTCCAGATGGACTTATACAGTTGAGCCATGTCGTTGGGGAACATGTCGAGGGATTGGTGAAGCATTTCCAGGGGCTCGCCAGCCTCCAGATCTGCCAGCAGAGTTTTGATGACTAGGGCTACCCATAAGAAGACACCCTGAGCCTTGGAGACTATCGTCTTGGCGAACGAGTGTGCCAGGACTTTGTCGGTGGGGCCAATCTTCAGCTTGCTGTGGGCAAAACGGTACATCTCTGTTGCCGTGATATCCTGGAGCAGCAGAGGAGGAACCGACTCAGACTTGAAGTACTCCCTCAAAGCCTCCTCGGGCCTGCTAGAAACAACCACCCTGGTGCCGGCGGTGGCGCGGAGTCTGGACAGCAGGGCGAACACAGCGCTGGCACCAATCCAAATAAATGCCAAATCAATTTGACCTCCAAAAACCGTATTTGCAGGCAAATAAGCTATTTCAGAAGTTAAATTCTGGCTAAATTGGGGGTCAGGTTAATTGGAAATTTTGTAAATATTTCCCATCGGTTGAGCCATTTTTAGGCCCAATTTTCCGGGTTTTCCTGGCACCAGGGCAGTCCCTGACCAAGGTCAACCCTGCATTTTCTGGTCCCGGGAAAATCCTCGAATGCCCTGAATTCGAGTGCCGCCGTGCCGCTGCAATGCAACTATCGCCGACCACTGTAAACAAACTGCCGACTGCAGCCATTTCCCTGCTTCCTTGGCTCCCGAGTCCTCGACAACATGCCTGCCCCCAGCGTTGATGTCACGACCCTCTCGACAAGCCTCCCTACCGCCGAAAATCGTCCTCCTTCCCTTCGTCCGAAGCTATCACGAGTAGCTAGACAGTTCGATGCGCTCCTTGAAGAGGGAGTAGATCTCAAAGATGTAGCAGGAATTGAGTCAAGGATTGGCCGAGGATAAAAATACCAAGAGGGCCTTTATACCAGAAAAGTGGGCAGGAAAAACACCAAAAAGGACATGTGGATTCGTGATCACGGCTACTGGGTCGCCCAGGTTATCAACGACGCCGTCATCGAGGGAGAATACTACTGGGCATCTACTATTGCGAGAAGCTGTTCAAGGCAGAGTCAACAAGCTCGGCGACTATACATTTGGAAAAAGACCACAAATTATATCTACCCAATTCCCAGCCTGATATTGAGAAGCCAGGAAAAAGGCAACGCACGCTTGAAGTGGTCAACACGAAGCGCGCGAGCCATGTTTTACTGCCTCACAGGCTCTCTATGGGAGAGAAACTCGTCGATCTAGTCTTCGGCTCGAACCTGCCTTTCAGCATCGTTGAGCACAAGGGATTTCGTGATTTTTGCATGGACCTAAATGCCGAGAAGACAGCCGCCCTGATTCCTTCGTCGCACAACACCATACGAGAGCACATTCGAAAGAGATTTGAGGCTGAACAACAGGACCTCCGTGAGAGGTTAACGGCATCGCCCGCATCGCCATACAAGAAGCATCTCTCGTTCGATATTTGGACTTCCAACGCGACAGTTTCCTACCCAGCGGTCTTCGTGCATTACACCGATATTGACGGCGCCGTATAATAAGACTTACTTGGAATGCCGTACCTTTGAGGCTCCCACAGCGGCGAGAACCAGGCTCTCTATATCTCTCGGCTAGTCAACGACTACGGCTTCGCTGACAACGTTGGTTATTTTCAGTATGATAACGTGGATGTAAGGAAAGAAGCCCCAACCTACACACACGACCACTTGCACGCGTAGCGAGCCAAGACCTCACTCCTTTGTCGATGGCCTGCCCTGCATTCAGTCATGTATATAAGCAGCGGCCCTCGCCCCTTCCTTTGCGAGGCCCAGGTTGAAGTCTCTTACCAATACCAGTCATTGCTCGCTCTCTTTCGTACCTTCATTGTGACCACCTTGATTAGGCGTACCTGCCTTCACTTATAATAACCACCATTCCTTCAACGCTTTGATATCCAATTAATACTCTATCGATATAACCTCTTTAACAAGATTTATAGAGAAAAGTTATGCGAGGTACGGCGATGTGTGAAAGGTGATGAATTGCTTAAAGAATTTACGCTATCTGCCCGCATGTAAGAGAAGGCAGGTACGCCGGATCAAGGTGGTCAAAATGCAGGTAAGAAGGTAGGCGAGCAATGAGTAGTATTAGTGTGAGACTTCAACCTGGCCCTCGCAAAGGAAGGTAGGCGAAGGCCACGTTTATATACATGCTCAGGGGCTCAGGCCCGGGGCGCCATGGCGTGGCGTAATGGCTTGTGCCAACTGGCAGTGTTCTGGCCAGTTGGTAACAGGTGGTGAGCGCGCACCCTGTGCTCGCGGCTGGTGTTTGGGGTGTCCTTTCCTTACACATACATTGGTTGTATGTTGAAAGCCTGTCTTTCGCAATCTGTGCACGATACTCCTTGTCTCCTGTCATCTCCTACCTGCCGTCCAGACCCCCACAATCCTAGGCCGGGCCTAGCTCCGTGGACCTGTTGTCTAGATTGTAACAATTTTCTTTTTTAAGTTCATTTATCATCACGGAAAAGCTAGGCTCCGGGACAGACAACTGGAAAAAGAAAAGTTAGCTATCGCCAGAAATAGACTACTCGACTTTTCATACAGTTACAATTGAGTCTAATGACGAGCTTTGTGTGCTTGAAAGCACGGCCTCAAAGGTCTTTCCAATCTCCCTACATAGCAGTCGGAAAGTACCAATAGAATGGTCGCTTAAATTCTTGACGAACACCCTGGAAAGGGAATGCTCCTCACCCGGCAGAATTCTCCAAGCATATGGATCATTTGGGCGGGGGTTAAGGCGAACATCTAAATGTGCTACCACGATGGATGATAATTATCACCGATTTTAATAGCTTAGTAATTTACTCTATATACATTTTCTCGAATTCAAGACCCCAGATTAATCCTCCCATACGCACTCTCGAATTCCTTCCTACGCGTATGACTTATAGTTCCTTCACTTACCCAAGAATTTTCGCTTTCTGGACGACCCTTCCATCTCACTAAATACTTAATCCGTCCGCTACATATCTTTTTTTTAAGCAATTCCACTCCCGAATGATTTCCTCCGTTCTTCAAGTAGCTTATGTTAAAATCAGCAAGAAGATGGTCGCTTATGTTCTCTGGTGGTTCCCACGTGTTGGATTCGTCCCCAAAGCCTTTCCACTTGACCAGGAGCCAAACTCCCCGGCCCGGCCCCCACTTAGCAAGCAATTCCTCAACCTCCCATGTGTCTTTTTTCTCGTCAATTGCGGTGGGCGGGAAGATCCCCCTGCTATCGCCAACCCCTCCTCCAACTGAACATAACTCTGTCACAGCGTCATTCGTTTGCTCAGGCTCAGCAGGGGCCGTGTCGGTCAGCAGTTCCGGATCAATTAAGTTCACAGGAACAATGGATGATAATGATGTAGATCGTGAGCTTGCGCTTGCCCATTGCTCTTGAAATGTCGTCTGGTCGCCCTGCGCCATAAGGTTGTCTGTCTGATCGGTAAGATCGAGGATCCGAGATGGGAGTGACCGAGTATTAGACACAATTCCATCGCTACATTCCTCGACGTTCATTCGAGACATGTCGTAATAAGCGGGAGGCAGCTCTACCTGTCTAATCCGAGACACTTGCCCTTCACCCAATTCCGTCAGGTCAGGGTCTGTAGTTGATGGTGAAATGCAGGCCCCGGGATCGGCATGCTCGCTGACACCAAGGCTCTCGTCATCAACAAAGCTGGGAGATGGCCTCGAGCTCGAATTAACTGATGGGCAAACTTCTTGAAGAGAATTGACATCGAAGACGGAAGAGAGGGCAATAGTGCTGAAAGGAGACGTGCTGGTTTCCGAATAACTGCCGTAGGAGATAGAAAAGTTTGATATCAATCCATGGGATTCCGCCGCCGGGTTGGCGTCTGTTGCTGATGCCAGCTTGGCGTTGGCAGCCTCTTCCATAGTATAAACTCGGCGCCGTTTTCTTCGGGAGGGGGAACATCCTCCATCCACAAAGACTTCCCTCTTCTTTTGCGTCTTCTCCTTACTATTTCTGGAAGGATAGCTATGGGCGTCTTGTAGATGGTACCAGAGCTGCTGGTCTGACTCGTACGCTATAGAGCATTCGGGGTCAGGACACGGTATTGCGTCCGTCATTCTCGAAGTCTTCGCGTAAATAGTGAAGCACTCATTGACATGCCTTTCCCAGCTAACTTGCTTCCTAAATCCGAACAGTCGTCGGGTTGCAGGTAGTTGTTCGTTATGCATACATGTTTTGCACATCCCGGTGTAGGCAATGGCTCGGCGAAACTTGACAAAATTGCAGCGCAGCGGCAGTTTGCGTTTGTTGATATGCCCCCGGTAGTGGACTTCCAATGCTTTCCTACCCGCTACGGGGTTGTGGCATATGAAGCAGAAATCAACGACTCTCTGCTCCCCTTTGTAGTGTGCTAAGGAGCATTCAAAGACATGTTGCCACCAGTGGTCAATAGGTATCCTAAAATATGTCAGCTTTAGGAACTAGTGTAAAGGTCTAAAATTCACTTTACCGTTCAACTTCTACATCACAGTATGGGCACATGTCCACGCCGCAGTGCTGCGCTTGGCATCTCCCCGCGGCGTGATACGGCATTGCGCATTGTGTTCGTAGTGGCCGAAGCGACGGTTGGTAGGCGACTCGGCAGTTATTCTTCACGAGCGATATAAGGTCCTCAATAGCCGATTCTCCCTCCGGGCTTCGCATGGGAGCAACGCAGAAGAGCGTAACTAAAAGCCTTTCGCGCTCCGGCATCATGTGACGAAGGCGATCGAATCGAGAACGGTATTGGTCCACGTAAACCTTTTCCTTGCGCTCTGAAGGATGTATTCGTTCTTGGTCCCCGCGGATTCTGTTCGACTCCTCCTCCTCGAGCACGCGCCTTTGCTCGTATAGTTGGCCCCGCTCCGACTTCAGATCCCGAGCAGCTGCCCCTTTTTGGGCGCAGCTTATCTCATGGGTCAGGTCATCGATTTTCTTTGTGATGGCAACATAATCCTCTCTCTGCCTTAATTGGTCGTGCGTCTTCGCAGGCAGTGATTGCAAAAGCTCGGGATTTCGGTTAACCGTCATGGACCGGAAGTCTTCCGCTTGATCGCTTCGAAGAGGTAGCTTAAGAAAACCGGCCAGACCATCCACAACGGTTATAGAACTCAAATAGTCTCTTGTGAGCGTCATTTTGTTGGTATGTGCGGCAAATTTCATCAATTCCCTGTTCGAATAACCATTTGCTAAACTTTAAATTAGCTAGGCGAGGAATAAAACGGCAGGCGAATATCATACCTGTAGCCAAGATGAGAGCCTCCCTCCGCATGCTGTGTACCGTGACGGGACTTATCCCTGCTCGAATTGAGAGGGCTTTGAGCTGCGTGTTGAAAGAGTTGCCCGTTTGGATCTTGTTGGTCGCCCCGTCTACTGATACTTCTGGAAATACCGGCAGGTCCAGCACGTGAGACGACCATTCGAGGACCCAATACCTTTGGTTTGCCGGCGGCCTAACGTCCAAAACCTCTTTGAGGGTCTTGTAGTTTTTGAATGCTCCCGCCGCAAGACAGATAGCAAGCAGAAAGAGCATTAGATTGACGACAAGAGGCTGGCCGGGGAGATGTTCATAGAGTAGGTGCGTCGGTCTATTCCAGTCAATCATTAGTATCGAAGCCACATGCACATGAGACTTTGCTGACCTTTGCTGTTCCTTGTCATGCATTGCCTTCGCAAATTCTCTCTTTAGGCTGAACCTTAATTCAGGCTCGCCGTCCTTCCAAGCGACCAGCATCACCGTTTCCTAAGCGATTAGCCCGCGATCATGAACATGAGTGATAATAGCTACCTTGTAACGCAATCCTTTTTCGGTACTCCTCCTAGTTGAGCTATCACTGATCTCACCTAGTCTAGCTGGCGTGAATACGTGACACTTCAATTTTCCGCTAATAAAAACTCGGTACGCTTCGTGTACGTAGTCATATCCATCGTTCTGCCAGAGCTGCTTCTCCAAGTACATATAGTTTTCAAGTGTAAGGTATTTCTTTGGTCGTGTGGCTATTGATAAACCGAGCTCCTTCCTCAGTGGGCCTTTGATATACTATTTCGAGGTTAGCGTTTGGATGGAACGATACTGGAGAGCACGGAGGCCTACATTGGTGATGGAGTCTGTGAAGTCTTTTGAGATCAAACACGTTAGATTGTCTAGATTCCAACCAGAGACAAAACACCGGAAGTAATTCCGAACGGTTTGAATGGTCGGCTTTCCCTCCGGGTCCAGAACACCTTTGGCGGACTTTGCTATAAACTTGGCAAAATGCTTCAGGGTTTTCAATTGATGAGGTGTAGCTTCGGGGTGTGTTGTTTTGTACCTTAACGGTCTATTAGTTTTCCCATCAATCACTGTTCGTATGATCTACTTACTCGATCCAAAGGTCCATCTGGTCTTTGGACCTCTCTTTGGTGTAGTCCAAGACCTCACGTGGGACAGGTTCGTCATCAACATCCGTGTCGTCGTCATTGAATCCGTTCTCTTCTGCGCATCTTCTCCTCTCATCTGCTGTCCTTTTCCTGACCATCTTCGGCAGCTATCTTTGGCGGCGTGAGAAAAATATAAAATCGATTTGAAATTTCCCCGATGTGATAGGTGACGTGTTGATATCAGTGGATCTAGCTAACTAGAGAGCTGAGAGCTAATGCGGCGATCTGCTCAAGATAGACGGAAATGATAGAGTAAAATCTTGAAAATGTCAAGAAGCCGATAGTAGAGATGGCCATAAACTAGGCCCTACGAGCAGATTCTCAAGGTGGGAGGGCAAGTACTTATGTGCTCCTCGGCGGTCCCAGTTTTGGGCCCGGCCATGGTACAAGCACTTCCCTCGCGAAAAGATGCCAATTATCATCTTCTGGGCTCAGGACACTGCCCATCGAGTCTAAACCTATTTCAGTCACTTCCCTGATTGTTTCGCGGGTGGTCGCCTGAGCAAAAGCGGCGAGGGGTGTTGTGGTCTGCAAGGGTTGAGGAGGGCAAGATTCGGGAGGCGCAACAGGAGCAGTTAGTCGCCCAGAGGGAGACTATCCTCGCCTAAGAGCGCCTCCTCGTCGCCCGAAAAGTGAAGATGATCGCGCAGCTAGACTTGATGGCGGCCATCGCCAACACGCCATAGATACCGATATAAAGGGCAAGGTAGCCGCTCAAGAGGCGGTCGCTGGTTGGGCAGCACGGGCAGGTGGGCCGAGCCACGCGGGAGCCGGTGCGGCTAATCAGGCGGTGCTTAGTGCATCTGGCCGCCAAGACTGGAAAGACTACTGAGTAGGAAGTGTAGCCAATTGGGGAAGTACTCAGCTACCATTGCGGGCTCAGTCGTCCTGAGAGACTGAGCGCTCTGGATCACTGAGCACTGCAAGAAAAGGACTCTTATTGGTTGTACGTAGTTCTATATAGGAGCTGGCAGCACGCTCTCTGGGAGAACGGTTCTGCAGCTATCAATGTATCTGGTTAAGCACACATAGGTTGTGTGTTGAAAGCTTGTCTTTCGCAATCTGTGCACGATACTCCTTGTCTAATATCATCTCCTACCTGCCATCCAGACCCCACAATCCTAGGCCGGGCCTAGCTCCGTGGACCTGTTGTCCAGATTGTAACAATATCTCTATAGGCGGAGTTCTACCCACTCGGCTTTATCGCTTGAGTGGTTATACTCTTTTACGTTACTCGTTCCTTAGTCTAGGTTGATAGGCTCGAGCTTGCTGAGAAAGAAAGTGAGCCCGCGAAGGCCGTATAAGTATTTGGCGCTTGGAAATTTGCCGGGTAGCCGAGTAAACGCTCCGCCATATTAACTGATTTTTACGGTTCTAGAGATCTTATAACAACTACTAGAAGATACTGATTATGGGGGGGAAGTTGGCAAGCCGATCGAAATGTATAGACCCTAGAGAGGAAATCGGAAAACCCGAAGCGTAAAGCCGATAATAGGAGCGCGGACAATAACCGGAAGGCACTTCCGTAGGAAGGGAAGTAAAGGAAGAAATAAGCTACGGGTCGTAAGGGGACGCGGTAATGAAGAATAACGGAAGAATCTAAAGCTAAGGAAAGAAAAAAGAAAGAACGTTCCAATGCTTATACAGGGCGCGAGGAAATAAGGCAGGTTATGGGTTACGTATCAGGGCTTTTGACTTGTCATTAACACCGTCTATATTAATAGAATACGAGAGGGCATTCAACTAGGGAAAACTAGTCCTTAGTACACAGAGATATAGTATGGTCGACGAAACCCTGGATTACCTCATATGCACGAAGAATTTGGCGAGTAAATGAGGATCCTAAAGGTCAAGGGCTTTTTTCCGGTCTCAGGGTGCTATTCGGGGCTCGATTTCCTTGTTTTTTGGTGGAGCGGCAAATTCCGTCAATTAAGTCAAATAAAACCCTCCCAACCAGAGAGAGCCTCTTACACAGATAAATACACCATTTTAGGCCTCAAATACAGTCAAATAAGGCTTAATATTTGGCTTAATTGAATTGATGCCAGCGCTGGGCGAACATGGGTAGCAACAGCCTGCCGGATGAGGATGTTTGGTGACCCAAGCTCGCTTTGGCTGACGAGAAACTTCATGTAGGTGCTCTTCCCGGCCCCCGGCTTTCCGCAAATCTAGAACATATTGTTTGACTCCTCGTTTGATCGGACCTATGACGGAAAACTCCTAGCGGCCTTTCCGATGGGCTGCTAGATGGAGTCTGGCATGCCAGCCTCACCAATGCGCGTTGGTTCATTCTCAAATAGTCCGCCGAAAGCTCCGCGAGGCACTTTATATATCGTTAAAGCGGTCATTCATGCCGGGAAACTTCAAGTCCTCAAATATAGCGCGTAGCCTTGCCCGGGATATGGACATGGCCAACTCGCCCGAAGACAGGCTGTCGATAAAGTTTCCAACTCTGGTCGATACTGCTATGTAGTTGGGATCCTCGGCCTCCGGAATTTGTTCAGGTGGGCGTGCTTGACCTGGAGACCGAGTTTGACCCAGTCGGCTCCATCCAGACAAGCTGAGTGTTTGGGGACGAGCTGGCGGTAGATACCAGGTTAATTCGCGCTTTCATGCACGTCGCCGGTGGCAGGCATGTCCTGCGTGATTAATAATTCCAAATTTAACCCGATGTTGGTCTCTTTTCGGAAAATCTTGGCGGCCAACCCTGCGAGGAGCTTGGGAAGGCCTATTAGAGCGTTCGCAATGTCCGACTTCTCGGTTTTAGTAGAACATGATAATGGGGATCTTTCGCAGGGTTGCGAAAGCGACAGTGAGCTCGTCCCTGTCGCCCGGCTTATTGTCGAGCACCCTGAGAAGCACGTCGGAAGAGGTTACGCCGAAAAGAGCGGAAACCATGACGCGGATTTCGGTGGCTTCTACGCCTTCAGACCCGCAGAACGGCGTGCCGAGAAACGCAATTCCTTTGATCCCGGCGAGGATGGACTGCTCAAGAGAGGTGGCCGGTCTCCTCGAGGCTAACACTAGAGCCTTGGCCAGCAGAAGACCGCCATAGCAGCAGGCGATGAAGACGATGGGAAGATGGGTTGTCTCATCTTTGGTGCGTGCTCCATGGATCCTGTTCAGCAAGGCCTCGCCCTAGCCCCCGGAACGACTCGATCGAAGCATCGATGAAGGTGTTGGCATTCCAGTGGTACGGGAAGATTCTGGGCCGGCGCTTTTTGACGACGGCCAAGAGCATATCGTCATCGCTCAGCCAATTGACGAGCCGAGAGCTTGTGTTCCCCTGCTCCGCGTACGCGCTGAATGATCGGTACGGCGTTGTGTTGAGGCCATGTACCATATCCCACCCCCCAACGGATCACCCTAGCAGTGGATCGCCCTTTAACACCAAAACACTACATCTTTGAACAACAGCGCACTCAATTGTGAAGCTATTTATAAGTCAAATATAGCAAAATGTAGCTAATTGACTGCTAAATCCATATATTGTACTGGCACACGGAGTTTATGGCCAGATCTTGTCACTCTTGCAGGCAACTCTTCTCCTTCAGCCCCTTTTTCAGCCTCATTTTCATCATCTACCTTCCATTCGAGGCCAGGTTGAAGTCTCTTACCAACACCAGTCATTGCTCACCCTATTCAGTACCTTCATTGTGACCACCTTGATCAGGCGTACCTATCTTCACTTACAGTCTCCGTTTTGTCTGTAGAACATTATCTGTAGAAGGGACCCCGTTAATCTGTCTGTTGAGCGTTATATACGGAACTCTATGGTTTTGAGCCGACTGACGAATGGAAAGCTTATTATCTGTGATGTCTAGGTACGCATGACCATATTATCTTCCGTATATTGAGGCATAGTGGTGGTACGAGACGTTGTTCATGCTTAAAGGTAGGGGGGAAAGAAAGGAAGGAAGCTAATTTTGAGTTAATTTGCGACGATATGGCGAAAAAAGTAGGGCCTGTGGGCTGACAAATCCATACTAGGATTAAACTATATGCAATTACATAACTATCTCAATTGACTACGCTGTTGTTCGAAAAGGGAGTGTTTTGGTGTAAAAGGGTGATCCACTGCTAGGGTGATCCGTTGGGGGGTGGGGGATGGTTGGCAATCACGTCAGCCTCGATTGAATCTGCTTGTGTGCTCTCCGGGCGCGGGTACACCTGCTGTGGCTGCGGGAGCCTAGTTGCCATTTTTCGCCTCCGTCAATAGTTGTCTCACTCAATGAATTCCTGCAAATCAGTGGGTTGTTAAGTATCGACGCTCAGAGCCTTGCTGCTGTTGCTCGAGGGAGCAGGAAGCAGGTACATATACATGTACCTACCTGACCTTACCAGTTGGGGAGGGGCGGCCCAATTCAGCTACTGCTGTTACGTAACAGGGCCACTTTGGAATGGCGCGTTTACGGGTGTTGATCTACGCCCACAACGGCTTAGTGCTTACATGCTAGAAAGTAGGCATTTAACTGTCACAAGCAGGGAATTCCGCCCTTCTTTTCTTCCCCCGACAATACATCATATTCTACCCTCTGATTGACCTCGTTGAACGTAACAGCTGCCTGGGAGGCCTCCCCAGCCCCCGCTTTTGCCAGACTTCATTGTGCCGAAAGAAGGTTTCGACATGCATACGGTGCCGCACATACTAGCCAACTGTGGTCTAGTTCGTAAAGACCTGAATTCGTACATTGCGCAGGCTGTCGGCTGGCACCTGCCTCCTATCTGCACGAGACTGCACATTGCACGCGGCCCCGTCCTGAGGCTCTCAATTATTAGTTAAAGTATGGCAAACCCAGTGTTAGTCAGGGTGGAGACACAGCTCAACGGCCAACTCGTGGTCGAACGCGTTGGCAGCAAAAAGGTCCTGAGGCGGAATGATCTGCACAACACTTTGCCTGGAGAGCCTCTCCTCACGCTCGACGGAGACCAGCTCCTCCCTCGCCTCAGAGAGGTCTACTTGACGCCCGAGCTGGATCGAATGGCGCCGTATTTCCGCTTTGTGAGGCTAATTACCGCATCTTTCGGTTTTCGCCCTCAGGTCAAGTCCACTGACTAAAACACAGATCGCAACACCCAAGAGCTCGCATGTCTTTCCCATCCATTTCCAACCTGCACGGGGCCACGAAGTCACACCTAACGAGTATCACAATCTGCATCTGGTATGGTACCAAAGCCGTATCTTCGTCAAGCCGATCCCCGTCTATCTGCTCTCTGCCGCCTTCTGGGAGTGGATTGCCGAGGCTGACGCCGACGTCTTCACGGCAGCGGCGGGATTCATGCGCACTTACACGTTCCTGATCCGCTCCGAAACCGACTACCGCCTGGCCAACGACGAGAAGCTCCCTCTTCTGCCTTTCGGAACCGAACAAACGACGGCCGGCTTCGAGCAGCTCGTGAACTTCCTCAACCAGTTTGCATGTCTTACTGACGCCCAAGTCTCGCCGCGCTACTCGTACGGCGAGCTAAGACTCGGACGGCTGAACTGGCTGATCCGTGTCCTCTGCATCAGGGTTACTTTCTTCCACATGCATGGGGAATGGGGCACCGTCTTCATGGACATGCTCGCCCCGCTGATCGCCGCCTTTGCCATCCTGTCCATTATCCTGGCTGCGATGCAGGTCGGCCTGGCGGCGGGTTCGCTGACAGGCCCCGGCGTCTCTCAGGCGTATGTTTCTGTGTCCTACTGGTTCTCTGCTGCGGTCCTGCTAATCACCGGGGCCGTGAGCATTGGGTTCCTGGCCCTCATTGCGGGCGTCTACATCTACCAGCAGGTCTTTGCATGTCGCATGTACAAGCTGGATTCTGATCGAAAAAAGGCGACGATGAAGAGTGGCGTGATATAGGGTTCCTAATTATCCCGTTAAAGAAGGGAGGGCACTAATAAACTCACCTGAGTTCCAATTTAAGTTCGTCCCTCAATGTACCAGTGCCGCCATTTTTACAAAAAATGAGAAACATTGTCAAACCTGTTTTACAATCGGCGGCACTAACATTATCGTCATTATTACTCGCCGTGTTGGTGACGGACAAGACGTATGAGTCATCCCCCGCCTTTTTTGCATTGTGTCTTTTTCTGTTTGGCTGCGAAGGCGCCGCTCAACTCTCCATCGGTGCAGTATTTCTCGATGTTAGCGGCCACAGGATCTTGACTGGCCCACGCTTGCGACTTGCTGCTGAAGCAACCTTCGGCGTTGACGACGGCAGCGAAGCCGAATCCATTGTTGTAGAGCGAACGGACCAGCATCCCAGTACCAACAAAGGCGATTTCTCATGTTAACACTAGGCAGAGTGGACCAAGACGGGAAGTAGGTGCCAAGGCGGCACGGCTGGCAATGTCGGCCTGACACCGTGCCAAGAAGCTGTGTCCGCGGATGGCGGAGCGGAGTTAGTACGCAACCTCAGACAATGGGGCCAGACAGCCCGCTCGGCAATACCCCCAACGCAATGCGCGGCTAACGGGGCAATAATGCGCGAATTCGCAAGGAGGGTCAGAGAGTGGGAGAATATCCTTGGTTCAGGGTGGAAAGGTCTCATTATACAGGAGACCTGATATATTGGCCATGTTGGTTTTACACAAACGAGGCTTACGAAGTGGAGAAAGGGACTTCTTATATTTGTTCCACAAGCTTATACGGAGTGTCCCCTGTTAAACCCCATCCCCCCAGCAATGGTCACCGGGCCCAACGCACTCTTAAGCCCAAACGGAGGAGCCCGGTGTTGCATTGCGACCGTCAGCCCTAGGCCAAGTTTACCTTGGCTGGACCAACACAACGCGCCCAACAGCAAGAAAAACTGAAAAAATGTACAACCAACGCTAGAAATCCGCCCTCTCCAGCGGAGTTCCGCACCAAAGACCTACGAAGCGGCCCTAGTCCGGTTCCATTAACAACAACCGGCACCCGCCCGCTCCCGTACTAACCTCCCCCTCGACTTTGTCGAGCCCGTGTTTCAGTTCGCGACGACGTGTCTGCCTGCCGCAAACTCTGCCTGCCGCCAACTCTGCCTGCCGCCAACTCTGCCCCCGGCGTTCTGCTAAACTGTTTTTCTGTCGGTTGCACCCTGTGAGGCCAACTCCACCGCCTGCCTCACCAAAGCTCCCAAAACCACGAAACGCCACACTCAACGATACCACCACGCCGTCTGCAGGCCCGCGGCAGCATACAGCGCCGCCGTGCCCGCCATCTTGGCGAGCGTGGCGCCGTCCAGCACACCCTCCTTCGACAACGCAAACGCAAACGCCAGCGCGATGAGATCGAGCCCGTCAGTCGCAGCACTAAGCCAGATGGCGCGCTTGAGCCCCGTGTCGTCGCCTTGGCCACCACCACCACCACCAACAGCAGCAGAGGTGGCATGCTGCCTCTCGGCGAGCACGAGCCCCGCGCCGACGACAATCTCGCGCACGCCGAACTGCCGCGCGATGAGCGACGCTTCGGCCGAGAGAGGTGAAGACAGGCCGGCGACCTGGAAGGCGAGCTCTGGTGCGATGAGGCAGCCGATGCCGAATGCGGTGCGCGTCGTGCCGATGAATGTCAGCAGGGCTTTGGCGAGCGGGGAGGGTGCCGGTTTGCGGGGTGCAGAGGGCGGCATTTTCGGAGTTCGGTGTGTGTGTGTGTGTGTGTGTGTGTGTGTGTGTTGGGAGTTGTGATGTTGGAATTGAGTTTGAGGTATTGGGACGTAACGAAGAATCTCAGAGACAGCCAGCCGCTTTGCCTGAGCTGACAAGCCACGTAAGCGCGTCTTGCCACGAAAGGGCGAACCCCGCAGCTTGTCGACGAGAGACAGGGGTTGGACGAGGCCGACGTCAGCAGCGTTCTTAGCGTCAGTGGGATCTTGGCACTGGATATGTGCTCTGTTATGATGTCGTTGAGGGTAATTAGTAACAGAAAGATGGTCGGGTAGGGATGTCCATCTGGGGCCCGCTATAATTATTCGTCCGCAGCCTGGCAAGCCGCTCGACCTTACGACGCGAAGGCGGCGGACCGAGGCTCGGTCTGAGCCGCAGCTTAAAGCCCAGTTGCGTTTCTTCGTCTCGCCGTCATAAACCGGCAAAGGTATACCCTCTTTCTTTCTTGGGAAAGTGCGGTGAGGCATGCAAGAACGGGTCGTGAACTGGTGGTTGAGGGCATTCACACATCCTTGTCATTAGTCCATAATGTCCCCGTCATGCTGTTTACCCCGTAAAAGTCCTCCTGTTCTTCCTTTAAAAGGGGAACAACACCTTTCCTACCCTTTCACACCCCTATACCCGTCCCTTCCCTCTTTGACACAGTCCATCAAACCAGATACACCAACACATCGTCCTCAAACAGACCCAGCGCCGGCCACGTGTGCCCGCCCTGGCGCAGGTGCACCCACAGGTCGTCGAGCACGCGGAGCCGTGAAAGTGCGCGTACTGGATGTCCGTGGCCATTTTTTGACCTTTAGCGTGGCCTCGTCGACGGGCGGCTCTAGCTGCTGCTCGTTGCCGCCGCCGGTCTTGTTGTTAGATCTAGCCCGGGCCTTCTTGTTGTCAGGTCTAGCCCGGGCCTTATTGTTGCGCCTCGCCTCGGCTACGCGGGCGGTGCGCACGGTGTGCGCCAGCCCGGCTAGCGCGACGTCGACCACCATGGGCAGCGCGTCGGCGCACGTCGAGAACAGACCGTCGCGCCACGGCGTGGCCCAGTAGCCGGGCTCGACGTCGAGCTGCGCCGCCTAGTAGAAGGACAGCACGGGCGCCGTCGGGTACTCCCAGGCCGAGCGCGCCCCAACGTACATGTCGGCCTGCTTGGCGCGCCAGTACTCCTCCGAGTCCCAGCCCGGCTCGGAATCGCTTGCGGATAACCTTGAGCAGCGTCTTCCACGACCTGGGGGCAACCCGCTTGTTCTCTAGGCCGCGGATGATGTACGGAACTGTGGCAATGTTTTCGCTCTCAAGCGTCTGGAGCATGGCCTACACACAGCATGTTAGTATATCGTCAACAGTTAGTATATCGTCAACATCTTGGTCGTGACAATATCCATACCTCCCACGTCTCGGACTTGTCCGCCGGCACCGAGTGCTCTTTGCCCTGCAAGTCCACAAAAGCAAGAAGAATAACCCCCGACGCCTCCTCGGCCTCGTCATCCGTGCCATGCTCGCGGATGTGGGGCAACTGGGTCGCGTAGGTACGTACGCCACCGCATGCCCAGTAGCTCGTAATATGTGCGCTTTGGCGCGTCATACTCCTGGTTAGCAACCGATGCGGTGCCCTCGAGGCGGCGCAGCCACGACAGGCTGATGTCGCCCTTGAGCAGGCCGCTGAGGGTGGAGCGGGGCGCGTCCGAGAAGGCCGGGAAGCGCAGCAAGCGGCCCAGCAGCGGGTGGTCGCTGCTCTTAATGCAGCCCGACGGCCCGCTCATCTCGATCAGGTCGCCGCGCGTAATCTGCAGCGATGCGGAACCGCAGCTGCGACCACACCCGCACGCGCCGGCCCGGGTGCCCCGGTATCGGGCCCCAGACTGACTTCTCGCACTTGCGCATCTTCTGTGCCGTCGCGACGTATTGCTGGATCGCCTGCGCGAGCGCCACCACGAGCGCCAGCACCGCGGCCCCCAGCGCTGCCCATGCCGCGATCGTGGCCGCGTCTACGTCTGCCATGGCAAGAAGGGCGTGGCTGTCTGAGAATCACGCCGGAATTTGCTGTTTTGCTGCCACGAAGGGGAGGCGCCGACGTTGTTATGAGGGAAAAGCGACGAGGCTCTGCATATTGCCCCTCCTCCTCCTCCTCGCCCCTCATTTTAAGTCTTCAGCTGAGATTTCACATCTCACTGTGGCTTAGCTTTGCGGAGACGAGGAGCAAGGAGCCGGTGATGATTAGCTAGGTTGAAGGCGGTATTCTCATCCCTGGTCTCGGATATGCCTTGGCGCTTGTGCTACCCCGAGAGCCTTGTTCTCGATTCATCGTGCTTTTCATGACCGGACACTCGTACTTGGGTTCTCGTCTCGAAGGTATCAACAAAGCAGGAGTCCGACGGGGATCCGAACCGTCGGCCGACGCGTGAACGCCGCGGCGCTGTATTTCCCTGACGTGATAGCGCAACGGTAACACCTGATGTGGTGGCTGCAAGTTTGTGCTGCATGAGTTGGTTGTCTAAACAGGCGCGGGAAGGAGTCTGGGCCGCGCCGGATGCAAGAGGGTGTCATCCGTAGCCAATTCGACGTTAATAACGACATCAAAAACGACGCAACCTTCACCTTATTATCAAACCCCGCTCGAGGCGGCCTTGGCACCGTGGCGATGTGGCCTGCAAGAGTTCGATGAATGGACCAATACCGATGTCTTGATTACGGGGAACAGCTAGTTGCAGGAAGGGTTGCATGGAGCAGGCGTTTTGAACAAGAACCAGAGACTCTGAGTGGAACTCCGCCGTGCTGCGTTTTTGGTGGCTTGCCCGGCTGCGTCGGTCTCTGTGACGGCGGTGCATGACTTGCCAGCCGACTCGTGATGCTCCAAAGTGATTGGTTTGCGGCCACGGCCGATAATGGCGGGCCAGGCGGGGGATGCCCTCAAGATGGGAGCAATCCCGTTTTCCTGGTTTCTGTGGGTTGGGCTATATATCATGAGCAGAGCACCCGGCCAGCAGGAGAGCCAGGGCGGTCCATCTCAGCCAACCCAGTCACAAGTCCATCTAGCAAACAACCACGGCGCCCCCTAGAACCCAACTGTCAACATGTATCTACCAGTTCAGGCAACCGAGCATCCGGTAGCGGCGATTGCCCTCGCCGGCCTCGTCGTCTACTACCTGGTCGTCAAGGTTCAAACATACTATCGGCTGAGGGCGTTCAAGGGCCCATTCAGCACCGGTTTCTCCGAGGTCTGGCACATGTCTGCCATCTTTGGCAAGCAGGCACACCTCAAGTACAAGGAGACCGTCGACAAATATGGTCAGTCCAAGGCCCTTCGTTGACCAAGACGCCCACACACACTGATCACAACAGGACCGATTGCGCGCATTGGCCCCAACGACTTGATCACGTCGTCGCAGGAGCTGCTCGCGCACATGAACGGCGTGCGGTCCGAGTACACGCGTGCCGACTGGTACTACCTCGGCGGCAGGTTCCGGCCGGGCAAGGACAACATCTTCAGCCAGGTAGACGAGACGCAGCACCAGCGGCGTCGCCAGCAGATGCTGCCGGGCGTGAGTATTTCCGAGTCCCCCCGCCACCCCTTCTCTGCTGACATGTTCCTAGTACACGGGCAAGGAGAACCTCGAGCTGGAGGGGTCGATGGACGCGCGCATCGTCGAGTTCATGGACCTGATCCGGCGCAAATACCTGTCAACCGAATCCCAGGCCCGGCCGGTCGACCTGACCATCAAGATCCAGTACTTTGTGCTCGACGTGATCACATCGATCGGGTTCAGCTCGCCGCTGGGCGACCTGATCGCCGACGCAGACCTGCTCAACTACTCCAAGGCGACCGAGACGGCCATGGGCGCGGCCGTGTACCTCACGGGATCCGGGCTGGCAAAGCGGCTGGCGCGCATGCCGTGGCTGATAAAGCTGGTCGGGCCGTCGGAGCACGACGCGCAGGGGATGGGGCGGCTCGTGGGCAACGCGCGCGAGATCGTGGCGGCGCGGGTGGCGCGCGGCGACATGGAGACGCGGTCCGACATGATGGCGTCGTTCTCGCGCCACGGCCTGACGCCCGACGAGCTCGTCACCGAGTGCCAGCTGCAGGTGCTCGCGGGATCGCACACGACGGCCGCGTCGCTGTGGACGCTGATGCTGTACGTGACGACGCACCCGCGCGTGCTGGCGCGGCTGCAGGCCGAGATCGACGGCGCGGTGCGCGACGGGCTCGCCCCGGACGTCGTCGCCAACGGCGAGCTGAGCCGGCTGCCGTACCTGCAGGCCGTCATCCGCGAGGGCCTTCGCATCCGGCCGCCCGTGACCAACATCGACCCCAAGCGCGTGCCCGACGGCGGCGACACGGTCGTGCTGGACGGCAAGCCCGTGTTTCTGCCCGGCGGGGCGAACATCGGCGTGTCCGTGTGGGCAATCAACTTCGACAAGACCGTGTTCGGCGACGACGTCGACGAGTTCCGCCCCGAGCGCTGGCTGCTGGAGACGGACGAGAAGAAGCTGGCCCAGATGACGCGCGCGACCGATCTCATCTTTGGCCACGGCAAGTTTCAGTGTCTTGGGAAGCCGGTCGCGCTGATGGAGATTGGAAAGACCGTGTTCGAGGTGAGTGGCTATGAGCGAATGTGCAAATCCATCATCGAAAGTGAAGCTAAGTTTTACGCACAGTTGCTGCGAAACTTCGACTGGTCCGTCGCCAGGCCCCAGGAATCGCTGCGCACTGGCAACTACGTCGGATTATTCTTAGACAAGCCCATGTGGATGCATGCGGCTCAGAGAACTCCCGCAGCTGTGTGAAGCTGGTTGTTGGAAAATGTATCCGTGAACGCCGTCGGGCGAAGCTGGGTTTGGCTGATGTAGTTCGTTCTCTCACTCTGACTTGGTTTCAATTTTCAACTCGGCTCAGATCTCGTGCGTGGCAGGAGATCTCCGTAATAAGCCGTCAATCTCCACCAATACTAGCGGAACTCGTATCTTGAGAGCCAAGCTGCTTCGATTCGCTTGATTCGCTCACAGCTAGTAGAGTCTGATGAAACTGTCAACCAAGGGACCGACGTATTGATTAGACTGAGCAAGCCAAGCTAATTAGTCGAAGGCCGCTTAATTCACTCCTGTCGAACAATTCACCCCTGTCGAACCAAGCACGTCTCTCCGCCAGAACAGCCATCAACAGACAACACTCCCTCCCAACACCTCTGGAGCCACGCGGTAGTGGTAGCGATACAGCTCTTCGTATCCCAGCCTCTCGTAGAGCGTCCCCGCGGCGACATTTTTCACGCCAACAAACAGGGCCCCGGCCGTCGCGCCCTCGTCCATGGCCCAGCCGGCCAGCCGAGCCAGCAACGCGCGCATCAGGCCGCGGCGGCGAGCTTTCGGTGCCGTGAGAACATGGAACGTGGTCATCAGGGCGCCCTGGACGACGACGAACGCCACGCCGAGCGGCTGGCCGTCCTCGTAGATGGCCCCGAAGCGCGCCTCTGGCACGATTGCGTCTAGCATGCGTCTGAGCGTTGCTTCGTGGCTCGAAATGAGCGGCATGAGCGCCTGTGCGGCCTCTAGCCAGCCCTCGCGGGGATTGGTATCGACGCGGAGGCTGACGCTTTCTGGGAACGGCGGAAGAGTCTCCGCCGTCAGTGACGAGAGGTAAAGCGCCCGGCACGGGCTCCAGATAGTGTAGCCGCGCGCGGCCAGCCTCTCGTCAAGATCGGTAGGGTCTGCGAGAGGAGTGGATCGGAACACGGGCGGCAGGCTCCGGGCGCGGTACCAGGCCTCAGCGCGGTCGATCTTGGCCTCGACGTCGGTGTCGCCGTCCAGGGCCGGATAGGTGGGCGTGACCGAGTTTGAGCGCTTGGTGTAGCCGTCGGCGAAGCGCAATACCCAGCCGTCGTCGAACCCGTGAGCCAATGCCGGCCAGGCGCCGAACAACGCTTCCTCGACACGACGGATCAGTGAAGGGCTCGCCATGGCATTTCAACGATTCAGCACCATTCAACTTTGAATGCGAAGACTGTCAAATGTTGTCGGTCGAGAGGCCGTGATTGTCGGTCGAGAGACCGTGACGATATTTTTGGGAACGGACGAAATGGAAGGACCGAGAGAGTCCACCTTCGCCATTTGGCGGTGAGTCAACGGATGCGGGTCTATTACAAATTCATATTGCTTGGGAGCTATGGCGTGCTCTATAATGGTGGTGCGTCATGGCTTCAGGTTTACTGTATAATGTAATTTAGACTACCTAGGTTGTAGACAACGAGCAAAAATGTCAGAAAAGCTGAAATCCGATCAACGTTCAGAAGGAGAGGTAAGAAACAAGTGTGAAGAAGGTTGCCCAGATATAGGTTCAAAAACTGGTAATGGAAGATGGCTTGTAAACAGAGACTTCGTCACACCAACGGAAGTGTCTCTAGAAAAGGAGAAGTTGCAGAAGAGAAAAAGACTCAGCTCAACCGCATTATCAGTCATACTGTTAGCAACTTCGACTGAGCTCCACTGTCGGTAGAAATCTGACAGTGGCAGGGTGGACAGCTATTGAGTACCCAGTAGCTTCAAGGTCTTGAAATCGTCTTGCTGGCCCTATCCGGCTTGGAACGGTCTTGCTTTTCGGGGAAGGTGTCACACAAGGATTCGGAGCCCCGCAGCCCCGCAGCGCAGTGCATTGGTCAAAGAAGACGGGGCCCCGGCCATTGTCCTCCAGGTTACGGTGGGGAAGCGGGGTGGCGGAAACCAGCGGCTCAAGGTGGAACGCAGGGCAGCTCCCTCCAGGACACGAGACTGTGCGTCCGGGACAAAATCGCGTCAGTGAGCTCGAGAAAAGTCCAAAAATGGGCATCTTGGATGGAAGAAGAGAGAGATGCTGTAGTGAAACGAGAGACAATGGATTGATAGAGACGAGAGGGGGTTGGAAAGGAAAATATAGATAGAAAATCGCGAGTATCTTGAGCCATGGCAGCCCTCGGCTTATCTCCTCGCGTCGGCCACAGGGGTCTGCATCGGGTCGGTTGGTACGCCGAGGAGCCAGTCTCTTGGCCCCGAACTCCCGATCCAACATACAGAAGTGGGCTAGAGGAACTGTTATGTAACCTTGTGAAGATCCTGTGGAAGCCAAACTGTCACGCCGTTGGACACTTCTTAGTCGGAGTAGTCACTTGACGAAACCCCTGATTGATGGTGATAAGCAAGCAGGGAACTGGGGGCTTGAATACGTCTTAAGCCGAGCACCTGGCCGGCATGGACAGAGGAAATAAATACCAGGGCAGGGAGAGCTTGCTCCCGTTAGCATTTATTCCCTTTATCATTGCCATACACGACGAAGGCTCATTGGCAGGAGCCGCTTCTCGTTCTTTCAGGTGCAGGGATAATCCCAACGGGCCTTTGTTTATGTGAACGTTGGTTGGGGAGTACGTTTGTCAGACACGGCGGAAAGAGAGGAGGACAGCAGAGCCAGAGGACAGCAGAGCCAGAGGACCACGAAAGGAGACCCGAAATACGGCCAGGTACCAAGGGGGAAAATTGCCGGCGCCGACCGCATGTCGCTCTCGCTTTCACTTGGCTAAATCACAAGCCAATATTCCACCGTCCGGACAAGACCTCGAGAGCCCCACTCCGACATCCGAGAATTTGGGGCTGGGAATTGGAGAAGGACACGACAATACCCACCAGCATTTCCCATCTTCACTTGCCGGGACGCTATGCGGGTAACCCCGCCCCAGGCGGCAAGGGTCACCCTCGGGGCCCTTCACTCCCGTCTCGAAGGCTCTCGGCCTACTGTTCCTGTAGGTCTTGCGGGGTTTGGTGAGGGCGCGAGACGCAAGTCCCGGTTTGCCTCCCCCGCGTCGAGCTATTCGAATGGACGTGACATTGGCGTATTGGACCCGAGCCGCAGCCGCGGATTGATAAGTGCCGGCGTCACCTCAATTGCTCGACCTCCTCCGCCCGCACCGTCCGGTATCTTGCAGTCTACACCCCAGGCAGCTGTATCCTGGAACCGAGGGAATAGACCCGGCAGATTAGGTCTTGACGCAACAACACGGACGAGAAACGTGTCGACGGCCACGCCCAACATGTACACGACGTCGTTTGCCTTTTTCGAGGCGTTGTGGGATGCCGGCGTCACGCATTGCTTCGTCAACCTAGGCTCCGACCACCCAAGCATCATTGAGGCCATGGTGAAGGGAGCGCGCGAGAAGAAGGACCGGTTTCCACGCATCATCACATGCCCAAACGAGGTGCCCACACACCTACCCGTTCCAGTCCCAGCTGTTGCGGAATTATATTAACCGTGGTGCCGCAGATGGTTGCCATGTCAATGGCCGACGGCTACGCGCGCTTGACCAACAAGCCGCAATGCGTGATTGTGCACGTGGACGTCGGGACTCAGGGGCTGGGCGCCGCAGTCCACAACGCGAGCAGCGGGCGGGCACCGATTTTGGTGTTCGCAGGGCTGTCCCCGATCACCCAGGAAGGTGAACTGCGGGGATCGCGTACCGAATACATTCACTGGATCCAGGATGTTCCTGACCAGAAGCAGATCGTATCTCAGTACTGCCGCTACGCAGCCGAGATCAAAACGGGGGTGAACGTCAAGCAGATGGTCAACCGGGCGCTACAGTTCGCAAGCTCGGCGCCACAGGGCCCTGTCTACCTGTGCGGCGCACGAGAAGTCATGGAGATGGATATCGAGCCGTACGAACTGCGGCAGAACGAATGGAGCCCCGTGGAGCTCGGTGGGCTGCCGAGGACAGCTGTCAAAAACATTGCGGAAGCCTTGGTAGGCGCTCGGGAGCCGCTCTTGATTACCGGCTACGCGGGGCGACACCATGCACTAGTGCCAGCCCTCGTCGAGCTAGCAGACACTGTGCCGGGACTGCGTGTTCTAGATGCCGGAGGGAGCGACATGTGCTTCCCAGCCGACCATCCTGCGTGGCTAGGGCTTCGGTTCGGGAACGAGGCATCAATTCGGACCGCCGATGCTATCATCGTGCTGGACTGCGATGTGCCATGGATCCCAGCCCAGTGCAAGCCAAGGGAAGACGCCAAAATATTCCACATTGACGTTGACCCTCTCAAGCAGATGATGCCGCTGTTTTACGTGCCGGCTCAGGCCCGATTCCGCGCGGATGGGTTGACGGCTGTCGAGCAGGTGACGGCACTCCTCAAATCCGATGACCAGTTCCAGGCTAAGCTGGCTGGCGGAGAGGGCGAGAAGAGACGTACGGCTCTACAAGTGTCATACAAGAAGCGGCTTGAGGCGATCGAGGCAAAATGCCAGCCTCTGCCAGACGGTGGGTTTGGCACAGGGCATCTCTGCGCGAGGCTAAGAGAACTGTGTCCGCAAGACACGATCTGGGCGATAGAGGCAGTCACAAACACCGTCTTCGTCCATGACAGCCTCCGGCCAACGCTTCCCGGACATTGGATCAACTGCGGCGGGGGCGGGCTCGGCTGGTCGGGCGGCGGCTCATTGGGCATCAAGCTGGCGACCGAGGTTGAAGCCAAGCTCAAGGGAGAGAAGGGAAAATTTGTGGTCCAAATCGTAGGGGACGGGACATTTCTCTTTTCTGTGCCGGGCAGCGTGTATTGGATCTCGAGGCGATACAACATCCCCGTGTTGACCATCATCCTGAACAACAAGGGTAAGTGGGCCGGGTGGATATCGGGCCTTTTCTTCGGCGGCTTGTAGCCGAACGCTCGACTCTAGCTGACAAAACTAGGTTGGAACGCGCCCCGGAGGTCGTTGGAGCTTGTTCACCCGACCGGGCTTGGATCCAAGGCCACCAATGAAGAGATCAACATCTCCTTCAACCCGGTTCCCGACTATGCGGGCATTGCAAAGGCAGCAGCGGGAGGGGATCTCTTTGCGGAAAAGGTTGAGAAGGCAGCGGATCTGGACGACGTTCTCGGAAGGGCCATCGAGGCCGTCCAAGGGGGTCAAACGGCCGTTGTGGATTGCAAGGTTGCGCTGGGCTGCTAGTCATGCTCCTTGGGGCCACATCTTTGGGCCACGTCTTCTCGTGCACTTTGCCATTGCCGCTCATGTATGTAGACCGATGCAGTGCGTGGGGGTGGGAAGGGAGGCAGCGTCTTCCGACATCGCGGGCGTGCGTTATTCGTCGTCTTGGTGCGGGGAAGTTCGAGCGTTTTCTCGAGGCATCACGAGACGTTGTGGTGTTGGAGCCTCAGCTCCGGCGGCAGTTGCAGCACGTACGTACCAATAACAGTCGCGTTAGGTCGACGAGGAGCCAGCCCAGGGAACAACGCGAAACGTATTGTAGTATGTTGTGGGCGTTGCTTGGCGGTGCTTCACTCTGGGTGACCTATCGGAATTGGTCATGCGTTCCGGAAATGACACCAAGAAAGTGTGTCTGTTGACTCGTCGAGCACTTCGCGGCCCGTCCACGGCGAGGAGCTAAGCAGAGAGTCGCCGCGTCCAAATAACGGGCGGTAGAAATGCGCCTAGGGTCCCAGAATTGAGTGTAACCCGCATGTTGTGGGAAGACCCTGCATGCCCTCGGCCTAATAGCGACCTGGAGCCCTGCAGAGCCAGCGCTTCGGCTGTCCTAGACCGTGCTGCCGCGGCAAGAGACGACATCGGTGACACCTGAATCGGGAACTTTTGACCCGTGATGCTAAGCAGCAGCGCACAGCGACATAAAACCCGGCCAAGTCCCAGAGGCGAAAATGGTCGAAGGCGCAATCGCTTTTCTCTTATCGTCGGCGATCCGCAAATCGCCAGCACCTCGGCCGACCGATCGAACGTCGAGCAACTCGGGCCTCTCGTGACGGCGTCTCTATCCATCCAGTTGCCAAAAGGACAGGGCGCTCCGCCTGCTTGCTTACCGCCACCGTCCCATCAGAAGCTTGCCCCCCCTTCACGGTGCATCAGTCCTGCCAATTCGCCACGCCCAGCGCTCTCGAACAATGGCATTCTCGACCACGCCGCAACTGCAGTAGGGCTCTTGTGTGGCCGGCTCTGTTGGTTTCACTGTCCCGATTGAGAAGGAGTATTGCCGGAGTCTCTGCGCGGGTGGTAATTTTTCTGAGCTAGGCGGTCTGTTTTTCCCGTCACGGGTCAACATTCCGTCTTGAAGAATTAAATTTGACGAGATTGGGTTGCATCCCTGCGGCGGCGACGCACAGGCCAAGAGGGGTTTTCTTTTCGAGGAGCGAACCCAGGCTGCTCACCCCGCAATTCCATCTCGGCGTCGACCCTAACGCCAAACGCCAACACCCAGCGCCAAAGCAAGGATCGTGCCCAAAGCACGTCTCGACAACCTAGACCCTCGACGCCCGACCCGCCTGCACATCATCCTCGACCCATCATTGCTATCTTCCTTTTGCCATCTTATGTATGCATCAGTAGGATTCAACGCGACATCCAATTTTCGGCTTCTCTTTACTGATAGCGCAGCTGTCTTCAATCCGATTTGCCCCTCCACTGCGCTACTTGCCCTAGCACCTAGCACCTGGTTATAGGTACCCGACCTTCGGACGGCCCTCCTGCTTTGGCCAGCGACCACCACAGGGCACCAGGACTTGCAGTGGCCTGCGTTACTAGAACACGAGATCATGAGACTGGTGGCCGCAAGCTGCAGTGTTCTCAACAAAATCGCGGAGCCGCCTTGGCCAAGCTGAGCTTGCCTCGACCCGCGTTGCTTGTCCATTTGCCTGCCATCCGAACGAGTGGCCCTGGGAACATCCCAGTCCCCTTTTGACACCTGCCAGAAATATTTTACAGCGCAACCCTAATTGCCGAGATCCGACCGGACAAGACACTGGGCTTGGTGTCTTGCTTAAACCGCCAATTCTCGAAATGTCGGAACACCAGGCAGACGTCTCCGAGGCCGCGAGCGACTCGAGCTCCGTGCCGACCCCTCCGCCTCCCCCGGTGCCCTCGACCGACCCAAAGCTACTATATGTGCAGACCGCCGGGAACGACATAACCTCGCCGAGGCTCATTGCCCAAGTCGATGATATCTTCAAAGTTTCGCCGCTCGCGGCCCTCAAGCTGCTGAGTGCTGGCATTGAAGCGCTCGTCACTGTGACAGGAGACATCCCACCCACACCGCCGCCACGAAGCCCGACTATTCCACACATGCGCGGCATGGAGGCAGAGAAGAAGAGCATTGTGCGGTCAAACTCGGAGAAGAACTTAGCCCGCCTCGCGGCGCAGCAGGGCTCGACAAACTCTCCGCGCCCCGGCCGATCGCCTCTTATGCCTTCCGAGAACCCGGCAGCGTCTCCCGGAGCCGGTGTCTCGCACACCCAGCCTATCGACGGCGTGCACCTGCGGACACCGAACCCAACACCTCCGCCCAAGTCGGAAGCGCAGCCCCAGCCGCCGCTTGCGCCCTATCTCATCGTCGGCGAGAACTCGCAGCCACTTAACCTCCAACACAGCGCCATCACCCGCAAGTTCTACTCCAGGCTCCAGCCGCCCATCTCCATAACCGAATACCTCCTGCGAATACACCGCTTCTGCCCCATGTCGACGGCCGTCTACCTCGCTACCTCGCTGTACATACACCGGCTAGCTGTCCTAGAGCAGGCCATCGTGGTCACGAAGCGCAACGCGCACCGACTGTTGCTGGCCGGGCTGCGGGTTGCCATGAAGGCTCTCGAGGACCTCAGCTACCCGCACGGCAAGTTCTCCAAGGTCGGCGGCGTGAGCGAGGTGGAGCTGGCGCGACTGGAGATCAGCTTCTGCTTCCTGACGGGCTTCGAGCTAGTCGTCGACGAGAAGGCGCTGCGAGACCAGTGGGACCTGCTGCGCAGAGGCGTCGACTACTGGGGTATGATGGGCCCACCTTCTGCTGCAGAGGACGACGTGCTGCGGCTCAAGAAGCCGCCACGGGGCAGCAGGATTGGGACAGAAGCTTGATATGGGACAGAAGCTTGCTGTCGGCTAACTGCCGCGAGGGTGAGACGAGGTATGTTGAAGGCGCAATCGCACGGTATACCCCTGGCTGTGTTTTTTTTTTTTGGCGTTTTATGTCTCTCGATTAGCGTCTCGGGTTTTGGCTGTCCCGGCTCTCAACGGGTTCTGCATGTTCCAGAAGACTCAAGGTAAAAAGATCTTCTTGAATCGACTTGTTTTTTTCTTGTCTTCCCTTTCACGAGCCACCTGTTTACGAAATTAACATGCGTTACGAACAGCTTCTACATTTTCGGCGTTCATTCGGGAGGTGCGGTTGACGGCACATCTTTTCCCAAAGGCTAGGCGGCGTACATATGTTTAGTCCTATTCCTATACCAGCTTCCTGTCATATTGAGAGGCATCAGCGATGGTATACAATGTTATCCGTGTTAATATATCGTAGTCTAGGTCTTAACACTGAGAGAAGAGCATGCTGCTCAGTCCGTTCGGGGCCGAAATTGCTATGCTCATGACATGCAGTACGTACCCTATTAACAAATTGACCTTCGGGTATCTAGCCGGTACAGGCCTTACTCAAGTATATCTGTTTGTGTTCGCGTCCGTGTGCCTGTAAGAAATGAAATGGTCTGTCAGCAGTTCTCAACCTCCACTGTTATATTTGCTTGGATTTCAGCGATTCAAGACTTAAGACCATGTCACCAAGGAGAACCGTTATTGTCGAACCCCTTCTGCCGTTGCAACCCGCTTCTTAGCGTCGCCTGGCGTAGTGTTCGTGTGTCCGCTCCGTTCAGTAAGGCAAGTAGTAATGGGGTACTAAACAGCCCTGCAGGCCCCACCATCACCACAAACAGCAGCAGCCAGAGCTGCCCCGCATTGAAGCAGAGCTTCCAATTCTTATCTCGCGCGGGCGCAAGCCCTGCCCGCGTTACGTCCTCCAGCCCCTCCTCTCGTCCCTTCTATGCAATTCTTCCGCTCCCTCGCTGCCCTGACTCGAGTCGCGCGGCCTCCTCCAACACTGCAGCAACGAGTCTTCAGTCAATTGCGAACTTTAAAAATGGATTACGAAACGATTCTGCAGGGCAAGTACCCCGCCAAGCAGCATGCGAAGCGCGTCGCCGACTACATCCGCTCCAAGGTCCCCAATGCGAGCGGCGTGCTATACGTCGAGAGCCGCTCGACCAAGCTGCTTGAGGACAATGACGAGCCCGAGCCGTTTCGGTATGCTGCTGTTCTCCTTCCCAAGCTGGCCGAGTTCCCCGCGGACCGCCGTCCGGAATGTTGCTGACAGGGCCGGGAAGACAGCGCCGCTTCTTCTACTACCTCTCGGGCTGCCCACTTGCCGATTGCTACGTCGTGTACGACATGGACACGGAAAAACTGACGCTCTTCATCCCCCCTATCGATCCCGAGAGCGTCATCTGGTCCGGTCTGCCCGTCTCCGCCGAGGAGGCCAAGGAGAAGTTCGACATCGACGACGTCAAGTACACAAACGACATCAACGCGACGCTTGCCCATATTGGCGCCGACAAGATGAAGGCGACCGCCTTTGCGATCTCAAGCCAGGTCTCGGACCAAGTCACGTTCCTCGAGTTTGACGAAACGAACTTCTCCATACTGAAGGAGGCGATCGAGGTGTCGCGCGTGGTCAAGGACGAGTTTGAGCTCGCCATGATCGCCAAGGCCAACGCCGTCAGCAGCAAGGCCCACCTCGCTGTGCTCCAAAAGGTCAAGCATGTCAAGAACGAGCGGGAGCTCGAGGCTGTGTTTCTCGGCGAGTGCATTGCTGCCGGCGGCCGCAACCAGGCGTACCACAGCATCGTCGCCAGCGGCCGGGCTGCTGCGACGCTGCACTACGTGAATAACAACGCGCCAATGGCCGGAAAGCTGAACTTGCTGCTGGATGCCGGCGCCGAGTGGGACTGCTATGCATCCGACATCACAAGGACGTTCCCCATCAATGGCGAGTTCTCCAACGAGAGTCGAGCCATCTACGACATCGTCTTGAAGATGCAGCTAGACTGCACCGCGATGCTCAAGGAAGGAGTCCTATGGGACGATGTGCACCTGCTAGCGCACAAGATTGCCATCGACGGCTTGCTAGAGTTGGGCATCCTGAAGGGCGACAAGGACGAGATTCTCGCCAACCGGACCAGTGTTGCTTTCTTTCCCCACGGTCTCGGACACTACCTAGGCATGGACACTCACGACACCGGCGGCAACCCGAACTATGCCGACAAGGATGCCATATTCCGATATCTGAGGGTGCGGGGCACGCTGCCCGCGGGGAGTGTGATCACGGTCGAGCCGGGCATCTATTTCTGCAACTTCATCATCGAGCCCTTCCTGAAGGACCCGACGCACTCCAAATACATCGATGCCGACGTGTTAGACAAGTACTGGGACGTCGGAGGCGTTCGGTAAGTGGAGCGTACCCGGTTTTGCGGGTGTGTACCCGGGCTAGGCTAACCTTGCTTGCGCAGGATTGAGGACAATATCGTCATCACCAAGACGGGGTCGGAGAACTTGACGCTTGCCATCAAGGACCCAGCCGAGATGGAGAAGATCATTTCGGTCAGCTAGAGCCGGTTTGACGTCAAAAACGCCGAGATGTGTGATGACACCTTGATCCATCAAGTCTTGCTTCGTGTACTTTGTAGGACGTGTTTACCCGACCCCCCGATTGATGCAAACATGTGCACGTTAGAGAGCAAATATCATAATCCAACAATCATCAACATTAGTACCGGTTGGCCCGGTCTTCTACAAGTGTGCGTGGAATGTGTTTGTCAAGCACCCATGTGAAGACTACGAGCTTAATACCCCGTGGCAGAACCTCCCACCACAGGCCAAAGTTTGATCTCAAGCCTCCACTGCCTCAGCGTCAGCGGGAGGAATTGGCTCCGGTCGATGACGAAAATGGCGTTCTGTTGAGCCTGTTGTTCTCGAAAGCTTTTAACCACCCACACCCTTTCCGCAGAACTATTATCTCGTTTTCTAGGAAATTACGGTGCGCCGTGAAGCCCTCCCATTTCTGACTCTCCCACACGAAGCAGTACGCGCCATCTACCAGCCGCTGTTCGCCGATCAAAGAAATGCATCTAAACGCTGTCTTGGCCAGCGTGGCCATGGGCCTCCTCTTTGACCTGTCGCTTGCCATCTCGTCCGACGGCACGCCGAGCATCGCAGCGAGAGAGGCTGGGACAATCCAAATCCACCACGACGCGGCCGCCTTCAACGAAGCTACCGACGATGTCAAGATCCACCGGCACGAGACCGTCATCCGCGTCGACAAAGTCGACCGCTCCGCCGCATTTCCTCCACCGCCACCACCACAGTACCGCGTCGTCGCCGAAGCACGAGACACCGCCTCAGCCAACACCGACGCTGATGTCGCCGACACCATATCCCTCGCCGCCGCGGCCGGCGCCGAGCGCGTACCGACGTGCACGCGCAAGAACGGCAAGCTGCACACGCAGCGCCAGTGGACCGTCAGCTACGACGGCGACACGGACCTCAACGGCATGCACTGCGGCCAGTCGGTGCGCGCCGAGCTGGCCCGCCACTTCCGCTGCAAGCCCATGACCGACGTGACGTGCGTCGCCAGCGGCGAGCCCGGCCGCGGCGGCGTCACGCTGCAGTTCCACACCCCGCGCACGTGTTCTGATACCGCGGTGCGCGATGCCGTTGCCAAGGGGACTGAGGGGCGGGCTAAGGTTTGGTGTCAGCATTTGTGAGCTTTGAGGGGATGGGGGTTGTGGTATAAGTAGGCGTCGTGGGAATGGGGATTCGGATAGGGGATGATATTTGGTGGCTCGAAAGAAGTGGCTCGAAAGAAGGCGGCGACGATAAGAGTTGACAGGGGCTGGGGAGTTCTGTTGCTGTTGAGATGCTTGTCGGCGTGACTTGCCAAAACAATGAGGAGTTAACATTAACATACCTGTTTCTGACTTCGACGTGCTGTCTGGAAGTTGATCAATCCCCAGGCCATTCCTATGTCAAGTATACTCCCAAGCACAGTCCGGCTGCAGAACGGAACTGGTCATTCTAGCTTGTGAAGCATGCTATCTCTGTTTTAACATTAGTCACCGTCCGAGTAGTTAGTGAACGGTTTGCTCGATCAGGTGATGTGCTTGCTCAGTTTTGGTGAGTTTGTCTCCCGTGTCCTAGATCTAGTTTAGATTGAGGTGTAGATTCTATTTTCAGGCAGTCAACACGAGGCAAAGGTCATGGGGCTCGATAAGAATGACCAATGATAGGGGTTTACTTATTAGGGTCGATAAGTACCCTAGGGTTAGTTTTGGCTGACTACAGTTCGAACAGACGTTTTCTATGGTCCGAAGAGACATCCTCCTGTTTATTCCATTACAAGGCGTAGTAAGGTTGATGTTTATTTTCTTCCTGACCATCAGCAGTCTGTACGCTTTAAATCTCATATCACTATCTCAGGTTTACTTTGGAAGGGGGGGTTTGACGTACATGTCTGTAGATTATGGCTCTAGCTCCCAGCAGCTCCGGTGCAACGAGTTCGTCTGGTGTTTGTTTCCATGGATCCACTTGTCAGGGCTTCTCCGCATCTAGGCCTGGTGATCATGGTCAAGTGACTCCTAGAACAACCTCTCAACACCAGACGACATGCCTCTCAGCGCCGTGTTTGCGTTCACCCGGCAACACAGATCCCGGTACAAATACTTCCTTGGTTGCCCCTTCCTCTGCAATCTCACCACGCCTCGCAGCCCTCTTGTTACCTCATCAGACACCGGCCGCCCTTGTTCTCTTTGCCAGTGAACATCGCCCTCTACCTCTCTTGCTACGCAAGTACACAAAGCACAATCATTCGCGAAGCACCCAATCCTTCGCTGCCGCCTTACCCATCAGGTGCCTTCTCCATCAGGTGCCTTCCCCAGACCAACAGCCTACGACGAATCGGTACCATCGACAAAATGAAGATCGCCCTGCTTGCCGGTCTGTCACAGGTGCTCCTTGCCTGCGCGGTCACGATTAAGCCTCCTCGCGTTGCTACGGCCCAGAGCAGTTTGGTCGTCAGCATGAGTGAGTTGAAGTTGCCTCCGTTTTCCCCTTCACTGGTCGTTCCTGTTTACAGGCTGGGTTCCAACTAGGCAATGTCACCAACGCGAATCCCGAGGACCTCTCTTGCGGTGGTGTGACCGACTGCTCCAGCCTCTGCGATGCCCTGGGCACCAAGTGCTGGTCGTGCGCCGACGATGGCTGCCATTGCGACTACCTCCCAGCGAAGTGCAACAATTAGGTCTCGGCTGTGAGTAATCAGTGCACCACTTTATGTTTGTTCCTATGAGCATTCTTCAGCTGAAAACTATCTCGAAGCGCTCATCATACAACAAGCACTTTGTGGTTAGCTGAGCCAATCTTTCGGCGCGGGAATCTCAATCCTTGGAAGGAGGTTGGAGGGTTGGAGGCAAGGACTCGATCTTGTAGCCTGATCTTGGTTTGATTGGACTTTACAACCCAAGATAGAAAGAAGCACACTCGCGGTAGAATATGGGCTAGTTCTGGGTCTAACAATACCATTGACATCGTGAACACAAGGACATTTACCCCGCCGCTGTTTGCTCTTCCCTCTGCCGATTCTTTCGGCCAATGCGTGAAATGATTGCTGTCCCACGTGTTGTCCGCCAATCGTAATCTCGAAAATGCAGCGGTGTCTTTGTAGGGATTCTGGAAGGAGCGACCGAAATCACAGACAGCTTATGGGATGGCAGTGACGTGACTAAACTTCTGCCTTGGCCCAATCGAAGAAGCATCCGGCAGCTACGACCTTCCAACCCACCTTCCTTCCAACACAGTTGGCAACCGAACCGCTCTTGCTATCAGCTGTTAGAAAACGCACAAATTTTGAAAGAACTGCGTCTCACAAACCCAAATCTGATATCTTTCCGAATTCCGACGAACGACTCTCGTACCGAACTCGTACGTTTCAATCGCGTCCACGCAACCTCCCAGCCTCGACAAAGCCAACAGAATGCTGACAACCACTTTGTGCAACCTAGAAAGCCTCCAAACGCCGACGCCGCTCGTGATTCATGCTCTGACAAAGAGACCTTCCTTCGCTCGACTTCGCGGCAACTCAAGGGTATCGGCGCACGCCGCGAATTTGGGGATTCCTCGTATGGCGATAGTTGTACGCTGAACGCCGTGGTGTCGGCGGGATCGCGGGCGCGGGCGGGACCACTGTCGGGCCTCGCCGAGTCCAAGTGTCGGCCGTGTACACGTCCTCGATGACAACTTCGGTCTCAGTCATGCTGTCGCTCTCATACCTGGCTATGAGGCGGCGCCTCCGTATCGACAAGCAGCAGCATACGAGCAGCAGGAATGCGACGAATCCCAAGACGGACCCAAGAATTGCGCCGATTTGATCTGGTGTCAGAGACGATGAAGACGATGCTGGGACAACAGGCGCAGTCCCTGTCGGAGGCTGTGGCTCTGGCGTCGGGGAGGGCGTGAATACGGGGGGTGGTGTAGACTCGGATGGCGAGCTGCCCCCAAGCGTCACCACAGTCGTGATAGTCGTGAAGGGTCGAGTGATGGTTTGAGTCAACAAATGGCGGGCTTCAACCGGTTGCACAGCGTCTGGGATCGCCATGGCTCGAGGCTCGAAAATGAACCGCTACAGCCCAGCAATCCTGAAATCCATGGTGGCTGCTTGAAAAGGGAAGCGCGACGGCCGGGGGAGGCTGGAAACTTCCCTGCCTTTATCAGCCCTTTTATCGCGATTCGCGCTGTCCGAATGACCCCATCCAACCACACACACCCAACCGCGCCAAGTTGCTCCCGGCTGCATTTCCTGCACCAAGGCCACCCGCAGCGGCCCCCTCCTCTCCGTGAGGCAGCATTCGGGCTTCACCCCACCGTCCCAACCTTTGGTACCAAGCAGTGCGGGTCCGTTTTAGGCAGCATGGGCTGCCTGTCAAGCTCTCATGAATAATGAGCGCCCAAATCGACTTTTGGCCACCGACAGCTGCTCATCTCACTTGCGTCGGAAACTTTGGGAGTTGGTGTCGCTGCAACTCGGCAAAATGCCACTCCTGCACGTCTCCGCATTCAGGAAAGGAGCAAAGCCAACATTTTGCGATGGCACTCCGACTCGCCGTCCTCATTTGTCACGTTCGACTGTCAGTCGTAGTGGCTGCAAGCCGTTATCAGCCCAGGTGAGACAATGGCGCGATTTGTTCAGTGCGAGCCAATCGAAGATTGCGAAAACCCGCAACGTGCATCCATCGCTCTAGCCCCTCGTGACGCTATTGGGGGGTGCGGTCACTGCACTGCATTCTTACTCAGATGCTTCTAAGGTGGTGGTGGTGTGGTATCGCGATTTGGCATGATGCCCGAACCCCCTTCATCGCCTTCCCCAGCAGTGTTTCGGCTGTTCGTCTATCACATTGTTCTCGCGGCCTTTCCCGCATCGGAGCCGAATGACGTGCAGCTACAGCAGTTTCGTCGCCCGAGATTTGCCAGTGCATGTGCGCCAGTCGCCGAAGCTGAGAGGTGGAGATCAGACTCGTGTCACCGAGCGAACAAGCGAACAAGTAAACCCGCTTGACCCTAAAGTCCAGTCGCTTCCAGGCTTGAATGCGAACCTATCGAGACCAAAGTCATTTTATTCAGGTTTACGATTCAACTTGCGCAGTAGCAGCTCAAGCTCAGCCACCTCGAACCTTGGCAAACCTAGACCCTAGGTACAGTACCCGTCTGCCCGTAAAAAGTCAGTCCGCTCGCTTTCTGTGGATCGGAACGCATTACCCCGAAGTTTGAGGTCGCTGGCGGCTCGCGACCCATAAATACCGTCTGGATGCAGCCAGTGTTGTGGCCCAGCCGCCTGTGCCGTGCCACTGACCTGCATGCGATCTCCGCCTTTCCACGGGTGACGTGTTTCCAGTTGAGCGGTCGCTGCTTTAACGAGCCCCCCAGGACAGTTGCCGCATGCCCCTTGGCGAACGGGCCTCATCGCTGCTGCTGGCTTGGCGGGAAGTGGGTTAGTGGGAAGTGGGTTAGTGTGGGGCTGGGAGGGTGAGCGTATGCAATATTGGGGACGATCCGCCGTTCCATTCATCTCAAAATAATTCACATAGCACTGAAGGAACTGGATTATCGGCAGCTGAATGAGTGAGACTTGGGAAGATTTTGTGCCTTGGATTGCCTTAAGACACTCATTATGGGTGGAAAATAAGAAGAAGTGGGTATTTGGCCTCTCTAGCCCAGACTTGGTTAAGGAAGATAAGACCCCCAACCATATATCAAGTCCGTTATAGGCGGTAAGGATCAATGGCATTCATGGGCAGCAGTGGCTCGCTCTCTGGTTCTTCGTATGACTAACGTGCGTCTCTTGAAGCAGCCGAGTTTAACTGTTTGAGTTTGTGCATTTCATGCCACGGCACAGGTTTAGTGGAGGTTGGTAAATAAGTCATGATTAATTTCTGATAAGCTTAGCATGCCTCCTCGGAGGGTGTGGGTTAACATTCCTGTTACTGGGCACGATTTCTAATTATCAAGTGTTTGGTCAAGACTGGGGTGTACTATATCTCAATTATTTTCCGCCGTGTTTGTTCGGCACATCCATCAACCCGAAAACAGCTTCTCTCTCGTCTCTATCACAATCGCCACGCCTCATCGAAAATCCCACCGACTAACACATTGATTAGGTGCTGGGCAACGAGAATCTAATACTCTTTGTCGCCATCATCAACTCCTGAACAACAAACCCGGCAGAGGCCTCGTTGAACATGGGTCCCATGGTGGGGTTCGTCAAGCCGCGCAGTCTCATTTCCTTCTCGACGAGCGCCAGGCAGCGCCAGTGGTGCTCGTCATGATAGAATGCGTGCTCGCGAAAACCGTCGGCGGACCGTGCGGCGAACGTGCGGCTCAGGGCGGTCCGGTAGTTGTCCGACGACCGCCGCGATGCGTAATGCAGCGCCAGCGCCTCCTTGGCGTCCTCGCCCCGAAGCGGCCGCAGCTTCTCGCACTTGAGCAGGTCCGCGATGTCGGCCGCCGCCAGCATGAACTCGTCTACCTCGGCTTGGCCGACGCGCGCCACGTGCCGCCTCACGTCGAATATCGGGGGGTCGTCGAGCCGCTGCACCATGGCGTCAAGGCGCGCCGCGCGGTCAGAGGCCGAGTTGGGGTTGTACGTGCGGTCCGCGTTACGCGAGATGATCCGGCAGACCTCGGGCGCGCGCGGGGTGCGCAGCCGGTCCAGGTAGATGCAGATCATGGCGCGGTTGATCGCGTCCTGGGGCAGCGTGTTGATGACGACGCTGCGCAGCGAGCTGTCCTCGAAGGCTCGGAATGCGTCGTTCAGCGACCGGTTCGTCTGGTTCGTCTGGTGCACGCTGTACACGTCCAGGAAGCCGAGCACGTGCTTGCGCATCTCGATTGGAAGCCGCATGAGCGGGACGGTGTGTTTCTCCTCGGCCTTGTTCCTCTTGGCCTCGTTGGCGTCGGCCTCGCTGAGGTCGTTGTCGCATAGACCGAACGCGCGTCGCATCCGCCAGGCAACCTGGTTCTCCGTGAGGCGGCTGCCGAATAAGCTCGTGTAATCCTTGTTCGGCGCGGTCTTGTTTCTCTCGGCATTCTTGTTCGAGGCGCTGTTGACCGAGGGCGAGGCGTTGTTGCTCACGGAACTGGGGCTCGAGGCATCGTTGGTCGAGACATTGTTGCTCGCTAGATTGGTGGTGATTGAGTTGTCGGCGTCCATCATTGCTGTGTTAGACTAGGACGTTGATAGCCTCGATTCGTCGTCAATAACCTCAAAATAGTAGTCAAGGCGAAACTAGATTTCTCAGTGAGAGCAAATCGACACCGAGCCAAGGCTGAGTGGAGGGCACATTTCAGGTCAGGACGTTCTTTTTATAAATCCAGGATTTGTGGGTTGTGTTGTGAACAATACACCGTCCTGTGAATAGAACTAATCTAATATTTCATCCCAACCACAATGCAGGGCGTTTCTTACCGTTAACGGAATGATGAAAAATTTTCTCTTATCTGTTCTGTAACAGTGAAATGCTCAAAACACTACGCTGTTCAGGAGATCAACCCCCGACTGTCACTACGGATACTGAAGAAGAAGTGCGTGATCAGGGAAACATTTATCGCAAATATTGTAGAAAGCTGGGCTTTACCTACCAAACACTAAGAATATAATGCAAGCTCCAAATAATTGCCTGCTAGGTTCGTTTCTCAAGGAGGCTGGCCTTAAGGAGGGACTTCCGCAGCTAGATCTATCACAAAAGTGAAATAGGTTATACCCATCACCACGCGCACATTATTGTCTATTAGACTAAATGTCAGAGCTAAAATGCAGCTAGGGAGTCGTAATAAGCAGAGCATGTATTCTAAAAGTTGTTTGCAAATGGAGCGCGTAGTGAAGTTGACAGGATGGCAAGGGGCTAACATAATTGTACAAAACATATGGTCGATAAAAGTTCTCAGAGCCGCACGCTGGCGTGTCGATGGTCTTGTATTTCCTTAGCCGCTCGTCACGGTAGTGTTTCAGTGTCTGAGTGAGATGCGTTAGAAATACATTTGTGTAATTTCAGTCTGCGCTGGTGGTGATCAGACACCCCCAGTCTTCCAATGGACTAATTGCTCCACTACTTTACACGTGTCTCCTGTTCCCGTCTCGTTCCGTGCTTCTCATCCACGCCTCACTCCATACATTTCGTATCCCCGTCTCGTTGCATCTTTCTCGTGCCCCGTCTCGTTCCATACTTCCTTATCCTGCCAGCACCTGCCTCGCAGATCTCGGCTCATCGTGATCCATCCATACCTTGTAAAACGATCCCGCTGTAAACTTATGATGGTGCAAGTCTGATATCTTGTCGCCCTCCCAAGAGCCCATAGGGTTCCACTCCCTCTGTAGCGGCGATCGGCACGTTCCGAGGTTGCGCCACTTGGTGATCTCAATAAGCCAGCGAGTTTGCGCTGACCATTCCTTGGCCCCTGGTGGTGGGTCGTCGTCCCTCAGCCGGACGGTGATTTGAAAGTCGGTAAAGCAGATGATACAAGAATGGATAGGCCCTGGTGTTCCGCAGAAATGCTCTTCGGGGTCTAGCGGCCAGCTAAGCTCAGAAACACGATCTGGAATGATGTGACGGCATATCACGCGGCAGTACTGCTATCGGAGGTACTTTCGTAACATGTCTCTCTCTCCTTTCTTGCCGTCGTCTTACAGGATGGACCCATGGAGATATAGCCGACCGTGAATAATTTTAGCGTTCCACTTCCGGGTGACTTTGACGCCGGTGTAAAAGTGGTCGACGTAGGAACCGTTGACTTGGAATATTCCCGGCGGGGGGCCGTGCAGGGGCCCGAAGAGATGACGGTTCATGACGAGGCGGCACTTCAGGAAGGTAATCCCTGAACCTGGTTTCCTTAGTAAAATAATAGTCGAGTCCGGTTGCACCTCTGGCACAAGTTTGTTCATGAGGCTGCCATAGCTCGAACGCAAAGGCGTGCATTGAACGCCGAAGTCTCGGGCGCAGCGGCCGTGCGACTCAGGCTCAACGCGCCACGGATGCAGTTTGAGGCAGTTGTGGCAGAAATATAGGCTCGGGATTTCCTGCTCGAGCCACTGGAGCAGCGTTGTCCTCGACTCGCCGCTAAGCCGGATCCGCGATTCGCAGAACAGATATGGGCTCGGGTCGTCTTGCTTGAGCCACGTGAGCTGTGCTGCTCCCGACCGGCTACTGAGCCGGACCCGCGAGTCGCGGTACTTGTATTAGAGACACCGGCAGGTCAGAAAAAGTGCCACGGCCGACTCTGGTGGGAGGTGCTCTATAAACATGCCGATGAGCTCAAATGGGAGCTCTAGGATGTATGCGGGCTTTTCCAGTACGCCTATTTCAGAAGAGGACAGCTGAGATGACTCTGCAACGGTGGGCACAACCCCGTCCTCCTCAATTGCCAATGTTGGTTCTTGACTAGACCTAGGTTTATATGCTAGGATTATGCTAGTGCTAGCGTCGGGCTTCTCAGTTAAGGGGCTTGGTCCATGTCCAGATGATATCGTTATGGCATTCCCAGCGCTGGCCTCTGTCGAAAGAGCTGTCTGTCGCTGACAAACTGGAATGGTGATGGCATCTCTAGCGCCAGGGTTTGTTGCTGGTGGAATGTGTTCTTGGGCCGTTGATCAATGATGGGCTTCCCAGGACCAGCCTCCTCGGTGGACGGGGCTGGAAGTTCCTGGCCGCTCTCAAAGCTAGTTCCCGGATTGGCTGACATGGTCGCTCGAATACCGCCTTTAGGCTCTTTGATCAGCGGGGCGATCTCGACCGACCTTCACGTTTGAAATATTTTTCTGCTTAGGGAGGTTTTTCGCATCCGGAGAGACACAAGTAGTTGCCTGAAGCAGCCAAGTATGCGGCCAATTGCTGGATACCGACGCGCCCGATTGCGTTACCGGTGACTTTGCAAGAAGATATTGATTAGGGCTGGGCGTGAGGGCTTAGGGGCTCGAGGGGTAGAGGGTAGAGGGGTAGAGGGGTAGAGGGGTAGGGGGGTAGAGGGGTAGAGGGGTAGAGGGGCAGAGGGGTTGAGGGGTAGAGGGGCAGAGGAAAAGATATTCAGTAGGAGAAGTGGGAAAGGAAGTATACGAGATATTAGGATTTATGTTGTAGGGGTTGGTTACTGCCTAGAGTACCAGGTAACAGGTACCTGTTTTGCGCCTGCTGGCGCAACGGCTTGCCGTTACAGTTTATGTATGGGCGAGTAGGTAATTTACCACTTTTTCATCACAACTTAATGCTAACGCCTAGAGCGGTGCGGCCAGCGAATGTGGTAATTTTAGCTGTAAAATGTGGTATTTCCCAATTACGTGATGATTTATGACGCTTGAGGCCGGAGACTCCCCCTTATGTATATGGATTTCTACGAAGCTTTCAGAGAGTGGATAGCGGGGTAGAAAACTTTGGGACTTTCTTTCGGGTTAAACTTTAAGTGTTGGGAGATGGAGTGTGTGGAGGATGTCTTTCTTGTTGTCTGACTTCTATCTCGAGGACGGCCGAGCTTATATAGACCTTTGATGGCCTGAAAACTGGGCCCCGGAAAGGCACCCAGGGCAGGGCGTTGAGGGTCTAGGTTGCGAGTCAGTATGGTCTGTTTATTGTATGGCCTAACATCGCCACATTCATGCCACAGAGAGTTTATGAGTTTACGAGTTTTGGGCCATATGACGGTGCAGTTCAGCTCTATATAAGTTGCGCTACTTGGATCGCTCCCTCTGATTTGGGGCAGGATATTTCTGTTTTCAATTTCGCTCGTTTTCTAGTTATTCCTTAGAGACAACGCTCTTTTACCACGGGTTGAGCCCCTTTGACCGGCCCTCGCAGTAGTGCACTGTTCGGTGTTATCTTTGTTTTGTTACCGTTACTACTGTATTTTTTGTCCGTTAAGGGCGAAAGCTGTTTGGCTAAAAAACCTGCTATTCCTTGTCACGGGATACGCAAACCCCAGCCGCTCTAACTCCACCACCACACAGATGTGGACGGGACGCCGCTGGCGCATCATGGTGAAGTTCCAAAGCGGTGGCGACGAATCCCAGATCGCGCGGATCATGCTGCACCGGAGCCACTTCTTATATTCCGAGATGCCCAGCGCATGGAGCAAGTACTCCTCAACCAGCGCCAGCACTATAGCTCGGTCCATGTACGCTAGGCACCAGCGGCCCCAAAAAGGGTTTCCTATCATATGGTTGTACTTTTCACGGTTATCCGGGAACTTCCTGACAGCGGGTCGGAGCCGAACGTTATTGATATACACAGTGGGGACGTCGCTGAGATCCACGCTGAAGTTCTGGGTCAGTAGCATCCCTATGTCTTGTCCGTCGTAGAAGTCTCTGGCAATCCACAGTTTCTAGCAATTCCTCACCGTACGGCAGCGGATCATCGGGAATGTCCTTGGATGGATTAGGCTTCGCTCGGAGTGATGCGTGTACATCTTGCCAACCTCGATGCGCTGAGCCCGGTCGTTCAGCCCGAGAAGGTACCGGAGGTACTCGAGGCCGTTCCAGACGGAGCGCTCGGCCGATTTGCGTACCACCATGACGTTGAGTGAGTCGACGCGTAAGAAGCGTCAGAAGTTCGGCCAGTGCCGCACGAGTCCTATCTCGGTGTTCCGCGGTTGTTCGCCTGGCCTTGGTCGCCGATATTATCGTCGAAAGGTATGCACGGCCTGATTAGCTAGTCAGTAGCAAGTCGCTCGACCGTGCGGTGTAAACGCACGACAGAGTTTATGTCGCCGTCAGTTGGCGAGGGGACTTGGTGCAGTGCGTGAGGCAGTCCAGGGTCGCGGCAAACGTCTTGAACTTTTTCGTCTCCTGGGTGCGACGTTGAAGTTGAGTGCCCAGTGTCGTTAGACGCATCAGGTTCTCCCACAGCTACCCGATGTGTGCCATGCGCGCATCTCAGTCGGGAGTTTGTCGATGGTAAGAGAGAGGTGAGCTCTATCCTCCGCTGCCATGTCTGCGCCGGTTGCGTCTTCTGTCTGCATTGTATCGACTGGCGATGCGCACGAGCTATTATGTCGAGAAAAGGATCGGTCGGGAGGCTTGCTATATTCTATTAAGTATCGAATCGTGGTGTAAAATGTATAAGGTAAGGTATCTAGATACCTAGTGAGATGTCGTTGGATTCAAGGTTGACAAAGTTCCGCATTTCATCGATCAGTGTGCGTCGTCATCTGCATCGGCCTGGCCCAAGGGTAGTTCGGACATTGGCTTTCCAAATCCGAACGGAAGGAGCTCCGAACAACAATCACGAGGAAGGGACCTGCACTATCCAAATTAATATGCCAGGCTGTGGTTTAACTTTCCATATGCACTAAACTTCGTTCGACCGGTAGGAGTTAAGTTCCATTCTGATTTACGGACACAAAGAGAGCTCCATGGAGCGTGGGTCCACCACTCTGGCAAAAGCTTCGAATCTTAACCACAAGCAAATCTCCCTCGTATTCCCATTAGGATTGCTCTCCCGTCAGCTTAATCGCCCCTTTTCCACACTATACACAAGATCAATTCCACTGTCGATATATCCCACTGTCGATATATCCCACTGTCGATATATCCCACTGTCGATATATCCCGCTGTCGATATATCCCACTGTCAAACAATCCGCGTGGGGCTAGTCTGATACAGAAATGGCATCTACTATGCCTGTGCTCGCCCACCATCCCTGGGGCAGCCTCAGTCTCTCCGCCCTCATGCAATGCGTCACACCTACGGCGAAGTTGCTATGCTTGCCCATGACGGGCTGCATCTTGTCCCAGAGGCTCCTTTAGGAGCTCTTGGATATGGCCGGGGATACCATGTACGCATCGTCGGGTCTTTGCGCTTCCTCAAGACGCCATCATCGTAGTTTCCCGTGTAGAGAAACTGCAGGAAGCGCTCCAGGACGGCCGGATCGTCGTCGGGAAGGTCAATGATGCTGTTCGCGGCCTCCTAGACACGTGCTAGAACAATACTTATTAGACACTGGAGAGCTGATCGCGGTGCTTGAGACGACTACTTACCTACCGCAAAACCGCCCGTAACGGCTCGTTCAAAGAAGGGAGACTGCGTGCAGACGATGGCGCGGTGGGCCTTGAACTCGTGGCCGCCGCAGGGAGCGTCATATCGGCGAACTTGTCTAACTTGTCTAGCTTGGAGAGCGACTCGAACACGTTCGTCGTGGAAAACTTGATGGCCGAGAAGTATTCCCGCCGCGTGGCCCCTGGACTCGTAATGGACAAAGGCCCGGAATAGAGATATGCCAAAAAAATAGGTTACCTGACAGGTCAGGAAGGGGTCAGTTGAACGGAGTCTCTTTTTTTCTTGTTTTTTGCCTCCGGCGGCGCCTGCGGCGAGCTGTCCTCGCTTCGCTCGAGGTAATGGGTGGCTGGCCGAGGGGTGCTAGTTATGTTTGACCAAGTTATAACCACGGCATCTCTTGTATTCGGGAGGAATCTGGTCGTTTGGGGTCTCTTTAGTTATAGGGAGGGCCGGGCGGTCGGGAGGCTAGCCACGACGCCTGGATTTGGCGAATCGGGCGTGGGGGCTGCGGTTGAGGGACCCCGACCGTAGCCATCGCGGCGGCTCGAAAAACACGTAAAGAGGCGCCGTTCGTACAGTGCTTGTTCAACGGCCTGCACAGTGTCAATAACAAAAAGGCGAAAGGGATGGCACTAATGCCGCCTTCTTGTACCGATATCACCACCCAAACTCCCACATACGACCATACCTGGCTGAAAACTCGGGATCCCGTCCGCTCTCCCCTTGATAAGTAACCAAGGGCCAGACTAGTAGTTGGGTCGGTGACGACCAGCGAATCCCTGGTGTTGTATGTTTTTTTTCTCTCTCTCTCTCTTTTTGGTACGTATTCTAAAGGGACAAAATGTGCCGCGGTTTGGACTACTGTTTTTTGGCGAGCGCGTGGCCTCAGTTTTCATCAGTCCAGGCCGCCTTTAATAAGTACGTGTTGGGTTGTCCTCTGTGCCAATAGTACCCACATAGTACCCACAGCACACTAGTCTAGGCCCCCAGACTGTGAATTGAAGAGATGCGCGCTGTAAGCTGCGACGCTGATGCATGCACGATAGCCAGAGTGCCCCCATATCAAAATGAGCAAGGGATGAAGACTGCTGATGGAATTACTTATAAAAAGGATACAATGCTGTCGACCGCTGCTATACGCTCTCTTACGTCTCAAGTTTCTCAAGCTCGAGAATTCTCCTCGCCGTATCCGCCATGGTCTCCTCTACCGTGCGAAACTTCAATCCCAGCAGCTCGTTATCCGCCTCGGCTTCAATTCGAGCTGGTGTGACCTTTGCATCCTCCCCACTATCGGCAGGCAGCCGGCCCTCCAGCTCAGGTATCGCCTCGGCGAGAGCGTGCACAAGCGACGTGTATGTCATGGGCTTCCCATTAACCAACAGCCTCCGGTTGGCAGCGGCAGGCGTTGTCAGGGCCTTGACGTGGGCATCCGCCAGGTCGCGAACATCCACAAAGGACGGGAACGAAGTCGCGGGGATGGTCTCGTGGGTGCCGTTGAAGAAGCTGTAGATGACGTTGGTGCTGTAGTTGAGGCTGCTTCTGAGGTCCTTGATGGGTTGCAGCGGCGGCCCGAAGATCAGTGCGGGCAGGAACACGGTCACGGAAAAGGGCGGCTTCTCGGCCTTGACAAAGTCCCACAGGGCCAGCTCGCCCTCCTTCTTGCCGCTGCAGTATGAGATGTAGTTGTTGTTCACCTCCCGTGCCTGTTCCCTGGTGATGGGGAGCCAGGTCTCGTTCGTGATGGGGCCGGCGAGCAGTTCCTCGGGAGAGCCTGTGGTCAAGGCATTGATGGAGCCGGTGACGGCCACGGATTTGACGGTCGGCGCGATGCGTTTCGCGGAGCGGAGAAGAGCGAGGTTGCTATTCCATTTTATTAGATTCCCGATTATCCGTAGACGTGCGAACTGGATTGGGTGCGAACTCACTTCTCCACGTTTGGCGTCAGGAAATCCCGATCGTAATCGGTTTCGCCTGGTATGTCAACCAGTGGGGCAGCAACATGGACGATCTTGTGAGGTTCGAGGTATCAGCTGATGTTTGAGAGCAGCGCAGCGACAGGTAAGGTGTCACTAGGTGTCAGGTAAGGTGTCGCTAGGTGCCAGGTGCATACATGATCGAGCTGGTATGTCTCGAAGACGTGGTCCCAGACGCTCTCATCCGCGTAGTTCTTAACGACTATAAGCTCAAGCTTCTCTTTCCACTCAGGATGAAGAGCCAAGATCTCGCTAGTTAGATTTTCTCGTCGAACCGTGCCAACAACGTCATAGCCAGCAGCGATGAGAGAGTTGATGACATGAGCTCCAACAAAGGAGTTGGCACCGGTGAGAAGAGTGCGCGGCATTGTGCTCGTTTTTGTTTCCCTTTGTTTTACAGGCGAAGGACGTGGTTGCAGGAGGATTGACCGTCAAAGTCTTGGATTGACCGTCAAAGTCTTGAATATGTTGTCTATTTCCATCCCAGGGACTCGTGTCGTGTTTTATAGTGATTATTCTGCAAGGAGGCGCAGCGTCTACCATCTTTCTGGATTGGCACCCTATCCCGTCTTTCGCTTTCATTCTAGGAAAGTGCCTATGGGCTGCATTAGTGGCGTAATAGACTGGCCGCCTGCGGCCTAGCCTACGATGGCCTGAATACCACATGAAAGTATGGTACCAGGGCGTGCCCACCTACCGTTCTTCTTCCTAATACAAGCACTCTTTTGCTCGCTCTCTACGTGCCGTTGTATGTGACACTCATCATCCAGCCGAGCCCAATACATAGGTACCTAGTCAGCGAGAGGGCACGGACCGCTCCAATTCGTTCCCGCGCCAAAATGTGACGCTTCAGGCGCCTCAACCTGCATGCGGATTACGGATGACCCCCTTATCGTTTGCCGCTTGCATCGGTGCTATGTCACGAGACAATTTGTACACCGACTTTTCTCGACTCTGTAATTAACTTTGGCTCCGCGATAACGTTCTCTCGGGACTGACTGCAGCATTCTGCAGGGGTGTTTATGCGCGGTTAAAATTCCCACCCGACCAGCGGGATGATGGAACTCAGCCAAGGCCCTTCTCTTACTCATGACTGACTAACGGCAGTTATCTAATGTGACGCCGTGGTTTGGGTTTGTCAAGCATGCAATTCTAGAGTCTTGTCGAGGCCATTTATGCGTTGTTGCATCATGTCTCCATTGCCCTCGTAAGCCGCTATCACATACAACGGCACGTAGATCACCCGTACGAGTCCAACATTGTTGAGTTCCCAGACGCAGCCATCATCCTCGGCGGGCGGCGGGCGGCCGGACCCGGCTAATACCTCGGGCCTCGAGTTCGGTCTCGACGTCTGCGCGACTATTTATCGGAATTTGTTGAATTTGCTCTAGGCAGTGGAACGGAAGGTTTACTTGCGGGACCTAGCCAGCAGTTCCCCGAGATCGGTTTCCTACGGTAGAAGACAAATGTGGACGTACTTTGTTGGGCGAAGTTATTGCCTGTCGGGTTGATGTCTTGCCCTCGCAGCAACTTACTTCTCGTCGATAACTCAAAAATGAGTTTACCTCACCATCAGTAGTAGCTTTTTAGTGACACCGTGACGTGATGTGTCGGAAGAAGCCCAAGCCTATTTGTGGCCGAATAGGTTATCTCAGAGTATTTCATGTTGCATCACGCATCATTGCCCTAGCAACCTCGTAAGCATCGAAGTCAACACCGCAGTTCAGCAATACGGCGGGGACAAATCATCTTCTGCATCATTTGGGCCTTCCACTTCGTAATGGTGCCTTCCACTTCGTAATGGTGAACCTCCTGATTAGGCTGGCACCATTCGAGATGTTTGTCGGAGAGAGCCATGACATCGCACAGAAGTTAGGTAGGTAGTCTTTAGGTTATCAAAAGCAGCGAAGGATCGGCGCAGATCTCCTGACGACTCGTTCAAGATTGTAGGGTGGATGGCCAGGTGCCGGATCTGGTCTGAGAATTCAGGGATCGGGCGGATGGAGGGAATTCCATCGTAACGGATGCGGTGTGGAATATGGGCGATCATGTCTTTCTCCTTGTTGCGGCGGATCGAGGTACGGCCACCACGGAAGCTGAGCCTATCCGGAAGGGTTTAGAAAACAGGAGTACGGCTCTCAGTATTGGCAGCCATGAGGGCGCGGACAGGGGCTGTCTGGTTTTGAGATGGGCACTCTCCCACACCTGTGCCTTCTCCTCGTTCTCGTTGTCGCTATCGCGGACAATCATGAACTCTTAAACGCGCGACGTGGTTGCGAGATTAAGGCAGAAGGTCTCCCAGACCAGTGAGCGGATTTCGACAAGAAAGTCCTTGAGCTGGGGGGAGGAGTATATCTTCTTGTGGTGGAACCCTGGATACCTACTCGTTTTCGAAGCCATTGTGGTCCGACGCATCCGACATGGTGACGGATGCAATTTGCGGCGTTGGACAAATCAAGGAGGCTGCTGACGGTTGGAGGCGAATGGTGAATTGATGAGGTCGCGTTGACCTTTTGACAAGATTTAAATGAGAATCTGGCGAGAATGAAACTCAATCTCGGGGTCCTGTTGAAACACAGCGATAATCACAACACCCACACAGTCCCGAAAAGACCGTGAGATCGTATCAGCTGGGACATATTATACAAACAAAATACCTACTGTACGAACCTGCATCGCAAAACAATGGCAACCAATTCCAAGTTTGGCGGGACGACGCCAGGGTCCGAGGTGGCCAAATTCTTCCCAGACCAAGTCCGCGGGAAAATAGGTGACTTCACCCCCTTGAACTTCACCATGACGACACCCACACACGCTGACACGCACCCAATAGTCTCCTCGTCATGGGCATCAGCCCAGGGAGCATTGGCCAGACAACCGCTCTAGCCTTCGCATCCCAAACCCCGGCCCTCCTGATCCTCGCCTCCGGAACCTAGTTCCGGCTCAAAGGCGTCCTGTCTTGATATATCATTTCCACTCTCTGTTTCTTAGGTTCTCTCCTGGCATTATCGGCGTCTCAGGAGAGTCGGGTTTATCTGGAGTATTCTCCCATCCCATCTCGCTTCTAGACTGAGCACCGTCGAGTTCGTGTGGTGTAGCGGACTGTGGTGAGACTAGTGTTTGAGAGGTGTAGTTGTAGTTATGTGGCTGTCGCGAACTGGGAGACAAGGTGATTCCACTCTCAAGTTCATGGGCAGCTTGTGGAGGTAGTGCTGCTTGCCAATGTCCATTCTGCACTGTTGTGTGAGCTCCTGGTGGTTTTTCTGATGCGGAATCCGAGAGCTCGGGAGGGCGGTCGTCGCCCTTCTCGGCAAGGATGGCATCATGCTTGAGGCTTGGGTCCGCCGCTACCCGTGCTAGTGATTGCTGGCGCCGCCGGCGAAATACGAAGAAAGCTGCCACGGCGAGCAATATGGCGCCGAGTGCCGTGCCCGCGCCTATCCCTGCCTTGGCGCCTGTCGAGAGCTGAGCGTTGCTGATAGCGTCCGTCTTAGCGTCCGTCTTAGCGTCCGTACCAGCCGCCTCAGCGGCCGTGGAGGACGAGCTTGTCGACTGGCTAGCACCGTTCGGCCCAGGGGTTGGTGAAGCCGTACCGGTAGTGGGGAAGCCTGTCAAACCCAGGAGTGACGTGTCGGAAGCCTGGAAACGGACCTGGATAGCAGTGGGCACGGCATACATAGCGTGACCTCCGAGCGAGAAGGGCCCCGTGGTTGTGTAGCTAGTCAGGGCATCCGAGGCCGGGTTGTCGGTGGGAGGGCCATCGACAATAGTAACGGTGGGCCGGTGGCTTCCAGCTCCAATTGTGCTTGTGCAAACCTCGATGAAGTCCCAGTAGGTGTACTCGCTAGATGAGCCGACAATCAGCTCCTCCTCCGAAACTAGGCATACGAGGCGTTTATCGCGACATCACAAACCTTGGACAACAGTATATGGCGGCTTCACCAGGCAGCGGGGTGTAATCTAGTATCTTCCGGGTCCCGTAGTCTTTCCACGTGCCAGCGCTCGTCCAGCCGGACGGACAGACCGCAGGAGAGTAGAATTCACCCCAGTTGAAAGTTTCGAAGCCCGGCGGGTAACATGAGCGGGTGGTCGGGGAGTCCAAATAGCGCGTGCCCCAAGTGACGGCACCGTCCTGATGAGGGGGGTGGACCGTAAACGAGCGTGAGCACCACTCTGGCGCCAAGAAGGGCGTCGTGAGCGCGCCGAGGACGCCATCCCGGCCCGTCGGTGTCGCAGCAGCCATAATCCCGGTCTCCTTTCTCTGCTGGCCTGTGACAATCTATGCGACCAATTGGCAGCGCCAACCGGTGGTCTTGACAAGATGGTGGCGGCAAACCGATTGAAGAAAAACAGAAATGCCGCCATGGCCGGCCACCTCGGACTTTGACGCGGTGCCAAGGCCCTCGAGCCGAGCGGCGAGCGCTCCTTCGAGGGGCCACACTGGCGCGACGGCCCCCACATCATTGCTTGGCGCCTATAGGGTAACATTAGCAACAATTGTTGGTCGTTTCTGGCCTAGTTCGACAGAACCCTAGGCTACACCAAGCGAGAGACGAGACTAACTAATGCCGCTTACTTCCGTTGGTTGGTTCCTGAACTAATTATATTATCAGAGCAGGGTGACACCCACTCACGGAGATCTCCACTTTCTTTCTTCGTCCTTCCTTTTTAATTAGCGAAATCGATCAGACAATCGGGCAATGCTTGTCATCGGTTTTCTTGATCTCATCTAAGCGAGAGTTGGATTAACCGAATATAAAGATAAAACTATACCTCCCCTGGGGTAATTAAGGTTAGTGTGGAGGTGTGGTACAGCCAAGACGCTAAAGTAACCACAATTTGCCACCTGTCTGAGCCATAGCCACACAGCAAAATCAGGGGTTCGGGGGTCAAAGAAACAGCCCAAAATACTACATTTCGATTAAAAGTTCATCGTATTACCACCTGCTTCGATGACCATTTGCAGCCGCCTCGGCATACTGTGGGCAAGCCGTAGTAAAAAATCTTCTGGGACTGCATCTCACGCAGCCATAACAGCCGCTCGGAGCTCCAAGGAACTCAGGGACAGGGCCACACGAGTTGAAAGACGATTTCTTCGCCCTGGCGTTGACAGGCCCGATGGAAGAAGCCCACCAAAGGAAGGATAAAGAAGATGTATCTATGAGCCGTTACGCTGCCGTATTCCTTCTCCCAAAGGAAAGACGGACCTTTCCGGGCGCCGGCAAAGGAGCCCCAGAACATCCACCCGTGTGGCTTCCTCCGTTGTAGAGCCTAGCTTTCCGGATTTTCGGTATCGTGAACGGTAACCCACTTCTTCCACATAGGGTCAGTAGTAGCCCAGGTTTCGTCGCTTACGAGTACCGATTCCCAGTCTTCCGGCCTAGGCCTTGAACGCAACTTCTCTGCACACCAAGTCACCGGCCCCGCTTGCTGGCTTCAGTTCGTTTAATCCGTCGGGGTCGTACTACGCGGAGGTCAAACCACCGTAGGAACCAGGCTTCTTCGTTATCTTCGAGCCACTCTTTAAGCTGCCGCCTATATGGGGTCCGAATGCCGGGCTTACGGCCAGCCTTCGATTTCTGTGGTGTCAAGGGACCAACACAGGCCTTTTGGACCTGACGATGTGTGTGTTTGGTCGGTCGAGCGATCTCTTCAAAGGAAAAATGACAGTATTTGCGTAAGGCCCTGATTTCGACCTTTTCGTCGCGCGTAAGGTCCCGGCATCGATGCGGCGTTGAAGGTGGCTCCGACCACGGCGTGTGTGTGTGTGGGTGTGGGTTAAAAAGGTCGGTAATCGCGATGCGCGTGGCCATTGTGGCCATTGTGGGCGGTGGATGCGTAGATTGAAGTTGTAGGTAGATTTAGCGTAGTTTTTGAATGGAAGTATTTTGCAATACAAAGTGGTAGAAAAGTGACCTTATGGGGAAAATTACGTCTTTGGCTGGCTGACACCCTGGCTAACCCCCAGCCAATTCACGAGCTAACCTTTATTACCCCGGGGGAGGTGTAAAGGAAATATGGAGATAATCGCTGCTGGGCCTGAACCTGCCCTGCTAGTTCAGGAACTAAACGAAGGAAAGTAAGCGGTATTAGTTAGTCTCTCAAAAAGGGTTAACACGTGTATATATCTCGTTCTAAGGACCAGCTGCTGTCGCGACCACGGCACCTGTCACGGCCAGCACCGCCAGCAGTGCGACCCCTCTTTGGAGCTGATCCCGCACTAGTCCCAATCGGGCTGAGGGCTTGGCACCTGAAAGCCCTGTGGGCCCGTGCGCTCTACAGCTCCCACCTAACTGGCACACTGAATAGCACCTTTGTGGATTTTCCTTTCTTCACCTTAGAATCCTTAGACAATGGTATAGCTACATTAGCGATCCTTTTCCTTCTTACTATTGACCGCCGTCACAGCACCTACCTATATTCCCAGCCAAACACCTCGTTGACAGCAACATGGTTGAACCCCTCCCCTCCACCAAACCCAGGCACCAGAACCAGAACCAGAACCAGAACCAGAACCAGAACCAAAACCAGAACCAAACCCAGGCACCAGGACCAGAACCAGATCCAGATCCAGATCCAGAACCAGAACCAGAACCAGAACCAGAACCAGAACCAAAATCACACAAAAGGCGGCATGACATCCACCCGTCCCATAACCCGTCCCACCCGCTCCCTAAACCCCATCCCCCAACCACTCGCCTCCGCAAGATCATCCTGCGCCCACACGGCCTCGAGCATCTTGCACACGAGGAAATCGCGGCTCGCGGTGCCGCTGTGCTCCGTGCGCGCGATCACGTCCAGCACGGCCGCGCGCTGCTCGTCGCGCCGCGCTTCGCTGCCGAGCATGAAGATGGGGAATTGTTGTGCGCAGGCGCTTGACTGGGCGAGGAGGGTGAATGCGCGGTCGATGTCCTCTTGGGTGCGCAAGCGTTGTTTGGTATTTGGGTTTGTGTGGTTGTTGTTTTTGCTGTGGGGGCGAGGATGCTCGGGCATGCGGGCGAGGTAGATGAGCATGGCGAGCTGGAAGAGTTCCAGGTTGATTTGCTGCTGCCGTTGTGTGGTGGTGGTGTAGTGTGCCTCGGGGTGGGCGAGCTGCACGTTGCGGATGCGCCAGTCGAGGATGGCGAGGTAGGTTCCGTGGTCGTCGGTCGTCTCCGCGCGCTGCTCCGTCCCGTCAGGCGGCGGCTGCGGCGTGGCAACCGCGTCGACGACCTCCGAGAGCAGCTGCAGCAGGGCAAATGCCGGCAGGTGCTGCGCGGCGTGGGGCATCTAGGGCGGTGGTGTTAGTTGGGTCGCAAGATATCCTGACTTGCGAACACGTACCTCGGCGCGAATAAGCATGCAGGAGCCGGTGAGCGGGCGGCCGCTGGCCGGGTTGACCGCGGTGAATGAGCCGACGGAAAAGGGGCTCGCGGAGAGCGTCACGGCTGTCGAGAGCTCCTGCCCGCGCCAGACCTGGGCGCTGAAGCGCGCCAGCACGTCGTGGTAGTAGACCCAGGCCAGCAGGATGGCGACGTCGCCGCCGCGGTGGGCGTCGGGGTGTCTGTTGAGACCGGCGGCCTGGATGACGTCCTTGGCGCCGTGCAGATATAGTGTCCACTCCTCCCAGGTGCAGGATTTGTGGTGGGTCTGGTGATCAGGGGGTGTCAGCTGTGACAGTCGGGATTGACGACGGGCCGTCGGCGGGTGCTCACCTCGAACGAACACAGCAGCATGCTGGCGGCGACGTGCTGGACTGCTTCGGTGGTGCCGATGTTGCTGCTTCCCGACGCAGCCACCAAAGACTTTATGGCCGCGACTTTGAGCTCGGCGTCCTGGATGTTGAGGCCATGGCGTTGGAGCGAGGAAAAGGCGAGGATGGCCTGGAGCAGGGCCCTGGCCGAGACCGTGTGCGGGTTGGTCATGGCTATGCGGAGCAGCGCGTCGCCCAGCTCCTTCTGCGTGTGGCCGGCGACGGCCAGCGACGCCGCGGCGTGGAGCTGGAAGTGCTCTAGCAGGTCTTTGTACCCGTCGTCGATCAGAGAGTCTACGGGTTTGGGGGGGCATGGTCTGTCCAACAACGACGAGGCGCGCCCTGTCCCCTGTGCTGCCGACGTGGCGGGGCCGTAGTGCGCTTCCATGTCGCGGTGCAAAACGTTGACGATGCGCGTGGCAGTGGTCATGGTAGGCGCCGCTAAGCCGGCCTTGCGCTTACCCCGTGACGCCGTCGGCTCTTCTCCCACCCGCGCGCGTTTTCTGTCGCCGGCATGGGGCCACGACAGCTGAAGACCAGCGACCGCCGAGTGTCTGGGTTTGTAGACATGCGATCTGACATGAGATGCCGTCTCGGTACTCGAGGTGGATTCCATCATTGCCAAATGCCAAGTCAGGTCAGCCCGGGACCGTCGAATCTCCTTTTTTGCGCAAGGCTTGCTTGTCAAGTGAGGTAATGCGCATCTAGGTTAGTAATAGTCTACAACCTGCCCCGGACTCCTTTTTCAACGTTTTGGCTGTTCGTTGCCTACGACGCAGAGTACGTACGAATTGTAGGATCAAGTGCTGAGAAATCAGCGGACCCCAGCCGAGGGAGCGATCGCGCCTGTGTCCCCACATTTCCAAAGTTGCCGGTTTTCCATTTACCAGGTTACATTGCATGCCAAGGCGTGAAGCTAATGCACATGGACGCACCAACAACACCCGGCAAGTCCAGTGAATACGTTGGGGTGGCGGGTGAATACGCGCTCGTGGTCGAGCTTCTGATTGGGTCTAGATTAGGAACTGACTAAGGTACACGATACACGACGAGAAGAGGGCTCAGAGCCACCGCTTGTTGCCGAGCTGCGACAGGTAGTCGCCAGCATTGCCGTTTTCAATGCTGGCGTTGTCGATGACGCCGCGCATCAATCTGACGGCATTGTCGGGCGTCTTGTCGGGGCCTGTGAAGTGCGGCGCGTACTTGAGAAGCTTTCCCATGAATTCCTGGAGGCCCTTTGTCTGCTCTTCCGTAGCTGGTTCGGTGGGAAATGGGTCAGCCGGGGGTCATGACTGACTAGACAAGATTAGGAGAGAGAAGGAAGACAAACCTTCGACAAACTGCCCGACGTCAACGATCCCCGGAGCCACGGCCATGACCAGCACGCCGTGCTTCTTGTACTCGGCGCTGAACTTGGCCACGACCATGTTCAGCGCCGCCTTGCTGATCGAATACAGCGGCGCGCTGGCCACGTCGACCTCGTTGGTGAAGGGTATGTCCGAGTAGCCTGTGGTCAAAGCAATGACCTTCTTGACTTTACCCTTGAGCACCAACGGCATGAACAGGGTGATGAAGTTGATGTTGCCGAGCACGTTGACGTCAAAGTAAGCCTGCAGCTCTTTTGCCAGCCGCTCGGGATCGGCGCCCCTAATTATTGTCTGTCAGTCGCGTGTTCGCGGGCGGTTGTCTCGGAGACGGAGAGAAACGGGAGTGCGGCTTACAGCTTTCCGAGGCCGTTGTAGGCACCCCACTGGCCGCCAAAGGCGGCGTTGGCGATGAGGTAGTCGACGCCGCCGCCCGTGATCTTGGCCGCGTCGGCAGCGGCCTTCTTGAGACTGGCATAGTCGACGAGGTCGCCTTCCAGGATGTGGACGTTGGATCGGGACTTGAGGTCGGCATCCTCCGAGATCTTCTTGTCAGTTGCCGCCTTGTTGCGAACGAGTCCGATGACCGTGTTGGCCGGGTTGCTGGAGTACTGGCGCACGAATTCGTACTGGCAGAGCATGTGGTTAGACTTGTCCCGTGACGCGGACGCGCTGGGACGGAATACTCACCCCGAGACCTCTCGAGGTTCCGATGATGACGTACGAAGACATGTTGAGGAGCTGAGGAGTTGAAGTATATTAAAGGATGTTGAAGGATGTCGAAGGATTGTTGAATGGCTGAAGTGGTGTTTGGTGGCTGAAGTGGTGTTTGGTGGCTGAGGTGGTGTTTGGTGGCTGTGAGTTGGCGGTTTGTCTGTGTGAGGATGATAATGAATAGAAACTGGAAACCGCAGCAGGCGTTTACTGGAACCTTTATATGCCCGGTCTCTGGCCAGCGGGACTCGTGTGGATTTGTAAAGTGTTTCTTTGCTGATAGCTGACCAAGGTTGCTTCTCTGCTTTTTGCTATAAAGGTCTGCGGTTTTGCCAGCCGTGCTTACACAATAGTTGCCCAAAGTTGGGCGCCGAGCCCTGGCTACATGACGGCCCCGGAGCCCGCATGCCCGTCCTAGCAACGGTGCATGCACGTCCCCGCCCCAGTTGCCGATTTTCGTCTCTCGCCCAGCCCGTGCATACGATTCCCGCGCTACCGGCACTCTGGGCCCCTGGGGGCCACAGTTACGTGGGTCTATCTAGACTCGTTTCCGGTTTCGCCTACCGCAAAAGGGCAGCGCACTACTAAGTTACCGCACTGGTGATGCATAATTCTACGATGGCCATTACAAATGTATCAATTGCTTTCGAATCGAATACGCACTTCGCATGCTAAACTTTGATTTATAGTGCACACGTGCTGGCTATAGCCGTGCAGTCCAGAGTCTATAGCCGCAGTCGTCCAAGTTGTCCAGGTATCCAGGCAACATCCATCTACTTTGTCTGCTAGTGCAGCGACAGTCCATTAGACCACACACCCTAGCCACACACCCTAGCCCGAACGTTTGATCGCGTGCTTCGGGGGACTCACAACAAGGATCAAAACCAATCGATTTCTATATAAACCCGAGCAAAGAAACCTAAGGATACCCCAGTTCTATCACGAATTGCCGACAAGAAACAATTCTTGAATACTGCCAAGCCTTGAAGAGCCAAAATAACGAACGTTTAGGGGCTGCAATGTATTCGTCTACGTCTCACCTACGTTTCACCACCATCAATACTTGGCGAACACGACCGGCCCATTGTCTCCCACCTCTTCCTCTGGCGCATCGAACCACTGGTGCCCTGCATCGAGCGCGGCCATGTGGTCGGCCAGCGCGAGGCCCTTGAGCCGGCGCTCCTCGATGCGCACGAGGATCTCCCGCACTTGACCATCGCCCCTGCTGCCGGTATTCCCCTCACCAGCAGGGAACCGGCTGCGCAACCCACCGGCCTGCGCCTCCGTCCCTGCGGCTGCGGTGGGAGCAACAGGCAGCAGCCCGGCAACCTGCAAGAACTCGTACGGCGACACCGTCTTGCGGCCCTGCTTGAGCACGTACTTTGAGATGCACGTGGCGCAAATGGCCGCGTTGACCTCGCCCTCTGCCTGCGCAGCCCTCAACACGTCCCTGTCTCCTTCCCTCTTCCTACCCGCAGAAACCTTCTTGTTCCGCCACGGCTGGTCGGCGTACCGCCCCGGCCGCACGCTGCCGGGCTGCACAAAGTGCGAGACGAGGTAGATCCACTTGGCGTCCCAGGCGAGCAGGCGCGTCCAGATCTCGACGCGCGCGAGCGGCGCGATCGGTCGCCGGTAGATACACGCCGTGCCCGCGAGCGCCGGGCCCGGCTGGCCGCCCCCGGCGTGGCCCCCGCGGCGGAACCCTTCGCGGAAGATGCTGAACACGTGGTAGCCCCGCGCCACGTCCAGGTCCGCCAGGTACGTCGAGTTGGACTTGTGCAGGTAGAAGTCGACGTCGCCCGGCGGCGTCGTTGTTGTGTAGATGGTCGGCTGGAAGAGAGTCAGGATTGGCGTTGCCGAGTCTGGCGAGCTCTCGGGCAGTGTCGCGCGAGGCCCTGGTCGTCGGTCCATCCAGTAGTGCCCGTAGTAGCCCCGGGCGATGCGGATCTGATCAGTGGGGCCATTAGTGCTCGACAAGTTGATTGGAACTGGTCAGGGTATACGCACACTCCATGCAAACGGGAGCGATTTGTAGTTGAGCGCCACGTTGATGAGGACGGCGATGAGGACCGGCTTGCCCACAAGCCGCGCCAGGTAGGACACAAACGACGCTATGCTGGAAATCATGTTGTCTGACAGTCCGATGGACGAGAAAGACAATAGTCAATGCCAAGAAAGTCCCAGCATCGAGTTGAGTCGCGGTGGTCAAAAGCGCGACTGTCTCGTCAGGTGGAGCAGAAATCAGCAGAAATCGTGAATGGCCAAATTCCCAAAACATGGACCTCAGCTTCTTATCAGGATTTCTGCGATCCAAGCCTCGAGTCCGAGCTGTCAGCGCTAATCAGCCGCCAACCGAGGCAGGCAGAGGCGGACCAGCCGAGGCAGGCAGCAAGCACAGTAAGCACAGTAAGCTCGGGGAGTAGCCTAGAATGCCCGACGAGGAAATAGGTCAGCGCCCGGAAGGCCGGGCGGCATTGCGGCGTGGGCGGCGCTGCCGCAGCCTAGCGGCTCGATGCACCTTACCCTTGTCTTTTGCGGTTGAGAACGGCTAGACTGGTTACGTTCTGACAAGTGACAGCTCTGTCCGCTTGTTGCGGGTGTGGCCTGCCGAGCATTCCGAAAGTGTTGGCCATCGTTCATTGGCTCCTGCTGTCGCAACTCAGAAGTAGCTGACAGGGGGTTGGTAATCAAGACCTTTGGGGTCTTTTGTCGAGAAACGCCGCTGAATGCGGTGCAGTGGGAGCCGAAGAATGGCGTTTGGAAAGTTTCTCGGCCGGGGATTGGTTGGATTGCTTGGTTCTGTTATTCTTGCATATGTGTGGGCGTTGTGAAGCCCGAACGCCGACACAAGTACACCAGTCCGCTGGGATTATTTGGCAGAAAATTGTAGAAGAGTGAATCTGCCAGCCTCGGCTCGCAGCTTTCCGGTATCACATGCAATTAAAAGGTGTCTTCTCAATATCAGAGACGGGATTCATGGAACCCGCAAAGTCCGCGCAATGTCTCAGCAGAGCCTTGAGCACATGAAGCAGGCTGCAGCATCATCATGCTCAGCCAAAAAATCACGCTCCCAGTCACTATCCCAGATCCAGAGTCCCCCAGAAAATAATGATACAGCGCCAGAGCAGGAAGATGTCCCTTCTTTTTTCATAATTAATCAACTTTGTTTTTGTGATTCTTATCCTTGGCCACCACACAGTTCTGACAACAATCGCAAGGGGTGAAGTAATGCGAACAGATACTGACCAGAACTGAATAGTGGGCTTTGAAGATGTAAGAAGTAGAATCTAAGTAGCGCGATTCCTGACTCTTTCTCTTGTAATCAGACATGCCAAAGAGCACACCCAACCTCGAAAGAGTTAGATAATCATGCGGGTAATGGTGAAAGCAAGAAAGAGAGAGAGAAAGAGAGAAAGAGAGAAAAATTAAGGTAATTAGTTCTAGAAATAACTCAGTGGTGTCTTGACCCGGTATAGTCAAGCAGAAGATAGTTGCGCATCAATAGGTAACAAACCAAAACACGCTTGCCGCATCTGATCAGCCCTAGGCATCCGAATAGGCATCCGACTTATCGCCACCGCCGCTGTCAGATATAGCCGTGCACGCGCCGTGCGCGCGCCGTGTCGACGAACTCGTATGACGTGTCATCGACCTCATATCCCGCGTCGTCAACCTCGTATCCCGTGACCTCGCCATCATTGCTTTGCGCAAGCAGCGGCGGCATAGTCCTTTGAATCCACCCACCACTGAATCGCGGCGTTTTCGAGGCGCCGTCTGGCTACTTTTTCGTGTCTTCCAACGCCAGCCCGCTCTTCAGCTCTCTTGGCGACGGCTCTTCACCCACTTCGGCTCCCCCTTCAGCAAGCATGCTGGTGTTGTTGTCATGTAGGTTGCGGCTGCGGATGGGCAGATCCCCGGGCGAGTTGGGCGTCGTCGTCGCCGTCGCCGCCGCCGCCGCCTATTGCAGTGTACGCAGGCGTAGCGGCGGATGATGGCCATGGTGCGGGAGAGCCGGGCGGACTTGGCGTGGGGATGTCGGGATAGTCTTTAAAAGGAGGGACGGTGTTGGTGAAGATGGCTGCTTCGCGACTTGGTGTGCTGGGTGAGTAATCTGGATAGCCACGGCCCTAAGTTATGACGCGTAGTTGTTTCGGTGGGGACTGGACGCCTGTGATGGGCGGCATCATGGCCAGTGGCGATGGGCCGGGGCGGCTTTCCGGCGACTTCGGACGCGGCTTTGGTTGAGAGCCGAGAGGCGGCGCGACAGATTCCGATTTTTCTGATTCTGCTACTTTTGGAGAATCCGGGTCGGGGGGGTAGACGTCGTCGTGGTAGCAGTCTCCGGTAATGCAGTCATGTTTATCCGATAGCCATCGGCGAGATTGTCGAGTGGAAGACAAGATTTTCTGGCCCTGAAGTGCGGCAAGTTGTTCGCGCTCGCGCTGGGGCGACGAGGGCCCGAGTTGTCCTTTTGGCACGTTGCCGTCGACGGGAGACGACCCGGGAGACGAAGCCATGTCAAATTCACGTGGCAGTCGTACGTGGATGTTGAAGTTAGAATGTGGTTTGGCCGTCTGTGAAAATGAAAACAACACAAATGCTCGGGGAGACTACGCGGTATTCCAGTCGACGGAAAATTTCAAAACTTGATCAGATATAAATTTAATTCTGGACGTGTGCGGCAGGAAAACCTTGCTTGGCTGCTGCCCTATCAGCACAAGCGAGGGAAGATAGCCTGGCTGCCCAACAAAACCATCAGATGAAGTTTATGCCGAAAAGGCTTTGTAAGCCTGGAGCGCGCCCTCGACAAGCGCACCTTCGACACACTAGACTTTGAGCCCGAGCTAGCACCATTGTCATAATACACGGTGAGGTATAGAAGTAGAAGTCGAGGTAAAAGGGTTGTCAGGCCTTGTCCGCGACGAGGTTTCGAATATGCACCTACGGCATGATTTCGGGGAAACGGCAACAAGGAATGCTGCACGTGTTCAACAGCAGAAGAATGTGGTCCAGGGAGGAAAGGGGGTTGTTTACGCACACTTTGAGAGGGATACCGCCCTGATCTATTGTGATACAGTGTTCCTTTCTCTCCTCTCTCACCTAACCATTGTGTATAAGGTGGTACAAGTGGTTGGTCCGCTCTTTCTGATCCAACGGGGAGGGCATTTCTCTTTTCCCAGCTTTTTGTTATTTGGAACGAAACCCCACTCATTTCAAGATATTCTAAGTCTTTCGGGTCTGCTAAAGAGCCTGGGCCTTTCTTTTATACAATGAATATACGATATCACTGCCTCTTCTGCGCTTGTACCACATTCCCTAGTTAAAGACGCTGGTACCAAAGGTTAATAACCCAACTCCAACCTCACGACCCAAGGCTTATTGTTGTCGTCTTCTCCGTAGTTCATGACAGCTGCATTGACCAACACTGTGCACCCACCCTCGCATGCCCGGGGCTCTGCTGCATCACGAGAGTCCACTTCGAGTTCCATGCCTTGAGGCTGCTTCCAAAGAATTCTCTAGACCCCATAGCCTTCATGGATGTGACCAAAACAGTGGAGTTTTGGCCTGGCCTGGTAAATGGCGTCGTAGAGTATCGGGCAACCGCAATGGTTCCCTTGCCGGTTGACATCAAGCACGTAGTCTTGTGACGGGAGCAGCGGAGAACCATGCGTCATGACGATATCGACGCCCTCGGAAATTGGATGTTCTGCCCCGGGGCCGAAGCGGTCCTCGTCTGGGCCGTACGCGAATACGTAGCCGTTGAACTCTGGCGCGTACGGCGACGCGTAGATGGTAAAGGTACGACCATCGCTCAAGGTGAACTTGTGCGTACCTTACTCTAGCAAGTGGAGGCCGTTTCCTTTCTCCGCCGCGAATAACGCGAGGGCTTGTGCTGGCTCTTCGGGATCGTCTTCCTCTTCTATTAAGTTGTCCTGCCACCACTTTCGGTCGAGGCTGACATCCTGTAGGCCATGTCAACACGCTATTTTTCATGTCTCTCGGAGGAAGCCTCTCGGGGGGGGCACGTACGTGGTTACCGGCGATGACTAGTCTGAGCTAGGCATCGATGGCCTTGATGTTGACGATGAATTTCTTATAGTTGCTCAGGCCTCCGATCATGGTGAGGTCCCCGCAGTAGATCACGACATCGACCTTGCTGGGGAGCGACGCTGGGCCGGGGAAGGCATCGTCGTGGGTATCTGAAAGAATGAGGAAGGTAGTCGCCATTGTGTCGGGTAGTAAGTACTATTCGTCAAATGCGGGCGTGCCGAATTGGACTGGGTAATGCATGTGTGATGGTTTGGGGAAGAACCTTGCCTCGAAATTTCGCCACCTTGGCTCCCCTTTATAGGTAATCAAGCCAACTCAGGTTTTAAAGTTAGACTATAGTTGCAGAATAAGGTTCCAGGAATAAGGTGCAATATTTGCTCATGTTTTATGTGCTTATGTGCTTAACTATTTATGTGCTTAACTATACGGACCAAATCGGTAGCACAAATTCCAGCAAGCTCAAGCTCGAAGATGTTAATAGCCCAAATGGGGAACAACTCGCATATATTACCAGTAACTGGTATGGGAGAGTAAATGACATCCTTCTGCAATCCGTATCGTAGTAAAGTGTATTCTGGCTACAAGACCAATTAGGACGGTATTTAATGTACTAGTACATATTGACCACTGCCCTTGTCTACCTCTTCGGCTCAGGACAGGGTGAATTTTCGCACCATTGTTAATCCTTACTCGCTGCTAACACCGTGAGCAACTGGTTAATGCTCAGACTTTCAACGTTGTGCCGATGAAAAAGCAGTGGCAAGCACAGCTCGGAGTTGCAGCTGCAAATCCAACGTCAGCACCAAGATGCCGTGATCCGTGGCCCGGGAAGGACTTCGCAAAACAGCCTACTTGTATGAGACGAATCTGGGCACACTAAATTTCTATTTTCGTTCATAGTCCTGGGTTGGGATGAGCTGTGGCTGATTTGTCCTGAGCTTTCCCTGATTCTTCCCTGAGCTAGGGTGATCCCCATAGGCGGCCGCTACACAGCGTCAGAGGCCCGTTTTTAGTCTCGTTTCTTTACGCCTATAGAGGCCCGTTCTCAACCCCGAGCCCACGTTTTGTCTCTGCTACTGCGGGCTACCTACCTTTTCTGCCGGCAGAAAATCCAGGCCCAGTCCTACTCGCAATTGCGCGCTAATTTCGACAACTGGTGTGGCGTTCAGTTTTGGAATTGGTCTCTGGAGCATAGCCATGAAACTCTGAGCGAACCTAAGGGCATCGCACCGCTGTTGTCTTTATTGCGCCTACATCTTCCACATAACTAGTGCCTGATAAGCTATAATACGAGTGCCCTACAATACGGCGGTAATTCCTAATCCATCAACGCCTTCTATATCTCACCCCTAGCAAACCCTACCGACGTCTATAAATACCAAGGTGCCTAAGCATGCCAGAGTTTAAACGCCGTCAAGATCACCTCCCACTGCGCCTGCGTGGTAAACTCCAAGTCCGTCCCACCCTCCCCATGCACCTTCTTCTGTCTCACCTCCTCCTCAGTCACCCAAACATAGCCAATGTGTTCCTTCGGGTCAACCATCACCTCAGCCACCCGCTCCTCGGGCACCATCGCGACGAAATAAAACTTGCATACCAGCTTCCCTCTCCTCGTCCGGAAGAAATCCCCACCCATGCCCTCGCCCCATTCATGCCCTTTTTCCTTCACGGCTGTGACCTCGCTCCTTGGCCCGTCACCACGGACGCCCTCTGAATCGGAGACAAAGCCCACCCGCACCAAGGGCCCAACGGCGGTCGCACGCAGGCCGGCTTCCTCGAAAAGCTCGCGAGCGCACGAGTGCAAAATGCTAGTGTCGTCGTCGTCGCACCCGCCGCCGGGAGTCTCCCATCGGAGCGGCATCGTGTCATGCGCGGCTCGCTGGACCAGCAGCACTCGAGGTGTCTCTGACTTTGGCCGTGGGGAGTCGGGATTGGGGTTAGGCGTCGAGGCTTCATGTTGGGCACCAGCGCCGGCTAATCTAGGAGGGAAATCGGTATTGGGGAGTGAGCGGTCAAACACGATCGCGCCGGTGGCAAGAAAGGCCGGTGCAGGCGGCCGCGAGGTATCACTGGAGCCGGGGGGTGGGAAGTGGCGAGTTAGGAAGACGGGCGGGGAGACGGAGAAGGCCTGCACTGAGGTGTGGGCCGTGAATGCGGAAGCGGGGTCTTCCATGCTGCTTGCCATGGTGAGATGGAAGTTTATGGAGGGATGCTTTTCAGTTTGATGGTTAAGGGTATGATCTTTTTCGCAGAATCGGGGCCCAGAATGCTAGCCCCAGAATTAGTTTTCTGGAAAACAGCACGGCCCCTTCAGGCCGGCTAATTCCTCTCTGATGTGGGGATTCGGCCGTTCCTTTCCAGACCGAAGCGGCTTTCTTACTTGTTGATCTTTTCCCCAAAGCCAGAAAAAGGGAAGCTATCGCCGGAATACTGTTAATCCGCGCCGAACCCCGTCCCTTACGCGCGGGGTATCACGCTTGTGTCTTGGAGATACGGCTAGAGGCCAATCTTGGTGTATTTTGTACTACGAATGCCCCTTTCGATCTTCGGTTATCCCAGAGATGATGATAATGTTGGATTGGCTATTGTCAGATGGACAAGGGTTGCATGTGGAATAGAGCTCATCCCAGCTGAGCTCTGGTGTGGTCATCCGAGGTGAAAAGAGGCTCAGGGGAGCTGAAATGAAGTGGCCAGTTCAGCTGGTGTGGCTACTTTTGCCACCACCATTGCCACCATTTACAACTATAATAGAGGCCCTCTGGCAGGACCAAAAAGAAGAAGGAGGAGAGATGAATGAAGAAAGTTGAAGGGCTGAATCCAACAGATAATGTAAGGGGGACGGTATGCCCGCCGTTGTCACGAAGAAGTGGTTGGTGTTTTTTATCACGGTTAATAGAATTTAAAGGATAATGCTAATAAGATACCGTATTGATTTGGCGTAAAACGAAGCTAGAGAAGAAAAAGAAGGAAGGAAGGATCGCAGGAGCTGCGATCAATGGAAAAAGGTTTGTGGGCGGAGTTTGCACGTGATCCACACGCTAACCTAATTGGGCTTTTTCCATGAAAGAAGGTTTGCGGGCGAAGTTTACACGTGACCCACAAACCAAGCCTAATTGGGTTTCTTGGAAGATGGCGTAACACGGCCAGCGACAATAAACTCACAATGCGCTGTGCCGTGACATTTCTGGTCTTCCTAGCGAGGGCGAGGACAAGCAACACACATAGCCGCAGGCGTCTCCTGGGTTGCAGCCTCCTTCGTGACGCACTTTCGAGGGCGTTGTATTTCGAGGGTCCAGCGCCTCCTGCAGACTTGAGCCAGGATCATAACAACGACTACTTCCCCTAGTCCTCCGAGTTCGTCTTACGAATAGCGAGCACTATCTACGAAGGCGTTGTGAAGGCAGGCATATCCCTTCGACCGCGAACGTGCAACAGTGACATCTTGGGCCCCACACTACCCCTGTTGCTAGCGCGGTACGTCAAATTGACCGAAAAAAAAAGGAGAAGCCTCCTACATACATTTTTGGCTACAGCAGCCGTTATCCCCGTCACACAGGTTGTTCCTTTAGAAGATAAAGGCCTCAATCCGACCCAAGCCGTGGTTATTACCTTATTGAATCTGCTACAAAAAGCTAGATATCACGTATTCCTAGATAACCTCTTTCAAACTCCAAACTTGCTACGAGTCCTTTGTAGTCAAAGATTTGGTGCTACGGGCACCTGCCGTACAAATAGCGGTATTCACGCAGTCCTCGTAGCACTTAAGGCGTCCGAAATGAAAGATCTTCCGTGGGGGGAACTCAGAATCATCCCTACAGCCGATGGACAGGTATCTCTTCTATCTAGCTTCTCTCTAGCTTCTTTCCGGCTTCTCTCCGGCTTCTTTATAATTTGCCTAATAAGTTCCCCGTGTTTTAGGTTAACCAGTTTGCGTGGAAAGATAATGCTGCCGTTCTTGCGCTCTCGACCGTACACGACGGCACCAGTTACGTCATCGCAACCGACGCCGCCCGAATGCTTCATCTACTGCTGGACGGGCTGCCCGAAGGTATTCGGGGCCGACGCCCGGAAAGAATTGCCAATCCCGAGCTTCATCGACGAGTATAATCATTATATGAACGGCGTTGACGTTGGGGATCAGATGAGGGCGTATTACGCCTCGGGGCGGTCGATTCGGCGGAGCGGATAGCAGGCCCTCGCGTGGGATTACCTACTAAACGTCGTTACGGTGAATACCTTCATTTTACAAGACCAAGGGGAGCCCAACTGGGATCGTGCCGCCAGTCATCTAGAATGGCGGCAGCTGCTTTCTTAACAGCTAATTGGGACCTTTGGGCTACAAGTCAAGACGCGGAAGCAGGCTCGGGCTGGCACACCGTTGGACAACCGGAATGAAACTATTCCCTTTGAGCAGCATGAATTCGTACATCGCGGCAAGCTCTCACGCTGCGTCATTTGCTCGAAAGGGGCCCGTCACAAGAGCCAGGCTCTTGGGGAAGCATCGGGAAATGCGAAGCGCAAAATGACGAGGAAGGGCTGCCGCCAGTGTGATGTAGCATTATGTACAGCGGGGTTCTGCTGGTACTTATTTCACAGCTAAATTTACTAGTAAACTCATGCACCTTTCCAAAAGGTGGTCTGATTGGCCGAAAACCCCTATCAATTTGTCACTGTTGCACGTTCGCGGTCGAAGGGATAGACCATGGCATTCGCACACCTCTTTAGCTCAGGCCAGGTTGAAGTCTTACGCCAATACCAGTCATTGCTCGCCCTGCTTGTTGCTCCCATTGTGACCACCTTGATCAGACGTACCTGGGGAGATTACTATTTCGTTTTCTTAACTTTATGAAATGTGTTGCACAGAACTTAGAGCTAGGGAACTGCATTGAGAAAAGGATGTAGAATTGATCTAGTACAAAGGAAAGATCTAAGGCTATATAAACAAAAGAGAGAGCAGGGGAATGCCCTGCGTATTGTAGTAGCGAGCACGGCAGTGTAATTGTGAGCACAGCAGCAGTGTGGCTCCCGCCACACTGCTGCGCCTTGACAGGGGTTTATTTACCGTGTCACAAAATGGTATAGAAGGCTAAGGCTAGAGCGGAGCTCTGTGATCGTAAGATGCAGGATCGCGGGGCGATGTAGCATGAGAATCTTCCGAAGCGGCCAAAGGATCGGTCACCACCAGAGGAACTCACAACATCAGACGAGGCGCGGTTTGAGGCAGTCGAGGAAAGAATCAAGAGGAAGCTTACCGACGAGGACGGCGATCATGTCCCAGCAGCCGAGAAAAGAGTCAAGAGAGCAGCGCTGGCAACAAATCAACCGATTCAAATATGAGGCTATATTTGTTTGGATTTGACCTCAAAAACCGGATATTTGACTGGCTCCAGACTCGATTTGATTGAGTGGGTCTCATTTGACGATGTTTAACAGCATCTTCCGCTCCACCAAAAATAGGTAAAAAGTCACCAAAATGGTCCCCTGAGATGGGGAAAAAGCCCTAAAGCCCGGGAAAGCTCATCTTCGCATCCAATTCTTCAAACACATGGTGTTGTTGAAGGTATCGTCAACCATGCTATGTCTCTGCGTGCCCAGCTAACCTGTCGTTTACTTTGTTGTTGACTACCTGGGCAAGCCAACAGCCGTGTTCGGTGATCCACGACGACCTAGAAGGCTTTTTTCCACTCCAAGCCTCCGGTACGTATATGCCCTGTGTTGTTTTATTGTGGGGCAGTCCTTGACCTGTGCTCCTCAGGTCTTTCAAGTCATGCACCACCACTTCGCTATACTGCGCGGCGAGCCGCGATGACCTCTTCATGACATCAAACGCTTGCTTTTGGCCTGTAGAGAGGCTCGTTAGTTCAACGGTCGAGTTAGGCATGTTGTCGGTAATTCGGGCGTAAGGAAGCAGGGAAATCGCTGTAGGAATGGAAGGATTCGGCGGAAAGGTAGAATTCTGCAGTTTGTTTACGCCGGAATAATTGCATTGCAGCTTCAACGGCATGCGGAGATTTTCCCGGGCCAGGAAAATGCCGGGCGGGCTAGGAAAATGCAGGGTTAGCCGTAGGCAGAGAGCGCCCTGAATCCAGGAAAATCCGAAAAATCCGCCTTAAAAATGGCCTGGCCAATGGGAAATATTTGACCACTGCCCAAATATTTTGTCTTCATATTTGAGCTGATTTGACCTCAAAAATCGCATATTTGACTGACAATACGGCCTAGATTTGATTGTTTGATTTGAACATATTCGAGTTGTTGCCGGCGCTGCAAGAGAGAGCAAGCTTAGCGACTAGAATGGCGATTGAATCCCAGACTAGGACTCTTTTTTGGGGCAGGTGGCAAAGATAGAGCTTGTAGTATATTTAAATCTGTAGCTCTGAATCCAGGCTTGTTGGTTGCGAAGTCCTCTCCATCCAGGTTCGAAACGGGGCTGCATATACCCAGAGCCTCAAGCAGAGCCTCAAGCAGAGCCTAAAGCAGATCCTCAGATTGAAGAGGTGGATGATGAAGATGAGGCTAACGAAAAGGCTGAAGAAGAGTTGCCTACAAGGCTGACAAGATCTGGCCTTGCACTTCGTATGCCAGCGAGATATATGGATTGAATAGTCAATTTGCTACATTTTGTTATATTTGGCTTGTAAGTAGCTTTACAATTGAGTGCGCTATTGTTGTTCAAAGATGTAGTGTTTTCCACTCTGGTTCGAGCCTCCTTATCGCGATAAGGATGCCCCACCGGCTTGCGAGGTGAGTTTTGTGGCGAGCCGGTGCCTCGGTGGGAGGGAGGAATCTGGCCAAGGTGCGTGCGGAGCTAACCGCACCAACCGCGTCTCTCCCGTGGCACTCAATCAGACCAGCACAAACTCGTCTTCCTGCAGCTCATTCCCCTCCAATTGACGGACAGCCTCCCCACTCATCAGCCCGTGCACATAGCACTCTCCCACGAGCAGGAATCTGCCTTGGTCAAGGGGCCGCAGGCAAAAGCACATTTTGCCCCCCAGAGCACGCAGATGCGGTCGCTTTTGGCCAGCACTTTGGGTCCAAGCACGAAGTATCCCTTTGTAGTGCGGGCAAGAACCCAGTTACTCGTCGCGCCGTTGGCCGAGCGCGACCACTCGGCACCGAGCCCGCCGCCTTCCGACGTCGCCAGCAACCGTAATTCGGGACTCACGGCCTTGCAATCGCCCGCCGCTGCCATGGTGTGTGTTAGGTAGGCAGCACCCTATGCAAGCCATTCGTTGTCGAAAATCGAGCGGAAGAAACCCTCACGGGATTCGTGCTCGCGCTGCCCCGACGAGGCTTCAAGAGAATCGCTGGAGAGATTAGCGGAAGCATGCAGCCGGTCGTATCGTCTCAGCGCCGTTGCCACACAGCCATTGCTGAGTGTCTGCATATATGCTAGGACGGCTGGACAGCGCTCATCGTCAGGCTGCGCCGCATCGTTCGCTTCATCTTGCCGGTACAGCGGACCTAGAGAGAATAGATGGCTGTCGCCGCCGCCGCCGCCGCCGCTGATGTCTACTTCGTACCCACACACTTTGCGCCACAGCTGCTCGATGAGGGTCGGCTTGCCCGGTTCGACCTTGTGGAACGCCTTGGGCTTGAGTGGCGCCGAGGCCTCTGTGACGATGTCGACGACGACACCCTTGATGCGTAGAGACTTCCCGTCGACGACGAGGGACGGCTTCGAGAGGCTGCCCGTGCCGCACGCGCTGTGGGGTGAGGTCGGCTCCGAGAGGACGTGCGACGTGTAGGTGCGCCAGTCTGGCACCCACGACGGCATGTAGTGGCGGTCGCCTGCCTTCTCCCGGCACTCATGCCAGTCGGCAAGGGAGGATGCAAGTTCATGGTGTTGGACTGCCGCGAGGGTGATGAGTCCAGAGTCGGCACCGTCCACCACGAGGGTACGAGCGGCCGCATTCGTGTACACGTCGGGGAGCGTGCCGGTATCGGCGTCGTAATTTGCCGCGAGTCCGCGCAGCTCCCTGCCGGTCACTGAGTAGTGCCCCAAGAAGGCGAAGACACGGTCTCGCGGGTCAGTCGCCTGGACGTGGCGCGCCCGGTGCAATTCGTAGATGAAGCTCAGGCGGTTGGCGTGCCGGGTGGCGATATCGGGCGGCACGAAGCGCTGAAAGACAAACTTGACCTTGGCCATCTCGATGTCGAATTGGCGGCGCAGATGGTGGAACTCGGTCAGTCTGTCACACACCCTGTACAGCATATGCCAGTCCATCGACGCCTTGCCCCAGAAGAGCCCCGCCGGCGCCCTGGTTCCAATTTCCTGTATGACCCAGACCCTCTCAAACCATGGCAACCGCGTCAGTGCCTTCATCGGCGCCCAGTCCTCGGGCCTGATACCGACCGAGCGTGTGCTGGTGTCTACTGGTAACTACGGCGATCTTATCCAGCCGCTGGAGCCGAAATATAATGCTGCGCTTGCGGTATCTTTCGTTCCGGTTCTGCTTGCGGCCTTTCTAAATTAATTACTGATAAATACCCGTATTTTAATTTTCTGTCTGATTATGGTAGCCATAGAGTTTATTACTTCAATGGATAAGCGTAAGCACAGACCCCATTCTCAGCCCTACGACGGTTTAACTTCGTCGCCCCAAACAGGGGTAGACACGTGCGCCAGTCCTAGCAGTCCCAAAACCCGGCCTCTGCCCTTCAGCTAATCAGAACACGAGTTTAATGCTGCGCTGTCCGTGCAGTTTTACCAGGTGTCCATAGCTATTAGACCTATACTTAGCAAATAGACTTGTGAAAGTGCCACCCAAGACGCAGCTCGCATCCGGAAAATGCCTTCCAGGCGCCTCGCTTCTTGCAGAGTTGGGGGGCGGCGGTCTGCTCTCGCTTGTAAACGACATGGATAGCTTTATGCCATAGTAACGCGTTTTATTCCTAGTCGCCAAGGCCTTAGAGCTGAAGATATTGTTCGGCAGATTCTATCACTTGACCTAAAGCAGGTACAGCGCGACGAGACCAACCTGATCATCAAGTTACTACAGCAGAGCTAAGACACGGTTGTAAGTGGGCCTAGAATTTGTCCCATATATAAAGATGGCTAAAATGGGCCCCAATCTCGAAAATAAGTCATCTTGTCTTACCTTTTGCCTGTTTGTATTACTCACCTGACCGCTAGAGACTTCAGTCAGCCTCTGCCATCTCTCTAAGTCTCGGCCCACGCCTCCTATAAACATTCTAAAACGAAAAGCAGATACGCCAGACTAAGGCGGTTTCAATGGTGGCAGCGAGTAAGAATTGACGAAGGTCTAAAACTTAGCCTAAGCCGAAGAATTGACGCAGGTCTAAGACTTTAACTTAGCCTGAGCCGAAGAGGTGGGTGAGGGCTATATTCCTCATCTCGCCTGCCTTGAACCAGCCTATACGCTAGTTTTCTGTAGTTGGCTTATCGATAGACCGCTGCAAGCCCACCTACTCGGTCCTCTCACCGAGGGTAAGGTCCAGCAGCTTGCCCGTGAGCCGCAGTAGTACACTAACTAGCTCGGCTAGAGTTGAACCAATTCAGCATACTGCGGCGCGGCCTGCCGAAAATGGTAATTAGGGTGAGCAAAGGTGAGCGAGCCTGAGAAAACCCCGAGCAAAAGACTGGGCCGGGCCTGAGCTAGGGTGAGCAATGTCACGTGGGCGAGGCACAAGAATGGAAATTTCGTGTGCCTAGATTCGTCTCATCAAACAGAGAATCCGGTAGGTTGGGAGTGACCGGGGTGGTAATGCACCACAACTTCGATTGGATATCCTGGGGACTCGACGTTGCATTTGGCGCTGTTTCCGGCCCATCTAGGCCTCTTGGAGGGTGGTACCGAGCTCGTTACCCGAGTTCAGCTTGCGACTTGGGGTCAGGGGTTGAGAAGAGCATTTCTCGTCAAAAAGCATCATCATTCATTTGCTTTTCACTCGGACAAAAACATGAAAAGTCGGAGCCAAACTTGCGGTGTGCGCCAAGGCAGGTGTGCCATGAGGCTCTTGCTCAGCGAAACGCAAGTGGCGTCGTCGAGGTCGATCGGTGACGGCAGACAGGCGCCGATCGTGGCCTGAAATAGTAGGACTGGGGAGACAGCGTGGTGCATCGGGGTGGGGGGAGGGGAGATCGACGCCTTCCCTGTCAGAGGCCCCCGAGCGGCGCAAGTCGAACGGACCGCACCTTAATCTCGCAGCTCCAAACCCATCCATCCAGCGCATTGGGACAGTAGGTGCAAAGGGAGTGCGGGCTGTGTTTCTTCTCGGCATCGAAAAGACGGCCGTTTTCCCGCGATCCCTCTGAATTGCATTTGCGACCCAGCGGTTTCAAGTCTAGCGGTCGGGACAGTGGAGATGGTTGGGAAACGCCGAGACATCAGCGCCGGGCCGAGCTCCACCAGCTGCTTCCAGGTTGTGGCGGCGACGCTTTCCTTTTCTCCTCCGTGGCTTGCAGGCCTAAAACACGCTATCGATTTCCTAATCGGCCAGCGATAGGCGCCCATTGGACCAGCGTTACCCGGCCGCTGGCCGCTTATTCCCCCTCGTTCCCCTCGCTTGACTGAAAAATGAGACCTGTGGCTCGTCGGGCTTGCGCCAAGCCAAGTGGGCCCTTTTCCCTTCCGTCATTTCTCTTGCCCAACCCGACGTTCCCACTCTGTTGCAAAACGAGAGGAAGCCGCCGAGTCTAGCCCGGGGAAAAAAGACAATGCATTGTGCCGCCGCGCCGTTGTCGTGACATGTCGCCGCCCGCGCCATTGTGACGACTCAACGAGATGATGGAGTGGAGTGCCGCGCCGCCGCATCACGATTTCGACATTGATAGGCGCGCTTTTCTGGTTAGTGATCCCCGCTGTTGGCCTAGTGAGGTGCGCCGCATTGCGACGGATCTGTGGCTGGCAGAGAGATGCGATGCGATCGATGCTGATTGAGACGGGCGGGGTCGACAACGGCAACAGAACCAGAGCGATGATCCCAGAATCGGGTCAACCCGCGACAACAGCACCAGCGGCACTGCCAGCACCCTGGCAAAAACTGCCACCCAGTCTGGCACCAACTCGGCGTCGCTAACGTCGCTGGGCAGCACCTTTGTGCCCGTCATCATCTACTCGGCCATATGCCTAGCCATCTTCTTCACCTTTCGCCGGAAATGTCCCCGCGTCTATGCGCCCAGGACGCTGCAGACCCTGCGCGGGCCAGAGTAAGTCGTTCTGCCCCTGTTCATATCCACGGCCGTCCCGTCCCGTCGTGTCGCCGATCGGCGTGGTGGTGGGACGTGCTGGCCTGGACCCGGGAGCTGCTGCACCGTGCCGTGAGGCTAAAACGGGAGGCTAACCATCGGCAATTAATTACCTGGCACAGGCATCCGAGCCCCAGGCTCCCGAATGGCTGGGTCAACTGGATCAAACCTTTCTTTGCCATTAAGGACGACTACATCCTCAACCACTGCACCCTAGATGGTTTCTTCTTTCTCCGCTTCCTCCGCATCATCTCCATCATATGTCTGGCCGGAGCTTGCCTCGCCTGGCCCATCCTGCTCCCCATCCACGGCACTGGCGGCTTCGGTCTGCAGGAGCTGGACCTCTTGACCATTGGCAACATCAAGCTCTCCGACCGCTTCTATGCCCATGTGGCTGTGGCCTGGTGCTTCTTTGGTAAGCGTCTGCGCCGGCCTCTTGACGGGAAGCGTCTATCTGACCATGCATCCAGGTTTCGTGCTATTTACCGTCTGCCGGGAATGCATCTACTACATTAACCTGCGCCAGGCTTATCTCCTGTCGCCAAACTACTCCAAGCGTCTTTCATCGCGTACAGTTCTGTTCACATGCATCCCCAGGCCGTACCTCGAAGAGGCCAAGTTGCGCAAGCTGTTTGGCGACTCGGCGAAGAACATCTGGATCCCGAGGAATACGAGCCGCCTGCGGGGGCTTGTCGATGATAGGAAGTCGACGGCCGACCGCCTGCAAAAGGCCGAGGTTCAGCTGATTCGGATGGCAAACGCGGCTCGCAACAAGCATCTCAAGAAGCATCCCGAAGCGCTACCTCCACACCTTCCAGGCTCCAACGCCTCCGGTAGCAAGACTCCCGGGTCCCGCATCTCCACGCAAGATTCCAGCCACGGCGATGAGGAAAAGGGTAAGGCTGACTCTGCCGTCCGCTTCGCGGAGCGCCAGCTCTCTGCGCTGGACGCAATTTCGTTAGAAACCCAGGCAGATCCAGAGTATACACACCCGTACGGACTCGAACCCTCGTTGCCCGACGTCAGGGGCTCTGTAGCCAGTCTTTGGATACCGGCCGAGGCCCGGCCGCACCACCGCCCCATCGCAAACTTTGGGCGTCGCGTCGACACTATAAGATGGTCGAGGGCGAGACTGAAGGCTTTGAATAGGGACATTTGGAAGCTGCGGCGGAAGCACCGCGGGGGCGACGGCGCGCCACTCGACGCCGCCTTCATCGAGTTTGAATCGCAGGCCAGCGCGCAGGTGGCCTTCCAGACCCTGGCGCACCACCAGCCGCTGCACATGTCGCCTCGTTACATCGGCATCCAGCCCCAGGAGATCATATGGAGCGCCTTCCGCATCAAGTGGTGGGAGCTGATCATGCGCCGCTTCTTCATGATGTCCGCCATCACCGCCGCGATCATCTTCTGGTCAATCCCGTCTGCGCTCGTGGGCACCATCTCCAACATCCACAAGCTGAGCCAGATGGTCTTCTTTCTGAACTGGATCGAGCTCCTCCCGACCACCATTACGGGAGTGATCGAGGGTCTGCTGCCGGCGTTGGCGCTGTCGTTGCTGATGGCGGCCGTTCCTGTGATGCTCAGGGGTAAGTACAGTTAACCACCACGGCACGTCTGTCGTTGATTATGCCTGCTGACCCGAGTTTTGTATTTAGGGTGCGCTAGAGTTGCGGGCGTACCTTCGCACGCGCTGGTTGAGCTCTACGTCCAGGGAGGCTACTTTGCCTTTCAAGTCGTCCAAGTTTTCATCGTGACGACGCTCACGTCTGCGGCGTCTTCTGCATTCGAGGACATCCTGAAGGACCCCCTCTCGGTCAAGGATCTGCTGTCCCAGAATCTCCCCAAAGCCTCAAACTTTTACCTGTCGTATATCCTTGTTCAGTGTCTTGCAGCCGGCGCGAACAATCTCTGCAATGTCGTCGATCTTTTCCGCCACGAAGTCTTGGGGAAAAGTACCATTAACCCGAGACGGCAATTCGAGCGGTGGCGGAAGCTCCGCCCGGTGCACTGGGGCTCCGAGTACCCGAGGATTACCAATATGGGAGTTATAGGTTCGTTTTCTGTGCCCGGTCACCTCAGCTGTGATAAGCATGTCCCGCGGCTAACACGACAGAATAGCTATCAGCTACTCTTGCATAGCTCCCCTGATCCTCGTCTTTGGCGGGCTTGGGATGGAATTTCTGAGAATTGTGTACCGGTACAATCTCATCTATGTCTTCGATTCAGACTTTGACACCAAAGGGCTCTTCTACCCCCGAGCACTGTTGCAGCTCCTGATCGGGCTGTACGTGGCGGAGATCTGTCTCATCGGGCTCTTTGCACTTAAGATTGCCATCGGGCCGATGCTGCTCATGATCCTGTTCCTCGTCTTCACGGGGCTCGTGCACATGTCGCTCAGCGACTCTCTGACGCCCCTCCTCAACAACCTCCCCCGCACGCTCGCCATGGAAAAGGACCACGGGCCGATCGAAGACCCGATCCCCGCGGCGCAGACCCCCAGCAGCCAGCCGAGGCCCGAACACTCGGGCGGGCTCGCGGCCAACTACTACGACGAGGACGAGCACTTTGGCGACGAGCCCGAGCCGCCGCCGCTCGAGACCATGGACACGGACACGCAGATGCGCGGCATCGAGGGCAGCAGCAGCATCAAGTACGCCGTGGCCGAGTGGACCAAGTCGGCCATTAAGGCGCGCTTCAAGCCCGACAACGACGACCAGTCCGGGCTGACGCGCGTACTAGCACAAATCAAGGCGTGGATCACGCCCGACCCGGCGCGCAAGCCCAACTTCATCATGCTATGGCTGCACCCCGAGACGTACCAGGACTTCCGCGCGCTGCAGGCCACCGTCAACCCGGGGCCCGACGACGTCGAGCTGCCGCCCGACTACGTGCGCCGCGTCTACCAGCCGCCCGAGATGTGGCGCCCCGCCCCGCGGCTGTGGCTGCCCAAGGACGGCGCCCGCGTCAGCCGCCAGGAGCTCGCCCACAGCAAGGACGCCATCGTCGCCTCCGACCAGGGTTGTTGGCTCAACGACAAGGGCCGCGTCGTGTGCGACCACGAGGCCTCGCCGCTGCACGAGCCCGTGATACTGTACTAAAGACAATGTGTGAGATGGGCGGCGTTTTCGGCGATGGGTGCATAGAATTGACGACGTTACGCTGTCCGTATTTATATAGCGAACTACTATACCCCGAGATGCTGCTACTAGGTATGCTAATTAGCCGGGGCGTGGGCGGTGTTTTGACTTTCATTTCGGCTAGGACTATCTGTGGGCGGAGGCATCGGTCATGTGATTAATTAGCGCTCGAATTATTTCGCACGATACATAAGTAGCATGTTGCGATCATGATACCTAATATAGAAAGACTACTTATGGATTTACGCGCGTTGGCACTGCTGGATTGAGTAACAGTGCAAGGTCTTCAATGGTTTTAGATTATATTGAAAGAAAGATATTATCTTTCTCCAACACTATTATAGTTGCACTAAAATCGAGTGGACGTAAGTAAGTCTAGGGACCGTTATAAACTCCTCAACGTTATTAGAAATTAGAATAAACAAGCCCTCCTTTGTTCCGTAAGAATTTATAACCTTAATGTGCGTTGAACCTTGAATGCGGATGAGGCCGAGTGGACCTTCGGTTATGTAGTGTGTTGGTGCCCATGATTCTCAACCAATTAAAAGAATCTCGCCCGGCTAGCTCAATCGGTAGAGCGTGAGACTCTTAATCTCAAGGTTGTGGGTTCGACCCCCACGTCGGGCTCAATTCCCGGCGGCGAGTTCGTTTCTTTTTTTTGTTTTTCCCTTTTTGCTTCTTGCTTGTTTGTACATATAGTATATATAGTATACATTTGCTATGCTTACTTATTATGATTACTGAATTGGAAATCACTGAATAGTGAAGCACGTAGTTTGCAGTTTCTCCAGGAGGTAGTAGTTATCGGTAATGCAAATCCGCTCGATTTATCATGATTCCTGTAAAATCTGTCCATCTATTCTGGTCCTGCCGCTCGTCCGTCACAATTTGTTACCTAGACCACGACTTGCTGCCGATATCCAAATCCGCAGTTGATGCAATTTAGTTAGCACAACACAATCCCCTAGTTCCCGAGAACCTATTCTAAATGAACAGCTTCGAGCCGTGGTACTTGGTCTTTTGCTTGTAGGTCTCCGACTTGCCGACCCCGCGACTGAAACCAGCCTCACTGAAATCCTCGTCCGTTCGCTTGGGGAAGCCCTTGAGCGAGCGGGCATACGTGGCAACGGAGTGCGCGACGAGCTGAAACTCGGGGATTGCGCGTTAGCATTACAGTGATGATACATGTGCAGGAAAGGAGGGAAACGGCACTTGACAGAAACAGCTTACCTTTGTGTTGAGCTCCCAGGCGGTCAGGTTCAGATTGCTGACGTCGTCGCAGAGGGCGTGGTAGCAGACGTCGTAGGGGACGCCGGGCTCGCCGCCGAACTGGCCGGCCTCCTTCTTGGACTTGATGCCCTCGGCGCCCGTGGCGATGCCGCCGCCGGGGATGCCGTGGCGGATGAAGCCGTCGTAGTCGCTGCGGCCGTCGAAGGCGATAAAGGTGTAATTGAGGCCGTGCGCGGCGTACCAGTCGACGTAGAGGTCGCGCAGCTCCTGCGAGCCGACGGGGTTGACGTCGTTGCGCGCGTCGTAGATCTGGAAGGCGAAGTTGGGGCTCGCCAGCATGTCGTAGTCCATAAACAGGCGGATCTTGCGGTTTTCTGACGGTGTCAGCACGTCCACGTAGTAGTCGGACCCCAGCAGCCCCTCCTCCTCGCCCGCCCACCACGCGAACCGCACGCAGTTGTTGACCGAGAAGTTAGTCAGCTGCGTCGCCACCTCCAGCAGCGTGATGCTACCGGACCCGTCGTCGTTGATCCCCGGGCCCTCGGGCACCGAGTCGCTGTGCCCGCCGAGCATGACGCAGTTGTCCGGGTCGCCCTGCGTCGTCTGCGCGATGATGTTGTCCGTGACGATGGTGTTGACCACGGCGTCAATGTACGCGATCACGTCGACGGTGTCCCCCTTGGCGAGCTTGGCGAGCACCGGCGCCGCTTCCGACCCGGCCAGGCCGAACGTGGCGACGTGGTCGGGCGACGGCGTGCCCAGGGTGCCCTGCACGGGGAAGGTCTCGTAGTTGAAGACGATGGCGGCGATGGCCCCGGCCTTGCCGGCCAGCTCTGATTTGGTGCCAAAGGGGCAGGTGCCTCGCTTGACGAAGGCGACCTGGCCAGACACGGCGGCCGGGTAGTCGTCGGCGTCGCAGCCCTCATTTGCGACAAGGACCAGGTGGCCGTAGACGGGCTGTTTGTTTTTAGTGGGCGGGGTCAGGCTCATGGGCGAGGCCGAGGCGGGGACCTCGTGGTCCAGCACCAGGCGGAACTCGAAGACATTGCCCGAGACGGCGGGGAAGGGCTGCTTGGACAGAGTGTAGTAGTCACCCAGCGCGGCGAGAGACTTGTAGATGTAGTCGAGCGTGCCGACGTGGCCGGCGCTGCCAATGACGCGCGTGGGATGGTTGTACTCGGGCTCGCCCAGCTTCGCGATCTCAAAGAGTTCCTTTGCGCGGCCCAGAAGGCTGTCTTTGCTGATGGCTGCTTGCAAGTCCTCGGAGTCGACCAAGGGCTTATCACGGCCAGCGCTGGCTGGAGCCTGGGCCGAGGCCGGGAGGCGGGCCTGAGCTGGCTCGACGGCGTCGACGAGCGGCTTTTGCAATTGGACCTGCAGCGCGGACACGCCTCCCAAAACCGCCAGCCCGCCCACTGCGAGTCGCTTGAGGCCTGCCATTTTTGCCGGTGCCGTGTTCTCCGACGTCGCGATGCTGAAAGCGGAGAGAGTTGGGATGGAAGATTTTGTCGAAAGAAGCTGGCGAGTTCAGCCGCTGGCGGATTCAAGACACAGCAGCCCAGCCGCAGCACAATGTTGCTGGGCCGACAAAAAGCACGCCATTCCCATTCGGGCTGGGTTTGTGGCCCAGGCGGAGGCTAACTGACCTAGCCGAGCTAGCGTCGATAACGCTGTTACGAAGGTGGGGTCGCTGTGTGCTGCGGCCGGGCCTTGGACGCCGGAGGCCGCCCCAATTGCTAGCTAGAGCCTAGCGATCGCGATTGTGGTCCTGCCCTGCAGACCCCGCCATGCCCGATCAATGTGCAACGCCAGATGCGTTGCATGGCAGCGCAGCGTCTGAGAGCATTGGCTTGAGGCTCGAAAGCTTAGCTGGATAGCCGTCTGATCATGCACCCCGGAATATCTGACGTATTTAAGAACAGAGTCGATGGCCGAAATTCGGCAACGGAGGTGGGAAGAAGGGGCTTGCTTCGCCAAAAAATCACTCGCCAAGGTATTTGTGTAGGTACTTTGCTTCACATGTTTGCCATTCTCGTTGCTATTGTGATCAGCTGCAGTCAATGATGGATACCTGCACCATTGGGACACGAGAACAAAAGGCAGAAAAAACTGTGCTCAGCATCATGAGCCAATATAATCTCGAGGTAAGTACCAGGTATCTAATCTCAGAAAATTTAAACTAGTGTAATGGCCAAAAAGGCCTGGGTATCATCAAAAACGTATTTATCGTACACGTCCACTGCGAATGTGATCACTCGCTCCCTCCGTGGTAATTCCGGTTGCCCCGATACTCGGGATGCAGCCGGTCGGGCTCGGGGTGCGCCTCGTTGGACGCCCTGCGCTTGCGCATGTCCCTCTCGCCGCGCAGGTACTCCTGCCACTCCCTCTCGCGGCGCTTCATCTCGCTCAGGTCGTCCGACAGGCGCTTCTTATCCCTTTCCCATTTGGCGCGCTCCTGCTTGAAGTCGGCCTGCAGCTCCTCGGACACGGCGCGGCGCACCGTTGTCTGCACCCACACGATCTGGTGGTCGTAGCACCGTTCCGGCAGCTCGCCGCTCGCGCTAGCCGCTGGGCTAGTCGGGCCCGCTAACATGCGCACCTTGGGGCAGAGCGGTACCACGCATGCGTGCTTGGCGCTGCAGAAGCCGTTCTCGAAGCTCGCCTCGTTGCCGCAGTCGGCCGAGCGGCACTGGTGGTTGACACAGAGTGAGCTGTTTCCGTCGGCGCCCCGCCGCGCACACGGCGCCTTCCGGCACCGGTGGTCTTCGCAGAAGTCGCTCGGGTAGTTGCACCGCCGCAGGCAGCCGCGCACCTTGCACCCGTGGACAGTGCAGAAGAGCGAGTCGGCGCGGTCTAGGTCCGCGATGGGCCGGGAGCAGTCGTTGAGCGTGCACCGGTGCATTGAGCACAGGCTGCCGCCGCTGGGATCCCGGTCGTCGGCGCAGTTCGGGATCACGCAGGCGTGCGCGGAGCAGAAGCGCCTGGATTCCTTCCTCGGCCGTCTGCAGCCCGGTGTGCTGCAGCTGGAGTATTGCTTGCCCTTCCTTAGATGTTCCGCGCACAGGTTCGTCTCGACGGCCTGCAGCGGGCAGGCGTCGACCTCGCAGGTGTGCCTCGAGCAGAAGGTGCTGTGAAGATTTGTGGCGGGATAGTTTGTGCATTGTGGGGCGGCGCAGTCGGTGTGCTTCTTGCAGCGCTGTTGCAAGAGGTTGTCGATGCCATCGAGACACGGCGACTTCGTGCAGCGATGGGTTTGGCAGAACCAAGGCCATGTGCCGTCGTCGTTCTGGCCCTTCTCGCGGCAGCGAGGAGTACCGCACCGTATGTGGTCGGCGCAATACCGTTGATCAGCTAGCCTTGGAAGGGGGCAATGGTAGCCCTCGTTGTCGGGAAGTGTCTTGTCGCATGTGTGTCGGATGCAGTAGAGGGAGTAGACCTTTTGAGGCCCAATCATGGCGAACACATGCTTGCGGCGGCAGCCATCGACGCGGCAGGCTCTGGGGTCGGAGGAGGATGCGCTTGAGAAGTCGGACATGGGCAAAAAGGGCGTTTTTGGTGTGGATGTTGGTGAGGCGACGAGGGCGATGAGGGCGTAAAGGAGTTCGGAATTCGCTTGGTGGCAGGACAAGGGATGGACGCTTGGCGGTAGAGACGAAGTAGACTTGTGGAATCGAGTCAAGTGACTGGAACAAGATGCAGATGATCGATTGCACTGTTAAGGTCCGTAGATCTAGACCAGCAGACCAAGACCGGGGAGCGAGTGCGGTTTTAAGTGCACTTTGGGTCTAGCCCTTTAAGTCCTACCCCACGCTGTAGTGAGCAGTGGTTCGCAGAACTGAGGCAGCCGTGGCGTTGACCTGCAGCGGAGCGGCACGGGAGATGCAAGGTGCCTAGCCTGACTGCGCGTAGCGTACCCGCTGCGCACACAGGGGCTTCCAGGTCTGGGCTGTCGTCCCTCCCTCTCAGCCCCAGGATGCAAATCGCCAGATTGGACGACGCGCCTCAGCTGCGACTGCGGCATCCTAAGGAAGAGAAAGGCTGACCCCATTCATGACGGGCCGCGCCTCACCTGAGCCCTGGCTACGGGAAGCTGGGGCAATTCCATGTTGTGATTTTCATCAGCTTGAACTTGCCGTCTGGATTCCACATCTGCTGTTTGCAAAATTCGGTACGTATTGCATGGTACATGTACAATGCTGTCGCCTGGTGCTCGTAGTGGTTGGGCTGAATTTCGTCTTCTCATTTCCGCGGCGGCCGCTGTGGCGCGCCCAATGTCGGACACACAAGGCGTCCATCGTATTGGGCTCGGTGAAGTTTGAGAGCCTCGTCGGAGTTTGGCAGCGAGAGGGATTTTACACCTCAGAGGAGTGCTGGCTCCCCGCGCTAGTGTGCTCCAAAAGCGGGGTGTGTGCCGCGGGTCGTCGTCATCCCCACCTTTTCGATGGCAGGTGCCTAAAACCTTGAACGTCATTCGCGGTCCCACCCTGGCTGCCTCACAATTTTGGCTGTATGGGTGCACTGGGTACTGGGTACGATTCCCGGTGAGCCTGGCCGGGATTTGCGGCCATTATTGCCAATGATAAGCTGCGGCCGTTATTGCCAATGATAGGCGCCCCATGGCAGGTTTGTTGCCGTCGACTGGACTGTTCGGCCGCCGCACGCCCCATCGGCTGCGGCCCCTTCCCAACAAAATTCAGCTGTGTGAGCAACCCTAACCCTTTTTGTTTCGTTTTCCTTCCTTGACCATCGGCGCCCCAATCAACTTTACATAGGAGAAGGTTGTGGACGACCTTAAAATAGACCAAATTCACCACACCACTAACTATTTCTTCTTTAACCTCACAATTCGTCTAGGAAGTGTCGTCCAACAAATTGCTGCTACTAGTCTTAACCCTAGCTCTCCAGATCGAACTGGAATACCAATGACAGGAGAAAAGAGGGAAGCTGGCAGATAAACAGCTTTGCCTTCTCCAGGGGCTTGGCCCGAAACGGGTGCAGAAGGGATTCTGGCTCGAGTCCCGCTGGGTCCTGCAGGTGCTGTCCATGGCAAGGCGCGCTGCCTTTCGCGGCCATACGATGGAGCGCGCCCTGCCAATCACCACCTTCGACTGCGCCGTTTTTCAGCCCAAATTGTGCTACCCGTTGTTGGCGGATGGAGGGTGGGGGGAGAAGGTACAGCTCGAACCTGCCCGCTATCCAGGGACCGTCCTGTTGAAGGGTAAATCAAATCGACTTCTTGAGGCAGTAGGTGCGGAAGACAACTGTCACAAGTCTCTTGTCTGAGTGTTCTAGGGACTGACTTCTGTGTCTCTTTTTTATGAGCCTTGTTTGACTGACAACCCGCAGCCTAAGGCTACGGATCGTAGGGGTCTCGTCACTACCAGTGGCAAGGCTTAGGTCAAGCGCAGTACATTACTGCCCAAAGCAAGCACACCGTCACGCTCTCACGCTCACCCGGCACGGATACCCGTCCACTGGATGCCCGCCGCCGGCCATGGTCTGATACGCGCGCTCGCCGTTTACATGCTCGACGCCCGCGGCCGGATGCAGGGCGTCCCACTCATCATACGCGTGGCGGACATCGAACTCGCGCGCCGCCAGCACCAGCGTGATCTTGACGTCGAGCAGCGCGAGCGTTTGGCCCAGGCAGTTGCATGGGCCGTGCTCGAACGCCCGTCAGCCGCCCTTGGGAGGGGGGGGGGCCAACAGCACATCATCACCAGAGTCTGATGTGGCATTATTGAACCAGCGCTCTAGTCAGAACCCATGCGCGTCGGCCTAGTACCGCGCGTTGCGCTGCAAGGCCGAGTGCAGCACCCAGATGTTGGTGCCAGCGGTCGAGTGGCAGTTGCCGTGGGCGTCGACGAGCGACACGCCGGGCAGCCCACCGCGCATGACCAAGGCCGGCGGGAACATGCAGAGCGCTTCCTTGATCGCAGCCACCGTGTACGGGAGCCGGTTGAGCAGGTGCTGCTGTGCGCAGATCGTGTCAGCGGTAGTAGTGGTGTCGGCCCCAAACACGGCGTCGTGCTCGACGCGCACTTACGCCAGCGCCGCCGGGTGCGCCTGCAGCAGGTAGAAGCGGTAGCAGATGGTCCATGATATTGAGTCGTGGCCCACGAACAGGAACACCCGGATCTGCGTCGTGGCTCAGGCCTTGAACGCTGCATCGAGGCACTTGGGGCGGCTGCCGGCGGTGGCGAGCTGCTGCGCGGGGTTCCAGCGGCGCAGGATCGGCGGCTTGGGCAGGTCGAGCTCCGGCGAGCACACCTGCGCGGCCAGCGGCGGCGAGCACACGACCAGCATCGGGTCGGCGAACGGCCACATGTCGACGTAGATGATGGAGTCGTCCGTCTCGTGCGCCTTGCAGAGCGCCTCGAACGCGTCGGGCTGCTGCGTGTCGCTCGGCAGCGTCTTCATGATGAGCGGTAGCGCGAGCAGGTGGCCTAGGATTGGGTCCACGGCGGCATGGGCCGCGTCGCGGGGTGTTAGCTGGATATGCACTTCGATTAACAGGGCAAGTGGTAGATCTCGCACCATCCCCTGCTGGTGCAGGCGGCAGAAGAACCGCCGGGCACGGTAGCCCCTGATGACCACATAGGCGAGGACAGTGGCGAAGGCTACGAGGAAGGCCGAAACGGCATGTTCCATGCTTAGTTCCACGATGTCAGCCATGACGGAGCTCATAAGGAATAAGGTGGGCAAACGTCTCTTTTTGTTTGGCTTGGTAATGAAGTCGGGACCACAATGTTGTCTGCCTCACTCTCGGCCTGCAGTTGTTGGACGTTGAAAGAATCAGCCTCAGAACCACGACGCCGGCTGTGACAAGGGTGCTCCGTATCGGTCGTGTTCCGCGTGAAGACGCAACCAACAAAGGATTGGGCTGTGCTGCTCATTGGCTCGAAGACTTCATTTTCTTCTTTCGGTTAGTGATCTCTTATCTGCTGTACAAAGTGTTGAATGAGATGGTTGCTATTTTGGTGCAGCTAAATAACATTAAGGGGTAAGACCTCAGGGGATGGTTGGCTAATATGTACAGTAACTACTACAGATTCAGCCTAATAATTCCTTAGGCATGCTGCTTTCATTCTACCACTCTTCAACAGGGCATCAAAAGAAGGCCCAGGGGGTGTTACTACGGGGACGACGACAGACCACTGAGCATCCATCCAGCCAGCTGGAAGAGCGCGAACTAGAAACCAATATACCCGACCCGTCCTGCACGTCGGAAAACTCAGCCAATTAAACAATCCGAAGAAGCGACGTGTTATCAGATGCAGAACTCACCACCCAGTCCAAGACAAACTCCTGGCGCGACAGCTGCGTGTCGAACGTCGGGAACTGGAAGACGAGGTCGATGAAGCACACGCTAGTGAGCTCAACACCGGGCTCGCCGACGTCGCAGGGCAGGTCGATCGCGGGGGTAGTCGAGATAGACAGCTGGTAGTCGTAGGCCGGGCTCTCGCCCTAGGTGCCATCGCAGCGACATGGCAGCGTCCTGGGTGCAACTGTGTTACAGCCTGGCGCGTTTTCTTTGTACCATCCGAGGAAGCATTTGGGGGGAGACGACACGCCGAGGTTGGCCTGGGACGTCCAGTCAGCTGGCTGGAACAGGGTCACCGAGGGGAAATAGGCCCAGTCCTGATACAGGCAAAGGAAAGTCAGTACCGAGACGAATTGTACGACAGACGAGAGAAGGACGCACCACGGTGTCTTGGGAAAGCACAGTCTTGTACGTGGTCAAGCCGGGATACCAGAAAGCACAGTAAAGTCCTGGAACCACCGCCGCCGTGATGCAGATGGTCAAGATGGTGTTGTAAATGTTGGGGGGAAAGTGTCACTCCCCTATTTGGTGGTCGGGAATTGGCGCGTCAGCTTAAGACCTCAATCTCTCGTCGAACAAGGAAAATGCTTGCCTCTTCGCGACTGCCAAACACGAAACATGGGTCTAGACAATAACAAGAAAGAGTACGGCGCCAAGGAGAGCCGAGGTTATGATGACATTCCTACGAGTCTGTGGCTCGGGTGTGCGACCAAGCATCTGGGGCGAGATCGTGACCAGCAAAACGCCGAATATGAAGTTCACGAAGAATGCAACCCGCCTGGACGGGATCGGATGGCCAAGAGAAGGTGCTGGAGGCTTTGAATGGCTTCCATCAAACCCTTCATCTGCACTCGGTCAGCGTTCCTGTCGCGCGGGAGAATAGCCGCTGACTTGGCGACGCCATTGCGAACTCTCACGGGCTCCTCCTTCAGCGTGCAGAAATATGGTGTTCGCGACGCGCCGGTCCAGGCCGAAAGGTGTGGTTCCACAGACTCCTTCGCCGCCGGCGAAGTGCTGGCAAGGCGACGTCGGCGAGTCTGTTTGGCAGCGGCACAGCCGACCCTCTATTATCCACCGTCGAATGAGAAAATGCGACGAGGAGGTTGCTTACAGAGTCAGCAGGTGCCCCAGTTTCACGTTGATCCATTTTCTCGTATATACCTAGCGATGCGGCTGAACCATTCGCCCCTTTCTCGCTGACAATAATCAAATGTTAAATGTCCACATTCCCATCGACGGGCCACAAGAACACCCCCAAGCTCCCACCTTCCCCAAACCCATCCCAAATCTCTCCACGTCCGGGCTCCAAACCCGTCTGGGCATATCAACCTCTCACGCGAACCCCACGAGTACTCGATAAAAATGAAACTCACCGTCGCGATCCCCGTCCTCCTCGGCGCCGGCACCACCCAAGTCTACGCGCAAAAGATCTACATTGACAAGGCGCCGGGCTACGCGGAGCTGCCGCCGTGTGCCAAGGTGCCAGTGAGCACCATCGTGCGGGACATGAAGCGGGGGTGCGGCGACGGCGGCCGGTACACGTCGTTCAGCTGCTTCTGCACGGCGAGCTCGAGCAAGTTCGCGTCCGTCATCGGCACAGATGTTGCTGCGAGGTGTGCGGCTAGCGGGATCGCCTCGCAGGGCTTGGTTGCCGCGCTGAGCGTTTTCGATAGCTATTGTCGGGTGCTGTCTACTGGTGATTAGCCCCCTTTGGTGTGGTGGTGTTGGCGAGGGTTGGTTGGTTCTTGTTGCTGACTGTTTTGCCTTGATGAAAGGGGCAACCACTACGGCCCCGGCCACTCTCGCTGCGCCCACTCTGGCTGCGGCCACCGCGACTCCCGCCATCTCGAGCTCGATTCCGACTGATACGGCGGTGGCTAACGGCACGATCTACAGCCCGGTCCGGGTGCCGACGGCGCCGGTCCCTTCTCCGACAGCAGCAGGGGCGAGGGTCGGTGCCGTCAAGATCTTGCCGTGGGCTTGCGGGGCAGCACTTGCGTTGGCGGTGCTGATGTGAAGCCCTCACGGCGTGTGGCATGTTTGATGAGGAGTTTATTGTACTGTATTTGCTTTGTCCGGTATGTGTGTTTTGTTGGCCAACTTATCTAGACTTGCTTTCTTTCTCTCAACTTTTATTGTCCCTAATTATAGCTTAGAATGTGAATCAAGTGTGATTTAAATTTTATACATAGGTATGCATGAAACTTGCTTCTCGCCCGACCACGCGCACCAGTCGTACACGAGCGCCAGGAAGACGGTTGACTTGATGAGAAAGATCGTTCGGTTGCTCATCACGCGCGCGGCTACACTGATAGCTACGAGGCCGCCCGCCCCCGCCCAGACGACGGGGTTGCTGGCCAGCACCGCGAAGCCGAAGTCGCCGAACGAGTTGGCATGGTTTGACATGGCCACGCCCTTCAGCTCGTCGCTCGCCTCGCCTCGAATACCTGCGAAGTAGGCAGTCTTGCCAGCCTCCTCGTCGTCTTCAAAGGTTATTTTAAACTCCTTTTTGAACACTTTGTGGAGTGAGCTGAGGAATTCTGTGTCGTGATCCTCATTTGACTTTAGGGGATTGAAGGGATTGAGAAAGGAGTCGCGGGCGTCCTTGATGAGAGGAATAGCCTTTCGAATCGCACAGATCCTTCTCCTCCTCAAAGACGCCCCAAAGGCCTCCCGGTGGTTGGTGGCTAGGAGATCCTCACCCACGTGGCGTGACCGGGAGAGCAGTTCCTTGAACAAGTTTGCCGGATCTTGGCGGGACAGCGCGGTTAGTTTATGTCTGAGACCTTAATAAACTATTCACTTTGGGGCTTGTGTACTGACCTCTTGGGAACCGGCCGCTGACAAGATAGCAGTCGAGAACTGGGTTGATGCCCCATGTCTTGCCGGCCTCCCGAACTCTTTCAGAAAGGCGCGTCAAGACCTCGGTTTTCTTCGCTTTGAGAACGTTTCGTGTATTTGTGACGATGATGTGTTTGGACGAAGGGCGATCGTTGGGCAAGATATCCCATTCGTACTGGATGTCGACGTCTGGGTGTGATTCGGCATAGGCACTCGTTGCCTTTGCTTTCTCTGCAGCCCGCAGCGTGTCGCATTTGGTGAGAACCAACATCACCTTGACTATTTCAAAGTCGAGACGGAGGAAAAGTTGGTAATCGGCCTCTTCGAGTCTTCGGTCAAGCGAAATGCAGTACCTGATTAGATAGCACAAGAGTGAGTTCATATTCTCACAGGAGAGGCGACCCTCGTTCTGTAACATACCACATACAGTGAACCTGTTCGGTTATGTTCTGCAATGCGCGGCGAGTCTTTAGAAAAGCTTGCACGATGTCGTACGTTGCCGTCTCGCCGGCCTCAAATCCCATTGAGTCGTGGAAGATGTTCTCCGAGGTCTTGTACTCCTTGTTGATATCGTGATCTACAGATCTCATCCCGTCGCTGACCGTGGCCTAAGTGTTTTTTCCAGTTAGACAGTCATGCAGCTTGTGACAACTAAAGCGGGCTCTGCCGCCTCACCTCTGATGACGCTGTGATTGTTTGATCAACCACGACTGCCAACCCCAGCTCTGCCGCATATCAGAATACGCGGGCGCTCGACATGGAGATCTGGTTGGTAAGGTCTGAATCCATGAATTGTCGCATTTGCGTCTCTCATTGCGAAGTCATCTATGTGGTGGTTCATACTCAGCAACTTGAGCATGGCTGACAACTGGAAGGAGGAAGACGCGTCCTGAGGGCTCCACGGAAATTTGGGGAGCTGTTGAGTTGGTACGGACGGATGTATGAATGTTGTTCGTAGAGCTAAAATTCTCGTCAGCTGTCGGTTAATGACGGTAGTTGCACTGCAGAGTTAGAGGCAGGAAATTGAACTACTCGTGTCCTTGGCTCTGTGCCCACATACGGTTTCTTGAGTATCCAATCAGCTTGTTCGACGCAAAGGTCTTTCTTTCAGTGGTAGTAAGAGCCCCGAGCTTGCTTTTTGACAGCCTCGGCTCTGGCTCGAAACCGGATTTTGAATGGCCACCTTGTCGTGTGGCTTGAAGCCCAAGACGAGGCCGAGGCTTTGGGCTTCGGAAAGGATCCATTGCAGAGGCCACAGGGAAAGACCGTCCTCCTTGTTGGACCCCCCTCCCCCCCCATGATTCCGTGATCACCGAGAAACCAGCCTTCCTGGCAGCTTCGACCAGGGCTCAGCTCACTTTTCAAGGGGAGAACGGAGAGGAGCAAAGGCGTCCCGCATCTCCAGCAAAGCCAGGGCCTGGCATAAATGAGAAAAAATTACCGGACATCTCTACATTGTAGAGATCAAGGTCATTCACTGCCTTGACGGCGTCGAACAGTCCCATAAACTTGACCGAAGGCGACGGCAGAGTGTTTTGGGTTCTAGTTCCAGACAACCATCAGTCAGCATATGATACACTGGACGATAAAGCAAGTGGTTTGAACGAGCGAAAGTGACACACAAGTGGCGGTAGATCTGTGAACGTATTAGCAGGGGACTCATTAGTAAATGCAGGCGATGACGAACCTCGTGCTTTCTAGCTTCGTCATCGGCAGCAATGCTCTTGTACACCCGAAGTCCTTCCATGAACTTGGTGGCGAAATCGGGGAGCAGAGGATCGAGGGTGCCTGTGTAATGAAACAGACCCACAACTGCGCTCGCGATGACTGTGTTGCAATTAGCGGCAGGTTTGAGCTGTGCGAAGCAGTGAACAAAAGAACGCCCTAGAAATGGCTCAGTGGACTTACAACTTGCGCGATGAGAACTTGGTATCCGGTCGGACCACCGCCAAAGGCACCCGAGAGCAGCTTCTCAATGCCAGTATCCTCGGCGCCAATGCCCTTCCAGTACTGCTTCACCTATATCGTCGGTTAGCATGTAATTAGACAAGGAAAACAAGCTCGGACCCGAGACTTACCTGCAGCCATTCCTTGCCGTCCTCGGACTCGCTGGCGGGGGTCAATCCTTCTTTGAACACTCGGAAGATATTACTGGCATTTCCATGCATCGATCCTGAAGCAGTCAGCCGAATAATTCACACCGGAAACAAGACAACAGTTAATTACCAGCAGTGCCGTCTGGCAACATGCAGGTTCCATCGATGCAGCAGACGATGCGACGGGGAGGATGGAATTTGTTGCAGTCCGGGCACGAATCCCTCGCCCGCGGGGTACTACGACTGTAGAGGGACAAGGTACGTATGGCGTGCGTAACATCCTCGAGGCTAGGACTGGAAATGCTGGAGACGAACTCGTCAATATCCATGTTAACTGACCGAAACGCGGTCATGAAACCGTCGCTTTCTTGGGTAAATGCGGGTCTCGAAACACAGCCAGGGGCAAGATTAAACGTAAGGGAGGAGATTGAGGAGGAAAAGCGTCGAGGTCTGCGAAGAGTGGAACAGACGGATGAAGGGCACCGGAACTGAAAGCTGCATGCAGCACACCAACCTGATAAGACGAGCCTATCGACGGGCGAAAAACGGCCACACACCGTGGTCTGATCCAATAAACGACAGATTCTAATCAATAGGGGGTACAGCGTCGGCTGAAATCACAGAAAGCTCTGGGTCCAGACCGCGTCCAAGACCAGGAACAGGGGATATTCGCCACCGCCGACAGAGCCTTGTCCGAGCTACTTGCCCTCCATAATCGCCGCATTCACCTCTGCCATGTGGCTTAGAAAAACATTCCCATCGACATCTCATATGTACAGGCATAAAACCGGCGTACCTCCCTGGGGGTTCTTGGCAGCTGTTAACGCGTATTTCCTAGCAGCCCCCCAACAGCCTACCGACTCAACGGATTACTCAGGCAACTAGGCGCCAGCCATAACTTTTGGCTAATTTGCGTATCAATTAGGGCCTCAGGTTTGCTATTTGTAGGTTGCCCTTATTTCAAGGCCGACTCGGTAACGAAGAAATCGTCAGAGTGGAATTTGCGACGGTAAATGCGTTTTTAGGGCTTTTGACGGTTTTAGCGGCTTCAAGCCTTATTGACCCGGGCGGCCGGGCTGGCACATGGGAAGCGCATAGGCACTATTAGGCAGGAAGGTGGTCTTTCATGATTTTACCGACTGAAAATAAGCTCTAGGTATCTCAATTGCCAGCAGCTAGCAAGGACCCCCGAGGGGGTACGCCGATTTTTGGATGGGGTAACCAGATCAAAGCTCTAAATCTAACTATGGAAGTCTCTCCTTAAGGCAGGTCTTATTGAAGCAGACGAAATTATACATATATATAAAGGAGTATATCTCTTAGTTCTACACGCAAATCTAGTTTACAGAACCTCTTGGTCAAACTTTACGAATTCGTTACTCGCTGCAGTATAATGCATGAGGTGCTGGACCCCGTGTCCATTATCAGCCGGAAGCTGACGATCGAGACCGACCCACAGGAGAACTAGGTATTCCATGCAATAGCGGCTCACGGACTAGAAAATGGAGCGCTGAATGCCCCTTCCAACAGTCTCAACTCCCGTGTCGTGATATTTACCGACACTGCGCGCAAAAAAAACAAGTGAAATCAATTATTAGCTCTCGCAGTCGGACTACGACCTGAGCGATAGCTTGCACCTGTCTATCCACCCCCCTCCTCGGAATTAACGGCGTTGAGTTCTGTTGGAATAGCGATACTGGTGACCGCACACTAGCAGGGAGGAAGCAGAGATCGCGCGAGTACGCACGTGCAAGTAGGCACGTGCGGCGCGCGGACCTCTCACACACACACACAAAAACCCCGGTCGCAAGCAGAACCTATCTTAGTTCCAGAGAGAGAGAGGATGAATCAGAACAACTTTACACCCCCCCCGGTAGTACTACCACTTTTTGACCCGTTGGAACACCTACGTGGTTGGAATACCACGAACAAGTTCCCATGGTGCACGGTGCATGGCGCCGATGCGGTGTTGTTTGGACAGATTGATGCCACGGAGTGCAACGGCAAGGACCTGTCTTTTGCGAGGACAGTTTCACGCTCTGGGTCAAGGTCAGGACTCCTCTCTCCTAAGAACGAGGCGGCATGGGAAGTTACGAATATTTATTTGCTTATTTGCACTTGTTAGCTATTTATTTGCATGTTTGCACTTGTTAGTCAAGATAGCCTAGACAAATGCAGATCAAGCAAACCAGGTTCGTATCGAAAGCGTATCGCTGTCTTGGATAATTGATGTGCGCCGCTTTGATCCCCTTTTTGGCACATGGCGCGCGCTCATCCGAATCGGGTAATGGGCGCGCGCGGAATTCGCAGCCCGAGCCCCTGACCACATCTCGGATCCGTCGCCCACTTCCACCCTCGGACATGACGGTGTGCCGACTGGCTGTGATCAAGCCTGCCCAACACTGGAAACACCGCGCGGAAATCCGGTAACGTGCACGCCCCTTGGGGCCACGATCTCGGCATAGTCGGACACCGAGCAACGGCGTGCCCGTGCTTCCGAGGAGACGTATAAGTAGGGGACAGGCACCCAAGAAAGGGCGGTTGGTGAAACCCCAAGAGACACACTCCGAACATCAACAACAAGACTCTCATCACAAATAGACTGTCATCACAATTAGACTGTCATCACAAATAGATACCGCTTAAAGTCCCCCCCAACAAAAATAAACATGACGACCATTGCCATTGCAGGTGCCACAGGTGGTGTGGGCAAGACCATTGCCGAGCTTCTCTCCAAGAACCCGTTGTACAGGCCAATCATCCTGTCGCGCTCCAAGGTATTCTCACACACTTGCCCCTGCACCCCTCTGGCGGTCTAATTACTTACAGACCTACCGCAGCCCGCCGAGTCGCTGCATGCCAAGGTGCCTGTCATCGCCGTCGACTACAACGACGTCGAGGGCTCGGCCAAGCTTCTCGAGTCGCACGCCGTGCACACGGTCATCTCGACCATCCGCGTCAGCAGCCCCGAAGTGGCCCTCTCCGAGGTCAACCTGGCCAAGGCGTCGGCCAAGTCGCCGGTCACCAAGCGCTTCATCGCGAGCGACTTTGGCAGCATGCTGCCCGAGCCGTGCGTTTTCCCCGTCTTCTCATGGTCGATCCACAACCCTGACTCACCCATCACAGACAATACCGGCTGCCGTTCATCCAGGCGCGAGTCGAGGCATTCGAGGCGCTGCGCGAGCTGGCGCCGGCGCTCGAGTTCACGACGGTGCGGTGCGGGCTGATCGCCGACTTTCTCGGCACGCCCAACGTCCAGTCGCACATGCGCCCGCCGCCCGTCATCTTGTGGTTCGACCGCGAGAAGCAGGCGGCCGAGATCCCCGGGACCGGCGACGACGTCATCGCGTACGCGTACAGCTACGACATTGCGCGCTTCGTCGAGGCCGCGCTGGGCCTGCCGCGCTGGGAGGACGAGTCGACGCTCTTCTCGGGCAAGACGACGTTCAACGAGATTTTGGGCTTGTTTGAGAAGGCCACGGGTGCGTGCTTCCCACCGAAACAGGCGACAGACCAGATACGCTGACTTTACATAGGGTCGAAATGGGCCGTGACGTACTTTGACCCCCTAACCAAGTTGGCCAAGACGGACAAGAAGTTCTACCCACCCGACTACTTCTCGCTCTACCTGGTGCAGGGCCTGATGGACGTGGCCGAGGACAAGAGTTGGAACAAGCAGTTTCCCGACCTCAAGACGACGAGCGTGGAGGAGATTGTCGGGGCCTGGAAGGGCAAGTGACGGGTCCACCTCAGGGGTCGTGTCTGAGAACAAAAAGGGACACGAGACAAGGGAGCTGGCTCTACAGATTGATTTAGAGATGAATATCAAATACAACGCTGCTTACATATATCCCATTGTGGGAAACCCAAACAGTCTAATCCGTATTTTCATTTACTTCTTATTCTCGGCTTAGGATCAGGGCCTAGTCTCTTTATTCGCATCTATCCCCACATCCTCGACCCCAGCACACTTCTCAACAACACCAAAACCCTCAAACAAGCAACGCCGGCGTCCCTAGAACCCCTAAACAGTCCGCCAGATCCCACCCCCCATCCCCATCTCCATCCCCATCTCCATCCCCATCCCCATCCCCATCATCCCCAACCCGCTCCCAAACAGCATCCAAAACCCTCCCCACGCCACGCAACCCACTATACGTATGCAGATCCCCGGCACCCGCGATAACCGCACGAAACGCCGCGCGCTCGCCGCCCGCCTCGCGCGCACAGCAGCCAGCGACGCAGATGGGCCACGCGAGCGTGCGCAGCTGCGCCGCGCACCAGAACCGCGGCGGCGGGTGCAGCGCCGACGCCACGTCGACGCTGTTGATCGTGGCGTTGATGTCGGACGTGCCGCGGGCGGCGAGCAGGAGGAGCGAGAGGACGCGGTGGACGCTGGTGTGAATTTGTTCGTTGTCGTTGCTGTTGCTGTTGCTGTTGCTGTTGCTGTTGCTGTTGCTGTTGCTGTTGTTGTTGTTGTTGCTGTTCTTGTTGTTGTTGCTGTTCTTGTTGTTGTTGCTGTTCTTGTTGTTGTTGTTGTTATTGCTGTTGTTGTTTTTGCTGCTGTTGTTGTTGTTGCTGCTGTTGTTGTTGTTATTGCTGTTGTTGTTGTTGTTGCTGTTGTTGTTGTTGTTGTTGTTGTTAGGATAGGGTGAGGAGGTTGTGGTGGCTAGGTAGATACGTGTGGCGTGGGCCCAGACGCGCGCGGGTGTCGTCGAGGGCATCGGCGACGGACTTGTTGCTGGCGGCGGTGTAGTGGTAGGAACAGCCGCGTGGGCCGGGAGGTCCGGGCAGAAGGGCATTAGGCGGCGGATGTGGCGCGCGTGGAGTTCCGAGGGCGGCGGGGGCTGGGCAGCGTCGGCGGCGTCGAGGCGCGCCAGCCCGGCGTCGATCATGTCGGCGATGGGCGCTGCGCGCGTGGCGAGGTCCTGCGCTGATAGCCTGCCGGCGCGCTTCTCTGCTGCGAGTACCGCGGTTGCGCTGATGGCTTGCAGCGCCCAGTTTGGGCAGCCAACGAAGGCGGAGAGGTCCAGCCGGGGAGATTGGGATTCTGTGGTGGTGGTGGTGGCGGCGGAGGTGTCGGGAGACAGGATCAGCGGGTGCAGGCCGTGTAGCCGCGGCGGCTGGCGCAGGGCGGTGCTGGCGATGGTGTCGGTGAAGAGCAGGACGGCGGTGAAGAAGCGGAAGGCTTCCCGGTCTGGGGTCGGGTAACCGGCGGGGGCCATCTCGTGCAGCAGCCGCGAGAAGGCGTCGCTGTCGGCGCAGCCGTGCTGGGCAAAGATGTCGGCGAGCAGTGTCGCCGCCGGGTTGAGGTGCAGCTCCCACTGCTGCGAGGCGCCGACGAACATGTCGAAGATGAGCAGCTGCATGATGCTCTCCATGACGCGGGCCTGCTCGACGAGCGTGACGTCGGCGCCGCGGCGGGCGAGGCCCTGCAGGTCGCGCTGGATGGCGGCGAAGCACTTGTCCGACTCGCGCGCCACCTGGCCCCAGGCCGTGAACTTGCAGCCGGCGTAGGCGTCGCCGGGGAACACGTCGTTGAGCGCGACGGTGAAGAAGTAGGAGCTAAAGGCCAGCACCGAGTGGAACACGGCCTCGTTCTGCCGCAGAAACGCCAGCAGCCACGCCGGCGCCTTGCTGTGCGCCGTCCCCGGCGCCCGGTAGAAGGGGAATAGGTACGGAAAGTCGTTCTCCAGGTACATGTAGATGCAGTCGGCCTCGAGGTCCGCGCTGGTGTCGTTGAGGTATTGGTATTTCTCGAGCCGGTCAAGTGTGCTGATTGGCTGCGGAGCTGGCTCGGACGCGGACGCAGATGCAGACGCAGACGCAGATGCAGACGCAGACGCAGACGCAGACGTAGACGCAGACGCAGACGCAGACGCAGACGCAGACGCAGACGCAGACGCAGACGTAGACGCGAGCACGGCGGATTCCTCGAGTGCACAAGGTGACAGCAAAGCTACCCCTGAATCCAACGGGACTGAAAGCGTAGCCAAGTCCGGAGACGGCCCGGCAACCTCAGCTGGAGGCCCGGCAACCTCAGCTGGAGGCCTGGCTGGCTCGTTCCGGAGGCTGTAGTCGCGCTGCGACGTGACGATGAAGGCGCGGCTCGGATCTCGGCTCTCGTCGAGCTGCCGCCGTGCGCGCCGGCCGGCTGCACCCTGCTTGACCTGGGCCTTGATTTCCCGGGCCATGACGCGCTGCATGGTGGCGCCGTCCATCCAGTCGGGCTTGGCGGTGCCGGCGTGGCAGGCGATGTCGAGGTCGTCGCAACTGCCGCAGACGGGCCGGACGCCGTCGCATCTCTTGCGTCTTAACCGGCACGTCCAGCAGCTGAGAGCGTCGCCCTGCCTTGGTCTTGGCATTGGAGATTCCACGTATCCAACCTGTGAAGCGGCGTTGGAGTCTTGCTCTTGCCTGCCTGCCCCTGCACACGGCTATCGCGGACGCGACCAGGCCGCGGTATTTGCATCCTTGCTCGGACCTCGGGACTCGAACAACAGCGCGTATGCTTACTAATAGATACGCTCCCGGAGAATGTCACGGAAATAGCGAAGAGTGGCCGACGAATCCCTTTATTGGGTGCTGATTATTGAGACTGAGACTAATATTGCTAAGCTGTTGGTTGTCATTAGCAATGAACCCGTCTCTTCAACGCGACGTTGCGGGGGCTTCTTTGCTGACGTCTTGTCGTCTCATTGGGTTGTTTTTGCGAGTAAACAAGGAGCCAAGGCAAAAGATGTATTTGACCCTAGTCCAACGAGATAGGTAGGCGTGCAGTCTATTCGCCACACTAGACTGGCCTAAAAGATGAGCTTGAAACTAAGCTGGGTGCTGTTCGTAATTCCGTGAACATGACAGCGATGTGTCTGGACATCCTTGGCTGCGTGGCTGCGTGGCTGCGTGGCTGCGTGGCTGCGTGGCGGCGTGGCTGCGTGACGGCGTGGCTGCGTGGCGGCGTGGCGGCGTTGAGCTTTCGTCTGCCGGGTTGTCCAAAGTGGGTTTCGAGTTTCAGGAGAACTCTTCTTCGCAGCCGTTGCAGGTTGCAGAGAAGAGCAGCCAACCAACCCAATGCTGCTGGTGGAAATCGACCGAAGGTGCGTCTCTTCGGCTTGATTGGACATGCGACATACACGGTATGAGAGTCGGTGCTGCGGCCTTAAAAAATGCCCACCAGTTATCCGCCGCCATGCATGCATGCATGCGTGACGCATAATGCTGAGGGCCTCACTGCGGGAGGATAGCGGTAGGCCTCATCGCAACACTGTTGTGCGGCCAAGGCTCCGGAGGCTCACGCTGGCTCACGGCCCATAAATTAATATGTTCTTGTCTTCGACAAGACCGGAACCTTTCATATCGCAACCCACTTGAAAGCGCAATCAGAGAGCTGTCTCGGCTTGCGCACTTGATTTACCCTAAAATTCCCACTAGAGTTGTGCACCCATCGTTTGACTCAACCAGCAATCCAAAAACAAGACATCCACACTGCAACATGGGCCAGAAGTACTATGCAGTGGCAGTGGGCAGGAAAGTCGGTGTTTTTGACACATGGGAGTAGGTCGCCCTGTCCAGTCTCAGTCTATAAGCCGTGCCAGTGTTCGGTCAACTCATGACCTGCCCTCGACAGAGAGACTCGCGCCCTAGTCACCGGCTTCAAGGACAACCTCCACAAGTCGTTTTCCACAAGGGAAGCTGCCGAGACCTTTGTGTGCGAGAACGCGAAGCCGGCAGACGATGCCAGCTCTGGTGCCCCTGTCCGGTCCGATGACGACTCCGACACCGAGCCGGACTCGGACTATTGCCCCGAGCTAGAACCCGAGCCCGCGCCCAAGCCAAAGCAGCAGCCGCCCACCAACGTCAGCCGTGCTCCCAAGAACACCCGCCTTCCCCTGACGGAAGCCAAGAGGGCTCCTATGGCGACGGTGTCCGAGGAGAAGGGCAACAAACTCGACAGGACACGAGTGCCGACTGCGCTGGGAGATGGCGTCAAGGAGCTGGCCCGGCGCGGCCGCTCTAGCAACAACAGCAAGAGGGGAAAGAACATGGCTGACGGTGGCACCAAGAACAGAGCTCGGCAGGGCCGCAGCCACTGGCACAGAGACACCAGTGACGAGTCCGACTATGTTCTAGCGCAGGCCTCCAAGATGTTTGACTTGAGCATCCGCGTCTCTGGTGTGTAGAGTGGGCGGCATTGACTAGCTTCGGATAAGAGAAGGGCTATCGGCTTTCTGTCCTGTTTGTCCTAATTAATTGCCTCAATAATTAGCATGATTACTTTACCGGCACGTGAAGTTTGTTATATCACCAAGCCCCGTAGGCAGTGACGCCTTGCCTTCGTCTTTTCGTTTTCAAAGAAACAGAAATTCAATAACTATCCCCAAATAAAAGCGAAGGATGGAAATGAAAAGGGTGTAATTATGCGCGGTAAAGCAAGCTCCAACCTCCTTGCCAGTCTATACCAGGTCCAACAACAATCCAATTACCATGCCGCTAATTATGAACAATATCCGCCACAAACTCCCACGTCAAACCTCCGTCTCGGCTACCCCTTCTTTGTCCGCCTGACGCGCGGCCCGGCGGAAGGCGATGACGTCGCGGATCCCGCCGACAGCAATGCAGGAGCAGATGAACCTAAACCGCCACAACAAAGTCAGTTAGAATCCTTTTCTCAACATAACAGAGAGAGAAACCAGAACAAAAAGAAAAAGAAAAAGAAAAAGAAAAAGAAAAAGAAAAAGAAAAAGAAAAAGAAAAAGAAAAAGAAAAAGAAAAAGAAAAAGAAAAAGAAAAAGAAAAAGAAAAAGAAAAAGAAAAAGAAAAAGAAAAGAAAAGAAAAGAAAAGAAAAGAAAAGAAAAGAAAAGAAAAGAAAAGAAAAGAAAAGAAAAGAAAAAGAAACAAAAACTTACACCTGCACAACCATAGACGCCAAAATCCCCCCCGCCAATCCCGCAGCAGCGCCATCACCCTCCCTCAACGCCGGCAGCAGCCCATTCGCAACACAGAACCCGGCCGCGACACAGAATCCGGCCGCGAGCAAAGCGTCGTAGACGCCCCTGCCCAGCCGGTGGTGGCGCTGGCCGCAACGTAGCACCAGGACCACGTCGGCGGCGTGCCAGAACAGCACGGCGATGGCCGGCGACAGGCCGAAGTCGGTCCAGTGGCGGCGGTGCAGCGCGCCGGCTGCGACGGCTACGAGCGTGATTTGGACGACGGCGAGGATCGTGCCGCCGATGCGCGATGCGAGGTACGTGGTGCGGTGCGCCGCGGAAGGGGGGAAGGTTTGGGCGGGAGCTTCTGCTCGTTTCTTTGTGCCGCAGCAGTTTGTGCTGGCCGGTGCGGTCGGAGCAGTGGTGGAGAGCGTGGAGGAGGAGCTCGTGCTCGCCGTGCTGACTTTGGTGATGGTGGGTGTCGAAGGCATGTTTGGAGTGCGTGCTGTGGTTGTGGTTGGATGGAGAGGCTGTGAGCAATTCTCTGTGTTTGCAGCTCTGGAAACTCGGAAAAAGATGAGTAACTATGGCCAAGCAGTTCACATCGGACAAAGACGAGGCTTTAATATTCTCTCCCCCCTCGTTCGCACCCAACCTAATGCTCTGCCTCAGCCACCAACGCAACGCCCAGCGAGCTGTCGGGGACGTGGGCTATTGGCCCCGAAAGCCCACCAATCACGCAGAAGCGTATCCGTATCCGCAGCACCACCATTGGTCCCGAAAGCCCGCCAACCACGCAGAAGCGGATCCGTTAGGTATTCGTAGCGCAGCCATTGGTTCCCGAAAGCCAACGCGAATGCGATTGGCAGACAAGCCAGACTCCTGCGCCCAGACCGAGCCACAAAACGGTAGCCATGCCCCCCTCCCCCGCAGCACAGCCACACCCTTCAACACGTTGCTTGAGGAATCTGCCTCCAATCGCGGTTTGCGGGTCCGCGTCGGTGAAGAAACGGCTGATGCTTGTCTTGGCTCTACTGGCTGTCCGACGACGTCACCTAAACATAATCGGTGGCTGCGCATGCCGACGGCTGGCCGGCACCAGCAACAGCAGCGGCCATATTTTCGCCGACATCTCTGTCGACTACCTGTATGGACCGAGCCGATGAAGGGTGGGCATTTGAGCTTGTGCGGCCCTGGAATTTTGTTGTGGGTTGGGTAAGACAACGGCCTTTTAGGACAATGGCTAGTTATCTACCTACCTACTCATCGGGTAATAGAGCGGCACTTGAGACGGTTGGAACTGGAATTTGACGGGCGCACCCGCTAAACGTATTTCCGCCAAGATCTGCACAGGTGCCAGAGACTCGGGACGCTGAGCGGCGGCCCCTGACATGCCGCCATTTTTACACATGTCGCATCGTCCACCACTTTACACTGTCACATCGTCCACCACTTTACACTGTCGCATCGTCCACCACTTTACACTGCCGCATCGTCCACCACTTTACACTGTCGCATCGTCCACCATTTTACACTGTCGCATCGTCCACCACTTTACACATGCCGCATCGTCCACCACTTTACACATTTACCCGAGATTGGCCTCTGGAGCTACCGCCGTGCCACTAGGTTACCCAGATGGAATGCTTTAACAGTGTGGACACGGCTAGGAACACAGAGACAGCTACGTCCGTCAACATGGCCTGGTGCACATGGTTGACCGCCTTCTCGGCCTCTCGGCCCGCACACCACCCAGCCCAAGGACCCGTCATCTTAAGCGCCCCAGAAACGCACCGCGGCTCGGCTTTCTAGGTTTAATCTTCACAAATGGCAATGGGCCTGCGGTGCAACCCAAGTCTCGTATTGATTCTTGATTAAAGTCGGCCGTCCCCGCTGTTGGGGAGTTTCTGCTGTTGAAATGGTCCCCGGACCTCCTTCCCCTGTTTCCACTTCAACGAGGCAGCCATCGTCGACCGAGCTCACAAAATGTCCGCCCTGACCCGGATAACATGCCGCCTTGCAGCCCTGCTGGCCGTCGTTGGTAGCGGACTGGGGACCCCCTCATCTCCAGACTTGGCCAGCATCGGCCCGGCCTTGACGGCGGCCGCAGAAGCTGGCGACGTCGCGGCCACCTTTGTGTCCGAACTCGTCCAAAATGTCGCGGAAGCGACTGGGCATCCGGGTGCGCCGTCAAAGCGTGCCTTGACCTGTTCACCGCCCGACTCGCTCGTGGTCGACGTCGGATACGCAAAGTACCAGGGCTCCTATAATGCGTCCACAGGCTTGAACTCGTGGAGAGGGTACTGCCGCCCCCGTTTCCACCGTGATCACGCACTCCTTGCTGACAAACTCGTTGGCACGACTCAGCGTTCGCTTTGCCGACGCCCCAGTCGGGGGTCTGAGATGGCAGCCTCCCCGTTTCCCTGCCGTGCAGGAAGATCCCCCTCTCGTCCAGGCCACGAGCTTTGGGCCCGTGTGCCCCCAATCTCTGCCGTCGGTGCCCAGTGCCGCCTTCATGCCCGGAAACGAAGACTGCCTCTTTCTGAACGTCTACGCACCGGCTAATGCCCAGGACCTGCCCGTCATGGTATGGATCCACGGCGGCGGCTACGGCCTTGGCGACGGCACGCAGGCCATGGCCGAATTTATCAACGCCAACAACAAGCGCTTCGTTGTCGTGTCTATCCAGTATCGGGTGAGTATTGGATGCCGACTCCTTTGGGCTCCAAGCATCGGACAGCTGACACACTTCAGCTCGGCGCCTTTGGCTTCCTCGCCTCAAAGGAGGTCAAGGACAAGGGTGCGGTCAACGCCGGCATCCTCGACCAAGCGCTGGCTCTTTCCTGGGTCAAGCTCTTCGCCTGCCAGTTTGGCGGCGATGCGTCGTCGGTGACCATCGCGGGCGAGTCTGCCGGCGCCGGCTCGGTCATGTACCACGGGCTCGCCGTCGGTGGGGCGCTGGGCTCTGTGCTCTTCGACAAGTCGATCGCCGCGTCGCCGTACCTGCCATTCCAGCACCAGCACGACGACGCCTCGCCGACAAGCAGGTACTACGCGCTGTCTGTGGCGGCCGGGTGCCCGGCCAGTGGCGATGTCTTTGCCTGTCTCGTCGGCAGCGACACGGCTGTGCTGCAGCAGGCCAACTTCAACGTCACGCAGCAGGCGCCGTACGGCTACTGGTGGGTTCCCTCCCAGCGTCCCCGAATTTCGGCGGCGGACGTCCCACAGGCTGACTCGCATCTCCAGGGCCTTCTACCCCGTCACCGACAACGTCTACATCACGGGCCGCCCGACTGAGCAGCTGGCCGCCAAGCGAGTAAATGGGGACAAGCTACTCGTCAGCAACAACGCCAACGAGGGCCCCATGTTTGTTCCGCAGACGATCGCGACACAGGACGACCTCGTTGCGTGGCTCCGCCTCGAGTTCCCCAACATGTCTGAGGGGCAGATCAGCCTGATCCTCGCCGCGAACCCGAACAGCGCGGCCACGGATCCGTCGGGCCCGCGGTTCGAGACCGACGGGCTCGACACGGCGGGCGCAAACGCCGTCAACGTCTCGCAGGCCGCCAACGGGCAGCAGCAGCGCGCCAACAACATCTACGGCGAGGCGACCTTCGTGTGCCCCGCGTACTGGATGGCGTCGGCGTACACGACAGCGACACAATCTGCCTGGCTGTACCAGTACTCGGTGCCGCTGGCTACGCACGGGGCCGACGTGGCCGGGTACTTTGGGCCGCAGAACGCCAACCTGGCGCCGGGGTTCCAGCTGGCGTTCCGGACCATCTGGGGCAATTTCGTCGTCGGCGGCAACCCGGCCATCAGCGACGTCGTGGCCAACGGCGGCGCGTCGGCGGCGAACCCCGCCGCGGCCAACGGCGCGTCCGCGTGGCCTGCGTGGAGCGATGCGAATCCAAAGCTGCTAAACATCAACGAGACGGGCGGCACGCCGTACACATTCAAAACGACGTGGGGCGCCAACGTCACCCAGTTCGCCAACCCGGGCCTGCGCAACGCCTTCGCCCTCGCCCCGGCCGACACGTGGGAGGGCGGCCGCGGAGCAAGGTGTGCCGTCTACCAGGCCTTAGCGCCGAGCATTCCAGCATGACGAGGTCTAGGTCGTTCTTGATGTGTCTGTCGAGAGTAACATTGGAAAATCACCTGATATACGGAGCAAATGATGCAAAGATATTCAGAAGGCAATGGAAACGGTGAAAGGGGTTAATCAAAACAGGTATAATTTATACAATAGATATCAAAAGGGTTACCAATTGTTCCCCTGGGTCGTTATCGTGCTGGCCCTGATGGCGACATTGCGCCCCTGGATTCCGCGACAAGACGACCCAGATTGGCGGTGTCGCTTCCCCTCAGATCCTCACGGCGGCACCACAGATGCGCGAATCAGCGGTCGAGATAGGGTTCTGACGGCATCTCCTGGGGCCCCCTCCTAGTCCTGTACCGATGCAAGGCACCTCGCGCTGGCCTCCGTCTTCGGCAACGCGCCAAGCGCCATGTCGTGATAATAGCACTTCCACTCAATTTTGGTGTTTGCCAGACACGCCCAACATTAGACAAGCCTCAGCTACACCGCTCGCTCGAGTAGTCCAAGGGCGCGTTTTGACCGGCTAGCGTCGTACTGTGTAACGCAGACTGCAGCGCGAATTAGCAAGCACGCGATTTGTAATGGACATTTAATAATCGTCGCACTCGTCAGCGGGAGGACCATAGTCCCAATGCGCTTAGTCCGCATTGAGACGCGGCAGTCATGCCTTGGCCATCCTAACCCCGCGGGGCTTACACAAGTTGAGTAATCAGACCTACTAAACACAAGCGCATCCGACGATGGACGGCACGGGCACGGGCAGAGGCAGAGGCATAGGCGTATATAAGCCGGGCTTGTTCGTCGACTCGATCGCCGTTCCAAGTTTCACCCCAGCAGCAGCAGAATATCCACCCAGACACGATTAGCTTCCCTCTTCATTCAATTACCCAACACCCCTCAACCTCCCTCAACCGCACACAGCCCACAATGGCGCCCCTCACGCTCTCCCAAGTGGTCCTCCCGACATTCACGCGTGGTCTCACGACGCTGTCGCACATCCTCGCCGTGGCCGCGACACACGCCAAGTCGGCCGGCCTCGATGCCGACGCCGAGTACCCGTCGGCGCAGCTCATCGCCGACATGAAGCCGCTGACCTTCCAGGTGCAGACCGCCACCACCACGGTGCGCAAGGCGCTGGCCCGCCTGCTCGGCGCCGAGGACACGGCGCCCGCGTGGGCCGACAACGAGAAGACCATCGCCGACCTGCAGGCGCGCATCGCCTCGGCGCAGGCGCTGCTGGCGGCCGCCGACGCGGCGACCATCGATGCGCGGGCCGAGGAGATTGTGGAAGTGTGAGTTTTTTTCTCCATCTCTGTCTCTCTTCCTGTTTCGTGCATTCGCCGCTGACTAGCAGAGGAAAAACAGCCCGTTCTGGGGCAGCGTGTACAAGCTCGCGGGCCAGGACGCCGCGCTGAAGCAGGCCATCCCCAACTTCTTCTTCCACGTGCAGACCGCCTTCGCCATCCTGCGCGCCAAGGGCGTGCCCATCGGCAAGCGCAACTACCTTAGCAGCTTCCTCGAGGTGCCGATTTGAGCCGGCTTGCGGCCTCTCCCCGGAAGGGTTGTCCGCGCTGAGAGGATTCAAAAGGAAATGTCTTTAGAAAATATAGAAGAAATTTTGGGTTCTAATAACTGTGCGCGGTGCCTCTTGCTGCGTGATTCCCGATGAGCGGTTTTGCCAAAGAAGCAAGGGAACAAGTGCTGCTTAATTCTGAGCTTTGATCAGGGCATCCTACTTTGCATTCCTGGCACCTGTTGGCAGTTTTTGTCACGGTCGGCTTGGAATGAGGGCGGAACTCCTCTATTGGGCGCTATCGACGAAGATTCTAAACTAAAGGGAAAAGGGAAAAGAAGCTTAAAAGCCTCCCCTCGCGAGATTCTTCCAGGGCGTCTCAAGGTGGGGCTTTGGCCGAGCTTCCATTAGTCAGTTGGGTGGATCCCTCTGGCTGGTCGGGTGGATCCACCCAACTGGCGTCTGATTAGGCAGAGCGTCTGGGAGGCCTGGAGGACCAGGCCCTCACAGTTTTGATGCTGAGGGCCTAAGTTTTGATGCCGAGGGCCTAATTTAGGCCGCTGAGATCCTGAATTACCATCTCGCCGCCCATGCGCGTATTATGCAGCCCGGGCGCCCGGGTCAACAACGCTGAAGCTGCTAAAATCGTTAAAAGCCCCGAATCTAAGGTGTTTTCCATTTTGGCGATTTCCTCGCTACCAGTTAGGCCTTTGAGAACCCCTGAGGCCTAGGCTTCTACGCAGATTGGCCAAAAGTCGTGGAATTTGGCTAGTGGCTTGTGAAGTCTATGATTGAAACGATTTGTTAACATGGTGATGCATTTCCGTAGTGTTGAGGCTGCCAACCTGGCTTCTAGACCTTAGAACGCCAACTGCACGTACCAGGGCCTGCATTTAAACATGTAAATACGGATTAGTGTCATCTTGACTTCACCGGGCTTCCTTATTAGTGCTCAGTAGGCCGTTGGGTGGCTGCCATGCAATACGGCATTTTACCATACAAAAAGCGGCCCCTGCGTTGGCACGTGTCAAAGACCCCCCCAGTAGGGTGCCCTGGTTTTTTGATGGGGTGCCCTGATCAAAGCTCTTAATTATTGCCCATTTGGCGGCTAATTGCTTCAGATTGATGCCAAGAAGACTCGCAGATAAATCACAAAAGGCGGTGCCCAGTAGCTGCAAAAATAGCAACGGCCGAGTCCAAGATTCACAGTTACCTAGCCAACTAAGAGAGATACCCAAGTAAAAACACCTGCACCAATATCGTCCAATATCGTCAAATCATCAGTCGTGAGCCATAAAACACAAAGAAGCCGTTGAAACCCCCTGGCCAAGCCTTTGACCCAAACACCCACGTGCTTTTCCACCTCACACAATACTCTACCCCAAACCAAACAGCAGCCGCTGACTAGGTAGGTAGTCACGCCATGCTGCCGATAAAGTGCTCGGCGGACCTGCTCTTCCAGCGCGTGGCGGGCACGCACATGGCCATAATCAGCAGCGTGACCAGAACCGTGGTGGTCCAGTACTGCGACGAGAACTCGTCGGGGACGGTGAAGATGGCCTGCCCATGCCAAGACGGCGGATATTAATCAGTCAATCATCACAACAAACGGGCAGGTGGGGTTGGTGAGGTGAGTCAGCGCTGCTGTGCCTATGCTGATAGTGAGGATGGCAAGGGTGAGAATGACAAGGGTGAGAATGCCAGAGGTGAGAATGGCAAGGGTGAGAATGTCAAGGGTGAAAATGTGAGCATAGCTCGGGGTTGAGTGATTGTTTGCTCTTTCCTCCCCGCTTCCGAAGAGGGAGAATGTCTCCGTTCCTCACTTATTCGTTTAAAAAAAAGGGGAGAGTTAAAAAAAGGGAGAAACAGAAAAAAACTCACAGCAATGCACGCAGCTGGCAGGAACACGAGCCCCAGCACGGCGAGATACTTCATGGCGGTGCCCTCCATCCACGACGCGACGGCGATGGATTTCGAGTTGTTGGCCAGCTGCAGCGCGCGGTGGTTGTTGACCTCGTCCTTCTGCACCTGCAGGCGGCCCCGCAGGTAGTGCGAGCGCAGGTTGACGCAGGCGGCCTTTTGCGCCAGGTACCGCAGCTGCTCGGTCACGGCGGCGTGCTGCCGCTCCTGAGCCGGCGTTGTCGTTGCTGATGCTGCCAGGGTGCGCGCGTGCTTCGCCACGAACCGGCTGACCTGGTCGATTCCCAACACGACTACCTGCGTGTAGTTCTCCCAGCCGAGCGCCAGCTGTGCCAGCCCGATCGACCGCTGGTTGAGCGCCGCCTGGTCCTTGGGGCGCCGCGCCCGCACCGCCGCCAGCGACTGGGCCGCCGTTCCGGTCGGCGCCGTGCCGGCTGCCGGCGACAGCGTCTTGAGCGGCACCCCTGCCGCCGGCTGCGTCTTACTCCCGCCGGACAGCTGCACACGCGGCATCAGAAACCGCGGGATGCTCGCACCTCGAGCCTCCTCTTCATCTTCCCTGCGAGCGGCAGCGGCCGCGGCCGGGGGGCGTGCCGAAGACAGCAGCGGGTTGCCCGTAGTCACGACAGACCCGTCGCGGGCGAGCAGGATGCCGCTCTGGCCGCCGTCGGTCTCGAGCTCGAACGTCTCCTGCCACGTGTCCTCGATCTTCTGCTCGAGCGCGTCGCGGAAGTAGCTGTACACAATCGCCGGGACGGCGGCCGGGTGCGCGGCCACGTCCGCGGCCAGCAGCACCGCCCGTAGCATCGCGTCCAGGTCCGCGTCCGAGCTGCACAGCACGAGACCTTCCGTCGTGTTGGTCTCGTGGCAGTGCGACAGCGCGAGCGACGCCGTTGTGCCCACGATCGCCGAGTCCGGCAGCTTGAGCGTGATGCCTGGGGATGATGGTTAGGAAACGGGGTCTAGACGAGAACGCGGCGAGGGGATATCTTACCCAGCCGGTTGGTGGGAGCTGTTGTCTTGCCGCCGGGAGTCCCAGGTGGCGGATAGTAGACCTGGAAGTGTGTCGTGAGATACATGGCCGGGGTTGAGGCGATGCGGGCTGCCGCCCCCGGGGGCAGCTGCATCGCCGTCCACAGGCGCTGCAGGTGGGCTTCCGACTCGAAGGGAAAGACCCACGTGCCCGTCTGGTGCCGGAAGGGAATGAAGACGGGCAGCGGGCCGCCCTCGTTGGTGCACGTCCGGAGCTGCAGGCATTTGGCCGCTCTGGGGTCGGCGCCTGTCAGTACGTCGAGTCGTGGCTGGTAGCAGCACAAAGACACGCAGAGACTAGCTTACACGATCCTGACCCGCCCGGTTGGCCGAGGTGGGTCGCTTGTCTCGTCGATCCTTGGCAGCGCCATGACTTGGTTGTAAGTCAAGACTTCGATGCTGGTTCGCGACTTGGCCGTGTCCAAGAGGTTGAACTGCTGCGACGCGGCATATTTGACATCGCTGTTGATCCTCAGCGCCTCAATGGTGGCAAACGCATTTGCTATATGCGGAATGCTCTGGTGGTTGTCCAGCATCTCGCGTCGGCTAGTAGAAGACATCATGACCCCCCGGAACCCGTCTGGGCTTCTTCATAAGGTGCTTTGGAATTTCAGAACACAAGGTTACTGGAGTTGCTGGAGTTGCAAGTCCAGAGCATGAGTTGCTGGAGATGCAAGTCCAGAGCATGAGCGCTATTGTGCACGCTGGCTGCAGCTCCATTTACATTAGGCACGGACTTGGTTCAAAATTCGCAAAGATTGCCAGACGTAGCTCATGGGGAAGAGAGAGGGTTGGGGGACCACGAAACCCCCCACTGCGAGCCGTGGCATCCGCTCCTGCAGCTCCGATCCAGTAACTGTAGCTGCGCCTCCACAGCTTTCCCTGATAATGCAAGGAGACACCATATCGGCCCAATAGCTTCAAAGCGCAGCCTCTTTGGTTGTAATTCCAGCCAAGCGTCCATATCTAGACATTTTTATGGTGCGCGTTTTGCAAAAATAGCGAGAGAGGGAACTTGCGATAGTATTATTACAAACGAGCGTCTTTACTGTCAGTTGGTTCACTTGATTCGGTTAATTGCGGTATTGTTGCTGAAGACTCGGGACATAATAGTTTCAGACGTAAACAAAGAAAACCTCACATTTTCATCACTGCGCCGTGATTGACATGCACAGTGCCGACATCTAACTCACTATTCCATATAAAACCGTTTTCCATTTGCATAGTTACATGTCAACTGCTGCGTCAAAATCCGGACTCGACCTTGAAGCAGGTGTAAAGTTGAGAAGGCCGATTTTCGCCAGGGTTAGGGTCTACAAATGGCCTGGACCCGTCTGAAACGGTGCCACCGAGGTGCGACGGCCGCCAGTGGTAGGGCCCGTCACCACCGCGTCTCCGAAGCGTCGCATCAAACGGCACCCGGCGCCAACACCAAGCGGACATCAGCCCACTTCCGCCTCTGTCGGCAGTATTAAAATTACGCGGGCCGGTTCCCAGCCAAGCTCTTGAAACCGCCTGCTCAATCGGTCCGCCGACGGAAGCTCGGACATCGGAAGGCCAGCTTCTGACGGCCCCATCCAATGTACCTTATATAACCCAGCTGTACTTACCCTGTGCAGATCCACCCCCTTCCTTAGTTCCGTTCGCATTGATCTTATTCTCTGCCCTCCCCAAAGTCAAACCATCAGGGGGACAAGTTCACCTCCTCCCGACCCAAAGCAAAGCCTCGCCGCTCGCTCGCTCGCCACACTCGTTCGTTCACTGCAAATCCCGCAGCGCATCAGGCGGGAAAGAGATGCGGCCACTAACAGGCTTCTTCAACATTGAACCGCGGCAGGTGCTCAACGGCGTGCCCGGGCAGCCCGCGCCGGAGGACGTGACGCCGCTGACAAAGGCTGACCTGCAAGGCGTGTACGGCATCACGGGCGCCACCCTCGCGCTGTTGGTCCTGCTGACGCTCTTCTACATGGTGCACGAGTGCAGCCGCGGCGGCCTGTCCCGCCACAACCTCATGCTGGGGCATCACCACCCGGGCCACGCTCATAACAAAGAGATCTCGGTATAAATAAGTTACCGCCCATAGCATCGATGGGGCAGAATGTGCGAGAGTAAATAACATGCTGGATACAAAAAAGAGCGCAACGGGATTGCATGCGCTTGTCTCCAGATCTGGAGGACGATGGGAAGTCTTGGACGGATACCATAATAGTCGTTTGGCGTTGCATGGGGGTTGCATGGGCATGGGGCTGGCGTTGTGGGGGGACGAATGGATGGCATTTCGTTGGATTTTCTTGTAAATCGACTTATCATGGGGCTTTTTTCACCTTGCATTCTGGCGAAGTGTCTTGGGATTGGCACGTGTATTTGTTGGCGATCTTGTTTTGTCGTCCTCCCGTGTTTTTTTTTAATTCAATCTCATTCTCCATGCTTCATACGAAGTGTTTGGGCGTCAGTAAAAACAAGTTCCGGGTTCTAGATCTTCCCAAACTCGGATATTTGGTGAACGCATGAGGTGACTCTTAATTGGGCTCAAAGATGACCAAAACCTTGAAGATTACTTATCTCGGCAAGGGAGAATCCAGCATAGGGATCCGGCAGCAGATAAGCAACGCGAGACACTTTGGCAATCGCGAATTGCAAATTCACGGTCGCCAAAATGTGCATCGGCAAATGTGCATCGCGGTTTGATGGCGGGAAAGTGTCAGCGGCCCCACCCGCAATGGCTGAGGCCAGAGAGTTGAAACGGCGACGGCCGGGCCGCCGGCCGCCGGCGCTGTCCCCGCTGTTCCAAGGCCCAACTGAACGTTGGCCCACGAAAGTGCAAACGAAAAAAGGGAAATGGAGCCCGTCAAATGCAGTCTGTCGCTTTCTTTCTCTGCTTGATTGTACTTGGATCATGGCATCTGACTGCAACTGGCCAATCCCATCCGAGCCTCAGTTCGCATCCGCGATCGAGTTCGTGAAGCGCCTCCCTCGCGAAGTCAGGTGGTGATGCGTTTAGGCGGACTCGGCTTTTTGGCAGGCGCGAAGTCTGCCTCGTGGTCCACTGTCAGGGGACACAACCTGGAAAAGTCGGGGATAGCGGGGTTGCGGGGCAGTGCCAACCGAGCAACTGGGACGTTGGAACTTGGGAAGGTGAGGTGGGGTACCGATTTTAACTAATCATCAGCGTCAATCAGTGATGCGCTTCCTCACCAGTACGATTTGCAGCGCAGAGCGGGATTGCGATCGTAAAGGAATTTTTTTTAATCTCGCCCTATCGCATCCGCGCCCAACTGCCTGGCCATTCTGTTAAGCCGCGACACGCAGGCCAGCCGCGCCCGTTTGGCGCCAAGCAGGTGCCTTCCTAGGGGATTCTAGCGGCCTGCCTGCCCTGCCTGATCGCTAAATGAGCTTACCCCCTCTGGACCATGTGGTAATAGGCAGCACCACGCCTGGACAGCGCGAAACGGCTTGGCTTGAGTCACCGGCCGCGCTGCAGCGGGACGCACCAACGGTGCAGCACTTCGATACGCCAAAGATGACAAGACACGATTCCTCTCTGAGATGGCCGGCCGGGCGGTTGCCCATGACTCGGATGTCGACCTCAGACAGGACCAATAAAGTGGTCCTTGGTGGACGGCCGGGGCAGCCACTCTATAAGACAGGCAGGTTCCGGCCCTCTCGAGCACTTTCCACCACCATCCCCGCCTCCGGTCAGTCAGTCATCTTTTCGGCACTGCATCACTAGCGCCCCTGCGCCGTGACAACAAGGGCGTGCTGCAGAGCAGTGTTGACACTTTTTCCACATCCGTGTCATTGACACGCCTTTCCCCCCAACCCCCCTTTTCGTCCGACTTCCGAAACAAGCTTATAAATAGCCCACCATGGCGAGACAAACCGACGCCTCTCGAGAAACAATCTTATCGCCAACGGTCTTCGAGCGCCGGTACTTCCCGGGCCGGGCCGAGACCGGGGACGCCCTCCCCGGCGCCAAGCACCGCCGCCGGCCCCTCTCCGGCTGGAGCCAAGAAAAGCTCTACTACGCCGAGCAGGCCTACTGGAACAACCCCGACGATGAGCAGGTCAAGCAGCACTACCTGACGCTTGCCGCTGCCAACCAGGCCCAGAACAGACAACAGCACGCCCCATCCCTCGGCTGGTGGGACAGGAGTAGCGGCGCAGAGGAACAGAGGGGTCAGCGCCACATCCGCGAGGGCCGTGCCGTCGAGATCGTCGAGGGTGGCGACCTCGCCCGTTCCGCCCTTCACCTCCCGAGTGACCGCACAGCGAAGGGTGGCCGCCGGCCACCTTCGCTTGAGCGCCAAGATGCCTTCCGTGACCCGCATACTTCCAAGACCTCTAACCCAGCGCTCCTCGTGAGCCAAAACCCCAGCAGCTCCGGCAAGAAGAACAAGAACAAGCGCACCTTCCGCCAACACCTCCTGTCTGGGAGCAACGACGACTTCCCCGAGCCCCACGGCAGCGGCGACTATGTCGACCCCGGCGACGACATCCAGGTCGAGGACCTCTACCGGCGCGGCATCCTGTACGACAACGAGTTCGAGCGCGGGTCCGGCTTCGGCTTCGACGCCATCGTGCACGACGGCGCCCCCCGTCTGTTCAACGTCTACGAGGCGCGCCCGCCCGCCAAGCGCGGCCGCAGCGCGCACGGCACGAAGCTCGACCCACAATCCAACAACCCAACCGACCTCTCGCTGCCGCTGGACATGTCCCGCGGCGCATTTGGCGAGGACTCGGCGCTGGCGGCCTTCCTGATCTCGTCCGACGATGGCGTGGTCGTCTCGCACTACCGCGACACGGGCGTCGATCCGGCAGCCATCTTCCCGCCCGTCTGGTCCGAGCCGCCGTCGCCGATGAAAATGGTGCTGCTCGGCGGGGCCCCCTCGCCGCGCGTCACCATCAGCTACGGGCTGGACAAGGGGGCCGAGGCGGCCGAAACCGGAACCACCGCAGCACCCCCAAGAATTTCAACAATAACCACACCGCCGCCACCTGCCCGGCGCTACTACCTCAATGCTTCAACACAGACGGAGCGCGAGCTGGCAAACTGGTACGACGGCTTTCCCGTCGCGTCGGCCACGCTGTCGGCGTGGGCGACGGCGACAACAACGATCGAGACAACAACATCAGCAGCAACAACAACAACAACAGCAACAACAACATCAACTGCAACATCAACTGCAACATCAACTGCAACATCAACTGCAACATCAACTGCAACATCAACTGCAACATCAACTGCAACATCAACTGCAACGGAGGAACCAGTCCCGGACCTAGTCTTCGACTCGACGCACTACTGCTGCGACAGCAGCCTGCACCACGACGACGACGACTCGGAAGACGACCTCGTGTCGTGGGAGATCATCCTCAGCGCCGAGGGGTTTGTGAGTGACCACGGCGTGTGGTGGTACGACGGCAACGGCAACGCGGCAACGACAATCCCGTCGCCGGCGGCGCGGGCAGCCGCAGCGGCCAAGACGCCGCGGTCGGCGAGGGGGAGGTTCTTCCGGCGACGCGGAGAAGAAGAAGACGAAGATGATGACATGGACGGCGACAACATGATGATGACCAGCCCCGACGTCAACGGCGCCGACGCCGACGACGCCTGGGTCCTTGTTGTGCTGGGCGCCGACGGCTTGTAGCAGGTCCGCCGATCCGGTTCCGCTCTATCCACTCTTTGGTTCGCAAGAGGGTAGATAATACGGGCGGGTGCTGGACTCGTCGCTCACCATGCAGCTGCGCGCTGCGCTCCGGACTGGCCCTCTATGGTATGTCCCAGCACACAAAAGGTTCCAGGCGGCGGCGGTTTTTTGGTGGTGTAGGCGGATTTTGGTCTGGCGCGGTGGCGGCCGGGAACCAACCAGATGCGTGCTCGCGGACCTGTTTTTCTAGACGACGGGGTTTGTTTCTGCTCGAGCTCTCTGGTTGCGCGCAGGCGGGGCGGCGGGAACGCTCTGCTTGGCGGGTTGTCTGTCTTGGTCTGTCTTGGTCTGTCCTGGTCTGTCTTGGTCTGTCCTGGTCTGTCCTGGTCTGTCCTGGTCTGTCCTGGTCTGTCCTGGTCTGTCTTGGTCTGTCTTGGTCTGTCTGTACAGTGCGTGTATGATCCTTGTACCCGCGCCGTGTGTTTGTGTTGTGTTGTGTTGATGTTTGGTCGGGCATGGGCTGGTGGAGCGCTGCATTGCCGGAGCTCGGTTGCATTTCATTTTGTCCTTCTTTCTTTGCTTTCCTTGGTTCGCTTTCTAGGTACCTAGCATTACTACAGCGTTGCAGCATCTGCTCTTTTTCCTTGTTTGAAGATCTCCTTTTCTTCAGGCATACTAGTAACTCCCAGTCTTTCATTAACTCATAATTTATCAAAGTACGATCTGTCAAGCTATTCTGATCTCTGATACGATACTTTCAGAAGTTGACATGGCTAACCCCCCGTCCCTTGTCTTTCCAAACTCCAAGTGTAAAAGTCCAAGTAGGAACGAGTATCCCACAAGCAGTCTCAAATCATTCCAAAAAAACACAAGAGGTGCAGAGTCAGGTTTTTGTTTCTAGTTAATTACCATTTACCACTCCGTAAATGAAGGAGTGTCTCCTTCATCGCGTCAAAAACAATAACATAAAGACCAACCCCAGTCAAAGCCAAGCAAATTAATTACCAACCAACTTCCAACGCCTAAACACCGAAATTCCACCATCATCCATCATACCACTCCCTCCCCAGCCTAAACTGTCAAAACCATTGTTTGTTTGTCCAACCCCTAACAACCTCTCAACAAGACCCATCATTACCCGACGTTTACATGCCGCATCGGCTCAAATGGCGACGGCGTGCGCGCCCGGACGCCAACGAGATCAACATGCGACGCATACCCGTGGTCGTGCAAGCCAGCCATCTCGTCCTTGCCGGCCGAGAGGTGCTTGTAGCTGGCACCACGAACACAGAACGCCGACGGGCCGTCGCCAACCCGCCGGTCGCGCCGCGCCGCCATGCGCGACCGCCCCGTCCGCACGCGCACCCGGTGCTCGCGCACCGCGATCAGCGCCCACAGCGCCACCGCCGCCGCCAGCCCGCCAGCTACCCACGCCACGCGCGCGAACGTGTCGCCCTACTGCGCGCTGACGCTGCCCGACGATGCGCTGCCGATGTCGGCGACCAGCTTGTTCGTCAAGATGTGCCCTCCTGCCGCGGCGAGGAGCATCCCGATGGCTGAGACCTGGTTTTGTCGATAATTTAATTAGCACGCGGTTTTCCGTTGCGACGATGAGGGTCGGGTAGCTGGTGATGTAGTTCTTCTCGACCAGGTCGACGCCCCACACCCGCCAGAGCCTGTTTGCGTGTCACTAATGTCAGCACGTTTTCTGGCGATTCAGCACGTTCTCTGGCGATTCAGCACGTTTTCTGGCGATCGCTGTGCGTGTTGGATGGGAAAAGGCTTACCATTGCTGGTCGAACAGCTGCTTGCCCCACGGCGAGCAGTAGTCGGCCTCGTACTTGTCGCCGTTCTTTTTGCCGCTGCAGTCAGCGCCGGGAAGGCTGCGAAGAAGTCCTTGGGCTTGGATTAGTCGTGCGAGTCTGGGAGGCCGTGGTATTTCTCCTTGCCGGCTGTGGTCTCGTACTTGGCCGTGTCGATCTGCGAGAGCATGTCAGCGGGGTTCGTATGGATATGTGCTGTCTGTGGGGGCGAGTACCAGTGCGAAGTAGACGCCCGAGAGCCTGGGCAGGTGCTCGGCATTGTCAATGCCCCCCGTGCCGGCCAGCAGGAAGATGATGCCGGACGACAGCACCGTCACCTGCAATAGCAGCACCACCGGCAGCAGGAGGATGGTACAGCTGCAGTTTCGCAACATTGTGACGTGTCGATGCCGCCCGAGTGTGCAGTGTGACGACTAAAATGACCCGACTGTCAGGTCACAGAAGAGTTGTTGCAGTCAAGTCTACAGCAAGATCTGGCCGTGGGCGGATGGGTCGAGATGCGGGGATAGAAGTAGTTACTCCTTGAGAGCGGAGAATCATTGATGCTCACCTCGCTACCTTTCTGTGGCTGGACAGCTGACACACTCTCTGTAGTCTTTTGTGCGCGAGCCAAGCCCCGCAAGGCTGATCTCGGGAGCTAGAAGCAGCTCTGAGTCCTTCCAGCGCCACCCGACTCTAGATCTAGGCCGCATCCATTGATTCCAGGTGGGCTGATCGGTTGAAGTCGGCTTGCCAAGATATGGGGTAACAGAGCTGTTGGCAGATCCCATTTGGGCGGAGATTGGATACCTGGTGGCTGTTGTAGCCCATTCAGCTGTCCGCTAGAATAATTGTTTATGGCACTTCCGCAAACGGAAAGGGGGGTAGATGACTTTAGCTCAAATCGCCAAGAACCCCTTCAAAGAAGCTGATGAGCTGCCTCCCCGCAATCCACAGCAAAAGGCCCGAAGCTAGAGCTGAAACAAGCTTAAAGACGCAAGTCTGCCAAGCAAAGCCCACTCGGCTGCGGCGATAGGCTAGGGAATTACCGGGTCTAGAGTCGCTCAGCCCTACGGCATTGAGTCTTGGCTGTGGGGAGCTCGACGAGGCTGGTCCGGTTCGATCGGCCACGAACAAAGAAACATGGCTCAGTGACTGTAGTACTTGCTGGCCGCAGGTCTCCCCGCCTCAGCCCAGAACGATTGCAATGGTAGCAAAGTGAGTAAGGTGATTGCATGCATGTCCTGAGCAGCAAAGGGTGGCTGCCTCCCGGATCGACTGTGGTTTTGTTTTGGAGATAAATGAGCAGACTAACCGTCAAAGTGGAGTTGCTCTTCATCTTGCCAGAGTTCTGGTTTTGTACCCTCAAGTCTACCAAAACAAATTGTAATTATCTTGCCCGCGCCCAGCGGCTCTGCGGCCATGCAACTATTTCTACTTGCACTTGTCCCGGCAATGGCGCTAGGAGCGTATTACGAGGCGGACTACAGACACTCAGAGGTCTATGGCGAGGCCCACTCGACAAATTCGCCAGACTACGCTTCGTCAACCCCCACCTCACGGTGGTACAGCACCTCGTCCGAGACTTCTTACTACAAGTCTTCCTCAACCTATACCCCGTCGACGTCAACATATACACCTTCGACGTCCACCTATACTTCGTCGACGTACACACCATCCACAGAGATCTACTATCCCCCCACCCCCCCAGTCCCCCACCCGGGCCCCAACCCAACCTGCGGCGCCGTGAACCACATCACCGTGACCGTCACGCAAAGAGTCTACCCAACCGGGTACCCGCCCCTACCTCCAGGCAGCTACTGCCCGGACGGCCCCCTACCGCTGTGCAAGGCGCCGCCACCAACAACCTGCCCCGACGGCACCGCACCGCCCTGCAAGGCGCCGCCAGCAACCTGCCCGGCGGGGTGCGCCGTGCACAGCAACCACTGCGACGCAACCACAGCGCCGACGTGCATCTTCCCGGACCCGCGCGTACCGAACCCGCGCGCCGCGTGCGCTTGCCGGCCCGGGTACAAGGCGTCGGCGCCCGTCGCCGACACGGACACGGCCCGCCAGTGGCGTCTCGACATTCCGGGCCAGGAGCACCGCGTGTGGGTTGCGGAAGGTGTGGCTTGTGATCAGTTGTGTGTGGTCTCGACGGGCGTGGATAGCTGTCGCGAGGTGACGGCGTTGCCGGCTGCTTGTGCTGGGTATTGATGTTGGGATGGAGGGGTGAAAGTGTCTTCTCGCTCGTTTTTATTTTTGGGTTGAACTTAAGCGTTAGTGTTTGTTTATTTGCTTGTTTGTTTGTTTGTTTGTTTTTGTCTAACTAAGGGAGTGATTGGGTTTACGAGTTAATTTCTTGGCTGCAACTTTGGAAGGCTTGGAAATAATGTTAATAACGGTCAATGTCGGTTCATATGGGAGTTTCTTATCTGTTTCTCGGCCTCAACCATAACGTGGGATCTTCCCTAATTCAGTCAAGCACCGTGTGCCCGTTGACTGACTCGGGGAGTGGGCACATATGGATCTCAACACCCAATTCTCCTTCCATCAGCCAACTAGCGCTACGGCGGGTGTCCACACCTGCAGATCTTCCGTAGTATAGTGGTCAGTATATGAGCTTGTCATTCGATTTCGCTCGGGACCCGGGTTCAATTCCCGGCGGGAGAGTTTCTTTTTGACATTTTCATCGGCAGCGCTGCAAACTCGATGGTCCTGTTTTTTTAAGTTGTCGTTTTCAAATATTCTTTTTGCCGCCCGTTGTTATTGTGCTCGCAAGTCTTGTAGTGACTTTAAATGATTGAGTTGGGACGAAACATGGCTGTGATGAGATGGAAATGGAACCCGACTATTGGTATCAGACCCTGTTTTCTCCAGATGCCAAGATGGCAAGGCACACTAATCGGGAGTGGACAACAAGTTCCCTACCTTAAATTGGTTTTCGTATTCTGGCAAAGCATTAAGCACACTCCAACCCGAGACGGCTCGCTACCGTTGAGCTCGGCTGGACACTGGCGACTGGATAGGAGGGCCGGGAGAATCTGCTATCGATTCGATGTTTATCAGGATCTGTTCGCCAGCGCTGCCGCCATTTCCCTGGAAAAAACGTCACGCATATCTGTCTCGGGAGGATGGATTCACCCCCGACACTTAATTGGACTAGCGGTTTCAAATCGTCGAGGAACTGTTTGCACTGCCACTCTTGAGTCTAAACTCGACCAGCCAGAAATAATATGTGCAGCAGCTTAGGCCCAGCCGCCCAGGCATTTACAGCCACCAGCTGCTTTGTAGCAGCGTGGGTTTTCAACACCGTGTTGGTGGCGGTTTTGGCTTGGACTGAAACCAGAAAAGGAATATCTACTATCACGCTGATCGAGAAAAATGCGTGAACGTGCGAACAGAAGTCTCCGCAGTCCCAAATCAAATTTTCCCGAGCCCGACGCTCCAGACAACCACGCCGTTGTTTATCGAATTTGCAGTCTCTGTCGCCCTTTTCCGCGATAAGATGGATGCGAAGCACTTGTGTCTGGCTCAGTGCGTCGTCGTCGTCGTCACGTACCATTCCCCATATGGCTACCACGACCATCTAATAAACGATCGATAACTTAATCAAGACGCAGCTGCCTCGTTTGTGCGAACCTCCTCAGCAGTAGATCCCGTGCCTCGCAAGGCACTCCACACCCTAGGCAGCCGTTTGCCGAGGCGAGAAAAATATGCGACAAAGAGTTGCCGTGTGCTGTATTGGGAAGGAGCTAAGCCCTAAATTCCAAGCCACGTTACACAGACCCGCCCCCGTTAGGCGTTTGGCACCCAACACTTACAACTTGGGCACTCGGCGTTCCTTCTGACGATCCAGTGCTCCTTCCCTCAGCGAGTACTTGGTCTGTGCATACACGTATCAAGTATTAATTCCCTCTGCCGAATTAGAGCTTGGCCAGTTCGTCCCAACTCGAGCTTCATGAGTTGGAAAGCGTTCCTGCCATGCTGGCTAGCACTACGACCAAAGCTGGGCGGCGATCTCGAGCAAACTACTGGATGCGCGCATTCGATGAATGATTATGTACCTATCCGCTTTCAGCCCCCATTTTGCAAAAATAAAGTATTTCACATATCTGGGTTTGGGTCCTTGACGCACAAAGAAAAAGAAATTGGGTTGGGGGTGGCTTTGCGGGAAGCCGCCTTCTTTGGACTGCCAAGCTGCCAGGATGGCGGACCGAGGAGCCCAATTGGCCATGTCCACGCCGAGCCGTGGTATCACATCATTCCGCATCCAAGACCGCGCGGCCGTCCTCTTCCAGCTAGAGCATGTCTGGGGAAACAGGGGAAGCCGGTGTTGGGCCAATTGACGAGCGGCCAAACGGCAATGTTCTGGCGCTTCGACGATGTGATCATTGGGCCGCTCACGCCCCTTTCAAGCCGCGTCACTCGCTGCATGGAACACGGCCTCGACATATTTACTTCATGGTACGCAGAGATAGCGCGTTGGCATTTGGATAACCGATGCCGATGGACTACGGGATACAAGGTTGATTGATGGATACATAGAGGTCGAGAAGCACCTCTTTGACTTTCTCGATCCAGGAGTTCCAGCACAGTCACGCTCTCCTGCACCCCCATCTCGACTCTCGGCTGTAGCAGAATCACTATCACCACCGCCGTCGACATGGCGTGGTCCTCACTACGGCAGCTTGCGAGGCAGGTCAAGGCGCTGGTGTGGAAGAACCTGGTGCTGCTGGTCACGCGGCACTGGCTATCGACGCTGTTGCTGGCCGCCGTCGCCCCAATCGCCATTCTTGCCGTCACCCTCAACATCAAGAACTTCGAGCCGGCCAAGAAGGGCTTTGGCGTCGGCTCGCCCGCGCCCGTGATCGCTCTCCGCGACGCCATTCCCGCTTCGCAGCGGCTGGTCATCGTCAGGGCCGACAACCCGGACTTCGGCTCCGACATTGACGATGTCATCAAGACCATCACGCAGCCGCTTGCGCCCAGCCAGTGGTTCCAGGTCAGCAGCCGCCAGGAGGCCACTGACAGCTGCTTCACCAACTTCCGCGGCACGTCGGGCTGCTATGCCGTCATCACCTTCAACGACTCGCCCTTGTCCACCGTCCCGTTTCTGAACCACACCTGGTCCTACACGGTCCGCTTCGACCCCATTCACGGCCAGGTGTACAGCGCCGATGTCTTCTCCCAAGACAATACCTACCAGAGATACTGGCTGCCCACGCAGCTGGCCGTCGAGAATGCCATGACCAACTCCACCGAGGCCCCACTCACCTACATGTATACCACGCAAACGCAGGAGGATGTGGACGCTGACCAGAGAAAACAATACGCCAAGAACGTGATCCGCATCTTCGTCATCGTCTTCTTCCTCCATGTGGTGCCGTCCATCTACCATGTTGTCAACGTCATCACCACGGAGCGCGAGATTGGCCTCTCCCAGCTGGTTGATGCCATGGGCAGCGGTCCTGCCGCTCGCGTCGCCAGCCACATCATCGCTTTCAGCATCGTGTACTTGCCAACGTGGCTTATCTCTGGTGTTCGTATGTTTGCTCCTATTATCCCTCCGTCACTAATTAGCCCGCACGCAATAATTATCTATCAACACATCATCTAACTATTAACCGACAGTGTACTGGGACCTCCTCTTCCCCGACACAAATGCGGCCATACTCATCTTCTGGCAGCTGTTTAGCAGCCTGGCCTTTCTCAACGCGTCCGTCTTCGCGGCAGCCTTCTTCAAGACGCGTAGAATCTCGAGCATATTCGTCGTCATCTGCTTCGGTCTCCTCGCCGCAGGCGCCATGGACACGCTTAGCCAGAGGATCCAGACGAGCAGCGTCTTGCCTCTGTCGCTCTTCTTTCCGGCCATGAACTACATCTATCTTGTCTCTCATGCAAGTTTCCCCGCCCGCCATGCCGCGTCTAACCCTGTCTAACAATGTCCCGCGATAGATGGTAAGGTTTGCCGTGATCAACCAGCCCGTCAACATGTGTCAAACCTCGGGGCTCGAATCGTTTGACCTCGAGCAGTCGTACTACGTCCCCGTGAAGACGTTCTGGGGGTTTCTAATCCTACAGATCTTCTTCTACCCGGTGCTGGCCATCCTCGCCGAGCACTTTGTCCACGGCATCAACCACAAGGGGCGCGCCATGACGGCGACAGGAGACACGGAATTCTCGGGGGGCGGCGACGCCGACTCTGGCGTGGCCATCAGGACCACCGGGCTGGCCAAGGTGTATACCCTGACGTGGCACAAGAACTGGGCCGGCTTCGGCAGGGACAAGAACACGGGGCTGCGGGCGCTGAACGGCGTCGACCTCGTCGCCCACAAACGCCAGATCCTGTGCCTGCTCGGCGTCAACGGCGCCGGCAAGTCCACCACGCTCGATCTGCTGTCAGGATTCAAGCAGCCCACGGCCGGGACTATGGACATTGCTGCCAGTCCCTCGCAGCTTGGTTGGTGATCTTCCAACTTCGAGACCCCCAAGTCCAACAAGCCCACTAACATGAGTCGTGATCTAGGCATATGTCCGCAGCAAAATGTCTTGTTTGGCCGGCTTACGGTTCTCGAGCACGTCAAGTTCTGGTCTCAGCTGAAGGGCGGGAGGGAAGACGCCAATGCCATGCACGAGCTGATTGCAGCATGCAACTTGTCCCACAAGACACACAGCCAGGCGGGCACGCTGAGCGGTGGGCAGAAGCGCAAGCTGCAGTTAGCGTGCATGTTTGTCGGGGGCACCACGGTGTGTCTGATGGACGAGGTGACGTCTGGACTGGTGAGCTGCTGACCGGCCGTCTACCCTTTTTCTCTGCCTCCATACTGACCACCGTCTGATCAGGACCCGATATCCCGGCGCGCCATTTGGAACATTATCCTGGCGGAGCGCTCCAAGCGGTCTATGGTCTTCACGACGCACTTCCTCGACGAGGGCGAGGTGCTGGCAGACCACATCGTCATCCTCTCGAAGGGCCAGATCAAGTGCCAGGGTCCGGGCATCGAGCTTAAAAACACTTACGGTGGTGGCTATCGCGTCTACGTCCCCCTCGAGTCGGCACACGGGGGCGTCAAGGGTATCGACGCCCCGTGGACGCTTCACCAGGACCAGATGGTCTACCAGACGCCCGATTCGCGCTCGGCGGCCCAGATCGTGTCGCAGCTCGAGGCGGCCGGTCACTCAAACGTGCAAGTCGCCGGGCCCACGGTTGAAAACGTGTTTCTGCACGTGGCCCAGGCCGACGTGGAGGCACAGGAGCTGGCGCTAGCGCTAGGGCACCAAGACGATGAAAAGGGAGTGGACATCAACAACAGCAACACCATCAAGGGCGCGGCGCCCATGCTGCTCCCCGGGCAGCAGCTCAGCTCGGGGAGGCCGACGTCCTTCTTCCAGCAGGTGCGGATCCTGATGATGAAGCGGATGCGGGTGCTGCCGCGGTACTGGGCGTCTGCGTTCCTGGCCCTGTTGTTGCCGATCGCGCTAATGCCCGGCATCAATACACTGATCAAGAAGAGTTTCATCCGGCCCTACTGCGTCAACCACAACAACCAGTGGAGCATTTACGAGCCCGCCAACGTCAGCCTCTACAGCTTCTACTACTACAGCCCCGACTTCGAGTATGTGGGCAAGCACATGCCCTTCGGCCCACCCTCTGCGGTGTCCGCGCTGCGCGACGTGCTCAGCAAGTTCCCCGTTGGCTATGAGTACAACATGTCGTACTTCGACGCAGACTTCGACGTCTACGACACGCTCGACGAGTTCCAGGCCAAGATCCACAAAGAGCACCCCTTCGGCCAGGCGCAGCTGTTTATCGGTACCGACGGCAAGCCCACGACCATCGCCCAGAACTCGCAGACGAGCATCGAGGGCGCCATGATCTCGCTCAACCTGTACACGTCCATCCGCAGCGGCGTCGAGATTGCGGCCCACATCGACTATACCTACCAGCCGGTGCGTTTGTGTGCTCACATATGTCATATCCACCCTGCGAGGTCGTTTGCTGACTTTGTTTTTGTAACCGCAGCCCGTCTCTGACGGCGGAAGTTCCACTTACATCCTGGTGAGAAGCTCTCCCCACCCTTCTTCCTCACCCACCATGCAACACTGACATCACGCTGCTACGGCCAGTATGCCTCTCTGATCATGGCCCTCTACCCGGCCTTCTTCGCGCTGTACCCGGCGTTTGAGCGCGTGCAGAATGTGCGGGCGCTGCAATTCTCCAACGGCGTGCGGCCGCTGCCCATGTGGACGGCCTACTTCTTGTTCGACCTCGCCTTCGTGACTGCCGTGTCAATCGCCTTCACCATAACCGTCAGCCAGCAGTTTCCTCTGTGGTGGGGCTACGCATATATGTTCCCGGTGTGCCTGTTGCACGGAATCACGGCCATCGTACTGGCCTACATCGTCAGCCTGCGCGCCTCGTCGCAGCTGTCGGGCTTCCTGTGGGCCATTTGCTTCGCGCTGCTGAGCTGGTTTGCCATGGTGTTGGCTTATGTCGTAAGTTGCATGTCTCTTCCTGTGGTCTTCTCGTCTAGGCTTGTCCCCAACTGACTGCCAAAATAACAGCTACCCAACACGATATCCGACGCGATCAACGTGCAGCGCAACGCCGACATCGTGGCCTACACGCTCGGACTCTTGTTCCCGATCGGCAACGTGATCCGCGGCATGGCGGTGGGCTTCAACATGTACCAGCTCGCGTGCCGCGACGACGGCGCCGCGGCGACGCCCGGCAGCTGGTGGGGCTACGGCTTCCCGATCACTTACCTGATCGTGCAGGCCGTGCTGTTCGGCGCCCTGCTCGTGTGGCTCGACAGCGACCTGTCCTTCTCGCTGCTGCTGCCGCGGCGCGGCCCGAGCAGAGGCGGTGCTGGCGGCGCCGCAGCTGTCGCTGCCGCTGGGAGATACGGCCCGCTGTCAGACGACGATATCGAGCTTGCCCCCGGCGGCAAGGCCGGCGCCTTCACAAAATCGTCGCCGGTCACGGCCTCGGCGCTCGGAGCCGGCGTCGAGAAGGAGACGCAGCGCGTCGAGGCCCAGGAGCAGCAGCTGCCCGCACCAGGCGGTGAGCGAGACCTCGTGCGCATGGTCCACGTGTCCAAGACGTTCGGGGGCGGCGGCGTGCCGGCCGTAGACGACCTGTCGCTGGGGCTCGGGCGGGGCGAGATCCTGGCACTACTGGGACCCAACGGCGCGGGCAAGACGACGGTTGTTGACATGATGCGCGGCGAGCTGCGGCCGACGCGTGGTGACATGTTCGTGCGCGACATGTCGGTGTCGCGGCACCCGCGCGCCGCGCAGCAGGCCACAGGCGTGTGCCCGCAGTTCGATGCCCTCGACCTCCTCACGGCGCGGCAGCACCTGGCCTTTTATGCGCGCATCAAGGGCGTGCCGGCCGCGGAGCTCGACGCCAACGTCAACACGGCGCTCGCGCGCGTCGGGCTGGCTGAGCACGCCGACAAGCAGGCGGCGGCGCTGTCGGGCGGCAACCGCCGCAAGCTCAGCCTGGCCATCGCGCTGATGGGCAACCCGGCTGTGCTGGTGCTCGACGAGCCCAGCAGCTCCATGGACGCGGCGGCCAAGCGCGCCATGTGGAGCATCATCCGGTCCGAGATGGCGACGGCGAGCGGCGAGGACTCAGCGGGGGGCGGCCGGGCGCTCCTGCTGACGACACACTCGATGGAGGAGGCCGACGCGCTGGCCACGCGCGCCGCCATCCTCAGCCAGGGCCGGCTGCTGGCGATCGGCACGACGGGCGTGCTGCGCCACGCGTACAGCAGCGTGTACCACGTGCAGCTGCTGCTGGCGTCGGCGCCGCACTCGCCCGAGCACGAGATGCACGCCGTCGAGGACTGGGTGCGCGCCGAGTTCGCCCACACCACCTTCGAGGGCCCCAGCCTCGGCGGCCAGGTCAAGTTCATGGTGCCCGCGTCGTCGCTAGGCCCCGCGCCGGCACCTGCTCGTGACAGCACGGACGACGTACGCCAGCAAGATTTCTCGTCGGTGCCGCTGCTCAAGGGCGAGCACGACGCCGATGCTGCTGCTGCCGGGAGTGGGAGTGTCAGCCATCTCATTTCGGTGCTCGAGGCCCACAGGGACCAGCTCGGCCTGCACGACTACTCGATCGGCGCGCCAACGCTCGAGAGGGTGTTTTTAAGCGTTGTTAAGGACAGCTATGTCGAGGAGGAGGGGAAGCAGAGGCGAAAGGGGCTGACTGGGCTTTTGGATTTCCTTGGCTGGAGACGTTCGCAGAAAGAATAAAATGGAGATGAAAAGTGGGGGATGGATTAATCATTAATGGATGGGGGATCGGATGGAGAGAAAGAGAGGCTTGCTTGATGTTACTCAGCCGAGGGTGAAGAAAGGGACTGGAAGCTGTTACGTATATGATTGCCTGCCGAGATACCTTTGATGGTTGATTTCTTTCGTCTTTACAGATACCCCGGGCCCATATACATCTTCTTGACCAGGTCTTGTTAACTGTGGCTAATTACGTCGTCCATTTCGAGCTCAACTGTCTTGAGTTCCATCGCAGTTCTTCAGAATTAACTCACTCAAACCAAAGTTGACCAGTCGGGGATTTTCACACTAGTTTCAATTGAAGTTGCAATACGACGTCTTCGTCGATGAGGAGAATGGCGGATCGCTGTTTTTATCCTGTTGTCTTCCTCCCACCCCGTCGACAAACCAGGTATCTGGTCCGCGCCCCACGGGACGGTGCGGGAGCCTGGGGCTACATGCATGTAAGAGGGTGGTAAGCACTCTGTTAGCGCTGGGGTAGAACTGCAGGGCGATATTTGCACAAATCATTCAAAGTGCGCCCCGCATGTTGAACATCTTTGCCTTGACCCTTGTTTACCCCCTCGCCAACGACCTTGTCGTCGACTTTCAAAGGCACGCCGCATTGCATTGTGTCGTCTTGCAAGATCAAACTGCCGAGTTCTTCTCAAACAAGCGAGTGAGTGACGAGGTATTCTAAGCAACCTTGGTAGGAGGCAAATCCACTTTTATGATAACTACTCCGCTCAAGCCGGTATGACTCTTTCGGTAGGGATGTTTAATTGTTTGACTTTTGCTGTACCGCGGAAAATGTTTAACTGTGTTCATTTTAGTGCATACACCTTATGGTGATGGGTAGAAGCAAAATCTCCACTCAAGGTGTTAAGCATCAGCACCACGGCACCAAGAGGTTGGCTCGGGAATTCAGAGCCTAGTTCGACGTGGAGTTTTCCTTGTTCGTCATCTCTGTCAAGAAGCGGCTTCCACATTGGCGGAAGGTTATCGAGATGGCAACCTAATTACCTTGCCTTACCTATCGCCTTGGACACACTAGTCTAGGTGTAATTGGAACAAACTTCTGCAGCGGCGACAGAGTCATCCGGCCTAATCACGAACTTTGGCGTTGCTAGACATGGCTGATCAAACTCTTTCCTTGGGGCCAACAACTCACACCTTAGCCTGTTTTGAGGCGATTCTGGCCAGTGCACGCAGTGTTTCTTGTCTTTTCACCGCATCAACAAATTGACGGTGTTTCGAGGTGGGTTGTACATGTACGTGCATGGCTGTGCAAAATGCGTCTAACACCGTGTACATGGTACAGTACCCAGTAAGCGAGACATGTTTCTAACGCAGCACGGACTCCTCAATTGGAATCTTCTTTTCATTGGCTAGGCAGCTGTGAGCGGCCCTGAGCTGCCCAGGCTGTGTGACTCAGGACTGCCCCGGCACTGTCTCGAGAGAAAGTGTAAAATTTTGTGCGCGTGCAGGCATTTTGGGCAGCAAAGGCGCAGCTGCAAGGCAATCGCTCTAGGTAGTCCAGGCAGCAGCACCAATCACCCCTCACCAGCCCTCGTCGCCGACAGCCCCACCTTCCTTGGCAAGCCGCTATCCGCGTATTGGGGGTGCCTTCTACCTGCGAACAAGAGCGGCCGCCAACGGCCTCCACGGCCTGTTGAGGTTAAAAGTCGATCGTGGGAAGGCCTGAGGCTCCGCACGCTGTGGTGTGCTTGGTATAAATCGACAGCATTTTGGAGCGCTCTCTCTTCCTAATCCGCCACCCATTGCAACTTGCAACAACCAACCCAACCTTACCAAATCAAGTCCCACCGCCAACCCTAACGTCATGGCATCTAATCAAATCACAATGCCTGACACGCAGGTCGTGCCGGTGGAGGCCGCCGTGGCCTCTGGCTCGGGCCAGCAGGGGCAGGGGCAGCAGGTCAAGAAGCTGTTTCGGCATGTGTGTGACTACAGCAGTTGCCCTACCCGCTGGGCCGAGTTCGAGGTTGTCGACGACGAGCAGAAGGCGCTCGAGGCCCGGCTAGCCACGGTCCCCATCGTCCATCGCCACCGCTTGTCCAGCTCGGGCGGCTGGATCACCACCGACTTCACCATCAATTCGCCTCCCATGCGCGCCCTGCTCGCCAAGGCCCTCGCCAAGTACCAGGACCTCGACCTTGACAGCGCGCATTGGACCTTCACGCCCCCGTACCAGCCCATTGTCCACCGCTGGGAGCAGCTCAAGGCCCTGCTCAAGGAGGCCACCGAGTCGCCCGACGACGCCGCCGACGCCGATGCCGATGCCGACGCCAAGGCTGCCGCCGAGCAGCTCGACGCATTCCTGACCCCCGTGCTCGACGACTCCATCGGCGTGCTCGCCAACATCCGCGAGACGCAGCGCGTGTCGCACGACAACATCTGGCACGTCTTCTCGCCCGGCGAGCTGGTCGTGACCAAGTTCTACGGCGTCGACACCATCTGCCGCGTCGTCCGCTTCACCGAGAAGGCCTTCTTCGCCGTCGTCACGGTCGAGTACGTCGACTGGAACGGCGAGACGGCCGGGCTCGCCACCCGCGCCGTCCGCGTCCCCAACTACGTCGGCACGCAGCTGGTCCGCAGCCTGCCCGTCTACCCCCTGTCCTTTGCCGACAGCCCCGACGACCTCAAGGCCCGCCTGCTGCTGCGCGGCCGCCGCTTCGAGCAGCTGCGTGGCTACCACTATCTCGTCGCCAAGCCCGGCGTCAAGGTCCTCATGACCTCGGAGGAGCGTGCTGTAAGTCTCTTTGTCTGGATCAGGTTGTTAGTGCTGGCTGACATAAATCACAACCCGCAGGCCTCGGGCAGAGTCGCCATTGACGCGTACGCCTACTACCACAGCCAAAGCCTTGTCAAACCAAAGCTGCGATCGCTGTCCCACGACGAACCGCTGGAGCCAGAGACCAATGCCGACAAAGACGGCAACGAAGATGGCGACAACGGCGACGCTGCAAACCAGGACACCTCGGAGACGTCGTCTATGGTCGACGTGCAGAACGAGATGGTGGCCATCAGCCAGCCGTCGACCAACATTGAGCGCAACGAAGACCTGACGCCGCTATCGGACGCGGACTGCCTGCTTGCGACGCCGTGGGTCATTGGCCTGGACATGAAGACCAAGGACTGGGGTAAGGACGCTAACCCCGAAGAGCTGATGATAGTGGGCTAACCGTTTGGCGGCTTCAAGCGCACTTCCTGATCGACGACCTCGACGAGATCGTCTGGAACGACGCCGCCTATGACAAGCTGGTCCTCCCCGAGGGCGAGAAGGAGCTGGCCTGGGACTTTGTCGAGAGCAAGGCGGCCGAGAAGGAGGTGACGGACGATTTTGTCGCTGATAAAGGTAAGACGCCGGCAGACTGACTGGTTCTAACCTCGGGCTCGCTGGCTAACCGTACACTACAGGGCGCGGCATCATCATCCTCATGTTTGGGCCGCCGGGCGTGGGCAAGACGTTCACGGCCGAGGCCGGTAAGTCGCGGCACCCACCCCAAACAAACCCTACTGACATGATGTGTGTGCAGTTGCCGAGAGGGCCCACGTGCCGCTATACTCGCTGAGCGCAGGCGTGCTGGGCGTGCAGCCGTCCGAGGTCGAGACGACGCTCAACTACACACTGGACCTATGCCGCATGTGGAAAGCAATGCTCCTGCTAGACGAGGCCGACGTGTTCCTGGGGGCGCGGACCAACGAGGGCCTGACGCGGAACGAGCTGGTGTCGAGTGAGTTTTCCCTCCGTCACCCACTAATTACCGTATCACTAATACGAGCCCGGACAGTCTTCCTCACCAAGCTCGAGTACTACCAGGGGATCCTGTTCCTGACGACGAACCGGTTCGCGTCCATCGACTACGCGTTCCAGTCGCGCGTCGACCTGTTCCTGCCGTACCACGCGCTGACGCCGGCCGCGCGCCGCCAGGTGTGGGGCAACTTCTTCGACCACCACGGCCGCCACCGCTTCAGCATCACTGAGGCAGAGCTTGACCGCCTCGCCGGGCTGTCGCTCAACGGCCGCGAGATCAAGAACCTCATCAAGTCCGCCCAGCTGCTGACCGCCCGCTCCGGCGGCAAGGTCACCGCCGACCGCCTGTACTCGCTCGCCGAGAAGCGCGTCGCTGCGCTGCGCATGCTCGCGCAGCAGGCTGATGACGAGTAGGGCTGGATATCAGATACCTAAGCATTTAGATGATGAAGGGCAGTCAGCCATGAGTCACGTGACTAAGGTACCTAGATAGTCTCTCTGTTGGATTCGCCAGTTACCGGTACTGAAAGCAACAGGGCGTAACTGCACGCCGAAAACTGGTGGTCAAAGTCATGATTGTTGTGTGTTTGTCTATCTAGAAGAAAGAGGTGGCCGTAGGCCACTTATAAGTCAGGTGGGGGACTTTTGGAACACCCCTGCCTATGGAACAGCCCCTGAATCGGACCCCGCACAACACCACAAACTTCAATTGCCAACAACTTTGTCAATTAATTAGCTACAATGATGAAGTCTTCAGTATCGGATTCTCCTGATTCTTCTCTTTCAGAATAACTAAGGTCCTCTCTGCCAGCCTCTCTCTGTGAGGCACGAACCTCCTCAATTCCAGCGAACTGCGTATTAGGGTCGACTTGGACCTTCCTTCTCTTTCCGCCTCTTGTGCGTTCTAGGCTTTTTTCTGCAGCCTCCAATTGATGCGCCGTATTGGCTAGTTGGAAAACCACGTAATCGAAGGCTTTTGCGGCCTTGCGTATGAAAAGTCGGTCGTTGGCAGTCCGTTTCTGGCCGGCTAGAAAAACCTGCCCCTGAATACGGAAATCCTTTGGCTTTTTAGGGGTAAACCATATAGGCCGGCCCTCCGAATTCTTATTTAGAATGGGGTTATGGACCTCTTGAAGGTCTATAGAAACCGTAGAGGTCAGTTGACCAACGTCGCCGTTAGAATTCTTAATAACTGTCACGACCAGGGCAAGGCATTGAGGTGAACTCAGTCCATTGGGTGCTATCGACGAAGATCCTAAACTGAGGAGGGAAAGAAGGAAAAGTCCGACAACACGTCGCGTGCTCGCGAATAAGTTTTCATCTATCAGTGGGGTAGGTGGGGCCTCGAGGAGGCTTCTGATAGGCCCGGGGGTTCTGGGCGGCTCTGGCTGCTTGAGGGCCAGTTTGGTGGACGGGTCCTCACAGAAAGCATTAGGCACGCAAAAGGTGGGGGGATGTAGGAGAGGCTTAGGTTGAGAGAGATAGAAATAGTGAATATATCATTGGTCGGGTTAAGATTGCTGTTGAAGGGAAGACTACCTAGGTTATAGGAGAGGAAGGGGGAGTAGGGCCTATAGGGACTAGAGGAGGACGAGGAGGGGGAGTAATGATGGTTATCTTCGTCTTCGTTTGCATCTTCGTTTACATCTTCGTTTAGTCGTAGTTATCAGGAAGGTTGGCGGAGGGTTTATAATTGTCTAGATCGTCTTAGTTGCGGGAATCGTCATCTGAAGCATCGCCTGGGTTTCTTAAGTCCTCATGGTCTGAACTCTGGCCGTTCGATTTAGTCCCTTTTCATCTAACTCGTCGAAGCCATGGTTAGGTCTTGATTTTCGATTCCTCTTCATTAGAATTGCCTTCGGCATATCAGTAGGCCTTGTTATATAACGAGAGGTAAGATGTGTCAGTCAAGAAGAAGTAGTCGGTCCAGAACCGTGTCGACTTGACCAGAGCGAGAAAGGAGTGTGGAAAGGACAAGCAATATAATTAAGCAACTGTAACCCCTTAAACCCACCGAATCCAGTGTGCAGCGCTTCCGACAGGTTATAGCGAAACCCTGCTTTTACGGTTAGTTAGGAAATACGATGGGAATCAATAGCTAGGGGGTGTTCCCGAGTCTGGATTTCGGGATTTAATTTAATGTTCGTAGCGGCTGACTGCAGGTATATACTCTTATCTAGGAAGGCAACTCGGCATCGAGGTAAACCTGAACGTCTTCAAATCGTCTATGGCAAGCCCCAAATGCATCGTAAATACTGCTCAAAATGTCAACGGTAAATACACCAAGCCAATTCCCTATAGATTTAAACTGCTATGTCTGCAGCCCAAATCATTTTCCTCCTATGGACAAGCGAAAAAATGCGATCTATTTTCGCGCTCTTCGCTCGCATTTTTTTCACCTCCGCAGTCTAGGTTTATTCATTCCGCTGGGTCCTCTGCCACCTGCGATATCCCCACAGTCCCTATCTCCTCTGCCAATATCTCCTCTGCCAAGTCTTTCAGGAACTCATCAACGTCCGATTGGTCGCCTCTCAACAACAAATCAATATCTTGAAGCTCTGTCGGGTTTAACCTCCTCGGGAGCTCGATAGCATACGAACTGCCAGAGTCCTGTTTCTCGGGATACCCCCGGATACCTGTTAGCAGAGATCACTAGAGGCTGTATTTCCTATTAATTACGAGGAGCGAAAGATTAGACTTACACCAACGAGGATATTAAACCCTTGCGGAAATATTAGGCTGAGGTACCGGCTGAGATCTTTCTGCCTAAGGCCTTTTGATGAGATGGTGATTTTGATGGTGCTGTGTTCGCCACTACCGCATATGGAACCGGTCTTGACGCTAGCTGCGGAACAAAAGCTGTGAATACTAGATTTTCTTCTCAAGGGATGAAGAGGGGCTGCTTTAGACGCGGAGTCGCTCAGGCTTTTCGTTCGGTGAGTGAGGAAGTCCAGAACAGGTTCGCTACGGGGGTGCTCGGTGAGTTGGCCGCTGCCACTGGCAACTTCTTTCGCGTTCGGCTCTGGGGGCTTAGTGCACTTTGTGTCCAGGAATCTGGCGAACCCTTCGTTTGCGAAATAGACAGCAAAGCTGGGCCACGGAGACTGCTCCTCTGTGAGCGCCATCCAGCGGTTCCACCTGTCTTTGTCCCTGAGCCGCTCAAGAACAGGTCCCGGGTCCGCTCCCAAAGCCTGGGCCTGCCGGGCGTGATAAAGAAACTGGTCAATTGTATATGAGAGGAGGGCTGGGTAGTCCTCCAGTTCCTGAGATTCAATTGAGACGCCCGTGTCCGAGCAGTTGTCCGGCAGTATTGGCATGGGCTCGTGATAGGGGACGTCGGGGTCTTGGATAACGCTGGCTGCCCATCGCGTGATTGCGTCCATGCTTTCCGGCTCCGTCGGTGATGGACAAGTTTTGCTATCTTGCCTATTCTCGGGCGTCCCTGCTCCGGACGCGAGGATCGGCTCTAGCAGTACGTGCGGATGCTCCTCACCCCGGGCCTCTGCAGCCTTGATCCGTGCTTCAACCAAGGCGTCCAGTTCGACAATGTTCAGATAGTCTAGACAGGTAGCAATGATGGAAACGTGACCGTCGCCCAGGACTCTGTCAAAACCGGGCTCAGAGCAGGATTCCTGGCCCCGGAGGATCTGGAATCCTTCACCAAATTGGAAGAACTGGTGTACTGAGTCGTGGATGGCCTGGATGATCCTAGTTTCGCCGTGGTCCAGGACGAATGATCCGGCTCCAGCGTATTTGGATGCCGTCGACTCTGAGCCCTCATCGGCGCAGGGTTCCACCGAACTGCTCGTAATTTCCAGCAATCCTTTGGAAATGGCGCGGATCTTTCTTTCAAGATGGTTATCACCCCTGGTAAAGTACTCCGTGGCCCGCCATTTCTTAAGTGACGTGGGCGGCAGTTGTTGGATAAAGGCCAGGGCGTGATGCCACTCGTGGAGGCGGAGAGGCCGGGCGGATAACACGGCCCACTGGAACAGCCGCAAGGTGTGGTCTCGAGATTCTGGTTCGAGGGCTGCGAAGAGCTGCGAGAAGAGATCTTGAAGCTCGTTCGGCAGGACATCGAGGTGGCTCAGCAAGGACAACAGTCCGTCCCCTTGTTCCCATTTGTCCACCACACTATCCACAACCAAAACCGCCCACAAGAAGACGCCCCTGGCTTTTGCGAGGATGGCATCTCGCAGCAGTGGCCACTCTGACTCCTGGGCAGCAATGCCGAGCTTGAACCTCTGCTCCACATACGTGCTGATGTCGCGCGTGTTGTTCTGGTCAACCAGGATACTTGGACAGCCTGCGATTACGATGTTGGGGAAATGCCTGCAAGATAGCATGACGTTAAGGTCGACATTCAAACTGTAGGCTCTCTGGGTAATACTCCTCCAAAAGTAGGCAATATCCCGCATGTCGTGACACTCGTCTAGCGCGTCGACGAAAATGTAGGTTTTCCTACCGGCCAGCTGGCGTGTCAAAACGCCGGCCAATAGTCGTTCGAGCTCCTCCCCAGTCGATTGAATACCGGCACCATTGCCCGGTACCCTGTGGGCTTCGTAGCCGGCATCTTTGCACTTGTCGTGGAAGCGAGACGCAGCCCAGGACAGCAACTCTCGATCCTGGAGCAGAAGTTGGCACAACAGCGATCGAAGGGCGCCGAGTTTCGAATAATGCAGGCTGTTGCTTTGTTTGGCGTCGAAGAAGTGGGCGGCGACGCGGCAGGCAGAACCACCCTGTTTTTGCCGAACGGTGCGACGATACGCTTCCCCCATCAGCACCGACTTTCCTGAGCCGGGCTTTCCCTTCAGCTCAAGCATCCCCTGGTGGTGGGCTCGGCTCTGTCCGCTGAACCATCCCGTGTATAGCCTGTCTTCAAACAGCCAGTGGCCCGTCCGCTCTGCTGGCTCTTTCAGATTCCGACAGCGAGTGTGCATGCCGGGGAACCAGAGGGACTGCAGCAGTTTCTTCTCAGACGCACTGAGGCCGCCGATATTGCTACCGTTGAGTTGGATGGAGTTGATGCTCGGTGAACGCACGCCAGGTTTTGCTGCTGCATCATTGTGTTGTTTGTTTTCGATAGCCATGCAGATAGACCTCAGCTCCCCGGCAACCTTTTGGAAACCAGGGTCATCGGTGCCGGTGAATCGGCACATGTCCCGATGGTTAGCGTGTATAGTTTCTGCGTGTTCTCGTGGGTCGCCCAGAGACGACGAGTAGTCTGGGACCACCTTGTTTCCCAGGATACTGAAGTTGATGGCCGTAAGTCCGAGTCCCTCTTGGAAAGTCTTGACTCGGAAGTTGTGTTTCTGCCATAGTCCCGAAAAGGACTCTTGAGCACGCTCCAGGTCGGTGGTCTTGAGACCGAGTGCCTGCAGCATGGTGGGTGCTGTCTGGGCGCCCAAGGCGCTGATGAGAAAGCGTGCCCGCTCCCCAGCAGCCGCAAAGTCGAGGCTTCCCCGATGAGGCGTTCCGAGAAACACGGTAGCGGCAAGAGACTCGACAATATTTTTTTGTTGAGAATCGGCGGACACCGAGGACGCCGCCAGAGCCTAGATCAACTAGATAATCAGAACCTCAACACGAAAGATGTCTTAAGCACTTGGGAAAGAGCGGGTACTTGCCTCTTTGACCACTATCCCACCGAGGCTGTGGGCCACAAAGATCAACGGGCGATCGGGGTCGAGTTCTCTTTCGCTTTCTCGGCAGAGAGCAAACAGGAGGTCCTTGGCATGTGAGTAAATTGTGTTTTGGCTCGTGGCGGACGTCATGTATTTGGTGATCATAGTGTCGTAACCATACATGACAATGCGAGCCCGAGGACACATGCTCGGGAGCAAGTCGCATGGCCAAAATATGGCGGCCGGATGCGGCGGCTCCTTGGAACCTCTGAGTTTTGACGTCCACCAAGCCAAGGTCCTTGCGGGTTTGTGAAGGTTCGGCACTGATGTTGAGGACCATGTGCGGTAGGGGTGTCCTTGCAACCCATGGACGAAAACGATGCTACGCAGCGGGGTCAGCTCACCCCCAGCACCGACGCCGGCGCTGAGAACAAAAGGCAAACTCACTCTACAATGCAGGGGGTGTTGGGCTTGTAAACGACTGTGAGGCCATTACTATACAATGGTAGTTTCGACATTGTAGGCGAACTACAAGTCTTCAACGTTGGGAACTGAGGGTTTTGCGATCAAGGACGAACGTTGGGCACAAGTATGCATCCGCCGCCTAACCCCTCCTTGTGGCTGTGCAAGGTGCGATCATGAGTGGCTAACAGCTTCCGCTCAATCTTTCGAGACCACAACCCGATCACGACCCGCCGCCTTGGACTGCCTGATTACACTCTCTTGCCTTTTCATCCGGGCTTCCGTTCAAATCTACAACATGTTGCTCGCCAGCTACGTACCTATTCCATCACTCCCTTCCACACATACATCACTCTCGTTTGAGTACCTCACGCCATACCCGGCCACGGTCGCTGCCTTGGACCGACTCGACAGCCTGCTCCGCAAAGCCCTCGGCTGGGCCGCATATGGCTACCCATACGCAGACGGCCTCGCGAAGAACGACTCCGAGACAACTGGCGCAGCCACAGAGCTATGGCTACGCTAGACTAGCGACGACATCATTGCCCCATTCACCATAGTGATCGTCTTTTTGCTCACCTTTCTCGTCCTCCTTGTGGTTAAGCTGCTGCTGGGTATGGCCCTCCGCGCTACTTGCGGGGCCGTACGCGAAAATGAAGACCAAAGAACACGCCACAGCCGCGAGCAAGACCGAACGGGACTCGCACGATGCCAAGGGCAAACGCGTCGGCGGCTACGGCCGGGTCGAAGTCGGTGATGATCGCCGCCGCTGGAGCTTTGCCGATTGCCCGAAAGTTTTGCAGAACTTGAGCAAAGCGCCGAGAAGGAGAGGGTGAAAGACTTTAGTCACATTATGCGGTACGAGATGGTTGCATGCCGGATCTGGTAGACGTTGCGTTTGCGCTTTTGGTGTTTTGGGGAGGCTGTTGAAGATATGTGTCGTTTATGTGGCGTCTCTTCACATTGCTTGGGTGTTGGCGGTATGAATGAATGATTAAATTGGGTGTTTTTGGTAAACAAAATAGTTTACATATTTGTGTCTACATTCTCCACTCTCTTCCTCTGTCCAACCTAAACACACTGTTCAATCCAAAGAAATGCGCAAGCCAATGAAATAATTATCCTGGAGCCACGTTCTTATCAGAACAATTTGGCGCTGAAGTTGAGGTTTGGCTTGTCCGCAGCCAAGACGGTGCCATTCCCAAAGACGGTCCCATTCCCAAAGACGGTCCCATTCTTTAAGATTTCAACGCGGCCCAAATGGAATCTAGCCGCCGACGCCTTGTCGATGGTCCCATTAGCGTAGATGATGCCGTTGAATGGCGGGTCCACGGCGGTAGTCGTATTACTACCAGGCGCATCAGTGGCCTGGAGGCTCTGGGGGGCCATCCTTTTCTTGAGCAGCGGGTGCTTGCGGCTGCTGACATCGCAGTTCTGGCTGACCATGTACAGATTGAGGCCCATGGAGAGCACGCGGACCTCGGAGCCGAGCTGGTCGGGGAAGCCGCCTTCGTTCATGTGGATGTAGCCGAGGTAGTCCTGCTGGATCACGGTCGGCCACACCTCGGGACTCATGGCGTTGACGGCGTTCCAGTACAGCGACGGGTTGGTCGGTAAGATGGCGATGCTGGACAGACCGTATGAGTTAGCCGTCAGTAGGTCTGGCGTGCACTGCCACTGGGTCACCGAGAAATCGTCGTTTGTGCCTGCGTCGCGCTTGTTGTCCACCATGTGTGCGACTTGGGCTGCCGCGAGGGACTCGGTATCCCCCTTCTCAGCCCAGTAGTCGTCTCGGTCCATGTAGTCAGGGCCGTGGTAGATACCTGAGGAAGGCCGCTCGTTGGGAATGCCGTCTTGTAACCGACCATCCGTTAGAATAAGAACACGCCCGGCGCCGTTATTCTTGTCGAGGAATGTGTTGGCCTTTAGCCTGTCGAACTTGGTGGTCTTGTCTAGGCCGATACATCTGTTGTTGATGCTCTCTAGCTCGGTGTAGAACTGGTTCGCCTTGTTGGCATCCCAGTACCGGCCTTTCCCAGCTGGTACGTTGAGGTTCATATCGACAATGTACTTAACCCACAGGATAATGACCTCCCCGGGGCTCTCGCTAGTGAACTTGTTGATGCCTGAGATGATGCTGTTGAGCGACTCACCCGTAGCGCCCAAGGGCGCATCGCTGACCTCGTTGTTGACATGGGCGGCCCAGAAGTCATCCCCCTTGACGCTCACAAGTCGCATGTCAAACTAGCGAGCGCCAACCCGGAGCTGGTCATAGGTATTGAGGCCCTGCGTTTGCGTGTTGGACGAATCGCCGAGACCATCCTACGCTTTGCTGATAGTGCTCATACCGGCATCGTGAGAACCGGGCATAACGACGTGGCGTAGCTGTCGGTGTTGCGCACGAAGGTGTCAAAAAAGATGCATTCAATCATGTGTCTATGTAGAATCGAAGGAAAGGGCAGAGGGTCTTTTTTCCTATAAAAAGAATGCTCCTTTCCAACATGTAAGCACTAGGCCGGTGTAGGCGTAGATCATCGCCTAGAAAACATGTAACCCGATTGGGCCTAGTAGTGCAACATCGTGCGCCCACCCGTGCGTTTCTTGGCCTCCCACGTGTCTCCTTCCCGCCAGTCGCCTCTGCTAGCGCCGCAGCCCTTGGTTAGGTAGTTCCACGCCGCCGTTGCGCCGAATCCGCGGTGACGTTAGCCTGCTTTGCGATCCTGCGATCGCGTACACGGTTGACGCGCTGCCGGTGATGCTCATCTGGATGCCGGCGGATGAGGCGCTGACGTGCTACAGGATGGATATACTTATGGAACTTGGGGGGCAGAATTAAAGCAAGTCGCACGAACTCCCTTGTCCAGTGGTAGTACTCAAGGTTGAATTACACACAGCCCGGTGATTGGCTTAGATGCGTTATGTGCCAAGACTGTGGCGTCCAGTGAACAGGGAACGAAAATCAGCTGTAGGCAGACGTTTTGGGCTGAAGTCCGAAAACCCAAGGATCGTAACGGTATTAAATGATTTCCCGTGCCCGAAAAAAGTCTGAACAATTCCACCACGCTCAGCTTAGTGAGCGAACACCCAGCCGCAGCGAAAGATGATGGAGGTTGACGGATACGTGGTTGTCGACCACCCAGGTGTGTTTTCCCCGATTAAGTTGCAACACAGCCCCTTAACATTTTGCAGAAAGAGCCGAGCTGCTGGAAAAGGTTAGCGAATGGCTCGCTCCTACCGACTACGCTGGCGACGGAAGCGGATACGGCAAACACTTGGCTGCTGTAGCGCCCGAGACTGGAGAGTGGCTGCTCCATCGCAACGACCAGTTCCAAGTTTGGAGAGCCTCATCCGACCAAAATGTGCTGTGGATTAAGGGCGCTCCCGGAAGCGGCAAGTCGATTCTTGCCGCAAAGGTTGTCCGCCACCTTGTCGAGGACTCTGCCGTAGCCTTTGGTTTCCTCCGGCGCATCATGTCAACCAACAACACTGTCGCATTTCTCGTTCGCGACTTTATCATCCAGCTGCTACCTCACGCGCCAGGCGCGGACGCGAGAGTGAAGTCGTTGCTGGAATCAAGCAACAGCGATGTTGAGTCTGTGGCTACCCCGGAGCTTTGGCAGCTCTTGGCTTTTATCATCCGTCTCCTCCCGCGTGTTACGTTGGTGGTGGATGCATTGGATGAGATTCTTCCCGGTCAAGAGGTTGAGCTGCTAGAGTGCATCCTGGGCTTGGCTGAATCCAGCGGTGGGCGCGTCAAGACATTCATTACGAGTCGACCGCTTTCACACCTGGAGAGCTTGTTCCAGGATGCTTCGGTCGGTTCTATACGTCTGGTTGGTTCGGCCATTGACGAAGACGTGTCTCGATATGTTTCGCATCGGCTGCAGTTGCAGGCCCAACGCACCTTGTCACCCGAAGACTGTCTCTTGATCCAATCCTCGCTGGCAAAGTCTTTGTTTCTCCAGGCGCGGCTGACCCTGGACGAGGTCCTGAAGAGCGGCAAGACGGTTGCAGAAGCTTTGCAAAGAATTCCCGGCTCGCTCAACGACCTCTACCAGAGCATCCTTGACCAATATTCGAGCGGGTCCCAGGACACGGCCAAGCTCCAGCGACTAGTTCTCCTATGGATCACCCATTCGTACCGCCCTTTACGATTGTTGGAGATAGCTCATGTCGCCATCTTCGAGGGTCTCTTTAAAAATGTCACCATAGCTAAGTCTAATATCCGGTCGTGCTGTGGTCCCCTTATTGAGATCCGCAAAGACGAGACTGTCCATATCTGTCATCACTCGCTAGCCGAGTTTTTGCAAGAGTCTCGTTTCTTCGCGAGTACCACGGAAGGCAACCACCGAGAGATAAGCATGGTGTGTCTAAATTACATGCTATCCGGTACACTCGCGAGCTTGGCGGATGTCTCAAAGTACAGAGCCAACGAACTAGTCACTAAAGCTTCCAGTCATCCCCTGCTTCTGTACGCTTCGAGACATTGGTACTACCATATAACGCAGGCCTGTGTCTGTGATGCCGATGCGTTCGCTAAACTGGACCGCCTCTTAGCCGGAGGGGGTCGGGAGGCCATCGCATGGATCCGGCTATCCAAGCTAGACCAGAAGCTAGAAACTATGGGCATGGATCGAGTGCACTTTGCTGCCCGCTTTGGACTCACCGCTTACGTCCAGCACCTTCTCGCTCAAGGTGTTAACGCAAACAACCAAGATGGCAACCACCGGACGGCTATGATGCATGCCGTCGACAGCGGCCACGAAGAGACAGTCAAGCTTCTCATCGCCCACGGCGTGGAATTGAACGCCGTTGACAAGATGGGCCTGGCAGCGGTCCACTTTGCCGTTCTTAGCAACCACCCAGATTGTCTGCGACACATTGCTGCGGCTGGTGCTACCATCACAGCCTTAGTGTCCCCGGCCGGTGCTGGCGGCGAGGACGTAACTTCGCCCTGGATATTTTCTGTAAGCAGCAAACAGTATCAATTGGTGGAGGACGAAGTCTGCCAACTCCTTAGAATCCAAGCTCGTCACCTTCGAAAACGTCTCACCGCTTCCAAGAACATGTTTTTGGGATGCTCAGCCATGCAGCTGGCGTGTGAGCTCGGGCTGGACGGCATTCTCGAAGTGCTGATCTCGTTCTTGGATCCGGCAACTCGGGCTTCGATTCCACTTCACTGGGCGGCTGCAGGGGGTCATGCGACTGTCCTTAAGCTCCTGCTGCAATACCCGGAGATCAAGGAGAGTATCAACAGCAAGAACCACCGGGGCAATACTGCTCTTTTTGTGGCCAGCCGGTCGGGTAGCCTGGATGCAGTCCAGACGCTCGTAGAACACGGTGCAGATGCACGTATCCTGAATCAAGATAGACGGCCTGACCGCGATCTCATGGCTAAGAAGCACAAGAACGGCGGCTCGCACTGGGGTGGGCTGTCTTGCCTCCATGCTTGGGCTGGCATGACCACCTTGGCAACTGTTTGGGCCCGGGTCTGTCAGTCCGAGAAGCTCACGGTATCTAGTATTCCGGATGGGGTCTTCCTTAGCATTGGTGAAGCGCTGCTCCGAGCAGGGGCAGATCCAAACGCTGCCACATATGATGGTCACACAGCACTATTCTCCTGGGCAACCATAGCTACGGTGGATGCTGATAAAAGCGAGGCGAGCAGGCAGACTAGAGCCGTTGAGCTTCTAATCAGTTACGGAGCTGACCCCAGGGCCCTCAACAGACATGGTCTTACCGCTCTCCACCTCATGAAGGGCCAGCTTGAGGAACTCCCAGCCATCAAGCTGCTTGTCGACGCGGAAGCCAACATCAACGCAGCTCAACCATCCACAGGCCGCACGCCACTACATATGTTATTCCCAAAATGCGGCCCCTTGCAGAACACTATTACGGCCATACCGGAGCTGGCCTTGGTTGGCGCTGACTTCAACCGAAAGGACAACAATGGCAATACTCCCCTTCACCTGGCCACCAGCAGCCTCACTGAGACGAATTCTGAAGAAATGGTCGAGCAGATCCTAGGGGACTTCTTGAAAGTGTGTGATCCCACCATAACAAATGGCGATGGTCATACAGCTCTATTCAAAGCACGGGGCAACGCATTTCACCGGCAGTTTGACAAGATCGCCAGGCGCCTGGTAGAGAGTGGCGTTGACTTAGAAGCAAGAGACAACGAAGGAAAGACGGTGCTTCTGGAAGCTTGCCGCTGGCGGGATGAGTCCATCTTGGGGTTGGTAAAACTTGGCGCCGATGTTCGGGCAAGAGACAAGGTCGGGAAAACCTGCCTGCACTACTTGTTCGGCGCACAAGCCCCCAACTCGGACTTCTACGCCTATCGCGATTTTCCTCGCATTGTCAGTACCCTAACAAATCACGGCGCGGCTCTGGATGCTGTTGACAATGCTGGGAACACCATCTTCCACGAGTTAGCCGCCAACAAGGGCGACCAGCACTGGGTAAGTCGGGATTTGCCCAGGTGGCTGAAAACTCTGCGCGACCTGGTTGATTCCAACCAACATGGCGCTCACTTGCGACGGATTGCCAGCATTAAGAACCACGTGGGCCGGAACCCGCTGCACTCTGCTGCGGCCGTGCCACCACTGAATTCTATTGCTGACGACCAAGAGGTGGCCTGGTGCGACTTCTTTCTCAACCCCAAACTTGGCTTGGATCCCTTACTACCGGATGCCAACGGCGAGACACCACTCCACCTAGCCGCTGCGCTTTCCGAGGCCCGTGCCTGGAAGCTAGTCGAGGCCGGCGCGGACATCAGCCTGGTCTCGAACCGGGGACGGCTCCCTCTGCATGAGGCGGCAAGAGGAGGTAATATCAACTGCATGGCGCTTCTATGTCAGGAGCATCAGAGGAGACAGCTCGCTATTGACGTCAAGGATGAGAATGGAGACACACCATTGCACGAGGCTGCTTGTTCCGGACGATGCGAGTCCGCTAGGTTGCTTCTAGATGCTGGTGCCGACGTCAATGCTGTCAATTGTGCTGGACTTAAGCCTGCCCAGGTGGCTGCATCTGTTTCGGCCACGGGACTCGACGAAAAGCATATTCGCAACGTAGTAGCGCATGTGATGAATCACGTAGCCGACGAAGCAGGTGCTTTGTGGCAATACAGCGAGGAAGAGGACCTGATGAAGGATCCGCCGTTCGACGTCACATTGAGAGAACTAGAGACGCCCGGTCATCAGGCAGTACTTCGACTACTAACGGGCACAGCCGCTAGCACCGGCTCCCCTACCGGTGGCCCATCAGTTACAAGAACAGAATTCGCGTACCGAATTCCTGGCTCAAGAAACCAACCTGAGGAAGTCGTGGGCAACAAGCATGAACAACAGGCTGAACAAGAAGATGAGCATGCCGAAGCCATCCGAGAACTAGTCACCGCCGTCCTAACCCGCCAACACGATAGGATTCGAGATCTCATTTCTCGTACCGGGGCGGAGGCCGCACGCTGTAACATCTTTGAGGGCCACGAAACCCTGGTCCACATTGTCGCCCGCTCCGGCGATCTCGAGACTCTCCAGGCCATACTTAGCCTGGAGGGAGATGTGAACTCATTCAAGCCACCGCTGCTACATGTGGCCGCCGAACGGAAGCAGCCCAACCTAAGCATCATGCAATACCTGCTCAGCCTCGGCGCCAATCCACATGCACAATACAAAGATGACCGGAAATGGCGGCGCCTTCGCTTCCCCTCTTACCCCAGCAACACCAACGTCATGCACCTAATGTCGCTCGGTCACAACTGGTGGCACTCTCACGGGCTGCGTCTGGTTACCCAGTACGGCGGCGATCTTGGTCGTTCCAATGGCGAAGGCTTAACCTGCGCTGCACTCTGCGACGAGGATGCCGCAAACCGCCACCACCACAAACAAGGCCCTTATGCCCCCCTATGCAAAGCAACACTACTCACCCTTCAACAACCCGCCGAGCACGCAGCAGAAGACCTAATCAAGCTGATCATGGACGGCAATGCCGACGCTGTGCGAGCCCTTCTCGAAAGTGGCGCCGCTGACCCTAACCGTGTCTACCACCACGAAGACCGGGACTACAGCCACCAAGGCCATACCATGCTCCTCCCCCTCCAAGCCTGCGTCGACGCTTGGGATCAAGGAGTCCTACGCACCGAGGCTGGCGACCCAGCCATCTCCGAGATCATGGCCCTCCTCCTCCTTCACGGCGCCGACGCGGGGAAACTGCTCCCAGGCACCCAAACGCGTGTTTTCCACCACGCCGCCGCCTTCAACGCTCCCGTACAGCCCTTCCTCGACGCTGGCGTCGACATCAACCTCCGAGATCCCGACGGCGCCACGCCCCTCATCGCCGCCGCCGGGTGGGTCGGGTACATGCCCCAGGGTGGGCGCGAGCTGTTCGCCCTGGACCTGATCGGCGGGGGTGCAGATGTCAATGCCGTGGACGATTCGGGCCAGACGGCGCTGCACAAGGCCGCTCGGTGTGAGTCACACCTCAGCAATCCCCAGGTCATGGACGCGCTGCTGCGGGCCGGGGCAGACGCGGGGATCCGGGATGTCGAGGGCCACGATGCGTTTTATTATTTTTTGCGGGCGGAGCCCGGGAGCTGGGGCATGGAGCACTACCACGTCGGGATGCTGGGGGACCTGTGGGAGGAGGGCGCGGCCGCGGTGGATGTGTATGCGGAGACCGGGGAGACGAATGCGCACGTGGTGATGCGGCTGGTGGCGGAGCAGTTTGAGAGGGAGTCTATCGACCCGGACGAGGTGAAGGCGTTGGGCGACATGTATCGTGGGATGGTGGCCCGGGGTGCTGACCGAGAGGCGAGGGACGGGAAGGGTAACACGCCAGTTTTCGAGCTGGTGAAGGGTTTAGGGAACGGAGAGTTGCCTAAGGATCCGTGGGAGGCGTGGGTTCGGGCGTTGCTGGTTGAGCATGTTCTGTCTGCGGTGAACGATGCCGGGGATACGCTGCTGCATGTGCTGGCGCGGAAGCCAACTGGAGCGGTGTGGAGCCGTGCCAGGACGCCGAGCGCAGTGTTGTTTCGGATGCTGATGGAGTGTGGTGTAGATCCGAAGAGGGAGAACGGGGAGGGTATGTCGGCCGTAAATCTGGCGGCTGCGCATGATAACTCGCTGATTTTGAGTATCTTTGAGGATAGTCAGGGGTAGTGTTGGGTTGGCAACTTGTCGTATTCATACCACGCGTAATTCAGGCGTATATGGTTATCTCGGAAAGGAGTTCGACTTGAATGATGAGATTACTTGAGGATTTCCTAAGGAGGTGCTAGCATCATCCACCAGCCGCAATAGCGTTATATTTGCGCTAGCCCGTCGTGTACCCCGAGACGGGCGGTAAGGGTCGATTATATTGCAAATGGGATCCCTACTACGTGTGGGCGCTTACGAGCGCCAAAATGGGTGCAGATGACGGCTTGAACGAGGGAATCAATCACTTAATCGGAAGGGGGCCACTTCCAAAACCAAGGCAAGTATACCCGGGGTGACCCTAAAAGTGGCCTCTCGCTAAGCCTGGCTCAGCCTAGCTCAGCTTAGAGCGGCAGCTACTCAGCTCCGAAGGAGGAAATAGAAACTCTCGTTGTCGGTTTTGGGGTCATGTAATGGCTGTTTCAACACCCCAAAACCGACCAACTACACTTCCAAAATCAGCCAGCCCCCTTTTTCGACTAGACTACGTGATTCCTCGCCGCTTTTGCTCAGCCCAAATTAGCCCTGGCTCAGCTTCGGCTAATAGCTGCTCAACTAGCCCGGCGCGGTTCCCCAAAAAGTGCAACAAACGGCCCTCGTGTAAGAGCCGGGGTTCAGAACTGGGACACCTGAACATACACAACTTCACAGGACTGATCTGTCCCATCGCTCCCGTGAGAACGCCTCTAATCTTTTGTATTCTACTTATTGCTAGTAGTAGTACGGGCCGCATATTTGTGAGATGCTATTGACAAATGGCCATTATCAACTGCCAGAGATGGAGGTTGTGAGGACCCGTCCACCAAACTGGCCCTCAAGCAGCCAGAGCCGCCCAGAACCCCGGGCCTATCAGAAGCCGCCTCGAGGCCCCACCTACCCCACTGATAGATGAAAACTTATTCGCGAGCACGCGACGCGTTGTTGGACTTTTCCTTCTTTCCTTCCTCAGTTTAGAATCTTCGTCGATAGCACCCAATGGACTGAGTTCACCTCAATGCCTTGCCCTGGTCGTGACACAATTCTAAACTCTTCTCTTCCTTGCTGGCGAAGCAAGTAAAATATATCTCCCTCATTCCCGCATTCATTTGCAACCCCTACGTCGGCTGTACACGACGCAAAACTAAGGCACAGAAACCCCGCGCAGTCAATGCCGCCGAAGAAAGATTACGACCCACCGACACGCAAATCCGATCGACTCTCTAAAAAAGACAGCAGCGACCGGACCCCAACAGGAGAATCGAGTATCACAGCCAAAGTGCCAGACGACACCGTCCTCGATACACCCTCGAGCCCAGAGCTAAACAAGCCCGCCGAAGACCCCAGTGACCCCGAGTCAGAAGTACCTGTCACTACCAACAGCAACACCGAAAGCAGATCGCCCGCTGTTACCGCGCGAGACCCTGATCAAGATACATCTCTCGCCTCTGTCGAAGTCGAGATAACGAACTCCAGCATCCTTACCGAACAATCGGAAGTCAACCGACAATTGACCCATTACAACCTCCGCCCCGCACCAACAGACGACGAGATGATCGCCACAGGTACACCCACCCCACAATCAACAACCGCAGACATGGCATCCTCCACGCCTACCACTACAGAACTTCAAGCCACCATTGCCCGGCTCCAAGCCGAGCTCAATGCCCGCTCCTCTACACCCATTCGCCAATCCAGCGCCGCTCGCGAAGTGACCCCTGCCGATAGCGCCTTCGGAGGCGAGCGTTTCACCCCAACCGGGTTTGCCGCGTACCCTGCGTTCAAAGCCTACGGCATCGATCAGAGAGCCCCGAACCCTGATTACAACCCAAAGTCCCGCAAAGTCGGAGTCGACCCCGGTATTTTCCAGGGTAACAAGGACGAATTCGACTATTGGGTCATCACCCTAGCAGACAAGTTCGAGGAAGACAATACTACCTTCAAGACCGAACGTAGCCGTATGGCCGTCCTCCACGCCGCAACCAGAGGACCCGCCAACGACCTCCTCTCTAGCCGATACCAATCAACCGAATACCCATTCGCTAGTGTGGCCGAGATGGTCGCTAGCCTACAGGCAGTCTACCACGACGTAACCAGGGATCGAAAGCTCGGGAGGAGCTACGTAACCTGATGTACGACCCCCGCGATAAACAGATGGACATTCACCAGTTCATCGGTATTATAGAATCCGTGGCCCTGCGCCTCCACCGCCACCTCTGCGTGGCTGACTAGCGCGTTGTTCCAACATTCCAACCCTCTCTAAACAACTTGGACATGGGAACAAGTAGCTCATAATGAGGCTTTTATGGAACTCGCGGAAACTGCACGTTCACAGAAGATCACAGGTGAGAAATCAGTAGAAAAGGGGAAGAAAGACGGAAGCAGTCAGCACGGAATCATTCAACACTAACCAACTCTGAAGGAGCCATGATTTCTTGAAACAGCTCGGGTTTTAACTTTTGATAATTCCACGACGTTACTTGTATTCCTCAGGAACTTTGTATTGTCCTTGTTGCCGTACGACACGGATGGGAACCAACCCATCGATTTGTCATAATTACCCCTAATGATGGCCCCTAACTCCTGCAACCACCAAGCGAGAACATTAACAACTAATAGGCATCACTCTGGCATCGCAGGCCTCACTCTGTGGAGAAGGCTGCGGGTGTTATCGTGGTTGCTATCCCAGGAATCCAGACAAGAGGGGCGGCGCTAGGGGGTCCCTGGTCCTGGGCCGTAAGGCTCTGAGTGGTTGTGGAAAGGTGACACCTGATCTGTGAACCGGTCGAGGGAAGGCAGGCAGGTAGGTAGATATATTTAGGGAGTTTGGCTACTTGCACCCCTTCCGCCTCATGTCTCATTTTCTGCTTTCTCTCCAGCCTCAACTGCTTCAATGAAGGGCCAAGGATTTTCCAGCGAGAACCTTGCATATGAATTGCTGTGATTCGTTGGCTGTGCTTCCCTTTCCGCTGCCTGGCCGTTGGGGGCTGTTCTGGTGGTACAGGGTTGTTGTTCGGCAGAGACATGCATTGCCTGCATCGTTCCCATCTTGCAATGCTATCAGTCACTCTAACCTGGGGGCCATCGGTGCTGGGCATGGGTTTATTGCACGCTTTTCTGGACCTTTAATGCCTCTTCGTCTTCCTTCATTCACTGTTTGTCTTCCTTTGTCTTCCGTTGGCTCCTTCAAATTCCCAGACAACTTCAACAGCCCTCTTCCTCTTCTGACGCCTTGTCAAGACAGGCCGATGGTAGACTCTCTCGCAACCACCCTGGTATCGCGTTGACACAAGGACTGTTCATCCACCACAACGTCGCCGATCTCAGTGCTACGCCTCTTGCCAGAACAATTACTTGAGCTAGAGGGTTTGGCTCGGGCCTGCCGTGGCGAAAATGCCGAGCAACACAGATACCAGCTTCCTCCTGTCGAGGCCCCCACCATACGGGCCATTGCCCCAAACCACCAGCACTCCATTCGATCCGACGTCCATTTTCACCAACACAAACAAAGCCGTCAGCGAAGTAGCCAACACACAGATGAAAATCGGCCTCGGCGTGGGAATATCAGTCGCTAGCCTGCTCACAATAGCGTTGGTGTGGGTTCTGCTGCGGCGGCGGAGGCGCAACCCCCTTGGCCAGAACGACAATAACATCATTGTTCACAATTACAATGGCGAGTACGGCTTTGCCGCGAAGAGCGAACTACCAGCCGAGTCAACTCCCGTGACGACGCACCCTACCACCGCCTCGCCCGCCAAGGTATACCAGCCCCTATTGTCGGTTGAGATGGACGGGGCGATGACGCCAGAGATGGGCGGAACCAGGACGCCAGAGATGGAAGCTGGATCTCTGCCGCCACAGAAGCATTGGCAGAGACATGAGCTTGGCTAGGCCAGGTGGGTGGGGAGGTTTGCATGGCGATGTGCTTCGCACGTGTCGAATCACTTGTCGACAAATATACCCCGAGAATGGATATTATCGTGTTACGCTGACGCGACGAGTTAGCCTCAAACACATCTGATGTTAGAACTCAAACAACTGATTGCTAGCCGTGAGATGTGGTAACGGGGAGGTTGGTGTGGGTGTGCACTCCTCCCGTCCACCTCCCTGCCGCAGTCGTGGTGGTGTATTACGGGCGTTTCATTCTTGAAATGTCCTGAGGGGAGGGTGGCTGGAACAAGCACCTGTAATCTAGACTAGTCTGAGGGGACGGGCCGGATGACGCCATGTATGCTGTGTGGATTGCGGAAGAATCTTGCTAATGCAAAAAGTGTGAGACAGCGAGGGGGGCACTGCAGAGACAGCCCCTTCCGCCTACCCCTCGCTATCTCACTATCCTGGAAACAAATTTTCCTGGGTTGGGAGACGATAGAAAGGTTCTAGCTGTGCTCGATGGATGAAGAACGATAAACTAAGGTAATTGCTAATGGCACAGATTTTGTTTATTAGCTGCAGACGGCAACAAATGTTTTCCGGCCCGCCAAGTGCCCAGGCCACCAAAAACATTCCTATAGCTCGCCATAAGAGCCTAGAAAGAACGAGACACGCGACATTCTTCGGTCCTGGGATTTGGGCTGCTGTGTAAAACCTATCCCATTATGTCTCGACCGGTATATTCCCAACCGCCCTCACGGCTCGTCATCGACCCAACACGCTTCTATTTAGATGTTGGCCTTTCTACCGCAAAGCCTAAAACCTCTGGGGCATTTGTTCTTTGCTGGTTTCTTCTTCTTACACTGCATCGACCGACTTCGGCTTGGAAATGACTTGTCCTCCGCTGACGCCCAGACTGCACGGCGACTCGCCGAGGGAGCCGCAGGGAAGACCTGTCGCCAACTTCCCAAAAACAAACCACAACCCGCCAGCCCTCAGTAGCTAGACGGCTAGGTGTTGACGATCGTGGCTCCAAGAGACGCAGGCCCGTCCCTCCACCACCCACGAACTGACAAAATAGTCCGCGCCAGCCACACCAACGAGAAATCCCAAGCAAAAAAAAAGAACAAAGCACACTCCCACCTGCGCCGAAAAGGACAACAAAGTACACTCCCACCCTCATAAACGCGCCGAAAAGGACAACAAAGCACACTCACACCCGCATAAACATCCTGAAAGTGTCAACAAAGAAAACCCCACCCTCACCACCACGAAGCCGAACAGCCGGTGTGCCGTGCTATCTAACGATATCCTCCAATCTGATTCCCCAGCCTTCACTTTCAATCTCTCTAATCAGCTGAACGAGTTCTAGCTTAACTCTTCCGCTCAACCGTATATGAAGGCCCTCGTTCCACAAACCCCAGCCAACAACTGGAATCAGAGTCGTCATCATTGCAAGAGCTGTCGGTATTCTGTTGGCTACTGGAACCGTGCAGATCTTCCAGTCACTTAAATCTTCCATCGATAATATACGCTCCTTAACGATAGTGAAACTCAAGCCTCCGGGGTACTGGTCGCCGACCTCTGGGGTTTGATTAGATGGATTAAAAAGCCTATCCCTTTCCAGGTACAGGTACCCAAAGAAAAGGGAGTAGACGAGAAAGTCTCCAGCGCCGAATATGAAGGCTTTGTATTCAGCCCGTACCGCGTGGTTAAAGAGCTGACGTTGCTCTTCCATTAAAGAGGTTATCTTGTTTCTGACCCTTGACAAGATATTCAGACGCCTGATATCAAGTTGACCTATATAGCCCGTTAGCCTACGTCTGTATCGATAGGTACCTATCTCGTATTTATACATACTTGTTATCCGCTCTGGCAGTTCGATACCATAGCTATTTTCAGGCCCAGCTTGCCACTGAGAAATGAGAAGCGTCGCTTGCTTTTGAACGACCGCGGAGAGCTCCCAGAATTCCTCGATCATTTGCAGCTTCCACATGACCCATAGCCATAGTATGGCGTTCTCGTCAAAGGTCTTCGAAGGTGGGATGAGTGACGCCCAGAGCCTTGCTTGGGCTAGGGGCTTCTCTCCGACATGCTGGCCGTACTTGTCAACGAGGCGCAGGAACCGGACAAGCACATCCCACTCGACCTCGCTCGGTAGCACGTAAGCCTCGTCGACAGCCATCATTCTCAGCAGTTCAAAGGCACGCTCATCGTCGACGGCATCCGGTCTCATCGGGAATGTAGCACCGCCATTGGCCACGTCTTCCTCGCCTCGAGGTTGATCACTCTCGGTCTCATGGCCGCCGTCAGATCCCGCCTCAGAAGGGGCACGTTCGGTCTTAGCATCGGAATAATCATCCGTAGTTGATTGGACCGAGGAAAAAAGCTGAAGGGTAGTCGGCAATGCGCACTCGCTCCTTTTGTCCTGTTTAAACACGGTATGATTGCGGCACTTTTCTGGCTGAAGGCTCCTTCCCCGACTCGAGGAGCAGCGCAACGATGCCACGGCGCTAAGATCTCGGCTGGAATTGCTGTTCTGTAGCACGCCAATACCACTGAGATTTTCCCCCAGTGACAAGAACTCAAGTTTGAACCGGAGCTCTTCTGCTGCCAAGCCGTCTTCTCCATGCTTAACTTGCATGGCAAGGTGACTACACTCGGAGTTGCATGGCGTAGTGACGATAAACACCTGCATCCCGTCTGTGATGTGGACTTCCGTAACGCAGAATATGGCGACTGTTGAGTCTTGCTCAAGGCTGCAAAGAGCCAGATCCACCGGCTTGGCCATGAGAAGGTAAGACTCGCGGTCGGTACAGAGCCTGATCGGAGGAACAGTAGAGCTAGTGGTTGTGATTTCCACGTCCGTGGCATATGCCGTGGGTTGGGCGGTGGCGTGTGTCGATAGGAACTCTATCAGCTCCTCCATTTGCATCCCTCGAGTTTCGTCCCATTCTGACTCGGACAACGACGCGATGACATCCTCAACTCGAATGGCGTTCGAGGTGTCTGGGGAATGGCTGTTTGCACTATCAGCGGCATTATGAGGACCGGTTGCCAACGTATATGTTGTCGAGTTGATAGGCACTTGAACTAGCGTGCGGTTGATGAGGACGATGGCGCATTCAGACCCTGGCGGAATGTCTTGGCTTGGAACTAGTGGCTCTTCGTCGTCTCCGGAGTCATCACCGGAACTGTAGCCGCTAATATCACCGCCTGCAACTTCTTCATGGCCGCGTTGATTGGCTGTATCGGCATACCGAGGTGGTCCCGCAGTTGAACGGGAGCTTGTTTGCAGACCATCCCCCCTTTTCTTCTTTCGGGGACGCCGATGGCCTCTCGAAGAGAACGGTATCTGGAAGGAAGATCTGGGTATAGAGTGGTGCAGGCGTGCGTCAACTTCAAGTCCGGCTTGCCCGAGCTGCACGCTTTGCTGCACTTCCTTCAGAACCTTGCCATGCTCCGCCATTTTGGCCTGGAGTTCTTGGAGAAGACTGCTTGTATCACATTTCCTGACATGATTCCGTGTCAGTCTCAACAACCGTAATCCCCTGTTGCGACGCGGGGCAGGGCGGGATGCCACTCTAGGCACTTACCACGAGGAGGAAGCCTTTATGGATGCTAGTGTGAGCGCCATGTGAAGATGGTGGTGGGCCTGCTCAACCGATTCGATCATCTTTTCGATCCTTTCCCGGTCCACAATGAACCCAAGAGGTTTGAACACGCGGGAAATTTGCTTCCGAGCCCAGCCACCCGACAGCTGACCATGCCTCTCCAGCAAATTCTTGGCCTGCTCTTTTACCTCGGACAGCACGCCATTGACGTGGTCAGTAAATGGGATTTGACTCTGCTGCGTATCGGCTGGGACGACGAGGCTTCGGATAGCCGGACAATTGGATAGAACGGTCGCAAGAACATTTTGGATCTGGGTCGGACGCTTGTCAGCATATGACATGCAAAGAGCTTAGGAAGCTGCCGGCAACCTACGCAGGTGACTGCATGCAGACCGTCGCGATATCGCTTCCAGTCGTTCGGTGCATCCTTGACAGTAACGCATAACTTGTTGATTCTCGTCGCGACTTCTAATAGCGTAATGGCGCCAGAGACGGCGCTGAATACCTCCATTACAACGCCAAAGCGTCTCGCATTTCCGGCAATTTTATGGTGATTTTTGACGCGGACGGCAAAAGTGGTTGTAGAATGTTGTGAGTTCAAGGCTCTGGTCCGGGGTCCATGTCGGGGGCTTTCGCTATTTTATGAAAATGATCAGGAATAATGGATGCCTACAAAATCGCCTTACGGCTGCCTTACCAAGCCTCATGGTTCTCTCTAGCCAGTCAGCGCTGTTCCCTAAAAGAACTTTCAATCAGAGCTCTTTACCACTGGCCAACATCGGGTGCACAACATGCACTAAACCTACTAGGCTGCATGTTTGTCGCGCCAAGGCATATCCATGGTATTTTCGAGACTTCTGAATGCTTCAGAAATGTGGGGGGAAGCTGAGTTTGAGGGTTCCTGGGCAAGATGGTTGGACCGTCGGGGTGCAGTGAAGCATACAGCCCGCAAGCCAATCTCCATCCCAACTCCATGCCCCTTCCAGTCTCTGGGGGGCGAGCTGTGGTAAGGATGAGAAGATGCCTGCGCAGACTCCAGATTGAGGTCTAACCACAAAATCAGAAAGTCGCCCGGCCCGACGTCGCGGTCAACCCGGAACGCCGTGTGCCTCATACAATGACGGCAAACCCTAGGGTCCCAGCTAATATGGCAGTGTTCTTGCTAAAATCTTGGTGCTACAGGGAGTCACGGCGAATCGATACTGGTCAGAAAAAGAATCTGACTAATCTAATGAGGATGTCTATTCGGACCGTCAAAACGTCTGCCCAAGCCGTAGTCCCATACAAAAGGTACACTGAATTCCCGCCAAGCCACTAGCCCAGCCAAAACCTAGTTTTACCCGCAAAAAAAGATGGCTGGCCCGCTTGCCTTGAGATGGTGGTACAACGCAGGCTCAACCCCGCCCGGCGCCCAGGCCATTTTTACCTACAACTGAGACCATCGCCAAATCCACCGCCTGCGCCCTACGCCCGGGCTACATAGGCCAATTTTTACCTGCAACAGAGGCCATCGCCAAATCCACCAAACCTTCCCCCTTCAACCACAACACCGCCAATTGAGCTACAACAACAACCTCGCGATTTTATCGCTACGCAAGTAGGTGCGCCGCTTCATTCTTCAATCTATAGTACTAACCAGCGATAGAAATGGCCGCGCGCGTGGATTTGTCGGATTCCGACGATCCGTTCGAGCTCAGCGACCATGAACCTGATGAGAACCGCGCCCCGCACCCTCCGCAGGACTACAAAGTCCTTAACTACAAATACGACTCGCTCGATGAGTTAATATAGGATGTTCGAGCCTGAGCCAATTCAGCTGGCTTTTCCGTGAAGAAATCGCGTACGAATAATAACGTTAAGGGCTTCGGACCTACGCGAGTCGATATTGCCTGCCTATAGGATAAAATCCGACCCTCAGAGGCTCATTCGCGCGACCCGATTACCAAGAAGCGCGATTGCGAATTCAAGGTAGTTGCAACGGCCTTGACTATCGATAACCGGAAATGGACCTTCAAGATTATAAAATCGGCACATAATCACCCTCTCGCTAAAGACCCTGAGCATCTCCTTCGCGGCCGCCGGGTCTTTATAATTGAAGAGAAGGCATTCGTGGCTGAGTATAATGATAGTGTGAGAGAAGGCAGGTACAGCGAATCAAGGTGGTCATAATGAAGGTAACAAGAAGGGCGAGCAATGACTGGTATTGAGGTAAGACTTCAACCTGGCCCTCGTAAAGGAAGGGGCGAGGGTCACTGTTTATATACATGCTCAGGGGCTCAGTCCTGCGTGTGCTTGTGAAAGCTTGTGGGAGTGTGGCGCCAAGTGTGGCTTTAGTGGCTTGTGCCAACGGGCAGTGGCCTGGCCAGTTGGTGCTCTTTCCTTACAATTGTCACGGCAAGTGCAGACAACTGGCTGGATTGGTGGGTCCCGCCCTGGCCCCACCTGGCCACACTGGATTTAAGCGGTGGTCTGTGCACACCACAACCACGCGACCCACAACACAACCTACTTCCCCCGCGCCCTGCCCGGGCCTTGGAAGCTTCTTTCCTTTTTTCCTTCTTTAGCTTTAGATTCTACGAATACAGCGACTACATTGCAGCCTTGCCTCATAACAGTTGACTGTGCGGTGACAACAATACTCTATACCCTAACCCTCGAGAGCTTCAACCCAGTATATGAAAAGCTCAAGGCATTGTTTTCCGGGTAGGTGGAAATCCTTGAATATATCGAGGAGATCTATATGCCGATTAGATCGTAGTGGGCGACTTGCTATACTAATGAGAAGCTCAACTTCGGTACCCGCACCACATCGCTAGCTGAAGTAGTAAACCGTTACCTAAAGAGCTTCATTACGGGTAACAGTACTATACTCGATGCGGTAAAGCAGTCCCTCAAGATAATCGAGGAAATGCGGAAGGGTATTCAGGAGAATCATAACGAGCAAAAATACAACCTCAAGCGTAAATATCTTGGCCAAAAATGGCTTGGCGACACTCCCCTAGAGATCTCTCGTAACGGCATGAAAAAGGTCACTGAGCAATACCGGGTTATGCTCGGAGCCGTACCGACCTTCTGGAACCCCACCCCCGAGCCCCTAAGTCCCTGCACCGGCCAGTTCAAGGCACATTACGGCATTCCGTGTAGTCATAACCTTGAGCGATATATGGATGGCCGTGTACGCCTTGAGCCGGGACAGGAAGGTAACTTGGTCCTTAAAAAGCTGTGGATTGTCACCCGTACTAGTGGTTGGAGAGGTCCATGCTTAGTAAGGACCGATACTTACGGTATAACGAATTCAACCGTATTGAACGTCTTCGTGGTAGACCCCGAGGCTCTGATGCGCTCGCCCTGGACCCCCGGGCACCTCGCTCAACGGCACCGATTTCTACGGCACTATCACGGCAAGCGCCAAGACAACCGGTCGAGGGGCACATGCAAGGAACCCCAACCGGGCTGCACCAAAGGTGGGGTCTGAGTGGCCCGTGCCGCAACCCCCCACGTGGCTCGAGGACCAACCCTACTTCCCCGAGCCCCGCACAGGATTTGGAATCTTTTCCTTTTTCTTTCTTTAGCTTTAGATTTTACGAATACAGCGACATTAGTGCAGCCTTGCCTCATTTAGTTGACTGTGCGGTGACAGGCACCTTCGGAAGCTCCGGCACCCACCGCACCCCCTACTCCAACGCCCACATCGACTGGCCGGGCTTCGGGCCTCAATCCTTCCATTCACCGTCAACACTCAGTGGGAGGGTGTCAGGCTTGAGCAGGAAGACAACAGGGACCAGGAAAACCCCAGGGATGACACCCCTGCGCAGGCACAACGAACTGTGAATAACCTCACGGGCCGCGGCAGCCGCGACCGTAAGGCACACCGAACCCGGGCAACAAAGGGAGGTCCTGGCAGCCGGGGCGGCCGTGTTGCCTCGGGATCGCGGGCATCTACATCGCTGGCTTCATCTGGCACGCCTGCCTCAACGCCCACGGCGCTCAGGGCGCGAGGAGGCATTACGAAGGCTTCCACACGCGGTGCAACAACCCGTCGTACTACGAGGGCTTTGGCTGCAGCGTTTGAAGCCAAACAAAGCAGTGATCTTGACGATGCGTAGGCAGGGCAGGTTTTTATGGATTTTTGGGCATATTATGTAAGCAATAACACACGTTAAGCCTCCGGCTTTTAATGTAGAAGTGAGCGATTTGAGCGAATTCTACGGCCCTGAGAGAAAATTACTTCATTTAGAAGTATGTTAAAGTTAGCGACGGCGGCGAGGTGCAATTGCGGTGCGAGGATATATGTGCGATTGATCTGAACTTGGGTGCGCTGGCTCCATCCCAGGGCTTGGCCTCCTCTTTTTTGGTGCGAAAAGTGGGGTTTTAATAGCTTGGCGCCAGGACGCGATGTACTACGGTCTGAAATAACGTTTTTGACGGTCCGAACAGACATCCTCAATCTAATTACTTCGTTTGCAAGATCTAAAGCCGAGGAAAAAGGAGAGGAAGAAGCCAGTTCCCAGCCTGTGGGAAATGTTGTGGGTTGCCCGTGCACCCGGCACACCGCTCAGCCCCACCAAGGCCTCTCTGATCTCTGACGAGGAACTACGTGTGGTGCGCGGTCACGTGCAACTCGCCCGTGGTTCCGCCCGTCACTGCAGGAGATGCGGCTTTGTAAGGGGTGACCACAAGGACAACCCAGAAAGTGTGCTTGCCTGTGTGGAGGGGACTAACGAAGTTCAATGCGTGTTGTGTATAGGGATCGCAGCGTTTCGAAGACACAGCCGTGTCAAGCTCTGTTCGCAAGTATCGAAGTCTGTACTTGTATTGCTCACTGGCGCTCCCGATCTGTCTGCGCCCGGGCGGTCCTGCCGTCTGTATATATCTAGGTGGTTCCGCGATCCCGTTCCTTCCTGACCGGGCATCGGGACCTTCGTGTGTTAGGTGTGCCCCGAACCGTGGCCCACCTTCTGACCTAAATCGTGACACTAGAGGTCAATGCTGTTCCTGGTTGTTGTCAGCCTTTGATCATTCGCTTGTTTAGGAATTCCTTTTGAACGGGTCTATATAGGTACTGTGATGGAGACGCCACTGACGTAGCATTCCCCTAGTGCAGCCGGCCACCGTCTGTCCTATCTGCAGGGTATGCAACTAGACCGCAGTGCTAGCCTATGTGACAATCTTAACGTGTGTACCTGTTCCTCGGGTCGGTGTGTCGGGCCGCCCTTAGGCCGTTGCACAGGTCAACTACGGGACGATGGTCCAAGGTGTGTTTGCTACACCTCGTGGACTTGACCTGGGCAAGCTCAGCAGTATGACATTGTATGGTAGATAGTAGGGTGGATTGAACTACGTCTTTATCTAGCCAGCCGCTGGGAAAGAATAGTCGTGCGGTAGGGAGTACGACGGATCGAACAGCCTCTTTGCGGCTGGAAAAAGATCAGTTATGCAGTAGGAAGGCATAACTACTACATCGCAGAACCTCAAACGGAGAGTGAATACGCTAGCTACCAAGTGCATTTCTTGGTGCCGCCGTTTTCTTTTTCCGGGGGGGGGGGGGCGGGGACCAGAAATAAGCCAACCCCATCTAGCTCAAACTTGTCCCTCATCGCGTAAAGTTAACAATCCAGTGGTATGGTGAGCCAGAGGTGAGTGAGCCGAGGGTGAAGCGAGCCTGATTTTAACCTAACAAAACTTTGGATGAGGCTTAATTTTTTTTAGCGACCAACTATCTAGGTATTCAGCTCAGGATTTGCGAGGAAAGCTGGAAAAGATGATAATTATGTGCAAGAGAGGTTCAAAAAGGGCGGGATGCATAGGCACAACTTTGCAAACAATCATTGACACCAAAAAAGACGACGTCCAAGGCAGTGTAACATTTCAAACGATGCAGAGGCCGTACAACCCCAGGCACATGGCCATGGTCCACAGGCCCAAGAAACCAAACCAACGGAGCTAACTAATGCCGTGCAACCAAGACTCAGACCTGTAGCGGCGCTAAATTCGATAGGCTGGGCAACGTCGGCCCCTCACGCCATCAGCGCGATGTGCTTGAGCTCGCTGCGCCACGTTAGCCTCTCAGCCAAGCGAAAAAAGAAATGAAAAAAGAAAATAAAAATAAAAATAAAAAAATGGCACAAGGGGGATATCCCGAACGACATACCTCTGGACCTGCTCCCCGACCTTCATGGGCGGGTACTCAACATCATCGCCATCATCTCTCCCCAGATTGAACTGCTCGGCGCGAAGCTCCTTAGCCTTGGCAGCAAGCGCCGGGATGGGCACCAGATCGACGTCCGACGACAGGTGCCAGAAGAAGGTAGACGAGATGCGGACGAGGGGGCGGTCAGGCTGCTTCTCACGGCGAGCAGCAATGACGGCGAGCGTCTGGTCGTTGACGACGACCTCGTGGAAGCCGGCCTTGACGAGCCCGCCCGTCATGTGCTCGAGCTGCTTGCCGGCCTGCACCAGGAGGTTGTTGCCGGGCGGGATCTTGACGGCGATGCGCCGGCCCGTGTTGCGCGCCCAGATGTGCAGCCCCGGGTACCGCGACCGCCCGTGGATGGTCAGGAAGTTGAGGTCCGTGTGGAACCCTGCGAGGATCGTGTCTTTGGCTCCGTACTTTTGCAGGTCCGATGCTGTTGGCGCCAGCAGATGCGGTCTGGACAAGGCATCGTGGGCGGCGGTTAGCAAAGTTCCGAGGCCGTCTGTGTTTTTCGGGGCGGGGGCGCAGATTCAACCCTACCCGTATCGCCCGGCGTCCTTGAACGTCTCGGCCGGCAGGCCCAGGCCCACGGCAGTCATCTCGGTGAGCCCTTCAACACTGTCGACTGTTGTAAGCCCTGCACCCAACCAAAGCACGTACTCACGTCTGCACAGCAACTCACGCATTCTTCATCGAGGCGCCCCACTGGTCCATGGTCGACCCCCAGCGGGCGGCGATGTGCGGGGCCTCGGGGATGATGTTGGGGGCGTTGAGGCCGGGGAACTTTGTGTCGTAGGGGGGGCGCTCGACCATCTTCCAGAAGAAGCGGCACTTGGGGTCGGGGTTGTGGGCGGTGATGTCGAGGGGCCGCTCCGAGGGCTCGAGGCGCTCAATGACGCGCAGGCACGGCTCGTCGGCGGCGCACTTGGGCTTCTCAGTGTTCTCCAGCGTGACGCCAATCTGGTAGCTCAGCTCGGGCCGCTCGTCGCGCTTGAGGTCCGCCTCGGGCTGCGCGAAGTAGTCCTCGAGCAGGTCGAGAAAGGCGTCGTTGTCCTGCTCCGACACGCGCGAGTCGTGTAGCACCAGCGCCCCAAATGTGATGAGCGCCTCCGCCGCCTTGGCACATTCTGCCTGCACCGCTGCAGAGTCGCGCGGCTGGTTGCGGAAGACGTCGAGGTCGACGACTGGCAAATCCATGCTGTGTGGTTGAGTGGTGAAGCTGTGAGAGTGGACAACTATTGAGGTGGGGGGATGCGATGACGGGTACGGAGTAGCGCGGGACCGCAGTAAAGTCCGGTCGAAATGACGGTGAACCAAAAAAAGACTGGCGATGGCTTGCTATGTAAATAGAGCCAGAAAAAAAGAAAAAAAGTCTTGCCAATTCTGTACCTAGGTAGTTGTGGCTAACTAAACCCGCAAATCTCTCATGATAACGCGCCCGATGAGGAAGGTCTCCCCGCTCCCTGGGGCGGCGAATTTCAAGGTGACCGTTGGCCTGCCTAATAAATCGCTGGTCCCGCGGCGTGCCGAGCCCGCGCCCTCACATGGGCGGGTCGCGTCGCTGGGCTAAGCTCCGCGAACCCCACCAGCATGACGGCAGGTGGCGAGGCCCCACGATTCGCTGTCGGCGAGTCCCGACGGGTCTGTCGACTGTTGGCAGCACTCAAAACCAGGTGATAAAACAAGAGGCCAACAAAGTCCCCCCAACAACGGGAAGTGAAAGCGGGCTGAAAGATAAGATGAAAAAAGAGGAGCGGCAAAAAAGGATCGGTCTCTCCCGCCGGGAATTGAACCCGGGTCCCGAGCGGAGTCGAATGACAAGCTCATATACTGACCACTATACTACGGAAGATTTGTTGGTGTGGACACCAACCGTAGGACTGGGCTGTTGCAAAGCGGGCCCGCTAATAGGCCCTATCACAGACCACAGGCAGAGACATGCATTTTGCCAGTAATGGGCTCTTTTTGCTTGATTCACAGGGGAATCCAGAATAGCAAAGAGAATTAACAAAGATTCAAGATGAATCGGATATCGGATGATAGGAAATTTATGGCCCACCTAAAACCCGAGATGAGATGAAAGGCAGTGTAATAGAGCATGGCAATGAAGTCTCATATTAAAGTGAATAGAATGCGAACCAATTAATTAAAAGGTATCGATTATAACTGTTATCGATTATATCAAGGTATCGTACATTAAACATGCTCGACGCGCGCCTCGTCGACGCCGTGACCATCCGAGTCGTCGTCCTTGCGGAACTCGACGGCAACCATGATCTCGGTGCTCTGGATGATGCGGCCGCCGGCCTCGCGCAGCGGCGCCCTGTCACTCGAGTTTGTAGTCGTGGTGGTGAGCGGGGACGGACCGCCGCCCGAGATGACGACCGTGTTCTGCTTGGGCGAAATCTTTGAGATCTGCGTGTCGTTCTTGCTCTCCGACACGTACAGCCGCCGGCTCAGCGTCTGCAGGTCGCGGAACAGCGTGCGCAGCACCGGAATCGACGCCGCCATAATAGTCACGGCCGACTCGGCCGCTCCCCAGAGGATAAGAGGCGCCGACACGTCTGGGTTTGGTCAGCAATCGTGTCTCAAAGGGGGAGTACGGCGATGCAGTGCAGGGCGGTTTGGCTCACAGGTAAAGTCGGGAGATGCAAGCGTTGGTATGACGGTGGTCTTGACTACGGCCGTCGCGCCGGCGCTGTTGGTCACGGTCAGTACTGAGCATGCTCGAGTTTGCAGTGACAAGAGTTGAAAGACCCACAAGATTCCCATGCTCATGGCCAAGGCAACGCCGACTTTCTCTCGCCGCTTCATCTGCAGGTTCCAGATGACCGTCCAGGGGAGCAGCGCGAGCACAAAATCCATGGCGGCTGAGTATCCTGCAGAACATCAGCGCCAGGCCCCAACAAACCAGACAGACGCCACTCGGCTTCCACTTACCCGCGGCAAACATGCCGAAAATGGGATATACCTGCGGGTCCCAGCAAGTCCCCGGGACGTACGGGTTCCACGTCTTTTGCACGGGCGAACAGCGCACCCACAGGAATATGGCGTTGAGGCCCATCAGAATGTTCACCGTCGCGATGATGAACCAGACGAAAGCCTTGGTCCGCCCCTGCACCAGCCGGAGCAGCGTGACGGCAAACGACGTCTTGCTCCACATGGCAGCGAGAATGGAGAAGGTGCCCGTGAAGTTGCCCGTGATGCCGAGGAACGCAAAGTTCTCGAACGGGACTGCGTACACGTGCTTGCCGAGGCCTTTGGGCACGCTCGCCGTGACGAGGACTATCGACGCCAGCAGCATGACCTGAAATTGGTGTCAACGAGAGACCAACTGGATGAGCGCTAGCTTTGAGGGCGGCAACGAATGACTCACCCAGGACAGGACAAGCACGTAGTCATCCCACCACAGGCGGCGCTTGGTGCGTAGCTTGCAGAACAGGCGCACGGCGAGGAAGACGGCCGACAGGCCGGTGAGGGCCCACGTCGTGGCCAGGATCTTGGAGCCTTGGTCGTCTTCGTCCATGGTCGATCGGATGCAGGCAGCGGCAGTCCACTTCTGGAATTGACAGGACACGCAACTTAATTACAAGGGGCCGTTCGATTGGGAAAAGGAAACGGATGCAGGGACCCGACCAGTCGAGCCAGTCAACCAGGACCAGCCCAGTCAACGCAACAGCGATCCCATGCGAGTCTTATAGACACGGCGCCGGGGCCGCGGTTCGCAAAAGCACGTGTGGGAGGGATTTTGGGACCCTCGCCGACGAGGGGGAAATCCTTGTGTCCGAGCCACCAACTACCCCCCCCCCCCCCCCTTCTCTCCCCCCGCTGCAGGCGCACAGGCTCCTTTCGCATGCACGACACCAACACCGGCCAGCGACAGCCCAAGCAGGACTCGGCCAGCGCGAGGACATGGGACGACGGCTCCCAATCCAGCAGAGTGCGGGGCTGGTGACAGGACAGGCAGGCCGTCCGTTTGCTGTCTGTCAGGGTCCGAGTCCTGTCACCCCTTCCTCCCCCGCTGAATGCAACCGCTGCCCGCCCGCCCGCGTAGGACCGGGAGCCGTGGGAGTGGGAGGAGAGGGTCCCAGCACTTCCGTGCCCAAATGCTGGCGGCGAATAGTCTGGCAACCCACGGACCGCCGTGCATCAAAACAAAATGGCAGCCCGCCGCCACCAACAAGAAGAATTCGCCCATTTGGCAGACTTGCGATTGCTTCCTTCCCATGGACGTGGCCAGATCCGTCGAGCCGTGCAGGATCCGTGTCGGCCCCGTGCTCTGCGCCCTGCCTCTGCGGTGGCATCCGGGCGGTATTGCGCGCCCCCCTTTCAGGACTCGGAGGCAATAGACGGACTCTCGTCATGTACGCTTCGGCGCGCAGCAGTGCCATGCGCACAGCAGATGCCATGCGTGCAGCATGCAGCACATCTAGTCGCCGCGCCGAAGACCCGGATCGGCAGGCACAATGCCCTTTTTGCTCTTGGGTTTGTGCTTGTGTTTTGCTTGCTGGCGGGTCAGGTCAGGCTCGGATTGTCTCGAGATATTTCAGCAGTTGCAGAGACGGGGTAGTGCTCTTCGGGTCCATAAACACCACCGTGCAAAATCTTACGTAGGTGGAAATGTTTAATTGTAATTAGCGTACTGTACCTGCGTCGGCGTAACCTCAATACATTATAATACCAGACGTCATTGATTCGCCTGTGGGTGGCGCGGATAATAGTGATGTCACAAAGCTGGCGGCATTCCTCCATGACGTTATCGACTGCGGTATATTATGGCGAAATTTTCCCACCAACTAGAAGCAACAACTCTCTGTCAGCCACCTCAAGGTACTTGATCTTGCGTAAATCAGCCAAGAAGCAAACAATCCAACCCAAGAGACCAACCCAAAAGGTGAAAAGCTACCTACAGAGGTCCGTCAAAATGTCCGATTCCAAGCAAGGAGGAAACCTCTTCGACATGGCCAAAGACGGGACCAAAGGCATGAGCCTCCGCCAAATCCCCTCCTCCCCTCCCTTCATCACTTACCATACTAACCCATCTTCGCAACGTCCACAGTCCCCGAAGACGCCGCCAAGCCCAACATCATCCCGTCCGTGGCGCGGCCGGACCAGCAGGGCGGCCCCGACACGAGCGGGCTGGGCCAGATGGCCGACAACGGCGTCGGCGCGACGGGCATGGGCGAGGTGGTGGGCGCGGCCGGCGGCGAGATCCCCGCCGACATTGGCGGCAAGTACAGCCGGTCTGGCGGCAAGGAGCGCGGGCAGCCCGGCGCGCCGCACGGCGGGCGGAACCAGCCGTCGCACGGCTAGCTAGTTAAGCCGGGGGCTGCAACGTGTTGTGTGTAGAGTCGGATCGTTTGTTGAGGCAGCGGCAGGATGGGCAGTTGGTGTTGACTTGTCATGTAACCTTGTGGATTTTTGTTGGCAGGGCAATGCACGTCGATGAGAGAGCTCCAAGTCTTTTTGCCGCAATTCGTCGTCCAATGCCCAAGCAGACCTCTTTGTAGATGGGTAGATGTAGAAAGATGAAGTCGATAAAAGATTCCTGCCTTGTTGTCTGTCTTCTATCTTGAGGACGGCCGGGGCAGGGCAACCACCCATAAACCCGGCTGTCTCCAGGATAGAAGACAGATAACAAGGCAGACATCTTCCATCTACTTCATCTCCCTACAGCAGCGTTGCCACATCAAGAAAGACCTAGCCTGCTTTGGCACAAGCTCCAAAGACTATCCGTAGAGCCGCCATACTAGAGGCGCCCGCCAAGGTCACACTAGGGCAGGCGGTTGCCTTGAAAGACACTTGCCTGGGCCACCTCCATCGGCACGAGTCGCTGGCTTTGTTAGAGCTGCATGTGCTGGGTTTCTGAGACGACGAGATCGTGCAGTTTTCAGTCAAGATGGGTAATCTGCTGCCCGGTTAGACCCTGCGGTAGCCGCTCAGGGATACAAAGGGACAGCTTGGTGCGCGATTTCTGAGCCCCAGTGGTTGTTGGCTTGGCGATTGTCTAGACAACTGACTATTGGCAAGGAAGAAGCTCAGACAGTCCCAGTACCCAGTGCCCTTTACCTAGAATCAACGTCATGGGGTGGGGGTTTCCATATGGAGCAAAGGAATCGTGAGCTGCAAGTCCTCAAGCGACAGCACTCGAAACCGCGACTTTCGTCATCCCCCAGGTCTCTTATTTCCCTTTTCATTGCACTCCAGATATACAATACAGAAAGGGCCCTGCCTCGCTACCAAAAGGCCCTTCATTCTCGCACCGTCATTCAACGAGCTGCAAAGTTAGCAACTGTTAGCCCAGCCGCCTCAGATCATACGCGGTCGCGACTTAATCCGGGGAGCACTCCGATCAGACCCGTAACCGTCTAACACGCCCACAAGAGCCTGCGATGACTTCGACCGTGTGTCTCAGACGTCTCGGTGAATCCGGCCCCGGCCAAGTGTCAATCATTGCCCGAACCAACGACAGCCGAACCAACGACAGCTGAACCCGCGATAGCGACTCGTCTCAACCTGGGATTGGCCCCGCGTGCAGCCCACCCTCATGCACGGGGTAATATTCGCCGAGTTGAGAGGGGATGCCACACACTTTTATAACCTGTGGTCTTCTTAAAGAGGGGGTGTGTCACTGCCAAAGGGGTCGACGGCCGACGCAATTGGACACCTCCTCTCCCCAGGAACGGACTGGCTCGCCCTCGGCTGTACGCCATTGGCCTGCAGGCCAACGTGATAGCTGCAAGTCTCGAGCTAATGGGATGATTCGTCTGCCGTGGGGGTCGAAGGCTGCCGGCGGCATCTCTCTGCTAACACCTATGGCCCATATCTTAAATGCTCGGGTAGGTATAGTTATGGGACCCCAAGAGGGGGAGCATCCCAAGCTGGCACCTGCGCATTCACTGACACCTGCGCTTTCACTGACACCTGCGCTTTCACTGATTGCCTTGCTTGCGATCCGCATCTGATTATCGAGTCTGCCAGACCGGGCACCACCATCGTCATCTTCCCAGCTAGTCACGGTCTCAGTCGGCCATGATAGCTTCCTACGACGTAGTCCTGAAGCTGAGGGAATCCCCCATCCTGTCCCTAGCGATCGCCTCCCTGGCCTATCTCCTCGCATACGCCGCCAAATCGTACGCCGGCTCCCCGCTCCGCCGGTATCCCGGCCCGTGGCTAGCAAGTACGGACACCCAGACGTGAGCTTTGGGGGAAACAAGGAACGAGACCAAACATAGAGACATTGACTGACTGCACTCGGCAGAGTTCACCAACCTGTGGCGGCTGTACCACGTGTCGCGCGGGAGTTTCCACCACGTCCTCGTGCGCGCGCACGAGAAATACGGGCCCGTCGTGCGCATCGGCCCCAATGTGCTCGACATTGACTACCCGGACCTCAACAAGACCGTGTTCAACACCAAGGGCGACTGGAAGAAGGTTCTCTCCCTCCCTGTCTCGTCCTGCCGATCGAAAACACACGCACACTGACAAACCTGACAGACCGAATCGGTGCTCGCGAGCAGCGCCATGGTCGACGGCCACGTCGTGCACAACCTGTTCAGCCAGACGGACGCGGCCAAGCACGCGCGCGAGAAGAAGCCCATCGCCAAGTACTACTCGGCCAGCGGCGTGGCGGAGCTCGAGCCGCTCATGGACAAGACCATCGCGCAGCTGTGCGACGAGCTGGAGCGGCGGTTCGTCGACGCCCCTGGCGGCGCAGCCGGCAAGCCCTTTGACCTCGGCAGGTGGATCCTGTACTGTAAGCCAACCACTACCCTACCCTCTCTGCCCGAGCGTCTAACACAACCGGTTCCTGCCAGACACGTGGGACGTGGTCGGCGCGGTGACGTTCAGCGAGCCGCTGGGGTACCTGTCGGCGGGGCGCGACTTTGACGGGATGCTGGCGACAGCAGACAAGTCGCTCGACTACTTTGCGCTGTGCCTGTGCGTGCCGGCGCTGGACTGGTGGCTGGCCAAGAACCCCGTGGTGCGGCTGGGCCCGGCGGGGTTCGACCCCGCGGTGGGCAACGCCGTGAAGCACCTCGTGGCGCGGTACCAAGGGACCGACGGCGGCTTCCACTCGGCGGCACAGCCCGACTTCCTCGACCACTTCATCGCGGCCAAGAGCGACGGCGCGGCCGACGACAACCAGATCGTGTCGTGGCTCATGATCAACGTCCTCGCCGGCGCCGACACGACGGCTATCTCGATCCGCTCCGCGCTGTACTACTGTCTCAAGAATCCACGGGTCTGGCAGCGGCTGCGCGCCGAGCTCGCGGCAGCCGGGCTGACCGCAGGTGGCGGCGGCGGCGTGGCGACGTACAGAGACGTGCGTTCGGTGGCATACGTCGACGCCGTGGTGCGCGAGGCGGTGCGCATGCTGCCGGGCGTGTCGTTGCCGATAGAGCGGTACGTGCCGGCGGGGGGCGTGCGGCTGCGGGACGGCAGCTTCGTGCCCGAGGGCGCCATCCTGGGCTTCAACCCGTACGTGCTGGGCCGCAATCGTGAGGTGTGGGGTGTTGATGCCGCCGAGTTCCGGCCCGAGCGGTGGCTGCGCGGCGACGGCGAGGCGGCCGACGCCTTCGCGGCCCGCCTGCAGGCCATGAACAACGCCGACCTCAGCTTTGGTGGTGGGAGCCGGTCGTGCCTCGGTAAGCACATGGGCCTGATGCAGGTGTACAAGGTCGTCGCCACTCTCGCGCTGCGCTACGACATTGCGCTGGCCTATCCCGACCGTGAGTGGAAGGTCATCAACAGCTGGTTCCCGAGGCAGGAGGGGCTGGAGGCCGTCATCGCGAAGAGGGCGTGATGCGGCTTTCTGTTGTCCGATTCTTGTTGGCTGAAAGGGGCGGCTATGACATGTGGATGGTCTCCATGCATCGAGAGTGCATCGGCTTGGAGTTGCCAGCTACTTCTCGCAGACGTGACGTCTTACTCGGGTGGAATGAGTTATTTGCGGGATACTCTGTTTGTTAGTCGGCGATATGTCTGCGAGTATTGCCAGTTGATCGCGAGGCCGCGGCTCTTCACTTTGCGCAGCCGGGTTGCCAGAGCTTGTGGGGTTGCCAGAGCTGGTGTTATGGACAGTTCTTTGGGAAGGCACGCAACTTTGCATGCGAATAGTAGTTCAAGAATGCCAAACACTTGATCGCTCCTCGTTCCCAAGTCGTGCAAATGATGCATCGACATTCGACAGTCTTGGGGGCATCGAGCCGACCCCGGGCATACCGGTAGACTTGGACTTTGCCCCCTTTTCCTCGACGACGGCACATCGCATCAAAGCCACGCGACACACCCCTCATATCGCGCCGCTTGCAACGAAGCCATCACATCACCGTATGACCCCCTATCACCCCAGCGTCGCACGTGTTTCTCGCCGATCGCGCAGCCCCACGGGGACGAAAGTAGCTTGACGCCATCGTGTAAACACCCCTGACGGAGGACACCTTTTGCGTTGGGGACGCTGCAGCCGGACACTGCAGCCTGAGGGCGGACAAGGCAGAGGCACAACGCAACAGCCAATTGGGCAGCGCGTGGGCTTGCATTCCCGCCTCGCCGCGGAAGCATCGCATCGAGACCTAATGGAAGTGCGCGATGGCAAGCGGCAAGACACGATGGCAAGCGGCAAGACAGGATGGCAAGCGGCAAGACACGATGCTTGGCAGCGGGAACCCCCAAAGTTGCCATGGCGAGCAGCGCATTAGGGCGCCCATCAGGTGCTGCGCCAATGGCGGCACGAAGGCTTATCTCGCGGTATTCTCGCGGAGGTGGGGCCGTGTGGGGCGAGGTGCGCCCGGCGGCGTCTTCACCGGTGGTCTCCTTCCTCTAGGTCGCACATCGCAGCTTCAAGACTCGAGTCTGATCACCTGCTGCGGCTGATCATGGCGGTCGTCGACATGCGGGCGACAGTGGTGGAGAAAAAGGTAACAGAGGAACAAAAGCCGTCAAGACCAGCGCAGCTCAAAGGGAGCCAATCTTGTATTTATGTCAATCTGGGCTCCTCAGCCAGCGCGGCGGAGCCTACTGGGAAGATCCCAGACGTACACGCGAACAGAAACCGTTGCTCCATAGCTAGTTTTCGTGGAAGTGGATAAGTGATTTGTCAAGCAGTCCTGTTATTACCGCAAACATCCGAAACCGGACAGGAGAGGAGGAGAAGAAAAAACAAAACCGCGGGCCGCGCCAGACTAGTATCCTGCCCACCTACCCAGCTCCCGCCAAACCGCCCCTCTAGGAAAAAAAAGTCCAAGCCAGAGACAGAGCGCGCTACGCCGGCCAACCCCCAAGTTCAACACTACGACGCAGCATCAGCGACGCCAACTCTCTCTCTGGCTTGCACCCCGCCCGACGAGCCGAGCTCTCAACTCTCGCCTTTTAATGGAATCGACAAGCGCCGCCTATCCAGTGCGCCGACGCTCTTTTGGGCGAGGGGGTGCAGGGAATATCCGTAAGACACAAACACTCGCAGGCACCGCCGCCGCCGCCGCCGCCGCCACCATGACTTATTGACTGACAACCCCGCGCGTGCAGGTTCCCATGCTGAGGCAACCGTCGAGGGCGAGGAAGGGCATCCGGGAGGGCGCAGCAGCGGCGGGAGCAGCATCAAGTCGACGTCGACGAGCGCGTCGCAACGGTCCAAGCTGTTCCTCAACGACATCCGCAACCTGTTCACCAGCATCACGCCCACCAAGCCCAGCACTCCCGAGTAGCGACCACGTCAGCACACCAAACGCAAGCACAAGCACGACTGCTTCCCCCCATAAATGCGAACCTAACGCGCCGCGTCTTGCACAGGCCGCGCCTGCTGGCCATCGTGGCTGCCATGCCGGGTCATGGCACAGGGGGGTGGAGGTGATGTCGAGACGGAGATGGGAATCTGTATACAGCTGCGGCGGGGGCGGCGGCAGCGGCGGGGGCGGCGGCGGTGGCGGCGGCGGTGGGAGGGGATTGGGAAAAGAGGAACAATCTACCATCATCGGCGTCAACACCGGAGTGGAGGTAGAGGCTGAGACGGCAGAGGAGCAACAGCGTAATGATGATGTCCAAAGAATAAAACAAGCCAGCCGCGCTGGCGATATATACCCTGGAAGCAAGCCCAGTAAGCGCTAGCCGTGACGCCTCCAAGTCCCTTACCTAGACAACAACCTTCAGCGCGAGCGCCGTGCAGTTCAACCCACGCGCCGGCACAACCGCACCCTCGTCTGTTGAGAGATCCAGCTGAATCCCACACCCAAGCCAATGCCTCGCCGGCGTCCCCGTAACATTCGCCGCAGCACACACCAACTCCCCCGCAGCAACACACCTGACGGCAGAGTAACTATCGCCCAGCGCAGCAAGCATCCCCTGCTGCAGCAGCCACACGGCACTGCTGGCATCACGCTCGCGCTTGCCGACGGCCGCGACGGCGGGGCGCCCGTCGCCGTCCAGCAACCCGACCGCACACAGGTGCCCGCTCGCCTCGACGCTGAACGCGCTGCCGCCGCCGCGCGTGAAGAGTAGTCCGTCGCCGCTGAGCGCGACGAACCACCCGTCGAACACGCCGCCAGGCTGGGCGACTTGTAGTTCGAAGGGTGAAGCCGTTTCGCCGCAGCTAGAGTCGGTTGTGGCTGTCGGCGTAGAGGTCGGCGTGGAGGCCGGCGTGGACGTGTTGAGCCACCGTGTGGTAGTCGTGTTAAGCCAGCGGGCCGTCGCCGTCGTCGTGTTGAGCCAGCGGGCAGTCGCCGTCGTGTTGGCGAGCATGGCGGTAGCGGTCGTGTTGAGCCAGCGCCCGGCAGTCGTGTTGGCAGGCTGGGTGTGCATCGAGGTGTTCAGCCACACCGGCCTCGTGCTGTTTGCCAGCAGCATGTCCCTTCCTGGCCTGGTGGCGTTGAGCCATTTCGCTGCCGCGGTGGTGTTGCGAGCTAGCAAATCGATCACCGTGGCGTTCAGCTTGCGGTACGAAGCAGCGTTGGCCGAGGATGTGACCGGCGCGGCGGTCGAGGAGTTTACATATCGCCCGTAGGTGCTGTTGCTCGCCAGTGAGGCGGGAGAGGTCGTGTTGGCCCAGAAGGGCGCGGGGATCGTTGTGGTTATCGTCGTGGTGTTCAGCACGTGTATGGTCGGCGCAGTGCTGTCTGCCAAAAGCGGCGCGGTCGAGTTGTTCAGGGAGAATTTCGTCGCGCCCCCGTCCCCCAGAGAGCCGGTAGAGGCGGAGGATGGCGAGAGCTTCGGCGGTCTGCTATCGCTTCCGCCCAGACGACCCCGTGTATCTGTGCCTGTAGTGTAGTATGCCACAGCCGTTGCTGGCTTGGACGCTGTTGTCAACTTTGTTGGCTGTTTCCCTTTGGGCAGGGACTTGCTCGAGGTGGTCTTTCCGAACCGCACCGCCGTGCTGTTCCGCAGCAATGTGTGGTTGGCCGGAAAAGGGGGGACTGTCGCGTTGGCCACCGTCTTGGTCAGGGTGAATGTGCTCGTCGTCAACTCGGCCGCTGCTGTCGTCGTGGCGTGGGATATGCCGAGGCAGGAGCACGCAGACGAGAAGGCGGCTACCGAGGAGCACGGCGATGCGTAGGCCGGGGTCGATGTCGCCGTGGCTGTCAGCTGCCGATTCTCGAGAGCCCGGCCAAAGGCAAACTCGTCAAAGCCACGGTATCCCAATTCGTGTTCGGCGGCCGTGGCCCTCGCCTTCTCAGCCGTAATCGTGGCATTGCGGTTTGTCGAGGTGACTGTCCGAGTCGTGGTGTGGGTACGTGTCGGCGGCGTGACGGTGACGCTGAAAAAAGAGAGGCAGTCGGCGGTGCCGTTTCTTCCAGGCACGGCGATTTCGACAGCTGAAAGGCGGGTGGGTCAGTTGCGAGCTGCCATTGAGTTGACGCCATGCGCGGCCCCACTGTTTGGCGGAACCTACCGCGAAGACAAGCATCGCTAGTGGAGCATCCTCCCGCTGCGAGGGCCTGACTCAAGCGTAACGCAAACGCTGCCAGGCGAGAGGGTCGCATTTCAGCTCCTAGGCTCCTTTTTTCACCAAACTCAGGTCCATCGGCATGACTGCGTAGAAGCATCCTCCCGCTCGAGTCGCGATGCTCGCGGCCATCTCCTTTTAATCGAGCGCGTCGTTAGACAGGAACTTGGTTCTTGTCTGGCACATTTCACAAGCAGGCTTTGGCTGCAGAAACCGGTTCTTACGTGGTAATTAGAGCCCCTATATTGCTATTCCATGCCCTATAATCCCCAAACGCAGCGTGCTACCTCGTTTTCCAGGGGTATGCTAGCTTTAGGTGGGGCGCCATCGTCATTTTATGCAGGCCAGTGGAGGTTGTTATGCAAGCCTTTATGTAGTTCCTGGAAGCATTATTCCAGACAATGGCATTTGGGTCTGTAGATAATTAGAATCTTACAGGTTTAGTTCTTTTCTTTTGCTTTGTTGCTTTGTTTTCCTCACTTTTCACAAAAGGTCGCAGCCGAAGCAAGTGTAGAGCCCGGGTTCGTATACGGAGTGTAATTACAACCAAAGGGTAACGTCCTGGAAGCAATGCTCGATGGCAGCTATGAACGAAACTACGACAGGAACCGGTACAAGCCCAAACAACCTACTATTCCAACCACGCCTACCAAGAGAGGTCCCCTGTTCGCGAAGAAATCCCGCATCCAATTGAGTCACTGTTGGACAATAAGAGCACCCCAACGGAAAACCCAACTACCGACGAGAAGCCAGCGCTGTCAGCACTATTCACACCACCCCGAAGTCAAATACGAGCGCCTTGTTCACTCCACAAACATTTTATTCCGGAACGTTTTCACTGCCTCGGTTGCATTCGGTAGACTCACTAGGCTTCACAAGACGAGCTCAGCAGAATGTCGAGAAGTATTTCACAATAATCAAACGATTAGTGTATCCAGTCTCTGTCTTTGGGCAGGTCCAACGTGGTCCATCCCCAAGACTAGGAAGGGCCATTTCTCCCTGCTAGTTCTATAGCTCCATGGCTGCTCTAGTTGGGTTAATAACTGATCCTTATCGCTTGGCCATTCCCTTGCCATTGCAGTGGCTGTCCGCCCTTTGTTCCCGAATCCCTTGTCAGGTTCAGGTACCTGACTTGATTATACACAAGACTTCTCATTCCCCTACTGACTTCTTCTCGTCCAGCCCTACCCTCTCGCTGTCAAACTCCCCCAACGTAGTTTGCTCAAGACCTCTTAAACCCCATTCCAGGTCTCTCAAGTTAACCCATATGGATATCAATCCCATCTTTACCGCCTCATATTTTCCACTCTACCCATATCACCTACGGCAATAGCCCCACAGCACGTGGCAGCATGCCCCTTGCGACGGATGAGCGACATCGAATGTTGGTCGCCGAGGCATATGACCTCGTCTATTACACCTGTTGTGTGGTTCCGGGCCCTGCGGGCTACAGTTTACCGAACCCCGACGAGTGAACATGGATGTGGCGCTGGTATACGGTCTCGAAACAGATTTGCTGGGTTTTGGGGCTCTGTGCCGCCGGGTTCTTCTCCCTCTCCTCGAGCCGCGCAGCCCTGTGTGCCATGCATTCCTGGATAGTCACGGTCCAGGGACTGTTCCAGGCAAAGTGTCTAAACTTGACGCTGTGCGAAGGGAAGAACCGATCCGGGTCTGCGGCCACCTGCTCCTCGTCCTCGGGTGCCGGGCCGTAGCGTACACAGGAGCAGACGTCCGGGCCGAAGCACCACATCTCCGGACGCCAGGGCGAGCCGGCCGACGCGTCCGGAACCATCCACGGCGCACCCTCCTTTCCGTACTCGTCGAACATGGCCCGCAGCTCCAGGGAGTCGAGCTTTCCGTTCTTCACAGTGAGCAGTCTGTGGCCGCTCCATCTGAGGACCACGTCGGCAGAAAATACGCTGACAAGGAGGACGGCACTTGTAGATGGCGGCGTCGAGCTCTCGACAGGCGAGGACTCCTTGCTGCTGCGCGTTTTGTTCTTGGAGGCCTTGCAGGCGTAGCGCCCAGTGCAGCGATGGCAACGAACAATGACGGCCGGTGCCGAGGTTAGTTCCCGTTCCCACCGAGCCCCGGTCCTTTCTAATGCAATATGATGTACCTTGTCCGCATAGACGGATTTGTGCTTACAGAGTGGGAAGGATTTCTTGGTAGACTGCAACACTCTCTCGTCGGGCTTCTCGTCCTGCTTGAGCACCCGGTCCCGATCGAGAAGCCGAATCAGGGGGAACTTCCCGTTTTTATACCCTAGCAGCTCCAGCGCGGCGAAATTCTCTCGAAATTGCACGAAATTAGGCGACCTAAGCCCACATCGGGGGCGAATAGTAGCACCGGAATGCCGCTGAAAGGAGTTGGCGAGGAAAGCCGGGTCGCTATGGACGAGTCTGCGCAGCAGCCTCGAGACCCGGCGGAGACAGAATAGCGACAAAAGGTCGTTGCCGTCTCGGATCTTTTCCAGGACGACGAGCAGAACTTCTTCGGGGAAACGGTAGAGAATGCTGGTTTCGCGGTTGCGCAGGCACGACAACACCCAGGGGTCCATAGCGAGGCTAGAGGGGCTGCCGGCGTTGGTCGTGTTGATGTCTGGGTGTGTTGGATGTTTGGGAGAGGCGTGAGGTGTGGGTACATCACTGGTTGTGGCTATCAGGTCATATGAAGGGACGCGTTAAGGACCTTTCCATTTGAGATGCCTTTAGGGCAAGAACTTCCAGGTATTATGCGGATCTCAGGGAAATAAATCACTTGCCGGCTTGGGATGAATAGGTGTATCAAACTATGCACAAAGACTTTAGATGGACGAATTTAGAAATTCGTGGAGTCCACCAGTGACCTAAGAGTTAATCCTTCCAAAAAGAGGACGTTTGTTCAGAGACTGTTAGTCTTGAAAAGTCCCTTGCTAGTCTTGTTTGACAGGCTCTCTCCTACACTAAGACCAAATCCCTCATTAGGTGGCGAAGTAGTTTTTTCAGCCTTCTGTAGTTTATTCTAGAAGACCTAGCTTTGATCAGGAGATCCCATCTGAATGCCAGAGCACCCTCCTAGGGCTCCCCGGCATATGGTAGTAGCCGTGATACTTGGGTCTTAATTCAGCCTGAAATCCGGAATTACCATCCCGCCTCCTAGGCTCCCATACGCTTACCATAGAGCTCGGATCAACAATGACGAAACCGTCAAAACCGTTACGAGCTACGGAGACGCGTCTTCTGAGGTGCCTTCCCTCTTTGACAATTTCTTCGTTGCTGGGTACCTTAGTTCGGCCTTTGGGTAACTTTGGGGTCTCTATAAAGCGGCCCCTCCGATGACAAGTGCCAAGGACCTCCAAGAAAAAGCCCTGATCAAAGCTCTTCTAGAACGACTCAAGGGGGGCAGTCAATATCTGAGGCAGAACACCCGTGGTCTGCCACAGCGCCATCCATCTTCCTCCTCTTGTGCTTGCTCTTCTTTATGAAAGGGTCTTGCCCGTGTGTGCCAATGCCAACTTGTAGTAAGTGCGTTAACGCCTTATACAGAAACTCAAAGCAACATTAGAGCAGCCTAAAGGCTTCGTGTGTGAGACTCTGATTAAGTACCTTGGCTTTGTATAGAATACCAAAGCCCCATCTCTTGGCTCTTTCTTAAAGAGGCCTGTTCTCATATCCTATTTTATTCACCGAAACATTGCATTGTTGCGACGCCTTTGACAACCCGAAGAGAACTTCTCATTGAACATCTAGGATCTGAATTCGAGTTTAAAGAAGAGTAGAAACGCATCTTTGTGTTATGGGTGTGAGCCATTTCACTGTTGTGACTAACCGTGGAAATTTCTCCTTGCGGAAAGTCTCTCATTGGAGCAGACGAAATAATACACCTCTTCTCTATTCTAAACATTTAGGCCTAGACTGAGACACAACGCGCAGGCTACTTATTGACCTTTCTTTTACTGCCATCTATCACGTTGGATCTTGTTTGCGTTGCAAGAGTCGGCGAATATTTCATCTTCCACAGAGACCTGTGAATATCTAGTAGAAAATATGCCAGCTACCCAAAGACAGCAAAAAACCAATACGAAGAGCTCGGCCATGTATGCTGTAAAACCATAATGCAAATGCTAATGCAACATCCCTCCCCAGCAACACGAAAAGCCAGCCAACCAACTACAGCCCACCGCAACCCCCCCAACCACTACTTCATATTCAACAGCAGGTAGCGTAACGCCGCATACGTCTCCTCGCCGGTGGGCACGATCTGGCTGGCGGGCAGCACGAAGCCGTTGTTGCCCGTGTCGCGGAGCTCGGTGGTAAAAGTGTAGTCGGAGCCGACGACGTCGTTGACGAAGTCGACGCTGCTGCCGGTGGCCTTGTAGATGGTCGAGCAGATGGGGCCGTACTGGTACGTGAGCCCGTGGGTCGCCTTGATGGCGGCCACGGCGCCCTTGGCCAGCGCCTGCAGCTCGGTGTTCTTGGCCGACACGGTCGTGCACGAGTATCCGTATGCTGAACCGACACAAGTTAGGCATGCAGGTCCGATGACGGGGACATGAAAGAACACTCACGCGTCATGAACAGCTGCGAGTACGAGTGGTAGTCGATGAAGAGCTTGAGCCCCTGGTTCGCCTTGGTCGTCTTGAGCCATGCCACGAGGGCCGTCGTCTCGGGCGCGTCCGACTGCGCCCTGCCCTTGAAATCCTCGGCGCAGGGGTCGGTCGACGCGCCGCCCGTCACGGACCACTGGTAGGGCCAGTTGCGGTTGATGTCGTGGCCGATGCAGGTGCTCCCGGAGGTGCTCTGCCGGTTCTTGCGCCAGAGCCGGTCGGAGCTCTGCGTGTAGAGGAAGCCTGTGACGGTTGGGCCAGTCAGCATCGAACTGGCTCGAGATTGTCTGGGGAGAATTGCAGCTTACCGTCCGGGTTGACCACGGGGAAGATGTAAAAATCGTATTTATCCACAAAGCTCTTGATTTCGGCCGACGTGGCGTAGTTGGTCAGGAGGTTGTATCCCAGATACTCGACGACCTTGGCTCGGGGTTAGCATTTGCGCAGCAGCAGCGACAACAGGAGAAGATGGACAGGAGAAACTGGACAGGAGAAACTAGACAGGAGAAACTGGACAGGAGAAACTAGACAGGAGAAACTGGACAGGAGAAACTAGACAGGAGAAACTGGACAGGAGAAACTAGACAGGAGAAACTGGACAGGAGAAACTAGACAGACGCACCATGGTAGAGATCCACTCGCGGGCGTGCACAGTGCCGTGCAAGACGATGGCAGGCTTGACCCCCTTGCCGGCGCTCCCCCAGAAGTGGATGGCCGTGATGGGATTCCCGTTGAGGGAATTGCCGGCCGTGACAATCTCGGACTGGGACGGGAAGGACGACTGCAGGTCCCTCAAGAACTGGAGGTGGTCGCTGTAGGCGTGGTACGAGTTGAACCACGTGGCGTTGGCGGAGCCGGCGGCGTAGACGGAGAAGCTGGACTCGTCGGCAATTGCGGCGCCCAGGTCCTGGTGCATGGTGATGACCTCGAGATCGGCGACATCGGCCCGGAAGGCGGCGGCCTGGGCCGGCGGCACGACGATGTCGGCGTACGCGCCGGCCCGCGGGGCTCCCTTCCACGTCTTCAGGTCGTACTTGTCGACGAGGGCGTTGATGCGGTTGATCTCGGGCCCGACGGCGACGCGAAACACCTTGTAGCCGTCGTACGATTTCTTTGCCGGCCTGGGCGGGGTGGCGATGGACGCGGCCGTTGCGAGCGCGAGCGCGCTGGAAAATGCGACGAGGAGCTTCATGGTGTGCAAGATTTTCCCGGGGCAAAATCCCTCGGCTCGGCGACAGAGGACAACAGTTCGGATGGCATGACAATAAGAAACGGTCTTGGCTGCGGGATCTCCATGGCGGTCTTATAGCCGCCCGTGCACGCTCGCTCGCACTCGCACAGGCGAGGTGGCAGGCTTAGCTAGCTTTGGTGCTAGGTAGCTTAGCACACGGATACGAGCAATATCACGGCCTCGGAGCGTGGGCGATGAGGGCAGACGAACCTTCCGCTTTCGGGTGCAAGCCGCAGGGTGCGCTGCAACCTTCCCAACGCTCGCGGCACGGCATGACGAGTGCCGCTGTTAAATCAAGAGCCGCGGCTGCATGAGCGCTAGCAATAAACAGTGGAGCCCAATAGCAGGCCGTGATAAGCCCTCCTCTCTTTCCCATTCCAGCGCGGCCTTCCTCTGGGGCGCGGCACGGCATTGCGGCCGTAGATCGCCCTCTGCCCCCACTGTTCGTTCACTGTGTGTGTATGCGTGTGTGTGCGTGTGTGTGTGTGTGCGACCCAGATCATGGATGCTACCTTACTTAGTACCCAGATGCCGAACCAGGGTCGACCACCGCGTGCCAAGACCCACCCGACCTTCCCTTTCGGGGACTTTCCAAGGCATGCGTGCTGGTCCTGTTGTTCTCGAACGTCGAGATCGTGAGAGACGGACAGACTACAGGCGAGACCAGGGAATTAGCTGCCTGATCTCTGTAACCTTGTTTGCACAACGTCGTGCGACGACACGGGCGGGTGTCAATGCCTCGATCTCGCCATCGCCAGAACCAGCGAGCTTCCTGTTTGGGCGGTGGGATGGGACGGCGGCTGCATTGCGAGGAGCCCACGATGCTGGGCAAGCAGCTGCTAAACGTGGAAACTGGCCCGTCCGTCCTACTGCCGCCGGGTTCCTGCGCTTCCCCGGCCTTCCAAGGCGGGTGCTCGGGAAGCGAGGTCTTGGGCAGCCTCCTCATCAGGGCACATTGCTTGGCACAATCGAGATCAAGGTTGCAGGCGGGATATCGAAAGGGGAAGGACACCAGCAGTGACGTGGCCGAGCTGCCTGCACAGATAAGACTGCTGTGCGGCGCTGCTGTTGTGTGACTAAAACAATCATAAACTGTTAAACTGTTCGAGAATGAGGCAATTTTGTGATAATTCAGAAACGTTGAGACAAGATTCTCCACCACCACCACCCAGCTGCTCGATCCTTATTTTTCTTAGATGATGATCTGTCCATGACTGTGTTTGTTTTCCTCTACTCTGGGAGCGACTTCCACAGGCAGATCTAAATGTCGCCAAAGCGAAATAGCTCATATCTATCACCATTCACACACTAAAATAACATAATGTCCGTGGCTGCAATTAATTATGATTCACATCTTCCAGCAACGGCCGAGCTATTATTACAGATTTGCCTGAGTGGACCTGTATTTCCTTCCACCCCTATAGACGTGTAGCGTTTGAATCTTTAAAGGAACATCAAGGCTCTCCAACCCGTGCAATGTCCACCCGGAAGGTCTTCCTCAGAACACTGGTGTTCAGAGCTCTCGCCCTTTGAGATCTGCAAACCACAGGCCAGATAGGTAAACAAAAAGATAGGCCAAAACAAAACGAGTGCCCTCCGTTTTTGCCAATAGACACACCCCAAACCCCAACCCCATCCTCTCCGACTCTCCTGGACAAGCCGCAGTTAATCACTCACCCCTCTCAACCACCAGCACACCCAAATGTACGCCCGACACCGCATACTCTCTCCAAAACGCCGCCTCCCTATCCCCAGCCCCATCCCCACCCCCATCTCCCTCAATTAATCCCTCCACCGCCGGCATCTCCACAGCGCGCCACTCAAGACGCCCGCTCAAACCACCTCGGCGAGCAGCGTCCTCGTAGACCTCGCGGGCGAGATGGTAGTTTTGAAACGTGACGTCCTCCCCAGCACCAGCACCAGCACCAGCACCACCGGGACCGTAGACAGTCATCTTGGTTTTCCACCCATCGCCCGACGCAAGGCGGTCGAGGAAGGCGACTGAGTAGCCTAGCACGGCGGTGCGTTCCGCATCCGTAGCGAGGTTGTTCGTGCGTGCCGCTAGCGCGTCCATGTCTGCGCGGCCGACGGGGGGTGGCGTGATGCCGACGAACACGCCGCCTCTGCTGTTTTTAGCGGACGCTAGCCGCAGGTTCGCGGCGATGGTGGCAAACATCCGAGTCAGTTCGGCGGCGCTGCTGGCGTAGTTCAGCAGCCAGGCGCCCGTAGCAAGGTCGAAAGCGCCGTGCTTTCCTTCTTCGTTGTCATCGGGGAGTGATATCCTGCCCAGCGAGACGGCGTCACCAACAATAAACCGCAGCCTCTTCTTGTCACCGTCGCCACCGGGCGCGTGCTGCTGCTGGCTGTTCGCAGCAGCGACCATCTCGGGCGAGACATCGACGCCGACGACAGCCGCCGCGCCCCACTCGAGCAGCTTGCGCGAGTAATAGCCAGTGCCGCAGCCGAGGTCGAGCGCGCGGGCGCCGCGCACGTGCGGCGCGACGGCGGCGCGCAGGTTGGTCGTCTCGACGGCCGAGGTCGGCAGGGCCTTGAAGGCGTGCGTGTAGCGCGAGCCAATGGCGTCGTACTGCGAGGGTGGCGGTGTCGCCATGGCTTGTTCGTAGTAGATACTCTCGAGTGCGGGAATGCGCGGGTTTGTGGAAAAGGTGTTGCGAGACGGCGAGTGAGGGGATCGGCTATAATACACAGCCCGGTGCTAAATAATTGCCTCCCTACATTCCTTGTTTGAGCCTGTGGAGTTCCCCGCTCTGGCAGACTCGTAAACAGCGAGCAGTGCCGTCATCTCGTGTAACCACGTCAAGGGTGAATTTTCGCGAGGAAACTGCCAGGTAAAAACGCGCTTCAATATTCAAAAGTGTTGAAAACCAATAATTCGTGTTCAAGCCCCGGGAACTAAAAATTCGTAGTTTCCCATACAAAAAAAAAAAAACATCGTCCGTCCGAAAATGACTTCTCTGCTTCCCGTAAACAAACTCCAAAGCCAGCCCGCCTAGGCCTAGATCTCGTAGATCCCATAATCCAATGTCAGGTTAAACAACGCCAACTCCGCGCCTCAATCCCTTCAATGACGTAGTATGCAAAAATGAAAGGAGAAAGAAAAGAAAGAAACGTCAGAGCCAGCGGATGACAGCCATCCACTGCCGCCAATTTTCGGCGCGAACATGACAATGTGGAGAGTGTAGTGCAGCATGGGCTTCCCTTTCCCTCTTCGCCCTTTTTCTCTGCAAAGCGAAGGCCTTCACGTTGTACTACCTGCTCCCCATCGCCACACCCTTGGTGAACATGCTCCCGTGACTCGTATTCCGTCACCGTGCAGGAAATCAAAAGTAAAACTGCTGAGGCGGCGGCTGTCCCGGCGGCGGTTGGGCGAGAAAGTCAAAGTTCATCGAATCCACGCCGGTGTTAAACGGATCAGGCGATTCTAGATAGCACGGTTGCAGTCAGTGTCTAGCTCGTAGCGCGGACAAGGAATGGACTTACCCCAGAAGATAGAATCATACAAGTCCATCGGCGCCATGTACGTGGACGGGTCGAAACTAGACATGTCAGGCAAGCCGCCTTGCTGCTGGAGCAGGGGGTGGCCAAATGCGGGTATCCTGGTCTCGGGTTAGCGCTTTGTCACCATTGCAGTGTGTGCAAGAGGGGAGACCGTATAGAATTTCCGGACATACCCATGGGAGAAATCGGGCGTGACACTCCCGTTTTGCTGCTGCTGCATCTCAGCCATGGCCAGCGCGGCGCTTTGATGAGGATCCAGTCCGAGGACAGAACCAGAGCTGAGGCCCGAAGGCTGGTTGGGCTGCAGCGGTGTGCGTGTGCCGGAACCCGGTACCGAGATGCTCCCTTCCCCCTTGACGCCCGGTGCAGTCACGGACCCGTGGTCGTATATGATCTTCAGGGCAGTCAGTGCCCGAGACAAGGGGCCCGAGAGCTCTATATCGTGGTCCGACTTTTGAATGTGCGGCTGCGGAGACGTCTGTTCTTTGGCCGCAGTTGCTGACAGTGCCGAAATCAAGTCGCCTTGGAGCTGGCGAACCTCGGGGTCGGCCTTGGTCTCGCCGAGGATGCCCAAGAGAACGGCAGACGACAGGCCGTGGTAAGTAAAGGCCCACGATCTCGTGGGTATTACAGAAAGCTGGTGCATGGCGAGGAACATGCGGACCGTTTCCGTGAGGTTCACCTTGCACCTGTCGGCCAGAAACTTCTTCTGCGAGCTGTCGAGCCGGACGCTCTCCACCGTGGTCAGAGCAGGTCGGCAGCAGACAGAGACGATAAACGAGGTGTGTAGCCGGATTGCAAAATGCTGCAGCCGATCGAGGGCGGATTTGCAGGCCTCCTTGACACGAAGCTGGGCCAAAAGCCTGTCCCGGATGCTCTCCACGGCTTCGCAGTTGTCCAGGATCTCCATGTATGTCGCACTCGCGATAGCGTCCGGATTCAACCGGTCCGAGATGATCTTGCAGAGGTGGTACATGGCCTCGAGGTACGCCCATCCTTCGGTGTCTGCGGTAGGAGAGAGCGGTATGGGACAGCAAGGAATGTTGGTCATTGAAGACCTTCAGACCCGTTAGTTCGGGGCCTCAAGAACATAACAAAGGGGTGTCAACATACCGGTCAAAGGACAAAGAAGTCAGCGTATCGTGCCAGAGACATGTCCACCTGTCAACAATCAGCACATCGTTGCGGACAAATCTAGACGCGAGAAGACGTACCATAGCTTCCTCCGTGATGTCTCCTTCTTCATCAGTTCGGCGCTCTGGCGGCTATCCAGAGCCTGAACTCGATGTAGGCCTAGAGACTGGGCCAGGCGGCACGTAAGGCCGAGGAGAGCCCACGAAGCCTCGGCTTTCATGTCATTTAGTAGCACGAAGCTCGTCATGAGCAAAGCCTGTATGGAGTCGAGATTCGGGCGGAGGAGGAAGTTAGCGAGCCGTAGAAAGTGGAACGATATCTGGATATACTTGTGGGAATCTCGCGTCCGGATGTGGTAAGGCGAGTCGTGGTATTGGGAGCCAACGGCAAGCACGCCAAAAAGCGTGGCCAGCCATGATGCGGACACGGGCTTGGGTGTTTTGGTCGAGGCCCTGGCATTCTTTGCGCGGTCCTCCAGGTAGATCATCAACTTGGACTCGAGGTCATCAATGTCCACGACGAAGCCCCAGAATGGCTGCGGGATCTCCTTGTATGTCCGGAACAACCTGTCTAGCATGTGAGCACGACACCGCACGCCATAGCGAGTAGGGGGCTTTTTGGAGAGCAGTACGCACTTCATAACCTCGCGGTCCGAGGGCAGCTCGGAGGAAATGTCCTGGGTCAGCCTGTCCATGTGACGGGAGGACATTAGAGGGAAGGGGGCCGACGTGTCGAGCCCCAGTAGGGAACGCATGTCTTGGCGGATGACGTTGGCCTCCTGTGGTGCGTGGGACGACGTCTGTTCTCTCAGCAGCGCCGGTATGCTGTTCTGGCCGACGTATCGTGCAATCTCGGCGGGCTCCGACTCTGTCGAAGGCGTCAGCAACAAATAACAACATGCCAAAGCGTGCCGCCGGAACAGCGGTCAGGCCACTCACCGAAGGCGCCGATCGACTCACGGGGCTCGCTGCTCAGGGCTCGGTCCTGGTCGGGATCGTCGGGCGAGTGTGGCCGCTTCTTGATCTGAATCTGGTCCGAGCCAAAAGAGCCAGACTTGCTCCCGGTAGTCGAGCGATTTGGCTTGTAGGAGCACAGCTGGGGGTGCTCGCGCTTGGTGCAATTCTCACAGGGGCTCCTGTTGTCGCACTTGACCTTTCTCTGGCGACATGGCCAGCATGCGGTGCCTATGGGAGATGAAGTGTGAGCCGTTATCAACAGACACAACGGAAGACCCCCAGGGCTGGGAGGGGTGCGGTGTAGGTTGGCTGGCCAGGCCAGGCCAGGCCTAGGACGAGGGTGCCGAGGGCCGAGGACATAGAGGTTCCCAATGCCGGGTTTGGTGCGGGGGCGGACGCATCTTGGAACTGGACAAGCGACGGGGCCGGGAAAGGAGGACTGGGACTGGGCCCAGCACAAGCACAAGCTCAAAACGTACCATACCGCACCTTGCGGTGGGAGTGGATGATGCGGTTGGCCTCCTCCGGAGTGAGATCCTGGAGGTTGGGGAGCTCTTGCGTGTCCGACATTGCATCGAAGGCAGCCGTCGTAGGGAGGGTGCCTGCCCGACGTTCGGCGGGTGCGCAGGCTTCAGGTGCGATTGAGCGCTGCGAGGCGAGGCGAGGTGAGCGCTGTGCTGCGCCGGCTAGGCACTCGAGGGGGCCGCGTAAAAGTGGAGCGTGGAGCGGGCGTCGCTTTGCGCGGCGAGTATTACTAGGTACTCGGTCTGCACTAGCGTCCACGAGGCAATGGGCCGACTTGATCAACTTGGGCGTGTGCCGGACGGTGGTTCGGGAGTGAGCCTGGGTTGTGTCAGGATTGAATACCGATGCAAATCCGAATTGCTCCCCCTCCTCTGGCGAAAGCCAAGCGTAGTTCAAATTTGAGGTGGGGGGAGCGTAAGCTAGCTGCGGCTGCGAGGGGCCCTTCGGAATTCCTGCCCATGCATAGAGGGGTTGCGTGCTGACTGAGCACTCGACAGGGACTAACCCTCCTTGCCACCCAGTCCATGCCGGGGCGTGTAGTGCTGGAGACGGCGTCAGATTTACCTGGTAGCTACGGAAAGGTGTCCCTGTCTTCTACTTAAAGCTCGCACAGAAGCCCACACTTCCATTAAAGGTTGCAGGAGCGCTTGTTTCATCTAGCCTTTCATGTTATTATAGCCGTCCAGTTTATTGTGGCGTTTAGAGGTTCCTATATGGGGCACGACGGCAGTCGTCTAGTACTCCCTTACGCAGCACAGGTCTTCTCCGCACTGGCACGCGCACCCATGGCCCGAGGGTTCTCGGCAACGGGCAGCTAGCAGCTGCCGTTGTGTAAGGCTGATGTTTTTCAGGCGTGCATCAAAAATTTCGTTACGTACTGTTACACGGTGGATCCCGGATTGACAGTCGCTAGGATCCCGCTGACCGCTCAAGGAAGATGCACGGAACGTGGTCAACGTACGAAGTATGAGCACTCGGTATCCGTACCCTAATCAGATGTCTTGCTTTGGGGGGTCTCGTACTCCGTGATACCAAGCAGTGCACATAAATACGGCACCTTGGGTAGGAAGCCGGGTCAACAATGCTGGAGATTTAATTCTCCCAACAGCAATGCTGGCCTGTGAGACTGCTCCATTTATTTGTGCTGCTGGAAGGCAACAACCCCGCTTTTCGCGATTTCCCTTCCTACATCCCTCAGTTTCTTTCGCATCAAGGCAAGGCGAGTCAAAAGATGCCGCTTCATTACACTGCCCTTGACAGTTCTAAATCGCAAATCCGTCTCTTGGCGGTCCACCCCAGTGAGTTAGAATCTCACTTACTTCAAAATTCTGCAAAGGCGATACTGATTAGCAACCGACAGGTGAGGATCACGAGTATCTCGACCAGACTCTGTCTTGGATACAGACATATGTCCAAGGACAAAAGGGACCGCCATCGCCACTGTGGCTCAAGCTGGATTCTAGGGTCGAAACATCGCCGATTTGTCAAGGTTTGAGAAATCGGGCCGTTCTTAAAGCAAGGATCGGCTATCGCAATGTCGTCACAAACCCGTATTGGACGCGGATCTGGAAATTCCTAGAGTTTTGGCCACCTTCACGGGACCCAGAGTGTGTATGCGTCCCTCATTCGTTCCACGCATTAATTTTTGAGTTTTCTGATGGGTATTTCGGCTTTAATGATGGGACATTTGGCCACAGATTACCGATGACTCTATACCGCCTTGACGAGGCTGAGCTCGAGACAGTGTCTAAATTGACAGTCATCACGAAGGATGTGCTCAAAGTACGAAATTATCGAACCCTTCTTCACATCCTGACCTCGACGCAGAATTAGAAACACCCCGCAAATGGCCAGTGTCGGAAAGCAGATATCACGGCCAATATAATGATGTCGGAAATCCCACCGAAGCACCGATGGTTAGAAGGTTAAGCAGTTTCGACTTTACTCGTCTACGACCCCCGACTCAGCAAACTTTCGGACGCCGAGTTACTAACCACCAACCATTTGTCGATACCCAAACTTTCGGGCGCCGAGTTACTGCAGTATTTTAGCCACCCTTTTTCGATGTCCTTGGCTCATCAGAAGAAAGAGAGCGAGGGGGTCCGCGATTTCATTTTCGACACCCTAATGACAAGCTGGAGGGGAAAACTCTGATACACAACGGGGACGTCTCGGTGTCTCTTTCGGTGACTCTGAACAAGACGGGGATGTCATTGTCCTCTGTCCGGCGATGGCCCACCCGCTGGTAGTGAGGGTTGGGCAACCGGATCTCTGCTCTGGCGATGCTAGGTACAAAATTCGAATATGTTTATGCAAAGTAGCTTTTAAGTTTATAACTATTAAAGTATAGCTAGCTACTAGGGCTATAGGGTACTTGTTACTGTTAATAAGATTCAAAGAGCTGTTAGAATCGATCCAACTGCCACGCAACATGCCCGCACTTGTGTCTTTGACTCTCCGTGCAGGCGAGTGGGGCAAGGCTGTTAACGTGGCCCGTGCATTGTTCTCGATCGATTGAGGGCATTCTTTGAGCTCGAGGGCCAAAAACCAAAAAAAAAAAAAAATCACGATTCACGAATGAGCTCGGGGCAGAGCTCACATTCACACCCGCTCTGCGTGAGGCAGCGAGCTCGCGCCGCGCCGACCCACGCCAGCACCGACGAGATGGAGCCGCCGAGAACGCCGCAGAAGCGAGATAATCCCCTCACAAATCTAATTCAGCGGCTAAATGACGACTACGGGCTAGGGATTGAGGTGCCCGACCGAAGCCTCACACCCTACCAACGCCTCGAACTAGCCCGACAGGACGACGAGTACAAGCGCCGGGACTGCATTTACAAGAACCTACAGTTCCTCTTCTACAGTCCGGACGGAATGATTGACAAAGCACTTGATACCTTTTTCATCAAGGCAAGGGCCACCAGCCGTCAGTGGGTGGTCAAACCGCAGGCCAACCCGACGGCCCTCTCCTCGTCCAAAGAGCCGCCTAAAGCCCGAACCATGAGCCAGAAGCTGTCGCTGCAGGACCTGTTGTTGGAAACCCTCCAGAGCTTCAAGAATCAGATTCAGCCGCAGAGACTCGCAGTCTCTTCTCCCGGTCAGCAGCGCAGCGCTTCTAAGCCCCCCACACAGTTCAAGCCAAAACCTAGAGTCCAAACGGACTTCCCGAGCTCGCCCTCCTTGTCCCAATTTCCCGACCCAGAATCCCCCTCCCCGGGAGGCCAAAAGCGCCACTCGCTCGACGGCGATGGCTCTCAGGCCACCAAGCGCCCCAAGAGCGGCGAAATGCCCGCCCAGTCCGCCATCATGCCCTCCGTCAGCGCTATTGACAATGTACCTAGTCGGCGGTGGCTTCAGAAAAAGACCACGGGGCCGCCCGTTAATACCCCTCCATTTCGTGCCGTGGAGGCTGGCTCTGTGACGACGTTTGCTTTCAGCACGTCAGCCCCCGCCATTCCTCCGATCCCCCTCCGCGCCAAACACCAGGCTTCATCTACCGTCAGATCTAGAGCACCATATGGTTTCGCCCCCACGCCTTCTACCCCCCCGGCCACTCGCCAAGTTGAGCAGAAGACTTTGCCTCCTGTAGGATCCGGGGCGTCATCTGGTTTTGATCCACCGCCTTCTTTCTTTCCGCCCGTTTCTCGCCTGGTCACATATGAAACCTCTTCCCCCGCCAGCTCTCGGATCCCCTATGGTTTTGGTGCCGGTACGAAGGGTCATGCTGTTACGAATATTCGGAATACAACGTCTGCTAGTAGCAGCATGATTTCATTTGAGAGTCTCTTTAGTCTGGACAACGCACAGAAACTGCAATCAACCCAGACAACTACGCGTCAAGGCTCTCAGCGACCAAAACTCGTTGAAGGGTCACACGTAGCCCAGGACGATGACGAATTCCTCGCACTCTCGTCAGATGACATCCAAGCGTTGGATGAATTGATAGAACTAAATTCCCAACGACAAAAGACTCGTCCCGCGCAAGTTCGCGAACCGCTACCACGCGAATTTTCGATTCCTTCTGATTTAGGAGAAGAATTCGATATTCCAGAGGAGTTAGTACAATCTCCCTCAAATGCCGCGAAACCTGCGAAGCGTACGCTTCTTGAAGAGCGTCTTCAAAATATCTGGCGTAAATAGAGTCTCCGTTCTCTCTATTAACTCTTGAGTTAAATTTTTCTAACCTTCTCACAGCAAAGTTTCCGCGCTGGCTTCACAGGGCGCCACTCGCTGTGGCCTGGGAGATCACTCGGATCTGTTTGCACTGCGGTGTCAATCTCGACGATAAGAGTCTGCTATACAAGCCTGCCTGGGCGGATGGCACCATGAACGACATATGGAAAGACCTTCACCAGCTCCCAGTCTTCCGTGGCAAATCATTCCCCGAGAAGCCTTTAGCCAATGTGTTTGCAGCCGCCCTTGCAAATTTCGAGAGCAAGGGGAATGCCGTCATTCTCTCGGCCAAGCTGGACTTGACCAAGTTAAAAGATGGACCGCTGTTTGTACTGGACATGATGCCTCTTCGTCTCGATCAAGGCTGCCGGTTGACGAGGAAGTTCGGGCCAGATCGCTTCTTTGAGATCCTGATACCGTCCCCTATAGGATCGGGGGGTTCGGAAACAGTTATCAACTGGTTGACTCAGCAACAGCATTCCTTTGTCGGGCGCCAATGGCGTGCGTTTTACAGCAAGAACGCGGGATATCGAAAGCCAGCAAGAGATCTTTGGCGAAAATCGGAGCCAGAGAAGCCTACGATCACGGAGAGAGTCCACTTCTTTGCCGAGAGCGGTCACAACTTCCGCAAGGCACCTCACGGGAAGACCAGCTCTTTTCCTCCGGCGAAACAGTCAATCAACAATAGGACTGATCTCAAAGTTAGCGACATGCTCGGCTGGCTTCTGCAGATTGACAGCAACGAATGGCAGCCCTATCTAAGGCTCTTTTCTCGCATTCAACTAGGACTGAGCAAAACATTCCCGGCTATAGTATTCAAGCCCTCGCAAATTATCCATTACGACTGCGATATCCTGTCCCCCATCGGAGAGGTCATGAACGATGGCATTGGTCGCATGTCCCGAAACGTGGCAAAGCGAATCCGAGATTCACTCGGCCTGACGGATATTCCTTCGGCAGTGCAGGGCCGTATGGGATCGGCAAAGGGCATGTGGCTAATGGATGTAAGCGACATGAGCGACGAGGACTGGATCGAGACCTACCCTTCCCAACGAAAGTGGGAGTGCGACTTTGTAGATCCGTTCCACCGCACCTTGGAAATCCGGAGCATAGCGTCCCAGCTGAAGTCGGCGGGGCTCAACCTGCAGCTCTTACCCGTGCTGGAAAACCGGGCAAATGATCGTCGCCAGATGCGTCAAGCTATCAGCAACCGTCTCACCAAGGATTTGCAGCACCACTTCGATGTCCAAAAGGCCGCATTCAAACGTCCTATTCAGTTTCGCCAGTGGGTGCACGAGAGTTGGTCAAACCGTTCTGAGCGGATTAAATTAGGACATATCAAGTTCCTGGCAGGGCTCCCGGATAGCAGAGAGGAGACTCTGAAGTTTCTTCTGGATAGCGGGTTTGACCCCAAGAAACAACTGTATCTTCAAAATATGGCATGGAAGCTACAGCAACAAAGGTGCGACACATTGAAGACCAAGCTCAACATAAACATTGGCCGCTCGGCATACATGTTTATGGTCGTCGACTTCTTGGGAGTTCTCGAAGAGAACGAAATCCACGTGGGATTTTCGTCAAGATTCAGAGACGAGTCCAGAGACACATCATACACCCTTCTCGCCGACTGTGACGTGCTGGTCGCCAGATCCCCGGCACATTTTGTTAGCGATGTCCAGAGGGTTCGCGCCGTGTTCAAGTCGGAGCTGCATTCCCTCAAAGACGTCATCGTCTTCTCGTCCAAGGGCAACACTCCACTTGCCAAAAAACTCTCGGGCGGCGACTACGATGGGGATATGGCCTGGGTGTGCTGGGACACAGAAATCGTCGAGACCTTCGTCAACGCCGAGATGCCAGAAGAACCCGATCTTTCAAAATACATTAGAAAAGATACTACGAAACTCGAGGCGCTTCTTCAGGCGTCCAACGGCAATAGAGAGAAAGCCGTCTACGACATGATCAACAAGAGCTTCCAATTCGCCATGCAGCCGAGTTTTCTGGGAATCTGCACCAACTACAAGGAGAAGCTCTGCTACCATATGAACAGTGTCAGTAACCCCGAAGCCGTGCTGCTCAGCAGCCTGGTCGGCCACCTCGTCGACCAGAGCAAGCAGGGCGTCATCTTCAGCAACAAGAGCTGGGAAAAGCTGCAGAAGGACCACTTCAACGGGCTGCGGCCTGACGAGCCGCGGTACAAGGGCAGCGACTGGTCCAGCAAGGGCGAGCCGGTGCACATCATCGACTACTTAAAATTCTGCGTAGCCAAGCCAGCCATCGACCACGAGCTTCACGACTTCTACCAGGCTATGCAGGCGGGTCTGGGTCGCACCGTGGGCAAGGCGGACGACGACGCGGCGCACTACTGGGACCCGGACCTGGTCGTGTACTTTGAGGGCTTCCACGCGCTGGCGTCCGAGTCGCCGTCGTGGAAGGCCGTGCTCGACGAGCTCAGGAACGCCATCATGCTCGTCGACCGCGACTGGAGGATCGCCATGAATCGCGGCAAGAAGGACGAGTTGGACTACTCGGCCCGCGTCAAGATCCTGCACAGGAAGTGGCAGGACATCACCCCCGGCGCCATCAGCCGCGCAGGCTCCAACAGGCCCGATTCTAAGATAACGGGCCTGCTCGAGCAGCCGTGGCTAGCCGACGCCAACGAGACCAGCACCTGGGCCCTGCTGCGCGCGAGCACGGCCTTCAGGTCGCTGTACTTCAGCAACCCCAAGTTCGTCTGGCAGATGGCCGGGCGCCAGCTAGCGCATATAAAGGCGCAAATGACGCGCGTGGATGGCGGTGCGCCCGCCTTCGTCACTCCATTGATGTACGCGAGCCTGAGCCCCGACGCGCGCTTCATAAAGCAGTACGTCGCGCGCATCGAGGGCGAGGGGCCCGAGCACCCGGATGCTGACTATTTTAAACGCGAGGCCGACGGCGACGCCTACGGGTGGGGGTTCGGTCGCTACGACGATTACTAGTCGTCGGGAGCCGTACATCCATCTCCCCTTCTCCTCGTCGCGTGCGTGCAAGTCTGCGTCTCCCGTGCCTGATTATTATACCCGCCAAGGCTTTGAGTGGGTCTTGCTCCCGGTTCTGAGGCTCGTTGTAGTGACTGCGGTCACTTTTCTTCGCCCGTTTCTTCTTCTTTCTTCTTTCTAGGGGGTTTCTCTGATGACGGCACTCATCTTCTCCCGTTTCCGCCGTCTGGGGGTTGCATCTGGCCACGGTCACCGGTGTTCATTCGCCTTCGGGAGCTTTCTATCTGGCAACGATTACTCTGGTATTCCCTAACTTCTTGCATTTCTAGGGTCCCTATCTAACCATAATCGCGGGCTTTTCTAGCCGTTTCCTACGTCCTATAGGACCCCGATCGCAACCTGTCAGAAAGACCTAAAACTACTATTTTCGGCATGGTCCAGGGAGCCTGGGTAGGGCCCGCACAGGGCACCTGATTGGGCCACCTTTTCCACAGGGTCAACACAGGTCCCCGACCTGCGGGCGCAGGTCTTTTCTTCTTCCTTACGTTAAAAAATACACACACTGCAAATATCCTCATTCTTCACTACTCTAGCATGCATTTGACTTCCAAGACAACCCCCCTCACGGAGCTTTTACCCCTTTTCCTTCCCCTACTCTCTGGGGCTGTTACCATGGCCATGGTTGCGCGCTTCTTCTTCTGCCCGCTTCGTGCGTCTTCTGGGGCTCCTTTCACGACCACGGTCACGCCGGACCATACTCTGCCCGCTTGTCGCGTCCTCCGGGACCGCTCGACCTAGGCCACACCAACCTGCCCAGTTCCCGCGCCTGACGGGGGCTCCTTATCCAGATTCTCTCCCTCTCGGAACAATAAAGACACTTTATCAGTACAGCCATGCGGGATGCCGTCGCAGTCTCCCGCAGCCAGCTGGCTGCACTCGGTCGAGAAAGGAAGTGGAGGCTTTGGACGGATTTTGGCAGCAAATGATAGAAAAAAAGTAACTAGCTAGCTCGCTCGTTTCGATTCGAACGGCATGTCAAGTGCTGGCGGGCTATTTTCACTTTGCTTCGGGGTTCTCTCTTTTTATTAATATCCAATTCCTTGCGTTTTACTCGTTGGTTTTCCTTGTTGCGTTTCTCACGATTGCTTTGCCAGCGTATTTTCTTTCCGTTTTACTCGTTTGTTGTTGCTTCAATTTTCTTTGAGTTTCCGAGATGACGGGGTGTGCTAGCCACAGACCAAGCCTATAACCTAGCCGGGACCACATAATAGTCCCTGCACCACCAGCCTACCCCACCATAGATTTCCTGCCTGCGGGCAGATAGCTTAGATTCCTTAAGCAATCAATCAACTACGTTTTCCTGCAAGTGTGCTCGTACACCATATTGGACATGGAGCTTTTGGCACCAGAGGTGTCTTCTAGTTGTTCCTCGTCAAGGGATTTGAATTGTACTTACTCATTCTGGTCATAGGGCCCCCGCTGCAGACTCGTAGCGGGGGGACTGCTGGCTCGAATAGTTAGCAGCGCCCGGTCTGCCTTAGAGGCGGGCGCAACGAGGGACGGCTTTGAGAAGCTGTCCGCTCGTGGATTCGCCGCAGTTGTCTAGCTCAAAGGTTCGAGGCTTCAACAGCGTCGGATAGGGTATAGTTAGATATCGGAAACGGGAGAGCAAAGACGACCACATGGATCTATGTAGGGCGATGAGATGTTTTGGAGGAATTGTATTTGCATTTTGGTTGTCTGGTAAGTTGTCCGTGTCAAGCCCGTCGTTTGAATGCGACTCGCCCGATACCCCTTAGCTTCTTTACTGCAAATTTTAATCTGGACTGACATCTTTCTTCGTGGTAGTTTAGTTCCGACGTCACCTTTCTCCTGCTTGCAACGGCCATGTTTGTCCCTCCCGCCAACACCGTGGCTTCGTTGGGTGGCGGTTTTGACTTGATGTCTCGATTACGCAACAGCCTGTATACAAGGTCGACACCATACCGCGCCTCGTCACCCATCTGCCTCTCATTGGCCGCGCCGCAACCCCCGAGCATCTAAATGCGGACGCCAAGCCGCACCAGTAGCTAGCGGTTATTGACTGAGAGGGCTCCCAAAGATGTCGGCAAGTCCCGGCTATTTCTACAGTCCTAGCAATGCAATGTTCCCCGCTCCTCATAACAGCTCGGGCACTATTACATACTTTAGTCACTACGGCAGATGGACTCGTGGCTGATCAATGCTCCGCGCTCCAGTCCAGGCCGGCCTCTAGCCGGGACGCGCCGCGCCTCGTCTGCGAGACACTGCTTACCCACCCTCGCCCACTCTGTGCTTCTTCTTCTCCCGGCCGCCGTGACAGGGGCAGAGGTCCAGACCGGATTGGGCCCGCCGCAGCTCCGTGCACGCAACCAGGCATGGACAAAAACGTGACCGTCCACTCGAACGGCACACCAGGGTGCATTGTTTATATTACCCCCTTCTCGGATGGCTAGCCGACGGGCGGGCTCGAGGCTTGGCTATTTGGATGAAGCTTGCTGCCCAGCCTCGCCAAGACGTTTAAAGACGTTCCATCACCCTTCTTTCTCTCCCCGACCGTCCACGACATTCGGTTAGCGGTTGTCGACGATGGCAGACGGCGCGAGGGAGGGTGGGGAAGGTTGCACGCCAAGGCCGGCCAAGGCCCAGGGCGCGAGCGGTGGCGGCGGTTATCAGCTTGACGTCCCCGGCTGCCTGATCTCGACCTCTGCGCCCACAGTCTTGAGCGAAGCACCAGCGCGGTTTCACTCTGCTCTTTGCGACAGCCACCGCTGTGAGTCTCGGAGGAAAGAAGCACTTTGCAATGAAGCTGTCCGGAGGAGGAAGCCTGCGCCGGCTCGGCCAGCTGCTGTCCCTCTCTCTCCTGCTGCTGGACCCTCTTGCTGCAGCGCAGAGCGGCGCCAAAGACGGCGATGTGTACGACTACATCGTGATCGGAAGCGGGCCCGGCGGCGGGGTGGTTGCCGTCAACCTCGCCAAGGCGGGATACTCGGTGCTGATCCTCGAGGCGGGCGACGACAACCCCGGTAAGGGGTTCGGCCAGTACACGCCGACGGTGACGTGGGACTTTTACGTCAAGCACTACCCCGAGGGTGACCCACGAGACAACCAGTACAGCCACCTGACCTGGCTGACGCCCGAGGGCAAGTACTGGGTGGGCCAGAGCGGCGCGCCGGCCGGCTCTAAGCTGCTGGGGGTCTACTACCCGCGCGGAGCCACGCTTGGCGGCTCGTCCATGATCAACGCCATGGTGTGCTGGCTGCCGAGCGAGAGCGACTGGAACTTCCACGCCGACGTCACCGGGGACAGCAGCTGGAAGTAAGTGCTCCTGCCTGCCATGATACTGGAACAAGGCTCAGGGGGTGGCCCATTTGCTTATCGGAAGCGCCGGTGCTGACAACCGACACGCAGGGCCGAGAACATGCACAAGATCTTTGCCAAGATCGAAAAGAACAACTACGCCACCAAGGGCACGGCCAACCACGGGTTCGACGGCTTCTTCCAGACCAACATGGGCTCCATGACGCAGGCGCGGCAGCAGGGCGGCGGCGGGCTGGCGGGCAACAACGTCATGGCGGCCTACGCCAAGGACTGGAACCTGACCATGTCCATGTCTAACCTGCTGGTGCGCGACCCGAACGAGCTCGGGCCCGCGCGCGACCAGACGTCGAGCGTGTACGGCCTGGTGACGCACCAGTACGCCAACGGCAACCGCTACAGCTCGCGCGACTACATCCAGGCCGCCGTCAAGGCCGGCGCCAACCTGACCGTGTCGCTGACCTCGCTGGCGACCAAGGTGCTCTTCGACACGGCCGGCACCAAGTGCGGCGCCGCCGGGGTCCCTCGGGCCACGGGCGTCGAGTACCTCTTTGGCAAGTCACTGTACGCGGGTGACAGCCGTCGCGCGGCCAAGGCGGCCGGGGTCAAGCGCACGGCGTACGCGCGGCGCGAGGTGATCGTGTCGGGCGGGGCATTCAACTCGCCGCAGATCCTGCAGCTCAGCGGCATCGGCAACGCCACAGAACTGGCCAAGCTGGGCATCGCCGTGGTCAAGGATCTGCCGGGGGTGGGGCGGCACTTGATGGACAACCAGGAGATGCCCATCGTGGGGTCGGGCAACGGCGGCACCGGGCAGGCGGCCGTGGCCATGTTCAAGACGGGCCACGCGGCGTACGGCGAGCGCGACATGTTCCTGATGGGCGGGCAGGGGTTCCTGTTCCGCGGCTTCTGGCCCGACAACCCCGTGCGCACGCCGGCCGACCCGCGCACGCCCTACGGCGTCAGCATGGTCAAGGGGTCGAGCGTCAACGACAAGGGCTGGGTCAAGCTGCGGAGCGCCGACCCCACCGACACCCCCGAGATCAACTTCAACCACTACGCCGCGGGTGCCGACGCCGACTTCCTCGCCATGAAGGAGACGGTCGCCTGGATCCGCAGCATCTACCTGCGCATCGGCATCACGCCCGTCGAGCCGCCGTGCCCCAACGGCAAGCCCGACGCCGCCGGGTCGTGCGGCAAAGACGACGAGGACTGGATCTACAAGCAGACCTTCGGCCACCACCCGACGTCAACCAACAAGATCGGCGCCGATGCCGACCCGCTGGCCGTGCTCGACTCAAAGTTCCGCGTCCGCGGCGTCGCCGGCCTGCGCGTCATTGATGCCAGCGCCTTTGCCCGCATCCCCGGCATCTTCCCCGCCGTGTCCACCTTCATGATCTCCCAGAAGGCGAGCGACGACATGCTGGCCGAGATCAAGGACGGCAAGGCCATTGCGCAATGCTCGTGAGCGCGTGGCGTGTTCCTCGTCTCTTTCTTCCAACGTTGTCGAGACTTGGACTTGTAAGGGTTGCTTTCTCTCTCTCTCTCTTTGTGCTGGAAAAACGAAAATGTCTTGCTCCAAATGTATACGTAAATATGCGTGTGTGGCTGTAGAAGAAGTGCAATTGCCCCAGTCGTGTTGTTTGGTCTTTGAAATTCCAGGCTGCCCGTTGTACCGTTGTACACACTTAGCAACTAGCAACCGCATTCATTCGTTCATTTTGGAAGAACCACGGTAGCAACTTGGATAGGCAGTTAAAATATCAACCGAAGACAGCAACATACTAGTCATAGACCCAAAACAAGTTCAAACTTGACCTCCCAACGTGACTGACTGCCAGGCTGCCGCCGCATAGTTATAACATCATCCCGACATCACATCACACCACACCACACCACACCACACCACACCACACCACACCACACCACACCACAGAGAGCCAGCATCCATCCCACCGAAAACACGCCCGCCCATAGTGTGAACCATACCATGCCCCCACCCTCTGCGCTGCCACCCATCCGTCAGCAGTTGGTATACACAAAGTCCAGCGTCGACAGAGGACACGGCACACTCGCGCAGTTTGTCGGGCACGGCACCGTCCTTGTACTGTACACGTCGTGAGTACACGCACAATCCACCGTCTCCGTCGTGGCAGCGAGACAGTACGGCGTGCTGCAAGCCGGAGCCGGCGGGCAGCCGGTTGCCGGGCTGGCGGTGACGGTATCGAAAAACGTGCGGCAGCCGCCCCGGGGGACGGAGATGGTCGTGGCAAGCGTCGTAGGGCACGGCTGCGTCCACGTCGCGACCACGGTGGCGCACGACAGCGTGTTGCACGGGCCCCACGACTGGCACGGCACGGCCTGCTGCGTGAACGTCGGCGTCGCTACCCCCTGACAGCTGCACGGCAGCGTGCCCACCTCGAGGTTCGTGCATGTTGGTGCTGGGCAGAACGTGCAGGGTGTGGCTCCCGTGATCACGACCGACGAGCCGCAGTTGTAGCCGGCGAGGGATGGGCTGGGGAGGGGGCGTGGTGAGGTTAGTTTGGTTTGTTCACGTTTGTTGGCAGTGCAAACAGCACCAGACGGCCGCTCTGGGTGCTTTGCGTAGACGAGTTTCATAAGCTACCGTTGCACCAGCAGGCAAAACAGACGCCTGTTGCCTTGAGGTCCGGGCAACAGTACTTGTTTTGACGGATGGCTGTGGTGGCTACAGGCTATCCCAGCAAAGAAGAGAGTTGGGGAGGAAGAGACGTCGTACCTGGCAAAGGCGAGGAACCCCAGCAGAGCCCCAAGACCTTGTTTGTCGATGAGCATCATGGCTTTTGTTTGGTAGAGGTGGATCGTGTAGGATAATTGGCGATGGAGATGAAGCGATCAATGAATTAGATTCAAGTTGCCTGCAGTTGGCGACAAAACGACGAGCATCAGCCGCCGCGGTCGGAGTCTTTGCGAGGGAGCCTCTTGGAATATATCTTCCTAGTTGACTCGCAACCACCAGCACCTCGGTGCCTTGACTCTCACCCTCGTGCTTCTCTGACTTACCACCCACTGCCGCCTTCACAAATCGCAGCCGACCGCTTTCCTACTCCAACCTCTTTGCAAGCCATCACTCAGCACACTCCTCACACAACCCCCGGTTGCCGTTCATAATTACTAAAGTGCATCTCGACACACGGCCACCTGTCCCGTCACGGTGACACAAAGCGCATCAACCCAGCCCGAAAAGCACGTCGCTGCGGCAGGGTCTCGCCAATGGGTCGGCGCCGTTTGCCAAGGTTGGGTCGCATCACCAAGCATGGGATTTTATTCACGACACGCCCCCGAGCGACGGCCCCCGTTCCCATTGGGCCAAGGCCGTTGCGGCTGTCGGCGTGCCGTGTAAATAAAGGCCGGCTGCAGTGCGGGGAGCGAGCGAGCGGGGGACTTTGGACCCTGCACATCTCGGACCACCTCTGTATCCGTACGAAGGCTCAGGCCAAAAAGAAGGATCACCCTCCCCAGTGCGAGGACCTGGACGCCACGTCCGAATAGGGGTTAGATTGAAGTCGCCAGCTGCCTGATCAACAAGCCAATCTTTCACAGCATAAGCAGATAATGGTCTTCATGGCTATTGCAGGGGGTTCAACGAGCTTGAACGGATCCGTAGGGTGTATGACGGCACCTGGCAAACGGACCGGTACCGTAGGATTTCGGATCCTGGCCACCGTGGAGGATGACCCTTTTTTTGGCCTGAGCCTCCGTACTCGCAGCTGATTCATTGCTTTTCTTCTCGCCGGGTGGTAGTGATGGCCGGGAATATTAACGTGCAGCACATAGGGCGAGCCTCTATGGTTGTCCAAGTTGATGAATATTCGGCATCCAGCGGGCGAGGATAAGGGGGGCAGGGATATTGATGAGAAGGGATATTGATGAGAAGGGATATTGATGAGAAGGGATATTGATGAGAAGGGATATTGATGAGAAGGGATATTGATGGGAAGGGATATGGATACCATGGACTCCCTATCGTATTGGGCCACGGAGCCGGCTCAGCTTGGTTGATTCAAAAGCGACACCTTGAGGCCATCTGGGGTTGCGGGTTGCCACCTAATTGTGTCCCCGGCCCCCAGCCCCCTGGTCTCATGTCATGATTTGTCAGTTTGGAACCACGGAAATCAAGACCGGGAGTCTCTCCGGGTTGTATTCCTTTCAACTCCCAGCATCAAACTCTATAGAGATCAGCCCCGCACCGGTACGGTTTCTAATCCGCTCAGTATTGGGACAGAGAACAGTCATAGACTTGATTCTGTGCGACCATGAGCTGTGCCTTGGGTAGAGGACGTGGCCGTGTTAGGTCCAATGCCATCTGAGACACGAGGTTGTTTTGGCGTGCAGGCTAGGTCGCCAGAACTCGCCAGTTGGCAAGCAGGCGAGAAGAGTAGAGCAAAACAGCCAAAGGGGACACAATCAATGTCCTCATGTCCACAGAACCCTCTTGGGGGCTCTGTGTCAGGATGTATGCGAACTTTATGCAACTCACACATGTTAACTCGACGGGAGTATCATGCCCACCCAAGTCTTATTCCCGCCCACCACCTTGCTGGATTCAAAGTGGCTAGATATCAACTTCTGGCGGCAGACATTATTGATTCAGGAGGGAAGGGAGACGCATAGCGCATGGCAGCAGTAACGGCAAGGGAAATGCCGTTGCTCTTCGAACAATACGCATCGCCCGAGAACTCGGCAATATGGCTTCTTTGCATCGCCCCGGGGTATTTTACGAAGTGGGTGGCGTCGCCGTCACGGAGCTTACCCGCCATCTCAGCGATAGGTTGTATATTTCGTGCCGTCGGTGCAACCGTTGCCAGAGAAGCCGTGGCCGGGAGTCGCGTAATTCTAACTCTGACACGAGCACGTGTGGCCAGGGTTCTCGGGCCGAGAGGTGTGCTCTTGCACGGGAGGAACGGCGGCGGCAGCGGCGGTTAGCGGGAGGGGAATGAAGAATCCAGACCTCTAAACCCGCTTGGATCGGTTGACATGTAGCGGCGGGCGCCGGGGCCGGAGGAGATGGAGGTGTGGGACAAGCGGCGGGCAGCAAGTAAATGGACAATCTGGCCGAGGTGCGGGCCATTTGGCGTCTGCTACTGCACGGCGGTCCGCGGCGTTCGGCGGGTCTCGGAGTGGTGGCGGTGGGCGAGATGGCGAGCTGCATGGTACGTTAGTGAATATAAGGACTCGAGCGGGGTGTTCCACCATCGGTACCTTTACCCGATTAAGGTGCAGTTCCATACTCAGCGGCACGTAGCCTGACCAGTCTGGTTTTGGCGTTTCCACTTGACAGCGAGGCATGGTGGAAGGCAGACTGGGTTGCACAGCAGGCGTGGTCAGACGAATGGAACCATGGTGCAGCCAAATAAAGAAGGTCGAGGCGCAACGGGCTAGTGGCCGTTGACGAGATTGGCCGGCAACTAAATTTACTCGGCGTCATGCACCAACACTCTGTCTAGCGAATTGATAAGGCCCGACACTCGAGAGTTCCACAGGGCAGCATTATTAGGGGCGCAGTTTGGGGAAAGCATGTGCTGGCTGTTGCCGGCCTGCCCGGCACCGAAACAGTGGAGTCTCAGTGAACAATTTCGATTTGAGTGCTGATCTTTGGGCAAACCCGACGGGAAGGAGCGAGGGTGAGAGGGAGGGAGAGCCCGCTTCGCGTTTTTCGTTGCACCACGGCTTGCCGACGGGATTCCGATTTGGCCCCCATGTCAAGCGAAGCGTGCCTGCCGTGTCCAAACTCCAAACCCAACGTGGCGATTAATGCCTGCACCAGCCGCTCCTGCGTGCAGATGGCCATCAGCCAAGCTAGTTCTTACTAACTTAAGCCGGGCAATGGCGTCGAGCGCTTGGGCTCTCAGACCACAAATGTTTGCCCTGTCACAGCTGAGATATTTGGCTAACTCCTCCAACCTGACAGCGCCGCATGGCAGCAGCGAAAGGTCCTAAAACTAGCAACAGACGATGCCAGATGCGGAGGGCTTCCATGCGACTATTTATTCCATCATCTTAGGTTATTGATCCCAACCACGGATTCCCACAGCGCCCAGGCCCTGTCGGCAAAAGCTTGGCATTGCAGGTGCCGAAGCCACGCAGGGCCGCACGAAACTTGGGTACCCTCGGGCGGCTACAAGCTCATGGATCATTCGTCGGTTGTTCTAGTTCCAGTTCCAATTCCCATTCCCATTTGAGACCCCAATGTTCCCCAACCACGGTCGCCACACCACTGCGGGGGATGGAGATGGGGATGGATTTGCTGCGCCGTTGGCCTCACGGGCGACGGGACACAAGGACGACGCATTTCTTTCCCCAGATGTGTGGCGCCGCGGCCAAGACAGATTCACTCCCCGCCGTGTCATTTGCAACCTACGACGCTCGAATCCCTACTTCGTAATTTGGCGTTGGCAACAAGCGGCCTGTTTGCTCTTGGCCCTCACGATGGTCCATCTGGCATGGATTGAGTCGGTAGTGAGTTCCCGTAGCTCTAGCCGACTCTCGTTGCATAAGTTCCTAACGGCCTGATGGTCGTGTATTGGTGTAACCCCGAGAGCCCTGTGGGCTTGACTAGACTGCAACAAGAAGAATTCACCGCCTAGCCTGCGTACCAAGCTGGCAACCCACCAACCACCAATTTCAATTCCGTCCTGTCCGAGGCACAAGTCGTCAATGCCAAGCGTCGAACCACCTTGAACATCCCAGCTTCCAGTTCGAACAAACAATTTTCCCGGCTCCCGTCTCCATGCTCTGCCCTGCAAAGCTACAGACTTGGGACTTGGGACGGCTGAGACGGCATCCCAGGGGTTCTCGTACCAACATCAAGAAGTCGGGTTGCAGGAGGATCCAATCAGCCAAGGCCCCCCCCCAGCTATCCCGTCTGCTTTTCCCTGTCAGCACTCAGCAGCCATGTTGCATTGCGAAACTGCAGTCAGACGCATCCATGAACGGAAGCCGCTTGACCTGTAGCGCACGGAGAGATAAGTTAAAAAAAGGACAATACGACGTCCGGTGCCTGCCGACCAGACCTCCCCCCCTGTCACCACGCGGGGGGAGGTCGACAGCTAATCTGTGAGATTTCCAGGCCCAGAGCGCGCCTTGGATAAATTTATCACCCCGGCCTGCCCTATTCCGTCTCTCTCACGTCTGTTCTTCGTCGACAATCCGAATTTCTTGACGGGCCGGTGTCTCGTCGTGTTGTCAAGCCACAATTCGTCTCATGTCAACGCCCATTGCGCCTATTGTAGACTTTGTGCACCGTCTCGAATCTCCTTAGCTATCCCCAGCTGCTGTACGGATACGGGCCCTCGGACTATCCCACCATGTCGGTGGTCCCCACGGCAGTCTTGATCGACGGCGAGGTCGGCGGCGATGTGCGCCGCCCCTCGCACGATGTCAGCCATGTCGCGCATTCGCATACAGAAGTGACGCCCGCACACGTCACGCACGATCCCTCGGTCACCTTTGAGGAATACCTATACTACGCCGAGATCACGCGCAAAGAAGAAGAGGCTTCCAACGCCTTGTACCTCTCGCGCCGTGGCCCGTCCACGGTGCAGAACCTGGTCAAGAGGACTCTGTTCAAGAGCGACAACCACCCGCCGCCCCCCACCGTGGATGCCGACGCTGCTGCCCACGAGAAGTCCGGCGACGAGAAGGTCGCAGACGAGAGAGTCGCGGACGAGAAGCCCTCCAATGGCTCAAACACTGCCATCGTCACTGGCGTGACGGCCGACGAGTGGAAGCAAGCCAACCGCGCATTGCGCACTGCAGGATGGGGCGGCGTCTTCTACCTGATCACTACCGACATCTTGGGCCCATACACAGCCCCGTGGGCCTTTGCCCAGATGGGTTACGGGCCCGGCGTCGCGCTCTACACCGTCTTTGGCATCATGTCGTACTAGTAGGTCATGCCCTCCGTCTGCCATTCTATCGTGACGAGTGCGCCATCTGACCTCCACCCCGCAACCAGCTCCGGTTATCTCCTGTGGAAGGCCTTCTTGAACCTCGACTCTGACAAATACCCCGTCAGGGGCTACGGCGACCTGTACTACCGCGTTTTCGGCCCGCTGTCGCGCCACCTCATCAACTTCTCCCAGGGTCTGCAGCTCCTCCTGTTCGTGTCCGTCCTGATTCTCGGCACGGGCCAGGCCATCTCCCAGATCTCAAAGGGCCCGCCTCCCGACCCTAACGACGCCAACGCCGTGCCGAGTAACGGCCTTTGCTTTGTCGCCTGCCTCGTCATCTCCATGTCCGCTGGCTTCGTCCTTGGCCAGATCCGCACCCTGGCCAAGTTCTCCTGGCTGGCCAATATCGCCGTCTACATCAATTTGCTCGTCATCTTTATCTGGTCAGTGGTATCCCCCTTGGTTTGCAGACTGTTTGCAACTCTGTTTTAGCCCTGCTTGTCAGATCGCGACGCTGACTGTTGACAACAGCATGGGAGTCGCGGCAAACTCGCTGCCCAACTTCATTGCCACCGAGGGCACGTTCGGCCCCGACTTTGCTCCAGGCCCTATTCGCACGTTCGCCGGCACGCCGCCTGACGGATTTGCCAGCGGCGGCTCGGGCTTCATCGGCTCCCTGAATGGCCTCAACCAGGCCGTATACTCTTTTGGCGGCTGCATGGTGTTTGCCGCTTTTATGGCCGAGATGCGCCATCCTCGCGACTTCTGGAAGTCGCTTCTGATCGCCGAGATCTTCATCTACGTCGTGTACTTGTTCTTTGGCATCTTCATCTACTCGTACCAGGTATGTTAGGCGTCTTATAGCTCTGCTGTGCCGTCCCTCCGCTGACCAAGATTCGCTACTGCAGGGCCAGTTCACGTTCATCCCCGTCGGACAAGGCCTGTCGCCGTACGCCTGGCAAACGGCGACCAACATCATGGGTCTGTTCACTGCCATGATCGCGGCCTGCCTGTACGGTAACATCGGCCTCAAGGTACTCTACGTCGAGCTGCTGCAGGAGGTCTTCAACGCCCCGCCCCTGACGGTTGCGGCCGGCAAGTGGCTCTGGGCGGTGCTGATTCCCATCTACTGGGCCGTCGCCTTCATCATCGCCGCCGCGATCCCGCAGTTTTCCAACGTGTCGGGCTTCATTGGCGCCCTGTTCATCCTGTCGTTTACGTACACGCTGCCGGCGCTGTTGTCGCTCGGCTTCAATATCAAGAAAGACGCCATGACAGAGCAGGAGCGCTTCGATCCGATCACCAAGACGTACAACTACACCGACTCTGGGTTCAAGCGTTTCGCGCGCGGCTTCCTCAAGCGCCCCCTCTTCAACACTTGGAACATCATCTACCTGCTCGGCGGGTTGGCCACGACCGGCCTCGGCATGTACTCGAGCATCGAGGGCCTGATTGCCGGCTTTGAAGGCAAGACGGTTGCCACCAGCTTCGGCTGTGCCACACCCGTCTGACACCGCCTCTCTCTGTACTGGAAGAGTTGTCCTGTCCTGTTGGTAATTTCATGTGAAAATAATTTTGTATGTTCTGTGAGGGTTTATGGAGTGGCGGGGTGGGAGTTTGAGCGTTTGGTTGTTCTTGGTCTGTTGTGTTGATGATACCAGATGCTGTTACAAATCGACTGCAATGAAGGATACATGGCGAAACAAAAGGATTGAATTATGCTTGGCTGGATTTGACAAACCATTTTACTTTCGGGTATGTCTTTTAACTTGCGTTCATTGATGTCGTGGATATCTGTCCAATACATTTGGAGCCTTTCTTTGGCCACCTGGTTGAAGAAATATTTACCTAATTACACATGACACCCTCTCATGGTCCTATGCCTCCTTCCAAAACACGGCTCTCAACAATCAAGGCCAAACCCAAACCTCCCATTCATACCCAACTCTCCGTCCTGAGGTATTTAGAGTCCTCTCGGCAGCCGCGACCTGTTTACACGGCAGTCAAGACCCCGCCGCCCAATCCGTTCTCGTACTTGCTCAGCGGCCTGTGCGAGTAGCGCATGTAGAGCCACCAGCAGAAGAAGACACCGGCGGTCACGGCCACGGTGACTGCCGCGTACACCTTTGCGTTGACGCCGTCGTCGAGGTGAAACACGTTGGCCTGCCACAGCGACTAGCCCACACCACAGCAAGTAAGTTTCATGCTATATCCCCCATTTGCTCCATGGAAACTGGGGATTAATAGAAACGAAGGGGGTACTCACCGTCACCAGCGTCGACGGCAGGAACACGAGCGTCAGCACGCCGATCGTCTTCATGGTGCGGCTGTCGACGGCCGCCACGCGCGCCACGTCGAGGTTCAGCCCGGCCACGGCGCGGTTCACCTTGCTGTCCTTTTGCGCGATGAGGCTGAACATCTTTCCCCGTCCCCGCGACAAGTCAGTGGTCTTCTTTTCACATAATTCCACCACCTAGCTCCCCATTAGAGAACACAGGCGCACTCACCACGTTAATCTGCCCACGATGCCGCTCGCGCATCTCCGCAAAGCGCTCCTGCACGGAACAACACCTTGACTGCATGAACCTGATCCGGTCCTCGAACATCGCCCGCGCCGCCGGCTTGAGCCGTACCCCCCCGCCCGCGCGCGCGCGCTCGACCAGCGCCACGCTCTCGAAGCAAAACGCCGCGTACCGCGCCGCGAACGCCATGACGTTCTGCCCGTGGCAGATCTGCACGTCGGTGGACCTCAGCTGCTCGAGCAGCTTGTCCGGGTCGGCGGCCAACTCGCGCGACCGCGCCGGCGGCAGCCGGTTCATCAGCCAGTCGGCCGGCGCGAGCCTCGTCAGGCCCTCGATCTGGTTGCTCTCGATCCACACCTGCGTCACCCAGCGCTCCCACGACCGGCTGCGCTGGTCGAGGATCAGGCTGAGCAGGCCGAGCGGTGTGGCGCGCAGGAGGGACGTGTTGGACGTGCACAGCGTGCGCAGCTCGGCGAGCTCGTCGGGTAGAGTGCAGCTGAGCAGCGCGACGCTGCTCAGGTCGGAGATGCGGATGCGCAGGATGCAGATTATCGAGTGGAAGGTGCGCGGGCAGCGGACGAGGAACGCTGTGTGCGGTGAGTATCCAGTGTTAAGCTGTGAAGGGGGCGGGACGGCGGACTTATCGCCGTGATGTTCTCCTGTGTGTTGTCGTACTCGAGCGTGTACGAGCAGAGCGGCCGGGCCGTCATGTACACGCTGGCCGTGTACGCCGTGACGCCGAGGAGGCTGTTGAGCGCGCCAAAGTCGCTCGGCCCGTCGCCGTTACCGTGGGTGTTGTTGCTGTTGGAGATGTGCAGCGAGACTTCCGGCCTGTAGGCGTCGCCCCAGGTCGAGCTGTTTACCGTTCAGATATCAGCCGTTCAGATATCAGCAGTTCCTTTTCACCGTTGTTTACTAGTGACAAAAAACGCACATGAGATGAAGGGTGGGACCGCTCGATGGCTGTTGCTGTGCCGACTCCTAGCGATGAGTGTCCTGTTAGAACTATTCTAATTAGGCCCCTAGGCCGACAAGCTCACTATCGCTGCGCACTTGGCGGCCACGTCGCCCTGGCCCAAGGGCTCGTCGATGACTTTTTCCGCCGACAGCGTCCAGCATCTGGCGTCCGTCGTCGCGGCCAGGTGGACGTCTCCCAACAAGTCGATGGCGCGCAGCGGCGGCGACGCCATAGCGAGCTCGGCATTATTACTATTGTGCATGACGGCGAGCATGGGGAAGGAATCTAATATCATACGTGCGGACATATAACTAGGGCCCGGCAAGAGAAGTGGATAGTAGAGAACTAGTCAGGGGTGGTAAAAGGTTTAGGGAAGAGATCGGCTTCCACACGAGTGGTCTGAGGCTTTCGTTTCGTTTATGTCCCAGTGCCTGACTGCGGCGGCCTGCGGGTTGCGGCCTGCGGGCTGCGCCACCTTCTGCAGTCTGCCCTCTGTCACTATTGCACTAAGCCCAGCTGGGGAACCTGCAGCAGGCAGGAAGGCTTTCTTGTTCAGCTCAGATGATTTTGGATTTTATCTCATGTACACCCCTCATAACCTGAAATTCGGCCCAGGCAACCCTCGCCGTCGTCTAATTCATCGGCGACGTCTCCAGCGTCAACGAGGTGCTCGGCAGCCTCAAGAGCAAGTCAGATGGGCTTATCGGCGTGCTATTGGCCATTAGCGCGTGTGATCTAGATTCGCTGACCCGGTTGCCAGCGGCGTTGGTCGGAGGCCCGAGGCTCTCGTCTCCGGCCTCTGAACATTCATCGAGGGCTGCCCCGTGATCTTGGGCAGGCTCGACACTCTCTTCGTCGGTCTTGGGGAAAAGGGCGGGCTGCTCGGCCTTTCTGGCCGCTTCGGGAGGCAGCTTCGCGTGTCATCTCAGGAAAAGACCATCGCCGTGTACTGCCAACTCATCCGCTCCCACGCGCAGGACATGCAGCTGGCCCTGGGCTTCATCTACCTGGTGTCATGGGTCGTCTCGATTCTCTCTTTGGGCTTGACACATTGTGCTAGTTCGGGCCTCGGCGCTGCAGCTGGCTCCAGATTAGCAGCAATGCGTCGATTGCCGTCGTCACTCAAAGCCTTGGGAATATCGCGCAAGAGACGGCCCGTCTCCTATTGCCGCACCGCGCCTTTTGACTGGAAAGGGCCAAAGAGTCTTTGGCCGAGTACCTTAAAAATTCGCCCAACCTTCCTCCCCAGACGTGCGCGTTGATCGTGCACGGCGTCGCTTCGGGACTGGGAGCGCTGCATGCGTGCCAAGTAGTGCACGGCGACATCAAGCCCCCGAATGTGCTCGTGTTTGGTCATGTTCCCAAGATTTTGACTTTGGCCACTCTGTCGTTGCCGGCCCTGACGAAGCGCCGTCAGGATGCGACGAGGGACCCCGAAATATCTCGCCCCCGAGGTCAAGGCACAATGGAGCGGCGCGCTGGTACACGTCCATGTGGCAAAGCGTGCCGATATGTTCTGCCTTGGCGTTCTCTTTTGGGAGGTCTTGATGTCAAGAGGCGGGTTGCCTAAGCCGCCGCATCTTGAAAAAGGTCGACCAGGCACGCCCGACAAGTCCTGGGAGTTCGTGGTCACAAGAAAGCTGGCAGCGGACGACCTCGCTGCTTTAGATTGGAATCATTATCGACAGATGGCTTGCATACGCACCTTGCATGAGACACATGGTTGAGCAGCGTCGGGATTTGTTCCCGAGGTGCGGGAGGGCCTTGTGGCGTTGCGTTTCCACCAGCCACGTCGATGCTGCCAGGGCTTTGCTCGCCAGCTTCGACTTTATGCTTTGGACATATACACCACCGCTACTCCGTGCTCTGCAGTCAAAGCTCTTCCACTTGGCACTGTTTCTCTTCCAGAACGGCGCCAGCCTCGACGAGCAAACCAACTGTGGGGAACTTGTGCGTCTTCTGTCTCACGATAGAGAACGACTTTTCCCGGATGAAGAAGTCGTATTTCGGGTACGATGTGTTGTGGTTCTGGTATGAAAACGAGCACAGAGCCTGGGGTACGTGATTCGGGCTGTGGGTTGCCGGCGTGGCCGCTGCCCTTGCGATGCTTTCTGGGCTCGCTGGCGCGATGGCCATTCTTGGTGTTGTGGGGCAGATCGCCGGAGGATTCGGTCGCCTAATTAGTCATGTGAGCCATATCTCTCTTAAATATTCTCCCATCCTAGACAGGATAATTAGCGAGAGAACACTTTCACCTTTTACCTAGGAGTCTTGCTACCTAATAACTATCACCACTCACGGCGCCTGCGGCCTGGTGCAGCTGCCATCCTGCTACACATCCCCCGCGAGCACTGCTGCCTGGATGAGCGTGTCGGAGCTGCGGTTGAGGCCGGGAAGATGGTAGTTTCTGTGTACGGTTTCCAAGACGGCCGTCTTCTTGCGGCGCAAGCTTTGGCCGAGAGCCGTCGCCAGCAGAAACCGAAACGAGGCCGGGACCTGAACGAAGTCGGTGACAAAGATGAGCCTTTTCTTGTTAGCCCAATAGCCTATGGATGGACAATCGCGGGGAGGAAACAAAAAAAAGGTCTCACCGAAGGCAGCCCCCCTTCTAATCGCTTGACTTGGAGCGCAAGCTCCTCGACCAGGCCAGCCAGAGGCGTCACAAAACACAGTTGCAGCTCGTCGTGGCGCAACACAATATCCGCCGGCGGGCCCGGTCATGGGGAGTTAGTGTCTGATAATGATAGGAAGACAAAGGGGGGGAAAGAAATGGAGAAGCGAAAAAGAAAGCCAGAGGTGACGGAATAAGAGGTGAAGACGAGAAAGAAAAGCAAAAACAAGAGGCAGTAGAGGAAGAAGAGAGGCCGTATATAATTATATGAGGTAAATAGCAAACAGCCCCGAGTCGTCTCGGATGGAGCATAACACTGCTGCTGCAGAATTTCCAAACACCGGGCGGGCCTTGAACTCGGCGTCTCATGGCGGGCCGGACGTGCGCTTCTTTTGCCGAATACGCGCTCTTTCAGTTGCTGTGGTTTACGTGCATGTCTGAATGCATATTCGTATAGCGCATATTGGAACAATTAATCCTGCCCCGCAGCCTAGACATGTTTTATCGAGACTTTGCTGGAAGGGCCGAGGCCCGAAAATACGAAACGCTCCTTTTATCCTACTCGATTTGTGAAATACTCGACATTTCGTGAGCGCGAAACAGAGGCACGGAGGACGGGTCTGCTGTTTCACTCGGTTTGATGTGGGGCGAGTGCGTATTGCAAAGTGGAGTGCAGCCAAAAACCCTCTTTGGAGTTTGGGGTTTGGTGTGCAGGGTAGGGGAGGGGTTTGTGATGCCCCATTATTAAAAGTTCACGCTAGGCTGCGATAGGGAAGGCGTCTGCTGGGCGATAAGCGTCGCGAGCTTCTCCATCTCCAAGGTAAAAATTGTGGGCAGCCTCAGCAACTTCTTCGCGCGGTACTATGAGATCATCGTCCCTGCTATCAAGATGGCAGCCGACGATTCAATTCCTCTCCCGCCGGCGAGCGCCCCTGCAGCAGACACCAATACGACGACGAGGCCCGCAGACGAGAGCGGCCGGGGTGGTCGCGGTCGTGGCGGTTACAAGGGCGGTTACCAGAGCGAGAGGCGGGGTGGTGCCAGAGGCGGGCGAGGCGGGCGAGGCGGCGGGCGAGGAGGGAGAGACCGCGGCAATGACAAGGGCGGCGACGACCGCAATAACTCGGAGCTTGGACTCAGGAAGTAAGTCGGGCATTCAATTCGTCTTTGGCTTCTTTTGTGGTCATGGGCGGTTCTGTCGCTGCCTCCGATTTGACGCGCGCAATGCCGACGACTCTGACCAGTTCGCAGACGCGACTTCCCCACCAATCGCGAAAAAGTGCAGAACAACCGATCCGCCAAACGACTCAAGGTCATCGAGGACGATGTCCAGGGCAACAGCTACATGAGCATTTCCTTCACCCCCGAGGAGATCGCTGCCGAGGAACGCCGACCGAAGCGAAAGGTGGCTGTGCTCATCGGCTACGCGGGCACGGGTTACCACGGCATTCAGATCAACCACAAGGACAAGACGATTGAGGGCGATATATTTGCCGCCTTTGTTGCCGCCGGTGCCATCTCCAAGGCCAATGCCGACGACCCCAAGAAGTCGAGCCTGGTCCGCTGCGCGCGAACCGACAAGGGCGTCCACGCCGCCGGGAATGTCCTATCGCTCAAGCTTATCGTCGAAGACGAGGATATCGTCGAAAAGATCAACAAGCTCCTTCCCGACCAGATCAGAATCTGGGCGATCCAGCGGACCAGCAACGGTTTTAGCTGCTACCAATCCTGCGAGTCGCGATGGTATGAGTACCTCATGCCCAGCTACGCTCTCCTGCCGCCCCAGCCACACAGCTTCCTGGGAAAGAAGGTAGTCGAGTCAGCGAAAGAGAAGGGCATGTTTGAGGAATACTTTAGTCGGCTGGACGATGTCAAGGATTTTTGGGACGACGTGGAAAAGAATGACATCCAGCCCATTCTCGACAATTTAGACGCAGACACCAGAGCGGAGGTCGTGCGGCTGTTGGAAGAGACTGGAGAGCAAGAGCTTGCCGACGAGTCTGTACCCACAGAATCGAACAGCAAGGCAAAGGCCAAGGTCCAGAAGGATCAGGTCGCGGCAATACCCGAAGCCGAGTCAACCAAAAGCGCCGAGACGAATGACGCGGTGGACATTGACAGCGAGGGCGTTTCGACAAGCAAACCCGTTGCTGAGAAGGAACAGGCAGGAGAAAAGGAGCTCTCCCCTGCTGAGCTAGCACTCCGGGAAGTCAAGGCCGCATACATCACAGCCAAGCGGCGCTACCGGGCCACACCGCGCCGCCTTGAGAGGCTCCAGCAAGCTCTGGATCACTATCTCGGCACGCACAACTTCCACAACTACACCATACTCAAGTCCTTTGCGGACCCGTCAGCCAAACGACACATCAAGTCGTTCAAGGTTGACCCGACGCCGATCTGCATTGGCGATACCGAGTGGCTCTCGGTCAAGATCCACGGCCAGAGCTTCATGATGCACCAGATTCGCAAAATGATTGCGCTGTCGGTGATGCTGGTCCGCTGCGGCGCTCCGCTCGACATCATCAACGACAGCTACGGGCCGCGGCGCATTAGCATCCCCAAGGCGCCAGGTCTCGGCCTGATGCTGGAGCGTCCAGAGTTCACCGAGTACAACAAGAAGGCGGCTGGGCTCGGCAAGGAGGCTATCGACTTTTCCAAGTACGAGGATCAGATCCAAAAGTTCAAGGACGGGTACATCTACCGGCGCATGTTTGAGGTAGAGGAGCAGGAGAACTCGTAAGGCCCTATCCGCTGTTCATGAACATGTGTCTTGGTCATTCTAACAGTCTGTGTTTGTAGGTTCCACTTGTTCTTCAACCAGGTCGACAACTTCTGCACCGACTACTTCCTTTGGGCTACCAGCGGCGGAGTGGAGGCGTCGCATGAGCGTTCGGACCGCAAGGGCGGCGAGAGAGTACCCAAAGCGCTGCAGACCGAACTTGGAGACGAGGCGGATGGCGTGGTGGAGATTGGCACGTGAGCGATTGAGCTCACCTCGTTTGCATTCCACAAACGCCGAAATGGACTTTTCAAAGGTTGGCAGAGATTAAGAATTCTTGCTCTGTACAGTTGCCTGCCATCGTCGCATACGAGCCTTGGTTTACCCGCTGAAGCACGCCATGCGTGAAAGGGTAATTTGGTCCATTTCGCTAGGTAGCTTTAACCAACGCTAGTTCGACCCGTTTTTGTGTGAATACTTTTTAATCTAATTACCACGGCCGTGATTACCTCTTACAAGAAGTTGCGAATCCCGGAGGTTCTCATCAGATACTTCGCCGCTCATGCCACAGGAGCCAATCGCCGTCTGATGGTCTTGATGTCATTTTCATCAAACCCCAAAATCTGCTGGAGATAGCCCTCGGTGCCGCCGTACTGCTGGCGGAAGCGCTCGACGAAGCGGATCATGGTCTGCGGGTCCGTCGTGAAGAACTCCTTCAGCCCCGGCGGCAGCGTGCCAGCCTTCAGGAACCCCCTGACCGCCTCAGGAACGAAGTTCATGATGGCCTTCGGCATCATCGTCTTGCGGAACGGCTCGAGGCCGATACGTGACAGCGAGTAATCGAACCCGATCGTTGCCGCGTCCGCGCCCATCAGCTCCAGGATCATCGCCGCTAGCAAACCCGTACGGTCCCGTCCAGCTGTTCAGGCGTGATTAGCACTGCGCTGTTTCTTTGTTTCTTTGTTTGTTTGTTGAGGTTGTTGTGGAAAAGCGCAGGTTTTGAAATAGCAAGGAGAAAGGGGATCGGCGCCCAAGTCCGGCTCACCGGTGCAGTGGAACAAGACGGCCTGGCCATCAGCCGAGTCGCGGATGCCCTCAAACACCTTGCGGTACCCAGCCTTGTACCCGCCCATGATCTCGTCGTGCATTGTGACGTAGCCGGGACCCGGCGACCCGTCCGCGAGCGGCGCGAACGTGGTGATCACCGCCGGCATCGGCACCGGCGGCCCGCCCTCTACATTCATATTGAACGGGCAGTGGATCCTCTCGGGGCCGCCGTCGTCGTCAGAGGGGGACGAGGCCTGGCCGAGCTCGTCGCGGCGCCGCAGGTCGTATACGCACCGGATCCCCAGCTGCGAGCGCAGCGCCACGCGCCCCTCCGGCGTGATCGTGTCCGGTGCACCGCTGCGGTACACTCTTCCCGGCGCGATGAGTCTCGGTACCAGACCGCCCACGTCCCGCAGGTTGAATGCGCCGGGGACCGTCTCGGGCGACACAAACGGCGGCAGGCTGAGCGCCTGCGTCGTGAGGTCCGGGGGCGTGATGGCTTCGGTTATTGGGACGTTGGCGAGCTCGGCGAGGAGCGCGAGGTATGGCGTTTGGGGTGGGGTTGGGGTTGAGGCCATGATTTTTGGAGATGGGATGCTGATTAATTTCTGAAAGTTATCTGTGCTCCAGGCAATGGTGTTGCAGGCGCGTGCAGAAAAGGGTATGATTAAGTGTGCCTAGTGACTTGGGGAGGGGGAACAGTTGGAGAATTAAAATAAAAGAAAAAAAAGAAAAAAAAAAGAAACAGCTTCCCTCGAGCTCAAGTGCAGCGTTTGAAAGTCCTAGCAGCGGTGAAGGACTTGGGTCGACAACCGACGTCCTGTGCCGGCTTAATTATTTCCAGCCTGACAGGCACCACCTGGGCAGCGTGTGACCCGGATGTGTGCCGCGCTTTCCTCACCAGGCAACCTCGCCGTTGGCTAGGCGGTTGTAACTGTCCGGGTGGGATGTAGCCATTCGTCTAAACATTGCGCAGGCCGCCACCGCCTTGGAGGCGTGCCGCTATACCCGCCTTGTATGTGGTTGTTCATACTGCAGCTTCGGAAATAAATGTATGTATTTTGCAGACAGCGTCTCTGTACACTGATTGTAGCGAAACTAATTATTTCAGTGATTAAAATAACTAATTTGAAGCTGTAGACAATTCAAGGCTTTCTCTCCTCCCCCTTTCGTTTGCCACGTCTACGAATTACCGATCAATCAAGGTCATGCAACTGAAGAGCTATGATTGGCCAAGCAGGTTGGAGGTGTGCAAAACAGTGGAGAATTGAGTAGCGCACGAGCCGCCATGCGGCACATGCGCAGCGAGCGGATGTGCCTTTCACGTGACCCCGGGACCCCTCCAAAACCACCCACTTCCTGTCCCCATAGTTCGTGGCCCTTATACATGGAACATAGCAGAACAATATAACCACTAACCACCCCTACGTGACTGTTACTATAGTATAACGCTTGCGAATGACCTTGTTATTCCAAAACATCGCAGTGTTTTTAACCTAACCGGCGCGTGAGTCTGAAACTGCAAGAGAGTCACGCATGTTAGGTAATGGCCTACCCGTCGTCGGTGGGTTTTGACTTTCGAGGACCTTTAGGGTAGGACGCTGCTAGTGGCAAGCGCCCTTCTCTGAGGGCCTGATGGAGCCCAGATCTTCATTGCATTGGACAAAAGGGGTTCGCTATTTGGGGTTATACTTCCAACCACACCACCTTGACGACATGCAGAATAAAGGTCTACGACTTTCTAAAAGCTCCGCGGTCATTGCTTCTTTTCTCACCTTGAACTCACTTTGAACTGGGAGATGGGACTTTTTACGCTGGAGGCATCAAAACACAGGACGCGCCGCGGAAACAGGACGCGTCATGGAGCCACATGGTTACTGATCGCTGAGGCGTCCAACATAGGAGAAATGGTGAACTTCAGGCCAATGTTTTCTTCCGCTCCCATCCAGACTTGTGAATCAAATGACATAGACATACGTGACTTGCCAATGCTCCGGATCGCCCAGGGAACTGATGTGGTTGCCACTATATCTAATCGCCGTGCGCGCTCTTTGCCTCTCCAAGTTCTCTCTCCTCAACCACACGGATCTCTTCCGACTCTTTGCCTGACAGCAAAGTCTCTATACATATCCGGGTTTGTGAAGATATCATGTCTCATAATATAAACCATTGTTAACGGAACTCGCGATCCATAGCCTTTGCGTACAAAAGATTGCTTCTGTGGGGGAGGGCAGCATCTACCCAACTACCATTGAGAATGGCCAGCACTTCATCGTCTGCCAATAAACCCGAGGGATCTCTGGGCCCCGTCAGTTTGAGGGAAAAGTACCCCGAGCTCGATGATATGACCCTACAAGAGATACACCTACAGGATGTCAACAAGGCGAACCTAATTCGTGACAAGGCTATTGAACTGTAAGGCACTTGATGAGACACTGTACTCGCTTCTTGGCATGAGAAGAGCGTAAGCTAACAACCCGTGCAGCATCCGAAAAGCAGCGGCCACTAGTGATGAGAACGTGGCCGACGAGCTCCCAGCATTCGACTATGAACTCAAGAGGGCCGAGGACTTCCTGGTTGCCGCCGAAGCCTATCGCAAAGCCCCAAAAACGGTAGGGTCTCCCGATGCCACTCGTATTTCCCAGGCGTATCCGCATCCGTGCTAACACTTCCACCAGAGCCGAGACGACGACGTGGCCTTTCTGTCGTTTCGAAGCGTGGGCCCGAATACGCCGAGTCCACGGGGCCGTCTACCCGGCGTTGGACCAGCCCAAACGGGCCATGGCGGCTGGCAGGTGGAATCACCCCTGCCCTTGCGCCTATGGCAAAGCAACAGAATACTACTGCTCAGCGGAGAAGACCATCGGGCTAGCACCCAGAATATGCCAATGAAGATTAGCAACAGCCCGACTAGAGACGGTGCAGCCCAGCAGCCGCATGGGCTTCGGCTAGCCCCCTACGGAGAGGGAGTGCTACTAAATGCAGGAGAAAATATGTTTCCCCAGCGACGGCCTATCGAGGTTGGCCCGAGTAGAGAAGGCGGTGGAGTGAAGCCGACCCCATTTTTGGAGCTGTCCTGGTACTGGACTCGACGACACAGAAACGAATCGCCGCCAACTCCAATCAAACTCAGACCAGTAACGGCAGGGGGAAGTGGCACCAGAACCCTCCCTTCCATATCGCTGCTGCTAGGCCGCAGCGACAGCGTGCCGCCAAGCGAGGGAGCACACATGGCGGGCACTCGAGACACGCCATTTGAGCTCAGCCCGGAAAGCAGAGCCAGAAGCTATGGCAGCCCTTACAGCAGAGTACCACCTGTAATGTGGCCGCCGAAACGCAGTGATATCGCGTTGAGAAGCCAGGAAGAGCATACGGCCAGCACTCGAGACGCATCGACTGAGCCCAACCAGGCAAGTAGACCCATAGTCTACTACGGGGTACCACCACCCGTAGTGCGGCCACTGAAGCCTAGCGATTTCGCCTTGAGAGGCCAGGAAGAGCATATGGCCGATACTCGAGACACATCGATTGAGCCCAGCCCGGCAAGTAGAGCCACACGCTACTACGGAGTACCACCACCCGTAATGCGGCCACTGAAGCCTGGCAATTTCGCCTTGAGAAGCCAGGAAGTGCACATGGCTGGCACACGAAATACGCCGATCAAGCTCGGCTCAGAGATGGGAAACAGCAGCTTCACGAGGCTGCAGGCGCCGCGCAACGAGGAAGCGCGTCTAGCTAGCAGTCAGCATTCACCCAGCGGGCTCAGCCCAGACGGGGGAGGCGGAAGCTTCCCGTGGCTGAAGGGACCCTCGATGGCAGTGCGAAATGAGAAAGCGGATCTGGAAAGAAGTCGACATTCGCGCATCGAGCTTGGCCCAGCGCGGAGGGGCATAAGCCTCGGCGGCATACAATCACCCCTCTCCTGGCCGCCACAGGACGGGGAAGAAGCATCGCCTGACGAACAAGCGAGTCTACCCGGCAGCCGACACATGCTGATCGAGCTCAGCCCGGGCAGGAGAGGCCGTGGCGACGGCAGAGGACGACCCGTCTTGTATTACTGGCCGTCGCGTAGGGAGAAGGCGGCGCGCATGAAAGCATCGGGCGGCGAGGAGGACGATCTGCCTGGCCCCAGGAGAGGTTCATCAGGCCCCAAGAGTGCGCCTACTACCCCAGACAATCCCGAGCCGGACAGCGAGAATGGAGAAAACACAGAGCCGGAGTCCGAGGCTTCAGCCAAAGTCAAGCTCTCCGTAAACCTTTTGTATTATCGGTAAGATAAGTATCCTGTGGGCCTTGTGGGCACGACAACTGTGCCTAGAGCCTTGGAAGAAGAGAGCACAGGCGACGGTGAGGCTGGATTAGATGGTTCCGGGGCTAGGCATGTCATAATCATATCAGGGAGATGTGATGTGACATGTGTTGCGGCTAACTAGGTAGCTTAGACTATTGATAGTGGCAATACATACATAGGTACCTCTATAGTCACCCCGAGTGACAGCATTTTCTGACCAAGTCCTCATTAAGCAGTCCCGGAACTTGAAGTAGGGGATGTCATGACCAGGGAGCCAGGTCGTGACATAGGATCGGTGCCGTTGCATTGGCCCGAGCAATAGTGGACAAGCCAGAACGTGTGGTTGCACTTTTTCATAGCCGATGATTAATTAATAGATTAGTAGTGCGTTCTTGTAAGACTTCAATTGATGCAAAAAGAAGGCATTTTTGGGAGTTATTGCGTATATTGAAGATTAAGGAAGCGATGCTAAATTACGGTCTTGTGGGTGTCTGGCGCGTTCTTCTAAGAAGGCCCCCGCGGCAGTATTGTTCCTCACCGCCTTCTTCAAGCGAGACAGCTTAGCAACGTGCCAAGCCTGGTAAGTGGGGCCAGCCGTTTGTATTCGGCTTCTTTCCCTGGGGACGCCTAGAAACGTGGCACCCAGAAACGTGACACCCTTCTTTTTTCGGCGGCGGCACATATTTTTTGCATCTAGCTACCTTGTGACTTAATGAGGTGGCTAATAACGACCAAAAAAAAAAAAAACAGAGCAAATCGACCCATAATTAACAAACAGGAGGAGCCTGTAAGAGCGAAGCGAACCTAATCCAAAGTGATGCCGACACAATATCAGGCATTGGAGTGTCCTAGGCACCGCCAAACTGCAACAGGCTCTGAACGTTGACCCTGCCAAACCCGCCACAGCGCAACAAGTCCCGGCCACGGTGGACAGGGAACTCGGCCACGACCATGACGCAAACGTTTTCGGCGCCTACGCCGGCCTCTCCCAGCAGCCGGAGGACTGCACAAAGCGTTCGGCCCGTGGCCAGCACATCATCCACGACCAGCACGGAGGCACCCTTAGGGATCACATCCCGCTCCATCTCAATCCTCTCCTCTTTTGCATCACCCCGGGGCGGCGCAAAAGACGAGATATGCGAGGGGGTCTTGCTGACACTGAAAGTGGGCGAGGGAAGCTTGCTGGCCGCGCGGATTAACGCTAGGGGGATGTCGACTATAGCGGCTAGCGCTGAAGCGAAGAGAAAGCCGCCCGCCTCGCAACATGCCACCACGTCGACCTCGGCCCAGGTACCCGCAAACTGGCTTTTCAGCAGAGACGTGCACAGGGCGAGCCCGCCTGGCTGCTGGGCGATGCCGAGGACGTGGCGGAAGTCCATGTCCTCGCGGGGAAAGCCGGGGATATTTCGAACCACACTCGCCAAGCGTCGGAGGTCCTCGTGGAAGAAGGAGAGGAGATGGCGCTCGGCAAACTCCTGGACTGCCGCCTCGTTCCCGGTCACGTCGTTGTGGAATATGAGGTCCGGGCGGTAGGTCAAGAATATCGAATCTGGTGGCTTGTTTTGTTCCATGCCGTTGCCGCCACCATGCCCATGGTCACCACTATCCCGGTGCAGCCGGCGAACTCGTCGCGTCTCTTGGCTGGCTTCAACGCAAACATCAAACAATCTGCTCTCTGGCACCAGGTGCGCGAAGCTCGCGACCGGCGCGTCGTCTCTCATTCCCGTTATCAACAGCACATCGACATCTGCGGCGCCGTGCACAACCTCGAGAAAATGCTCCTCTGGCAGGCGGGGCCGTTGCTTCACCTGGTCCTGGAAAAACGCCGTCAGAGCCGCCCGGTGCTGCTCCTTGTAAGCGCGGCTCCGCAGCAGACGGTCCAGGTCGGCGCCCGTGGCTGCGGCGTACTCGCGCTTTGTCGCTTCGCTGATGCTGACTACACGTGCCAGGAGGCCTTTCTGGGCTAAGACGGCGGCCCAAATGTCGGCGCAATGGTCTTTCCCGGCGCCGCTCTCGCCGGTGACGAGGACTATGAGCTTTGGGTCTGGTGGCCTCGAGAGCGGGAAAGCATAAGCCAGCACACCGCGTGGGTCGAAGCGGGGTTTGAGACGGGAAAGACGCGGGATATTCGGACCAAACGCGCCGACGGCCAGCGGAGCGTCTCGGGGGTCTGGCCCAAGGTCGGCGCCGTAGACTCCGCTGCTCAGGGGCAACAGCTGTGTGGCGACTTCGTAAACCCAGCACACGGTGGCGAGGGCGGCATTTGATCCATCCTGGTCGCGGGGCCAGACGCCGGTGATTACACAGGCAAAGTCCCAGTCTCGACAGCCAAACGCGGTGGAATCTGCCGCCACGTCGCTGATCGCTCCGCCGCCTTGCAGCAGGTGCAGATAGCAGAGTGCGGTCGGACGGCTCTCGACGGCTGCCACAAGGATATCAGCCATGGGAGCTTCTCCGATGTCCTTGAGAAACAAACACCGCTTGAACGAGGATGTCTTGCCGCCGCCATGCCCACCGTGCATCCCCGACATGTACATGTCGCACTCGAAAACACCGACGCCGTCGACAGTCTCGAGGCTTGCGTGCGGTCCCAGCATCTCTGAGACGGGGTTGGGCGCGGGCGTGGGCGCGGGCGCGGGTATTCCGGAGTTGGCCCTGGCCGTCGGCGACGTGTCGAACATGGTCACACCTAGACATAGCCGGTCGTTGTTTCCGTACAAGTACGCATCGGCAGAACAGGTCCGGGGCAGGTCTCTGGCGGCCAGCTTGCCAAAGCTGGCGAGTTTTTGTCGCAGCTCGAGCCCATAACTCAGCGGGATGACCCAGTCTCGAACCGAATACGTCTGGGCCGCATAAGCCCTGAACGTAACACTGACGACAATGCCAAAATTTGTCGCGGCGCCCTTGATAGCCCATAGCAGATGGCTCTCCTCCAATCCCAGGCTCACGGCACCAGCCGGTCGATGCTCGCTCGGCACACAACCGACGCACAGAACCTCACCAGAAGCGACACTGACCACCACGGCGCCAACAATACAATCGCACGCCAGGCCGTACATCCTGGCCAGATGTCCAATGCCACCCTGCAGCCACACGCCCGCGCCCACGCTCGGGCGAGCCCCAAGGGGCACCGTCAGGCCGGCCGCCATGGCTTTGCCGACAACGTCGCCCGTCTTGCAGCCAGCTCCAGCCAAGATCAGCGGGCCGCAATAATCGGAATCTGACTGCTGCCCACCGGCTGTTGCCGCGAGAACGCACACGTCGTCAAAGGCGCCCATGTCAACAGCGACGACATTCGGCCAGAGACAATGACCGCTGTGTCCCCCGCCAAGCACAGTCAGGCCTACGCCGTGCTCCAGCGCCCAGCGGACGCACTCCTGCACGTGGCGGACCTCTGTCGGCCTCACAATGGCCGCAGCACGGTTCAGGCGAGCCTCGTGGTTTTTCACCGTCCTGCCCCTGTCGGCCAGCGGCAAATTCACGGTCAGTTCTGGCAACACGGTTGCGTGTCGCGTAAACGCCGCCATGGCTTCGGGCGCGCTAAACACGACATGGTCGTCGGGGTGGGCGTCGTCCTCGCGGCGGACGCGGCCGCCCAGAGCGCGGCATACGTTGCGCCACTCGGCTCGGATCGTTTCGTCTGACACGTTGAAGCCGGCGATGAAAGCGGCAAAACGGTCGAGCGCTTCGTCCTTGTTTGCCACGGAGACGGTTCCGGCAGGGAAGGACGCTGCTCGATGGCACACGAGGCCGTCGAGGCGGTGGTCCAGACCTCGGCGGTGGAAGACCACGACCAGGCCGTTGTCGCGCTCGACAAGCATGTCCAGCGCCGATCGGATGAATGCGTGCTTGGGTTTCATGCCGTACATGCTGTGGCAGAAGAGAACGGCGTCGAATTTCTCGTCGCCATCACCACGATCTGCGTCGGTAGTCGTCACGGCACCGCTCCCATCGCTGTCCTTGGTGTCTCGGGCGACGAACGGAACCCGATGAATTTTTGGCGCGCTTCCCAGACACGGGAGCGGAGCCTCTGCCTCAGGCGCTATGACGTGCGGACCAAGCCATTCTTCCAACTGCGTCGCAAACAAGCCGTTTGGCTCGAACGCGCTGTATTTCCTAATCTTGCGTCTCAGACGATCAGGCAGAGAACCTAACACAGACCAGGGGCCGGGTCCGATCTCGAGTACCGAGATATGGCTGCGTGAGTCGAAGAGGGGCGCCAACACCTCGGACAGGCGAGGGACGATAAAGTCTTGGTACGTTGCCCGTCCTGAGCCCTGCGTTAGGATATCAAAGCCCGCGCTGTACTGCGAGTTGGAAAACGGCTGGTGTGGAGACGACGCCGTTGCCGTTGCCATTGCCCTCTTCTTTAGGGCCTGCTTTAGGGAGTCGAGCGTGGCCATTGCAATTGTGAGTGTGTGTAAATGTTCGAATGATAGTGGTGAGTTGGTCTACTCCGTGGAGAGATTTTATCCTGGTCTGGCGGGCACTCCACGTCCAACAAGCTGGACAGGTCTGTCGTGGGATGCCCGAAGTTTGCCGACCAATTACTCCGTAGGCGTGCGATGTGAGGAGGGGCTGTAGGCCTCACTGCGTCCGTCTCGTGATGACACCGTGTGATGCCGTGCGACGCCGTGCGACAGTACTAGGACGCCCGCTTCGGGAGCGAGACGATGACCAACCACTATGCGACAGACAGTAGGCCTCATCGTTTTCGTGGCTCACACAATTGCATAATCTGCGGCGAGGCCGACAACCGCGTTTGCCGCTTTGCCATCTCCTCCAAAATCCTTACCCGCGAAGCCTGCGGCAGCCAACCTCACCTAGTGGCCATAGGGTTGGTTGTGCCAAGCTCTTAATTTAAGACGCGGCCCTGTCCCCCATGGGATAACCTTGACTCTCCTTCTCGTCACCGACCGACATCAAAGGGCTAGAAAGATCAAATAAAGGCAGCATGGCGTCTACTCAGCTGGCTAATAGCGAGGAGAAGCCTCACCAGAGTAACTTCGCGGACCCAAAAAAGGATATGGCCAAGAGGGGGGCCGCTGATGATGGGAGCAGCGTAATGAAGCAGCGACATGCCATGGACGGGACTGCCAGAGACCCGATGGTCGAACCAGAGCCCCCAGTGCCGACGGAAGTGCCGAGACTGGAAGGGGAAGAGAGTCAAGAGACAACGTCGCTAGGTTTGGTGATGGACTTTGATGGTTTGAGCCGGCCACGTACATGTTGTCGCACCTTGCCCCGCCTCTAGAAGTGGACGCTAACTTATCTTGATCAATTTAGGCGTCGGAACCCGGGCGAGCGTCGGAACCCGGGCGAGACTTGAAGAGTCCCCCGAGGAAGGCGTCAAACGGCTTGGGAGGATGCGGGATGCCGTGCGGACCCTCCTTGAATGCGTTGGAGAGGACCCCGACCGGCCAGGCCTCCTTGACACGCCCGAGCGGTATTCCAACGCCATGATGTTTCTGACCACGGGCTACGGCCAAAACGTGCGGGACATGGTCAACAACGCCATCTTCCAAGAGGGCCATACCGAAATGGTAGTCGTCAAGGACATCGACATCTTCAGCATATGCGAGCACCACCTGCTGCCATTCACGGGCAAGATGCACATCGGCTACGTGCCGTACCACTCCGTCATCGGCCTCTCGAAGCTGCCCCGCATCGCCGAGATGTTCAGTCGGCGCCTACAGATCCAGGAGAGACTGACGGCAGATGTTGCGAATGCCGTCATGGAGGTGCTCAGGCCGCAGGGCGTAGCCGTGGTCATGGAATCCAGCCACCTCTGCATGGTGATGCGCGGCGTGGAGAAGTCGGCGGCGGTAACGATTACGAGCTGCGTGCGCGGTTGTTTTGAGACAAACAAGAAGACGATGAACGAGTTCCTGAGCTTGGTTGGCGCCAAGAGGTAATGGCGAAGTGGAGAAGAGTGGAACTTCAGGTCACTGACAGATTGTATCAGGCACCACTGAAGAGAGGTCCAAGAACTTGGTGTGGCTGGACCTGGCAATGTAAAATCTTGATTTCAAAGTGTCGTAGTTGAGAGGAAACCCAAACATTCTTTTGTATCGCTGGGATGCCAGAAGTCACCGAACCTGACTAATTAAATGTTGGTTGGTGTAATTATATCTGTTTTTTATTTCTCCTCTTTTACTTTTGACTGGAGCAAGGGTGTGTCCTTGGGCACCTCTCAGAGCCAGCCACGAGAGGCCACTCGCTCATTGGCCACCATGATGCTGCCAACCATCGCGTCCCTGACTTTTCCCACATCGGACCATGGGAGGTCTTCCTTCTTGCCGCCGTCGGCATCGCGTCATTTGTCGTCTTCGAAATCCTCAGTCTTAGGCCTATGCCACCGATACTCCATGTATTGGCACTCGTTTGGATCACGGCTTCCGTCGTCGTGAAGCCTCCCGAACGGCTTCAACCACCTGTCTTCTGGGTCGTGTTCGCCACTTGCCTGCTTCCCGTTCACCTTTGAGGGGAACCTCGCGAGCGTCTTCCTCTGGGGCATTCTCATCAGCCATCCGAGCCTCCTCGCTGCCGCGATGCCGATCGTCTTCAAGATTCTGTTCTTCCTCGTCTATCCTGCTCCTGCCGCGCTCTTCATTATGGAAGCTGGCTGCGTCACCACGTTTCTCTGCTTGCTGGCTCGCGGCCGCCTTGGCCATGCTCGACAAAATCCATTTTCTGATGCATCCCGGCTACTGGGCCGGCTGGGTTGCCTTTCTTTTCTTCCTATATGCGGCCTTTGAACCACGTTCGCCGCGACGACCTAAGCGACTTCCGGCGCGGCGTCGACCGCGCGCCCCTAAACAAGCGGGGGTGGGTGCTGCAGGAGCGACTCCTTTCTCGCCGAACCCTCCATTTTGGCGCCGACATGCTCTACTAGGAGTGCTGCCTGCGCTCGGTCTCGGAGCTGTGTCCCAAGGGCTACGTGTACGAGCATTCGGCCGAGTACCATGGCGATTATCTTCCACCGCGAGGTGCCCTCTAGTCGTGGTGTGTGGCGGAGCAACCAAGCCTTCATGGGGAGAGAAAGGGGCAGTCGTATGAATTCTGGACCCAAGGCTTGCGTACGGGCCGCTACCGCACGGCACTGGAGCAGATTCAAGATGGCTAGTATCGGGATGACGGCATCCTCAGTTTTGCCTAGAGCTGGTACACCATTGTCGAGTCGTACGCGCGGTCGAATCTGAGCTTCTCCACGGGTATCGGGATTGCCAGGCCAGTACCGAGTCGTTGGCCGAACTTATCTCGACGGATTCATGGACGGGGAGTGTTTCCTTGGTCCTCTCCCCGATGAATATACACAGGTCTGGAGATCAGATTTTGACTCCCCAGAATTTGAAGATATATGAGCTCCCCTAGTTTTGTTGAAAACTGGACGGGAAAGCTTACTTGGATAGACCCAAGGGTCCAGTCGTTTCCTATAGACATTAGTCGGGCACACGAAGAGACGAGGGCGGCGGCGAAAGATGTTCTCGCGTCTATAGCAGTGGAAATGTTAAAGGAGAGAGGCGTCCAGATCCAGGAGTTTGGTGTGATATAGGCATTGCTTTGAGATCCGTATGCCACCTACCTAGCCGATACCATACTCTATGTACACCCTATTACCGAGCTCATTGAATTCCAAAAGAGTGTGATGAGGTATGAGAGACCAAGGCCTCTATGACTACTTCAAGTGAGGACAACGCCATGGTTGAAGATATGTTGTAACTATCCCAGATCTAATAATGGCGGAAGATATTAAAAGTTAGGCCATAGAAAGCTTTCATCTATACATCGGCCTTCATGTGGATATTAACCATTCCGCCAGCTTTCGGCGTCACCCAACCACCACAAAGGTGGCCAGAAAAATATGAAACAAAATGAAAAGCCATGCTGTGACAGCCCTAATTAGCCCTAATCGTGATGAATAGGAAACCTAGTTCCAGGAGAAAGTGATGAGGTACACGTACTCAACAACAAGCTCTGCAACCAACGACCTTGGATTAAGCAAGTCACATCGCGATGCTTTCAAAGTGGTTCCTCGGCACGGTTCATGTCGTTATTCCTTTGCTTTATGCGCGTCCCGAATCAAATCAATTCTTTTGCCGAGCAAAGCAGCGGCAGCGGCAGCTCAAAATCGCACTTGCTGAAGAATAAGATAGTACCCTAGACCAGCTACCGGAAAGCGCATGTCTTCATAACGGCTGTAATTACAAACTAAACCACTGCAGATACTCTCACCAGCCGTTTAATCGGTCCCTCTCCCCGCAGCGCCCTCCGCCGCAGGTTTCCACGGTGCAAGTTCCTACGCGCACGACCGAGCAGCATACGAAGCCAAAATATCTCCCCAAGTAACCTGCAAAGTCTCACTCGCAACAACCTGGGAGATTGGCTCGACAAATTCGCCACATCATCTTCCTAAGGAGCCGGGGCAGCCTTGGTAGCAGCAGTTGCAATAGTAGGCTGGGGGGGCAGGCGCGGCGGAGGGCCGTCGACGGGGGCCGACATGTAAGTGATGCTGCCGCCGGAGGCAAGAGCGGTGCGCTGGCGGGCGGCGATGCGCAGCTGGTTCCGCATGGCGAACACGTCGGCCGCGTCCGCGCGCATGAGCCGCTCGGCCTCGTCCTCGCCCTCGCCGAACGTCTTGAGAGGGCCGGCGATCCACATCTCGCGTAACTGGCGCGTCAGGCCGAGCAGGTCCTCGACTGATTTGATCTGCATTTTGTGAGGGGCGTGGTCAGCTTAGTTTTGTGGTCGAGAAGGACAGAGGTAGTGCTCACCAGGCCGTTCATCTGGATGTCTATGGCCATGCTGTTGTACTCCATCTGTCCGATAGTGGCGGTCCGGTCGACCTTTTGCGTCGAGAGCTCGACGAGCTGCCGCATGCCCTTGAGGATCTCAGCGATGAGTTTCCCTCGGCGCTCTGTGACTGCTGTTAGCCTCGACGCCTCAAGTGCCTGGGCCGGCCGTCTCCTCGGAGGCATCGATCTTCGAGCTCGGGGTCAACTTCAGGGTGAAAAACAAGGAAGAATCCACGTAAAATGCCACAATCTGGATCTATATCGCAATGTCCTCCCCTTGCACCCCCCTTGCACTCTTCCGCGCATGCTGGGTTCCTCGATCGTAGGCCAGGCAATGAAGCGAGGACAGAACACACTGCGGCTGAAAATAGCAGACATGGAAGCAAAAATGCGAGACACGCCAGGTCTAGACTTGAACAAAGGAATCCAGGCTGTGGATGCGCGGAAGGGACGCTGCGACGCAAGGAAGAAGAAAGGCAGTGCAGTGCAATCCAGAATTGGCGATGCGTCAGTGCGAGACAATTTGAGCCCCACTCACCCATTAGGTCCTCCGAGCCATTCCGGTCCCTATTCATCTTTGCTCCGGACACCGAGGGGCGTGCTGATTCGTACTGGGCGTGACTAGTCGTTGCGCGGCTGCTTGTGTGCAATCACTATTCGGCTGTGCTTTGTCGTCGAGAGAGGATTCACAAAGAAGGCACGCTAAAAATGGTTGGCCGTGCACTGTGCGAGCCAGGCCTGCCCACTAGCAGCACTGTTTCTTGGGCAAGGGTGGAGCCAAGATGATGTGGTGATTGCCCCACTCGAAGTGTCCTGAACTTCATCGAATGACCCTAGAGCATACACTGTAAATACTGCGTAAAAGCTTGCTATTTGAATTTTTGGGACGTTGCTAGTGGAATATATTTTATACGCTATAAATGTATGTTGAATACAAAAGCGAGGAGCTGGTATCTAGAACCACGTGGTAATGTGGGACTTGTTTTCAGAAGAGAAAAATCAGACAGAAAAAAAAAAGCAAAGAAACCGAAACTGACATATAATGAGTTCGGTTGAAGGGGTTAAAAGGTTTCCAGGGCCTCCCTGAGATTATCTCGAGGATGACCTGGTTACACCCATGAGCGTGCAAAGAGCGACTACCCCCACAAGTATAGGATTTTGAATGAGTGAAACGAAAAGAAACACTCCAGATCTTCCGCAGAAGCTGCCTCCCTGCACCAACGTGGTAGGCCAACTGAGTAAACCCTGCCCTTTCAAACAGGGGCTTGTGCAATGACATGCCTTTTCCACCATCTGCGACTTGATCAGCCACATCTCGCATAGCTCCAAGTCTGCACCGAAATTGCAGGTGAAGCTCTGCTAAGCAAATCAGCCCTGGCCAAGCCCGAGCAGCACCAAGTTCGCCACATTCATGACGGCGATGATGAGCCAGACGGCAAAGGCGACGGAGGCCAACCACCACGAGTTGCCCATCTTGACCTCGCCCTGGCGATCCACGTCCGAGGCCATGCCGGCGAGAGCGCGGCGCTTGGACGTGAACAGTTTCCACAGGGACGAAGCGCTGCCGGCCTCCTCGATCTCTTCGACGTGGAAGCGGGCCTTGCCCTGCTGCACCGTCATGTACCGGTCGCGGCAGGTGAAGTAGATGAGCGGGGCGGTGACAAAGGGCAGCACGCTGCTGAGGACGACCTGCGACGCCATCAGGGCCGTGTTGAGCCCGGACCGGCCGACCGCCGCGGCGATGATGATGGACGGCGTAATGCTAATAGATCGCGTCACCAGCCGGCGCAGCCACGGGCGCATCTTCCAGCGCAGCGCGCCCTCGCTGACCATCTGCCCCGCGATGGTGCACACGATGCCCGCCGAGATGCCCGAGAGCAGGAGCGCGAGGGCAAAGATGGTGCCGGCCGCCGGGGCGATGCTGCTCGACAGCAGCGCGTGGATGGCGAATATGTCCTCGGCACCAACGGCATCCGGGTTCTGGTACAGCGACGCGCCGGCAACGATCAGGATGGCCGAGTTGACGAACAGCGCAAACGTGAATAGCGATAACGCGAGCTCAATGATCGAGTATTTCAGCGAGTGCCTGATGGCTGCAAGCGACGGGATATAGTAGACCTTGGCGTTGCCATCGACGCCGGACGTAGTGGACGATGCGGCCGAGGCGGGCTCGGCAGGAAGAAGCCCACGCTTCTCGTCGAAAGCCCGCAGTCGTGGCTGGACGATGCCCGACCCCAAGAACAAGCTGTGAGGCATGACCGTAGCGCCGAGGATACCACATGCTTGATAAAGGCTGTGCACAAATAGTCAGCACAACTCTTCAAGGTCATCAAAAGGCTGGTACTCCGGCTGCTGTTCTCACCCTTGTTGCTCAACTACAGCGCCAGACGGGAGATACCCCTTGAACACTTCACCGACGTTGGTCTCTGTGATGAGCGAGAGCTGAATGCAGAAGCAGATGACGACGCCCAGGACCAAGATGCAAACGAAGAGCTCAAAGACGCGGAGGCCTCTCATGGAGCCGGAAGGGTTGTAAAAGAAGAGAATCGCCATGACGTCCAGGATAGACAAGGCGCATCCCGCGACGAGCGGGAGCTGGGGGATGAGCAGGTTGAGGGCGATGGCCGTGCCGATGACCTCTGCGATGTCCGTCGCGATGATGGCGACTTCGGCGAGCGCGTACAGGAAGTAGTTGAGCCATCGCGGCAGAAAGGTGCGGCACGCCGAGGCCAGGTCGAGGCCGGTGACGGTGCCGAGCTTGATGGCCAGGCTCTGGAGGAGGATGGCGAACAGGTTGCTCAAGAGAACGATGAACAGCAAATTGAAACGATACGAGGCTCCAGCGGCAATGTCGGTGGCGTAGTTTCCGGGGTCGACTGTTTTTGTAAACCCACGTCAGCAGCATTCATCACAACACACACACGGAAGCCGAGACATCCGGTATCCGGGAGGATTTTTGGAGTACTGACTGTATGCAACCGCAATCATGAAGCCGGGGCCGACAAATTGGCTGAAGGTGAGAAAGGCCTTTTTGTAGCGGCCGAAACGCGAAAGACTGTTGGGCGGGTGGGCGCCCTCACCTTCGCCCCGAGGGGGGAGGCGGAAACTCGAAGGGGCGGGCAGCTCGGCAACATCAGCAGCAGCAGCCAGCTTCGAATCGCCCTTCGTCCCGGCCTCCGCCCCATCAAGCCGGCCAGCAATTGGGTGAACCCAGTCGCTGGCCGACTTCCCACCGCCGCCGCCGCCCCCGGCATCGGCGGCCAGGGGTTCGCCCAAACGGACGCTCTCGTGGTTTTCGAGGGCATGCGACAGGCTGTTCTTTATGTGGGCATCCTGGTGGTTGCGGGCCTCTCGCGTGTTGGCGATGCCGTTGAGGTCCTGGTTGGTGGTCAGGTCAGCTGCGAGGTGGTCCGGGCTTTGGTTGTAGCCCTCGCCCTCGTATGGCTCGTCGGTTCTGGAGGGCCGGGAACACATGGCGACGGGAGTTGAACTTTGATCGTTTCGGCGGTCTCGTTCTAGGCCCGTCTGCAAGCCAAGTGACGACTGTGATTTAGCGCTGGAGCCGTTGCGGAGTTGCGGCGAGAAGCAACCCTCACCCGCCGAGCTGCGGGGGCAGGAGCGCTGAGCGTTGGACACGCACGCTAGCCCGGCCGAGCTTCAGTGTTTCGGGCCTGCAGATTGTGTTGTTTTGTGTTGTTGTGCTGTGTTGTTGTGTTGTGTTGTGTAAGCCACCCGAGACAAGACTGCACTGTCTCTCTCAGGAACCTAGGCCGGCAGCTGCGTTCTGGGACAGTGGCAAAGATATAGGTCGGGCATGCGGAATCCGATGCACGGAGCGAGGTGTGCATCCGGGACCTTCCCCGTGTTTCCCCGCATTTGTTTGTCCCCCACCAACCACCGGCCTGTGAATCCATTGGCAGTCGGCTGGTTCCGCGCCAAGATGGGCAGGGCAGGCGGTGAAATTACAGTGCGTCACGGGGTAATCTTCGTTACGAATTGTGTGCTTTCTGTCCACAAACAGGAAATTGGACTGAGCCGTTCAACCACCCGAAATAGATCAGTGATTGGCATTGCCTGTTAACGCCAGAATCCATTAGAAGCCTCTCCTCTCCCTAGGTCCCTTCTTTGCCATTTAGTTACCGTGGTATTCGCCATGGCTTGCTTACCTACCCCAATACCTTACCAAGACTCGGCACGCTGCACACCGCCCATCGCGGAAGTCGCTCTTGGCTTGCAGGCTTGGATTACCAGCTCTCTCGGACGGGTGCGCTTCCGGGGCATTTCCTCTCCCGCTTTAATTACGTAAGGTGGTATTTGTGCGTCTTAGGTATTGGGCACCCCACCATTTGTGTCGTCTTTGTGGCCCTGGCAAGGACGACAGCAATGAGTCTGAGCCCGTTCAAAGGTCCCATGGGACCTGGAGGTCCAAGGCATCCAAGGTAGGTGTGAGGTTGTATGCGGCTCTGAACTGAAGTGTACCACACGCAGCTTGCAGCCGCATTGCCATTTGCTCTAGAAAGGCAACCTAAGGGGAAACAATTGCGCAAGGGCCGAGACTGCGCTGCTGTGGTAAGTTGGCATGAAAGTCACTTACCCCGCTCGCCCCCCCCCCCCCCCCCCTCCCCCCGCCCGCCCACCTAAAGCGCTTAGATGCACATGCTGTGGCCAGACCTTCAGCGGGGCCTTCAGCAGGGCCTTCCTGCCATCATGCGATAGAGGTCGGATATTCTCGACAGTTGAGAGCGTGGCTTGGGAGCTCCATCCCACCTTCTTGGTCTCTTTCGTCTTCAATTTGATCCGTCTTTTGACGAGCGAGTGTTGGCGAGGCTCAAACCCGACCCTGGAAAGTATCACGACAAGCTTGCTTTTGCGACTCCTAATCACAAGCGTTCGCCAGTGCACAGCCGCTCCCGCTTCTTTCCGTGTGACCATGGCTTGTGGTTCGGCATGTTGCGCCCCGGCTCAGAGCCCGGTCCAGCGACTCTCTGGATCCGAAGCCGAGGTCGACGTTCTGAAACTGCCCGAACAGGGCGACACGACAACAGATTTTGGCGAAAAGCTCGAGCATGAGGCGAGCGGGGTCGTTGGCAAGACGTCTCGCACCGCCAGTCCCGCCCCTGGTCGGCCATTGCAAGACACGGCGACTTGCTGCGACGACTGTGGCCACGTCACCGACCCAGTTCAAGACGACTGCGGGTGCGATTCGACTGGCGCTTCGGAAACAGGCGGCTGCCAAGATGGCTGCTGTGACGAGGCGACCCAAGCCAGCCAAGACAACATCAACGGAGCGAAAACCGGCCGTGGCGTCGGCGCCAGCTGTTGTGCTCCCGATGCCGCCTCGAAGGAGCCGGAGGCGCCCGAGTGCTGCGAGAACAAGCAGTCTCCTTGCTGCGACGAGACCTGCCTCGATCGTCTTGCCCTCCGTGCATGCGAGGACGAAAACTACGGGGCCAAGCCCAAACCTCGGGTCGAGTCTCCCTGCTGTTCAACGTCGCAGTGTGAAGGAGCAAACAGCGGCAAGCCATGCGGCCATCATATCCGCGCCACTCGCGACGCCTACGCCGCTACCCTCGAGGCTCTGGGCTGCATCTGCCGCGCCTTGTATGCTCTCGGGCAGGAGTCATGCTGTCTACCCAAGGAGCGTTCGTCGGCTGACCGGAAGCGTGGAGGTTCAAAGCGCATTTCCTCTCGTTCGACACCACGCCCCTCTGTCGATTCCTGCTGCGCCGCTCCGACAGGCTCCTGCCCCTCGGCCGAGACGTCCCGGGTTGTAGGGAAAGCGGGCTGCAGTGGTCTTCCGCGAAGAACCCGTAGTTCATGCTCTGGTGGCTGCCGTGGCGACACCCGTCCCCTGAGTGCCGCTAATACCTGCGCCGATGCCTGCTGTGCCAAGGACGGAGATGCCTCCTTGGTTGTCTGTGAGCCAGAGCGTGGGCTTGCCGACAAAGACTCGAATGTTGACCTCGAAAAGGGGTTGTCGGAGCGAGAGCATGTCATTCTCAGCATCTCGGGGATGACTTGCACAGGATGCGAGACCAAGCTGAAGCGCACCCTCGCCTCTCTCAAGCCGGTCAGGAATCTCAAAACAAGTCTAGTGCTTTCCAGAGCCGAATTTGATCTTGATCTTTCGGCTGGGTCCGTAGCCGAAATCATAAATCACCTCGAACGAACAACCGAGTTTTCCTGCCACAGGCTCACAAATCAAGGAGCCAGCCTTGACATCATCGCGCCAGTCGACGTCTCGACTTTTATCAAGCAGCAGTGGCCTGATGGCGTTACAGACGTGACAGCCATTGGCAAGAAGGCGGTCCAGGTTACTTACAATCCCAAGATCATAGGTGCGCGGGAGCTTACTGAGCATGGCTGGCATAGTCCTGTGTCTCTCGCTCCCCCTCGTGCCGATCCAACCCTCGCGGCCGGCAATAAACACGTGCGCCATGTTGGCTACATGACCCTGCTTTCGGCGATTCTGACTATTCCGGTTCTGGTGCTGGCTTGGGCTCCGCTTCCCGAGAAGAGGATCGAGTACGCATCTGCATCCCTGGCACTTGCTACCGTTGTCCAGGTCGTCGTCGCAGGCCCCTTCTACCCCAAGGCGCTGAAGAGCCTGGTTTTTTCCAGGGTTGTTGAGATGGATTTGCTCATTGTCTTGAGCACGAGCGCTGCTTTCGTCTTCTCTGTCGTCTCTTTTGGCTATCTGGTGGCAGGCCGTCCACTGTCCACGGGGACTTTCTTCGAGACGAGCACGCTCCTGGTTACCCTGATCATGGTTGGCAGATATGTTGCCACGCTTGCTCGCCAAAAGGCTGTCGAGTCCATCTCACTCCAGTCGCTTCAGACGTCTGCTGCTGTTCTGGTGGAGGAAGATCGAATCAGCGAAAAAGAGATTGACGCCCGGCTTCTGCAGTACGGCGACGTCTTCAAGGTTGCTCCTGATTCGAGAGTCCCAACAGACGGTACCGTCTTGTCCGGGTCTTCCGAAGTTGACGAGTCTATGATTACCGGAGAATCGAAGCCTGTTGAGAAAAGGCCCGGGTCTACCGTCATCGCGGGAACTATCAACGGCTCCGGGACGCTCGTTGTTCGGCTTACCCGGGTTCCCGGCGACAACACCATCAACGCGATTGCTGCCATGGTCGACCAGGCAAAACTATCCAAGCCGAAATTGCAGCATCTAGCCGACCGCGTTGCGAGCTACTTCGTCCCAGTCGTCGTCCTGCTGACAGCCATTACATTTGTAATCTGGATTGCGGTTGGGGTCGCTGTTCGCGGCCAACCTGGAGCTGAAGCCACCATTCAAGCCATCACATACGCCATCACGGTACTCATCGTCTCCTGTCCTTGTGCCATTGGGCTCGCCGTGCCAATGGTCATTGTCATCGCAAGCGGTGTTGCTGCCGAGCACGGCGTCGTCTTCAAGTCGGCGGAGAGCATCGAAATTGCCCACAAGGCTGCACACGTCGTCTTTGACAAGACCGGCACGCTTACGCAAGGGAAACTGTCTGTCGTACGCGAGGAGTACACAGGAGGTAGCCATGACGACTCTGCAGCGTTGCTGCTCGGCTTGCTGGAGGGCATCAAACACCCAGTCTCGGCGGCCGTCGCTGCACATTTGAGAGCAAAAGGCGTATCACCAGAGCAGGTTTCTGACTCCAAAGTCCTGACTGGAAAAGGCGTGGAGGGTACTGCAGCGGGCAAAGTTCTTTGTGCAGGGAATTCTCGCTGGCTCAACCTCTCCTCGGACCAACGCATTCAGCCTCTGCTCGAGCAAGGCCATACAACTTTTTGCTTCACTGTCGATGGCCCGCTGCGAGCCGTTTACGCACTCGAGGATACGCTTCGACCAGAATCCCAGTTTGCCATCGCCGGGCTGCAAAAGCGCGGCATCGCCGTCCACATCGTCTCGGGCGATGACGACGGCGCTGTTCGTTCGGTGGCAGGGCAGCTCGGTGTCCCCGACAGCAACGTGCGCTCGCGCTGCAGTCCCGGAGATAAGCAGGCCTACGTGCAGCAAATCATGGGCACAGCAGCAGGCGATTCTGTTGGCATCGGAGCCGCGCGAAAGAAGGCGGACGAGCTCCCCGTTGTCATCTTCTGCGGCGACGGAACCAACGACGCGGTCGCCCTGGCCCAGGCCACCGTCGGCGTCGCCGTGCACACGGGCGACGACGGCACCGGCGCCGACGTGGCCAAGTCGGCCGCCGACGTCGTGCTCATGCGCCCCAGCCCGGCGGGCATCCTCACCGTGATCGCCGTGAGCCAGAAGGCCGTCGCGCGGATCCGCTTCAACTTCGCCTGGAGCTTCGTCTATAATTTGTTTGCTATCTTGCTGGGCGCTGGAGCGTTCGTGCACGCCAGGATCCCGCCTCAGTATGCAGGCCTTGGCGAGCTCGTCAGCGTCCTGCCGGTCATTCTCGCTGCGGTGCTTCTGCGCTGGTCCAAGGGGCTGAAGGATTTGGGTTCCGCTAGTTCTGCATGATTCGGCCTCGAGCTCTACGCGTACTGTTTGTTGGGTCTTTTTCTCTATCATCTCTCGGTCACCTATCCTTACCCTCAGTTCCAGCTGTTATTCATTTCATTTCGACAATAGGTGGATAATTTCCCCCCTGTTGTCTCAGTCTTCTACTTTACTAGGTTCCGGTCGTGTGCTCCTAGTTATGTTTGGCCAGCAACTTACGAGCCCCTCGAGTGACCTTCAATATAAAGCGAACGATCCCATATTGAATGGGAAGCCAACAAACCTGGAATTGTTTACGGTGCAGAAGTGAAATTGCCACGCACCAGTCTGTTCCCCGCCTTTTAACATCGGTCGCTGCTACGCTGTATACGATAGGCTTTTTTAGTCACGAGATCAGGCGCCTTTAGTATGTTTTCGTGATGGCAGACGGAATTAAATCAAAAAGATACATTTGGCCCTATCATTACTCTCTTCCACCTCACTGGTCTTGCAGTTTCAGGGGCCGAGATAGGTCTGAGCCAGATTCGATAGGGGTATGTTTTTAATACGAACAAGGGTATTTAGAATTAAGCCAGATGCTTTGGTCAGCTCTAAGCTACTCCAAGTAGAAACTGCCCTTTGCTCGAAAAGACTTGAACCATTTCTCAACATACAAGTTTTTCTAAAGTTCCTCCCCAAAGCCCTAGGACAAAGCCCTAGGACAGCGGGTAAAGAAAAATGCATCCGTCCTAGCTTCTTCGTGTCTGACACTCCAACCCTTCCTCACACATGGGGAATCATCTCGATCCAGGACGGCGTCAGGTAGGCGCCGATGGGCACGGCGCGCAGGCTGGCAAAGGCCTCGACGACAATGTAGACGCGGCAGACGAGGAACACGACGACAAACACGCGACCCTGGTAGTTGAGGTGCACCCAGTTGAACACGGCCAGGCACGTGGGCACCTCGGCCAGGAACACGAGCTCGAGCAAGTACAAGGACACGACGAGGGCGGGTACGGAAGCGGCCGTGGCGATGCACGCGATCTTCCACAGCAGCGCCTCGGTCGCCGACGGGAAGCCGAAGTCGCCCGCCAGATCCCACGCCGGCGCCAGGTGCGCGCCGCTGTAGATTATCGGCAGCACCACCATCAGCGCCCCCAGCACCCCCCTCTGCACAATGTACAGACACAGCTCCTGCGCATCGACGCGCTGTAGCCACCGCGCGTCGAAGTCGGCCACCAGCTTGGTTCGGTTCATGCTGAAGTACTGCGCCGGGTCGACGCCGTCCAGCCCGCCGTACGCGGCGCGGTCGATCGCCTCGGCCGTGCGGAGGTCGAGGGGTTTCTGTGCGGTTCACCAACGGTCAGCCTGTCTCTCGCAACTCCACACAACTGTCCCTAGCCAACCTCACCTTGAACCACAGGACATACATCCCGACGGCGCAGGCGACATGCACAAGAGTATGCAGCTCGAGCAGGGTCAAGGGCAGGCCGTAGGCGGCGCGGGTGGCGCACTGCGCGGCCATCCAGCTGACCTGCAGCAGCACGAGCAGCTTCTGCAGCGTGTTGGCCTTGCTGCGGTCGGCGATCAGCGCGCCGGGCACGCGCAGCGGCTCTAGCGCGGTGCGCGCGAGGTTGCGCACCCCGCCCGCCGACAGCGTGCGCGCGCTCTCGCCCCCCAGCCCATCCGCGTCCGGGTACCACATCTCCAGCCCGCCCATCACCACGAAGAAGCCGTACTTGAGGTCGAACGCGCAGTCGGCGTCCGCGACAGCTTTATCGTCACCACGGCCACTGGTAGCACTATTCCCAGCTTCCGCCCCCGCCCCCGCCGCCTCTGCTTCCAACGCACGCAGATCCCTCGCCAGCGCGCGCGCCTCGGCAAACTGCGACCACGCGCAGTAGAGGACGGCCTCGGGGGCGACGAGCGCCAGGAACGCCCAGACGCACTTGTCGCGCAGCAGGCGCGAGGCGGCATCGCTGGCGCCGGCGCTGCGGCGCGCGGGGATGTTGAGGTGCAGCGCCGTGTAGATGCACGCGAACAGCGTCAGCACGCAGCTGTACAGGATGCCGCTCGTGCCGCGCATTTCTGGCGGCGCCACCCATGCTGGCGCCGGCGTCGCGTGTAGCGCGCTGGTGTTGGCTCGGTTGCGCTCGAGCTCTGCCCATACCGCCGGCGCGTTGCCGGGGAGTGCCGCGCCGTGGATGTTGGGAAGGAGGGATGCGAGGGTTGTTAGTGTGGTGAATACGCGCTTGCTGTGGCTTTTTCTGTCAGTGAACGCAGCCAGTGTTAGGTGGGTGGTTATGCTCACCTCATCGTGTCAGACACTGATCTGGGTGTTGCTTGGTCTCTCAAGGGCCCTCGCAATGTTGAAGTGTCCCCGTGACAATACCATGTATCGACATGTTCGCGGCAGCACAAGGCCGGCCCAAGATTTGAGCACACAAATGTCTGAACAGGACAAGTCTGTGCCTCCACGGGCGCCTAGAATATGGCGGTGGCTGAGTGTCGCGAGATCGATAGCATAATGCGCATCCATGTCTCTCGCCACAGGGCGTCTCGTATGGTGTGGCCGGCTTCAGCGGCCGCTGCGGCCTCATCCCGGCGCGACTAGCTGAAAAGGCACCACATGTTTGCGAGGCCCATGCCTTGCTTGTCAAGCTGACAATAGTGGCCTAGATTAGTTCATTGCCGGACAGCAAGACCTTTTGTTTTGTGCAACCTGCAAATTTTGACAAGACACAAATTCGCCAACCCCTTTTGGTCTCTACTCAGCTACTCAGGGGTTGCCCCGAAAGTCTTCTCGCACTGAGTCAACCACGCTAGTTTCTTATAACAATAGGGGAATAATGAGCGGTAATGAATACATTTGAACGTCCAAAAATTCGAGTTCCAATAACATTTGCGCAACGTTCGGGCTGACGTCCAGTTCACAGAGTTGTTGCGGCTAGCTGCCCAGCGACATACCCGACTCACGCCTGGCAATGACTCGGTGTCGAGTTGATCAGTCATGCGGCGTGGTTGTAGAGTTCTAGAAACCGCGCCTCCTCCGGCTTGATGAGGTCAGACAAAAGCGAAGGATTATGCAGCAAATGGGCTGTTGGTCTAGAGGTATGATTCTCGCTTTGGGATTCCCACGAGCTCTTCTGCGAGAGGTCCCGGGTTCAATCCCCGGACAGCCCCCATCACATGATTATTTTTTTGGCGTTCCAACCCCTGAATTGCTAGGGTTCGCACTGTCGCGAATCTTTTTAGAGTTGCCAAACGCGACGTTATCGGCGGTAAATATTGACAATCCTGCACTTTGCTGCTTGGCGATTGGATGCCCCCTTTTGCAAACAGAGAATAGTGAGATTTAAGAGAGCAAAAAATGGCTCTTCAATCCCACAGACAATAAATAGCCCTCGATGCCTCCAATTCGTAATTGGCTTTGACCTACTTGGGATGATTGGGCGAACCTGCACGTGCTCGATTTCAGCTCTCTCGATTTCAGCTCACGATATGACACTCGAGCCACTCAGCAGAGCCTGGTCTCATCCATTCCTCAAATTTAAAGGCCTAACCAAACCAACTGCCCGTCCCACATCTCAGCCACAATGGACGAGGCTATTGCCGGGTCGGCAGCCACGGCATGCGACTGCGACGACGGCAACCAATTCTCGCGCGCCAACGTTTTTGGCATGTTGCTCACACTGCAAATCTGCCAGCTCACGCAGCCGTACGGCAGCCTCCTGTTTCGCGGGCTCGGCGGCTTCCTCTGGCGCGTCAACCCCGTCTCGTCGCTCGTCGAGGCCTGCATCGTCTTCTGGTATCCCAGCAAGGTGGCATATCACTCCCGGTCGCAGAGTTGGGTTGGCGTCCTGGAGAGACTCCAGTATACTGCGGCCGCGCTGCTGCTGCTGCGGGCCACGATAGCCGGCGAGAGCGACGGAGGACTCATGGAGAGGCTCCTGACAGGCAGCTTCTTAGACCGAGACGTCCCAGACCCGCCGCCTCGCCCCGGATTCGGTGGTCCAGACGAAGGCTCAGGCTCTTCGACAGCGCACGGCCAAAACTCGCCATCGGGCTTTGTGCGACGCCGAACCACTGAGCCCGAGGCCAACATGCCCCCTGGTGCTCACGGACCCGAATCTCGTTGGACTTCCGAAGATGCAGCCACGGAGAAGTCGCGGATTCTAAACCAGGCCCTCGGCTCGAACGCGCTTGCCCGTCGTGAAAGCCGCATCGACCTGGTCGCGGGCATATCCGTTCTCCTGGTAATGCTCAAACTGGTCGCAATCCAGCACGGGAGCCGGATGTTCACGACCCTGTGTCTGTTGATGATTGCGGGGTGGGCGGCAATCCAGATCCTTCTCCTGCTCCTCCATTCCCGCTCCATGGACGAGATCGACATGGCCATCGTGGTCCGGACCACGCGGACCCTCAACCACAGCCTCGCCGGCGCTGAAGACAACTGGCTGTATCTCTACATGGCCTTCCACCTCCCCTTCTTTGGCTATCCGAGCTACCTGTTCGCATTCGGCGACTGGGATCCCCAGAGCCATTCGGGGTTTCTCCATGTTTTGTTGACCGTGTGGTATGCCGTTGTCTACGTCGTATCCTCCTTCGCTTTCGTCATATTGTGGCCCAGCTTGATTTTTGGCTGGATCGCACTTCTCACCGGCTCACTCGACAACACTTCCAAATATTTCTGGAAACGGCTACTGTTGTTTATTTTCTGGCTCTTTCCCATGACCACGGCCATGGTATTCTCCACTGTCCATTTCACGGAAAAGGCCAAGCACATTCTCGGTTCCAACAACATTTTTCCCAAGATAGGGGCCAAGGACTTTTATATTTTCCAGTTCCTTTTAGACTATGATATACCTGGCCTGCAGTTCCTCTTCCACGACGTGTTCGACCATGTCTCAAGTGTTCTCCTTTTTGCTCTTGCTCTGGGTCTGATGGTCTTTTTGTACTCTTTTCTTTTCGTCCCGTGGCCCACCAAGATCGACCCACCGAGATCATTGCGAGTGTGGGCATCGATCGGCAACACTTTGTTTGGCGGAGCTGCCTTCTTGTTCGTCCTGTTGTGCTATGATCCCCAAAACACGTACCAGCCAGACTGGACAGAATGGCTGGGATAAGATATCCATTTGTGACGTTAATGGAGAAGGCCACCAGCTCCCAGCCATTTCGGGTGTCCGAGTCATGTTAGTTCCCTCTTAACAATAAATTATCCGCTCCTAAATTATCCGCTCCCATAAGGTCTAGCCAGGTCCACACCCGGCAAGCTCCCTACCTATTTATTCACTTACTACTATGCAGGAATTATAAGCAACTTGCAAAGAACCTCGCCCGGCTAGCTCAATCGGTAGAGCGTGAGACTCTTAATCTCCCCCGGAGCAATGTCTCGCCCACAGAGAGAGACTGAGATGCCCGTGAAGGTCGATGACTGCCTTAACTCCATGTGTCGCGGCCAGATAGAATGCCAAAAATGGAGGCCTTCTGCAGCCAGCAACTTGAGCGGCTCAAAGACGCAAAAAGGAGAACTCGCCGACGGGAATTGAGCCCGACGTGGGGGTCGAACCCACAACCTTGAGATTAAGAGTCTCACGCTCTACCGATTGAGCTAGCCGGGCGAGGTTCTTGTTCTTGGATGATGTGGAGAGCCGACGGAGCAGTTATCAGGGCCCCACCGCTGGGTTTGTGGTTCCTGGAGGTATGGGGCACCAGGTCCATGACTCGAGAAAGCATCGAGTGGATAAGCGGTGCTCAACAAACCTTGTCAGTTTGTCACTGACTTTTCCACAGCTATAGCGGCGTAGAAGGTTTGGAAGGGAGGGAAAGTACAACTAGGTTGAACCAAACTGGAAGTTAGAGCAAGAGAGGGGCACCGGGGGGGGGTCGTTAACCTGGAAGAGCTGATATTACCACAGGAGTCCCAAGACTGAGGATCATGCCTTTTAACGATTGCATCATCTATTCGTAATTTGTCCCAACACAGCAAGTTTGGATCACGTCGTGGGGTTGATGAGATTTGGAAAACGTCGAGTTCAACTCTGGCAACTCAACTGACAAGCTCCAACACCAAGGTTTTCTTCTCAATCCCCTGAATGTACTTTACTCGTTAGAAATTTGGGTTTAGGTATAGTGAACTTTGCCTCATGCAGAGTCAAGTTTCGTTTTCGTTTGCTTTCGATTCAAGACCTGATTCATCTTTTCCCAGGAAAATCCGGCATGATTGAATTCTGTGGTTTCCGACGCTGACGAGGATTAGTTCAGTAAGCTTCGACACCACTTGGAAGCAACGCAGAGTCTCCGATATAGTCTCATGAACATGTTCCCTCGTATCGCGTTGCTGTAAATCCCGTTCCTACTGTAATGCCACACATTAGTCTAGACCTCTCATCAGTATGCCTTATGTCTGTTGTGTTCACCAACTCGGATTGAGACACTACGTCACGTCTCTGATGGCATGGCCAAACTTCACTATGGAAATTAGCATCTGTGCCGGTCTCACGTGGGAACCGCGAAGGTCTGATAACCGTCTACGTCACTTTTTACACCGAGGTCTCACAGGAGACGTTTGTTCGAGACAAATACCCAGCGTCTGATTACTAGCAAATATTCGCAGAGCGACCCATAACTTGTAACGAAGGTAATTGCCAGCCCACTACAACGCAGTGAACAACCGGCTCATCAGACACTGCAAGTCGCCAGTTGCGGACCGAGATAATAGCCAACAAGGGGTGCTAGCCGGTGCAACCCGAGGATCTCCTATTGATCGCCGAATACGAAATCACCATCTCCTCATCTGTTTTCTCCCCGGTTTGCATCATCGCAATGTCACTGCGGGAGGGGAGGTGTGGAGCGTGGCGGGCTCTGCGGTTGGACGGAGAGATCGGCGGTGCGCGATCAACATCGCTGCATGAGAGGCAATCTCCTTGCTTGCGAGCGGCGCCGGTTCTCGGATCAGCACCATTTAAACCTGTAAAATGATTGACCGTGCTGGCGATCTTCGGATCTCGTTGCCCTACCCGGTTGTCGTCTCGATTCTTGTCGATTTTGTCCGTGCATGCATAGGGGCGAGAGTTCATGGACAGTGGTAAAACATATGACGTAGTCGATATTAGTTTTTGTACGCAGCTGTGTAACGCCATGAGACTCTACCGTCACCGCACATGATATTGAAAGCTGTCAGGCCTATCGACGTGCATCAAGCATCTTAGCTGTTGCCACTCAGGAACTACGTCTACTTGGAGACATTTGTTTGTCTCAGATTCGCCTTATGTCACTGGTGTATGTGTAAGAGGCCCAATCGGGGACGACAGTAGTGGACGCGACAAATTTCCGCACTGAGAACGAGAAATCTTTAGAATTTATCAACACGAGAATTTAAGGGTATCGTTCACATCGAAAACGACCAAGAGTGAGAACTAGGGCCCCCCCCCCTCCTAACTGTCAACGACAACAACGCAGATAGAGCGAAAGAACTAAAATTTCCACAACCAGATGGGATGTGGATGTATGTAGGATGACCATGCGTGCCAACGACTGAAATCGGGTATTTCTGGCAAGCAGACAACCTGCAGCGCCGGCCGTCTTGGAGGTTGGCGGATATTACACTGCAGTGCAGATATTTACTCGTCGTCTCTAGCAGGTTCTGAAGCAATCGACGAAATGTACGATTGTATCGGGTGCCAATAATGAGTTCTAAAGCACTTACCATTTACCCGTCCTTACGATTCTCCGACCCAGCAAGACCTTAGCTACGAGGCTTCTTCGAGTCTAGTGTCGGAGCCACTCCGATGCAAGAATAGTGCGGCCAATGACATTGGGTTTCCATCCAGCACGCCTGCAAATAGAAGTGGACATGCGGAAGCCGTACCACATACATGTCTGTCGTCGGGGTACATTTTCGCGGGAGGTGCGGCTGGTTGGTGGTGTGATGATCGACCACCCCCCTCTTTGACAAAGGGGCTAGCCCCCTCTCCTACAGTTTCTACATCGCTTAGACTTGCTACAACACCATGTTACTTACAATGGTCAGGTAGTACTTGAGCTATCACTTTTCATGACATGTTCCTAGCTAGTCGATTGGCGAGAAGGATCAAGAAATGACAGCAGGGGTGGAGACGGGGTGGAGTAAACAGGCGTCGAAGTCACCGTAGAGTAGCAGTTTGCTGGAGTGCTCTTCTCTTGACGTGAAACTAAACTTCAAGATCGAGAATGGCTATATTTCCCGAGGCCAACGCACGACTACGGTCGCCCAAGTGGAGCCTGGACAACTATCGTCTCTTGGCTCTGTATTATCAACCAGTGCTAGCTTAGGGTACCAGAGAAGAGTCCTTTCAGGTGTTAACTCTTGTATGTCGCTCAACCGGCTGATAGAATCCGAAACTTGCAAACTCTGATTTAATGCGCGTCTGTTGTTAGTCTGTTTGTTCCGACATGTGCTTGAACGGGCTTTGGAGCTCGGGTCCACCGCAGCCACCCGAGTTGATAGATGGACTACGACGAGTGAGTACTCCGGGATTCAGAGGAGTCTGATGCTCGCATACGTAGTACGCACTGCAGTCTGGAGCGGGTATGGCGGCTAGATGAGTTGCCATCCGCACCGTCGATGGACTGAATACGGAGAAAATCAACCCAGCAAATGTCTCGGGGATGGGACACCCTCATCAAACCGATTCGATTGTGACAGAATCAAAACCGCGAGGTCCGCGAGGTGAAAGGGTCTAGACGCTGCTTCGAGTGGTAGCTACAGGAGGATGACCACTTTCCGTCCCATAGCATCATATAATTAAGGTGAGGTGTGTAGAGGTTCCACGCAGGCCCGGGTCCTGAAACCATCAAGGACACAGATAAAGGGGGCCCCGGCCATTGGACAAGAGCGAGAAAGGGCGGGTCGCACCATGTAGGCAGAACATGAACAGGCCACCGGTGTGAAGACTGGCCAAGGCTAAGGGCTAGTAGGTATGGTGTGCCTTGGAGGATGGTTACCCACCAGGACGGTCGATCACGATGATCCTAGGGATCTGGGGGACCCTAGGGGTCTGGGGGACCCTAGGGGTCTGGGAGACCCTGAAAGACCCCAAGGAAACTGAAGATGGACGTTCAAGCGTATCACTCCATCATGAAGATGCCCCTATCCGATATGGAGTAGCAAGCGCTTCGGGGAGTATGCCCAGGCCGCATTGCCTGGGGGACAAGTTGCCCGAGAGGTGAATGTCGAGCGACTCGGAGCGAGGTATTGTAATGCGGTACACAACTAGAAGAAACAATCCATCCCGGATCCCCATGCTGGAAATGGTATGGTGGTGAAGGTGAGTGAGTTTGGCCCTCCCTAATTACACCGGCTGCGGAGGGCAGCACAGTAAATCGGAAGCGTAATAGTTGATCATACCCTGGGCAGCGACCGGTGAAAGCACCCGCAGATAGGCTGCGGCAAAGCACACCAGGGGCGGCAAGGGTGGGTCGTGCCGACGGCGACAGTTGCGACTTGTCAATCATAGGGGGCAATATAAATACTCAATGGGACCCGCACTCCCTTCGTTCGGATACTGCAAGTACAGCGAGAACAGGGGAGGCAATCCACCCACACAGCATGGGAATGGCGAGGCTCGCGCGCTCTATTGGCCTAGGGCCATCACGGCAGACTCGGGCGAGCTGCAAGCTGCAAGCTGCGAGTCCTTTGCAGCGCTAACCGCTGCATGGCCTAGGTCTGGCGTTGCGTTGCGTCCTGTCTCGATCTCTGCGCAATGCTGTACGTCTTGTCTCGAGGCAAGCAATCATCCAGGAAGAGCCCGCATTGGCTTGCGGCTGCATTATCAGCTGCAGGCAGGAAGATGCACTCCCTTTGAACCTGCCCCTACCAATTCGCATGTGAAAGGACCAACAGACCTGACTGATAGGAGACCATTGTTAATTAATTACCCCTCCACCCGCTGTCGTGGAGGGTGCGCCTCAAAGCCCGTGTGTCGCACTGCTGAGCAGTCAGAAAAGGAACTGGGAACAAAGCCGTTGGCAAAGCATCGATCCGAGCCTAGACCCGTCAAGCTGGGCAATTAAGGCGTGCGATTGGGCCTTTGCCCTTACCCGACTCCATGCTGGTGGTGAGGTGGCTTGTGGGAGGATGGAATCGGTTATTTCTGGCAGCCCCTCCAGCCGTCCTTGGCTATGACACCCGACTGCGTTGAGGGCTTTGGGCCACCTTGGATTGCGCCCGGGCTTTCTCCACCGGGCGGGCCATCAGCGCCCCCCGTCACCGGCGGCGGCGGCGGAAGCCTGCAACATGTTGCCGGCTTCCCTCGAGTTTGGTGGCCTAGAGCCCACTAATGCCCAAGGGAGCCACTTCCAGGCCACAACAACGCTCTAATGTCTTGGGCCTGAGGCGTTAGGCTATCCAAAGTGCAGCAAAACCCACTGGAAGACATTTTCCGGGCCACACCACTTCTAGAAGCTCCACCGTAGTGCGCCCGTATCAGTTCAATCCATATTGCACAGGATACAAAGCGTAGTAGCATTACCCCTCCAGCTTGAGCCTAGTCCCTGGGCGGCTCTCTGGGCATTTCCAAGAGTCGTCGGCGTTTGATCGTGGGAATTGCATTGGTCGCTGCCATATCAGACCACCCGAATGCAAGTCAAGAGCGTCAACATTCAGTCCACGCTCCACATTGCCATTGGGGCTCCAGGCGCAGTGTAACGCTCCTGTTGCTGGGCAGTGTGGCGGGCAGCGGTGGGAGAGAGGAAGTCGTCTTGATCGTCTTCAAATCTGTTGACACAATCGCCACTTGGCCTTCCTAAAAGGTCGACCTGCAGGTCTGTCAAAAAAAAAACTGCATGTATCCAAACCATTGTGGCGTTTGCCTTCGGCATTTTCGGTTTCCTACAGCAAGACAGCCCCTTTGGTTGACAGTAAACACAGTCGCTAAATATCGAGGCCTGCACTGTGCATCCGAAGCAGGCTCGAACAAACAGAGACGTAGGAATGAGTCGGCATCTCGTGTCTGCACGTTTGGTTGTGGTTGGTATCGGGCCTGGCTACCAGGCGGATGCGGGACTCGGTTTGGCCCCCTTGGCGAGGGGCGCCGAGAAACCCTCGATTATGCGTCTCCTTCACCCCAAGGCAACGACCTTCGTCTGCTGCTCGAAATTGTTCTGTCCGAGTTTGTGTTCGGTGATGTAATCCACTCCAAAACTTGTCAGAGAAAACTGTAACGAGGTGGTTGAGGAGAGCGCCACTTCAGCATCTTGAAGCAGCCAGCCGATGGCTGGGGTAACCATTTTTTGCGATTCGATGCCTAACCGTAATAAGGTTTCCCTGCATGTTCGCGCAGTGGCTTGAGCAACAATTCACGCTCTGGCACACACTGCCGAGGAATCAGAGTGCCACGGTCGCCGGTAAAGGTGACTGCATCAGCGAGCAGTTGTGTTACGTGCCTCAACAGCCGCCACTTTGCGGGGCATGTTGCTGACCAGATGAACAGAACCCGAATAGTTCATGGTCTAAGCCCATGGCTTGTAACAATCGGGGTTGAGAATGATGGCGAGATGCAAACTACCGCACCTGCAACACTATTTGCAGCTCGAGCACTTAGGTGGCGTGATCAGGTAGGGCGTCGCCGGATTTTGTCTCGGTCCCCTACGGCATTAGCGCTACCGCAACGGAAACCACTCGCCCCAGCCGGCGGAAGAAACAGTACGGATGAAGTCGGGATCCGACAGCTGCGGATAAATCCTTCACCACGGTTGGGTAACAACGAACCAGACGGGCTGCCTGCGAATATCTGAGATGTGACAGACACGAGTCCCACCAAGGAATCCGGGGTGCATGAGCTGGGGACCGCTCAGACCTGGGAGAGAACGGGCTCTGAGGAAGAGTGAAGCGATGGGAAATACTCTCCGCAGTGCTTCCTTGTAATGACTCGATGTTCATGGATTACCAGAGGAGACAACGCTCTCTGGAACATGTGATACTCAGATCGACACCGTAGAAGGTACAGCAAGACAGCTCGTCTATGCTCAGGCTTGCTATTGGGCTCTGCTCTTGAGACGAGTTAGCACGAACGAAGGCAGAAGGGTATATAGAGTCTTGCCAGCTAAACAAGAGCATTTCTTGAGCGAAAGGCCAGCTCTCTAGCGGCGGGCTGAAGAGTGGTTTCTCCATGACTGGACGTTGTTCGATACATCTTCCAATGTTGATCTCGGAGATGAGGTCCGGGGCAAGAAACACAGAAGGTATTTGCGAATATACCCGAGTATGGTCTCTTCTTGTGTATGGCCCGTCACAAGACGTGCCCTGGTGCCGTCCGGGACAGGTAGAAAGAACTGCGGCCAAACGAAGCAAGCCTCCAACTTGGGTTGCGAAAAGCATATCTCTCCCATGCTTGTAAAAGCACGGACACCTCCGGCTCCGGTGTCGTGCCATGCCCCGAAAAGTGTTCCGTGCCGGGTGTGTGGGTTGGCATCTGTTGGGTCGGCATCGGGCAACCCGGTAGAACGGCAGGAGCTTGGTCGGCCGATGGGCAGAGGGATCCTTCGAATCCGTGGAGTTTGTGGAAGACAGCACTGTGCACTCTCCCAAGAGCATTGTCAACACAGGGCCAGCGGAGGGGCTTGGCATTTGGGGGCCTGGTAAGATCGACCTGGGCCCGACGGTCTGGGGCTGCATGCACCGCTGTGCAGAGCCTCCAGTGCGGCAAAAAGAAGAAACTGTTGCTCGTCAATCGAGATTCGGTTCGATTCGAGCGAAGGAACGAATGGCGGCTTCACCGCCATTTACAAATACAACTGCCCAATGCCCACCCAGGGCACGTTGGCGGGATCACTAGGCGGCCTCGGATCGCTATCATCTCACCTCACCCGACCTCAGTCCGCCGCCCGTGAGCCCTGAGCAGCGGCACAGCCGGAACCAGTCCATTCGGAAAACGATACCACAATGGCTCGCCCAAGTGGTGAAATCCCTCATCACACCGCAGCGAGCCTTGGACGAGGGCGCAAAACCCTGCCGGTCTGACAGTTCAGCTTAGACGGGTGAAGCGCAGACCGAGATTCCGCGCTAATGGGTGTCCAAGCCGTGGTTCTGGCGACATAGCGTGCCTTTTTCGGTGAGTTGGGGCAAAATTATTTCGCTGTGCCCCCTCAACAAAAGGTGAGAGAAAGCACTTTCTTTCGGCCGCCGTGTCTGGATTGGTCAAGCTCCGCTCAAGGTCCAGGGCCTGTCCCGCGTTCGAGCCCCCGTTCGAGCCCCCACTGTCAGCATTCTTATTGGGAGCAGATCACCTGTTCTCGAGCAACTGCGCGTGGGCGGCGCAGGGATCCAAAAACATTTCCAGCCAGTCATTGTCGCCCGTTCAGTCACCATGCCCAATCCATCTCTTCGGCGAGGGTGATTGTGGCTGCTGGTGACACTGGTTGAGCTACCTTGGCTGTGCTCGTCCAGAACAAGGGTCGATGCGGTGAGAGGAAAAAGTAGGAAGGAAAAAAAAGTACGCTATAGAGCTTGCTAATTGACGGCGAATGCTGTCTTAGCCTAGGACTAGTTGCGCGGCTTCACGTGTTCCAGTTACATCGAAAAGACGGGAAATCACCAGTCGTCATTTCTGAAGAGCCTCTTTCTGAAAGCTTGAGCTCGAGCCGCCCGAAAAGAATCCAGTGGGGTTCATTTCGAGGCTTGGGCTTCGGGAATCGGGGACTGCAATCGAGTTCCCAGTTAACACAGCCTCTCCGCCAACGGGGGTGGGGGGGCGTTGGTGTCATTTCAATTGAGATCGCCCACGGGCTTTGTTAGGACGCGGGGGTGGAAATGTCTCTGCCCTGCCAGACTTGCGGGGCTGGTTACACACAACGTCTTTTGATGATGCTGACCTCGGGCGGGATAGTCGGCGTTGAGTCGTTAAAGCTCAAGAACCACGCATCGATGTTTGTCTCTTGCGAATTGGCTTGGTCGATTGCACCTCCGGATAGAGTCAGACTAGAGACGATAGAAGTTGGGCGGAAATTCTGACAGGAGCGGAATATTGCAAATAGTTTCATCCTGCTGACGGCTGACACGAGAGAGGCATCCATGGTACAGTAGTCGGCAGTAACAACCTAGAAGATTCGGTCGAGGGGCTTGAAAGACTTGAAGCGATATCCCCCACGCCGAAAAACTTGCTGCGACCTCTAACAAAGTCTCAATTTGCGAAATCGCACCTCCCCTGCAACTTGGCCCAGCCCTGCGAATCTGACAATCTCTTGCAAAGTGAAGTGACAAACAATAAGGAGGAGCGAGCGGTGAATTTCTTTGTCCAGCCTCCCGCAATCTCACAGTGTGCGCCATCTTTTTTCCGTACAGGTGTCACGAAAGCGGGGCTGCGATGAAGAACCTGGTTCGTGCGTAGAACAATTCCTTTTGCAACTATTTGTTGTATCGAACGTTTAAAGATGGACTACGTGTGGATAGTAACGGGGAGGTCTCATCATTTAATTGTTAATTCGACAACTGGCTGTACTGTCTTGGGATGTAAAGACATGACTTGTCGCGTGGGGGTTGTGAAGAAACACCGTGTTTTCCTTGCTCGTCTCCAGTTCAAGCAAACGCAAGGTTACGTCATAGACCTGTAAAAACACAGACAGAATGTTCCTCGACCTTGTCCCAATCCAGCTAGGTCATTTATGATCTGAATCTGCCAAGAAATCTCTGCCTGGGAGCTTCTGCCGTTTCCCAACTGTCTGGGCTCGCGGTCAGTAGAGGGGGGATTCCCCCCGCTTTTCTTCTTCGACGAGACAAGGCTCCTCCCCAGATAGGAAAAAACAAGGCTATTCAGACCCACGAGACTCATCACATAAAATCTTGTCCGGCGATCACTGTATCAGAAACTCTGCCATGTACTCCGCACGCCCTGGCTGGCGGTGCAAGTTAGTGACTTGCAGAGGGATAATGCGATTCCGGCAGCTTGGGACCAGAGCTGGTAATCCTGGAGAGTCTAGTGTACAAGTCCATCCCCCGCAGAGAGGAAGTTTTTGAGTTTCCGCGGCGGGGAAGATTGAGCTCTGTCGTCTCCCTAATCCAAGCTCTCCTTCCACCTTATTTCCAGCTCCGAGTCATGCATGCCGGGACTTCTTTGGGTGCCCAGCGAGCGGCCAACATCTCCGGAGCCCCTGACCTTGGTCTCTGAACCTCCAGGCTATAAGCAAAGTTGGTCGGGACAGACAGTGGATAGCAGCCACTCGTATCTTCTTTTGAGATGGAGGCGGAGGGAACGCTGTCCGTCAATGCCCATTGAGCGCTTGGTGCTTCATGCAAAGGCTTAATCCCCCCTCGTGTGGCGTCGAGGCGGGGTGTATGCCAGTAACGGCAACGAAGGCTTGCGCGTCTTGCCTGGTTTTCTCGGCAGCTCCCTTGAAGCTATTCGCTCCCTGCAGAGAGGGGAACGAAATTGTGTAGGGCCAAAGGTTAGCTCTAGGCAGCTGGTTATTGGGTGGAGGCTGAAAAGCTGTCAAAAACTTGGAAGTCGTTGCCCGAAAAGGCAATTTCCATTGTCGATCGTCGGGGAGCCGGAGGAAATCACCCTCGTAAGTGCGATGCTGCTGCACGAGTGGACTGGATCCCTGCTCACCGACACACAACCATCTTCACTCTATCGAGCCTCTTTGAACCTCCGCAATACAGGGGATAGAGTTGTTAGAGAATACGCACGCCGCATCGATACCAATTTTTCTTCACGAGGCAAGTTCAGTTGCAACGGTCGACCGACTCCTTGACGTCCTCTCTCGCAATGATGCAGGCACTTGTCCTCTCTGTTGACTGCTAGTGGAATAGAGGGGATGACAAAGTTATAGAAGGGAGGGGAAATGCAATGTGCGTGCAGGTCTCGCTTTGATCTTTGATGTGGTATTGTTCTCGGATTAATGCTAGACCTCCAGCGTATGTGTGTACAGCACATACCGCATATAGTTTACGACGGTTTTAGAGAGGTGGGGGGGACGTGACACCACCAAATTCACCCACCACCCACACCGCGCACTTCACTGATATCGATATCAGCCAAAATCCCACCTTGGCCCTCAGATTCCCATGCCCTCTTATCTCGCGAATCTTCGCGTCGAGATAGCGGCATGCCCTCGAGATGGATGGAGGAAGAGCCTCTCGGGGGTCGATCAGAAGACCCTCCATGCCTTCGCGAAGACCCTGATCTCCATCCGCCAGGGTAAACACCATACCCTTTGTGCTCTTGTCCCATCGGCGCCAGGTATCCTTGTACGGGGCGGCACGGCTGGCTCCAGCGAAAGAAGCCGTTGCATCCACTCTCCGAGACATCTCGTTACGTACTACGGCCCGGGCACAAGACACCAGAGTCGCGCGGCGTTGCACCAAGGGACACAAAGCAATGGTCGGCGGACTAAACACTCCGCTAGGGCGGCCGGACGGAGCACAAAGCTTCCGCGCGGCTACGGCGTGCAGATGGAGGGGATTCGATAAACCCTCCCACCTTCTGCGACCTCTGTCCTGTCTCGCGCCTTGCGTCGCCAGCCGACATATTTGATGCGCGCGGGTTTCGTTTGGCAAGCTCGAGAAGCCGGGTCTTATTGGCTGCTGCCTTCCGATATCCCGCTTCCGACAGACGTCCAACCGACCCCCATACATTCTGCATAAGAGAGATACTAAGACTTGGCGAATGCATCAGGCAGGAGATTTGATAGAGCACAGACGCCATCTACCGTTGCATTGCACGCTGCTTTCCTCGGTTTCCCGTTTGGTAGGCGACCAAAATATACTGGGAATGGCATCGGCAGGTTATAGTGCAAACAATACTCGGTAATGTGGGAAACAAAAGGAGGGCAACAAGCCGACTCATCCGGAGGCTACTGCGGTGCGCTGCGAATCTGCCGGTAGAAGGTTTATGCAAGAAATGCTTCGATCATGAGACTTGCGCGAAATGCTGTGAACTCTAACTTGGCGTTACTACACGAGGCCGTTCGACCCGAAGGGTTGTTACATATTTTACCGTGCTTGCTTATGTGCAATCCAACTAGGTTATCATGCTAGCTTTGGTGTTGTTGGAGCCACTTAATTGGAACGCAAAGCTCTCGTGCACTGTACGTTGAACGACTGTCTTGACACTGTGCTTGGGTTTAAACGTGGGCACAGTGCCAGATTGTGTGAGCAACTCCAAAGATTGCCCAATGGCCCGAGTGCTGGTAAGCCGTTGCGCACGAGTTGCAACACGTGCGGCTGAGCCAGGGAGGGGCAGAGGCCACAAATAACTATTTCTTTGTCTCCAAAAAAATCTGATTGGCCAATGGCAAAGATAAGCAACGGACTGGAGGGGCAATGCCAGCCACAGACCAAGGCACACTGCCCTGTAATGGTGGAAGCTGCCAGTCGCTTTCAGAAAACGACGAAAGGAAAAAAATATCGTCCCAGAAGTACAGTGCCCTAACTAACATGAAGAGAAAAAAAGGCGCTAGAACGCGCTCGATTGCGCGGCCGATACAAGGAGAATGGGCCCCGTGCCGTGGCCAAGCCTAGTATCAGATCATAGTGGAGCGCCTAAGAATGTGGCGATTCCCACAGGCAAGGGGGCCGTGCTCAGGCGATTGGCTAAGGAGTTGTGGATTGCGCGGGCCGCGGAGCAAACACCTGAATTACGCAAAAGTTTTAACGTGGCCCGAAGGGTTATTTTGGCTAAAAATGAACAAAAAGTTTCGCTCAACCAAGGGGTTTGGGCGCTATTGGACCCTTGGATGGTATATGGCCTAGCTAGAGGCAAAGGGTCGGCTGCATCGCTGATTGTTCGACGGTAGCTAGATCTTAGGGCGTGCGCGACCCCTAAT